ATCCTATTACAACTGTAACTAATATCTTCTTTTAGGAGCTGGAAAATCGGAGTCCTGAGAAATTTGGGAGAACCATGAAAATCTCGTCGATGTTCCTATTTGTCCTCTTCGTGTGCTTTGCAATGTTTGGGCAGTTTACGTACGGTGATGAGGTCCAGGAAAATATCTTAAACAATCTGCCGAGTGGAGTGTGGTACTCGACGATGATCCGGGTCACGATGTCGCTCGTTGTGCTGTGCGTTTATCCACTTATCCTCTACCCAATGAGAGTGGGCTTCAAGTCAACCACAGCAAAAGCATTTTGGACGGTAAAAACAGCTACAATTACGTAAGTAAAACAAATTTTATATTTCCCTGCTCTATTTATCTATTCTTACTCGAGTTCTTCATCTAGGAAAAAATGGCAGCAGAACTAGAAGCGGCTGCGTCTGCTCGTGTTCCCTTGTTTATATCGTTAGTAGTTGATAATCCATTCGACAATACTACTTTTCTCGGTTACAAGTAAAAAAAGCAGCCAAACTATCGCTATCGAAAGCCCTCGAAATCTTCATCGTTATTTTAGCCGGTAGTCGAACCTCGTTCGTTCTTTCTTATTTTTTTTTGCTCTTTCCCTTTGTTAAAACTCTGCTTCAAAATTGCGCACTAGGTGGAGCCAACGCAGGTCTTTTGCGAGCTTTTGTTAGGTTGATTGACTGAATGCGTAAGCATAGCGGGCAGCGTCAATAGACACCCGCAGCGAGTTTGCGCCTGCGGTTCCTTGCAACTGACTGCCCTACGTCAACGGTAGGCGACTAGCCGCGGGCTTATTGCTATGGGTGGCCTTTAGTGGGCTAGGTCAGCGGGAGCGGTGCAGAGTGGCGCGGGGTCTGTTTTAGTTCTTCCGCTATCAAGCGCCGCCGCTCGTTAGACGGCCGCGCGCAGTTGGTTGACTGCGTCGGAGCCCTTGCGTCTTCCAATGGCTCCGCGATGGGTAGCGTGCTTTTCTGGCGGCGGAGAAGTGCGGCGGGAGCCGCTTCAGCATGCGCCGAGGTGGTCCTTGGCGTGGGCCTCAGCATGGTAGACTGCGAGCAAGGATGGATAGTCTGGCTTTTGCCCGCGTGACATTGTCCAGCGATCGGCTCGGGGTGCGTTTCTCTTCCTCGGCTGAGTCGTGAGGGCCCATCGTTCATCTTTAGCGTGAAACAGCGTAAGAAAAGCGGGCAGAGCCAGAGTCCAAGAACAGCCGCGGCCAGTTTGCGCTTGAGGTTCTTTGTAATGCACTACGGTAGGTGACTAGCCTCTGGTCTTGACTATGGCCGATCTTCAGTGGGCTAGGTCAGCGGTGACACACACACAGGAGTCAGTGCTCGCACAGTCCAGCTCCAGAGTTGGCCCGGGGTCGTCTGTTTTAGTTCCTCCGTTATCCAGCGCCGCCGTTCGTTGGACGGCCGCATACAGTTGACTGATTGCGGCACTTCAACTAATATGCCTTCACTGGACAACTTTAATGGATCATCATCCTTAGTTATTTGAACATAATTTTCAGGTGGGTCCTATTGTTGTTTCTTTGGTGATGGCGATTTTCTTCAATTGGCTGGACAAGAGTCTCGGTACGCTGAATAACCTGAGCGGTGCGGTTAGCGCCTTTTTCTTCCTTTGTTTATTCCCTGCAATATTAGGAGCGGAATTGAATGAAGGGATTCCTTACTGGCGTGAGTGGAACACGTGGCGAAGTTGGAAGTACTGGTTGTATATCCTTCTCGGTCTTTTCTTCATGGTGGCAGGAGTAAGCTATCCAGAACCAACTCTAGACTTTCGAGTTTGGTCAACAACGAGTGGTCAGCAGACTCCCGACCAATCATCTGCAGTACAGGTACTAAGATAGTGACTATCTCATTATGATGTTACGTTTCATTTTCACGGAAGAGTTGATCGTATCCGCACTCGTACTTCACACATCAGCCCTACACCTTTTCTTTGTGCATGGAACCTACAGAAGCCGATTTGTTTTATCTGTGATCATCAACGATCACCGAGCAGGTTACATCTTCTTTACACCATCTCCATAAATGAATCTTTGTTTTTCTAGAATCATCTTCTTATTCTTCCCAGGGGCCTTTTCAAAAGTTCTTTGTGAATCCAGAGAACTTTCAAGATATTGCATTCGATGAGGAATTTCGCGCACTGCTAACGATGGGGCAGGTAGCACGACCGAGAAATGCCCTCGTGATGGGAGCAGAGCCTGTCGTAAGGACACCAAAACATTTAGTCTCCTTCGGAAATGCTGCCGCTTACAGAGATCTGCGAATCGATGTCGAGAATGGAAAAAGGAGGCCGATCCCATCTTTCTACGAATACAAGGACCAAATACTTAGAGTGGTAATATCCGGATTACATTTCATGTTCGAATTATATCATTTCCAAATACAGATCAGTGTTTCTTTTAGCTTTATAATAACGGAGTTGCACTATCACTAAGTACTTGATGTCGTAGTAGTTGCAACGATATTATACAAAAGTTTCATCCTGCTGCAACCAATCCAAAAAATTTGATGAAGCTAGAGGTAAATCTACTTCTCCTGGTTGAAATTTCTCAGATGCGATGGACCAAGCCTGAGCCTGCTGACGCGGGCACTCCCGCTCCGCTGCGATCAGCGCCACGTACACTGCAGCACGCGCTACCCGCCACGGGCAAGGCCCCAGCATATGAGTACGAAAGCGGCACACTTACCTGGGAAACGACATTGCTAGAACAAAAAGGAGTTAACGGTCCTGTAGACGACAAGCCTGACGTTAGGGTAAGCACCTTGGATCCAATTACCTACGCGTTGCTGTTGAAGAGGGCCCTCGAAAAAGTGGTCGACGATAGTCGTTTGAAGACGCCGCGACAACAGGAAGTGCGGGCTTCGCCGACGTTCGATCGCCTGGCGGCGAGCATCAAGGAACTTTTCAGACAAATAGCAAAAAATGAAAACCTACTCCAAGATTTGGAGCGATCGCGGCTCACAGAAGCGGACCTCTATGCGGTGTACAGGCAGGAAACGAAGGGATACTGCGACGACCGCTGCAAGCTAAGGGCCAACAACGACCAGCCAGAGTTCAGGGGCCCGGAAGAGCAGCACGCCACACCTTAACGAAGCGCTGGAGCAAAAAGACGAGGACGAGGACAAGCACACCAGCAATATTAGCATGAACAATATTAAATAAATAGAAGATGAGTTGTATGAGCGCAAACGAATGAACTAGATGTTGAGCTGGGCGATATGAAGCACGAGATGCAGAAGAGTCGGATTTTCATGAATCTTGCAGTTGTGGACCGTGTTAGAGAGTCTGGACGGGTGTTTTTAGTGCCGAGTACCCTTCTTATACGTCGAGCAGCAGATGACAAATACTAAACTGATGCTCAGATGATGAGTCCTGGGGCACCTGGATATTTCTCTCGCTATTTTCATTTTGCATATGCTGGCACCTGCACTACTGATACTGATAGCGCCGGATATTAACAAGATGACACTGGGTTGAGCGTTAAAAGATAGAGAATACAACAGTAGACCTATAGCGCAGCATAAAATGACATTAGAAACGCAGCTTTGGACTAGATCATCTTTTTATCTTTATAGGTCAGATTGCAGAATGTTTTACACGTGTCTAATTATATCGGAGTTATTGAGCAATGCGTCGAAGCACGCCAGAGTCCTCGACCTTCGTTGAGGGAAGAAGGATTACGGAATCGACACATTACCAAAATTGAGGGTGCAACAAGAGCACAGGTTCAAGACGTGTATACTCTTTTACTGACAAAAAATGTACCGACGTGGCGACACGGAATAGAGGAATCACAAGAAAATCTAGTTGAATTATAAGTAGATCTTCATCCGCATACTGAATATATAATGACGAAGGGCCGCCTTATTCTGCTAACCCCCTTCCAAGAAGTCGGGGGAGAAGCTATGAAATACCATGAATCTGTACTCCTACGGATGAGACGCTCTGCAAGGCCAGTATCCTAGCAATGCACGACCGCGCCGTCGTATGATATATCACTTTCAGCCGTAAAAAGTAGCCTATTCTCGACAGGGTGATAGATGAAGAGTATTTCTCCAGCATACAAGCCTGCATCACCTGACTCACGACTGGTTTCGCTTCAGGCTATCATCAGGATTATATTGTTAAAAAGCGCGCCTGGTCTATTACGTTCCGTCTACACCTCCACGTCCACCTATTATCAAAACCAACTTTCAGCTAGTACACCTACACCAACACCTGTACCCAAATTCTTACCTACCTTTCGTCGAGATCTCCTCAAACATCCGACTACCCGCTTGCCTCACCAATCCACTTAATACTGACTCCACGATCACCTTATTTCCGCAATCGATCCAACTGAACCGAGAAAAAGTAATTGAAAGCTGTACACAAACGCCCACAACCATCATTGTTCTTGGTCCTGGTGTTTTTATCAGGGTGCAGCAACTACGGGAGTCATGTCCTTCCGATTTATCCAGCGTCCTGCTTTTGTTGTTCTGCCCATTTAATTATCGTCAAATATTCTGTATCGTTCCTTGTGGCTAGTCCACTTGTCTGCTGCTTGCGAATCGTAGCGTGCCCCTTGTGGTGGCCAGAAACGATAGAGGAGCACTAAGCTCCGCCTGCCGCCGGTTTGCGAACTGGATAGAGCTGAGGCCACTCTTTCAGTAGCCCCAGGATACAAAAAAAAAAAAATATTTTTTTCTGAAATCTCCAAGTCCAAACTCAACGAAGGTTGATCATGTTAGTTGCTCGAACGAGCTTCAGGTTCTTTCAGTTTCGATTACGGGTTTGGTATGAAGAGCGGCAGAGGTACTGAAGAGAGCCGTAGATACAACAAGGACGCTGTTGAGAGCGAAAGTGCGTGATTTACGGCATGGTTTTACTTTGAGGAAAAAAGTGCTACGAGCTGAAAAATGAAAACTAGCAGTACTCGTTGCTCTCTTTCCACCTTTTACACAGCGATCGCCCATGCCTCCTCTGGCGTTCTAATGGTTTCATTTTCTGACTCAACAAAAGCTGGCTTGAACAGAATACAAAAGTATGGAATAGGAGCTTTTTCAGTTGTGAAGTATCAAGTGTTGTAAGCCGACGAGATATCATACAGAAAAAGAATGCTGTTCCCATTTTTGATGTCGTCATAGATATCCTCCCACTTGTCCCGGCTCAATGTGGAAGAGGACTTATTGTGATTGTTGATGAACAAACAGAAAGATGGGACGTGGGGGCGACCAGGACGAAGAAGACGAAAATTCGCGTTTATTGAATAGTGAAGGGTCCCTCCAGGAGGGACGCGCATCGAACGACGACCGTTAAGAGAAAATGAAGATGTAGTTGTTTTTCAATAATTTCTTGAATGTCGACGTAGTCGTAGTCGTAGTCGTCGTCTGCTTCGTCAATATTCACAACTTATCTTTATCTACTGAGACTACTAAGTGAGGACAAGTTGAGAACGACACGATATACACTCCTGCGATTAGAAATTGTTTCCCCTAAGGGCATTCGAAAAACAACGATGGAATTTTTGGGGGTTTCTTCGGTGGATTTTTCGGAGGATCGCCTGCGTCGTCACCTTCAAAGGCTAGACCGGAGGGTGGAGATGCCCCGCCAGCCGTCGTTGTTGTCGGGGAAGGCACGCCCTTGCTGGACGGCGAGCGTGCGAAAGAGGAGCCAAAAGTAAAGTTTCCCGTGAGCTTCTGGGGAACTGTAGCAAATGAAGTGGTTGCAGCGCTGGGGTGCACAGGTCTGCTCACCTTGCCACTTGACCTCGGAGCGACTGGACTCTTCGACTACATTGTGATTTCTACGGTCATGCTCGCCTTCAACTATTATACCATCATGCTCATTATTCGAGCCTCCGAGAAGCATGGGGTCTACCACCTCGAGGAGCTAATGAAGCTGCTGACTGGACTATGGAAAAGTAGTAGATGTTCTAGATACGCTGTTTCCTAGGAGTTGTGCAACATGATCTAGATCTTGCAAATGCATGAGGAATCAACCTTGATGCGAATTGTATGCACCCGACATGCAGAGTCATCTACTAGATCACTGCGTGGTCTCATGGATATTTTTTTCTCAATGATATATTTTTGATACGATTACAACAGCAACGAGCTAGAAGTAGGTAAAAATCTCTCTTCGGTCTTGCTCTTGGTCCCCGCTGCTCCTCTTACTACCACATTCATCATATTTCATTCCCTCAGTTCTTGTAGGCATAATTTTGTACTTCAAAACTTCTGCCTTTGTCAAGAACACTTTCATATGGAGGGAAATATTGGTACTGGACGTGTGCCGTTGTGCTGCGGGTGTGCTACGTTTTCTTGCTGGCTGTCTTTATTGTTGGCGGCTTTCTTGACAGCATGAGCAAATTATTGCGAGTAAATTGGACCCCGGAAGTCCCGTCAACTGCGGACCGCCTAAAAGAAATGCGCGAGGCCGCTAGAGATCCGACGAAGGTATCGTACGCACACGCTCTCCTCTCGAGGCAGTTAGTCGACGTGGTGCCGCGCGACGAGCGTGCTTGGAAGGGGGCAGACCTGGGCAACGGGTGGCGATTAGAATCGTGGGTGTTGCTTGTCCTATTTTCAGGGCTTGTCACACCGTTGTGCTTTTTTCCGCTCAAGTGGTTATCGTTTACCAGGTATATTTCAGCTTTTGGCAATGCTGACTTTGAAGTAGTGTTGGTCGACATTTGACTTATTGATTTTGCTTTGCTTCATGCATCTGAAACAAGGGATTGGCCACCCCCGATGCATATGGTATCTATATAGAAGTTGTTCACTATTTTTCAGAAAAATGAAATACAGATATTCTATATATGTTCCAGGGCGCGGGGCGACGCCCCCCCCCCTAGCGGGGGGAGGGCGGGCGCCCTGGGCCCCTTTTTGAGGCCTCTGCCGGGGGGGAACGCCTCAAAAGGCCCCCCCACCCCTCCCCCCTGTCCCCTTCCAGGTGTGTGGGGTCCCCTAGAGGCCTCGGACGTAGGTGGAAGGCCTCAAGAGGGCCGCAAGGGGGACCGCCTCCGCTTCCTCCCAGCTGCTTGGCTGGGCGTTCGGCCCTGCGTCATATATGAATATATCTAGGGATTTCTAATTCTATTTCATTTACTTACTTTTTTTTCGTTTTGCGTCCAACTCCAAGCGTCTACACGTCCATTTTCACAGCGCCTTCGTAGTGGTCGTAAACGTCATGACGTTGTTGGTTGTGATAGTAAATTTTGGTCTGCTGCACAAAAATTTGCGCGGACACGAACCGGGTTATTGGTACGCAGGACAGGATGTCTGCTTGTTCGGAATGTCTGGGAGTGGCAGTATCGGCGCAATGTCCTCGCTCACGATGTCGATCGCTATTCAGCCCTACGCACCACCCATGTACCGTGAGATGAAGAATCTTATGACCCTTTCCCGTAGAGGTAAAAGCATCTTGAGGTGAATCAGGTGAGTCATCTTTTCGAAGGAAAAATCCAAGAGGGTTAAGCAACGAGAAGATGAGATGATTCAGGATGCCTTTCCACAAAAACCATGAGTCTAATAAACGCAGCATCGAAAGCTTTGGGAATACGATGAAAATCGCCTCAGGATTTCTGCTCTTTCTCTTCATCGTTTTCGCTGTCTTCGGTCAGTTCACCTACGGGGACGAGGTGTATGATAACATCCTGAACAACTTGCCTTCGAATGAATCATATTCGCACTTCCTCAGGGCGATGATGGCGCTTGGCGTCCTGTTTGTCTACCCTCTAATCTTGTACCCGATGCGCACCGGATTTAAGTCAGAGCGTGCTGCGCTGTGGTGGACAGTACAACACTTCTGAAAAACGCTGATTAATAATCGACTAGTTTATCTAATTTCGACTTGTATGTAACACAGTAGAGAGGGTAGTCAATTGTGATTACTGTGTTTCTACCCCCTTAATGATATTACCCAGATGCAGCTACTTCTTCCGTGCCCCTAAATCTAATCATCATTACTAGAAGACTCCAAGAAGATCTCTGATGCTTCATACTTTTTTTCTAGGTAGGACCGATACTCGCAACGTTGGTTCTATCAATAGCAGCAAACTCGTTCGGCTTTGGGCTCGGCGTTTGGAACAATGTCTGTGGTGCAATATGCTTGTGCTTTTTTATGTGCATTTTTCCTGCAATTATCGGCGCAGAGCTCGTAGAGGAGATACCGATCTGGCGCGAATGGTACACGTGGCGAGGCTGGAAGTATCGTTTATGAAGAGAACAAGCACAAGAATGCATGATATCTTTAATTAGCTGATGCACAATTTCGAGGCCCTCACCACTCCAAGTTCTAGGACGAATCGTGGCGGATTATCAAATGAGCCTCAGCCTGCTGTCTTCTACTTCTATATATGTTCCAGGGGCCAAGGCCCCCCCCGATCTAACTTTCTGAGAGAGGGGGCCTCCCGCCCCTGGCCCTTTTCCCTGAGGGACGGCCGGGCGGGAAGGCCTCCAAAAGCCCACCTCCGACCCCTTCCCGCTTCTTGCCTGGACCCTACAGAGCCCCCGCCCCTGTGGCAGTTCAAGCACCGAAGGCCGGGGGTGAAAGGCTTCAAAGATGGCAAAGGTGGCGCGGCTTGGCCCCCTGGGACGGGGGCTCTGTGGGGTCCATTGAAGAAGCGGAAAGGGGTCGGAGGTGGGCTCTTGGAGGCCTTCCCGCCCGCGGAAAAAAAGGCGCGCGGACGCCACCGCCGCTCCATCAACAGGAGGGGAGTCTCCACCCCTGGAACATATTCTATGTAATTCATTACATTTTCTTCTGTTTTTGTTTCTCTCATCTCTATACCCCTTCCCCCCTGTTTTTTTCTGACAGTACATGATGGACGACTTCTGCTCAGGTACTTTATGTTTAGAAGTCCTTGACCTCTTCCAGCACTGTTCTCTCTGCTTCAAGGCTTATTACATTTTCTTCATACGAACTAAAGCTACGATGTATTTATTGCTTACTTTGGAAAACTATGGGACCAAACGAAGTTTTTTAGTGACAAGACATACTATTACTATATTACTAGGTTGGACAAGTACATCGACTTCAACAACTACTGCTCGACAACGAGGAACGGAAATTTATTGGTCAACATCATCAAAACACTTCTTAACGTAAGGCACGGGCTCTTTAATTGTCAACATAGGGAATTGCGTCATCAACTACAGCTACAACCTAGCCTCAGCCCTTTGTTGAAAGGATGAGTTATGAACTGCTCGAATCTTTCATTTCTGCTGTACATGGTTCTGGGCGTCTTTCTTATGATTGCTGCTCTGGCAATCGCGATAACTCCAAGTATCGAGTTTCGGTTATGGGCGTGGCGCACGAATCGGATAAAGCAGGTTGAAGAGGGACCCATGCAACAGTTCTTTAACGCCCAGCGAGGTGGGCTTTCAGGTCCGCAGAACATCCTCTTGGATACGACCTTCTCATCCGCCTTTCTACCAGGAGTCGCAACTTCGGATAGGCCTGAGCACTTGGCGACTTTTGGGAACCTGGCAATATACGAGGACAAACGAAAAGGACGCGTTCCCAACTTCCCAGATTACAGAGAGATGGTCTGCAGCGTACTCCGGTGGCCACCATTATGTGCAAACGCAAAGCATGCTAAAAAGATATCATTAGCCGCAGTTTGTGTTTTTGATCCTGATCCAAAGTACCTTTTATTTGCTTTTTCGAATAGAGTAAGTAAAATGTCGGGTTTCGAGTTACTCGAGTTGCAACGAGTTGCTCGAGTTGCCGAAGCGAAGGGCTTCAATTCTGGAACGAGTTGCCACGAGTTGCCGGAAGATATCCGCCCCACCGGAATGCGGCGGGGCCGGGGGGTATGAGAACGGTGCTTGCTGCGCGAAGTGAAGAAGTGGCTGCTTTTGTTGTTGCTCTCTCACGAAAGGGGCAATCGGTTGCGAAGGGCTCCCCGGCGAGCCCTTCCGGCTTTTTTTCTTGTAGCGTGTGGGCGCGCGTTTGAAGCACAGGCATTAAGGGGCCGACGGCTTGCTTCGCCTCGTTGCTGTTTTTGTTTGAGGGGAGAGAGTGTCGCTGTGGCTTGCCGTTGGGTCGGTGCCAGTCTCTCCCTTTTTTCTTCAGATGTGTGTGTGGCCAATGAATCTCTTTTGGGGCTGGGAGTGAGCTCCCGCCTGCTTTGGAGAGCGGCCCACTCAGCCAAGAAGGAAGTGAGTAGCCTCGGGCATGTGGTGGATGCCTTGCGTGTTTGATCAAGTGGCTGGGAGGAGTTCCCGCGCTGAAGGTGGTTACTCCCTCTCGTCTCTGGTGCGCATTGATTAAGAAGAACGCCAGGGATCAGAGGCATGGCGTGGAGTGTCGTACGCTCCTGCTACGAGTCTCAGAGCCTCACAAAGCTGCGCCCGAAGGGCGCCGCGCAAAAAATTACGGTGGGCAACTCGAGCAACCCGAGAAACTCGACCCGTGACGGGCTAAAAAAATCCTAACTCCCAATAAAAACCGAGGCCCTTGCTCTAAAACTGATTTGTGATCCTGATCATGATCTGTGACCACAAAAATTATCAACCATGGAAGATCAACAGGGTAGTACCATTATAAATATAAATATACTTTTTGCCTCTAAGACACCTCGGGGCCAGGGTTGCTCGTCCTAGAAACGTAACTTTCCTGACCCTGAACGACATTCTTCCCTATACCACCAGCGGAACAGCGGGTACGGCAAAGGACTATGCGTACAAGAATGGGGTTCTCAAAATACAAGCTACTGATGATGACGATGATACTTATGACGAGTGGTGCAAAAGTTTTGAATTTTGAATAAGTCCCACAAACAGCTTTCGATGTAGATGGGGTTGTGGTTGCGGAGGATGGTTCCAACTCTATTGCTAGTACCTCTACCTAGTGCCATTTCTCTTTCTAAGTCGTGAAAGGAGATGGCGCGCTCGTTGGAGGCAGTCGAGTAGTAGACCCGATCACGTATGCGCTGCTCCTTCGGCGGATACTCGACAAAGTTCTGCTTCCGGCAAACACGTTAAGGTTAGAGGCTTCTGAGTCACTGTGTAATATGGCTCCGTAGATAGTTAAGCTGGAGCTACAACTTGGAGCGAATGTGTGACGGGTAGACGCCAGGCCGTGGTATCAGACTGTGATCCTCGTCAGGACGAAGATCTTCATCATTTTTCTTTCACTATCACCATCACGTCTTTATCACGTCTAAGTCAAGATATACTGACTCCGAGGCAACAGCCCGTTCGCTCATGGCGGACCTATTATGGAATGGTGGTCGTATTGAATTTTGTTACTTGGACCCTGTCGCGAGGTGCGACATGCGCAAGCGTGCAGTTTCACGTTTTAAGCATTCGTCCTGACTGATTCTCTCGTCTCGTCCTTCGTCGTAAATTGCTATCAAGCACGCTTGTCCTTACACTTGATTCGCGCCACCCAACAGCCACATTGGCCACAAATACACCCAGTAGTGTCTTATCTTACTTTTTCTCGGCTCATTTTCATGCAACCGGCGTGAACTTCACCGCCAGTTTAGCGGACGACTTCGCAAGAATCGCGGCTGATCCGGCAAAGACTGCTCTGCTCGAGGACTCGCGCCTTACAGATGCCGACCTGTACGCCGTCTTTCGCCAAGAACTGAAGGGGTACACAAATGACGTCTGTGCGGTTCGTGCCGACGGCACGCAGCCCGAATTCAAAGGCATTGTGGAATCGCCCTGATAGGAAAACAGCTGTACTTTACAACTATAGTCAAATCTACTGGTGTTATTTCGATATCATGTCTAGTTCTACTTCTAGTTGTTGAAGTCGTCAACCATCACGTTTTTTCAACGTTAATTGCTTTTCAGAAGACAAGAGGCCAGCGATGGCAGCTTTCCGATCATTTATTTTTCGTAGAAACAAGTCAGGTATAATTTTCATAATATGCTTAGATCATCAATTATTTAACTTCCTAGTAAAGACATCAAAGTTAGTCTTAGTTTTTTATTCACAAGGATGAAGCACCTGAAGATGAAGATTCACGATAGACTAGGTGCTGACGTGGATCATCATCAGGCGTTTAAGTACATGATTCATGGTCGGCTCGCGTCCTGCAGTTTCACCAGGTCGGATCTCTTCGACTTTGACACTTACGTCGACCAATTTTCAAGTTTTTTTTATCCAGTAAGCCTAAAAAATGGCCATGAATCCATGTCCAACTTCAAGAATCGACCAATTTACAACTCAAATTGAATGAAAAAATGGATGCTATTTCTGCTCCACGAAATTAAAATAAGATCAAAGATTAAGTAAGTATCTTCAGCATGGTTCTATCCTCGTGAAGACCCTACTAGTACATCTTGTTTCTACAAGATCAAGAACAAACACCAGGAACGTAGTGATCGAATCGACAATTAATATTGTAGAGGCTTTCCGCATACTAATTATAGCTGATGAAGTGTACTATAATCACAGTACTAGTTGTAGTCTTCTTCATCAACATAAATGAGAAATAGAATTGTAGATGCATGAACAGGAACAAGAAGAAGGACTTGACGTCGCCCGCGTCCTCCTTTCAGAAACGAGCTCATCTTCGGGTTGTCTTAGGGTTAGCGGGGAAAGAACTTGATGCACAGGTCTATCGACAATTCTTTCTCTTTGTGCATAGGGTATCTGTAGCTCTATTTCATTAGGTTTGATGGCTGGTGCAGTGCGGCAGCGGCACCAGCAAAGTCATGATCTGCAGTGGAAAACGTACTCATTGCTATCGAGCTCAATACAAATGAGGTTTCGTCATAAATCCATGGTCTTCCTACAACTGTAAAATTGATTTTTGGAAGATATTATTATCGATTTCGATCGTGCTTACTAAATGAATGCTTTGTTTCATGCAGGTGATTTGCTCTCCTGATGTGCGTGATACGAGAGTGCATATAGTGAAGGATTTGTTGTGATGTGATGGGTGTGAGACACAGTGTTGCAGCAAAATGGAAAATCTTCATGGGTCAACTAAAAAGCCTGTGAATGAAATGAATCATCTACTTGATCTATTTCATCCGCACCATCGGGGTCTTTTGTGCCCTTTCTTATGTGGTGTAGAGTGCTTGCGTGCTGGTACTGGTAGAAGATGTCCAGAAAGCTATCACGCGTTGGCCTTCGCAGTCGGTCTCGTGTTCATTGTTGATGTGAAGGCAGAAAAAAATATGCCAGGAGAAGCAATGCTGTTGTTTCTTAACAACGACGCGAAATCTAAGATCCATGATGCTATCCAAGAACACCAACCTTTTCTGTTCTTCGTGGAAGTAAGAGGAAAACATGAATCAAGCCACGCAGCTATGTGCACGTTTCTCAAAAATGCCGTGGTGAGGCATCATCAAAAGTATCTATAAGATGAATTTCTATTTCAATGCAGGCATCTGATTTATGTGTTCACAAGCATACCACGACCGTGATGTCCATTCATTTCAGTCGCACAATCAGGTAGGCCTTCGTCAATATTTAATGATTTCAGGCGTATTTATTCAAGAGGCAATTGATGTGCAAAGTTGTGCAGGCACACGTCCTCAGTGATTCGATTTATGCTGGTGCTGCTCTTTGATGTGAACATTAAGATTGAAGCCATATTAGCCTCGAATAGCAGTATCTAAGTAAAAGAAGTCATTAGATAAAACTAGTATTGTAAGCAGACCAAAATGGCGGGCATCGACAGCGAGTATTCATTCTCTTTGACGACGTTCACACAGGGAGGTAAGCTCATCCAGATCGAGTATGCCTTGAACGCCGTGAATAACGGAGTCTCAGCTTTGGGAATCAAGGCGAAGGATGGAGTAGTCCTAGCAACCGAAAAGAGGCTGCATTCACCGCTCATGGATCCGCAAACGTTCAAGAAAATCGAGAACATAAGCTCAGGGGTAATAAATACATTCATAGATTTAGTATTTTCTCTAGTGCTTTGCCTTTCTAGTACCTTGATGTTGACCTGGGTAGTCGTGCCAAGGCCAAGAATGCGGAAGAGTCAACCGGAACCGCGTAGAATCCCATATCAAATTATGTTTTTGTATTGGTCAAATTGATTGAAAAATCCAATCAGGTTGGAGTAGTCTATGCAGGAATGGCACCCGACTACCGAGTCCTCGTACGACAAGGGAGAAAGCGAGCCGTTAATTACAAGGGTACATATATTATATAATATTGTAAATCTCTAGTAATATCGTTTTTACCTCTAGCGTGTAGCCCCTTCAAACAATATATAATATTGTAAATGTAGTTGTAGACGAGTCCCAGTTTCTTGTTGTTAGATTCAATCTTGTTCTTGATTTTCTTTCTGAACTACAGATGCCCGTCCTTCTCCTTTCCTGCAAGAATCCTCAACTCGTTTTCTCCTATCGCTACAGCAACCTACGGCGAAGACGTCCCTTGTGCGCAGGCAACAAGAGAACTCGCAAATATTATGCAAGAATTCACACAAAGCGGCGGCGTTAGGCCATTTGGCGTCTCAATGATGGTTGCAGGGTATCACTCGTTAGTTCTGTGATTGTGATCAACTGGCAAATGACATTGCTTGTGTCTTGCCTTCGCGCCTTTAGGTTTTGTTTCTCTAGAGTGAATTGGCATCACTTCTGATAATGATATGATTGACATCAATATCTTCTTCAGAACAAGAACAAGAGGCAGAAAAATATCCTTTCCTCAGGTACGACAAATCAACAAAGACACCGCAATTGTTTCAAGTAGATCCTTCGGGAACGTTTTTCGGATGGAAAGCGAGCGCAATTGGTACTCCACCCTAGTAGATGAACAAATCCCTTTTCTTTCCGTTCTACGAACTCCTGCTTGAGTACCGAGATGCATGATGATGAGCCAACATTTTTCTCATGACGGAATCTAATTACTCAAGAATTGGATAAGATGTTACTTGTAAATGTAAGTAAATCATCAATATCATGAAAATTTCCTTCGTTCGTCTTCCATCTTCCAGGCAAGAATTACCAAAGTATGAAAGCGTTTTTGGAGAAGCGATATCGAGAGGATTTGCCACTCCAGGACGCTATTCATGTCGCAATTTTGACTTTGAGGGAGAATGCAGAGGGCGCGCTCACCAACGAGAACATTGAAATTGGTATAGTTGACGAAAAGGACGGCGTTTTCCGTCTCCTTACACCTGCGGAAGTCCAGGATTACCTGGAAGAGGTACAACACATACACCATCCTCTAATTAACTCTACGTTTTAAATAATGCCTCTTTGTTTATGTCTTGTACCAAACTATTTTGTTTCGTGGGGACTCTGTTGGAGTTGGAACGATTTCGCTCGCGTCATGTTGTTGATTGAAAGCAGGCAACTATCATCTGAACAGAAAAGAGTGGCATCTTCATCTTCTCGTTAAATCCAATACAAGATTCAAAATGATCTCCACTACAGGCCGAATAGACGCTGCCGCCAGTTCGCGAATGCCACGGCTTTGGCCGCACATGTTCCATGACTTTCCCGGGTCACGCAAAACTTCATTCCCGCTAAGATAACCCCGCTTGTTCCCCAAGATCATTACAAGATTCTTTTCATCTCGTTCATAGTACAGGTTTTTTCATCCAATGACTTTTTATGCTGCTTCTCCTATCGTCCTGCTCCAAACCCTAACCCCAGGACAGGGAGGACAGTCAATTCTTGTTCTCATGAATGTCAACGAGAAGCGTCTAGCACAGCCGCGGCATACGACTACCGCACTCGCATCTTCATGATGGGCATACAATTACAACCAAAGAAATATCATGTTTGTAAAACAGCATGGTGGTCGTTCTACAGCGGCAACGAACTTGGTGTTTGCCCACAATGAATTGACCGTAGTTAGTGTGGTATCGTAGACTTCGTAGTTGAGAGTGTCGTGTAGCGAAATATATAAGATGAAAAACGAGTAGAAGGGCCATCTATGAAACTACCAAAACTTCACTTGCAGAAGTGTTCGGCGGCAAGAAGTGAATGTGATGAAATGCGTGTTCCTAGTAGCTTACTTGGATCTCTTAAGATTCAGTTTTTGTTCTTGGCATCAAAGAGAAACCTCAAGGCTTAGCAATCAATCATATATTTTCTGAGATGAAGATCTAGATCGAGAGTAGCGCAATGAGATACATGAGTTGTCTTTCTTGTTGCCGCGCAATTGGGCGCATGAGATACAGGATCCTCAACATTACGAGTGCTTTTCAGTGTCGTGAGTCTGAACAAGAGAGGAAGGTGAAGATAACTACACGAGTACTTAAGTAGGTACAAGCTGACCACCTTTTCTAATACTCTGACTCGTCACGCTCACGACGATCATGTTAATTTCCTCCAGGATCCATTCTTGTTTGAGTTTGATGAACATTTTATTACCGGTAACTGCAGTCAGAGGTTCCTGGTGCTTTGTTACAATTTTGCTTGGTAGTAGAAATGCTAGCGATAAGCTTGTAGCATTTTTCAGGACGCACCGTCTACATCATGTTGCATGTTGAACGGACGGAAACGGTAGAGGAAAGATATTAAAGTAGGTGTACTACTGCTAGCACTAGGTTTCATGTGGGTGAGAATGTTGGCATGCTTCATGACGAGAAGTGCTCGCCTGCTGCACTCTGAGTACATGCACACCAACTAAATATCACGAAAATATAATGAAGCCGTTTCCTTTTTTGTCAGCTCATACGTGTTGAGAGTCACGACAAGCACAATGTCCACACTGACCTCCGCGTAGAGTCGTTCCACGGGACCAGCCTATTTTCTGACTCGCTGACCACCTTCCCTCGGTAACGGAAGTCGCTAATTCAGAGAATAACGGTGGGAAATCTCCTGTCGATTCAAATATGTCTTCCGATGTTCCATTTTCGGCTTGCATGCAGGACCTACACGTGTACTTGGATCGATCACGATCAACGACAGAAGGAATCACGTTGAAGTGATGACGCTACAGCCCCATCAAAGACTATCGAGTTACCGCTGCACCGATTTTTGATGTGTTTTCTTTTCTGGTCTTGCGAGAAAGCAGCGCACGCCTGATGCGGATGCCACCTTGGGTGTTGCTCGACCACAAAGACGAAGGGGGCAATGATTCTTGGCTGCTGAGTACCTTCAATCTACTAGCGGGACAGGCAGCTGTGGGTATTGTACCTATTGGTTGTAAGACATAAAAGTGCAGGCATCCAGAATGGACGAAGATGATACGCAGCGCTCGCGCGCTCCCTCAGGGGCAGCGCGCACAAGTGGCCACAATAAACGCCCAGCAGCACCGGTTCCAAGCGATCTTCCGTCGCTCGGTGGAGAGATACCCCCTGTACCGACGACAACATGGGGAGACATGCCTCATGACAGCAGCGATTCAGAGGAATTGCTTTCGCCCGCGGGTCGCAACAGGAAAAAAGAAGATAGAATGGTGCGCAAAATCTACAAGAAATACACCTCGGACACGCCAACGGCGTCGGACGTGGACCAAAAGTCTTCAACCGAGTCGCAACATCGAGGGAGCCGTATCAGCAAGGACGCATCCAGTCGAAACAGTGGGATGAGCCTAGCAGGTCTCATTGTCCATCCACCAGGCGGAAGACTCAGCACTGGTGGCGTCGACGCGCTTGGCGGCAGCAAGTAATAAAACTTCATACGATTTAAATTTTGAAAGAGAGTGAGTAGAATCCAACAGGAACAAGCTAGATTAGCGGATAGTAGGCGTCAGGGAACTCTTAGGCAGATTGCCGTATAGATTCACGCCATCCAATGAGAGCGAGCACAATGCGAATGGAACGCCATTCATTATTTTAGCAACGCGCTAGACATAGGCTGTCTAGTACTGTAGGCAAATCGCCTATCTCATCTCATAAAAAGCGGACATGATCAGACAAGTAGATCTAGTAATCGCTGTGGCCTAATGATATAGTATTGATTGCACTGTGTTATTTACAACTTCCAGTAGTACATCGATGCACACTTGACAGGGCGCGAAACAGCGGCGGAATGTGTTCGGACAGTGACTCGGATCAAAGTTGGTCTTACCAGTACTTCTTCGCTCGCTCTGAAAACGACAGTTCCGCACTGAGCGAGTCTCCACCACCGAGAGAACTCCACCATGCAGCAGGTGGGAGTACAACTAATATGCAGCAGCTGAACTCGTCAAGTAGTGGCGCTACACTCTCTGGAGGTGGGACAAGTGGCATTGTGCCAGCGGCTACAGGCGCAACAGGAACTGCGGATGAACCAGAGTGGAGACGCAGAGAATTGCGGCTTGGGGGGACGCCAGCTGCTTCATCTGGTGGAGGTGGCAAAAAGTGGGGCCCCCCCGGTGGAGGTTCTTTATCATCTGTGACGAGCACGGGTCCTTCAGGGCCAATGAAAGGAGGTGGAGGAGGACAACCCTCTTCGCAGACTATGGTATGGAGCAAGAAAGGGATGAGTTATCATCAAATGGGACAATCGTCTTTATCGGGACAAGAAGCAGCAGCAGGGCCACCAGCGCAAGGATCATATCAGTCAGGGTTGACAGCAAGGGCTGCCAGTAGTATACAGTCCGAAATACGACATGACTATCCTCCTCCCGGTACCACAACTGCAATCAGCAGCGGCGGCTCGAAGGGAAGCGCTACGGCTAATGCCGCAGCTAATTCTGAAACAAAGACTCAACAACCAGAAAATCAAACTGGCGCTACGTCTAGCGGTGGCTCAAAGAATGCCTGGAGTGCTCTAGAATCAGGTTTATGGACGGACCCCGCAGTGAACCGCACTCCCGTCACTAACGATCAAAGCTCGTGGGGTTTTAGAAGCAAAGGCGGAAAAAAGCCGACAGCTGCATCATCAGAAGCATGGGGGTCTGCATCTGCGAGTGGCAAGCCGATGACAGAGCAGTATCAAGCTTACTACAACAGTAACACGGCTGCGACAGGAGGAAGCAGTTATAACAATCGAATGCACGACCAAGCGCCTTCCTCGTCTGGAGTACAACATCAAAGTGGAAGCTTAGCATCAGAGCAAGGAGCACAGGCACCTTCAACGGGATCGTATCATGGCAAAGGAGGTTACTCTACGAGCAGCTACGGATCATACGGTACCGACCATACTGCACCTTCGCAGAGCAGAGCCGACTACGGCAATCAGCAAACAACTTATAATGCGAGCTATGGTCCACGTACTGCAGGTACTGACCCGCGATCGACGTTTGCCCCCGGAAAGTACGGCAAGGGCAGCGACGAATCATGGCGGCAGAGCAAGAGCTACCTTCAACCCGGGCCATCAAGCGCCACCGCGACACCAAGTTCGGGCTCAGTGTGGCCCGGAGGAAAACAGCAGCAACCACAGTCCAGTTACAGCGATTCGAGTTATAACATGTCAACACCGAATTACAACCAAGGATCCAGCACGTATGCGCAGCAAAACGACGCTAGCAGGAGTCGAGCAAGCTCTAGGGGTAGTGCTAATGTCAACACGGGATTAGAACAACTTTCTTTCTTGAAGTCTGGGACTAGTAACAAAGGTGCAACAGGTGGTGGAAATTATACTCCCTCGGCAGGAGCAGGGTCAGGTAACAATTTCCAACCGCCCACATCAAATGCTGGGTATCCAGGTCAGTCAACAGTCACGACAGGCGCCCTGCCGTCGGGTAGCTTTCACGATAAGGTAGGCAAAGGAAAAGGCGCCACGGCTGTAGGTGTCGCCCTAACTCATCAAGCGCATCAATTCGGAAGTTCGAATATGAAAAATCATCTGAATAGTAGCCCAGACGTGTATCCCCCTCCATCCGAGGGGAAGGCGTACAACCAGCCTGCAGGTGTTGGCGGTAGTGGCTACAATTCTTCGAGAACTCCTGCAAAATCGAAGTCCTCTGTCGACGAAGACCAAAATTTGAGCTCACCCCCTAAGCTCGACGAGGAACAGAGTTACTCTGGAGTTCTAGGTGGCCGGCTTGACTGGTCCTTACTAGAACCAGTTGCTCCGCGTGATCACAGCATGCCGCCCCCCGGCACTGCTGGTAGTCCTGCCTTTGAAAGCCGGTCAATATCAAAGGGTACCACAAAAGGAACTCAGCTGACTGGCACTACACCCTCAGCGCAGCAGCGCGAGATGGAGGTACTTCCTTTTTTACACAAAAAGACTCTGACTCTGAAGTTGATAATAGAGTAAGGTAAATAACGGGTTTCGAGGTTCAGCGAGTTGCTGAAGCGAAGGGCTCCCACTCTGCTTTCGCGACTTCCTTCGCAAAAGAAGGCTGGGGAGGCGCTGCCTCCTTCCGTTTGGGATCGATAGCGGCGCGCCGCTCCCCACTCGGTGGCGTGGAGCAAGTGCCCCGCCCCCTCCTGTGGTTTGGTTGGGGCGTGTCAATCTGGCTTCGGGTTTTCGTCCCGTTGCGTTGCGGTGCGGGGGGTTTCCGTAGGGGTGGGCTCGTAGCCGGCTTACGGCCGAAGAATGCCGCTGTGACATGCATGGGGGAAAATGCGGCGGGGGCTGATGTGTGGGCGGGTAGCGGTGGGTGCGGTTTCACGTTGGTGGGCACTGGGTGGGCCGGTGCGGTACATGCCACACCCCCCAGGGATCCCGTGTTGGACCCTTTGCGGACATTCGACTACCCCTCCCTTGGCTGTCTTCCACTAGATGACGCCCCTCCTGCCGGCCCGTAGTGCTCTTTTTTTGTACTTCAACGCCTCGGGCGAAGCGAAAAAATTTGCATGGGCAACTCGAGTACCTCGAGCAACCCGAGGAACTCGACCCAATATGGGCCCAAAAAATCTAAATCTATGATAATGATATATTATACCATAGATACTCGCTTTATCGAACCAAGTAGACCACTACAGCAATCATCTCCCGATCAAGACCATGTATCGTAAGAATGAAAGATCTACAGTTGCGCATCAAAACGGGATGCTGTAATCGCATTACAGTGCTAGTGCACTTTGTTGTGCTTGTGCAACTAGCTTCTAATTTTCCATCGTGCATCAGGTCTCAAGAGGAAACAGTGGGACGGCTGATTTCTACCCTCAAGGAAACACAGCCGACATGTGGTCTTGGAACGCGGACGAGTCGTGGCGGTGGTCAGGTGATTGGAATCAACAATGGGGATCGGATTACTGGGGTGGTGAGCAATGGGCTGGCGCTCAGTCACGGCAATCAGTAGGGGGTGGTACTCAACTTGGCATAGTTATCCTCGTAAAACATCCAATTTATTAGGATGATCTTCTACGCAACAGAAAATCATACGAAGCTGAATCAATCGAATTTCTTGTGGTTGTTGCCTGTGAATCACATTTTTTCATCTTCTTACCTTCAGATCGGAACTTTGCATCCGTACCTGCCACATCGTCTACTGGTATAATGCCTCATTGTCATTGGAAACAAGGAGCTACTAGCGCACACCCTGCAGAATCGGGCAAAGGTAAAAAATCGTCGTGGCTTCCCCAGACAACTGGTCCCGTCGGAACTCAGCAGCAATATTGCCAGTCCCAGCATAATCCTACTGGCTCAGGAACTCCAGCATCCTCATCCAGAGGCGCCTTCTGGAACTCTTCAACTGCGGTGACCGGCACCGGTCCCGCCAGCGTCGATGCTAGTACATGGGGGTCCTGGGATGCTTCATCTCAGCACTACGAGACCACACCAGTGTCCTCGCATGCAGCAGGCGGACGTCCTTACGCTCATCAACCACCCCAGAATTTGCCTCTCGGGTCCCAACAAGAAATGTTTTCAGGTGGTACCACAGCAAACCTGGCTGGTACGAGCACGAACACTTCTGCGCACATGGTGAGCAACACTAGTATCATTAGTCAACAAGGTAGTCATCAACATCATCAAAGCGGTCCCGGTTCAGTGCATCCAGGTGACCACACACCGTATGCCCAAGGATCGGAGCAAAGTTCGCAAATTTTTAGGGGAGTGACAACGAGCTCGACTGCGAGTTACCTCCACCGGCGAAGGTCAAGGAGGCCAAGTGGCGAAACGGACCGAAGAATTGCAAGAAACGCACCAAAAATATCGGATGCTGGATTTTTGGAGGATCTACCGGCGGGCAGCAATACAGCATTAGCCGAGCATAAAGCAAGTCGTAATATTCGCCAGATTTTCTTCATTTGGTTTTGTTATTCATTCTTATGTCTGATGTCTGTCTTCATTGAATTTTCAAGTGCTTCTTGGTAAGTCGCCTTCTTGCGCTTTTTTACACGAAGAGAGGGTCTGCTGTTGCACTGCTTGTACGTCTCATAGATGCAGTCGAGTTGTAGTGTAACATTTTTTCGTTTTCACACCAGACGAAGTTTAATATTTCCACTTTAATAGTCGAAATCCTCGAACGATAACATTACTACCTACAACAACAACAGCCGGAGCAGACAGAAGCCTGTCTCGTGACGTCTCTGAGGATGACGACGAAGACGGCCCTGCATCACCGTTTAACAAGACAGCACCAGCCGCTTTTTTTGATCACCAAAAGCAGCAAATGCTTGCTATGAACAGCAGTGGGCAGACGAACCTAAAGAACATGAATAATATCGTTACAACGGCTGCTAGTTCAGCTGCGGTGTTTTTAGATGGCGGAAAACGGGACTCAGTATCGTCAGCAGAACAGCACGACTACTTTGCCTCTTCCGCAACATCCTCCGGCGATGGCAAGCTAGGCGCTGGTGGGCCAGTTGAAGGCGAAAGAGCCCTGCTGGATGTTCTTGTCAACAACAATCATGGGACCACTGGCGCCAACAAGACGAGTAGCACTGAACGCAAGAAGAAATGGCGGCGTGATAAGTTCTTACTCGACGAGGGTGACGTGACTTACGACTTCGATGAAGCTACGCCAACGCCACACGCGTCGCAACATCACCAGGTACATCCACCAAAATCGCTTGTTGGAGTGGCAGTGGTGCCCGGTAATGCCACTGGCACCGCTGCTGGCAATAAGCGTGAGCTTCCAGAAATCATTCTCGAGGAAAGTAATATCTCAGGATCTTCATCGTCTGGTGTAGTGAACGACCCCAATGCTGATACTACGACCATTTTGGACCCATGCCAGTCCGTGTCCGCTCCTGCCGCAGTACTGTCACTGGAAAGAACAGTCCCTGCCAGTGCGCCCGCCTCGCCAAATGAAAGGAAGAGGAAAACGGGCAAGCGGAACCAGCGGAACGATGGTGCATCTTTCCTCCAGCGCAGCCCCAGGATGGAAGAACAAAAGACTGATGGCATAATAGAAGACTTAGACACGATTGGTAAAGAGACTTTACCGCTAGGAGCAGTTCGTCCAGAAGGAGACGCGATGCCGGCAAAAGAGGATGGGCTGCTTCCCGGTGTTGATGAAAGAAGCTCTACAACGACAACATTAACAACTCAGCAGAATATAGAATTATCGGAACGACTGACTGCAACGCTGTCAGAAACCAGTACCAGAGACAAGGGACCTATTGATGAACGACAAAATGACGAACGGGAAGCGCCCGAAACTACACCCGCACAACGTGACAGCGGTGTAAGTCCGACTCGGCGTTTGAACGCTAGTGGAAGTAGAGGCTTCAGTGTGGCAACGTCTGCGGGTAATTGGAACAAGCCCTATCCTTTTGCAGAGAGACTGACACTATTTGTGTTGTGTATTCTTGCTGTTGCCTCTGGCGGGCTGGCTCTCTTATCACAGCCTGCGCGAATTCGCGGAGGAGCAAGCCTACAAACACGCCCAGGAGACGGGACACCGACACAACCTAGTATATTGAGTGATGGAATTCAAGGGACGCGAAGAACTCATGCCACGAGTCGCAGTGTTGGGGATCTAGCTTCACCACGGGCCGCGGGAAGTACTTCTACAAGAGGGAGTAGTGTGTCGACCAGGGGGAAGCAGGTTCAACTTCAAGGAAGAACGTCATCTCCACAGCTGCGCGATAAATCATCACCTGCTACAGCGGCGGCGCCAGAGATAGAAAATGGGCACTCGAACTCTAGACCAAGCTCTGCTGATGAAGATGCCGATGCGAGCTACCAGCATGCTGCCCAGTTACTCGAAAGAAACGCGTTTCAGGCTGCAGAAGAATTTTTGCTGAGTCTCAGGCAGGAATCAATGGTCTCGAAAGCCCAGAGGAGCAGGGGCATAGTAGCAGGCGGCCCAGAGGCGTGGCCACACAGAGAGATCGCGCTTGGGTTTGCTCTTGCAGCCCAGGGTAAACAGCTTGATGAGGCCAGACTCTTGCTGCACACGAGGGCACCACGCTCAACAGGTTCGAAGAAGGAGTTGCCGAGAGCAGGCAGCGGAAAATTGAGTGAAAGTTTATGTGGTGTCCAGCACTCAACAGTCGGATATCTTTTGTTTCTTGTCGATGGAGACGTGCGCGGCGCATTGGAAGAGTTTCTGACGTCGGCGAAGTGCCAGCCGCTGAATCCGTACCCGTGGAGCAATGCTGGGGTTGCGGCATTGTACTTGAATCAGCCTGTGGCTGCCGTAGAGTCGCTCACAAGAGCAGTCGCGCTCGCTAAAGCACGGCCTAATTTGTTTTCTGTGAGCTTCTTTGCTCACAATCTTATGGTCGCAGAAGGCAGAATTCCAGCTGCAGAGCCACAGCTCGGACTCTATTTCTTGAACGATGACCATGCAGCGATGCAAGCTGGATAATGGCGATGAGCATGAGGTTAGACACGAGAGCAGTATACTCGCAACGCAACATCAGAAAGGGTCATTCGCATCGAGCTTCAGCAGTTGTGCTACCAGGCAATGAGCAGGCGCAGGCGAGTCTTACTTTTTCTCGACGGATTCAGTAGACTAGTTTTCGATCATGTCGCGTCGATTCTTCAGCCGTATTGAAATCTCTCTACCAGCAGGCAGCTCTAGTTTTAGTACTACCATCCAGTCCAATACGCATATTTACGTAACCAGATGAAAACTCGTTTTGTGATGTTAGTGTACGTGTACGTGAAGCAAACAAGTACGTAGTAGTAAGTAGTACATCTGAATAACCATACCAACATCGCGACTATAAAGAGAATTGTCGACAGCAAGCGTCATGGTATTACGCTGCTGGAGCTGGCGCTAAACGCATAGTGTCGTGGCTTTACCAGCATAATATTGCAGGGTAGTAGTTTATAGCACGCATGGTGCATGGAGTAGCATGGAGTGCATGGAGCGCAGAGCTTTAAGGGGCGCAAGAAGCTCCCCCTTTAGCTCCATGCTACTCCATGTGATCCATGCACTCCATGCCATGCGAGCCGTGAAACCTTATAAATTGCTCTGATATTGATACTGCTAATTATATATAATACTTTTGCATGCATTTGCATATTTGCTTACAAACGCATCAAGATCAAACAATAATGAGGAGTACCTCCTGTCTAAAATGTCAACACATGGACTCTGCCGCAGCACCCGTTGGCAAACCTTCTTCTCATGCTCAAAGTGTAATGACTACACTAACATTTCCGCGCAAAGTAGACTCCATCAGCATCAGTGCTCATTATTCATGTCGGGCTTGAGATGTAGTCATTATGTCTTGCTTTACAGCAACGGGGTTCTACAGTAGGGCCACATCATCATTACGTGAGGTTCTCTCACGATTGGATGTGTTCCAACTTCCGTCCAGTCGGACCGATCTGCGCGGTTCATTTTGTCTGTAAATGTTGCCGGCGTCTCTGTTGTAACAAGATGTAACTCTATTATCTTCTTGTATGTTTTTCAAAAGAAAAATTGGTGTGATTTCTTCATCTGCCACGAAGCGAGAAGACGTCGAAGGGGTAGAGCTGGTGCACAAGCACAAGCCGTCCGCTTTTTTTCGGTTACGCTTTTGTTTGTGACCAGTAGCGGGACCGTTTCTCTGTTTTCGCAGAGATCTGGGCTAGAAGGTAGTGTTGTCCCTTTTGTTGTGCGTGTCATTTAAGCGTTCTAGTTCTACTCTAACAATCTACTTACTTCCTTTCTGCGCCCACCCTAGCTGGTGCGCGAATCGTCTCTTAGTTTCGATCATGTTGAAACCGATGGCGCAAATTGTGTAAGTAGCGTGTAGTACAGGAGGTTAGTGCACTCCTACCATCGCCGGGCAGCTTCCTGGAAAAAGTGAGGGTCATACTATATTCTTAGTACAATACCGCCCGCCATAACCCCCCGGCGAAAATATTGCAGTTGTAATCTGACGTCGTGGTAGTGGTTTCTAAGAGAAGCAGCTCTTTGCGTTACCTACCAGCCTGTTGGTATCTTCACTACTCTTTCTCGATCTTTACCTTGAGTAGACATGTTAGTGGCTCTTTGGCGGGATAATTCTTATTATCATCATCTTCTTATTCTTTCGGTCTCGTGTCTCAGGTAACTTTGAGGGCGACATTCTCTGCGTCTAGATTTCAGAGGGAGCGGCCTCCAAAAATTCTGCGACGGTGAGCGTGGTTTTGATCTTATGGCGTGACCAGTGCCTGTGTGTCCCTGTTCTCCGGATTTGGCGATGGTGTATCATGTCGTCATGATTTAAGATGGAGAGATAGTTTGAGGTTAGTACTTCTTCGATTCTTGTCGTGGCCGCCTCTTCCTATTCCTACTTAACAGTGTCGTCCGAAGCATTCGTACTAGTGAATACTTATTTTGTTGCCCTGCTCTGTAGACGTGCTTGTTCATCATTATCGTACATTTTTTGCATTATACCCAACAAGTAACCCTATTGCGAGTACACGAAGATGACGGGTCGTGCTCTCGCTCGTTTGGCCGCCTCTGGCGAAACTAAGAAGTACCAACCTGCAGTCGACGACGATGCCATTCTTGACGCTGGTCAAGATTTCGACTCTGATTCGGACGACGAGAGCCCTTCGTCTGCGGACGTCGTGCTTCCACATCTCACGCTGGGGGATATTCTGTGCAAGAAGATCTTTTCTTGGGGACGCCTTTTCTGCGTAAGGCTGCTAGTAATTCAGTTCATCCCGTGCAGTGAATGTCTAATTTGACCTTTCATACTTATATTCATCTTGGAAAGCATCCTTGACGTCTGTCCCCCTTAAAAAAGGGGCCAAAGATGCCTCCCAAAATGAATTACTGTAAGCCTTAATCTAAACAATATGAACAAGTAATTGCCTGAGATATCCTTGATCTTGAAGGATCCGCTGAAAGAGGGTACGGGACCATGACAGGTAGGCATCGCTCTAATGTGCGTACTGGGGATCGCGGCAGGTCTCTGTCTGGTAGCACCACGACCCGTCGAGCCCTCCAATCACAATTACATTGCGTATAACGACAACGTGCCGCAAGCGGGAGACGCATACGCTAAAAAAGTAAATAATGATATGGGCATAATAATAACTATACTAAGTATAATGATTTGGATTTGGTCTATACAAACCTTTGAATTCCCTTTCATGCTCTATTCTGTGTTCTTGCAACTTAGATATTTCTTTTGTAGCAATACATACGGAAGGCTAGTACAGACGAATCTACATGCACCGAATTTTTTACTTGAAAACTCACGGCAGATGATTGCAGCCTCAGTTAAGGAGGCGTCAGCGTCATCTCTCAACATCATCTCCATCAATCGACAAGGTGTGTGCTCGTTTGACTGGTCTGTCGGACAGCGAGCTCGAAGGGCTACGACAGAGATACGCTGCATTCCATAAAAATGTCGACCCAAATACCGTTCGTGGCAAAACACTCGAGGAATTGAAAGCTGAGTGTGTGGCCGTCATTAACGCTCATCACTCACTAACCGCAACCGAACAAAAGGAGAATGCTGACGCAATGGTCGCGCAAGTGGTACTTCTACTTAAGACGTACTTACTCGAAAAGGCACTCTTACTCTTTTGTTGCTGGTGCGCTTTTGGGACATGTATTTTACCATCCTACTCAATAAACAGATGAAAATCTTCGAACTACCTATGTATACTATATATCCACATGATATTAGCGCGCTATCTACGGGCCGACTGACAATTCGTTCGTGTGGGTCTTTGGTCTGATCGCGCTATTGATCGTTCTATCCGTTGAAGGCAAGCCCTCCGAAGCTCTTTTGATTTTTTTAAGTCTAGCGTTTCGTGAGCTTGGGATAATCAAAACCAACGACGTTTTTTCTGGTCTCGGGAAGCAGGCGCCGATACTGTTCGGGAGTCTCTTCGTCATCTCCGCTGCGTTCAACGAGACCCGTGTGCTAGAACGGTATTCACAGGCCTCGTATGTTTATGAAACGAAGATCTGGTGCAGGTACACGTGCAGATCCACCTAGTATAACCGCAAAAGTAGTCAATCACGATCTTCAACGTCCAACATCAATTTGGTGTTTGTTGTAGTCTCTGATTGACGAAGAACCGAAAAAACTTTTCAAATGCTTAATCATAATCAATACCAGGTTGCTGTCTCCTATTGTCGGTGCACCGACGACCTACTGGGGTTTGATTTTTCGCTTGATGCTTCCAGTGATGGTTCTATCGGGTGTATGCGCCAATGGCCCGGTGTGCTCAATGGCTATGCCGCTCTGTGTTGTCGCCTGCGAGCAAGTAGGGTTTAATCCCAAAAACTTCTTTCTTCCACTCGCCTATGCGACCTCCCTGGGAGGCCTTTTGACGCTGATCGGATCGCCCCCAAATTTGACTGTGATGTCTTTCCTGAACTCCGACGAAGGCGGAATCAATTCCGAAAAGTGTTGCAAGACAATGTTATGACAATGACTATCTTGATACAACAACAACTTCTTAATATGTATCTCTTTGCTTTTCTCGGCCTTGCTTATCTTTGGACTAGTTCCCAAACGAGAGCTTCGTGTGAGTGCAGCGTCCGTGGTTCTCTCCTCCCTTCCTCAACATGCCCCTCAAGTACGAAGATCAATTACATTCATCAAGGACTACTCTGAAGCACGACTTTCAATGCATGCATTTCTTGTGCAGCTGCAGTTGCAGAAGTCGAGGCTTTTAAAGTCTGATCCTCTCACTTTCCCCTTTCCTCATGCCCATCATGCCTCGTCAGTTTTTCCATTCTAATTTGAATGAAGATCAAGGGCATCCCCTTGAGCAGATATACCGAACGGGAATTCGGTAAGGATAGTGATTTTGGGAAGGCCTACTGTACCTTTTCGATCTTCGACCCTGGTTTCCTCATCACTGGTGCTGCCAACTGCATCGTTGGTGCGCTTTTCCTCTGGATATCAATGTACATGCTGAGTGGAAAGTTTCCGAGCAAACAACAAATTGCGGAACAGGCAGCCAAGGAGGCTGCGGTAAAGGACGACTCTGAAGTTACGCGAAAGTTTAGTTGTACTTACTTCTCATCAAATATCCACCATCGTTGGTTTGTTCTTCACATTCTACTTCTACTACTACTAGTATGGAAAGAAATATTTCTTGTTCCATTTCGTTTTCGTTATATCAGCTTCAGCACTTGCACTTCCAGACAAGAAAGCGTCGTAATTTTAAATTTAGTGCTGTAAGCTAATGCCTCATACGTACCAATTGAAATTATTGTTCTTACGACAAGAAGTACAACTTCAATCATTTTCTTTTTCATTTTTGGGAACACGGAAAAGGACCCGCTCGTGGTCCAGGCGGCGATCGATGCCGTAGACGGAGCGGCGAGTAAGAAGCCGACGATGACGCCTGGCTATCTCTGTGATTTCGTGGTGCGCGACTTCTGCCACGTTTTGTTGGGAAAACAGTTCGCGTCGACTCCTTTGGGTACAACTGCAGGTGTCACCCTGATAGCCACGTGGAAGTCACGCAAAGAGTATCGCGCAGCAAAGTCGGCCGAGGCTGGTAGTTTGGACGGGGCAGCGCTGACACTGAAAAGCAGCGAAACTGCTGGAGCGATGGGCGCAGGAACAGACACTGTTGTAGGGATTCCCTGCAGCCCCGACGTCGCAGAGGGAGAGGAAGACACTTTTCAGGCAGGTAAGACCCAAAATTGCAAAAGTCAAGATGGAGCCATCGTTAACATGCTACTTTGATTTAGTTTTCGCTCGTTGATATTCATAATTTCATATATCATTGAAGCGTTGAACCCGAAATCGAGGAGGTCAATCACAAACACCTGATCGTAATAATTCAAGCTTGATAGCCTTGATCTTGATGATTTTGATTTCCCATTCCTTTCAGGATCAATCGTTCGCGTCTCGTTTAAGTCAGCAGATAACATTGCGAAAGTGCGGCGGTCGTGTGAAGGTCTCGAGCCTGCGTCCAAATTCGCCACAGCAATGGGCCGCAAGCGTTATAAGCGCTTGCTTTTCGAGCTTTGCTACGACGCAGAGGCAGTCAAGGAAGACTACAGAGGCAGCGTGAAATTTGTCACGGACGAAGCCTTGTTTTCCGATCTCCAATGTGTAAAAGTTGGCTACAATGAAGCGAAGAACGTTGTCCTGGTAGAGGGCTTTATGGGAAAAATGGAAAAAGCCGCTGCAACGCAAAAATCCATTATTATGGTGAAGCAGCTTGCAGGGACGAAGCCACCGAGATCGGTATTTCTTCAACCTAAAGGACAAAAAATAAATGTGGAAGTCGAAGTGCATGTTTGACCTTATCAAAAACTGGCTGATGCACCTAAGTACTTAGCCGACATGATCCACCCGAAGAAACTCGAGGCAGTGATTTCCTGCTTCAACTTTTGTAAATCCACTATCTGTGTATTTTAGCCTTAATGTTACTGTTAGCAACACGCATACCAGGTCACTCGACTCGATCAATTTCGCGGCTATTTCGTTTTTATTCTCTTTATCTTGGCCGTTGTCGGGGCAGCAATTTCGGATGTGACATTAAGGGTTTCTATATTGCATTCCTAACGAACGCACCTGCCTTTTTTCTAGTGGAAGACAGGTCAGGGATGTTCTGAGGAATGCAATAGCGACGCCGCTAATCACAGTCGGAGAGGAAAACGCAAAATGGAAGCCGTTTGAGCGATTTAAAGACATCCACACTTACTTCAGCATCATCGCCATCGTGATTGTTGTCACGCACATTCTAACATGGAAAAATGCAGTCGGAACAATGAGCCCCGCAGTCTTGTTCTTATGAAACTCTCACACCTTCTCCTCCTCCTCCTCCTCCTGAAGAATGATACTTGAGATCAAGCTGAAAGCGCTTCATGATCTCCTTGGCACTAAAAACAAAAAGTAAACTATGGATACGCACTACGGCTACGGGCGTCGCGCTGCGCGCGCCGCTGGGTGCTATTTCTGCAGGGAGAGAGGGACGGAAGGGAAGGTGACCGGACAAGAAGGAAAGGGCAAGGAAGGGGAGGAGAGAGAAGGAGGGGAGGGGAAAGGGGAGGGAGGGGAGGAGAAGAAGGGAGGAGGGGGTGGTGCCGGCGGGAGAGGAGAGGGAATTACCGCTCGAAAAATGTCAGAGCGAAAGGAGAGGACAGACAGGGCAGAGAGTTGAAGCGAAGAGTCGCGCTCAAAGTCACTCGCGCACGCGCCTCTGGTTCGGTGAGGGAGCGGCGCGCGACCTCTAGGCGCCCTTCAGGCGAGAGACCCGGAGTGCCCTCAATGCGAGACACCAAGCGGCGGCGTGTCACTTCCTTGACGCGGCGGCCCAGCTCCTCCCTGCGCCTTTTGCGCGCGGGCCCCCTCGCCTGCAGAAACGCTGCCCGCGCCACAGCGGAACCCTCTGCGGAACGAGCTGCAGAACCGCCTACAGAACGCGCCTCGGAACAGCCAGGAGCACCCTGGAGCAGCGCAGGAGGCCCGCCACACCGAGACACGCAAGAAGCAGCCGCGGAACAGCTCCGGAAGAACACCTCCAGAGCGTCTTGCGCTGAGCCTTGCCTGCGCACGCGCGAGCCCTTCAGGAACTCCATGTGGAAAAGCTGCCGGACAGCAGCGGAACAGCTAGGAGGCGCACAGGGGGCTGCAGGAGGCACCCCCTTGACGCGGCCCCGCCGCCTCAACCAGAAAGTGCGCCGGAACTAATTACTTAATTATATATACATGAGCAGGGACGACTATGACAACCACCAGCGCATAGACTCAAGGACGGGAGACAAATTTAGCATATATTGATAGATGAGCGTTGGTTCCTGATGAATGATTTCGGAAGTTGGCCTTGGTGAGCTAGCACCCATAAGCAAGGCCAACTTCTACGCCGTTCTGATCTCATTGCGAGCACCTACCTCTCTCCTCTTCTCCGGTAGGACCTTATGTGGCTGAAGTCAGGAACTCTTACTACGAGCGCTCTAATTATAATAAATTAACTAAACCTGGCATAAGTCACTTAGTTATGAAGCTACTCTTAGAAATTAGTTGACACTTTTACCTTCTTAGACTATACGCCAACGTCATACCGTTACACCTCCAATCAAAATATAGGACAACTCCACACACACACACTATGAAATGTCGTCCAGACGCATGCTGCAGCCTTGTCTTGTATTCGGCCCTGTTTCGTCTCATGTGGAACTTTTTTGACTATCTAAGGTTTACCCGCTTATAGTGAATAGAGTAGTCCGCTTTTCGAGTTGCGGGTTGCTCGAGTTCTCTCGAGTTGCCACGAGTTGCCGAAACGCACAGGCCCAATCCGGAACTAGTTACTAACGAGTTCCTCTGGGCAGCTTGCCACTTTGAAAACGCGGCACACCGCGGCGGTATGGCGGGCCAAGATGCCGCGGAGTTCAGAAGAAAGGCGCGGCTTGTTGTCTCTTGGGCTTGGCAGGTCTGCCGTCTGTATTGAAGAGACACGCTCCGGCTGAGCTCTTCGATGCTTGAGCTTCGCGAAAGTAACAAGGCGGAGCTCGGGGCCTTTTTTGTTTGAGGGGCGCGGGCCCGTGCCTTGCGAAGTGCAGCGCCCTCTTCGTTGTGTCGGTGTCTCTGGATAGTCGTGCGCTGATGTCGGTCGCGATCTGGCTCCGTTGGTTTACTTTTTTGCTGATGAGTGGCCAGCTTGTTCGACTCCTTGGGGCCCGAGATTCGGGAGTATATGAGGGCGCCCGGCTTGTTTTTTGAACGAGGCCCCCTGCAGCAGCCAGCCTCACGCCCTGGCGCCCATTTGTTTGCGCTGTAGTGGACTCACTGGGCAGCGCGCCGCCTAGTGAGTAGCTAGCATCACAGGCAAGGCCCTCTTGAGTGGATGCATCTGAATGGAGTGGCTCTACTTGTGTGCTTGTTTTATAGGGCAGCAGCAGCTTTACTAGGTACGCGCGCCAACTTAGTAACACAAAACTACGAGAGCAGGGGCCCCGGGTGGCGCTGCTCCTGTCTGCCCCGCGCATGCAGCGCCTCGCAGAGTGAGAAGGGACGCGAATGGAGGCGCTCGCTTTTGGAGGTGGTTCGCGCTCCTGGGTAACGTATTTGACGCATCGAAGACAGTGCGCCCGAAGGGCGCAGCGCCACCTTTTTTGTATGGAACTCGTTCAACTCGAGCAACTCGGCCCGATATCGGGCGAAGAAAGTCTAATGCTAATATCTATATATATATACATATCCTGATAAGTGTAAACTTGTATAAATTGTGCTGGCCTCCTTGATCGATGTTAGGTGAATTATACTTCTGGCACACACAGAAGATGACGGACCTACTAGCACTACACCTGGGTTCCCGATCACCAGCATCTACACAACAAATGAACCTTTATATCCGAAGCCTCCAACATCGAAAGAGCAACATGTTGGTGAACGATGTTGATGAGGAGTAGGAGTACTTACCTGCTAGAACCAAGAACGACCATGCAGATGCAGCTAGTACTTACTTATTTTCTAATCCTCACTTTCGCCTTCGCAGAAGGCACAGCGGTGGCCTTGCAAAAGAGTGGCGCAGTGAAGCTCATAGCAGACGGTGTGGAGAGCGTCGGGGAAAGTTGGCTTGTCGTCATGATTCTCTTCTTCGTCGCGTTGTCGGTCATCACACAATTCATCAACAATAACACAACGGCGACGCTCTTCCAAGCGGCGGCCTTTCGTGTGGCCATGGTATCACTTCTTGAGCGAAACATCTTGCAGCACCTTTGTTAATATCCCTTTATCTTCTTGTCCTCGTTGTCGCATAGATATAAACTCAATGTGGGCATGGGCACATAGTACATGTACAGCATCGAGGATAAAAGTACTAGAACTAGAACAAGAAGTAAGACTCAATCTAACAGGAGAAACCAAAACTGAATTGAGACCACTCAATCTCAAAACCAAAAGCAAAAGAATTGTTGACGAATAAAATGAAAATCAGAGTATGGGCATTCCGCCGAAGCCGATGCTCGCTCTAGTGGTTTTTGGTGCTTCCGCTTGTTTCTGCACTCCGTTTGGCACGTCTTGTAACATGTATGTGCAGGCTCCTGGCGGTTACACCTTCGCCGACTACTGCAAGAACGGATGGATGTTAAGGCCTCCCGTAATCTGATCCATCTTCAAACGAGCCATCCTTTCTACGAGAGAGGGTTTTCATCAAGGGGAAAAAGCACCCTCCAGGATGTACTATCCTAAGATGGATGAAGATTAGGGCGAGCTCTAAGGATGCTGCAGATATCCTCGCTGATTGCATCCGTTGGTTGCTGTTGGGTCTGGGCAGAAATGCTCCGCCAGCCAGACACCACATTTCATCAGCAGCCACAAAATCAAAGGACGTGAACTTCATAAGACAATAGAAAGATTGGGATATCATTCGGAGACAATTATTAGAACTAGGAGAAGTTTTACCTGTCATCGACGCGACAAATAAAGATGCTAGTCACATGATGATGATTCCAACCTGAAGAAACATGGTGCGAGCGGTAAGGCGTTTCAGTATATCTTTAGGTAGGAGCGCCTGGTGATTATCTATATCATACAACAATTCATGATGTTGTAATTCCAATTCGGTGCACGTTTTTTAGAGAATAAAAACACCAAAAAGCGAAAAGGGCCAGTTAGTCGGGTAGTAACTACTGATTCGCTTTACCCTCCAGCATCGAAAGGCTGATATACTAAGAGTAAGAGACATGTTGATCAACACGGGCACAAAGGAACATTCGTATTTTCACCTGCCCTTACAGTATCGACAACATGAAAGCTTACTTAATGATGAATACTTCGTGCTTGATCTCTCGTCAGACTAACTTGGTCTCATTCCTGTCCCTGATGCTTCATACTCCTCGAAGTAATTGGTTTGTCCTTGCGTGTATAGTTTGGAATTTTACCTTTTTTCAGTAGTATGTAGCATAAGCATGGCCACACCCTCCGTCAATATGAAGATTTACATCACTTCAATATAGTGCAGTTGCGTCACAAGCAATCCATCGTCATGCTAGTAATCACGATGCACACGAACGGGAACGCGCAGATAAAGATAACGAAAGCGGAGTTGCCCATGCCGGTTCAAAATTTAGTGATTAAAAGCAGTGCTCTCGTCTACCTCATACACCATCGAAAGATTCAACCATGCAACACCATTCTACAGCATGTGTATTCATAGGTTAGTCTCATGTTGACCTGGAATGCAGCATGGCTTCATGTTCATTCCCCTAGGTAGAGCGCGAAGACCTTAGTTCTTGTATTTTCAAAATCTACTGTCGTGATAGATTGCTTATTGTCGCTTTATCGGGTTTATGCATTGTAGTCTCACTTTTCTAGGCTTCAACCTCAACTCTCCTCAAAGTTGGCCACCTTGCTTCCTCATAGATTTAGGTTGGGTTTTAGGTATCACCACCCCATTCGCATTCCTAGAATTTTTCCTGCAGTTCTCTTTCTCATCGTTTCTCCGACGCCCATCCGTATCCTTGATTCACTAATTGATTATATATAATATAATTTTTCTCGCATGCAGTCGCATCTCCGATTTTGCAACCCATCACCTTGCTCGAGAACTACTTCAACACGAGCATGACACACATGATGAAAATAATAGTGACGACGTGACTCAATAAGCCATGCGACTGTGATGTCCCCAGGGAACTCGCCTGGAACTACGTCCGGAGTGGGCGGTTCTAGTTACACCAGATACGATCGGATTCGCAAACAAACTGATAATTGGGTTGTCATATCACGTTTCGTATGCAAGGTATTGCCCCTTTTCTGCATTGATTCTTTCAGAACCATAGGAGAGCGAAATTTCTGTAATTACTCGAAAAGATATACGCTGTAGTACAACTGGTAATCAACATACAGGGAGACCCAAACTGAATGAATGAATGAATCAACAACACATAATATTCATCAACATTAGCATTGACCTGCTTGCTTTTGCTTTTTCAAGCAATAAGAAGATACTATTGGTATTGATCTATGATGGTGATCGATCATTTGACGCAAAAAGATCTTATCTTCCTACAGGTTACTTAGGTCAAAAAATCAATCGATCTTTTGGTTTTGGGAAAAGAAAACTACGAGACAGATCCACCGAAATCCCACTTCGGCTAAAAGCTCCTCTACTCCCAAAAAGCAAATATGAGAGCAGCAGTATTAGGCCTCGTGGTAAGTAGTATAAGTAAGACTATCGAAAGAAAGACAAAGAGAGAACACTAAAACTAAGAACGCACCATACATGGGCGAAAGTATTGTCGAGTCAAGAGTCACATTGCGATTGGGTTAATCACCTTGCCTTCTAGAAGAAACAGGCGGATGTGTATGCAATTCACATGAGCATGGGGATAAAATGAATCTAATTTCTGGTTTTTACAGCGCTGTTCGCCCAGTTCCTTGCTAAATGCACAGAAGATTATGGTGTCTGAAAGATGAAGAAGAAGATAGAGCCGTCATCATTAGTTTAAATTTGCGTCCTAAGTTCCAGTAGCAACAAGAGCTAAGCAAGTAAAAGTATGATTTTTTTTGGATTCCATTTCGATTGCGAATATTTCATCCTTATATGAACAATTACCATAACATCGTAAAGACTTCATCTTTCTTGTCTATCTTGTGTTATGAGTGTCCATGTAGTACTTAGTTATCCTTACTCTTATTGTTCAAAAGGAAGCTATAGAAGTTTCTAGACAAGATGCAGTGTTCCACCTGCGGTTTCGACGAGCTGTCGCAGGATGTCCTGTCTGGACTGTGGAGTTGCCAGCAGTGTGGTATGCAGCAGGGCGGCATCGGAGACAGTTTCGGGGACATCGATATCGGTACGGAAGAGCTGGGTCGGGGACAGAAAACGCTGAAAGCGACGGTACGCAAAAATGCCGCGGAACTTCGGGAAGCACGGCTGACGCAAGACGAGCGCGCCTACCGAGATCTCGTGGCCGAGGTGGCGCAAGAACAGGCGGACTTACGCTCGGGAGGTGAACAGGGTCGAATCGAAGAACAAATCGCACAAAAATGGGACACTTCGGTCCTCAAACTCTTTCAAGCTATCCTCGACGTCCAGCTGCAGAGCCTTAAAACTGTGGCGACCACGAGCGGAAAACGAGGACTGCTGAGGAGAGAGGAAAATGATGCGGCAGAAGACCCGGAAGAAGAAGATATCAGGAACGAAAGGGAAAATGGCAACACGACACGTCGTGGTCACAGTCACACAGACACTGCAGTGCACCGTGACGTTCGGCGACTCTACACCGCGCAGGTGCACGAGACAGCAAAAGGACTATGGCAAGTCTTCGCGCAGGAGTGTTGTTGCGTACCTGTGGCAGCAAAGTCCACCCAAACCGGTATTTCGCTCGACAAGGACTCCTATGTCAGAGAGGTGTCGCGAGCTCGGCCAGACGCGAAGTGTCTGCACGACGAAGACTTTCAAGACACGTTTCTAAGGGGCGAACACGCTGGTCAGAGGCCACAATTAGAGGATGCAGTTGGAAGCGGAAGTTCAGGAACAGGTGTCATACCAGGCGATTTTGAGCGAGCCACGAGAGCCAGAGATGTCTCGAGTGCACTGTTTGAGCTTGTTTTGAATGCCGAGAACGCAGTGCGCAAGCAGGAACACGAGAAAAAGCAAAACACGAAGGCCGCAGAGCAGCCCAAGATCAAATCACGGAGACTCAATAGTCTGCCTCGAACGCGCGGAACGAGCCAGCCTCGAGGGGGAAGCCAGGTAGCTGCAAACGCCGAGGACGAGTTGGAGCTACACGAAGCGTTATACGCGCCTCGCTCAAATGATGAGCTACTTGTGGATTCTGATTTCATTCCAGGGGAACTAGGATTCGGCTTTCACAGGGAGAAGACCGAGTGGCAACATAGACGACGCTTGCAATTACAAAACACGGCCAAGCGACAAGCAACACAAGTGCTTGGCCAGCATGTTCCATCTGCAACATTGGGCTTTGGCGGTGCAAGTGCAGAAAGTAGTGGCCAGTCGTCGTCCGCACATCAACTACTTAAGCTAGACAGTTACAACGACAGCCGCGTGGCGGGTGACGCGAGCGCCCTTGATGACGCTCCTCGGACAAAGCGCCAACACGCTAGCGCAACGACACGAAGTCGGCGTGCCCAGGTTGGAGCGACTTCCAATCCCCTGCTTCCTGCGTCGGCGAGCAACTGGCAGCCTCATGGGACATACACTGAGGGTGGCGCAATTAGTAGTGGTAGTCGAGCTATGGCAAGCTCGAAAAATAAAATGAAGGGCGCGGTACTAAATCAGTCCTTGCAGGCTCACGGAGCTTTTTCAGCGTTCCGTATGGAGGCCATGGACGAGGCGAAGGCCTTCGGGCTTCCTGCCATAAGAGGCTGCGTAGCAAGGCCACCTAAAGCAAGAGGTGGCAAAGGGAAAAATCAGCAAGATCAAGGAGAGCAGGGAACAAGCGGAACAAAAAGTGCTAGAAGCGCAGACGCCATCGCGCTGGACATGGAAAAGGCCCGCGCGCAGTTGGTGCGACGGATAGGGAAACTCCACTGGTTTTGGATTCTAGATTTCGCACTGTTGTATGTTGCGCACACTCTTTCTGGATCTCCCCTGGTTCTTGCGGACTTGTACGAGTGGGTACGAAGCGGCATTCTGCCCTACAGCAATCTGCTCGACAAACTGCCGGAGGAGCTAACCCGACCAGAGTCCTTCGGACAGCCCGTAGCAAACAAGTGGACTCGAGTTCGCGAAGTCGTGCGTCCGCAGATGCCGGGCAAACTCACGATGATGCGTGCTGGTTACCGCCTTCCTTCGTATCTGCGGTCCTGCGGGAAAAAGAAGCTCGCATTCCAAACGAAAACGCTTCAGTACGGCTACAAATTTCTCGAACCCTTGGACTTACCGCCACTGCCTTTAGTCGAGAACTTCGCCTTACGGTTTGTCTCGCTTTTGCGTCATCGCGGCGTCCCGCTCCCAAACACGATGCGCGAAGTGACGCATTACCCAGTGTTGCCCTTGATGCGACGTCTAACATCAACTCTTAGGATAGCTGTTCTCGACAGAGTCGAAAATCCGTCAGTACAGGGGTCGAAGGAGGCTTCCTTGCCAGGTCAACCTGTGGTCGATTCATCCGCGGCCACGAAGTCCTCGTCAGACGCGCAACTTCTGACTGAAAACCGATCACGGCCTTCTTCAACTGACGTTTTGATGCTTGCGCGTCGCTTTTACGAGATGTGGGCGAACGAAGACAAGTACTGGCTTTCGCCAGACGATGGCACAATAGCTAATGCTAACCGTCAACCGACCGACGATCCTTCTAGTCGAACGAAAAAGAGCTCACGACCACCTGCGGCAGAAGGGCATCCACATCAAAATCAACTTGAAGCCAGCGATAGAGATAGTACCACGAAGACCACTGGCCAACCAGAAGCCGTGGCAGATGGAATTACGAAGATACAAGAGGACAATTCTGTAGTAGGTCGTGTTGGCGAAGATGTTCCGGAAAAACTTGTGGTTGTTCGAGACCCGACCACTGGCATCGAGCAGGTTCGCAAGCATGACTGGCCTGGCGAAACCGGCGTGGTCTCTTCGCCGCGACAGTACTTTCACGTCGACGCAAGCACACTACGTGCATCACCTTATTCCAAGAACGGTATTGCTGCTCCTCACTTCAGTGCAGCTTTTCTTCTTCTTGCGGTGCGCATTATAGTGGACTTTAGCGATCCGAAGCATTCTGATTCTTCTCCAGGTAGGACAGCTGCTGCATCTTCGAGTAGTACACCACATGATCTTCATCAAAAAACCACGAGTTGTTGGGATGACATGGACGCTCGATGTCGATTTTTGCGGCTCCATATCGAAGATGATCACGCGCTGCACACTGCACGCCGATACACCGTGTTGCCAAATCAGCCGACGGGCAACGGCGGTTTGGGACAAGTTTGGCGTGCAGGTCTGTCCTGGAACCAGTTGCTTTTTCGTTACAGTTCCGACACCGTCCGTTCTGCGCATCAACGTGGGCTCGAGACCTCTCCCATACCCGACGTAGTTGAGCGCCTGCTAAATGGACGCATGACTCATGCTTCGCTTTTGCAAGCGATTGAGAGGGAACGAACTCAAAGTGCGAGTTTCAGCAAGGATCCGCGCAAGCCTGCCGGTTCCCATGATTATGTTGCAGAAGAGAGTCAGGACGCGGACGGCAAGACCATAATAGATGCGATTGTAGAGTACATGTGTAAGGAATACTCTCTCGTAGATGCGGACTTCAACACTGCTGACCGTGCTTTGGGCTGGCGCGCCCCTCTCCGGGAACTCGTAAAGATCATGCTGGAAAGTCAACGTAAATCAGATCATTCCAACGTCGAAACAGCAGGAGCATCAAAGCCCGAAGCTGGAGGAGCAGGCGGCTCTCGCCTGCGGGGGAAGCATGCAGCGGGTTCTTCGTCGTCTACTTCGAAGCAAGAAAGTATTAACGTCGTAGAAACCTCATCTAGAACTGGTTCTACTTCAAGCTTGTTTCACTTTCGCTCGCGCCCGTCGGCAGAGATTGGCCGTCTGTACGACCGTTTGCCGAATCCCGATCGCGAGGAAGACTTGGTGGATCACTACCGACTTTTTGTCTCGTTGCCGACCGCGTTTACACGTTTGGTGTCCGCGCTGTCCTGCATGGTTGGTTGCACAGAATACGAGCTCTACCAGACACTTGCTAAGGTGGAGCAGTGGTATCTCGATAGGGCTCACCAGCTTACTTCATCAGCCGTGATTTCGGGCAACACCACAAAAGCTTCTGCTCAATCTACTGGGGCTGTGAGAAATGTTATCGGGCGACCACGAAAAGTTAGAGAAGCAAAATCCAACAAGAGGGCAAGAAGTGCGGCTTGCGTCGCTACTCAAGACGATAACGAAGGCGTAGAAGACAATCTCAAAGGCAGTGATGTTGGGGATGCGGACAGGGTTGAAGTTGAACACAGCGCAGTTGGTAAAAATGAAGGAGATGCTGAAAACGTCCTCGCAGCGGAGCAAGAAGAGGAGCACTTGCACGAGGACCCAGCAGGTGAGAGTGATATGCGCATGCAGAGAAGACCACAAGTAGTCCAATATTCTTCGCAATCAAGCATCTCTTTATCTGGCATAAGGGTTGAGAAGTCCCCATGAGCACCCCCCTGACGGTTGGACGGATGTTCTGATGTTGATAAGCTTGAGGTGTTTGTCTTGGATCAAAAAGAAGTTGGAGGTGGTCCCTAAACAGAATGATGTCCGTCAAATGGGCGAACGCGAAGCTACTAAGTGCATAAACATAGTTCATCTTCACTCATGAAATTCAATACTCCGCAACCACATTATCCTCTCCGTATGTTATGGGAACGAAATCTGATGCTAGCTAAGGCGACTTTTATTCTATCATAATTATCCGCCCCCAGGATTATTTCCACGATGTACACGCCCAATGATTTCATGGCTCCGTTGTATTCCCGTTCTTCCACATTACTCCGCTTGTGACATTACCAGCGTTTCAGTTGCTTGAGTAATCAACGACGAGTAGACGAAGTTAACGAACAGTTCTTGACCCTAAATTTTGGGAATGGGATCTGCACCGGAGATGTCGATGTTCACGCTTCAGAAGTGAAGGCTTTGTGGAACACACGTGCTCATCAATATGCAACAAGAAGCTAATAAATATGTTTATCGTCTTGATTCGAGCAAATAAGGCATGAATCTGATACTCATGATTGTTATCTCATCGGTGGCAACTGCAGTTCATATCGGGCGTGGACCTTACAGCCAACTTGTCGCGAAAGGTCGATTAAAAAATAAATTCCACATTGTAGGATGCATGCAAGGCTCTGGGATTCCACATTTGATTTCATTGATTTAGTTTTGCGTTGCGTACAATGATCCATATAAGCTTTCAAATTCAATTATTCTAGAATTGTAAGTAGTTCATCTCTAACTTTATTACAAGGAAGATCAAGTAGATGTCGTTCTCGCATTTTGGTCAACAGAAAATCGCGTCCACAGATGTGGAGTTGCTTTTTGAGTTTGGCGGCACGCTCGTCGTTCCTCTGCGTCTCCTCGACAAATTTCCCATTGTTAGGCAATTAGCGCGCGATGAGTTGAAGGCTGCAAGCAATTCCGCAGCACGGGTAGTGAATCGGGCTCGAAGGATGCTTGTGGAGACGAATGGTCAGGAGGCTGAGTGTACACCTGCTGATTCCGCTGCGATTGAAGCAAAATCGGCGTCGGCCTCTGGCTCGACTGGTAGAGGTGTCATGAACCCGGCCCACCAGTCCAGGAGGGACAACTACACTTCGACCACCGCAACGGTGGATTGAAGTGGTCTGAATGGCTTGAGCCGAGCCACGTTCCTTGTGGCTCTTTAAGGCACCAACAGATCGCGACTCCGGCTGCCCTGTATGTCGAGCTCTAGAGCTGTGCTGTGCTACCTCTGTGGTCGTGCCAGTGCCTCCAAGAGTAACTTTAATGCCGTTTCTACGACCAGTAGAGGAGCTCGACCTTGCCGAGCTGGCTGGGGTGGAAACGATTGATCTCGCAGCCGATCATATCAACTTCCCGACTGGTCGGCCGAGTATCTATCATGTTTTGGACTTCCTTGGCCACGACATTTCCGCCTACAAAAGCATGGTCGAAGCGGTCTGCTGGGGTGTCGACGGATATCGCGGAGATGGTCGCCCACCAGTCAACGCGTAACGCGTGAACGAACAGCAGGCCACTTCGGAGGAACACTCAGGAGAGCTGCGACTTGCTAAGCGCCACAGAGTAAGCGGCCCGGATGGAGAGTCCATTATGGCCGATGCTTCGGTGCACCATGATACTCTCGGAGGAGGTGAGCGTGAAGTTGAAGAATCAAATAGGCCTGCCAGTAACGACGGCCCGACTGTTCCTTCTACCGCTAGCGTTACTATTCTTCATGTGGGCCTGTTCCTGCTGCTGATGCCATTGAAGTAGAAGCTTCAGGTTCTCGTTCGGCATGGGTATCCCGAATTTTCCTGCGGACCTTCTCAGCAAAAGCGTGCACACCTGCTGGGTAGGGGTGCTTGCAGAATTCGCACTCCATCACGCCAAGACTACCATGGACCGGCAAAGTCTTGTTGCTTCCATTAAACTTGGTTGCTTCCATTAAACTCAAAGATGCGCGTGCAGGCGACGGACGACGAAGCAATGCCAAAAATGCTTCTATGTATAGTATTACTATTTAAATGGTACTATTAGTGCTACAGAAAGAAGTACAACCGAAACTGCTGGAAGGTACGTGTATGGTATTGGTATTTCTCTCACCAATGGATCATGTGATTCTGATGTCCTCACGATTCTGAGATAGAACGTAGTGCAACGCGTGAGAGTCGTAGGCCATAGTCATGCAACAAACGGAAAAAGAGATGCGCGATCGTCGCTTTCCACGTGGATACAGCGGTGGCTAAGATGAATGGACGACGCACTTGTAGGTAAGGAAACGGGTTTTCGCGAAACAAGCGCAGCTGAACAACAGCCGTAGGATCTTGCCGCATCCATTTTCGTTCTCGCTCCGTTGCTGCTAGCAGCTCTGGGCGAAGTGTGTCGTACATCACGCCAGGCGACGGAAATTAAGATTGATTATCGACTCCGACAAGAAATCAAATACGGGAATGGTCCAGCGAATCAAAATCGATACGCATCTGCTGCGAGATGATCATGATTGATGAATACTGCAGCAAAGGGAAAGGATTCGTCACAACATGCATCAAGTAGAGAAGTACTAGCTGCAGAGACAATGCAAAGCATAAGCGGAAGTCGGGAATTCCACTAGCCACAGAAACGCCTGCTCTAGTCAGCGCACAAATCCTCTTGGCCTCCAAGACACGTCGTGCGACGCATTGCAGGGACCGTCGGTAATGACCCTGTCGTGCGGCCGACATTTTCACTTGATACTCGTTCACTTTCATTTGACGAGGAAGCGGATCGCCATTTTCCATCCTTCTTCAATGATCTTAAAAAGCAGTTCGTTGGGCTGACGACAATATCGACGCATTTTTGATATCGAAGAAGATGTAGATGATAGATTAGACACTCATAGTTAAAGGTATGAGGCTTTTGAAGATGCGTCTAATAATGCGGGAAATATTTCGATCTCTGTAATGTAATCGGCTCCCATTTTGTCTCTACATTAATGGTTTGAAAGGGCGGTGGCATATAGTCTGAACGCAAAAAAGAAAAAAATCTACGGTGGTCACGAGCGGCCATACCAGGGGCACTCACATGAACAGGATCTCTGTACAGTTTCCATCTACTTTTGGGTGAAGAAGAACAAGGGCTCGCCATTACAATTATACATCCGCATTCTTCTCGTTCTCGTAGGGTAGATGCATTTGCGGCTTCTAACTACAGATTCTCAAGAGAAAATAATGCCTTGCAGCAGTAACAGCAATCACGGATTCTGACAGGATCAGTATCTGCATCAGGAGCCGAATCCAATAAAATTGAAGACAACTTTTTCTAACACGGCGGGTGCCAACCAATGCAAGGTTGAACATTCGAGCTCAAAGTCATGATTGCAACGTAAAACCGCGAGTGCTTTGCCTTGCCCAAGTTTTGCTTGGATTGAGTTCGTGTTCGTCCTCTTTGTGACCTCGGCAGATCAAGTGAACGAGGCAAAAACAGAGCACGCACAACTTCTAGAAAGTCGCACTCACAGCGTCATCAGGTTCAGGAGGGAGCAACTTGGTGGAGTCTTTTGGTTTTCAGAGTTAGAAGATTGTTGGTAGAGTACTTCTTTCATTTGCAGGCACATAAACACAAGCGGACTGTGCGATAGACGAATAAAAAGATCATGGGCGGTCGTAGCTCGGCATTTCTCCGATGTGGTCCGTCTTCCGAAAACGCGGGTGCCGCTGCTGCAACAAGTTCTTCGGTTGAAGCGTCTGCTCCTTCGTCACCCGTTATCGCGATTCTCAGTCCCCATGGAACAGGAGGACGATTTTTGCGACAGGAGCTTCTCAAGAAGGACTTCGAGATTGTGAAAACGGAGCAGTTTGAACCCACGGTAGGGTGGCCCTACGAAGTAACAGATGTGGTGCGACGCAAAAATACACAGGGTGGACCAAGATCAGCTTCACCGCTGTGTGATAATACCGGATTCTTGGACTCCTTCTCTATCTTGCATGCCAGATGCTGTGTCCACGGCAGCGGAACTCGGCCACGGCAGATGTGGCCACTGCTCAAGACGGTCATCGAAGCCCACAACGCAGTGGTGGTTATTGCCCTGTTCGACTGGCGGTGCGGGGTTCCAGGCCCGGGAGACGGCAGCATGGACGACCCGACGTACTATGGGCTGAGCTCCGAAATCCGGAAAAGTATCGAACGAGGCTTCGCCCCGCCAGATTCGCCACTTGCTCCACATTCTGCTTTGATGCACCGAAGAAGACTGAGGCAGAGAGCGACGGAGGAGTGGAAGCGCTTGGAACTTCTACCCACACCAGAAAGACGACAGCCACCCATAAGCACAGGACGAGTTGGTGATAATGTACTAGGGGAAGAGGGTGGTCGAGTTCTGTCTGTGGACGACCATCAATATCAAGGGTCTACTCCTACCGTTGATGTCGTTGATGAGCAACAAGCGCGAATTGATGACGAGCGTGTTGACCGAAATGCAAAGGACATGGAGGACCATCATCGCAACTATTTTCAGAATGTTGGACGACCTTTTTTTCTAGATGAGCAGCGGCGCTGCCCTTTGGCGTTTGGCGAGAAAGACACACTTCAGAGAGCAAAAGACGAAGTGGAGTGGCTTCGCACGTGGGTCGAAAACGATGGTGGAGGTGGCGCGCGTCGGTCACTGCAGGTTTTGCTAAACTGCGACACGCCAGCTCTAGCTTGCATCCGATATTGGGACCGGGACGAACCCTTGAGTTTTGACTTGGACTTTGAGAAGTATAGAAACACAAGCGCCGCAGACCTGGCTGCAACAGTGCGCGCAACGCGGATGTCCGACAACAGCGCAGCAGAGGGGAGATGGGGTAGGACTGTGTTGCAAGCGCAGGACATAGAGCGACGGGCACGTGAATTACTCAGTCTTCCAGAAACTACGCAGATGCGTTGTGTGTGGCTTCAGGACGAAGCGACGGAAGAACTCCTGGCGCCACCTGCTGAAGCACCTTCCTCAAGAATTCTCACAGAAAACGGCGTGGAGCACGTTTTGAGCGATATGCTTTCTCGCGTGAAGTAGTGCTACAAGACGAGTAGAGGCAGACAAGTTGAACGGGCGATGTCAGAAATACTTCACAACTGACATACGTCACTGCTATCTAGATTGGCACTTTAATTTTTAGACAAGTGGCTTGTCAGTTGTCAATGCCACTCATTGCGAGCGTCAGCCTGAGCATCATCATGCATATCGTGTGGAAGTTTAGTAAGCTCTTGAGTACCGAAAGAAAGCAAAGCGCACAAGCTGGCAGATGGCACACAGAAACACCCAAGGCCCACCGGCTAACAATGCGCGCGGCTTGCCGTCTGCCTGTCATAGTCATACCAACTAACTACACAGGCGCCCTCACTCTCCCTGCCCACGACGACGCGCAACGCACTTCCCAAGCCTACGCCCTTCAGGCATTCTCTCCCTGCCCGCGCCCACGACGACTCCGCTGCCAGCGGCAAGCGGACAAGCACAAACCGGACCCGTAGGCGGCGAATACTTACGCAAAACGCCACAAAAAGCCAACCGAAACACCCGACGGTTTTGTTGCAATTTTTTTGGGTGTGTCACTGCAGTAAGTAGGAAGACCCTTCCCCGCGCGCCCGTGACAGATTTCCTCAATTAATCGCAAGGGCTTCGCAGTCGCTAACTTTGTTTTACTGCTGGGAGTGGGAAGACTAAGACATCACGAAGCCCAGAACAGGAACACACATTGTATTTGTGAGAAGTACTTTCTTCGTATATGGCTTCGGCCGTATATCTGCGCCTCGTTTTGTGATAAGGAAGATGATGGATTTCCATCCGGGTAAACGTAAAAGGGGGATCGACCAAATTCCATGGGACAAGAAAATCCTGACTCAATTACGAGATGGGCCTATGAACGCCGGTGCCGGAAGCATGGTCTCCGTCTAGACTCATGCAAATGTAAAGGTGATTCTCATTCTATGTAAAGAGGACACATGATGCACACCGCGCCCCGTGCGTACCAAGAATATTTCCGATGAATGACATGCCACATGTTTTGCGCATCTTCAACAAACCGGCCCTCCTTTGTGACAGATATCACTGCTGCAGTTCAAGAAGTGCTTCCTTCAATTCGGCCTTTTTTTTAGACTGCTCATCGAGCTTGTTGGCAATGTCTGTTTCCACTTTTTCTCGCTCCGCTGCTACGGCCTCCGCGACGCTTCCATCCTCTGCACATCCTAGTCTTTTCAGTTCTTTCGTCCTTTTGTCAAAATAGGCTTTGACATTTTTCTTCAGCGTCTTCAATGTGCTTTTTTTCAATGGCTCGGGCTCACCTCCGCCGACACCTAAAAATAATGGAATCAACACATAGGTACTTTCGCGTTTTCTTTGGGGTACCAGACCTGGTCAGAGAGAATGAGTATACATAAACATCTGTTGCTGGTGCAACAAGTTATACATGCTTTGACCAGGAGAATGGTCAGATGTACTTGGTCACACTTACAAAGAAACGAAAAAAACTCTTCTGTTGGAAACAACGAGTTGTAGTTGCTTTGTGGGTACCTTTGCTGGCCACAGGAAGACCTTCCTCGTCCCGCTTTTCTGTAAAATCTAACTCCTGTGCGGCTAGCCAGTCTTCAGTCGTCGCGAACTTCACCGTCTCTTCCAGTCTTTGTAGCGCAGCGCGCTTATCGCTGATAACTGTTTGTATGCTTCCGACTTGCTTTTCCAGCTCACCTATTTTTTTCCCTGCCTTTTCACGAGCTAGATCTTTTGGACTCGTCCACAATTTCCAATCGCTACGCGCACTTCCCTTCACGTCGGAGAGCTCAACACCTGCGAGGAAAGACCAACAACAGTTTATGCTTTTACTCATTTCAGTTGATCATCATGAGAGGAGAGATGCAGGTGGAGGATGAGAAGTGTTTCTCCACTGGAGTTTTTGACTTGTTTCAGTTAGTTTCACAAAGGTCGGAACAAAATACGATGGATGGATAAGACGACGAGATATTTTGATGGTGTAATATGAATCGACGACCAACATGCACATTCATATTTGGTCTGGGTGCTTAGGTAAACGTAGGTGTACCTAGTTGCACGAGTGTCCTATCTCTGAGCTTGTCGCACACGCTGAGAATTGCTGGTGATTTGGTTTCCTTTGCGCTTGCGACCTCTTTAATCTCGTCTCGGAATGCTGCAATTGCGTCCAAGAATGGCGCGAGAATTTCCTCACGAGAGGCACCACCTTCTCCACTGCCCTCCGCAGCTCCAAGTTCGTCGTTTCCCTCTAACACGCCAAAGAGCCTCAAAAATTTTGTCACCAGGGACGCCGCCTTGCGCAAAATAAGCACCCGGGGCTGCCTCTGCGCATCCACCTTCTCGCAGTTACCGACGTAGCTATTGCACTTCCCGATCACCTCGTGCAGTCGGTTCATCACCGCAGGATAATTGAAATTATTCAGTAATGCGGTGTGGATCTCCGCATGCGAGCTCTGAATCTGTAGTTTGCAGTTTCGAAGGCCTTGATGTTCCCCGTGAAGATAAAGTATAAGGAGCTGCCTACACAACTTCTTAGAACAAAATGTCAAAAAAAAATGTCGCTCGCTAATAGAATCGTGATGTTTTCAAGATCTTCTGACATACGAAGCAACACTTTGCCTAGAAAAACTAAAATGTCTTTATTACCATCTTGTGGAGAGCCTTCTCTTCGTCATTCCAAATTTGTTCTGTCGCTGAAAAGCAGCCTGCTGATCGAATTTTTTGTTTCACCATACCGGTGAAATTGCGAACTCGCGTGTCGAAGTCTCTGGCTATTCTCAACTGCTCTGGACTGTAGAGCATCTTCGCGTGCCAGCTGTGGTAAAAAATTACTTCGATCATGATTATGTTCTGTTTGAAAAATGAAAATCTAAGTATGCCTATTTCCTTGTCTCTACAACTGTATCTGTAACTAAACTGCCTTAAAAGTACTTCTCAAGGAAAATAACCACAAACGTCGTGCGACGTATCAAATGTTGCAATACTCAAAATACAACGAGATAGAAAGTTTATGTTTTACTTTTAGATTATCCTTCTATAATTGTGGCGGAGCCGACCTCACTAGAAAAAAGACAGACCAGAGGAAGATAGAAAAGAGAAAAAGGCAACTATCAACAAGTGCCCCGTAGTATCCTGCTAAGTGCTGAAACTAATTAAGCGCCGGCGCTATCGTCGTCCTGTCAGCCCCATAGGTCTCACCTTCAAAGGCAGGCCGGAGCCCTGTGCAACGCCTCCGGTGAGTGCTCAGCTCTCTGGTTGCGTGCGCAGGTTTATTCGCTATTTTAATTCTTGCCTTCCAGATACTTAGACTTACTTAGTTCAATCTACCGAAAGACAGAATCCACTTGCTTGCATAGATAAAGTACTGCTGCTGCAGAAATGCTATTCGGATCTGCGTGGCCGATGTTGTCTCCAGCGCCTCCTTGATTGTCGTAAAGTTCTTTAGAGACTTGCTCATCTTTAGGTTGTTGATGTTCAGCGTTCCCGCGTGAGTCCAGTAGTTCACCCACTGCTTGGTACCATGAAAGCACTCGCTTTGTGCCATCTCGTTGGCGTGATGGGGAAACTTCAAATCCTGTCCACCACCATGAATATCCAGACGGGGCCCCATCAAGTCAGACGCCTAAAAAGGATCATGTTGAAGGAAGGAGGGTGAGTGCGAGGATGACCAGCAAGACAATGAGGACATGAGGAGATACTCTTGTTCTCGTTAAAATGCTGATGTCTTCGTCATCGTCGACCCCACTTAAAATAAGCAGAAGGGGTGATCATAATCAGATTCAGTTATTAGAAAATCAAAGTTCATTTCCAATTCTCTTACCATGACGGAGCATTCAATATGCCACCCTGGCCTTCCCAATCCCCAAGGTGAGTTCCAGCGCGGTTCACCAGCTTTTGATTTCTTCCACAATGCGAAGTCGCGATTATCTTTCTTTTCACCGTCGAGCTTTACACCAAGGGCGCCTTCCCCTTCTTGCATAGCGTCGTCGTCCACTTTTCCCTTGCCTTTGGGGCCTAGCTTGGGGTAGTCATGATCCCTGCTCTCGAAATGCCGCGTGTCGAAATAGACAGACCCGTTGCTTTCATACGCACCACCAGAAGCGATAATGCTCTCGATAAAAGTGACAATCTGAAGTAGATCAAATATGTTGTGTCAAGAAAGTTGAAGTTTCAATACTTTTTAGTCGCGCTCGCAGGAGAAGGCTTTCATTTTCGGATTTCGACTTCCACAATAGCCAACACTATTTCTATATTCAGCATCAGCTTGTAGTTGGTTCAAGGCATGGCGTTGGTGATCCTCATCCTTGTCCGTGATGTTTCTATTTTAAGTACTAGTAGGAGGTGGCCCTGGACGTCGAAGAGTTTTTAGTCAAAATACCTGTGGCACGTATTCTGTGACTCGCGTGATCGCATCCGGCGGTCGCACGTTGAGGGCCAACATGTCATCCCAGAAGGAGGACTCGAATTTTCTGGCGTGGTCTTGGAAGACCATGTTGTCAGTGACGTCGCTCCCTACCGTTTCGTCTAGCCAGTCTTTCAGCTCGTCTGCCATGACCTCCGCTGCTGCCTCAAACTTCTTCTGTGCGAGCAAGTCGCTCGCCTGCTTTGCTTCACGTTCAAAGAGAGCCTTCTTCAGAGCGAATTTCTCGAGTTTCTCCGTCTTTTCTTCCTCTGACGGCGGCTTCCAGCCTTTCCGCTGCGCCTCCTCGATGGCTTTCTGGATCTCCTCGATCAACTTCTCCTTCTTCTTTCCAAAGTACGCTTCGTCCTTGCGCGAGATGAGCCACTGCATGTCCTCCACAAACGACCTGCTTGAAGGCATCGCGGCAGATGTTGAAGAGGATGAAGAAGTTGATGTTCCTGGAGGCTTGGTAAACTCAGCCTCCTGGTGAGCCTTCATGTAGCTATAGAAGAGCTTGTTTTTTCTCGCGCGAAGAATGATCTTGTCGTCGATGTCCGTAATGTTCAGCTGATAAAAAACCTCGTAGCCGAAGTAGTCCTCCATAATGCGGCGAAGGATATCAAACGTCAAGTAAGCGCGCGCATGTCCCAAGTGCGCATGGTCGTAAACGGTAGGACCGCACACATACCAGTTCACTGCTCGTCCATCGTCAGGGATAAAAGGCTCCACGGAATCCGTCAGCGAATTCGTCATCTGTAGTTCAAGAAGTACACAAGCTGCATATCTGAGCCCACTCCTTATGTAGTTCTAGAATAGAGTTCAGCATGTAGATGTACATCAGTACAAATGAAACATAAGGTAAATCACAAGGCTAACAACATGATATCCCCAGTACAAGCATCAAAAAGATTGCTGTAGTACTAACAAGTTCAAAAGTTCTACTTATGATCTTGAGGAACTGGAACTGAACAATTAAAAATAAAATAGTATCAGAAGAACTAGTACTAATTACACGCGGCAATACCTTCAATCCGCAGTAGCCTGGATGAAACGCCTCCGGATTGGCTTCCACAATTTTGTGATAGATATCTGGAACATGCCATTTGAAGTTGTCGTTTTTTATGACTGGACCGCAGGTCATGCAGGTGGGTATTGCCATACTCCTGTTGCTTGGTGAGGAATTACTAGATTTTGTCTGTGGTGCTCGAGCAGTGCTCGCAACAGGACACGGCGTTGTGTACTCCGGATCCTCATTCTGCTTGCACTCTAGCGCTCCCATCTTTGCAGATTCTCCCTCAGCACGCTTGGCTGGCTGAAACTTTGTCGCGTTCAAAGACGAAGGCTGCTCCACGTCGTCGGTTGGTTCAGTACTGCCCATGATCGTTCGAATTTGCAGATGCGTGGTCGAGAAGGAATACGCACGAATAAGTGTTGTTGATGTCTTCAAAGAAGTAGATGCTGGAGGTTGGTGCGCTGACAACAACCTGAACCTTTCACAATCTACTCTAGTCCTTCTCCTTCTCGAATAAGCAGATTGATCTCGTTTGCAAGAGCCACAGCGTCGAAGTAGAACAAAAAGTTGAGGAGAAAGGAGATTAGAACCACCAGAACGAAAACCCTCCTTTGATGTTCTAGAAGAAAGAAAACCTGGTGAACAAAGTGAGATGAAACGTTCGTCTCCCGTTTTCCTACAGAAAAAATCTGCCTGGTAGGAGAAATTACTCAAAAGGTTATCAATTGTTTCAACTTTTCCACGACCAGGAGCAACATCAGATGAAAGTGATCGATATGCTAGTACACCTATACTTGCAAATGGAACCAGAGCACGACGTCGCGGCTCTGTCGAATTTGCAATTGATCGCAACCTTGGATGTACTACCAATGAGGATGACATGCCATCTTTCTTCTCGTCCGGTCATTCTTGCCTTACAAATTTGATTTCATTATCTCAGCCTATGCCGAAAAGTGGTACTCAACCTCAAGATAAGCGATGAGACTCGTCATCTTAATAGCGGTGGATCTGGAGATCGTGAATAATTATCATGATGGCCATCGTCATGATTGTTAGCAGCGTGAGGGTGACGAGATCCGACATTGTCTAATTTCCTGTGAAGATCTAGGAACAAGACGAGCTTCTTTTTACGTAGCTCTTGCCAAGGAACGAGAGAGACAGAGATCTTTATTGGAGTTCATGTCGTCGTGCTTCACTGATTATGGAACCAAGAACAGAGCACCTTCATTCATGTACGTATAAAAAGCTGATCACATCATATTATTTACGACATCAGACGGCTGCTCGTCCTGGAGGCTTTTTTCGCCTTTCTTCATGGCAGAGATGAATACCAGGTCCAACACGGAACCTCCATTTCCCAGCTTTGCTTAGAAAGCTATAATTGCCTAACGAACAGCACCAGACACGGCGCACTGCCGAATGAATGAGGCACAGCTGGCCACACCCGCTGTTTAGCCAAAATACAAGTCAATTATATAAATATAAATCTTGCTTCTGCTTGCTCCTGGTGCGGCATTATAATTTATAACTCAAGTAACAACTACTCTCTCATGCATTTTCTTTTTGCGTTATTGTATCGTCTCTTGGTAAGGGGATCGAGAGCGCCTTCAACGAGAGGGCGTGCTCACACGCTTTTCAGGCGCATTACGATAATCAAGAACAAAAAATAGCGGAGTAAAAAAAGACATAAGTAGTACAGTACCCCATAACATGAGGCTCATATACCAATACCTCATTTGGATAAGTAAGTGATCTTCAATTTCGAAGGGAACGAGGTGTCGTGCTCTAAAACAGTACTCTTGAAGCTGGGAGGGGCTGTTGAGATGGAAGTGAAAGTGATGATCTTGCTGTTGCTGTAGCTTTACCACCACAACTACAAGATTTTTATTGGATATTCTGGGAAATTTTTGGGTTTGGACCAATGAGAAGAATGCTTTAGTCAAATCGATAACCGTGCCAGAGTCTTCAAGTGACATTTATAAGAATGCTCCTGCTGCACGGGGTACGGGGTGAGTGCTAGTGCTTAGAAAAATTGTATGAACGGAGATGTTGCTATGGTGTATAACAGATTAGACTGAGCAGTTATTAGAAAACAGAATGACTAAGACTATGTATATTCTTGTTGTTGTTCAAGTTGAGCCTTTGAAAGTACGTGTATTCTCGAACAGATGCAAAAAATCGTTGTCCCAGGCCACAGTCACAAAAGGACGAACAATAAAACCCTGATGAGTTGTGTTGCGCTAGCTCTTATCTGCGTCCGATTAGAGGACTTTGTCCAGTCCCGGTATCTTTCGAAGATAGTAGCAAAGCGGCCAAAGAAGCGCATTCGTGCAGAACAGCGTCAGGAAGAAGAGTCCGTACTTGAACCTCGGCGAAAACGGGCCGTCTGCGGCAAACATGCGGTCTGCACAGATCTTGAACTCCAGCTTATCCACTTCTGGGTCCATAATGCGATGGTAGAGACCCGCCAAGAGTGCCCACAAGAACAAAGGCCATACTACCCAGTGCAGTAGATAGACGCCATACCTGAAGGATGAGGGTGATGCTGACGATAAAAATGCTGACGATTCTTGAATTTGCTTCATCAATTGCCAATCAAGTTGTCCTTGTTCTTGAAAAAAATTAAGTATCCGGGAGGTCTATGTTGATGGAATGCAGTTATCCGAGAAGATAACGGTTGCTAATTAACGATATTATCGAAGGTAAAGGTTCAAATTCGATCTGGCTCAAATATAACATCAAAACTAACCAAAATGAATACGCAGCCTCCCCCATCGCCTTCTTCGTCGCATTCCACCTGACCGCTGTCTTACTCTCCGTGTTTCCGTATCTAGAAAAAAGTTCAACCAAGGCGAAGCTTATCGTCATCGTCATCTGTCCCCTCAGCATGTGCCAGATGATGCTATTTCCTTTGTTGAGTTCGAGAACTTCGTACCATTTTCGTGCCGGTGCAGCTGCCGCCTGGTAGTGCAGTAATGGTTGGGATAACGACGTAGAGAGGGAAGCGGAAGACAAAACACTGAAGATGAAAACAAAAATAAGTTGACGCTCGCTTCAGAATAAGGATAAGTTGCTCTTCAATCATGCACGAGGCTCAACCTCAAAACAATGATGCTGCGACTCCTGCTCTGCCAGCTCAAAACTACAAAACAAAAAATGTTATTTTTTAGAATCTTTTTTCGAACAAGAAAGTAATGGGAACCAGTACCTTTTCTCGAGCCCTCGTCTGTGCCTCTTCCTCCAGTGCTTCGATTTGTTTCTCTGGTTCTACTCCACCTTTCCCTGCGATATTTCGCTCTGCTTTGTGTATGTCATCCCGACTGTAGAGTGAGGCGAGCATTTCTATTCTGCCCAGCTTCTTCCACCGCGAGACCTCTGCTTCAACGATGTTGCCACATTTTGAATGCTGCGGCGGCATCATCTTCGGATCTATCACTACGGCAAGATACGCGGTCACTGCGATCATGGCGACTGCGTGGAGACGGTACCCCCAGACAGACAGATTCCAGCAGCACCTGCTTCGACGTGCGGCTTTCTTTTTCTTCAGATTTTCAACCTCTACGGCATTCCCGTCTACCCTTCCCTTCTGAGAAGGCTCCTGGCTATCCCTATTTCTAAGATTCCCTTTCTCAAGCATGTCCGCCTGGTCGTGCGCTACAGCAATATCTCGCGCATCGGCTGTCTCGCTAGTAGAGGGCGGTGCTGATTTCTCCAGAATTTGCTCCAGCCAGTTGTTTTTCTTCGCGAGCGCGCCAGCAAAGAAAAATACGATATTGAAAGGCAACCCTCCTCCGCCAGCATACGTGTTAGGCACATCGAGGAAGCTAAAGCGAGCAGGCGGTTTCCATCCCCAACTATCTTGAAAGGACCAACCTGGTGATTGTGATAGAAGAATAGGAGTAGCAGGTTTAATAATATTCTTCAGGACGTTGAAAACTATATCTAACGTTTTTTGTTAGATGAATTTGAAAGAGAAAACGTTAGATTAATGAATCCAAAGAAAGCCTCAAAGTCAAAGGTGTCGCGAAAGAGTGCACAAAATAGATCTTTTAGAAACAGATTGCACAAATCCCCAAGCCTGACTGCTGCAACAAGAGGAACAACTATTGCAGTTTTTAGGTAGTTCTCCATCTCAAAATACTTCAGGAAGCTATCGATATGCAAAGCAAAATGATTCAGGAAATTCAAATTGTACCTTGAAAGAATCCGAGCACTGTGCCAATAAATAGTGACTCGAAGAACCCTGGGAGAGGTATGCCTCCAGGCATCGATTCCAGTCCTTTCGGGTAAATGCAGCAGAAGGCCAGATTGAAGACTAGGAGAACCTCGAGAAACCAGAGGGGCCCGAGGCCCACGATGTACCACACGTCGGGCTTATGCAGCACGCCGCTGGCTGCCGGAAGCCCCGGGTACCACTCGGTACCGAAAGCGGCTTTCCAGCTGAACGCGGCCGTGAGTGGGAAAAGCACGAGTCCGCCAAAAACAAGCGGTACGCCAAGTCGCATGAATTTGTCCTTCAAAAATTCCATGGCGCCTTTCCGCTGAAGAGAGCTTGGCACGAAGAAGCCGGAGATAAAGAAAAACAGGCACATGAAAAAGCTTTGGTTTACCAAGTTCATCACGGATAGCACCCGCCCGAGCATATTGTTCTCACTATTGCCGAGCGTTAATGTGTACGCCTGCCACTTGTAGCCTCCAAATCCGATTGCGACATGCTGAAAAACCACCAAAAAAGTCAGAAACACTTTCAGGTTGTCAAGATAAACGAGCCGCACCGTCGGACCCTTCTTAGCAGACGCGGCACCTGCTGTCTTTGTTGACGCTGCTGGAGCTGAAGATGTTGTGAGAGCTTTGCCAGAAGAAGCGCCAGCTGCGGCAGCGATCGCCGTGGACGCCGCAGAGCTCACCGGTGACAAGAAGACCACAGTCAATAAAACGATGGCATAAAACCACTCGCCGGCTCCCGCGCCCACAACATTTTGTGGGTAGTTCACTTGAATCCACATCACCAGCAGGAGGAAACCAAGTGACAAGAAGAGGTACACGATCTTTCCTAGACCCATGCGAAACCATGTCGCGCACAGTGAAGACGCAGGCTGCTTTTGGCTCGTCAGTGTTTCAGCTGGTGCCGCTGGAGATTGCAGAGGAGCTACACTATGGAGCTGCTTTTCCTCTCTCGTTGTCATATCGAATCGCGGTCCAGGAAGGAGAGGCTGCTCGGCCTCTTCCCGGACGACAAGGGCTCTTGGCCCGTCAGCAAGCACAACATCCTTCATCTCTACCGATTCTTTCTGTTTTTGACCCCCAAAGCTGCTGGTGGAGAAACGACTTCCAAGAACTCCTCCAGGAGGTGCCTTGCTAGAATGTTGAACTTTAATGTTCTCAAATTCCACTCCTGCGTCACCTTCCTCTAAGAACCATACTTCTTCGCAGCAGTGATCGGTTTCACTAAGGCCTTGATGGATATAGTTGCTGCTAAGAAAACTTTCCCCTTCCATGCAATCGCTATTTAGATAATATCTGCCTTTATTCATTGGACATTTTGTTGTTTTCTAAGCATAAAGAGGGTTGAAAAAGATACAAATGCTTCTGGCTATACGGTGGATCTTCTAGAAATAAGGATTACTAGAGGTCTGTCAGAAAAAAATTCACCGAAAAGCTATATATGAATATAAGAGGTTTCGACGACTACTGAATTAGATGTCTTAACCTTTTCGATTTCCATTTCAATTTCACAAACACAAGAAACTAAAAAGCTGACTTGTCTCGATCTAGAACTAGTTTACTACCCCCGAAAAAAAAAACGTCCTGCATGTGGTAAAGTCAAATTTGTATGACTAAGACTAACTCAATGCAAATAACGAATATGAACAAAACGCTAGATGATTTTCATATTCGTCGGAAGACGGAAGCAAGTATTGCATAAAACAAAAACAGTATCTCCTTCCATTAAGAATACGGATGCATAGGGATTTTTACTATAGGCGTGGATAATCGTATCGAAAAGCTAGCTAAAACTACAACATTTTTTTTCTAAAAGGTCTACTATGTAGCAAGACCAACGGGCATAACGCGAGCACACTATCAGCGCTTGTCCACAAATAATTACTTAAGTAGTTCTGCTGCGCGTTCGTTAACGCGTGAAAAGTGTCACTGCTAAGAACCTAGATGATCTTCATGTTTTTCACACTCCCGGATCTTGAATTTTGGGGATCTCACCTCTACGCTTAGAGTTACGGATCTTCTTTTTTCAGAGCAGATCTCGATGGATAACAGTCATATTGATCTTGGTCCTACTCATGTGCTAGTAGTGGTCACTTCTGGAAGCTGATTCACTTTAAACTGAAACATTTCCTGTCTTACTTAACGGAAAATCAGTTGAGAACAATGTTGTCAACCTTTGAATTCAACGACAAATACAACTGCTCGAGACGAAAAACGCCTTGCACGAAGTGAAATCAGGAATTTCTCGGGAAGACTATCCTTCGTTAGAGTGACATATGCCACGCGTCTTTTCGTGGCCCTGTCTGTAGATTCATGGCGAATGCAACGCGTGTAACGTTTGATTTGTGGTGGGCAGCCACAAAATGAATCAGATACGAAGGAAAGCAAACCAAGTCGCCGGTGCGCGCAAAAACATAATGCGGCTTGTGGAAGGGCGGCGACGGTTGCCACGCGGGTCGTCTCGCAGAGGGAGTAACATCATCAGTCCTTTGAGTACCAGTCGTGTAATCCCGCCCTCTTGCTAAATGTTCTAAAGTTTTCTTCTCGACGACCTCAAAGTCCGTCATTTCGTAGTCGTGCAAAACCGAGCCACCGCGAGGATCTACTAGCGCAAGAGGAGTTCGCTGCGGATCGGCGGCAACATAAAACACACAAGAAACGAAGGAATCTTGATGCGCGTGGACCGGATGACGACCGCCGTGGGGAAGATACACTTGTGCCCAGAGATGAGCAAACATGTTGAAATCGAGTCTCCCATTGGCGTTGGCGGTCCGTCCTGGTGGTATCAGTTTCTGCTGTGCAAATTCTATAGCGGCTTCTTGTATTCTGTCTGCGACTTTGTACACGGTCTCGCGGACGGCAAAAAACTCGGGCCACGATCGCTGTAGGCTCTTTTCAGTCTGCCGCCGGCTTGTTTTAATATTGAAAAGAACTTCATTGTTGCGGTCTTTTCTTGTGGTAGGCGTACGGTCAAGAACATCGTCTTGTCCAACACTTCTTTGTCTTTCTAGTTCAGCGCCATCTGTTACTATTTGATCTTCTCTCGTTGCTGCCGACGAATTGGATTTCGATATGCTGTGACTAGTATATTCGACTTTCTGACCGTGATTTCTCTCCGGGACGATTTCGACACTGTCGCTCCATATAGAAAAGAAGATATTTGATAGTGTACTCCAAATATCATCGCCCGGGGACTGCAGATATTTTTCTGGACTGGCTCGCACCGTCGTGGCTAAATTTTCCATCTTAGAGGTGAAAACACTTGCCAAGAGTCTGCAGTCCTCCTCAGTCACCCCTGGCAGACGGCGAATGCCCATCGGCGTTGAAAAAAGGGAAGCGACATTCCAAACGTCATCGGATATTGACATGTTTGGAGGTTGCTTTGTACTAAAGGGGTCTTGCTTGTCCCTATCAACATCCTGAGAAGGGGGCGATTTTTGCCCACTCCCGAGTTTTGTGCCTCCCTTTCCCTGCGCCGTCCGCTTCACTTCTCCGATGTCAACTATGTAGTCGGGTAGAAAATCACTCAGCGACAAGCGCTTTCTCAGGCTTTTGCCTTTTGCTGCAGATGGCGATACAAGAATATCGGAAACAAGAGGAAACGCCATCACCGTGTCCGACGCCTGATCCTCAATTCTTTGCTCCAGCTGTTTCAGCCAAGCGTTCACAGGACGAAGCAGATGCGCTGCAGCACCAGAGCTGCCTTGTTGCGAGCGTCCCAAGGTACCCACTCTTACTTTACCCGCACCAGCGACATCGAGCGCACTGGGCGCCAAATAGCCATGGATTTCTTCGCTCTTGCCTTTCAAACACGGCCATGATCTCAAGCACTCTTCTTGCGTATAATTTGGACTGGATGAAGTAGTTGCAGATGGAGTTGGAGACGAACTGTGTGCTGTACTAGAAGATGACGAGAAGGTAGGAACATCGTCAACATGCAGACATCCACACTCCAGATGGATCCCGCGCCACGTCATACCGAACCCCCAATCAAGAAGATCGTCTTTAGGAGTATCAAGGTCGAGACCAACCATGCTGAGTACGATGAGCCCTGCGTCGAACCAGACGCGCGCGACACGTTCCTTTTCAGATTGTGATGAGCGTTCGATATAATCTTCGTCTCCGCTTGGCCTAGAATTTTGGGGCAACGCATCTTGCCCTGCCACTGTACACGATCTGGTGGCGGATGTCGATTTCTGCGTTGCTACTTCCGAATGAGGGGGATCATCCACAGAGAGAATAATACCATTTATTTCATCCTCACCCGAGGGCGTAGCCATAGTGTTGCTCCCGTCGCCTGCCGTGTCTGTCGGAGTAGAACACGACGCTGAACTAATCCGATGCGATGAAGATTCATCATCAAGCTCATGTCTGATGACCCACCTCGAAGCAGTCACGAGCTCGAGAGCTGCGACGATGTGATTCTGAGCAGCAAAAAACTTCACAAAGGGGTCCGTCTGCCCGCTAGGATCTTCGCCTTCTGCCTGCTCGTATGCCTCCTCAACAAGACGTCGTGCCTCAGTAAGATACCAAGGTGCGCGAGAGCCGGAGAATCCACCCACCCACCGCCTGGCGCCAAGCTCGTGTCCTTGGGCGGCATGAAAGTTGCCTTCGTACTGCTGGAGCTGGATTTTCTGCTCGGCAACAAGCTTCTCGCCCGACGCGCTCGCAAGACTACAGTTGTAGTTGATTGCCGCGGAAAAAAGCAAGAAAAGTTTTAACAAGACTCCTGAGAGAAGCCAAAAGGAGGCCTCTGGAGCTTGAGCGAACTGAATCCTGAAGAATGGTCTCATCATTTTCACCTTGGGTCCTTCATTTCCCCCATCGTCCTCCTAAAAGTCGAACTTCGCGAACTAGCACTACTAGAGGTAGCTGCAACAATGCTTTTGTTGATTAGTTCCAAACCCTAATCATGAGTGTTCAACTTTTGCATTGAGTGTCCTCCATCTTGATCTTCATCTTCCTGTCAGGAGAGGATACGAGACGAGAGAATAGGACACTTCTTTGCCTTGCATGCACTCGGTTGCCGTGTAACAAAGAAAGCCTCAATTCACGAAATGAAAGAGTGACACACGAAACTCCTAACCCGGACGCTATCCACGTCATGGCGTTTTCGCCCGATCAGTTGAGAAACTCGAGCTCTTCATGTTGCAGTTGCTTGTAGTTGTGTTTGATGCTCCTTGATGCATCTGTGCTTACAACTGCAGGCTTAAAACAATACCCATCGCCTTGCAGGGATCGTGGCATCATGTCTGGCTTGTTTGTAAGAAGTCTTCTTTGGTTTGTTTTAGCTGCTGAAACACCAGTTTCGCAACAACTGTGGATTCCCCAGGCTTACGCTTATCGGGATGATATTTCAACAACTACAACCATTGCTGAAGCACTTTCTTACGATCTTCCACGCTTGTTCTGATAACTGATAATGATACTCCGCAATCTCTCTCTCCAATTTCCGAATCTCGACGTTGGCCTGCTGCGTTTCGTCCATGTCATCTACGTCCGTCAACAACTCCTCCACGATGTTCAGCAAATACAAGTAAGCCTGCACATTTTTCTTAGAGTCTGATGATCCTTCAGCAGCGGTTTTTTGATCGTGGTCTTGAAGAAAGCATCTTAAATAAATCGTTCAGTTCGTCAGGTAAGACATGGCTACGGTGGAGAGCCCTTTTACGGTAGACTGAAAGAGACGCGGGTGCTTCGACGACGCCGATCGTTGTCGATTGTGCTCCTGTGTATGTTCTGCAAACCTGCCTAAGGTAGTCTGCAAAAAGCTCAGCTTTCACTCCACTATCCGCTGTTAGCTCATGGTGCAGCAGCTGCTTACCTTCACCATACGCATTCAGATTGTTCATTTGCCCCATTGCTGTAATGTAACGCGTCGCCATTTGTGGCAGCAGTCAGATTCCGTAGAGAAACTTAGGCGGAATAAGAGCATCTCACATTTTTTTCATCTCGCAAGTCTGGTTGTGAAGGTGCGGTTGCGCTGCTCTTGGATATTCATATTGAGTTTTCACTTTCAATTTCGAAGATTCAAGAACCACTCTTCCTCAACTTGGTCCGCAATGCTGTTCAGCGATCTCTGCAGGTTTCCAACACCTGATCCAGCTAAGCCGCTCTTCTGTCCCTGTTGTCTGAGGTTTGTTTGCCGTCTCAGAGACAGTTCCCGTTCAATGCCATTGCGCTCCAAAGATAGCATCTTCTCTCCAGACTTCGGCGACAGCACATACTGTAGAATGCGTTTCTCAAGGGGCAGGCAGTCGCTGATCAGTAAGCGTGAGTAGTCCCATCTGCTTCACCTCCACAGGGTTGCTCACGCACCAGTCAAAAATGTTCTGCGTGCTACATATCTCCTCACCCTCCTTGTCTTCTACTTTGCCGCTACTGTCTGTAGCATACAACACGTCTTCAAGGCGCAGACTCCGTAACTCGTCAAGCACTCTTCTGAACCCGCTGAGCTTGGCAGCCTTTTTTCAGCTTCACTTTGGTTGTAACTCCAGCGTCTGCGGTTGACATTTCAACATCGTGATTCTGATCATGCCGCAGAGAAATGATCATGTCCTCAATCTCCGCGATCTCCCACTTCAGGTAGGGAGACTCGATCCAATCCGGAGCTCCTTTTTCTGCGACCGGCACCTCCAGTGCACATTGATCTTTCATCGCCGCATCTACTCTTCTACACCAGCTCGGTACACCTCTCCAGAGGAGTAAAGTTTCGTCCTTTGTTAAAGACGTAGCTTCCTTGACTTTTCTCTCGTCCCAACTGTCGTCCAACCAGTGATGCTCTCTTCTGGCGAATACATACTCCAGACAACGACGCTCGAGAAGCTGAAGCTTGCTGCCTGAAAAGTCTGTGATTCGCAACGCAGCATTCTGTGGATTCGGACCTGCTGGGACCTTGGTCGAGGCAGAGCTGAATGTCATTGCCGACGCATCCTCATCCAACCGCGACTGTCGCTCGTCTGCCGCCGAGCCCTTTTTGCTTCCAGTCAGCCACGCTTTCGCGGTCCCCAATACCTCCTTACGATTCCACAAAGCTGCCAACCTGGACGCGAAACCGTCGCAGGAGACACACGTCCCCGCGTGGTCATGCGCTGGACGAGGACCATGCGAGGCCGACGTCGTGGTTACCTCTCCGCTGCGAGAGCTGTCATTCATTTTCTTTGATGACTCGTGTGTCGTAACGGGAACTGTTTCTTGGAATCTTCATTTATAATTACCCTTACGCTTACCCAGCATCATCAACACTGTTCTCACAACATCGACTACATGTGAGCAAGAAGATGGCAATCGACGCAGGAAAACCACCGCTAATTATTGTCTTGTAGTGTGAGGACTCTCTTGAGTGGTGTCGCTTCATCCCTTTTTTATGATCACGCAGAAGTCATGACACCTGTATCAGCAATTGCAATATGATCAACATTGGATGATCTTTTATTTGGAGCTCGACAACTCAACCCATTGTCATGATCATCTCTCACTACCTCATGCGAATGAAATTGCTTCCAGGAAGATCATGGTTGCGTGTCCAGGGTTTACAAATCACGATCAAGCTGTCCTGTTGGATCTCCTGTCAGAGTTTTATGTCAAGAATGGTAGACAACTAGTATTCCCGCTCCTTGTCATGTGTGCATCTCTGTTATGGTCCTTCATGATCACCGTAGATTTTTTTTTTTTGCGTTAGGACTATATGCCGCCACCCATTCAATCAATTATTTACCCCCTTATTTATAAGATCATCCAAATTACATACTGGGTGCGCATAAGACCGTACAATCGGCCACAAGTCTACATCTATCGGAGAAGCCGTACATTCGACTCCTGTAGAAAACCTAAGGCGCAACCCGACGCAGCGGGGCCCCGTGAGCAAGTCAGCACACCTGCAGGGGTATGACACGCCGCAACACTGATGTTTGATATACTGATGAACCTCCTAAAACATGAACTGACAGTTAAAAAAATTAACTACGACTAGCAAACCCGAAATCAGTGAAGCAAGCCTGTGCTAAGCCTAAGCGCAGAGATCGGACTTAACTAATGCTTTTGAGATCTCGACCGGTGAAGTCACATGCCTCACCAGTCATCTACAGCGCGGAGCTAAAACCGTGACGAAAGCGGCCTGGTGAAGGAATGGGAGCGGCAATAATTGCCGTTACAGCTAAGTTACTATAAAGTCGTATTGATGAGATTTATCCTGTTTCTTTTTTCTATTCCGTCACTTCGTTATCTCCTTCGCCCGACGTATGTGGCTAAAACTTGGCTTGATGGATTAGCTGAGTCCCACTTTTAGTAGGCCTTTCTTAGCACAGAAGTTTCCCGTGGTCGTCGTCTTTCCTGCTATTCTCCGTGTGCTTAAAGCCTAAAGATTTGAAAGAATAGAGGTGATAAAGACAAGAAGTGGAAGTGGACTTATATTACAGCAAAAAGAAGAGTGTTGAAAGAAGGGCTACCACCCAAGGAATAGGACAAATACTAAATAAAAGATTACATGAGAAACCAAGAAAATGGAGAAGGTCTACCAAGATGGAATAGATAACATCTTAAGAATGCAGAAAAAGACGAGGGCTACTCTACAAAAACAGCGGGTTAGCTGCGGGAGGTAAGATACAGTATCGGACGCGAGAAAGGAGCTTGGGGCCCCTTTCTCGATAATTATCTCTCCCACGCAACGAGAACTCAAACTAGAACAGAGCTACGATCCGGCACAGAACGAGAGAACGAACTTCATTTGTAACTCACAAAACGACTCACCCTCACACAAGTACAGAGTTTAAAGAAATCACACGTGACCATCAGCGCCCATGCTTTCTCAACCCGAAGGGAAAAAGTTTGAGCTCCGGTCCTCACACACTCAACAGATGTTTTGTTCGTAAATGCCTTTCCAATTTTTTGTAGAGACAAAGATACATGTAGTTTTTTTTTTTGCGTTAGAACCGAATGGCAGCCGTCTACGAGGACGCCTCCCGTTTTATCCCAGCTGGGAATTGCAGATCCTCCGGAACTCCTGCCTTTCAGACTAGGAAAATAGTGACCGAAGGCAGGCAAGACTAGTCGCCGAGCAGTCAGTCTAACCAGATTGGCGGAACATCCCGTGAACCCCCCGTTACTAAGCCATAAAAGATTGCGTCGACCATGACACCTCGGTCGAAAAGATAACACGATGGATGTTACTACGTGTTTCTCACCACCTTGTGTGCACTCAACAACAACCCTCTTTATAAGAGACCACCTTTTGTGACTTCCATCTTGTACTTTTTCTCTCGTATTTCCTCAGTTATACTCAGTCCGCCTTGTCAGATGCAATAAAAACATAGCTTGGTTATAAAGGTTAAGGTTGGGGCATTCTAGCTTCTAAATCGTCATGGTCATGTACTTCAGGTCTAACCCTCCCTGGTCTAACCTCCCCCGCGTTCATGAGGATCTTTGATCATTCATAACAACTCCCTTCATCAGTTCTTCTATCCTTGAGTGCCAGTACGCGTTTCCCCATGCTGCCATTGCATGTGCTTTCATTGATCCCCGATACCTAAGATATATGCTTCGGCCAGCATCCTTAGCATTTTCCTGAATACGTGAATCCCTCTTTTTTATCGTCAGAAAAACAGACAGAATCTTATGCACAACCTCGGGATTGCTCCTCTGTTGCCGTGGCAGTTGCGCAAAGATCTCTCGCAACAAAAAGATCTGCATCTTCTGTGCGGCAGTCAAGCTCCATCCCTTTGACACTTCTGGTTCTGAGGAGCCATCGTGGTCCTCGTGATCCGCCTCACTGGACGCGTCCTCTGAGTAGGAGTCAGAAGAAAAACAAGTATCACCGCAATGTTCAGCATAATACGGCGCCTTCTTATCCTTTGTGCTAATCTTAATATTGTGCATCAAGACAGGTTGTTTCGCTTTGCGTGCAAGAGGCACACCAACTGTTTCTATGAGCTTCATGTAATAAGCCTTGTCTAGGGCTTGCAGCGGGACTTTCCTCCCATTGGCGTGAGAACTTTCTTGCGTTGAGCGCGATTCTTCTTCACAACCTTCTTCATCTCGTTTGTGTTGGCTTTTCATACCATTAATCTTTTTTGTATCGTTTCTACCGTCTTTTAACTTTTCCAGATTGCTTTTGGTATCGGCAGATGCGCAAGAAGAAGGCCCTGCTGAAAATAAATCACACTGTCCTCGCGACGTCGTTGGAACATCTTCGTCGAGCAAGTGCCAGTTATGCATTACGTTTTCATATCCCATTTTGTACGCAGCGAAAGGCTCGCCCGCAAGTTTGAGACTAATAAGTAAACATGTGGTCGCCTGCACGCAAACGTAACCCTCTGCTAGCATCGCAGTGTGATATCTCATCGCGAGTTCTGCGCGATACCGGCACAGCCGAATAATACCCAAGTAGGTTAGTGGAGTCTTTTTCTTCACCAACTGAGAAAAAATCAGTTCCGGGGCAGGCAGCGTAAACTTTGACCTTTCACGATCGATTTCGTCGCGTTTATCAACAAGTACCCCTGCTCTAGCTTCACCTCTATTTCTTCTTGTCTCGTCTCGCTCTCCCCCAGTTTGCGGTGGTAAAGCTTGCAGGGGGCGACAACACGCTAAGACAGTGTTCCAGGTATAATCATCCGGCAAGAGTGCTGGATTCTTCTCTGCGCGTAGTTGCATCTCATGCACCAAGTCAGTCGCAGCCGATTGCTTGTCTCTAAGCGTGTGATCGTGTTTTACACAAGTCAAAGCGATATTGAACGCATTCACTGATACTCTATCCACCGGAAGTCGCCGAAAGAGCTCCATAAACGTCTTTCGCGAGGCTCCTGTGGAGACTAACGCATGTAGCGCAGAGTGAAACGCCGGCCATGGATTGTCCTCCATAGAGACTCGTTCTCTCGCTTCTGTTCTTGCTCCTGGTGTCCCTGAGTTCAAGTGCCCACCCGAGCTGCTGCTCGAGCTGGCTACTCTGCCTTTCGACTTCCGACCACGCCCAGCGCCGTATTCAGCTAGCGTTGGCGCACTGTCCTCATCTACATTGAATGTAATGTCTTTTTCTTCTTTCACTTCTTGCGACGTAGGTATGTGTGATGCAGCTTCCTCCGAGAGAATGCCATCAGGCTGAATACCACTCGAAGGTTCGGGTATTCGTTGTAGCAGTGGGGAGCCCCAAAGCTTGTCTGCCAGCGCTTCTACAGCCTCCCTGTCGCGATGCCGTGTTAGAGCCTGAAACCAGGTTACCCACGGCCATGGCGCTCCAAGCGTGTCATGATTCACGTAATCTGCGCACAAAATCTGAACCGATTTTCGTACCTCTGGCAGAGCGTAGAGATGCGGCTTTCGTACGACTCGGCGATGCGATTTCATATGATGGTCTTCTAACGCGCTACTCGGAGTAGGCATGATGTCCTCGTGGTCGCCTATTTTTGGAGAATCCTGACCTCTCCGTCCACCACTAAGTTCTGCCCATGCACCATGTCGAATATGTTCACTCTCGATACTGCTCGAAGATGTTGCTTTGCGCTTCGTGTGTTTTTGCATTTTTGACGGCACAGGAGGATCAGGAACCTCCGAATCGTCAAGTATTGAGAAGTCGTCATCGTTCTTCTTTTCCGCGCTGACGGCAGCTCCAACTACTGGCCTCTGGAGACCTGCTGCGAAAACATTTCTTGGATCATAATGTTCCTGACCTCTACTCCTGTTGCCTGCGTCAGAACCCGCGAAATTCGCGAGAGATGACTTGCGAAGGTCGTGTTTGTTTCTTTCCAGAGTACAGCTGTCGTAACGATGAAGGTCAGGATCTTGCGCCGCCGAGCCTTCTCGTGAATTCCCGACTGGTAAACTTCGTCGTGGTGTATTGCCACGCTTCCCATAGGTCAAAATGCCTCGGTATTGGAAGTTTGGAAATTTCGCAACGACTCTTCTGCGCAAGCAGGCCCATGTTGAACATGGCGTCACCTCCTTGGAGAACATCTTCTTCCAGATGAAATCGAAGTCGCACGAACAGCAAAAATACGATTGACCTGCAGAAGCAATAGCATTAGCAAGCTACCTTTTTTATTACACTCAAGAATACGAAAGGGTAGTGGCTGCAACGTCAATTCTCTCTTATCGCGTGCACTTTCTGGTGCGTAATTATGAGATCATCTATTTCTACTTGTAGTCGCAAGACGCTTAACAGGAAAACATTCACTGAACACTCTCTCCACCGCAGAGAAAAACGTGGGTACCACCAGGCTGCCTCCGAAAGCCTCTTCTTCTACCACATCTATATCTTAGTGTTTTTCGTCTATCCGTATATCGACTTTATCACCATGCAACAAGAATTCACATCAGCGTATCTGCTTCGCTAAGCAATCAATTTCAAGCTTTTCTGTAAACAATGAACAAGTTGACTTCACATTGGGCAAGTCCACTGTCTCATTTCTACTGTGCATCGTTGGCCGTGTTCTCCGTACAACACAATGCCAGCGAGCAGGTCTGTTTCTTTCTTGCCAGCTCTTACAGGTATATCTGAACTTCACTCCACCTCGCTTTTGTCACTTAAAAAATTTAAAGGTAGAACATAGAAAGATTGAAAAAAAAGGCTGCTCTGATTAGGTATGAATGACTCGTGGATAGTACGAACAACAATGCAATTACAAATTACATAGCGTAGGAGTAGGACTAAATAGTAGTGTCGAGGAATTTCAAATATAGACAAAATCAACGGGCTCAAGAATTCAACTCTATTTCTTCCCCTCCGTGCTCCACATAGTCGCTATTTCAGTAACAGGCGCAAATAGCTTCGTTGGCAGCATGAACCTGAGGTAGCCTGGCAAAATCTCGCACGTCAACTGCCTATCTCGGGAATCGTCCGGATTACAATTTTCAAAGGGAAACTCCCCATTGCCGCACACATCCAATATTGATGCACCAGGCCCACCGGGCACCGTAATCTCGACTTTTTTGGCTCGGAGGATATGAACTAGGTCAGCACCAATATCGAGACGAAGTTAAACTAGCGTCTAAGAGAATGAGAACCACTAGTGGACTCTCGTTCTCATCTGTTAGGGGTAGTGCTGCAAAGTGCCACCTATCCCTATCACTATCAATCGTTTCAGTTTGTAGCTCAGAGCGTTCATTCAAGCTTATTTTTACGCCATAAAAATAGAGACACACTTCCGGGGACTGGGTTAAGTGTTCGCCGGTCTCGATCTCGCCGAAAACTTGAATCGCTTTTATCCTGGAGACTTGCCCACGACAGCATACTACATGCAGAAGCCCGTCGTTGTAGCGTGCCCCCGGTGCCAAAATAAGCGTAGGATCGATGTAGTTGCAATTAAGAACGCTCGCAAAGACGAAGTCGTCGCCGCTGTGTTCTGTTACCTCTCCTGATTCGTTGAAAATCTTGACTTTGCATCGCACCTGTCGCATACCCAAAATGTGCTTTACAGGGACCAGTGTATTGCGGACGCCTTTCGGCAGGTGTCGGACCCACCCATCCGGATCTTCATTCTCGAGATCGATATCCGAGACAATGCCGTAACATGTATGATGGAAATCAATTGTGCTACTAGATGGAGAGCTCTCCGCAAGGATTTTATCTTTCTTTCTGTAGCTTGATGTTGTACCAGTATTGGCCAAAAGTCTCATTGTTGCTTTGTATGCGTCAATCGGATGAGTTTCGTCTTTCAGGATTGAATATACGATCAAGGCGAAGACGTAGCGCGATAGAGCAAGTGGACAACCGAATGTGCTATTGCTGAACGCGGGTGCAGAAAGGGCCTCGGATGAAGACGCTGAGCTGTTTGTTGAAGATGACTGCAACGACAACGAGCCTCCTCCTTGTCTCGTACTACTAGTGCCTGCCCGCCCAGCTGCATCTAGTAAACCACTTGTGTTGACATTCGTTGTAAGTCTAGGAACCCCGTTTTGTACTTGCCGTAGGACTCGAAATTCTTGCTCTTCCTTGCGCCTATCAAATATGCTCGACGCTAGACCGTCCGATGTCCCACATGGCACTATTCCCAAACGCAATTTTGTCACGTCAACAGCACCTCCAGCCTCTCCTCGTGACAAAAAATTTATGAGTTCATAGAGTGTTCCGTCGCCGGAAAGAAAAACGATTCCTAGAAGACGGTCGGTTTCATGCAGGTGCTTGAAAACGTCTATAAAACCCTTGTTCGCCGCGTTGATACTCGTAACCTTCGCATCCACTTCTTCTAGTGCTTGCCCTGCTCGTCTGCTAGATTCATTCTTCACCGCAGTCTTGCCGACATCCGCACCTGTCGAACCGACACTTCCGGTCTTTGTACTGCCACGCTGCTCTGCAACACTTACATTTTCACGATTGCTTTCCGCAGATTGATAGTCCTCCTTCCGGCGACTACACGCAGAACAGCGAGTCTGCGTTTTGATCTTCTTCCTCTCCAGGGCAGCGAAGGTGTCAGCGACTCTAGCGGGATCTTTGAAAAGGTCGACGACCGTCCACACCACTTCGTATTCTATGCCATGTCGTTGGCACAGGGGCGCCACAACGCTCGAGAATACTTCTCCTGCGCGCTTGTTACCGGACGCAGGGTTTACCACGAGAAGAAGCTTTTTTGTGCCAGTGTATTCTTCGGAAGGATTGAGAAACGAATCCACAGCCGAAGCTGAGCCACCTCCGCCCCACAGAAAAGACATTTTTTGACTGCAGTATATGCTTGATTAAAACTACTTTTAACGAGAACTTCATTGTTGGCGTGAAAGAAAGACAGCCATTCCTTCCCAACAATAACAACTTGATGGATATACTTAATTGACTTGCGTTCACCTCACAGCCAGTGCCAGATCAGATTTCCAAATAAGCATCACTCGTTCCTTTCTGAACATCGATCTTTGACCCATAAAAATTTGCTCATCGTTGCTGCTGCAGCTCACGTTAAGAGAAGTTGCTGCTGTACCTATACTCGGTTCTGAGAAAGTGCGCGTCGAAAAAAACACCATACCGAAGAAGTAAAACTAGGAAACGGATAACGATAAAAACATCTTCTTGTGTCCTCCTAGCAAACACACTCGCTAAGAACGCCACAGTCACGGCATTAGAAAAGAAAGATTAATACGCGTTAGCTTACGAGCTCCAAAGTCTGTGCTGCTTGAAACAATGCCGAAAGGTGCAGACCAGGTAGAACTTCGCCGGATTGCATTTTCGGCAATAGCGATTCCTGCTGCTGTGTCGATTTCCGTGAGTGTCGTTTTGCTTGGTTCCTCACGGTCTTTCCAGCAAGCAGATCGATACTTTCGAAGCCATCCGTATCATAATATTGCTGCTGATGGCTTTGGCTTTGGGAAAACAGGTCTTCGGCATATCGCATTGAGGTGTTTTTCGGGTTATTCCTTCGACTCTCCTGCTTAAGACCCTCCTGATCGAGACCGCGATTGGCCCGTCGACGTCTCAGACGCAATGAGAAGGGCTTGCCCGATACCGCATCCACGAGGAAATCCACAAGATCTCCCTCGCAGGCGCGTGTCTTTGGGAGCCGCAAAATAAGTGGCGACCACGCGATTTGACCCGCTACGTTTCGCGCACCAGGCGACGTATCCATACCCATAGTGAATCGTGGGTCATTTTGGTTGTGCGGAACCACGGGTGCTTTTTGGTCTCCTGTTCCGTTGTTCAGAATGTCTGGACTTGTCTTTAAAGTCGTACTTGCTTCAATTCGCCAATCAAAAAGAATCCCGCTGAGCCATCCACATGACCTGTGAAGTGCGCCATTAACTTTTTGATCTTCATCTGCCAACGCCAAGTGCGAGCTGTGGCCCCGACGCGTCCTTCCCCATTGTATACTTACCACCTTTATTGAGGCTTCTAATATCAGCCTGTCCAGTGATGTATAAGTAGTAGTGAAGGCGTCCCCTATCCGTTGTTCTTCAGCCACAAAAGTAAGAGGGCCGTGTGCGAGAGTCCTGAAGTCTTTGTTCAAAACGCAGGTGCGCTCCGAAAAAAACACGAGTCGATCTTCGTTCCCGGCGAAGTCGTGACTGCCTCCAACTTGATGTTCATTTTTGGTCAACACAACGATAGCAGCAGCGGGATCAGCTTGATATGGTGGAAACAAGGGTTGAAGTTTCCATGCTGACGTCATTTCCGAGTCGGAGTCAGGTTGTTCCGGCGTCGTCATATTCATAGTACTTCCCACAAGTCTTCCAAATTGACATCCATGCCCTGGCACGACTATCGTGTCCTTATGACCCCAGCGGTGCAACGCATCTGCCAACGATAGATGTGCCATCTCCCCGAAAAGCATCGCCCCAAAAATTTCCGTAACAATCAAGTCGAAACCGGCAAATTCTTTCTTGGTCTTCTTCCATCGCCTTCGAACCGCTTCGATAAGACTCTCCGTCGCGATGTCGGTACTAAGCTTTCCACTAAGGAGAAAAACCCGATCAGCGACATTGTTTTCCACAAATGCGCTCCGAGAAAGGGACGCGACGCCTTCATTTGCTTCAATTGCCACGACTAGCGCCTGCGGGAAAGCTCTCGCTGCTAAGATCGACAGCACGCCAGTGCCGCTCCCTAAATCGAGAATAAGCCGAATATTGCGACAAGAGGGTCGCTCAGAACTGGCTACGTTTCTGCATTTATCGTCGCACAACCCGTGAGAAGCGCTTTTAGCGTGTAATTCCAAAGCATCGCGATAGAACTCCAGCCGCTCCGTGTCTTGCAGAAAAACAATGTGCTTGCGAAGACCCAAGCGTGCTGACTGCACGAATACATCACTCAGAAACGAACTGAAGAAGAGACCTCGATCTCCAGCATTCGCTCCAGCTAGAGCACTCTGACGCTGCACGTCTAGCACTCTGTCCATGACAAAATGGCCGCCAAAACTCGGCTCGACCCCGTCTCTGTGGTTGAAGATGAAATCATGATCACCGAACTGAAAAGTGGTCTTCTGTGTTTCTCCACCCCGGAGCCAGAGGAGCAACTGCGGAATCGATCGCGTTTGTCCTCGTGAAGGAAAACACAGCTTACGAAGAACCGGAATTGGCGGTAAGTAAACCAAAAGTAGTATCGAAATCGCAACTATGACGAGGCCGCGAGGGCTTGCAGTCGAGTTGCGATAGAAGTACTTGGATAAAAGAAGGAGCAAAATTTCTGTGATCTTTCTCATTTTAGCATTTCTTGAGGGCCTATGATGAATCACGTGAAGAAAATCTATCCGTTACACTGTTAGAATTCGTTACATTTTTTGCAAGTGCTACTTCTACATGCTTCTATGCACCGAGCCAGGCTCCAGACGAATTTTTATGATGTGATCCGTATCTTTTGCTTTTCTGCTGCTCATGCGCTTCTTTGAATGCAGATGTACCAAACGTTGCTTGCAGTAAAAATACGCTGTATACGATCAAGTCGCTGTTTTTGTGAACATACTCGGACAAACAACCTCCATTTCCGGATTTATCACCACTTCATAATATGCTTTAAAATTTTATCGTTACTCACCGATAAGGCTACGAATTTCATAACAACGTACAAGAAGAGGAAAACATTCGTCCTCTGGACAGCAACAGCGAATAGAAAAGAATTTCTGATGGAGAACTCGAAGTCAAAAGGCATTCTGCACCAAGACCCAGTCTGATGCTGGAGCTGGTCATGAACATGATGGGAGGGAAAAGATAAAACCCAAACTGCAGTGCCAGTGTTGTAGTTCTGGAACATCATGTAGGAGTCAGTGATGCTGATGTTAGGAATCTTCAGAGGGGAAAACCATGTCCAACTCTAGTTCTAGATCCACATGATAACTAATAAATAAAGTAAGAGGGGGATACAACCAACAACACGATGAAGGGGGGCATAGGGAAAAAGAAAAAGTCATCAAAAAAGGTATTAATATAATACCAGACATGTGTATTCTTCACTGCGCTCTATGTACGTAACAGCATGGGGGCAACGTTGGACTGAGTTCTGTCATCCACCCTTCCCGTGATGTGGTGGATGACTCCAAATATCCGCTACTTTTCTTGCAGACGAAGAAAAGAATGCCAGCAAGAAAGACACTGACCTTGAAGTGAGGTATTCAAAGCTGTTGCATGGTGATGATAGAACTGAGCGGATGCAATTGCTGCGTACGAATATGATCCAACAGATCAAACATAACTTCGGGTCGCAAACGAGTTCATTAGATGAAGATGGGCTTCTAAGCCGCCATGTCCTAGTACGGCAACATCCTAGACTTCAAAAAAATCAGATTCAAAACCAAGCCCCGCCGAAGAGAGGATTTACATACTCAATGACACAGTCATATGCGTAGTGTGGGTTACAGAGTTTACGCAATTTGGCTCCGTAGTCACAAGTCTGATTTTTCCTTGAAACGAGAACGCTGTGCCCGATTACGCAAACCGCGTCTATTGCAGTGTCTTAAGCCGTAGCTGTAGCAATTCGCAACCCTTATTCAGCATTATCACGTCGAGTGAACAGCAGTACTAATCTTGGTACACTTGTTCATCTTTAGATTTCCAGTGGCTCGACAGTCGACACCAACCATAAAGCTCATGCTAGATTCTTACGACTCAATAGCAACTACGGCGTGCCTCATTTGAATAACTATGCTCCCTCATGCGAGAGAACAATGAGAGTGATGTTGCGCATGGCACAACGACACCTCACCTATATGTATCATGTATGTCTGGGTCAGCGAGTCAGGGGTTATGGACGATGAGCAAAAGCCTAACAACATGACAGGGAAATTACAATCATGAAATACGATCGACTAGTAATATGAACATGCCGAACAACGTGGATAATAGCGGGGACGGGAAGTTTTCATCTGATGATCAATTTCTATAAGTGAATACATTTCTATTTTCTCGTTCTTCTTCGATTTTTCTGTCGTAGGGGTAATCCGTGCGTCACTTTCGAATAGTACGAAGTCGCACTTTGTTCGAAGGGCGCTATGGCAGAAACTGAGTTTCTTTTTCTACCAGGACATCAATCAGGAAGACACAATATATGACGAAATAATGAAGATTTCATCGAGGTAAAGGTAAGAAGTCTTCCACTCCCACAAATAGTCAACAATGATAGTTCACGTACTTAGTCTTCTGAAAATCCATCGGTCGGAATCCCAACAGCTATCTGCTGCAACTACTTAGAGAAGTTCCTCCCCCTTTTGAATTTTCTCCCTGTATAGCACCTCAAATTCACGAATACGGCGTTTTCGGAAGTCCTTGAAGCCCTTGTCTTTCTCCTCGTGGGGCACGATCTTCTTGCGTACTATGCGGGTGTACTGGATCTGTTTCATGTTATCCGAACTTCCTCCAGCACCTGATGTGGCACCAAAAGATGAACTACCTACACCAGCAGCGGCCATACCTGTTGCACGAGAACTACCAGCCCGCGACGAAGGGCTTGCATCGTCCTCCGCCGGATCTTCTTCGACCGTTTCCAGATTGCCAAAAGGGTTGTTCATCGTCGCAGTCTTTCGTGACTTCTGCCTTTCGATGCATGCAGGATCGAAGGTGCCGACGCGGTCTGGATGACCTCTGCCACCTTCGCCTTGGCACGCAGCGTCGCCACGCATGTTATCAAAGTGTTCCCTGACTAGAGTCGGGTCAAACGTGCCGACGCAGTCGCCTTTCCTACGACGCTTCACCCTGGTATCGCGTTCAGAAGACGGTTCTTGCCGCCTCTCCGGTAAGCGGGCGCGCGAGTCGCTACGCCCGTTGGCAGGAACACCACTTGTGCTGCCAGCGTTGTACACACGCCCAGCCTTGCTCTTCATATTCTCAGGTTGTGGTGGTCTCGCTCCATCATCTCTTTCTCGTGAGTCAGCCTGCCTTGCTTGCGCCTTTGCCTTCGTACCCTTGTCAGGGTTTCCTTGCTTCGTTTCGCGACTGTCAGTTTTTTTGGTCAGTGTGACCTTGCCGTTCGTGCTGGGCTTGCTTTCGGTGTCCCTACCAGTCACAGCAGCTGCAGTGCGCTTGTTCGGTTTGCCCTCCACTCTAGCTCTTGAGGAGTTCTGAGCACGCTGGTTCGTTCCAGAGGCTGGCTTCGCTGCGTTTTTCTTATTCGGCGCTGCTTTTGCTCCTCCTCCGCGACCTTGTTGCGGTCTTCCTCTCGAGTCGCCGCGACCACGCGGCGATTGCGAGAGAGACGGTCGACAAGCAGACGCTGCCGACACCAGCGCGTCGTCATCCTCGTCAGCCGACACGAAGTCGTCATCCACAGAGGGTACGGAACTTGACCGATTGGACTTGAAGGGCTCTTCCACAAACGTAACGTCCGAAGGCACCAACAGGTGGTCAGTGCTATTCGCACTGCGTGCCCGGTTGGTGCTTGCCGAGCCTGAAGCACTAGACTGCAAGTTCTTGGTGTCCTTATCTTTTTTGGTGCGAGGCTGCAGGCTAGCTGCCGAGTTCGCGCCGGAAGAGTTGTTCCCCTGTACGTTCTTCTCCTGTACCTGCTTGCGCGTTTGCAGTACAATGCCCGAAGATTGCTTGCTTCCTCGACTCGACGGAAGCGGATCACTCTGCTTCGACGTGTTCGGGGCATTCTTGGCACGACTCGACGGAAGCGGGTCACTCTGCTTCGACGTGGTCGGGGCATTTTTAGCACTCTTGCTTTTGAGCTCAGGAGCGGTCTTTTTCGATGTGCCCGTTGTAGTGGTCTCCTTCTCGTTCGTTTTGGAGGTCTTCTCCTGTCGACGTCCACGCTGTGACACCGACCGCGAATCACCCCTAGCGGCTTTCTTCGCCTTCTTGCTCACCGCTGGGTCCACAGAGGATTTCTGTTGAATGGAGGTCTTTTTGCTCTTGCTCTCCGGTGCCGAGCCATGACGGTCATCGTCACTTCGACCATAGTCATCCTCGTCTCGGTAGCGCTTTTCCTTCGCGGCCTTCTTCGTTGGCACAGACGATTTTTGATCAGAGTCTTTCGACCCTTTAGAGCTCTTGCTCGCCGGTGGACTTGATTCTGCGACACCCTTTTTTGCCTTCTTGGTCGGGGCTCCCTGATCCGAACTGTCCATCGTAGAAATATTCTTCTTTTTGTACCGAGAGAGAATGTCTTCCGCCGATGCTGCAGCGACAACAACTGGCGCGCTGTCCTCCTGCTGCTTCGCTTTCGTCTTGCTTCCTTTAGACGCTGGATCCTTCTGTTCCCCCTCACGCTTCTTGTGCGGTTTTGAAGAAGGGACCTTCGCTGCTTCAACGTCGTCTTCCTTGTCGTCATCCAAAGCGGCCAGGTTGTAGACCCGCGTCTTCTTCTCTTTAGGTCCATCGTCGCTGCTGCCAGTGCTCATTTTAGCATCTCGATTAATGCGCTTGGATGCGCCCTGCGCGCGAGGAGGACTCGGTGGCGGCTGCCGTGTAGAAGCGCGTCGGTCACCACCACTGTTTTTCGGCTCTGCGCCACCTGCACCTGAGCGGTCGGTATCGCGGCCGCGAGCACGACTGGGTTCGTCGCGTCCACCTGTTTTTACTGCGCGGCTTCCACGGTGCTCTCGCTCGCGCGAGTCAGGGCGGCTCGCCGTTGTGGTTCTGGTCGCGTCTTTCGTCGTGCGTTGATCAGCAGAATTGCGACGATCGCGGCTGGATTTCTTATTTGCCTTTCCGTCGGCCTTTGACAGACGTGCTCGACTGTCTGCAACTCTTCTCTTATCGTCGAAATCTGCATCATCCTTTGCACCTCGCTTTTTCTCTTTAGGAACTACATCTGTAGATTGCTTATTCTTGCCTCGCTTCGTATCAACGCGGCTGTCGTCGCGATTCCGAGCTGGGCTCCTCTCGTACTTATTATCGCGCTTTTTGAGAGCACCATCATCCTTTTTGGTCTTTTTTGTATCTTCACGCTGGCGTTGCCGACTCTCCCGTCGGTCGTCGGGCCGTCCGCCATCTCTGCGATCAACACTTCCTCGGGGAGAACTGGATTTGCGCTTCGTATTCTCCTTGTTACTTTTGCGTTTGGGACTTTCATCCCAACGACCATCGCGTCTCGGACTTCGGCTTGCGCCTTTCCGGTCGTCGCGCCTCGGGCTCGTTCCCTTTCGGTCGTCCCGCGGGGGACTGGCATGACGCTCGTCTCGTCGTGGTGGGCTGAAGCGGCGGTCCCGACGCGGGCTGGCCGGTTTGCGTCCACCTCGGCTGTCATTTCTGCGCACCTCGCGACGCGGGCTGGCATCTTCGCGGCGCGCCCGGCTGTCGCCACGATTACCGCCGCGAGTTGCCACACGATCTCTTTCGCCGCCACGCGCGTTGCCATACCAGCCACCATCGCGACCACGGTCACGATTATCTGCCCACCCACGCATACCACCGCGCATATCGAATCGGCTGCCTACCTGGTGTCCGCCTCGATGACGGCGCCAATCGTCTTCCTCGCGATCAGAGTCACCACCACGTCCTCTGTCAGAGCGGAAGCGATCGTCTTGCCTCTTCATCGTTTCCACGATGTCCTCTTGTTTGTCTTTCGCTTTGCGATCAGCACCTGCAGTATCCGCCGCTTTGGGTTTAGCCGCCGTCGCGGAACCTGCTTTCTTTTCTGCCGCTTCCGCTACCGGTTTGTCTCCCTTGACGTTATTTTCGTCGTCCTTGCCCTTTTCGCCCTTACCCTTCATCCACGGGAAGAGGTCGGTCAGAAAAGAGGCACCTTTTCCCTTCGAGAAACTGGGCTTTGGCTTGTCGAGCAACGACGCGACCTCGGAAGAAGACGTGAACGGTCGGTTGGCCACAGGCTTGTTCAAAATTTCCGCAAGTCCTGAAACCTTCGGTCGTTCAACTGGTTTTTCGACACCTTCTTCTTTCGCGACAGCAGCATCTTCACCTCCCCCTTTGGCGGTTTCTGTATCCTCAGCTTCGCCGCCATCACCAGCAAGAGTCTCCACAGGAGCATCTTCAGCCACGAGGACAGTTGCGTTATCGTCATCGTCTTTCTTCTTGTTGAACGGGTTAGAGGCATACGTCGCAACAATTCCACCTTCCTGGTCTTCGTCTTTAGCCTCTACTTCGTTTTCTTCATGGTCATTTTCGACACCGCTTGCTTCACCTCCTGCTTCGACAGCGCTCAATTCTATAGCCTCGTTCTGGTCGACAACTCCGTCATCGTCGTCACTAACTGCGAGAGGGTCCTTTTCAACTTTCTTCTTGGAGGTGTCGCCTTTTTCATCGGCACCCGTAGTTGTGGTCGTGTCAGTGGCCGCCTCGTCCTTCTTGGCAGCAGCTGACGCATCTTTGTCTTCGTCATCCTCTACGGTAGTTGTGTTGCCCAATATCAGCGATCTTCCGCTCGTGACCTTCTCAATCAGTTCGAGAGTACCCATCTTGCCTTTTCCCTTCTCTGAGGCGCCACCGGCTTTCTCGAGGAGGTACGCCGCACTCGCTGTTCTCACGACATCGGCCTCTTCTCCCGGAAGCCCTCGCTCCGAAGAGCGCGAGCGGCGGCGGCGCCGTCGGCGGCTGTCACGGCGGCCGCGACTGTCTCGGCGACCGCGTCGGCGTTCACGACTGCGTGACTTCTTCTCATCCTCGCCTGCGACTTCCCTGACGTTGAATTTCATCACCTCGTTCTGCTCGATGGTAATCTCGATTTCAGTTTCTTCCTCAGCCGCTTTGGCGACAGCAGCCGCATCTCCGCCGCTGACGTTTGTGTCTTTGCTCGCCGGCTTCTGAGACTGGGTGTCGGCTGAATCCTTGCTGACCTGCACGGTGTCCTTGTAGTTGGTACCTGGACGATCGCGACGATCGCGACTGCGACGGCGGCCCCGGCTGTCCCGACGTCCGCGGCGGCGGCTGTCACCACGACGGCCAGCAGAGCGTGGTCGGCGCAAAGGACTGCGACCAGCATCCCGCCCGCGGTCCCGACTGCGGCGGTTATTCGAAGCCAGGTGACCCTCAATTAACCGTTTACTCGTCTCCACATCGACTTCTCCAGACGGCTCGTCGAACCCGAACTTAGCGTTGCCACCAGGCATCGTCGTTTTCGCGGACGGACGGGATTGTAGTGCTGCTTCCAGCGACTTCAATTTTCTCTGGCCCGCAAGCTGGCCGCGGACCGCCTCCGAATCTTCGACAGTATCGATCCACCAGTGAGAACGCTTCTTCTCCAGCTTTCCCTCTCCCGTCGCTGCATCAGTGGCGAATCTGGAGTTCCCGGAATACTTCGACTCGAAGTAGTCTTCGCTGTCCCGACTCACGGTAATTGTGTGCAAGACGCCAGCCTTAGAAACGGCCAAAGTTCGCAACGCCTGCTCTCCACCGTTTAGCTTGAATTCATCCCAAGCCTCGTCGGCATTCTCAAGGCGTTTCTCCTCACTTGTCATCTGAAAAGAAAAAGATTGTTTGGACAGATAAAAATCGTCAGAAACATCATTTCAGTGAGATTTTGGAAGTTGTTGGCATCATCGCCGAAGGCTGAGACTTGTATTTGTTTGCCATCTACTAAGACAAACAGAAGAGGATGGCTATCACGAAAGATTGTAATACCAGGCCATCCTGACCCTTCCATTTGCAGTTCATATTGGGACCGTAGCCAAACATTTCTTGAATATGCCTGTCGCCGGTAGTAGTGTCCGGCGCATCTACCGTCACTTGCGACGGCATTTCTCGATCTTGCTCCACCCGTGTTTTGATAATCTCCTGCGTGCACTCGTATTTTACCTTGTGGTTTTGTTATCAGACTTAGTCGAGAGGTGTTTCTTTCTATCGAAGAGGTTGAGGATCTGTTTGAAATTGAAATTCAACATCGATATACTAATCTACAGGATATGAGGTGCTGGATCCTTCCTATAAAAAGAAGTCATCAAGTTATCGATAAAAATGATGCATGTTTAGGTGTTAAATTTTATGTTTATCTTTATCGCATGATGTATAACAGTAGTACGTCGCCATCCTGCATCTCCGTAGAGCTGAGCTTGCCATCATTAGTCAAATGGGATAATCTGTGGTGCTCCCTGCCGAGCTTAAAATCTTCGCAGTGCTCCGCGTCTCGAGTAAACCAGCACAGAAAGCTGAGTCGGTTCCCAGCGGTGATCTCACTCACTTTGTGCTTTCGGTTACTGCGGAAGAAGCCGCCCATGTTCTTTTTCGGGGTGACTTTTTGCCACGTCGTTGCATCCGCCAACAAATCGCTCTTCGACGTGTCCTCGATGAAGAAGTCACCACCTCGGAACTTGGAGTCGTCGCGGGTCGTTTTCACCGATAACGCCTTCGTTTTCTTCCCTTCAGGGGTAGCTGGCTCGTCATCCGAAGGCGCCTCCTGGTCATTGAGCCATACAACGCAACTGACGGCGCGCTTTTTCAAATAGTCCTTTGGCCCGTCATCCGCGTGCTCGTCAATGCGACTGCCGCTGCCCCAGTTGAGCACCGCGGTGCATTCGATGTAAAACTCCTCGCCGCCAAACGCAATGCGTTCAGGCACCGGATGTTTTCGATTATTCTTATCGATTCCCGTGTTGCTGTTGGTAATAGCATGCGGCACCATCGGCGCTCGCGTCGGCTCCTTCGGAGCATTCGCTGCTGCCGCTGCAGCAACGGCGGCGGAAGCGTTGCGTAATAGACTGTAGGAAGTCACGGGGCCAGAACTGGGGCTCCCGGTCGGTACCGGAAGCGGAGGAGGAGCACCGTGAACCGGCTGCGGGCAGATCATCTCCACACTGCTAAGAGTTGAACCTCCTTTCGCGGACGAAGCGAAGAGTGGGCCGCTTTGATTGCGAGGCTGCAAGGTGCCGCGTACACCACCCTTGCCGGTGACACCCTTCTCTTGCAGCTCGTGATATGTCAATCCCGCCAATGACTTCGGATCCGCAGGCGCGGCTGGCTTGCTCTTCACTGCGTCGGTCGAGTCCTGGGCCGCAGGTGCGCCGCCCCATTTCTCTCCGTTCCACGCACGCGGATGTTCCATCTTGGCGGCCAAGAAATTCGTAGTGCTGAACGCTTCAGAACAGGATCCTGCGCGTTTGCTGCAGGAATTGTTCGTTTGCTCTTCGTACTTCTTAGTGGTGGACTCGGCTCCAGCGGTGCTGAACGCCTCTGAGCATTCGCGCTTTTTCTTTTGCGAGCAGGTTGAAGCCCCACTCAGGAAACCAGCGGTGCTGAACGCCTCTGAGCATCCGCGCTTTTCCTTTTCAGCCCCACAGGCAGAAGCCCCGCTCAGGAAGCCAGCCTGGCTGAACGCTTCGTTCTTACCACGCGACCCTTTTCCGAACTTTCCACCTCCTTTTTCCATACGGCGCGACGGTGGATTCGCCACGTCGTAGCCTCCAGGACGTGCTGCGGGAGCTGCTCTCGGCACATCGGCGATCCTGAATCGTATTATTAGAAGACTACTTTCGCTACTTCTAGCAGTAAGAGAAGATTGACTTGGTCAAAAAAGAAGAACACGAGTTTGCATGGCAATCCATATCCAAGACCAAGAACGAACAAATATCAAGCTAAAACATCTTCATCACTTTCAGTTTCACTAGAAGCGACTTTGAGTAACAGCTAAATTCAATTTCAATTTTCTGCTCTATATTACGTTGGCATCGGCCTGGGCTGCGTAATCCTTCCACCGCCGATACCGGGATTGAGATTGATCTCAATGTGCTGGAGTGTCTGGACCTCCAGCTCCTTTTCTGGCTCCGCCTGGCGTCCCGCCATTGCCTGCGCCACAGCCGCTCCGCTTAGAATTTGTTTTAGTGTCATTTTAGAAGAGCAGACTCTTTTGGGAGCAGCGCTGTGGGCATCCGAAATTGTCATGGTGCCATCCGGACCCGTGACACCCATGCCGCCAGCCGGCATCGGCGTGCCGAAGTGCTTCTCGACGATGTCTCGGCAGATCTTGCGTGCGCGAATCAACGCCGGCATCGCCCAGCGCGGAGCCAGGGGAAACGTGCTGGACATGACGTTCTCGCGAAAACCGGGTACGCCGGTTACCTTCGAGATCATGATCAATTCCCGCACCAACGATTCCGGAAACACATCTTTTTCCAGGTAGATGTCCGGCTCACCCGCTTTGATTGCTGGTGGTCCCGTCGGTGAGGAACCAGGCGCCGCGATTTGATCACCCGAAGATGCGGAAGGATTGTTCAGCGCCGCATAATTGGGCTTCGGCCTGCCAGGTTGGACCTTCGCGGTGGCCTTCACCAGAGCATTGCTAAAAGCGCTGCTGGCCTTCGATGTGCTGGGATTGTTCGGCGGCGGCTTCAAGACCGACATCGAAGTAGAATCTGTCGTCGAGGCCGCTTTGGCAGAGGCGGGCGAAGAAGCAGGTGGAGACGAAGCTATCACAGCCGATGCAGCTTTCTTCACAGATTGAGTGACCACCACCGCCTTTCCTTTGCTTGTCGCTTGTTGCGACGGACCCGCAGCTGTCTTGCTGTGTTGCCCTGACACCGACTTCGCTGGCGGAGCTGTCGGCTTCGCATCGAATCGTGAGCTTCCGGATGCCACAGACTGTTCCCTTTGCGCTGGGGCAGCCGCATTTGCCTTGCTTTTCGCGCTGTTGGAGGAGGATCCTACACTGCTACTGCCCTCCGGAGAGGGCGATGGCTTGCGCGGTTCCTTTTTAACAGGGTCAAAGCGGCTGGCACCTCCGCTGGGAGACGATGAAGGCTTAGCAGCAGTGCCACCTTCTTTTGCTTTCGTCGGCTCGCCTTTCTTCGCGTCCGCATTCGCACTTGTATTGCCAGATGAAGTAGAGGTTGTCTTGATTGTGAAAGCAGAAGTTTTCTGACTCGGAGGATTCGCTTTGGCACCAGTGGGACTCGGCTTGCGAGAAGAAACAGCAGCAGCATCACCAGCTTTTCCCGTAGTCGTCTTGTTAGCCGATGTCACTGACGGAGGAGTTGCCTTAGCGGTTGATCCCGGAGGTGGAGCAGCACTGGCTTTCGCCGTCGGGCCTGCAGGAGGAGCAGTCGCCTTGGCGCTGCCGCCCGGAGCAGCGGCCGACTTCTTCGTATCTGTGGCTGCACTTTTGCTCCCAGCCTCGACGTTTTTCGGAGGTGATTTAGACTTCTTCACTGGAGGAGCTGTGGTCGACGAGGCTGGCTTCTTCGCTGCAGATGCTCCATCGTCTTTCTTGTTTGCATTCGTGTTACCGCTCCCACTAGTCGTTTTTACGGAAACACTCGTTGCCTTTGCGGACGCCGCGTCTTTCGCCGGGGAAGGCTTTTTCACTGTAGCTTGGGTCGGTTTGCTCGTAGTCGTGGTAGCTGCGGTCTTGGCAGTCGACCCAGACGAACTGGCCGTCTTTGCCTTGCTATCGGACCCACTTGTCCCCGTTGAGGCAGCTACTGGTGCAGCACCAGCTTTTTTCTCCTCCTCGTTACCCATCCTCGGCTTCTGATACCTTGTGCCGTCGAAAATACTTGTCTTCAGTGAAACACGAAGAGATCCACGACTCCCTTCGATGAAAGTTGAAGTTGTATTCGCAGGAGTCCTTCTTGTTCTTGTTGTGACTGCGTTGCGGTTTTACTACTTGGTGATGGTGCAATAGCGTACTTGTAGTTCTTGTACTAGTACTTCTTGCTCTGTTCGGGTGTAAAAACGTCGATATCTTCGTGGTACGAGACGGGGGCTCGCCACAATGATGATTCAGAAGAAACGATGAAAGACACTTAGCATGATGAATCTTATCTATGTAACGAATGCCGTGTTGCAGCGAAGAAGACACTACTCGAACTTCAACTTTATTGAATTACTGCATAAAATATATGGGTACAACTCATTAACAGCTCATCCGGATGGTCTTCTTATGGCTTCAAAACACCCCAAGAGACCCATGGCAGAGATGACATATCTTTACCATGAGAGATGTTACAACAAGAGGTCAGTTATGATTGATCACTGGATGCTAGTGTTGCTGTTAGTCTCTTTTTGAATATATATTATAAATATATTATTATATCGTGATTCCATTCCTAGGATGTTTTCCGGAAGGAATTCCACCACATTACAGCCTGTGGTCTTCTACATACGCCTTACCCACCTGGTCATCATGATAGATTACGCAAGAAGGATCATCATTGACTTCATTTCTTACATTAAAAGCAGAGAGCATAACCACAAGCAGACGGAATTCAACAGACCAGCTCTACCCATCAAAATCCAATGAACTTTGCTTCTAATCTTGCAGAGCAGCACAAATGCAGAAAGTTGACATTCATTGTACAAATATGTGCTCTAGATCTAGTACTACTTCTAGATCTAGACCAAGTTGTATCTTCAGCTACTTTATGTATCAACCAGATTCATTCATTCATTCACTACTCGCAAAAATTCTGCGTTGACTTTTTTTGCGTTGACTCCACCACATGGCCCTTGTAGACACAAAGTTTTATCGTGACAACAGTACATTCGCGCCTTTGGATATTGTGTTGGTCCAAAATTTCCATTCTTGTCCACTTGTTGAATCCATCACAGACTCACGTTGGCATTGCTGGCTTTTTACAGCTACACGCGCACCTGATTCAAAAAATATATCCGTATTCTAAGCGAGTGCGCCTCGATACAGCAACTGTACTCATCGCTTGATGGAGAACGTCAACGTCTCACGATCGTTAACAAGCCTGAACTTTTGATCACAGGCGACCTGAAGTTTCGCAACATTCACTGTGATGCCAAGATTTAGAATTCCTCATGCGAATTATGGTTTCAGGTTATATTCTTTTTAGCCCAAATCTCATCAACCACAAGGAGCATACCATATTTCGTTCACTAACATTTTTTGAAAATATATTCTCCTTGCTCCAGTATTCGTCATTTCCTGAGAAGCGATCGCGTAAGGACTTGTAGACTGTCATGTACATGGAGAGATCATTATGGCAGGAGTTTGCATTAGTCGTTAAAGGATCGTCGTCGTGCAGAGGGTTTATGCGTTTGGCGATCACTTGTAGAAGGAGAACACTCTGAGAGCGATGTAAGGACGTTTGACTTGTCTCATCGGTGAACGTCTCAAACGAAATTGACGAGTGTAGTTCATCTTGAAGAGAAAAAACTGTGTGGCTGAAGTTCTTTGAGCAACATTTTTCTATTTTCTTGAAACGGCGTTTTTCAGTCAAGGGGAGAGAGACTAAGACAAAGACTACGAAGCGCTGCATGCTGTTCATTAAATCGTATTAGAGATCAAGATCATATACAACAAGAGGTAAAAAAGATGTTATCATGGATGGGGGACAATAGATATACCAATACCTCGCATCAAAACAAACATAAGTAAGCGCATCTGCATATTCATTGAAATTGAAGGTCATAAACTGAGAAGCATTTTTATTGCAAAAATATGACGGAAATCTATCTAGGCAACTCTGTACATTATAAAACAAGTGATAAGTAGAAGATTACAAAACCGTTACCCATATGTTCTTGCAAAATGCAGTTGACTACTACATTTCAAACTCCGCTACGGCTTGCGCCGCACGCTTTTTACCCTCACAGAGACCGCAGGTTCGTGCGCAGAAAGCGTGGGCAAGACCGACGGACCGCTTGCAAAAACCGAAACTCGAAAACGACGAGCAGTCCGTGGGCGTGCGGCCCCGCAGCATCGGATTATCGATACAGCTCTCGGGCGCACCGCTGCGCTGCAGCGTCCTATGCATTGCTGACCTGAGTTCTAGTTGCGAGTTTTCACCTCCTCTGCGCGGGCGTTTACCTCGTTCTCGGGAAGGCTCCCTTCTGGAGGAAGATGTGGAGCGCTCTTTTGCTTTACCTGCATCGCCACTATCATCCTTTCCATCTCCTCGTGCGAGGAACTTAGTCGATGCAGAAGATGCTGCAGGACGACTCTTCACAGAAGGCGAGGCTCCGTCACGCGTAGACGCGCGATTCGCTTCCGCGCTGCCGGATTCCGAATTTCGCTCTCCATATTTCAACGAGGACACGGGGACCGATGAGGAGCCTCCGCCGCAAGAACGCATGAGCTCGCTGAGACCTACGCGTCTGTTCTGGATGTCAAAAACCGCAGCATAATGTCGAAAAAATTGTTGCCCGAGAATCCACATGGGCTTCAAATCACGTGGCAGGTCTATGTTATGCAGTGCCAGAGCACATCCTTGACTGTTCTCATGCGCATACGCTTCCGGTGGAAGAGCAAGCTCGCGCCTGAGGTCAGACCATCAAATACGGGCAAAAATTTTATGGAAACGAAAAACTGCACAACGAAGCGGGGGAAGATTCGTCAAGACGTTAACTTTTACTTATCCAAAGACCGAAATAGCCATAGTTCGAAATGGAAAAGAAGTCTTCATCTTCATGGATAATATCTCGTAAGTTTACCCACTATCGAGCACGAAGTAAATCGTCGGCAGGTTTTTGAGTCCGCCCTGCTGCGCCTTGCAAGGACCGACGAGTTGCAACAGTTGAGTTACATCAGTGGTCGGTCCCATTGAAAGGCTGCTTCCTGTGTCGAGCGCAATACGTGTAGCCGCGATTAGACCTAAAATGCCTCTAGACCATCTTTGCACATGAGTCTAGCCGGGCGGCCGGTGAAGTCAGAGCGTGAAAGAGTTTCTTCATTAATTATCAGCTAGTTCATTTATCACAGGCTAGCGCAGGGGTGACGACATCCCTGCGCTGCTGTTAAGTTTATTCAGTCACTTCGGGTTGTCTCGTGTAAGTATAAGGTCTAGACTTAGAAAACAAGACAGCTAGGCTCTGACATACTGGCAAAGTGCATGACTTTAAGGAAGAAGCAAAGTGAAGAAGAGGGAGGAGGGAAATACTGCAGAGAACGGAATGGATAGCAATACACTTCCCCCCTACTTTCTTGAAGCGGTCAACGATTGGCAGCAAGAACGTGGGCCCGAACTGAAGAGAATACTTACAGGGACGCGCTGCTTTGATGACAAGCGTCACGCGTGAAAGTATCGCCGAAAGACTGCACGCGTCAGAGCAGGGGGCCTTCGGATGAATCAACTGAAAAGAACCCAGGCGTGAAAGAGTTTCTTCATTAATTATCAGCTAGTTCATTTATGAGCTGAATGTGCGACATGGCTAGGCAGTAGTGCAGATATGCCTATGCGTGTTAGCAATTATAAAGGAAAGTGCATAAAGACGGATTCTGCAGTTCCTTGCTAGAGATTTCCTTGCCATCAAGACCGTGAAAACCCAAGCGCAGCTTTTTGATGCCAATGGCCCAGTACCCGGCAGCATCGTTCAACGTCGGAGCCCATTCAAGGGCACTCGAAATATGTCGCTCCTCTGAAGGAAGCTCGTTGACCTAGTACAGAGTAGTTCAGTCCTAAACGACTCAAGGATTTTCTACGTCGTTGTTGTTGTAGGCGTGGTTCCTACGAAAAGAGGAAGGGCTACGAAGAAATTGAAAACAGCCAGATCAACAGGCGCAGGCCTACCCGTAGTCTGCCAGTGCCATTCGCAGTTATAGCGTAATTTACAAGAACAAGCTGCTATGACTTCGGCTAAATTTCTAGTACCAAAACCTCTGGCTTCGGCAATCCAAGGAGAAACGTAAAGTGTGCTGGAGCAAAGGCAGTCGCAACGTTGAATCCAGGAGAAGCCGACAGTTCTGGAAGCGCCAGGCCTAGAATTCCGTCGAATGGTAGCTCCTCAAACGGAAACTTACTCTCCTCCTTTACACCCAAAAAAGCGACCGACGCACAGTTCTTCTGGTTTTTCTTGCTGGTCTTACTCCCTCTTGAAGCTCCACTTGCAGTTGCTCTTACTTCGACGCCGGCGCTTTTCTCAGCTAGTACTGTGTCTTCTCTTTCGGTTTCGTCTTCATCTGCGGTTGGGGACTTGGTTGGCGTGCTCGCATCCAGACAGAGACGATCATGCATATAGTCTCCAGTGATTTTGCCGGTGCCATACGTAATTGTCGTGGTGTCTCGCATGCTCTCCTCCCGCTTGGTGACAGCATGTCGCGTGTCCGAACCCTCGAGGTCCATTAACTGAATCGCGCTCTTTGACTTCGTAGGACTATAGCGGTGGTGCGAGACGCAGGCCTCCTCTCCACAGTACGCAGATGGAATTACCTTGGAATTGAATAAGGAGGAGATCATCGAAGACAAGGACTTTCGAATCATTTACAAATACTTCCTCCAGATACTGATAAAGAGTAAATCGGCTAGACAATGAAACACGAATCATAGTCCGTCGATATTCCGAAACACAAATACCAAATGAGTGCGGGAACATATAGAAGATGTAACACTAACTGTTGTTACTCGTGGTGGCATTACTTCTTCACAAACTGAAACCATAGATACGAGATTTCCGCTCCCTGTGTCGAAGACGACGTCGAACGGCTGTGGCGGCGTGCCTACCATGACAGTGCCATAGAATTGCGCAACCGGCACTGTGGCGTGCGCATCGCTCAGATCTCGGCGCAGCACTGGTCGGAAGTAGGTTTCATACTCCTGTAAGAAAACCGCGTGCGCTACTCCGACGAGCGCTGTCAAGGCGAAGCAGCGCAGTACTATTGTTATCTTCTTAGGAATTCTTTTCTTCATAGCACTGGACCAAGCGTGAAATCTTGTTTTCCGCCTCGCCTGTTCGTGCTCTTGGGTCCTCCTCGCTGTCGACCTATTGTTCTCACTTACATTTGCGTCTCCAGTGCTTTCTCCATCTGAGAAATCAAACGCAGAACTGTCGTGTTCGTAATCTTCGTCTCCGACAGCATCATTTTCTTCTACTTGATGTAGGTCCTGCTTCATTCTTCTGCTCCTCCTTTGTTTTGGCTCGCATCCACTTCGCTTACTGCGAAGGTGACGGCCGGCAGCTCGTCTATCGGTTCCTCCCTCGGTCAACATCGCGTTCGAACGACGCCTTCTCATCGAGAATTTTCTTCGGCTCTCTTGCATCGTGCGTGGACTCTTCGTCGACGCCGTTGATACATTATCGCTGTCGCCCGTGCTCTTATCGCAATCGGGGGCTGCTAGCAGTCCAGACGACCATTTTTTGTTCTTGTCGACGAGCTTCATTCCTAAGACAAATAGAGTTCGATGACTCTCGGGAGAACCGGCAACTACATCATACGTTCAAATCAACTCTCCTTCTACACGCAGCACATCATATATTTGACAACTCTTCCGGTTCCGACAGATCATCCTTGACACTGGCATAGCGTCCACAAGCTCGCGATCTATCCGAGAATTACTCAGCGGTGAAACTTATCGTCATCATGGCTTCGCTAGTGTTTACTTATACAGTTAAAGTACAGATGACAACTAACTCCAATTTCCGCTCTCTTTGAGATTTTTCACGTGAATCCTATGTCGGACTCGATCTCGACGTACGTAATAAACACCCTTCTCTCGTCTGTCTCTGCCTCGCTTTGCAACGCTGCTCCAATCCTTGGAAAAATGAGTGATCAGGTGCACTTGCTCCTCTACTCTAACTTTAACTCTAGCTGTATCTATGTATAATGCTACTAAAAGAAGAGTGCTTGTTTTACGCGGTAGTCTCTACGATTTCATCTTCACGCGATGGCGACAAGGTCATCGAACCAGAAGGACTAAGAGGGTAACTCCCTAGCGTCGGTTGTGTCTGACGAGACTTGCGCGTTTTATTCTTGGCGAGTAGGTGCGTCGATCGTCCATCAAATATAATTGGCATATGCGTTGGGTTCAATCATTCTTGGTTCGGTGAATTTCCCAAGGTACAAATGTTTTTCGTGTACCCATCAACATCATTGTACTGATTTTTACTGATCTTTTAACGCCATCCGCTTCCTTCTGAGTTGCGCTTGCGAAGATGCTGAGAATGAATTCATGAGTGCCCCGTAAAATTCCCTGTAGTCATTTGTCGAACATCTTTTTCAGCTCCCCTATTTGCGATAGTACTCTTCGAAAATCCGTCAACTCTTTTCTAACACAGTGTTGCAAAAAGGCTAGCTGCTTGCATCGAACTTATTCTGCCTTCTTTTCTTTCTTTTTCTTCTTCTTTGCAGGCTCTTCTGCGGTCTCTGCTCCGTCTGCTTGTCGCTTCTTGCTATCGTCTTCGTCCACTGCCTTACCTTCTCCAAGGTAGGGGTGCACGACCTTCAATGCCGTGATCATTTGCTGATAGGCGCTTTCGTATGGACTGTCTGAAGTAGGTTCGGGGATGAAGACCGCTGACACACCGCGCCGGCTGTTGATTGCTTCGCCCAGCATCTGTCGCGACTGCACGTAGGCGTAAAAGACGCTCTTCTCCTCACAGAGAACCGGCATATGCGCGATCAGATCCACTGGAAAAATATCAGCTGCAAAGACGACAATACCTGTATATTGTGAGACGAGATGAATGAAAGTGCGGTGAATGTGGAAAGAATGCACAAACAAAAAGGATAAAGATGACTATCATGACAAGGAGATGGAAAGAAAAAGATAGAGATACAACAGAACTCCACGTATATGTATAACGACAAGTACACCGATCAATCATGATTGAAAAAAATGAACCAACAGATCAGACAGATAAGCAAGATCGGATACCCTTCTTCTCCTTGCGAACAAGCTTCGTCACTTCCGGGATGCCTCTTCTCACTGCCTTCGCACCAAAAGCCTTTCTCAACATCTTCAGGCATTTGCTCTCCAATTTTCCGCTGACAAGCGGCACCGCAATAGGCGACACATATGTCGCGGTAGACGAAACTGCAGTTTGTTCCGTCATTTTCTCTCTCTAATTGAGTGGACGTGGAGGAGTTCGATTAAGAGTTGTAGTATGTGAAAACGAGTGAGTAAAAATGAGTAGAAATGATCTTTAACAACTTGGATAGTATGCTTTTCAAGAAATGAACTGGTTTTTCAAAGGGTATCAATGAATGCTTTTTCGACTTCATCTACATGTCCTAAGACTGAAGCACAAAGAAATTAATAGGAAGAACCTCCTGGTGGTGTTCGGCAAAGTAAAGGTTGCGTTGTAACAAAAATAGAGCGTTTTAGTTCATCTCATTCTATTTCTAGGCCTATAATGGCAGGCATACTACACAGCGACAGTTTTTTTCTGTAATTTTCGGTACATACTAGAGTGCACTTTCTGGATCTTTACGTTGACCATCCTTTTGCGATGGTGATAATGAAGCGATGGGCAGACGAAATTGATGATGATACTTTCATATAACAATGAGGTCACGAATCCTGCTAGATCCCGATGGTAGATCTCTTGGTTGGATCTGTTTTATGATCTTGCTGTGCACACTGTCACATATGAATAGATCTTGATCTTGCTCACACTACGATCTTCCTTTGAAGTAGTACTACCGATTGTGCAGATCATCTCTAAAAGCTTTACAAGGTCAACATCATCATCAATCAATGTCAATAGCAAATTTAAGAGAATTTTTTGGAGGCGCTTCATGCGTATGAATGATTACAACGAAGCGCCGGCTGCCGTCAGCAAAGATAACAGGGTCGAGGATTCTTGCTCCACGATTTTCTCCGTGCTTCGTTCACATGGAAGGTCGCTGCTCTCAAAAAGTCTGCTTCTCCTCGGACGCCCACGTTGCGTAGAAATGGCCGATTATTGCAAGATGTTTTGTTGAGTACTCTGCGCTGCCTGTTCGTAGTCCAGGACTCACCACCTCGACCAAAAATCTCCGAAAAAAACACGGCCTTGAAAGTAGCTGTTCTTGCTCCGGACACCTGCTCCTGTTTCCTAGGGCATCCGCGTAATGATCTCTTGATGCTGTGTGAGATCCTTGCTCAGATCCGCCTCCAAATGAAATGGCTTCTTCTTTCTTCTCAAAAGCGATATCTTCATCCGAATTGAAAGTCAGAACGCCATCACTTCCAGAGTGACACCCAAAAAAACTGAGCGCAGCGCACCCATGAAGTAGATTGGCTTGGTTTTGCGGAGTCCACGAGTTTGTTGCAACCAGCAACGTCTGACTGTCATCTTTATAAACAGTTCCCCGGTCATTATTAGCTTCGCCTACAGAACACGACAATATCTTTCGAAGAAGCATTTTTCCTCCAGAAGGACGTAACTTTCCAAGTGCCCAGACAAGAATACTCAGCTCTTGTGCGGAATGGGGACGATGACACAGGTCATATTTTGAAGCGCCGTGTGTGATGTCGACTCTCTTTGAACTACTCGACCTGTACTGTATCTCTAATTTGCCCAGATATTGATGACATAGTGACGTCAATGCTTCACCAACAGGACCTCGCCAGCGGTGTTCCACATCTAAAGAAGCACGCGCGATCACCGCTAGTGACCAGGAAATTATCGCAATAGTCTGAAATGTTGCTCCTGCCCAAACGAGGTCGGGCTTGTCTCCGTGCGCAAGGCTCTTCTGATGCTCACCAATGAATCTCCTTCGCAGGGATGAGCAAGCTTTTTCAAGGATCGGCCCCAGAGGGACTAAAAACTTCGCTTGGGCATCGATGTCTTCTAGGTTCCCTCTATTGAACCCACTATTAAGCGCGTCGTAGTCGTCCAACGTTGAACAAGGTAATATATCAGGCTCGCGATCAGGACTCTCAACATCCCTCACTAGGTGTTTTCCATCTTCGCAATCCAATGCGCCCTGTTGTCGGCCATCCTCGACGCCCCTCACTCTTATCACGCTGGTCGCCAGTGCCCAGAGACAATGACTCGCATCCACTGTGTTTATTTCATCCCAACGCAAGTCCAACAATAGGGACTCCGAAATCTCTTGGCAAACTTCCAACAGGCAGGACTTCTCCCACGAGTGCGTAGCTGTTGCTCCTGCGCTTGCGTATGCACGGAGAAACAGTGCCAGATGCTTTGTGCTCAAGTTCTCGACATCATCCTCTTCGAGAAAGCTGTGAATCCTTACGTCTTCGCCGATTCTGGGCAACAGTTTTGAAAGCGCTGGCTGCGTGGAAAGTTTCACTCCATACTTTTTGTCCGATAATTCTCCCCCACGGAGTACCACAATACATCTCAGAAAGCATACGGCGACTCTCACGCGCGCGCTCGGATCTGGTATATCCCTTAATCTTTTCAGCACTACTTTCATGCGATCGAGTGCACTTAGCTTTTCCGACGGAGACATCGTTTCCCCATTACCTTGGACACAGAATCCAAACCATACGCCAACGCAGTCAGGCAAGTCAAGCGCTAGGGCCGATTCGCATAGCGTTGCCATCTGTTTCGGCGCGATGACGAAGCGAGACCCGCGCCTCTTCCAAAACTCGGTGTGATCGCTCAACGCAGGGGTATACGACACGAGTCGCCTAACAGAGGCGCGGACGCGATTCCTCCAATCGGTGTGATGCACCTCACTTTCGAAGGTTTCTCTGAGAAGCTCAGATACGGCAATGCAACGACTTCGATCGCGAGTTCCAAGGTCGACCATGACGCTCGAACCCCAGATGATGTTACATAAAGATCGTGTCGAAATGCTGTGGCTCCAATGCAGAGGCTCACCCTGGACGCGCGCCTTAGTCGGTAAATCGCCCTTGGGTAAAGACTCTAGGCCCATTTCGAGGTTACCAACAAGCTTCGCGAATACTGCGGACAGCGAATCAATAGCCTGCACATGAGGTTGCGGATTCGTCTGCTTCACCTGATTGCCGACTTGCCAAAACCGATCAGCCAGGTGCGTCCACCTGATGTGTCCTTGGGACAGCACCTCTGACGATATGGCGGACGCCGACCGAAACCTCCGCAAATGTCGATCTGCACCCAACACAGGCAGGAGGGCATGCGCACGCTGGGCGACTGGGTAAGCTAACGTGACCCGAAACGGCAACCAGTCACGAGAACACGACTGCCTGCGTCTTCGGATGTCGACGTAGGTCGACCTCCGAAACGCCATATTATATGTCGATTTTGTTAACGATGAGCATAATCACTTCGAAAGTTAGTAACTCCTGTCTTCAATGGCCATTTAATCACGCAGCTCTATGATTTTGGTGCTTGCATTTCTTGCCTTTTTCCAGTTCCCTGATATTCATATCAACTCGCCGGCGACCTTGTCGCACTCGTTCAGAGCTGCATGATTTTCATCTGGAAAGCCTGGACAATTTTGCGCAACACTCCAGCAACGACACACAACATCACTGCGCCGGACGGTCTCGGACTCACGCAGGAGTAAGCATTCCGCCTACAACCTTCTTGTTTCTCTTCTCGTGTTGAAAATCAGATGGATTTCAAAGTCTGTCTCTGCAATATGGGCCGCACGAAAGCTGACGGTCCATCTTCCATGATGACGCATCTAAGGTGCGGTGACAAGATGATCCATCCAAACGATTACAACTCTTCTCCACAAGTATAGCGCACAACGCTGGACGTTCCACATACGTTGCAACGCCCAAACGGAGATACCGCTTAAAATATGATTGTACGCATTCTATATCTATGACATTCACAGTATTCAGTAAATCTACATGAGACAGTGTGTCTTGACAACGATTGAATAAATGGATATGTAATTGACGAAGGGGATACGTACATCAACATCAGTGTATGGGAGCGTGCGAGCATGTACCGTGTTCGACCTTATACCCAACAGCATATTCTTTGAATCATGAGTTTGATGTAATTCTACAACGAAGAGCTTAAACAAAACTTTGTCAAACAGAAACATACCTGGAAGAGAAGACGTACTTAAACGGGGGAGCTATTATGGATGATTTCTTTGGGGTTCCCAAAATTGAAGAACTGGTGGCAGTGATAATCCTTCTAAACCTCCAGCATGTGATATGCGACTCACAACTCACAACTCTTCCTTCTTCTCCTTCTTCTCCGCCTTGGCGGCGAGTTTCTCTTTGATCATGTCAGCCTTGGAGTGGTTCTTCTTGATCCACTTCCAGATTCCCTTCGCATCGCGGCCACCATCGTACTTCATCGGGGTCTTCTCACCAGCCTTGATGTAGTACATGGTTGGAAAACCGGACCAGCTGATGGAGTCAACCGGGGAGTCATTGGCCGTACCGTCCATCTTGGCGATGGTGATGATATCCTCGAAGCCCTCCTTCTTGACCTTCTTGCCAACCTTGTTGTACTCTGGCTCAAGCTTCTTGCAGTGTCCGCACCAAGGGGCGTACACTTCCAGCAGGACATCCTTGTCCTCGGTGAAAACCTGAGGCGGTTCATAGGATATGACCATTAACCGTCAAGAACTCAAGCTACAAACCAGCACATCTCACAAAGATACACGGAAAATCGATAGGGCCAAACGCTCACCCAATGATCGGGCTAAAAAACTAAGCGTTCACAGCTTGCGACTCTAACTCAGCTTCCGAAAACCAAGTCATCAATAACTGAGTTTTATCCTATACCAACTTCTCCAAATTCTTTCCAACGACGACCTTCACCGGCTCTTCCTGCGGCTCTTCCGGTGCCGGCTCGGATTTCAGGTGCGGCTGGATTTCTCCGCTCTTGGCCTTGGAGACATAGTCGAGGATGGCCTCTTCCGTCATCTCACCATCGTAGATGAAGTTCTTCTTGTCACCAGCCTGGAGTAAGAGCAAGCAGATTGATATTGATTCATTACACGACATGGAAAGCCAAAGAGAAACATGAAAAATTATTGCTAAAACTGCGAAGCGCGACGCGTTCAAAAGTACAAAGTGCTCTCCGCCTTGTTTTTACGCCGAAGCGTACTGGAGCGGAAGTAGTTAGGGTGAAAAAAAAACAAATAGCCATACGCAAATCGCATTCAACCTGCGAAGAAAAAAAAAGTGATAACTCATGGCCTAGGATGTGCCCGTACAATTCGAATTGACACGTTAGTACCTTCAATTGCACGATGAGCTTCGGGAACTCAGTCACACCGAACATGTTTTCCAGGACTTTCTTGAATTCCTCTGTGTTGGTCCATGTGACGCTGAAATCCGTGCCCAGCTTCTTGGCAACGGCAGTCATCATCGGTCGGCTGGCGTCGACAACCTCCTTCACGTTGTCCTTCGTCATCTCCATCAAGTTCCAAATCATGCCTGATGTAGTATTTTACGGATTCATTGTCGATGCGATACTGCTAGTGTAGTCAAGGAAATACTTTTTTCTTATCTGCATCCGCGAGGGTTTTGCTTGAGAAATACAGAACGGGACACCCGTCTTCCAAAAGCTAAAGACATCATGGTTCCCTACGAATTAATGGAAAAATTCATCACGGTACTAGGTACCAGCTCCTCGCTCCATGAAGGCGCCGAATGTCTCACCGTCGAGAGCGCCGTAAAGCGGGAAAGCGTTCTCGGTGAAGGCTGTTTCAATCTCGTCCTTGGTCGATGGAGTCAGCTCAATGGCATCTTCACCAACATGCTTCACAACCATCTTCGGGGTAGATCCCTTGACAAAGTACCTTATTTTCAATGAAGAGAGCATAATCCCCAGTCCAAAACAAAGTCATACCCTTCAGAACGCCAGTGTTGCTCTTGCTCTTTAGTTGCCTTATCTTTGAAACATCATTTAAATTCAATTGTACGTCGGGATGCAGCTGAAAGTTCTAGGAAAACTGCTAATGCGAAGTACCAGCTGGCCTTCTTTCTGTTGGCGCTAGCAATTTCTTCGAAGGTGTCCTTGTCGGCACCATACCAGGTGACGGACAGCTTGTCATCGTCTTTCGGCTCACCGTCAACAACAGCCGGGCCGGACATAGACTTAATCCACGCAACGATTCCGCTGGCGTCCCGAGGACCATCGTACTCAGTCGGCTTGCCACCGACGAACCATTTCAAAGTCGGGTATCCCTGGACGCCGTGATCGCCGGCTGTTGAGATGAAAAAGAGTAGATATATGGGACGTGAAGTTCGATTGAAAAGCTTAGAGGAGTTCGACTCACCTCGCACTCATCGAATGCTAGTGTTCGTGAATAGCGCTCGTTCGTTTCCAACGTCTCGGCGAATGTACAGCTACAAACAGACCTAGGGAACGTCAATGGGAGTCGGGAACAGGAGCTGACATTTAGTCCATGCAACTGATGTATGGAGTGACAACAACACTAAGTACAAAGCTTTGACTCGATTGTCGCGTCCACTTTGACGAGGGGAATTTTGATGTCTTCATCGTTGAGCATGGTCGCAGCCTTGTTATATTCCGGCTCAAGCTTCTTACAATGCCCACACCACGGTGCGTAGAACTCGACGAGGGCGCCTGAGGGGTAAGTTTATTCACAATCGATGAAGATAGAGAATGCCCGCGAACAGGGGTTGCTCAAATGTATACAAAAAAGGAGAAGGGACCACCTAGAGATGAGGTTTACGAAGCACCTGTAACTGTTTAGAGATAACTCATAAGTACCCCCGGGATTTGCGGAAAGAATTTCGTCAAAGTTGTCTTTCGTTCCGACGATAACTTCGCCCGCACCAGTCCCGCGCTGTTGGGCTTGCGCCAAAAGCGGCAGCCCGGCAAACAACAACTTTGAGAACCCCATTCTCACGTCGACTGCAGTCGGTGCTTCGGTCTTGAAACAAGGAACAAGTATAACGCTTACTACTCACCGAGCTATTTCTATAAGCAAAAAGCGAAACTTGAAGAACCAGATGATGTGGGAACGAGATGATGAGAGCGCTTGCATTCGGTACTTACCAAGAAACCCAACCATTACGTGATAATGCATAGACGATGAAAGTGACGCGCAGCAAACGACCAGTCAGATCTTTCGCCAACTCTTCTTCGTCTTCCCGATCACTGGATCCACAGTCTAATAGGCACACACACACAAAGATCTTCAGATCGCGTAGGAAAACGCTGGACACACGCAGAGTCAGCCGAAAGCGACAAATCACTGTAGACAAATCACCAATCCGAAGCCGTAGCCGTTGTCGAATATCGATAAAGATCGGCAGTTGCATCACATGCGCAGAACACCGTAGCCTTCCCAAAGGGACACAACTAAAATCATGATGCACTTACGGCAAACACGATTTAGCTTATACGAGATACTATATACTACATCACTACTTCTGCCTTGTCGCGGGGACATTGGATAATACCAACCATGGTGTTCATCGAGACCACGCGGTCATCATGTTTCGCTTGACTTCGGCGTCGGCATGTCGCGACTAATGCTTGGCCTGTCATCATCCTCTCAAAAACGAATGGCGCTGCTAACGAACACGTTTGTGAAGGTTGGAATCACGATGTCCTTCCACTGATCAAAAGAGGATTAGCCTGTTGGTAAAAACGGGCACTGCCACATCAAAAGATCAGTCTGCTTTCCCGAATGTTTTCGCTAGCGAATCAAACTGCGTTTTCTCATTTGCGATTTCCTCTTGGCGCTTCGCGAGCATAGACTTGAGATCCGCTATATTCTCTTGTTCCTTCTGCTGCTTCTCTTCGTAGTTGAACAATGCCAGCGCACGTTGTTCCTCCGCAGAGTATACCTGGTTTTCCTTTCGCAAACGAATAGCATTCATACGGCGGTGTCGCGAACCACTCATCACGTACCCTAGGTGTTCTAGGTCATCAATCTGTTCCGCTGTGATTCCGACTTCCCCACGGCGCGGAATACGCTGTTTGTTCTGCACAAAGGCCGCCATCGCTGCCCCTTCTCCTGGAAGTAACGCGTGTCCGTAGGCCGCGTTGCGGCCTGCAATATTCTTCTCTTGCTGGGACATCTGCGGTCCGGGATTTTCGTCAAGGTCTGAGCTATCGGACTCCAGCGAGCCGCCACCTTCTATCAAGTTCCCATCTGCATCTACTCCTCCACCGACGCCTTTTCCACTGCGCGCGCGTCTCGCGGCAAGCGCTTCTTCGGAAGTCACAGAGTCCTTCACGTGCCAATCTAAAACCTTGGGTACGAACCGTGGGTCTAGCAGGTCTTCGTCGTCACCGTCTCCAGCCGCTGTCCTCTCGAAGTCAGAGGACTTGCTACTGCCATCTGAATCAGAACTAGAGGACGCGCTTCGGTTCCGTTTCCTCTTGTGCTTGCTTGACTTTCCACGCTTCTTGCTTTTTTTCGCCGCCGCGTGCTTCTTCTCCTTTTTCCTATTCTTTGTCCTTCTATCATCGCTGCTGCCGCTGTCACCATCTGACCCCTTATTGGATATTTGCTTTTCGCTATCAGAGTATCTTCTCCTGGACCGCTTCTTATTCTTCGCAGCTTTGTCATCTTCTCCTTTCTTCACATCAGAATCTTCGTCGCTATCATCTTGACCCTCAGCGCCACTGTTTTTTCTTCTGCTTCTCCTCTCTGGCTCAGCGTCAGCGTCGCTGCTATCTCCACTTTTTCTCCTTTCCGTCCAATCCCCTGGTGTTTTGGCAATACTTTCTGCGTCGTCGCGGTCTGTCTTGGCCGCCGACGAACTCACTGCTCCTCCCGCTGCTGAATCTCCACGAGGGGGGCTCGCACTCCACAGCCATGAGAACTCATATCGTGCGTTGCGTCTGCCCTCGTCTAGTTTCGCTAAATACGCGTCGTCAGGAAGCGGGCCGCTGTGAAGTAAGGTTTATCGATAAGAAATGCATAGAAATTGTAATCGAGTGAGGATGAACTAAGGAGTGCTAGTACTTTAATCCTTCAGTCGTCCGTATCTTTGTCACTGCTGGGAGAAGTCTCCCACATCTTATCTTTGTCTCTACATCTACTGCAAGACAATCGACGAAATTTCAAAAGTGTTGCGATATAATACAGTTATGTTACGCAACATCAACGGCTTTCTATTTGTAGTTACAATATAGATTAGATGTACCACCTCGAGAAAAGATATCGAAAAGTGGTTTGAGAAGTACGCCTGCGTGGTTGTCTTTTATGAATATAATCTTACAGTAAGATGATGATGATGAACTTTGGGTGTGGGTCGAGAAATATAAAAAAAAAATGACATTAAGTACGATTTCCCCTTGCCTTTCGAACCGAAGTCACGCCAGCCCTTACCGTTCCCGTATCGGTCTAGCGGCTGGTCGTTCTCGGTGGTTACTAGTGGCTCCTCCGAAAGAGCCGCAGCAAATGCGGCTGACGGTCGCATTTTTTTTGCGTGCTTTGGCCTAGACAGTAATATCGTTCACGCTTGCGCTGCGGTATCCTACGTAGTACCAGGTGCGCCTGCTTGAAGCAAAGACGACAGAAGATACTGGCAGACAGTTCTGACTTCGTGCAGCCGAAACTCTTCGCGTGTAGTCAAAGCGTGAAACGAAATCGTCGCCTGCAGTGTCGGGCCTTCAAATGCTACTACCGTAAGGTCGAGTACGTACAGAAAAATCTGCTATTAGGCGTCCGACGCTCCTCAAGGCATCGATCTAGAAACACAGCAGCCTGGCACTCTCTGCGAACCTTGTTTTTGCGGATCCACTTGTTAACCTGCTATTCCGAAAAAATAAATGCTCCCTTCGAAGTCAACACAAGCACGACAAGGTCACGAAAAATGTCGGCGATACAATTCTTTTCCGCAGCGCTTCCGCATTTTCAAATTTTGATGTCGTTGTCATCAGCGTGCTGACACAGAAATGTCATTTATTGATGCAGCTAGAACATCCGCTAATCATATCATATCAAAGCATACCTCGACGTGGATCAAAATGGAAAAAACCGACGATCCCAAGACTGACACTAGTGAAAATAAGCTCCGGGTCGGGAAATTGTATTCAAGATTCAAAAAGAGACCCTTCTTTCTCCGAAATCCTGGTCATCAAATTCTTCGTGGGGAGGTTGGCAAATTCAATGAAAATCACAAAGCAAGCATCAATGAATAAGAATGACGCTGTTTTTTCAATAACTGTGCTCTGTTCGATAGTGAGAAATATCTGAAAACTGAGCTTCCACAGCCGCTCCTACCTGTGCCATTATTTTTCACGAGCGGGGTCATCTTCATTATCATTCGCAGAATGAAGGAGAAACGAACATTAATCAACATAAGCGTAATCTTTATTTCGGACACTTGATGTTTATCGCTGCCAGCATTGCAATTCAACAAGTACCATCCTGACCCCCGTAAGCAGACGCAAGACCATATCAATCTTAACATCTCGGTTGGCATTCGCAGTCTTTGTTCGCGACCACGCCGTGAGCTGGCAGGTGCCAGATTTCTGATGATCCAGAATGAACAAATGATTTCTTTGTAAGCAAGAACGCAGCAACGATCAAAAATCTCAATTTGCAAATTCCCAGGCGTAGGAAAATTTCGTTACTTACGATTACGATGTCCAAGACAGATTGCGAATCGATCAAGCACAAGCGTTTTTGCTTATCATAGTTTCACAAAGCAGCGGTGAAGGAATAGCAGCAAGCTCATCCTGAACTTTTGAAAAAATTGTATGAATTGATCAAACTGCCCGTCCCTCGTCAACATACTGCCCATTCTTACTTCACTGTAACTGTCAATCCATTTTCCCAGCTGCTGCTCCTCGACCTCTCTTCGGGTCGTAAAAGACTTTGAGCATCCCTCGCGGAATCCCGACGCTCGTCTGCGTCTGAATGCCCTGATAAAGCAATTCAGCGGGAATCCAGCACGACGGGTACCGCCAAGAGTTCACTTCCAGAACGAGGACTCGATCCGTCCCTGGATCGTACCCGCCTAAGGGTGCGACGTGTCCACCTGAGAAATGCTTTTGCCCGACAGCTTGTCGGCTATAGGAAATGATCACGAAGAAAGGGTCTACGGCATCATTCAGCTTGTGCAACGTCTCCTCCCAGAATCTTCCACGGTCGAGACCCAACTCATCGCCTGAAATATACTCTGTTCTCGTCACGAAAGGCAACACATTCGCGTGGACTCCGGGTGCGCAGGAGGAAGAAGAAGCGGATGATCCTTTTGAGATGGGGTAGGAAAAGGAGGAGGAGGTGGACGAAGAACTACAAGACGTATGCATTGATATTTCTTGGCGGCCAGACACTGCATTTGTCTGCGTGGAGCTTGTAGTCGCTTGGGATTGGGTGGTGGTCGATGAAGCAGCTGCTCCATCAGTAGAAGTTCCCTTATGAGCTTTTGCGCGTGCTAGAGTCCCCCAAGAACAGTTTTCGGACGAGTGAAAGCTTTGATCGGTCGCCACACGAATCTGAGTCTCAAAGTACTGTCTCAGAGAAACAAGGGGCACGCCGTCGTACATCAGCAGCGACCTGAGGAGCGGGAGCTTCATTGCTGCCGGTAAGCGATCTAATATGGAGAAACCACAATGAACGAAAAAGTCTTTTGGGAAATTTAGCTGGAAAATCGCATCGTAAAACCGGAATTGAGGAGGGAGCCAAAAACCGCTCCGTGGACAGCCGAGAGACGAGCCGATGAATGAACTCCTTGAATTTTCTGAATGAAAAGCACAGGAAGACGAGGATGCTGGTGCACTTCTAGTGCCTGATGTATTTTCATCTACTTCATTTGATGACGTGGCAGTGCCAGTGGAAGCGGTTGATGACGAAGTTGCCAAAATATCCCGAAACTTTTGTACTCCAGTGCCACCTGCAACGCGAACATAACCTGTGCTTGGCACTGATCCTATTTCCTGCTCAAGTTTCTGGAAAACTTCGCCGGAAACATTTTCTGCCGGGTAGATGTAGTTCAAATCAGCCGCTTCGCGGTCAGGGTTGAAACAAAAAGAATGTGAAGCTGCTTCTGAAACTCTCTCGAAGGTCTTTTCAACTGAAGATGTTCTCTCCGTGCTAGCACCGCTTTTTATCGAAGAATAATCCGAATTCTTTATCCTAGAAACCGAAGTCGTGGCATGTGTACCATAAGGGCTACTACTTGCTTTTGTCTTCGATGCAGTACCTCCAAGAGACCTAGAACTACAAGTACTTCGTGAGTGCGCGTCGCAACCAGGCCTTTGGCCTTCGCAATTTATTGCCAAAGCTACGGTTTGCGCAGCTGCGAAACCACAAAATGCAGGGTGCTGCTGAACGACAATTGTGTCAATCTTTGGGTACAAGGCTTCTGGAAATTGCGCCTTGGACTCGTACTTCACAAGATTATTCGGTATCTCTAGCGGGTTACTCTGTGCAACAAACTTCCTGTGTCGGTAACCGTCACGCAGGCATCGCGCGAGGTTCGTCACCTGTCGAAACAGGCCTACCGCTGGACTCCGCATTTTGATTAATTTTCTACTACTACCACTACTACTACGTAAGTAACATACTTACTAGTTTGACTCATTTATTCTACAACAAATTAAATTCCAAGCAATGACATCATATTTTTGTGTAGAGTTTGTGTATCTGAGATCTTCACTACTTAATCATCCCTTACTAACATCAAATATTTCAACTTAAGCATCACCACATTAGGCCTCAATAATAATGACTAATGGTAGCATTGCATTTTAGGCCGCAGAAAGTCACCAACCAGCCCTAGTCAGAAGACACCATAAGACATTTTCGAAGAAAAGCGCCTTGTCGGATGTCATCCACGTTCTCGCAGTGATTCATTGAAAGAAATAAGAGACCGCCACCAGCACCTCTGCTGAAGATAAACAACATCAACAAAAATACTTTTCTCAAATTCAATTGTATGAAAATAATTCAATTGCCTATTAATGTTACTAAGTAGCTAAAAGCGAAAAAGAAATCTTTGGGGCACAAAAACAAACAAAGTGGGTCTCATCGCGGGAGTGGGAAAACAGAGCTGAGTCCTGAATATGGATGTGGTGGCATGCACAACATCGACACATGAGTAGGGGCTCGTTGGTGGACAACCATGAGGTCATTCCTGCTAGTGACGGAGGTGTCCATCACAGGGACCGGGACAACGACAACATTATTAGTACGGAAGACCAAATTGATATTGGATGTCTCAACACTTGCCTGATTCTGGAAGGAACATCTAGGGACATACATACACCGTGGAAGCGACTAATCACGATCGCTCGTTGTCGTTGTGATATTCTTATTTATAGAACGGTCTTGACACATCATCTTGTCGGAACACAACAATGTCTATTTCTTCATCTCCTCCTCCTGCTTCTGGTTTTATAAAAACATCGTAGAAAAAGAAATTGTTACACAGAGTAACGCGGTAATGGAGTAGGAACTATTCTTGGATGTCGGGAAAGCGCAACGAGGACAAGAAATTTCTACAACAAAAGTCAGTATATTGAGACGCCTAGTCCTCCTTGTAGCTCTCTGTTTACTCGTTTGCTCACATATTTCATTTTGAACTGTCGTCGATCTCGATTCACGACATCCGCGCAATTTTAGGCGCACGTCCATTCCCTGCTGGGCTCGTTGCGGCATTTGCATAGAGCTCTTGATCGTGGAGAAGAAATCGTCGCCAGAACTGAACCATTGCTTCTTGATATGCGTCAACGTTGTCCTTCTTTGCAAATCCATGGCCCTCGTTATCTGCGCACATATACCACACGGGGACTTCATTTTTGCGCATTTCCGCAAATATTTGTTCCGCTTCCGTAACAGGCACCCGCGGATCGTTCTTCCCTTGCACGATAAACAACGGAGACCTGATCTCGTTACAACGCGTCAACGGTGACATCTTCAGCAAGAGCGCACGCATCTTTGGGTCGCTTTCGTCGCCGTACTTCTTGCGCCGCAGTACTCTCCGATACGAAGCGGTGTTCTCCAGGAAGGTGACGAAGTTACTGATCCCGACCATATCTACGCCGCATTTGAACTGCGTCGGATAATGGATCAGACTAGCTAGCGTCATATAGCCTCCGTAGCTGCCGCCCCACACAGCAATGCGCGAAAGGTCAAATCCAAACAAATTGTCATTCTCCGAATCCTGCTTCATCCAATCGAGGAGAGCGCAGATGTCGCGCACCGAGTCCTCTCGCTTCTCGCAGTCGTCCAGAGTGACGAAGACTTTGCCATACCCATCCGAACCCCGCACATTCGGATCGATGACCGCGACGCCAAGCTCGTTCACCAGATATTGATATAATGGCGAAAATCTTGGCCGATGCTGTCCCTCAGGCCCGCCGTGTGGATGCACAATAACTGGAGTCTTTTTGTCATGTGGAGTCTTGTTGTGATTGTTGTGGAGGTCTTGTTCAGTTCTATTTGCTGGAGAATAAACAAAAGCTGGAATCTCAAGTCCATCGAAACTGCGGTAGCGAATCAGTTTAGGCTGCACAAATTTGGACGTGTCGAGACCACCAACTTCGGACCGCGTCCAGCGCGTCAACTTCAGGCTTGGAAAATCGAGCATAAACACATCTGTGGGGCCTGTCGCCTGCAGGATGGAGATGCCGAATCGTTTTCCGCACGGGGAAAAGCCACATTTTCCGGCAACACCGCAAAAGGGCAGCTGAAACCGCGTCAGATCCGAAAACAGAGATGAGGCGGTCACATGACGATGGTCCTTATCCAGCTGAATCATTTTCGATGTCGCAGAGTTCTTCATCGAACTTCCATGAGCTTTGCCATGATCTGTACAACTAGTAGAAGTTGTAGTAGTACTAGCTCCGAGTGTGCTCGAATTTATCTGTCGCATGTAGTAAAAGGTCGATTGACCCTCTTCGTTGTAGCCGACAATTATATCACCGTTCGCGCCGACGTACACATCCTCGACATCCCATGGAATAGAATCCTCGGAGATTATTTCAGTTACGTCTTCGGTTTTATAGTCAAAGAAACGCAGAGTCTTGAAATTGCTACCTTCGCCAGACGCGAAAAGGACACCAAGCAACTGCTGTTGGTCTGCTTCACCGCTTTTGTCAACGATGAATTGTGCGCAATCCACAGAAGCAGAGACTGGCGCTCCACCTGGGAGAGAGCGAGGCGCGATGTCCCGGCGTCTCCAGGACTCGCCAGCAGCGGTTTGTCCATTACTTGACGAGGAAGATGAAGGGGAAGCTTCTAAGACGAAGATTTTTGCGTCCGATGCGGACACATAGTGTTTCACCAAGATATATCCTCCGTCGTAGAAATCTGACAACAGGAGATAGCCTGGCTCTTGCCCGCTACTGTAGATCAATTGTGCAGCTGTGGCGGAAGCGGTAGTTTCTTGCGTGGTCACGCTTTTCTTCAGGTCATCCATCAAAAACACGTCGAAATGGGTCCCGTCTCGTGCGTTGCTTGAATAAGCCATCTTCAAAGCGCCACTTGAAGACGATTTGGAGACTGAAAATTTTGGGGTCCTGTGCATACTTTTCCCATCCGTCAACATAGTGCTATCTCCCGTTGCTCGATCAAAGTAATAGAATTGAATCTGCTCGTCACCACCTGCATCCTTCCCGTACAAAAAAGCACCTCCTGATTGAGGAGTATCATCGCTTCCGTTGCCATCTCCAGAGCCACCTTCTGCAGTACTAGATGGCACGGCAACACACAGTTTCACAGGCTCGTCAAGAAAGGTGAGCTGCTCTCGCATGCCCATCGGCTGCGACACAAAATGAACTTGTTGACTGTTCGCAAAGCGTGTCAGGATGTAGATACCAGCATCAGAACTCGTCCCATTTGTAGCATCCTTGTCCGACCCGAAGCCCATGAAGGAGGCACTTCGGATATTCTGATAGGCTTGCAGTCTTACCCCGAGCGCCGGATCGCGCGCAGGCACATCGAAAACGTCCAAGTTGCCGCGCTTTTCCATTTTCATGAAAACAGACGATTGACGCGTTATTCCCTTTCGAGGCCTAGGGTTACCGTAAGCGGCCAGATAAAAAAGATCCTTGATGTCTTGTCCGAATCCAAGCTTTAATACTTTTGGATCGACTACACAAACAGCCACTGATATTGCAAGTGCCCTCTACACTGTTTGGTTATTACCTCCTCTGGAAAATGATGATTCTCTGAGATTCTGGAACTAACTAGACGGTCTCTTGCACAATCCACCGACCCTAGAGGAAGAAGTTATAAACAAGGACATGATGAACAGGGCTTTTTAATATCATTTCTCCCGAGGCCGACAAAATTAATATTTATAATTATTAAGCCAGCAGCCAACTTTCTCTACCTATCTGGATATCTCTCATCTCGAATAAGCACTTCCACTTAAAGCATTATTTCATGCCATTCAAACGGTGGCGTCTTATCATCCCTGACTCTGATCTGGTATATCTTCGATCATTATCTGGAAAAAGGCTGCTTCTTGGCTCATCTTCAACGGCTGTGCATTCTCCTTGGTTCAATCTTTTTACGTCCCATTTCCTCCATCTGAGTCAACGTCAACCTATGCATGGAATTTTACGCATCTGCAAAACAGGACATTCGGGTTCTTTCATGCTCGGAAAAAAAAACGAATTATATTTGTAGTGCATTTCCTTTTCTCATGATTTTTTGTTACGTAACCGCCCAATGGAAAATCAAATCAGTAGCCGCCTCACTTTCTTCTTTCAATTCAGCTAGAAGCTGGTACTGTGCAATGAATTGGGGTTCGTCATTTGTTAATAATTTTCTCGGCTTGTACTTGCTCAACACATCTACATCATTCATTCTCGTACTAGAGCCTTTGAAGCACCATAACTACAATTATATGTAGCTGTACAATTACAACTGCAAAAAATATCTACAAAAAATATCTGGTTCTATTCATCGAGCTTTTGATCCGGTTGTTTTATGGTTTCATATCCATCCAGGGAAAATTCCACATGTTTGGTAGGCCCTCGTGTGGGAAGAGGGCTGGATCGTACAACTCTGTTCCCTTTGAGTCTCGCCACGCGAAAGTTGGCAAACGGTGCTCATCGGTCGTCGGTCCGCTAATCGCCATCGCGCGCAGTTCGCGGATCATGTCCAAATCCGAAACCTTGCTGTCTACTGCCCCATTAGGCACTCCGCCGCCGCCCTGTACAACGAATTCTGGAGCCTTTACGAAGTTAGTAGAATCAGAAGACTTCTTCTTGTCGACTACTTCTCCTACAGCTAGTTGCCCCACCGGATCCACCGTATCATAGTCGCCTTTCAGAAACAGGTCCCCACGAGCAGCAATCGCATGGTCAGGAGTATTTCGCTCGCCGCCATCTAATTCGTGGGGATACCGGTTTCGTTGCATCTCGCGTTGCATATCGGTCAAAGAAAAGACGTTTGGTGCGGTGCCATGAAAAATGTTTGCTCGAGGGCCCTAAAGGTGGAAAAGGACAGTTCTACTGAGACGTTAAGGAATTTCAATTTCCTCGGGCCAAGAGATCGTAAAAGAGAAAACTACATACTTGCGATCAGGAGAAGGATAACTGCTACATGCTGTTTGAATTTGCGTGAGCTGCACAAGAGACGTTGACACGTCATTGTCCATACTCAAAGAATTCATGTATTTACCCGATCCCGGCTGAAAATCCGTCCATGGTTTTCTTCCGCCTCCTGCAAGCTTAGCTTCTCGCGAACGTCCTCAAACCACGGTCTGTTGTGACTGGCCCAGTAGCCATGCTCTTGCAGCCACGGTGTCATGTCTTCAACGTGATCCATATTCGGTGCCTGATCGAGAACAAAAAAAGCACCTTCACGAATTGTCAGCTTCTTTTGTTTTTTGCCCTTCTCGTTCTTGGCAACTAGAAGAGTTTGTTCATCATTTTTTTTTCGCTTCAGCAGTTGGAGTTCCGATGAAGATTGAGCCTGTTTCTTCTTTGCAGATGGTGCAACCGCTCCGTCAGTGATAGTATCAGCATTTACTATGCTTTTCCTCTCGTTCTCTTTTTCATCCCTGATAATCTGGTTTGTGTCGACGACGAGCCATTGGCTGCTATAGGTACCAGTACCGCTATCGACCATAAAATCGACCCAGTCACGACCAGTGTGCGCCAAGCGTGAGGCAAGCATGATACGCAGAGCGTCGGGGACACCAAACTGGTCAGGTATGTGGTCGTAGGGCTCATCGCTCAACATCGAAATGGTCGTCTCAGTAACTGCTAAGCCAGCTGAAGTTAGGTAGTAGTCGTCCGTACTTCCAGCGATTCCAGGAAAAAATGAAAGAGGGGAGAACGCTTATGCAAAACGCTGATTTACAACAGAGCAATCAAAGAGAGAGCTAAGCATGTGGCGCGACGGACACGGAGATGGACTCCGCGCCCACCGCTTCTATCAACTTCTGGCGAAGCGCTATTCCTCATATTATATATAATCCAGGGCCGCACGGCCCCCCCCTCCCCCCCCCTGTGGTCTGGTCTGTGGTGGCGCGCCCGCGCGCTTTTCCGCGCGGATTTTTCGCGGATTCTAGTGGTGGAAGGCGTCAAAACTTGGCGCGGGCCTCCCCTTGGGCCTCTCAGCGTGTTCCGAAGGGACCGCCTGGCCTCTGCTGACCCTCGCAGTCAGGAGGCCTCCGGGGTAAAAAGCCGCCGGAGGCGGCCACGGTCACAAGGGCAAGCCGATGACCAAGGGCCCGAGGGTCCAGCCCCTCGCCTTTTGCCGTCTTCGGAGGCCTTCCGTTGCTGGTGCACTGTTGCGGCGGCGAAGCCTAACGGATGCACTGAGGGCACAGGCAGGCACCTGAACGGGGGCGCAGGCGATCCCGTGGGCCCCTTTTGAAGCCTCCCACCACCATGGGGGGTCCCTCAAGTCTGTAGGGTACATGCAAACGAGAAGGAGGCAGCCCCTTGGCCCCCTTTTGAGGCCTTCCGCCCCCGGCAGACGCCTCCAAAAGGGGTCCAGGGCGCTCGCCCCCCCCCCGCTAGGGGGGGGCCGTCGCCCCGCGCCCTGGAACATATATAATTTTTGTCGAGAATTGGTACTACAATACTACGCTTGTTTTGTTGTAGGTATAAAGTCTTTCCTTACATACGAGGAAAACGCGATCGTTCGGGCAGCTGCATCGGCGAATGGAAAGTCGTAGTACTTGAAAACGCGAAGCATTTCGGAGTAATCTGAGAAGGTCGTGTGTCCAATGAACACATCCTCATCGGTCAACCTGACAAGCGCAGAGCAGCGGCCTCCACGTCGCTGGATCCGCTGCCACTCTCGCTCATCGAGCCTCTTCTTAGCGTGGCGACGCATTCTCAGTTTTCTGAAGATGGTGGTTCGATATGAATTCAAAACGAGCATGAATCCTTGTAGCTTCATCTGGGTTTCGACGGCCGTCGCGCAGATCATCCCAAACGCACATCCTGATCTTCATTGTCACTGATACCATTAGCGAAGCAGGAAAAATATTACCTATTTTTTGCATGGCAGCTACAAGATTGAAACTGATTATTTTAATGAATCTTCAATACCTTTCGCGGATCTTCTGACGACTGTTTGCGTGTAAACGATCCGAACGTTGACTCGCACGACTGGCGGTCTGTCTCTTTTCTTCGCTTCCCCTCCTGACAGCAGCTAGCGTCTGTAACAAGCTGACACGTCCACTAATTGATGAAGCGATAAGCGAACTGCTTTCATCCTCGCCAGACGATGATGTCATGAATGATTCCTTCGTCTCGCTGACCGGATCATCGCTTTCTTGCCGCATCAGATATTCTTGCATGTCGTAGGCGACCTGCAGTTCCGGTGTTTCTCCATCACTATTCAGCAGAAGCAGATCCACTAGAGTCATAGATGGTTCGACTTCCATCTCCTTGCCTCCGTGACCCTGAAATTGGGTTTGGTGGTACTTCTGGTGAAAATAGTTAAAGCCGTCTCTAATTCCCAGAAGCTGGAACAAACTGTAGGATGCGTGTGTGCTCCAAAGCTTCCTGCGGGCAGCTGTTGCTTTCTCAGCCGACGACTCAACAGTTTCGTCTCTGCGATCTCGCAGCAGAAGCTGTTGACCCATCATCATCGTAGAAGTCGTGGTGTCTGCTGGCTTGGTCGGCGTAGATGCTGTCTGCTCTTTGGAAGTAGAAGACGCACGCTCGCTGCCATCTTCTGGGTTCCCCTCTCGCTGACGAGGCGCTGGAGACGACGACGCTCTTGTAGCCAAGAGGATATTGTCAACCTTGTGCGCTAGCATTTTGCGGATATTGCCCAAAGCATGATGATCCACATCTGAGCGTTGCAGCATGCTGTTCGCATTATGTCGAAATTGAGCGATCCGTGTCGCAGAAGCCAGACCCTCAAATTAGACATGCGACTTCGCATGCGTATCTTAGGGTTATTCAAACTTATCATCTGTATCGGTATATCTAAATTTTTGAATCGACGTGAAGTAGCTGCATGGTGACATCACCTTTTCTTAAAATCTATTTTCGATCAGATGATGGAAGCAACCAATTTCATTCACAAGCTAGTGGCCATACTCAAGAAAACCAACCGAAAACATAGCCAGCTCCGGTTGTGCAGCAGCTGTTGCTTCTGGTATTCCAGCCTTCAGTTGTGCCCACCCAGTCTGTTCGATTGTATCATCCCAGCGTAGAGACGCGACGACCTCTCTTCCGCCACGGTCCTCAGCATTCCTTGTCTTTTGAGCCTGCGAACCTTGTTGAGCAGGGGCTTCTACGTCACTCATGATCTGCACAACAAGTACGTCGTCTGCACGGTCCTTCACGGCCTCTGCGCTCTTTCTTTGCGTTGCTGCCAGCAAGTGCGCTCGCGTGGGTGAGAAGACGGCTGCCCCCTTCCCAGAAAGATTCGACGAAATCTGGAAGCGTACATTGCTTACCTCTAGTTCACCGGTTCTCGTGTTGCGCTCGAAGTGCGGACGTCTAGTGGAGCTGCGAAAGGCACCACCATAATTCTTCCCTTTAGCTCGTGAATCTGCAGGAGAAGTTGTGCTTTCCGCAGAGGTAGAAGTACGTTTTGCTGTGGTCTTCACGCTTCCAAGTGCTGCAAGCGCAAGCTCGTTATTGTCGCGTGCATAGCTGCGCAGCTGGGCTGTCAATCGTACCAAAGGCTTTTCTGGTTGAACGTTAAGAGCATCAGATACAGCTAGAAGAAGGACCAGGAGCACTCCAAGAGGCGCGCTGGCAGCAATATTTCCAAACGTCGGACGGTGAGAACGCCGCGACTGCAAACCCAGTAACACCATTCTTTGTTCACCAGGACATTTACTCCATGTCTAATGCAATTATTCCATTTGTCCTCGAACTACAGAACCAACAACACACGCAGAACTTTGAGGCTAGTACCCGCTCGTTAGACATTTATGAAACATCTTTAGCCTCGACTCTCTCCCATGTGCGTATACGGCTACGCTATTGTGCTCAGACTTCATCGCTGCACACTATTTATAACGTGGATCCTCGACGAGCAGGTTCCTCTTGGTACCAAACACGTTGAGTGACGTTGCCATCACCTACGATTTCCGCTTGCAACCACGACACAAAATATGTTTTTTGCCTTGGCTAGAGAACGAGAAAAACAAGGAAAATTTAGCATGAAGCTGACGATGATGCGTGATAGAAAGATTATGTGCTTTTTACTACAGTACAGAAAGTTAAGTTCTTTCAAAGTAGTAAACGTTTTATTTCAGGGTGGTAGTAGTACTCGCACGAATCACTTCTTAAAAATATTAATTTATTATACTACTCAAAATCTATGATAGAAGCGACGCCAAGAATCAGCTGCGTTATAGCGCAACGAAAGTGACGAGCGTGGTCAAAGTAATGTCGACAAATTTCTAAGTAAGTACTGTATTGGTCCGAAAACGTCCTCCGGCGACGACCATTTAAGATATTTCAAAGGAATGCTCATGTATGAAGATGTAGACGAGTGAAAATGTTGGTTTTGATGGAGTGATTAGTGGAAAACTCTTCCTTTCATGAAGAGAAAAACTAAAAAGAGCGGACTGCTACTTGATGAAGCCCTTGGGTTTGGGGTTGAATTCAATTTTTGTTCTTGTTAAAGAGTCTCTTCACCTTGCCTTTGATCTTTTCCCCAAGGTCCGGCTTGGCATCTCCCGTGCTATCTGCCACACTTGGCGTCTTCGCCGGACTTGCCGGCTTCTTGTTACCTTTGGGCGACGCAGGCGTGGACTTCCTGCCGCGTGAGCTACCACGGTATCTTGAGGAACTTCTGGTCCCGCGAGAAGATGTCGATGCACTCGTAGTTGCCGAATCAGCTGCAGCATCGCCGTCAATTTAGAAAAAAGACCGATCATGACGAGGACAACTTCTTGTTAGTACGTAGTACCAGCTAATATCCTCATTTGTCCAATGCATTTTCCATGGTCAAATGGTTGCTTCATCTCCAATGTATGCTCTAGACAATGGAGATTGGATCGTCGATCTCAATCCACCATGAGATGCTCAGCGGACACTGTCTCCGTCGTGTCACCACGAACTCGATCTTCCTTTAGGAAGTTAAAGTTAGTGTCAATATCCAAAATGTTTAAGTATCTACGTATAATATTGCGACATTTCCGTGAATAGCACATTAATCATCAGAGGGCAAGGAAACGACCGACGGCGCGTTTCGCAACCGCTCCGCTAAAGGATCGCCGAAGAAGTGTCGCTTCTTAGAAGACCTAGATTGTACTAGTGAAAGCGTGGGCGGTTGCTCTTGGTCTTGTCGCACCTTTGTTATAATTTTGACAAGAAGCCCGTCCTTTCTTCCCCAGAAAGCGCTACTGCCGCAACCTGTCTTGCTATGGTCAATGCACTTCTTATTTCATTCGAATCAACCATAGCATAGCCGTACAGCGAAAGACACAAACAAGAATATTGAAATAAAGGGGATGGATCTCGGTCAAATAATGTGTCAAGACTAGACGGTGATTAATCAAAAGACTAACTAGCCCTGCGTAGAAGATTAATAATCAATTGTTCCTAAGCTTCAGTCTTCTGCCCTTGCTCCAGAGATAGAGGACGCCGACGATGATCTGCTCAGCCACATACTTACGATTCCACACCGTCAGAGCAGTTCCAACAGTGCTGACGAGGGCTACAACAAGTGAAACGAACCACACCGTGGTCATCATTTGCCTGGAGGAATCTTCTTGTCCATCCCTGGATTTCATCAGTGCGTTGAGTACCACATCGTTGAGGAACCCTGGCAAGTCGCTGATAATTGAAAACAATGATGATGAGGCAGGCTCCGAGGAAATGGTCAGTGCGGGAGTAGCAGTTGGTTGCGCGACCGGAGGAGAAGTGCTTTTTGACGAGGACATCTCGGATACGGAGGTGGCCATATTATTCATCTTTTTCTACACAAATTCTGAAATTCAACTACAAAACCAAGGTAGCAGCTGGCGTAGACATTTCCTCTTCGCCGATGTTTTCTCATGTCACACAAAACTGGGGTTGATGATATACAAAAGGCGGAAATACGCAAATCCGAACGCGAAGGCGCTCGCGGTGGTAAACACGCAAACGCAATGGTGACACCTGCTCGGCGCCAAATTCAGTACGATGCAGACAAAAATGTTTGCCAGCCGTTACCGATGTATGTTGGTCGTGTTGAGCGCTATCATTAATTAAGTCTCTGCGGCGCGGCTACTGCATGTGCGAAGTCTGTCTTGTTCAGACCACAGGGCAAGAAAAGCACTTTTTATCTTTTTATCCGTTTTGGGGATTCTTGTAGTTGTGCTACAAGTTGTAAGATTGCATGTCACGGGCTTTGCAATTGGAATTATACATACTACCTACTGGGGGCAGGATAATTGAAGATCAAAATTGTACAGAAGTAAGTGGCTTACACAACTGTGAAATGTGTGAACTACAATGTATCGCCTTGGCCTTTCTCTTTCTATTTGATAAAAACTACTATGTTGAGTTTGAAAAACGTAATATTGATATGATAAATATGGATAATCGGTGTCGGAAACCATCTTATATTGTGTGACAATCATAGAAAGTGATGAAAAGGCAGAGACGTTTTGCTTTCAATACCTCCAATATCCTTTGTTGCCTAAGTAAAGGTCACGGGCATGCGGGGCGATGCGTTCAAAGTCGTTCTTCATATAATTTGCAACGCATGCTCACCGACCACATTGAAAGAAAAAGAATAGACGAACAGAACCCCATTCAAAATTGCAAAATAGGACGTGTCATTGAAACTGAGTGATTCTTATACAAATAGATACTAGAAAAAAAAATGAATAAATCAAAGTCAAAGTAGGACTACACCTACAGGTGCAACAGCTATATTTTTGAGCAAACACATACACATCACGATCCCACTCCCACTATGAAAACTTTACGCCTGATACAAAAGATGCATTATGCTCATCCTCATCGTGAATCTCGTCCTGCTAATATCACCTTAATGTGCAGGACTTACTTACATCAGCATACGACGACTCGAATCATTCATGGAAACTGTGAAAAAAAGCATATATGCGAAAGTATTCATTTATCCATATTATGCTCATGAATTCGCTGATAGATATGTTGCCTACCTAAGTCCGTAGATGAGAAAGGATGCTTCTTCTAATCTATAGATCAAAACTTTGTAAGCCACAAGCCATTCTCCTTATCACATATAAATGCAAATATATATATATATAATTATCGTATCGTTAACAGTTGTCGTCCATTATTCTCGCACGAAGGGGCTGCGGGTCATGCATGAGAAACAGGGCAAGGCGCCACACATTCTTCCCTTCGAGGGCCAAGAGCAGCAGGAGCGGTTATCTGTTGACGATCCAGATTCCACCTCCGTTTCGTCGCTTGCTGTTGAAAAGGGCCAAAGACCTCCTCCTGAATTAGGTCCTTGTCCAGATGGCCCGAATCTATCATTATCCGCATCCGCTCTGCCTTCAACATAATTCCCTTGACGGGCGCTACCGTTAGTACTACTTCTCCCGCTGAAGGATTCTCGTCGTGCTTGGTTTTGCGCTTGAACTTCAGCGTGGTGGCGTTCATCCAGCAATTGAAGTACCAGTTCTGTAGGGTAGCAATCAAGTGGATACGCGGAATCGGGAAGATTTTCGCCGTCGTGATTAACCCCCAAAGTTTCCATCGAAGATGCAGACGCTGCTTCGAGTATTTAGAGGTACACGTAGTGGGTTTTTTACCATCCTTCTGATGCAAGGCGGAGCAAGGACAACCTGCGCTACAATTAAAATTTTTCCACGAGAGAAGTCTATTCGTGCAGCAGACTATGTTGCACATTTCAGTCTTCGCGATGGATGGTGAAACGGAGAGTCTACAACTAGGGGTGCAGGTTAGGTTAGGATAGGGATCCTTCATTTACTAGGAGTAGGTCAGGATAGGGAGTACTGGCCGTAATCGATTACATCATGTTTATTGCAAAGCGGGCACCTCACTTCCGGGCGACAGGATGCCGCATTGAAAAAAGTCAAACGCCTCACACTTCTCGCGTACGCATCGTGCTGTTGTTGCCGCTCGGACGGCTGCCGAAAATCTTCGTCCGCAGGTACTGGAGAGGAAGACGCAGTAGATTCCGAGTCTCGCTGTCTTCCTCGTGGTAATCGACCATCACGTGTATTAGAATTAAAAAATAATGCTTGTTGATTTTCACAACCGTTTTAGAGCCACCCAGAACAGTCTTTCCGTCGGTCCTTGCACCAACTAGCAGATCGCACGCCTGTGGATTTTCGCGTGACGACTCTAGAGGAACTGGAATTCTGACAGTGATGAATTAGAAATAGAATTAGGGCAATCCTTAATAGTTGTAGCTGCATTGCTGTTTCGGTGCTGCAGAAGAAATGGAGGTTGCGTCTCCTGTGCCGTCGCCGTTGTAACGTCTTCGTCCTGATCTCCTCCAGGCACGGTGCTTAGAAATCGATTGCGATTACGGCCACCCCGTTTACCACGACGAGTTGCGGCACTCGGAGCCAATGGTGATTCGACTTCATCCTCGCGCCGTTGGTGCCGTTCATCAGGATGCACGACGAGCTCCCCTCCTGCGTTCGGCACATCATGATCGTGACTGCCGGTTGCCCTGGTCGAAGATTGACTCGATGTCCATGTCGCAGCTGTTTGTGTTTTTGAAGTACTACTAGGGAACATGAACGAGGACCAACGCGAGGGCGCTCGCTCGGGATCAGGAGTCGCATGAAGCGCCGGTGACAACGCAGACATCGGAGAACACGCAGCTGTCGAAGATCCCGAAAGACCAGAGGAAGACGAAGATTCTTCGTTAGAGCTGCTACACGACACCTACGTAGTTACTAACTCTCGACATCGTCTATGGTTAAGTACCTAAATAAGTTTGCTTGGTACTGGTTTAGTCGAGTCTGGTGAACTGAAGGACATCAATAGACGCCAGCATAAGCAATGACCCCGTTGTTGTGCTCGCCGCTGAGAGTGATGATCTGCAACGAGGGCGGAGCTGCAAATGACTTGAAGAGGAAGCGGGAGATGAAGCATCATATGACCTTTGCGGATCATCGTCTAAGCAGCGATCAGAAACAGAGTGTGCTCCAAGCCTCGCTTTCATTACCTGCTCCCTTGCCTTCTCTAGATTGAATTCGTGCATTGCATCAGCGAATGTTCGGTCACGACCCGCCGACAAGAGCGCCTGATATTAGCGCCATCCACCCGACACCGCATCCTTGTGCCGCCCGAAGCATGTGTCTCTCGTCATGCACGTAAAATGTAGAACTAGGAGAAGGATATTTCGAAATGGAAAATAGATTTGCGTGTAAGTAGATCGAGTTAGTTGCACACAGACACACGACGAGACTGATGGATCAGTCTTCTCCTTAACGATAGCACCCAGTGCATACCATGTGCCCACAATGGTACGTCCAAGCAGTAGGCGCCTCCTCCTCGTCCCCGAAGTCGACGAGGCATATTGGGCAATCGCTGTTTAGCACACGTTGCGGACCTGCGTCAACAGATACAGATAGTCGCATGTGCTTTATGTTTATTTTGTAGAAAAATGAATAGAAGGCAAGCCAGCCTGTCCCCCTGTAGTAAATGGTGTTGAGTAGATGATATGATGGCTGACCAGCAAACATGAAAATCTACTTGAGCCAGAATAATCCACTGCAAATTCGTACCGTCTATCGTCTGAACAACGTATGGAGCTGGGCTCGCCTCTGACGCTGGCGTCTCGGTGTCCCGGAAGCAAAACAAAAGGGAAGAAAAAACGTCGTCCCAGAGGCTAGATGAGATGAGTTCCGAAGTTGAGGAGTTGTTCGAAGATGTCGTTTCCTGAAGTTCAAGCACACGCGCACTGCGGCGAAAAGCTGCGACGCAGCAACCAAACCAGGACGAGCTAGCTAATAACACGGACGAAAGGAGATGGAGCGCGATCCACTTCGAGGAGGAACGGCTGCAACTCCTGAAGAGAAGAGACGAGCGGCAACGACCACGGAAGTTTTTAGAAAGGATCAACATCTTGGAAGGCGTCAAGGCGGCCCTCTCTTTCTACTTCAAGTTGTAACACAAAACTACACAGTACTGAGTATGATCCTTCGACCAAGTACCAACACAACGTTAAAATGAACGGAACGAGTGATCGAGATCGACTACCTCATCACCTCAAATTATAGTAGACGATTTAGGTTTCTTACCAGAAACAAAATACGAAAATGAAAACTCACTTGACATTCAAATTCGCCACGTCGCTGCGTCCCTCAGTATTCTCCATTCTCGCGTCATCAAGTTCATGGGGACCGATGCACGATGACTCCGCACGATCGCTCGTCCGCTTAACATAGTACGCGTGTTCAGGAATATTGTTCAGGTTCTGTCCGAACATTGCGACTCCATTTCAAAGCCAACCAGACCAGTTGGAAGTTTTGTCACCCCCACGAATTGAGGGCACAATGACTGAATAGAATTTGAATCATCTTCAGTATCGGAATCCTACTCTTCATTCCCGATAGGAAAACCATATCGACATTGTCAAGTTTGATATTTCTGTACATCTTTAAAAGGTCAACAAGTACAAGAGCGAAATTCAAATTACTTAATCGCGTTATAGTCCCTTTGATGTGTATGTGAAAAGTATTCATTTTTACCTAGCATATAATCGAAATTCATTATGTATGTATCAACGACGACAGTATAATGTTTGTGGTGTCAAGTTTGATATTAAGGTTTAAAATTACCAAGACTTGTACAAGAGCACTATTATCAACAATATCAGATCTTATGGAAGAAGAATTGTCTAAGTAGTTGGATGAGCTTTAATCATGTTGGTACTACATTCCGGAATATTTATGTTGAGGATTCGCCAGCTCTATCTTTTCAACTACTAGATGATGACGGGAACTACTGTTTCGAGGAGACCGTCCAAGTCTATTATCGTTCCATATCCACGATCAAATCAAGCATTTTTTCATTATATATATGTATCAAGTTCAAGACGTAGAGGTAAAAGACATACTAAACCCGTAATTCTTGAATTGCCCTCAATCCGCCGTTGGAATTCCAGTCGAAGGCATCGGCATGCGCATCTGTATCATGGAGTAATACATGCATTTAAGTTATTCATATTCTTAGCTGGCGCCCCGCTTTCCCGTCATTTTCATCATGTTATCGTAGTATTTCGTCATCGGACTTGATGATATTGGGTGTTGGGGTCCCCGCAAAGGCAACCCCGGTGAGGACTCCACGAACCCGTATGCCATCTGGGTTGTCATTGGTTTCTCAAATTTTTGTGCGGGTCCGCGTACTGGGACTTGTTGCTTCAACTTTGCAAATTCAACGTGGCCGAAGCTCGTGTAATCAGGCCCGTTCTTCTGTACCGCTGGCTCTCCAACGACCGCATTCCAAGTATTACGCTGCCGCATGACTGAAAAAATTTGCAGAGAGCATGGGCGGGCGAGTGAGCAAGGGCGAAACAGTAACAAACATGAGTAGCCCTCAGTCAGCAGGAGCGTCTTCAAAGAAAAAGAAGTGCTAGTAGTTCGAAAATTAAATTCGCACTTCAGTTCGTTCCTCAAAATACGTTCTAAAAGTAATAGAAGTGAGCTATTTCCATTCGTATACGTTTGAGGGCTGCACGCCCCCCCCCCCGTGGCATGGTCTGCGGTGGCGCTCGCGCGCTCTTTTTCGCGCTGATTTTCGCGGATTCTAGTTGTGGTAGGCGTCAAAACTGGGCGCGGGCGTCCCCTTGCGCTTCTCGGCATGTTCCTGAGGGACCTCGTGGCCGCTGCAGACCCTCACAGCCTGGAGGTCTCCAGGGTAAAAAGCCGCCGAAGGCGGCCACGGTCTCAAGAGCAAGCAAGCCGATGACCGAGGGCCCGGAGGGTACAAGCCGCACAGCTCAGCGGGTCCAGCCCCTCGGCTTTTGCCGCCTTCAGAGGCCTTCCACATCCGGCGCACTGCTGCGGCAGCGAAGCACATCGGAAGCATGTAGGGCACAGGCAGGCAGCTGGAAGGGGGCGCGGGCGGTCCCCTGGGCCCCTTTTGAAGCCTTCCACCTACATCGGAGGTCTGTAGGGTACACCCAGGCAGCTGGAAGGGAGTGGAGAAGGCCCCTTGGACCCCATTTGAGGCCTCCCACCCCCGGCAGCCGGCTCCCGAAAGGGTCCGGGGCTACCGGTACCCCACCTGCGCTAGGGAGAGGGCCGTAGTTCTGAGCCCTGGATCAATTTATATACACTTAAGTACAACATGCATGTTGATATACGAACGACATAAGTAAGCATAAGGTGACCCTACTCAGTGGAGAAGATCGTTGACAACGTTCCCACTTTCTCAGATATAGGTAACGGCTCTCGTCTCTACAAATTTTTAGAATAAGAAGAAACGGAAAGTAAAATACCATGCGCCGATCTTGCGGTCGTCTCAGGATGGTCCGGGGCAAATGGTTTCATTGTGTATGGCTGTCGGTTGTGCTCAGGTAGCTTACTCATGTAGTCCTGCGCAGACGAGTCAAACTCGCGACGCATCAAAGCAAAATAGCCACTTTGGACAGAAGACATTTTGTTGTCTATCTCTATCTCTCCTATCACTGGTCTTTACGTGTGCGACCAAGCTAGCAATCTTAATCAAGCAACGGATGCTAAAAAATGTAGATCAGACACGCGTTGGCGCAAACGAAAAGCTGCTAAAAATCGGTATTATTACTTAATTATTCATTGGGTTTAGAAATCCCAAGAAATCAACGCAGAATGTGAGCAAGGCTATGAATCAATAATATCACACGCCTGGTACCGGGGAGAGGGAGACACTCAAACAATAACAAATGAGTATGAGGATCACGTCTTCTAAGAAGTACAGCTCACGAAATACTTGAAGAAGAGCAACATCGTGACACATGATGAAATGCCTTCTCTCTCAGTTTCGCGACCAAGCAAGGGCGCACTTCATGGCGATGGTGATGACGATGATGATGATGGTGATGAACATGAAGATAGAACGATAGGCGAGGGCGCTACGATATGGGCAAACCTGTGAAGCCAACCTTTTCCGAACCGTTAAACAGGAGGAAGCAACGGGGAAAACTAGGGGAGCTAAAGATAGTTCGGATATAATTCAAGAGCACAAGAAACAAAAGCACAACTTCTCCCGCGGAGTGTTTATACCTAAACCGATGAGGGGCGACCGATAAACGAGACAGAGCAGCCGGCCTAGCGACAGACTGTGTTTCCTCGGCAGTGGAAATACAGAGAGACGCGCGAGAAACAAACAGAGCGGGCAGCGAAATCACGGAAGGAAACCACGACAGACATCCGAGACCGAGAGAAGCTGAGCGGGGCCTGCTAACAACAGAACGCGAGGGCGCCGGGGCTTCTGCAGTTCACGGCACGCTGATCCGTGTTTACGTTTGACCGGCGGGCCTCTGAAAGGTGAAGCGCTGGGAGCGACCTAAAGGGAACTGAGCAAAGACAAGTCGACGCTGGCCAAGGTCACCCCGAAAACCCTTGGTCGTGGGCGTGTCTACCACAAACAAAAGAGCCCCACGAATCTGCAGAAGCACGCAACTGAAACAAGACGCAAACGCTGCAAGCAAGGCTGCGAATTTTCTTTTACAGTGCCTCAGGCCTCTCAGGGGCGGGGGGAGATGAAGCGCATCAAGCTAGCCGAAGCCCCTGCGAATCCACCCAGTGGACAAGCGAGGCCGGCCACAACACCGCAAGACAGAAGCCGAAGACAAGCGAACCGCACGAAACAACCAGCCCAAGGAGATGGCGCGGAACACCGAAGACAAAAGACACAGACACCGAACGAAAGAGCGCCGGCGAACAAATCCGCGGGCGCCGTCCCCATCTGCAGCCAGCCCCTCCAAGCGCCGCAGACCCACACAAAGACAGGTGCAGCATAAGAGCCGCGGCCTGCGTCTGTCGTCGGTCTTGCCACCTCCAGCGGACGAAGGCCGACCGAAGTGCGCGGCTGAAAGTGGCGCGAAGGGTGCACAATGTTCGAAGCCAAACGGCGCGGGCGATTTGCGCAGCTTTTACGATTTCGAACCATTTCACGAGTTTCGCTCAAAACCGACCGCAGGACGATAGACGAGAACACGACCCAGGAAAATATGCGCGGGATAAAAATAACCACACCGAAGAAGCAAAATGGCGGACGATTTTCACAACTCGGGGCGGCGTCGATTCCTGCCGTCGCGTTTCTCTCTATCGTCGGGGTCGCTCGGTGTCAGTTTAGGAATAAACGCCACCAAAAGCGGCGTAATATGTTTATTCCTGAACCGTTACGCCCTAAGATTCTGCATATACCCAGACCAAGCCGGATCGGATGTAAAATGTTTGCTGTTAATTATTTGCTGCATTCATCTATACCTCTCCTAATATCCAGACGTACTGCTGATGCACCTCACACACTCCTCGACAGATTGTGAAAACTCCTCATCTTTATGTCCTATCACGGACTTTGTTTTGAAGAACAGAGATGACAAGTGGCAGATATATATCCTCTGTTGAGAAGTCTCAACAACTCTCGTTCTAAAGATTAAGATTCTCGTCGACAGATTGGGATCATTTTGTCTAGGAATTGTCTTTTTACGGCAGGGTGTGTCTCTCTTCTTATAATATAGGACATCAGCGAAGATCTTCGAGACATGAAAGACATTAATGACATCGCACAGCAGCCGAGCGTCTGAACGTTTACGTTGACTGAACACAAAAAGACTACTCAACCAGGGCCAAGGGGCTCGTCTCGCGTCAACCTGACACACAAGGCGTCGGATGATTTACGAGGAATGGTAGACAATGGCTACGCTCTACTGCTCTGCGCGGGCGGCTCTGATTACGTATACCTGAGAATAACCCAGAGTTCAGAAACGTCGACAGGAATATCAAACCCACGACATCAACACCACAGAAATTCACACCCAGCTTGATGGATCCATCATGATCTTGGAATTCTCCTCTCTAAAAATCCAATGATCGGCCTGCACGACAAGGTGCGATCACTATCTCCTTTTCGCTCAAGGTGGTTATTTATATAAGTACATATATATTCTGTTATAAGTAGTTCTTACAATGATCTTCGCGACCTGGTTCGTAATGGATGATGGCCATGTTCGTCGATATAGACTACGGATAGATGGATAGACTTGCAACGCGGGCTGCACTAAAAGTGGGCTCTCTTGGCCGTTTCGCAGCAGTCTCGCCCACACAAGTGAGTGAGGCCATGCCCTTCGTCGATATAGGGGGCGACTATATAGACTTACTTTAATGTGATCACTTGGACGATCATAAAATCAAACTTGCACATCTTATGTTTGGAATGATCATGGTTCTTGAGGTTGCCAATGTACGCAGCTGCGTTGGTCTTCTCATATTTATGGCTATACTTTCCTTCCCTCTGCCCGGATGAAGCGCCCGCTAGTATAAGCAAGGCTCCGGAGTCACAGGAAATTGCAAGGTTGCATTGCACATAGAAGGGCACGCCTTGCAGCACCTGACTCATGACATAATTATTGGAGGGATTGAGTTTGGTGAAATTGATAAAAAAGAATATCAACATCAAGAACAATTGTTGCGATAATGTTAATGTTGAAACATTAACATGGATAGCTATTTTCCATCATAATTCTTCATCGTGGATCAATGGATTGCGAAAGTAAACTCGATCGCTCTCAAGTGGAGATTGCTCGATTCTTCAGAAGCAAAAAAACGTCATTTCTTGACTACTCTCATGGTTTAGCTTATGGTTTAGACGGACACAACCGAGGGGTGGTCTACTACACTTCTCAAACAATTCAATTATCAATCATTTGAAAAAGTAAGAAGGAGCTAGCAATTACGATTTTGGTACAAAACAACAACAAAATGTTCTGTCACCTCATGTATTTGCGAAAATGGCAACCGAACTTGGTCGTGTGCTAACAACCTGGTCTATTTTCCATTGTAAAACCTAAGCCGATAAAGAAGATTATATCGATATCCACCTCTTGCTCTTTCTACACGGGAAAGGAAATGGATGGAATAGATACAAAATGCTTCGAAGCTTTCTTCTTGCCAAGAGTTGCGCGAATCATCCCCTAAACAAAGTGGATTCCTACTCCTCTTTTCAAGAAACGCAAAGTCACGGCTGACACTCATTCATTTTGTTTTTGCGAAGATGCCCCAGAACGAACCAGATTCATACAATCCCCATCCCCGAGGAAAACTAAAACGGCTAGCTCGGACAACTTTGCATTTTTAGGAAGCACTAGTCTTGGCAATAGCATCCATTCTTATATGGGAGGGATACCATACCAAAGGGGGGGGCGTGCAGCCCTAAAACATAATATATAGAGTTCACTAATCAATCTTAGTGACCAAATTGCGAAGGATATTAGCTTTAGCATTTACCATGCATTTTCTGCTTGATGTCCATGTTGTCCATCGTCTATCACGACCGTGCATGCCAGAGCTGTAGTTACCTCCATGCTAGCGCCTATCGTGGTCCTTCAATAGGCAACGAGTTGGGCGAGAGAGTGGATTCGTTCCTTCAACATTTTCACGGTGAGCACCTACTAACCATCAAAATGAAAAGGAACCTAAAAACAACTCCAGGCAGGAGTACGCAGTTGCACCTGTTCTTTCTCTATTCTCAATGACAATTTTCTTGACGTCAACCTTCTACATGCATTGTTGGAAGGGATAAGCCTAAGGATAGAGGGAAAGCTAGCAGGTTTCTCTCCTCTAGTGCTTTAGGCGTCGCTGGACCCAAGCCCCAACCTTATAAAAGGTAAGGAAGCAGCCAGTCAAGATTTGCAGCACACCGCTAAGCCAAAGGGGGAGTTACCAGTTTTCGGGTATTGGAGGAGGTTACGTAAAAATCCATCAGATGGATTTTTTTGCTTTTAGCTGCTTAATATAAGTAATCAAGCCACTAACTCAACTCGCATCATCATGCTTCTGCACTCAAATTTTGGGCGTTAAACTCCCAGAAGCTTCAGTACAGATGTCATTTTTTATTCACTCGAACCAAAGCCACGAGCCTCAACAGATAAAAGCAACGCGCATCAAGGAGAGGGTAACACAGAAGTTCGACACGGACAAAGTGAAGACTTTAGGCGGCAGCCTGTTTCAGTGTGGAACACGGACAAAGATAAGACGCAAGAAAGTAGAGATCAGCCTTCTACATGTAGTAGATTTACATTTAGACATGTCTAGTTTATAGATTAGCATCAGTGACTCTATCGTTCACACTCGCAGCTTCCAGGCAACAACGACCTTCCATCTGTTCTAGGGGAAGCTGAAAGTGGAAGGGGAGAGAACAAGAATCACTTTCAATATCAATAGTATCTATAATGACAAATTACATGTTGCGCGTCCGCGTGATTCTTCATCTGATTCATCTGTGAAACTGTTGAGCGGGATCATACGATATCATTATTAAGCCCTCATCTTATTATAGGATGACAGAACAAATATTCCATACATAGCGTAAATAACTCCTTATCGTTTTTCAACTTTAGGCACAAACCAGTCCGAGGAAGCCCATTAATCACGCACGACCGGTGTAGTTACGTCGCACTCGGCATCGCGTGGCGGCATGGATACTGCTAGCGCAACAAAAATAACTACTTACATCCTAAAGTAAACAAATACTTAATAGTACGACATACGTATCATCAACAAAATTTATGACATCACAACGAGTTTGAATTCATCAACGTATACGTACTTATTTAAGTAATTTCCACCATAATGCTTTATCATCTTCTATAATCTACTACTACTTCCACAAGGACCGAGTACAACTATAAAAAGTAGGAGAATAAGCGCATAATTAAAGGACTACAGCAAGGGAAGGGCAGACCCTCCTCCGATGCCCACTAGCTCCGAAAATATCTTCGGTCTCAATTGTGTACAGATAACACCAGTTTACTAACTGCGTGTCCGAGCTGTTGGTCTGTAGGAGTAAGAGCTCTTGCGCTACATCTTCTCGAGTACTACTTTCGCTAGTATAATTGACATAGATAGCAATGTAGTTCTCTCGCAGTTTCACCAAATTGATACTGAAGTAGTTATAGAAGGAAAACCATGTTGGAACCGAGACGATTGACTCGTTCACTTTTTAAATATCTCTGCTGTTGCGTCGCTGTTCTCTCTGCAGGCTTCCGTGTCTTATCCAGCAGTTACGAACAGCCAGCAAAGCGCTCGGGTTACTGCTTCCACACTCAATTTTCACGGATGTACCCTAAAAGTTCAAGAAAGAGGAAGGCGGTAGCTTCTGTATGGCGCTCAAGGTTATAGATATAGCCTTGACCGTGAAAATCGGAGTGGAATTTTCTCCATTTAAGCCAGACTCGTGCTAGGTATTAAGCTTTAATTTTTGTGCTTGGTTTTTGAGTGTGAGTAATGGTTTTCCGTCTATAAGAGTGTAGCGCAATTCATTGTGAATATTTGAGAATTGCGCCAATTCTTATGCCGTACCGAAAATATAGACGAGATTTTCACCTCAGCAATGAGGAGCCAACAAAGCGGCAAAAACCTCTGTCTTGATGTCATCTACGTTCTCTGTCCCTCACGAAGACCTTTTTGCGCAAACAGAACCCGCGTGGCCGCCGCGCAGCGAAAAGTGTGTTCTCGTTTAGCTTAAATCGAGGAAGCGCGTTTTTATATATTATTTAACGACCAACAGTGACAGTCGAAGTAGACATTGATATGGAGTCACTTGTTCGCCTAGCTGCGGAGCGTGGTGTGCTTTTGTTTCTTGCGTATTAATCATCTTTACCAGAATTGGATGTTGTGGGAAACATCACGTTTGCGTAATTCATATTGCGCAAGGAGTAACACTTACAGTAAGACGAGGGATATTAATAACAAACCATGAATAGAATTTCTTTCCTTATTTTCACGGATTATGACAAAATGGACAACGCTATTCGCTTGCAGGACAACGCGCGCGTCGCCGAGAGCGGCAGCGGTTCCGAGTCGCGGCGTCCTCGTAGTCAAGAAATCTGCTATGCATTGTACACGCGGTGTGTTGCCCCATAAATATTACATGTTCATGACCCTCAATTTTCGTAGTATTTTCTTAGCCAATCCAACAAATGCTTCAATCACTCGAGAACGTAGTAGAATTTTCTTCGTGGAGCTTGCTGTAGAGAGGAGGGGTCTCGATTTCTATTTTGGTGATGCTAGTTTTTAGCCTTCTTCTTCTTCTTAGAAATGATATTCTCATAGATTTCGTCGCTACTTCTCACGAAAATATCCTTGCTTTGTTCCTTTTGAACATTCGACAAGAAAACAAAAACATCTACCCTGAGAAACCCCTAAAACAATGACAATGCCCGACAAGATACTATGATGTGCGATACCGATGTGTTGGCTTCTGCCAGGGCATAACCAACAAAACACGTGCGCGTGAACTATTCGTAATCTTGCCTTAGCGTGTGCGACACTGATTTCCACCAGACAACGCCTAGCCCGCTTGTGAAGCAAACGGGATGGCGATGCACCTGGCCAGCCCCAGCACTGGTGTCTTTCGTGATATTTGTATTTCTTTGATTCATATTTGTCGAATAATGAAACTACGACTATTAGTACTAGAAGAAACGCTATGGTGGTGCACAGCACTTACTTTGAACCTGTCCTCATAATCTTGTTCATTTTATGTACTATGGACAAAAGATACCACTACTGTTCTAAGTTATTAGCTATTCTAAGGCTCTTTTCATATTTAGGGTATGTGTTTTCATATTCGTTTCTCTTCCATAAAATCATTGCAAACGATTTCGATTCTGGGTTTGACAAAGCTGTGTATAAAACGCCACACAATTAGGAATGGTTGTAAGTCTCGTAAGACAAGCTAGCTGTTTGTTTGTTTTGATGCGCTCCGGACGACGCGCACGATCCCGCCGGATTTCTTTGTGCTCTGTGTGTGTTGCGCTATGGTCGTCATTGCGATCGACTATGGTGTGTCTGGTCGCCACAGTCCCCGCCAGTTGCAGCTTTTGTGGCATGCCAGGCGTGGCGTGCTGCAGGCGGCGGCGACTGCGCGTAGGTAGCGCCTCCCTGGCGGTGAGGCGCGGCCGGGTCTGGTTGACGTTTTTACGGCCTGCGCGCTCTGTTCTTCGCGTTCTCGTTTTGTCTTCGTTCTTTTTGTCTTCGCGTGCTTCCTTCCTTGTCTTCTCCTTGGGTCACCCTAAAGCTAAACCCTAAGACGGTTTGGCTCTTCCTTCTTGTGTTCAAGTGCACCGATTGATTCACATCAAGCCGCCAAGTCGGGAAGTGGAACACCTTCAAGACCTTACACTTTGGTCACTTCGAGCTGTCTCCGACAGTATTCCTATTAGCATGTAGACCTTAGGCTTAGAATTTCAAGAAATATAGCGAGGCTACAAAGATGAAAGAAGTCATTTAGAGAGCTGCGCCAGGGGGAATCAGATGGAGGCCATTTTTTTGTAAGTATGTGTGTGGTGATTCCCTAAAGTTTGGATGAGTGAGATCTTTATAATATGTCGCAGGGGCCAGGGGCCGAGGCAAAGGCCCCCCACCCGATCTAACTTTTTGCGGGTGGGGCCTCCCGGGCGGAGGAACCCGGCGAGCGCTGTGTCCACCTGACTGAGGGGCGTGACGCGTGGGGGGTATTCATGTGACACGCTAAGGAGCGTGACGCGCGTGGGAGTATCAGCGAGGCGCGCTGGGGTGTGAAGCGTGTGCATGGTCTAGCGTGGTCCAACTTACGCGGGGGCGCTAGCTGAAGGGCTTTGCTGAAGGTCATCGACTTGGCGCCCCGCTTGCTTCTCATTCGATGGCCCCGGCGACGCTAGGTAGCTAACTAGTTTGAGACAAAGCGAGCGAGTGACCGTCGCACGCGTATCGCCAAGCCCCGCTGGTATGCTGAACCATCCTGCCTCCTGAGCGCCTCGCCACACCTTGACAAGAAGCACACCCCGCCCAGCTCCCGCGGTATCTTGAGCAATTTCCTCCAAACATCTGCAGGGGCTTCCTTTGTGAGCTACTAAAACTACTGCTACAGCTATGACCAGCATAATGGGCGTTTTGGTAAAAAGTTACAACTCTATCTTTTAAAAAACAAATAGCTACTGTCTATTGGCTTGAGTTGCTAGTTAGTTAAGAGGGCTAGGGGGTATCCGCTGGACTGCACGGAACGACTCTTGTGGCTGGCAATCCGGTCGCGCCGGAGGCTGGCGGGGTGGGCACTTCGAGGCGGCTGCCAGGTCATCCGGGGCTTCTCTGGTTGTTCATGGAGGCGGGCCCGGAAAAGTTGACGGCTCGAGCTCTTTGGGGCCCCTCTCCGTAGGGGTCGCCAAAAAGTGGAACTTTTTAACGGAGACGACCCGCAGCGCCCTAGAATTTGATCCGAGGTCTCGACTCTTGTGGCCATTTTATAGCCTCAAAAATGCAGCAATTTCCTAGCAAAGAGCGCAAATCTTTCAAAGCCAGACTCCGTGGACCACATGGGCCGCAGATGGCCTGGCTTCCGCCTCTAAATGCCAATCGCCTCAGCCTCTAAAGCGGCCAGACCTTCAGCTACCAGACCCCGGACGCCCGATCCAGGGGAAATCTCCTAGCCTATTCACCTTAGCTAGCTAGTGAATTACACACTGATACTCTCACTTTTAAAAATTCAAAAAAGTAAAGCTGTAACTTTTTAGGAGCACGCATCTCATGCACATGCTGGCTATAACAGCCGGCCACCAGCGTGCCCGCGCTGCCTAGTGCCCTACAGAGTGGGGGCCCACAGTAGACCGCAGGCGACCGCGAGCGCGACTCGACTAACCACGGCGACCAAATTGGGATGGCTGGCCCGCTCTCGATTCCTGACCCGAGCTCCCTCGAGATGGCTGACGAGTTCCCAAGCTGCACAGCTGACCCGAGCCCACGGGAGGGGGAAATAGGTGACCAAATCCCAGCACAGAGGGATAGCTAACGCAAGCCCACCCACACCCCCGCAAGATAGCCGACCCACGATACAGCCGGGGCCGCTGCGTGTGCGTCTAACACCGCAAGCCACCTGGTGCTGTGCGTGGCTCTCAGCCTGTTCGCTGAACAAAGCAAAAGCGTCGAGGGATTTGCCTCAGATCATAAGACCGCCCACGGATGTACCTGAGGCCATAAGGCTGCGCGCAGATTTGCCTCAAGTCATAAGGGTAGCCCACGGACTTTCCTTAGATCATAAGGCCACGCCTGGACTTGTCTCAGATCATAAGGCCACCCGCAAGCCTGTCTCAGATCATAAGGCCGCCTACAAATTTGCCGCAGATCTGAAGGCCGTCCCCAGATTTGTCTCAGATCACCTGGCCCTCTCTCTGCGGATCTGTCTCAAGTTGTGGGGCCGTCTACGGATTTTCTTCAGATCGTAAGACCGTCCCCAGATTTGCCCCAGATCATGCCACTGCCTCACAGGTCAAGACCATAAGGCGGCCCTGGGCAGCTCCGTCGGGCTCAACAGTTATAAAGCGCGACGCGCCACGAATAAGAGCAAGCAAGTCCTCTCCCCTATAATAAGGAGGGAAGGGGAGAAGGCTTGGGTCTGCGGTCTACGGCGCTCGCCAGGTCTTACGGGGCCTCCCGCCCCTAAGCCTTTTCCTTGCGGGACGGCCGGGCGGGAAGGCCTCCAAAAGCCCACGCTCGGCTCGACCCCTTCCCGCTTCTTGCCTGGACCCTACAGAGCCCCCATCCCTGTGGCCGTTCAAGCACCGAAGGCCGGGGGTGCAAGGCTTCCGAAGGTGGCAAGGCTGGGCCCCCTTTGGCTTGCTGCGGCTTGTTGCCTGTGCCCCACAGCCCCCCAGGGTGAGGGTTCCTCACTGGGGCGCTCTCTTCAGAGGTGAAAGGCCTCCGAGGGAAGCAGGGGGCAAAGCTTGACACCTTCCGTCGTGCTGCATGTATCCGACAGAACCCAGGCGGGCACGCCTTGCCCCCACTCCTCCCCGTTTTTGGTCCTCAACCTGCCGGGCGTTTGGTGGTGGCAGACGAGAGCCAATGGGGCCAGGCCTCGCGACCGTGGCAACCTTCTTCGACGAAGGGTGCTGATTATGGGACCGAGAGAGGGAGGATTGAAATGGAGCTGCGAGTGTCGGCCTGATAAGGTCCAAGAGTCGGGACGCCTGTCGGGTACACGCGGAGAGCCGCCAGGGGCTTGGCTCCCGGGAATCCTTACATGTCACCACCGCGGGAAAAAAGGCGCGCGCACGCCACCGCCGCTCCGTCCACAGGGGAGGGAGCCTCCACCCCTGGAACATATATTCCATCTATTTCCATTGATTACTCCGAGAAAAACAACAAACCCCCATCTGCTCCCCACGACCTGTTCCTCCCCATCCCACAGCCACGAAGCAAGGGACTAAAAACTGAAACTAAGTTTGCTAGTCGTTCATGAAACCGAAGAGAGACTGAAACTACATTCGCTACAGCATTCGCATTTTCTATTGTCAGCTTGATTGTTGTAAAGCAAAAAAAGTGTACTAGTATTGAAATTGATTGAAATCATAGCAGAGCAGTTTATTAGGGTCCCGGGTCCCGGTTGGCATGGCACGGGTTGAACGGTTGGAACGAATGGCAGGCATCCAGTCCAAGGCGTCAATCTGTTCCGCCATCCGTGCCATTCGTGACCCTATCAGACCTCCGAGAGCGGGGCGCCCTTCGGGCGCCCTGCGTTCTCCAGCGTTGCCCCCCCACGGCGTTGCTACTTCTTCCGAATGCTGCACGCATACCTTCTGGAACCCCACGGGCGCCGGGCGCCCTGCCATCAACCTTCCACACCCTCCACGGCGTCGCGCTTCACTAGCCTCCGCAAGCCGGGCGCCGTTCGGGCGCCTTGCTTTTGCTCCGCCACAGCCACACACCCGACCCGACAGCTAAGCCACGGCTTGCCTGCGTCCCCGCCCTCACGCATCGGCTGCGCAGTGGATCGCCTGGGCACTTTGAGGCTGGGGCCGCATGCTGGTCCGCCACTTATCCAAGGAAGACCAGGGGCGCCAACCGGTGGAGCCCTGTCATCCTCTACCAACCGGGCCACTCGTGGCATTTTTTGGCTTCGTTGGCTTGTCCCAACCGTGCCATTCGTGCCAGCCGTCATTCGTGTTATAAATTGCTCGGTTATAAATATCATATCTACTGATAAGTGTTCGCTGTCATTCCAACACTTCGAGCAAAGTGTGTTGGCAAAGGTATCATCTATCGCGGAGAGTGACACAGCGAGAAAGAAGGTCAGTCTTCCGCTTCAACCGCGTTTGCGGCTCCAGCTCCCTGCGTAGGCTCTTCCCCCTCATTTCTTCCACAGCTCTCACCAACTACCGTCGGCAGGTGTGGAATTAGTTTAGCGTGGCTACCATCGCTAACACCCGCATCGTCGTTTCCACGCAACTCCGATGTGTCGGCTTGCTTCATTAGAGAAGGAGTAATTTAAACCAAGACTGCAATGAGAATGGGTACATTGAAGTTGAGCATAAGACGAATACATCGCCCTGTACCATCAAAAATTTGGCGAACTGCATATCATACAGAGAATCTAGTCGTAATCTTGATCTAGATGCGTCAATGCTTAGTAGAAAGTTATTCTCCGTAGAAATATATTGAGCGTGAGAAAGTTGATTTGCGCTACTGAAGAATCCTTAACTTCTCGGTTTCTTCTTGCTGCCGCTCCATCGCAGCTGCATCCATTTCCATTTGTTCGCCCTCTTCACTCTGCTGGTCCTTCACCGAAGATGACGGCGGCATCTGCTTATGGCGCAGATAGTATTGAGCGACCGCATCGCTCAAATGATGCTGCTGCTCTCTGGGTGGAACATATAGCCACGACGAAGACGAAGGTGAGGGTGTTGTTCCATACAACCGAGCGGGGCTCACGCACATGGATGAGGCCACAGAAGCCTGCTCCGCACCACGGCGCCGAACTGTTGTAGTTGGTGCAAAGAAGTTGCAGAGCGAAACTATACAATCATGATTATCTTGTGGATTCTAAGACTAAACAATACTTCATCATATTCTGTCTTCCGTGATTATACATACGTATTGATTTACCTAAAATTGAAATGAGGAAAATATCGAAATCCAAAATCAAGTCTACCATTCATTGTATTTACTATGCAGTAGTGTTACTCGAACTGGAATTTGAATACTAGCTGTACCTCGTTGCATGACCCATTTTCGCCACGTCTGATTTTCAACCCTTGCAGCATCGCGTTGCCCTGTTTTGGAAAGTGCAACCTTTGCCTCCGAGGAAGACATTTTCCACTGGGAGATTTCCTCGTCGTGATCTGCGTCACGAATCGGCATGAGTGGTTGAAACATAGTGCTGGGGAGCCGCCGGGCGCTCTGCTTTTGCATCCAGGCATGCTGTCGACTGACGCCCGCTTTCTGCGTATCCTGTGGTGAGGTAGAGCAAGTGAGATCTGCTGAGCGCTCACTGCTCACTTTGACGTTCTCGCGGCTCTGTTTTTGTTGTCCGGAGACGCCTGATCCTGACACTGTCGTAGACGAGGGTCGCGAGCCACCGGGTGTAGACCCTGTTGTAGCACCGGGTGCAGGTACCTCGTAGCTTGCAACAGAGTAGCGATGCATATCTTCCATGAAGTAAGAGGTGCGCGGGACGGCATCTTGCCCTGTGTAGCCTTGCGGCGTCCCATGCACGTGCGTAACGGCATCAATCTCCGAGATACAATTGCGACGTAAAAATTCGCTTTCCATGCCAGGAGGTATGCTAGTGCCAGGCAGCGAGACTCCGATGCATGTAGTGGTAGCTCGCTCCTTGTGGACATCCAGTGCACCACCATCGTAACGTACACTGTCGTCAACTTCGAGATGTCCGGGCTCGGGGTGCGGAAAACCGTTGGGCAGCGTGGAGTCACGGGATGAGGACCGCCCCCAGCGGGCTTCTGTCGATGGCCACGCTCCTGCAGAGTGCAAGATCGCGCTCGAGTCCTCACATTGTAGCCCCGAGTGGTCGGATTGTGGATATGCATGAGGCGAGAGGCCCGGTGGGGGGTACGACAGACAATGTCCACTGCTTTTGCCGTCTGCCTCGTTCTCGAAGGTCGTTTGACTGTACGTCAGACTGTCTCTACTAGATTTGCTACCACTGGACGGCGCGAAGTGAGTTACAAAACGAGGAGGTACACTGTGGCGAAAGCGGGGCCCCCCACGGATTTCGGTTGTTGAGGAGACTGGTTGACCCGCAGCAGCGAATTTCTTCATGCTAAAATTGGATATCCTATTTTTCCCAGCGCTGTGAGCCTTGCTCCTGCCGTGCGCAGCCTTATTGCTCCGAGCCGCCGTGGTGCCAGCGTTGTTGGCCGAGGCGTCCTCCCCATCATCCGCGCCTGAAGTGTCGTCGCTTTCTCTAGCCCCACCTGACTCCTCGCTGGTGACGTTTCGCGCGTTGAGGAAGCCGCCGGATGGAACCTGCTCGCCGTCGCTGCCGCCTCCGGTCAACGGCCGGTGCCAGAAATCCACCTCGAGCACCTCCGACTCGCGACGACTGGAGAGCAGGTTAGTGTAGCCAGCGTGGTAGCTCATCGCCGTCGAGAACCGCGGTGAAGGTATTCCCACGACCTGCAGAGGCGAGTCTCCCGCTGTTGTTTCAGCGCTCCCACTTCGAGGAATCGTCGCGGTTGACATCATGGACAGCCGCGCGGCCGGTCCAGTGGACATCGAAGATCCCTGTCGTAACGAACCCGGCGTGCCAGGTAGGTGCTGCCACGGCTGCGGCAGCCCCGGACCTACTGAAGAACCCTCTTCGAGAAGCGGAGCTGGCCCGCCAAAAACAGAGTTGCGATTGCCAACCTCAAGCTCATCCCCACTCAACACGCAGGTTTCATCTGATTTTCATCATGAGGTCCTTGGATATAGTAATGCGGGGTAGCGCCGGCCAACTACGAAATCCAAACTTTCTCCTATGAAATTGAAAGCCCAGAAGTAGACAAGGGAAATATCATTTCAATTTTTCTCATACGTATCGCTAAAGTCTTTCCGGTCCCTACGCAGACGAGATCAAGGAGCTGAAAAAAGAAATAAAGCAGACAAATGAAATACTAAGTCGTCATTTATATTCTGATGTACACATTACGGGCAAGTAAGGAATGCAAGAAAGCGACTACTACCTATGGGTGCGAAGTTTGGTGGCTTGGATTTTGCCCACCGGGGTCGTTCGACCCCGCAGACACAGCTCGCCTCGGAACAGATAAGACATGGAAAGGGGACGAGTACCCATTCGTACATGTTGAAACTTCTTGTGGGCTTGTTCGTATTTTTTGTTGTATGTGAACTGCCAGGCCCTCGGTAGGCTTCAATATCTCTCCCCAAGAAGTGATCCTGTTGCTTCGATGCAACAACATCGCGCAGCATTGTATTCTCTTTTATTCCTCCCGGGCCATCGCTGGGAGGTCTGCTTACGCTTTGCGCTAAGCTTGGCCTACGCCAAGCTTTGTGTCCGGCACGAGATCCATGCGACGATCCGGCTGCTCTGTCAGTGAAAGCGTTGTGTGTCAGGTTGTATTTCTCAGCGTTCGAATTTTCTCCCGGCTCCCCTCTGGCGTCCTTAGCAAGAGCGTGCGCTCCAGCATCATCGTCGCACGGCTCACATACCCATTGCTGGTTTTCGCTATTTCCAAGCTGCGATTGACTTTTGCTACTCGAGCTGCTGTGCATGCCGCTAGCAACTCCAATTTTGCGCTGCTCTACCCCGCCAAGGACGCGTGTGCTCCCACTCCCGGAGTAGTCTTGTCCATAGCTGTCGGTAGGCCGCTGGGACCCGCAGAAAGTGGGGTAGTCGGAATTCAGACTCTTTGTGCTACAACGGCTAAGCTGGACAGTTGACGGCCGCTTGGACATTCGATAGTCCATTTCGTTTTCGAGGCCGGGTGGCGGAGAACATACTGCCCGAAGACTGCGCACTAATTCGTCATCTGCAAGCATTGATCCTCCTCCTGTAGTCGACGGTTATTGTAGTATTTCAAGTCGTGCTAAGAATTTCCAATTTATGCTTATCAGCTTATGGTAATGGTGCCTAATGATGTACTAATTCTACTATTTGGTGGATGAAAGCCATTTAACTATGTCAATAGGCAACAATCAACAAGGTCTGTTATTTTGTGTAAATTAGAGTACCTACCTCTGAGACTGAAATAGCAGAATATTAGCAGTCAAATATTACGGTCCATGTTTGGCGCAGATTCGGCAGACATATCCACAGTAGACCGCCTTGTAAATAAAGCGCGAGGCCCTTTACCGCGCTGCTCAACACTGTGTCGTGAATCACAACCACGAAAGAATTAGACTGTTCAATGACCTCAAGATATCAACACATCACAACTATCCTTTTATATTTTCACGTATCACATTCGAAACTAGTATAGAAAAATTCCTCTCCTGAATATAGCTTCACTTTCTTCACAGTGAAGCACGGCTTCTACATCTTGCATTTGCTTGTGACATATTTATAATATAAATATATAATATAATAAGCTGACAAGCATATTTATATAATATCTAGGGGTTTTACTTCAACTACATAATAAAGCGTTTCGGCTGCGGAGTGCAGTTTCAGTAAATACGAAATAAGCGAACATCATCAGCATGACGATGAACATGATGAATAAGTACCTAGAAGTATGGAGTTGTTTACTGCAGACTGCAGTATGTACCTAGAAGTAAAAGAATATGAAAAATAAGAGGTCGGTTCGATAACTTCCGACTCTGAAGTCGCAAGTTCCGGGGTTTTCGTCTGAGCGCTCAGCATACTTGCTGAGGAGTTTCCCAATCCGCTCTTCGCTGCACAGCGACATGTCACTTTCTTGCCGTTTGCGCCTTCGCGTTGCCCCCATCGCTGCAAGCTTGGTCTTGTGAATCGTACCCGAGTGTCTGCCGACGTGTCGAGGAGCAGGGTGTTTCGCACGCGAGGAATCCAGGGTATCTCCGTGCCCAGGAACGCGGTGGCCACGACCGTCGGAGGCGACGCACTCGCCTCCGCCGCCCGCGTAGGCTCCGCCGTCTGCTGCAACCGAGCCACGAGCTTGGTAGTAGTGATAGTCCTCTTCAGGTAGTGTTCGCTTGCAAGGCTCGCTGTGCCGCTGCCAACCCTTCGGAGGAGTGCTGCCCTCACCTTTTTCATGGGACGACAATGACGCTCGCTCCGCGGTCGAAAGTGCGCCATTACGTGCGGAGAAGTTTCGAACGTGCCCGATTTGAGGCCTCCTGCTTCTGGGACCCGACCCGGATGAGGAAGAGCGCGTTAAATTTGACATTGACTGCAGGAGGCAATCGTCAGAATAAGCACGCATTGCAGACGTCTTTTGCCGCGCGTGCCCCTCTGATGCCAGGCCTCCGTTAACAGACGCAGAGTCAGTAGCTCCAGTGAATCCGCACCTTTTTCCTCCCTGGTATTCTCCGGACTGATTTCCTCGGCTAGGAAGCTTCGCCAGTGCTGCATCCGCGCTATTTCGCCGGGCAGGAATACAACCGGTCCTAGTACCGCGTCCAACTTCCGTGGATGCGTTCCTCTTGCTGCTGTAGGTATAGTGTCGATCTGCGGCACGATAGTACATGCGGTCTCTCCGGTTTTGATGCACTGACCCATCTGGTCCTGGGGCACGATTCGGGTGCTTCGTTTGCGCGCGGTCGTTGCGGAAGCGCTCCAGCGAAGATGACTGGTCCCGATCATCTCCGTAAAAGTTGTCGTGATCTGGCGATCCACTTGAGGCTGCACCGTCGTTGTTGAACGTGGGGTCAGATTCAGCGGCGTTGCTCCCACACATTCCGTCTTCTTCCACTTCTCGTCCCTGCTCCAGGGCCAAACGTCTTTCGGCTTGTCGAGCCCCCTTTTCAGCCGCTGCACGCTGCGCTCGAAACCACAGACGCCAGGAAATGTTCTCGAGTCGCGCGTCAGCCATGCGCCTCCGTCGGTCCTCGTCGTATTTGGCACCACGCGTGAAGCTTTTCCATCGTTGCACCACTGTGCCGCTCTCGAACAAAGAGTGGACCTTTTCTGGCAAGTTGTGTTTAGCATAGCCGCAGGCCCCAGGCTCACCGCCTGCGTTCCCTCCATGATACCCGGCTGCCATCTCCCTCGACCGCTTGTAGCTATCCTGCACCACGAGATGTCGAGCCTGGCGCCGCTTCGCAACCGCGCTCGCGTAAGTAGCGGCACTAGATGACGAACTCGTTGCAGAAGAGAAAGATGAGGAAAAGGACGCTGCGACAGCAAGAGGCTGATGATACGCTTGTCCTGCCGCAGCGCCTTTTCCCGTTTCCGGAGGCGAGGTGCTGACCCGCTTACTTGAAGTACGAGAACAAGCGGCACTGTCTTGTTTGCCGTGACTTCCAAATCGTGAATTGCTTGTTTCAGCTGTCCGTGATGTAGAAGTATTACCTTTACCATTCACATCAATAGCGGCATGCCCTTTTCCTACTTCTTCATCATGCTCGATCATTTCGCCCTTTCCTGAAACAGGATTTCGATCGGTAGCGTCAGTATGTGGATTGATCGTTGCAACAGTAATTCCCGTCTCCGCAACAGGAGCGACGTTGACGACTTGAGGCTTACTATTTGCGGGACTAGGCGTATACTCCTGCGTGGTGTTACTGAGCTGGTTGCAGCCGGAAATCGATGTCGCGCAAAAGAGGTTCCCAATCCCAGCTGAGGGAGTCGACAACACGCTCATCGGCCCAGGCTGCAGGTACGAGGAGCACGGCCTTTGGTGTGCCTGCTGCAACTCGAGAGTCAACGCAGCGGAGAGCGCGACTGCGGGTGCTGCATCAATATTTTCTTCTGCTGTGGAAGACAAATTGCGCTTTATGTCGACTTTCTCAGCTTGACCGGCGTGGTTTTGCACTGCATGGAACGACCTTTGCGAAAAGTCAGTAGCAGGAGAGAACTCACCGCCAACATCCTCCACCACTCGCTCAACACCGACGTCAGCAAAAGCTGAATCGTCTTCAACCGCATGTTGAGGCAAAAATAAATTTTGACCCGTGCTCCCGCTTGCTGGTGCGTCACCGTCAAAATACGGATTAGGTGCGTGAAATTGGCTTTGGCCGATTTCCGTAGTAAGCAGCTGCTGCAATGACGATGAAGCGAAAGAGCGATATTGCATCCCATTTGCATGGAGTCCATGATCTTCATTGACAAAGCACGGAACTGAAGCTGCAAATGATACATTCGTTGCTGAAGCAAAAGTACCATTATTCGCAGCAGCCGCTGCTGCAGTAAACAGAATGCCCTGTAGCGGCGTAGAAAAAGGTGCAACGTGCGACGGCAAATAACATGCTCCGCCAGAGTGACCTTGCGCATTGACGCGAGATTTGGCGTTGCAGCCCGAGGCTTCAGAGAGGCCGCCTGTTCCAACGTTTGAAACTCCTAGTGATGGCGTTCTGTGCAGCATGCCACGCTGTTGCGGCTCTTGCTGCGGAGATTTAAGCTTGAGTGCTGGAGACTGCTGGAACATCAATTGTTCTTGTTGTTGTTGTTCTGTCACACGCGCTTTCCCTTTCGGATATCCGTTCATGAAAGATGACGTGGGACCCATGGCGGTAAGCATCGGTAGGTCCGAGTTCTGCTGGTGTGGTGCAGCAGCCGATAATGCTGTTCGTGCAAGATGCGGGAAAGCTCTGGCGATGACACGACTCTGCTCATTTGCCAGCAGAAGTTGATTCGAAAACCACGGCGCAGCCGCTACTTCGGGAGGAGCGATGTTAAATCCAGTTTTTCCTGCTGTAGCTGTGGCTTGTTGGATATTGTAGTAATTTGTGTCAGGTTCAGGGAGAAGTCTTTGCTGCTGAAGGAGGAGAGAGGAGGTTGCTTCGACGCTTTGCATCGCCGCAGATTGCGACGCTACTCCTGCCAGAGTCGTGCATATAACAGAAGACAGGCCGACGGCAACTTGGTCTCCCTGGTCCGTAGTATCTCCAGCCAACATTTTCGAGTGGCGCAGCCGCTGGTGGGTATCATGTGTTGCAGAATTGCAGTTCCTGTTACTTTCGTTGCCGACAGGCGCAGTAGAACTTTCAGACAGAAATATGGGAAGCATCGTGCTGCTAGAAGCCGAGGAGATCGCTGTCGAGGTTGTGTTATGCTGACTAGCCGATGAATAAATCACTTGCGACGCGGCTGCCAGTGCAGACGCAGTGGGTTCTTTTCTACTCGTTGATGCGCTTGCCGCTGCCGCGGGAGAACTACTGCCGCCTGCTGCATTCCCATTCGTCCATTTTGCTGTTACGCCAGCAAGGTCTCCACCTGTCAATGTCATGTTGCAGCCATCTCCTTGAGGATTTGTGACAGATACAGATTTGTCGACGCCTTGGTCCATAACAAAGTGTGAAGCCAGCGATGGTAGTTCGTTAGCGTCCATTAGCAAAAGCGGACCGTGGAGTTCTCTGGCGTTATCTTCGGCCGCGGTGCCACGGTTTCCTTTATCGGTTATTGCGCACGTCTCACCGTGTTTGTATTTCGATTTGCAATCATCTGCTTCCAGGCTGCCCTCGTCTCTGTGTGATCGAAAAGAGCGTGAGGATTTTGCACCGCTGCTAGTAGAGCTGAGGCTCACAACATGCTGCAGCGGAAGTATGTTTGCTGGACTCCCTTTTCCTCTCCGTAGAAGCTCGAAAAGCACCCTCACAGAAAGCTCACTTAAAGCTTCCTGTGACATATTTCGAATTGCTGCATCGTCTCGAGCTTCGGTTCCATCGTCGAGAGAGGCAATATCCGTTTGAACACCTTGCTCAATACAACCGGCCTTGCCGAGAAATAGTCCGTCAGCGGGAAGAAAATGTGCGTCTTCACCACCAGGGTCACAATCAGCGTCACCTGCAACGTCACGCGATATAATTGCGTTGGGTGCGGGTCCCTGAGTTTCGCTGCCCACCAGATCATCGAAAGTGCGCAATTTTGATGATGATGTAGATCCCTTCCTCAGGGGCTCCATGAATCGCACTTCGTTGCTTCTGCCTTCGCACTGCCCCGAACCGGCTGCAAAAGTGAACGTGGAAGATGTCATCGTGCCAGTTATCTTGTCTTCTCCAGGTTGCTGAAGATGAGTGTCATGAAGACCGCCAGCTCCCTGTCCGTGTTGATTCTGGTGGTCCAATTGTTGGTCTTCGGACTCACCACGAAAAGGAACGAGGTGTTGGTCGTCCAAAGAGTTGTAAGGCCCTTCGTCGCCAGTGCGGCCGCCGGGATTGATTTGTCTCTCACTAGGAGACACCGACTTACTAGAGGACGATGCGGTTGCAAGCGAGAGGCTGCTTCGAGTCTCAACGCAGGATAGATCACTCAGTGGAAGCCCCGAAGTGTTTCCGTTGCCTTTCGCTTTTCCCCGCGGAGAACATGTCGGCTGGCCTTGCTTGTCCTTCTGCTCACCTTTAAGACGTGCTGGACGCGGTGGGCGTGGTCCGCTCTGAGATGGGTGTAGCTGCTGTAGTTGTCCGCAATGAGTGCTTTCTTCGTTCGTATGCCGAGACATGGCGACAGTTCCATCTGAGTGGAAAGCATACTCTCCTCTTTCGTCCTGACTGTAATCGGTAAGCCAATTCCTGTTGTCACTGAGCTGGTGGGAACCGCCACGAGTGGTGACGCCACGGAACGAAGACTGTAGCTGGCTCTTTTTGCCACGTCCGCCTTTCTTTTGTCCTCCCTTCGCTGGTCCTTGGTACTCTGAGGATGGAAATGGATGAATAGACGAGCACGAACTACTACTATAGCTTTGTTGGTATAATTGTGCTGCCGCATTACTCTTTCCCTCATGCTCCGCCTGTTCACGACGAATCAAATTCGCGTGTTGTGCTCGTATCATACGGTCTTTTGAAATGCTGCGATATCGCTCTTTGGATGCCCCTCGGTAGCTTTTTTTCGACGTGCTTTGGTAGCGGTCTTTCGACGTGCTTTGGTAGCGGTCTTTCGACGCGCTTTGGTAGCGGTCTTTCGACGTGCTTTGGTAGCGGTCTTTCGACGTGCTTTGGTAGCGGTCTTTCGACGTGCTTTGGTAGCGGTCTTTCGACGTACTTTGATATCGGTCTTTCGACGTACTTCGATATCGATCTTTGGACGTACTTCGATATCGGTCTTTGGACATGCTTCGGAAGCGTCCGCGGCACTGTTGTTCTTCCTGCTCAAAATTGGCTCCTTGGTCGTGGATGTCATGTCTGGCACCCGGTTCATCTCGCTCGGGTGCCTGCGACTTGCTGCCCCTGCATCGTAGCCTTCTACGTTCCTGCCTAGAGCTGACGTTTTGCTGCGGATCTGCCTTTGCCCCCAACCGAGGCACATGGCCATCATGGTCAACTACGTTTATCCAGCGTTGTGTCTCACAAAGATCGGTGACACCACTGGGAGGCAAATACTCGCCCAATCGAGTACTTCTTCTAACAACGGCATCTTGAGCACCACAAGGACCGCGCGAATATGCGAGTGCTCGCTCATAGTTTCCATCTCCGGTGCTGTATCCAATACTAGTAAAGTTTTGGGGTACTTGTTCAACGCGGTTGTCATAGTTTGGGCCTTGCTGACCCTGACGGTGCTCCTCTCGCCCTTCACCTCGCAGAAAGTAGAAATTGTTGTAGTTGTCCCGGTCTCTAATATCGCGGACCGCTTCCTTCTGGTGTGCGCCCTGCTGCAGCCTATCCCACGGGTCGAGATTATGCTCACCACCAAAGCCTCGATGCGGTCGTGCATCCTCGTCAGGCCTCGAAACGTTGTTACCCCTCGCAGAATGAAGGTCTCCATCTCTAGCTTGGAAGTTTTCCAGAGAATCATCCTCGCAATTTTCCTGGAACTGTGACTTCTCCTGCTTCGCTTCGAGAATTGCACGAAGGCAATCTACGACAATTGACGACTTGCTACTTCCGGTCTTGTTTGCAGTGAGCTCAAGGAGAGCTTTTGCTTTTCGTCGATCTGACGACAGTCGACGCCTACGCTCGTCTTCCCGTGACGATCCTTGCCGGTGAACCGGACTGCAGCCCCGCTCCCAATCTTCGACGTAAGCATCCGCCGCCACGCGTCGCTGGTGCTCAACATCCTCTGGCGTTACTCTTTGTTTGCTCTTACGTCTATTCCGCCCTCTGCGACGACCTTGTTTGAGCGGCTGCGGCTGCTGCTGCGGTCCGCTTCCGCTGAAGCGATCTCTAGTGTCATGATCTTGATGCTGGGCCGAATATTCGCTCAACGCTGCCTCGTCATCGCAATGTCCGCGGTCGCTAGAAGTCAAGTTCATTAAAAGTTGATCGGGCAACGAGCGCAGCTGGGGAGAAGATTTCGCGTATTTCACTAGTTCCAAAAGATGTGCGATCTCATCACGAACGATGAGCTCCTCTTCCCGTCTAGCGTCGCCGTGTACTTCCCTCGCACGTCCACTATCCTCCAATGCGACACCGCTAGTACTATTTTTGTTATCACCAACATGATTATAGTGAGGAGGAGCAGGCGCGCCTTCCGCACCAGGTGCAGAGGGGTTCTTGAGGACTCTCGACACATCATGATCGTACATCTGACACCGCGCTTTCGAGAGGTCCCGCGAAGCGCCGGTGTCGTGTACTGTACTGCCTCCACTTTGTGGCCCACCTTCATTATGCCGCTGATGAGTGCGGGCGGCGTCAGACGAGTCGTTGTAGTAGGGTGGTGGACTGGTTTTTGAGGGCGGATCAACGACCACCGGTGGATGAGGCCCATTTGGAGAGGAGGTTGTCGGTCCCAGAAGCGGCGAGCCGAGGCAGCGAAAGCCTTTCATAGCCGCGGCCACTGCAGTGAGTTGTTGTTCGTTTTGCTGATGCTGGTACAAGTAGTTGTTATAATACGGACCTCCTGGCATCAGGTAGGGGCTGGGCACAGATGGGACCCCGTTTGGACACAATGTTGGCGAGAAGTTCGGCAAGAAATTCTTGCTGCTTCTCGACGGTGCAAGATGCGGGTTCCGGGGCGGCGGAATGGAGAGGTTTAGATTGCTCCCGCTGCGACCGACGGTCACAGGAGCGGGCGGCGGCGGTGGTGGTGCGGCAGTTGGCAAAGGCGTGCGGAGGATGTTCGCAGGTGGCGCCGGTGGCGGGGGTGGAGCAGGACACGACACCTTGCTCAGACCCGACCCTGGAGCAACTGGCGGGGAACCCGAAGCTCGCTTACTGGTAGTCCTGGAGGATGCCGCATTTTCGGCCCCTTTCTTTCGTGGAGGCGACACTGGTGGGACGAGGCCATAGTTTCCCGGAGCCTTTGCGGAAATTCCTGGCTCAGCTTTGGCTTTCCCCGTGGACCCTCGACTTGCGACGCCAGGACTGCTTGCGACTGCTGTTCCAGTAGTCTGCTTTCCTGTAACCGCAAGCCCTTCACTGTCAGTTGCTGCCGCGGTGCGTGCACACGCGTTGTTGTATGCTACAGCAGCCGTTTGCGTGTGAAACGCGAGACTCCCGACTTCGCGACCAAGAGCACAGGCTTTTCCCGAGGCACCACGCTGCAGCGCTGCCGCTGTTTTTGTCTTGCTACCGCCTTTCGACTTGGCGGCTCCTCGCTTGATGCCGCGGGGTCCCGTTTCCGCGTCAGGGGAGAGAGAGCTACTCGAGGACAGGTATCCAGTCTGGTCTTCGCCTTGTCGATCTCCTCTTTTACTTTTCATTTTCTGGTTCGTGAGTAGTGGAGAAGGGGCAGGAACGAGAACATTCTCCGGCTTCGTGGGTGAAAAGTTGCTGTAGATTGCAGAAGTTGATGACACCGTATCGAGCACAGCTTGTTGGCTTTGCCTATGAGCCCAAGTAGAAGGCTGCCCATAATTTGCACTTCTTGTTCCGGAAATGCTTTTTCTATCATCACTTCTTGCATTACTGTCCTTGCGAGTCATCTGCTTCACTCCACTTGGTGCCATGCTGTCAACCTTTGAGTCCTTGGAACTGGTATCCACAATTGAAAATGTGCCTGTCTTGTGGAATTGCTGGGACGAAGCACACGCGCAGTCCTCTGGAGATGCGCAGTGATGATCAGCCGTCGTTCTATCCATCAGCCCGTACTTCCTGGGAGTTGGGCCCTGTGCAGGAGAGTTACACCGCTGCTCCTTCCTAGCTGTAGTTGCGGAATCCTTCGATATCATAGTAGCTTTGCCTTTGCTGGCACAATGTTCCTCCTGCTCAGCTTTTTTACAAGTAGATTTCTCGTTTGTAGCATCGTGGAGTAACGGCGGTTTTGCCGTGAGATCCAGAGGCGGAGACTCCAGATTCGCGGATAGAGGCGAGGTCAGCGCTGCACGTCCGTTAATCCCCTCATCTTCCGGGCTTGCCCAACGCGAACTCAGGAGCGGAGAACTACGAGGCACATCGATAGTCGCTTTTCTGCAAGTTACGACGTTGTTGGTCTGATCATGTTCTTCATCGATTTGAGTTGTGCCTGTCGGTTTCTGTTCTTGATGACCTTGTTTTTCAATTCGAACCTCTTGACCTACATCTTCTTGATAATTCGTATTGAGTCCTGATGTTCCGCTTTTCTCGTCACCACCTGATCTTTTGGCCGCTGTACTAACAAGTCGACTACCGCCATCGACCGATTTCACTGCGTCGACAATCTCGTCCCCATCCTTCGACCACAAAACCGTGTTCAAGGTCGTCAGCACTTCTTCCCCCTGGGCAGCACCTTCGCCGGTTCTCTCGTGTTCCACGAGTGTCTTCTTCTTGTTCGATGATAAGGTGGGTTTGCCCCCACTTTCTCTGGGTAGACGCTTGGTCGCTCCGATCTGTTTGGGGGAGTTTTGCCTTGCTATTGTTTGCTCAACATTGAAACCTGGAACTGCAGTCTTGTTACTAGTAGTCGAAAAGGACTGATTGCTCGTAAAACGGTCCTGATGCCCACGAGGTGGTCCGTCGACCGGTACCCTTAGCACGCTTTGGTCTTTCTCAGTGTAGTGGTACTCGTTCTCCTTTGTTGGCGGCGAGAAACTGCTGTATATTGAGGAGGAGGATGGTTTCGACGGCGCGTCAGGTGGAGATGGTCGACATGGCGGTGTCCTGCTGCTCAATAACGTAGTTGCGCAGCTTTGTTTGTCACCAGCAACACCGCTGTTCTTGTTCTCGAACGTAACAATCTCCGAGGTCGCCTGCTTAGAGGTCGTGGAGTCCGCAAATACGAGGAAAGGACCAGCCGATATAGATCCAGTGTGTGGCTGCGGATCACCCATAACGTCGACGATACTAAAGCATGATGCTTTTTTAGGCTTCATTTTAGATGCGTCAACAACTTTTTCGGCAGAGCCAGAGCTCGCACCCACAGTGGCCGCGTGAAGATGACTCTCGTTTCTAGTAGAGTATGAGGAGGTTGCTGAGCTGCCAGGGTGTCCTAATATTCTTGCAGCGCAGCTCTCAGGCGTCGGATCTCCATTAGAGCAAGTTCCGGTCGGCGTTGCAGTGTTTGTTACGCTCGTCGACGTGCCTGCGCCCTTCTTCTTGGTGCCACGCTTCCGCTTTCTCCGCTTGAAGCGACGCTGATGCAAGATAAGGCAGCCATGTCGTAACACCTGTTCGACGAGCAGTACCATTTGCCGATCTAGCACCTGCCAACTGTCGATGTTTCGTTGTGAAGAAAGGAGGCAATGCCAATGATTTCGCTGAAGTTTCGGTCGCGCGTGTTCGTTTTGCAACAAATCCGGTACAATGGAGAGAAGCAAATCGAAGGTATGAAGAAGTGACAGAGAGATGAAATAAACTGCTTGGCTTTACGGTGAAACATGCGAAAAAAATATGTTCCACAGGTACAACAGATCAACGAAGATTAACAAAAAAACCATCACCGGAGTGCCTACTTAATCTGGATAAGTGCCTCCGACATAATCTACAATCGTGTGCAACATGACATCTCCGTTCATCATAAAAAATATTGTCAGCAAGGAAGTCCACTTCGAACGTGAAGCCTTCGACCATGGGCACAAGCTCCGTCGCGTCTTCGTGCATCAATTTCCTCAGGCGTAAAGCGAAAAATGAATACGGGAAAGTAGGGGGGTTGCTTTTTGAAAGGAAGCACCAGAGAGGGAAAGAAGATGAAAGTTTTCTGCTATTTTGTTGGATACTGTTGTGGAAGGCAGGGGAAGCACATTCACATAACTCAGATTTTGTAGAAATCCATCCAGCAGGTAAAAAAATTTGTGTCTGTAGAACCAGAACTAGAATTCTATTTTTATAGTTTAATCATATTTGAATTTTTTCGTACATCCTCATCCGTTGTGCAGGCAAGAGCCGCTATTTCTGATTGATACTCTTCATTATCGTCGTTGTCGTCGCGACGGCGCGTCAAGAGAATCTTTTTCTCTCGTGGTGGTGCCGGTGGGCGTTTTAGCCAACGAATGAAGCGTAGCACTCTTGTTTCCTTTTCTATGGTCTGGTCTGGATCCTGGCACGCAACAATACCACAACGTGTCGCACCTCCTCGACACACTGATTCACTTGTGCTGTCCCCACTACAGGCAGCAGCTTCCCCATGATCTGCCACTGCAGGTGTCACACTGGACATGCTACCAATGCGGCTGCGACCACAGAAAAGTCGCTGGACATGCTGGCAAAGCAATAGCAAAAGCTTTGGATCTTGAAAAGTCGTCCAGATCTGTCTTTCTAAACCGGAGAGGCAAGTCCATCTTTCCTCCACGAAATTTTCCAACGTCCCATAAGCTTTTTCAAGCTGCTGCAAAAATGAACAGAGATTTATTGTAGAACCACAGGGGAACAAGGCAAAGCTAAAGAGCGAGGCGATTAATTTCATTGACGAAATCAAAAGCCGATATTACCAGTTGCAATACCGTAAGTTCATGGCTCATCCCTAGCGTATGAGTGATGTTCCAAATCTTCTTCTATTCCTAACTTCAGCAACTATGCGATTTTTTGATGTTGGGAGAATCATCTTCCTCTTCGGACTATGCTAAAACTTTAATTACCATGAAAAAAGGTTGATAGATATGAAAACGTAATGCCATACACCAGAAAGGCGGCAATCCGCCAAAGATCGCAGTCCAAGAACCTTCTGACGCTTGAAATCTGATAAAGAGTCATGCTGCTTTGCAGGAAGAGCGAGCTGTGCTCCTCCTTTGTTCGTGATCTTGTTCATATTGTTCAACATATTCAACATATGTGAGTTCCCGATCATCCTATCGTCCATCACATTGATGCCGCGTGGTATTCGTGTTTCGTGTGGAGAAAATCCAGAATCCGCTCGTTTTAGATGATATCTTTGATTTGCTAGACTCGTGCTGTGGGTGGAAGACGACGACATCGAGCTCGTCATGGATTGCAAGGGTAACTCATACATAATTGTTGAGGACCTCTTGCCCATTATGCCGCTGCTAGAAGATGAATACGGGAGCGCTGCCATGTTGCCATTATTCCTGAACGTCGAGGAGAGCACCAACAGATCGTCGGACATCATCGAAGTATCATCAAGACTGTGAGCCGCGTAAAAAGCACTATGATTGCTGTATTCGCCATGACCCCCTATTATTTGGCAATGGTCATCGACGTTCCACTCAGTGTCATGTTGAGGAACTCCTCGGTGTAGCTTTAGAACTTTCACCTCTCCTAGTCCATCCTTCAGAGAGTCCGTGCTGTGAGTACATCTGACTCAAATATATTTTTCCCTGGATAAAAAAAAATATAAGCTTGAGCAAAGATCCGGATACTAGAAAGGATCATGGACTAGTATATTTACGTGCCATAAGTGACTTCTTGTGAAGTTCTTGCTTGAGCGAGACCCTCCCACTGTACTATTCATGAAGGAGGGGTTCATGTTGTTCAGGTTGGGCCTTTGGTTACTCGCGCTATGCTTGTCATGAATGTATTCTTCCTGTTGATAGCTAGTATAGCTCGTTTTGATCGAGGTACTTCCATTTCTCAGGCTGTGTATTTCATGCACGTCCTCCTTGATTCGCTTCGAATTTCTATTCATATTAGATGTAATTGTTGAAGCTGCTTCACGATTCTTATCAAGCTGATCTCCAAGATGCTGTTGATTTGGCCGATGCAGTCGCGTACTCGTCACGTTCGCGTGCACTGCATGGAGCGGGAAAGCGGCACCTCGAGCCAACCTATCATCTTGGGAATTCCTGGTCGTGTAGTAGTTCGTACTGGTATTATTCAAATTGACACTGATGTTGTTGGACGATTGAGGATACGTTGGATTATGTTTGGCACCACGTTCAATAGCACCCGTTAGAAGGTCTCTGGTTGCAAACGAGGATACCCCCTGACCGCTGTATTTTTCTCCTGCTGAGCACATGTTGTTGGCGTGAGCATGGTATGACGAGGAGGAAGAGGAAGAAGATCCCCCAGCAGCGTTGTGTTTGTAAGACGATGGACCACCACGATTAGCCGCGGTATTTCCAACCGGGACCGAAAGAGACGCAGAGCCTTGCTTACCGCCACGCGTGACACCATTAATGCAAGAAGTGCCTGCTGCGGAGGGTTTCCCCCCACCATAGTTATCATTTGCATGCATCATCCTGTGCTTGTTCATCTTCAAAAATAAACAATAATCACCAAATTACCTACTTATTCCTCTCAACTATATTGAGGATCTCAACTATCAAGAAATAGCGATACAATTTACTTACGACCCATAAAAAAAACGGGAGCGCTTCTTCTAAGAGGTGATGAGATACTCTAAGAGGTGATGAGATACACAAAATGTTCTGGCTGGTAACATCGACACTCAGTCTGACATCAGATTCACTCCACAGAAGACTCAGCAAGAAGTTCATAACTGCGCACTGGAATGAATTCCTAGGGTCAATTGCACTCTCAGCCAGTTACTACAATGGCTGCGACTCTTCAAAATAAAAAGGAATCGAAAGCGTATTCGATAGAACTGAATTTTCATGATGATTGGATGCGCAAAATATTGAAACAATTCTAAGCATTTACCATCAACTTTGGCACGACCCGCGAGACTCAAATTCGAATCGAGTTTTTTCCGTATCTTCATCAACACTTAGTTCTAATGAACTGATCATGATGTAGTACTACTAGTAATAGTATTTTTCGGATTTGTAACGTATTAATATTATCAGAAAATTAAATAAATCAAACAATTAAATTATTTGAGTCAAAAAATCAATGTCATAGTATGTAAGATGGACAAAGATCGAACCTTGCACAGGCTAGCGCAACAAACCGTTCTCGACCATCACAGTGATACGCTGAAACAAGAGAACCTCAAGACTGAGAACCTCAAGAATGAGAATGGTGTTTTAGTTGATGTATTGTATAATTTCCTCGTCCTCGTATATTCAATATTCACATGCGAAAGACAATGTTTCATGTACGTTGGCCACAATGTGCCATAATCATATATGTTCCAAGGTTCAGGGAAGCGGCCCCGTAAGACCTGGCGAGCGCCGCATAGACCGCAGACCTAAAACCTTTCCCCTTCCTCCCCTATATAAGAAGGCTACGCCTGCTCGTTCCATTTGCGTGACGCGCGCGAAAAGCCGCGTGACGCGTCACGCGCAGAGGGCACCGGGACGCATGGCGCAAAGATAGCTTAGAGAGCGTGACTAACCAAAACCAGCGCGATCTATGTGCAAGAACGAAACAGAAGCGGAGCCCATCGATGGACGATGGTAAGAAAGACAATACGGAGAGAAGCAAGCCTGCCGCCGACGGCAGTAGCGGTAGGTCTATGCTTGATCTTGAAGAAGCGGGCAGACGGCGGTGGGTATATCTTAGAGAAGCCAGCGAGCAGGCGGACAACGGTAGGAACAAGAAAGAAGGATCCGAGACAAGCCCGCGGGCGACCGTATGATCTGACACAAGCCCGGAGGCAGCCGCAGGGCCCGTCGTAGGCAGGCGCAAGCCCGTGGACAGTCCTCCGATGATCGGCGATCTGACTCAGACCGTGGACAGCCATACGATCTGAGACAAGCCAGCGGACGGCCGTATGACCTGGGGCAAGCCCTCCGGCGACCGTATGATCTAACACAAGCCCGGGGACAACCGTCCGGTCTGCGGCAAGGCCGTGGACAGCCGTCCGATCTGAGGAGATCACGTGGACGGCAATACGATCCGAGACAAGGAAGCCAGAAGGCGGCCCTATGATCTGAGAGATGCCAGTGGCTGGGCAGCCGGGCGCATGACCTGAGCAAGCAAGCCCTTCATCACCGACAAAATGCCCAGCCCGCAGGCGACTACATGAAAGAAACGAGCGATCTGAGACAAGCCCGCGGACAGCCGACCGTGCGATCTGAGACAAGTAGCCCACGAGCGCCCGTAAGATCTGAGACAAGCCGCCCACAGGCAGCCATATGACCCGAGACAAGCCCGCAGACAGCCGTGCGCCTGGTCTGTCTGAGACAAGCCACCAAAAGGGCCGAGAGAATGCCTGGCGGCCCCTCCATGGGTATCGAGACGCATGCACACCGCGCCACACCATCGCAGGCGCCTCAGCTCACCCATCACACAGAGAACACACCACCACACCCTCACACCGTCTCACGTCACACCATCACATGGCGTGCCATCACATTCAACGCCGCCACACACCGCGGCGCCACATCACGCCACGACGCCCGCAGGCACTACGCCACACACCACGGTGGCCCGCGCCACGCATCTTCCCGCGCCCCGCCGTCACGCGTCACGCTGATGCCGCCTCGCGCGTCACGCTCCTCAACGCGTCACGCGAAAAATCCTGCACCCGTCACGCCGCTCGGCGCGTCACGCAGCCACGCTGCTACCCCTTGCTTCACGCGTCACGCTCCTAAGGTGGATACGGCGGTTACAAGGTTTCACGGAGCGCCCCCGCCCGAGCGTAGGGCTAGGGGGGGCGTGATCCCTAGACCTCCTTGGGAGGCCTCTGCCGGGGGTGGAAGGCTTCAAAAGGGGCCCAAGGTTCCCCCTCCGCTCCCTTCCAGCTGTCTGCATGTACCCGACAGGCATCCAGTGTGCTGGCCCCTCCACTCCGCGACAGTGTGCCAGAGATGGAAGGCGTCCGAAGCCGAAGGCAGCAAAGGGGGGCAAGGCTTGACCCCCTTAGCCGTGTGGCCTGTGCCCGACAGAACCCAACCGAGCAACCGGCCCCACTTGCCCCGACCCTCCTGGCCCTCGGTCTTCAGCCTGCTGGCCCTTGCCGCGCATTTGGTGAGGCCAACCCAGCAAAAGGAACCAGGGCGCGAAACCGTGGCCGCCTTCGGCGGCCTTCTACCCCGGAGACCTCCGCCCTGCTAGGGTCGGCACGCAGGGGGGGGGACGTCTGTCCGGTACATGCAGAGAGGCGCAAGGGGGACCCGGCTCCCATTTTTGACGCGTTCCACCCCGAGAATCCGCGAAAAACAGAGCGAAAAGCGTGCGCGAGCGCCACCACAGGGCCATCCACAGAGGGGAACGTGCCTCCCTGTATCATATATATTGTGCCTTTTACTCGAAGAAAATCACATGATAGGTGATCAGAAGTCACATGATAGGTTACATATTGTGCTTTAACTCGAAGAAACTCATCGGTGGTCAGAAGACTAAACATCGTCTGGTGGCCACGGATATGTAGTAGTAATTTTCTCTGAGCAACAATTAAGATGTGGTTCTCATTTTGTTACATGGTTACTAGCACTATTGTAGTAATGGAAATCTAGTAAGAACTAGTCTAGCGTATATGAGATCTCACATGACATTGACATCGTCGTCGAAAACTTCTCATATTGGATACATAGAATTTTGGTACAACGCTACTTCGACATTCATCTTTGGTAACCCATTACCTACTTACACAGCCCTAGTAGCACTAAGGGATGAAATCCTAGCCGTCTCAAATGATAAAGTCAAGGATTGCAGTGGTCCCTTGGTCCTTAGAAGACGGTCATCATTGTTTCATTGATGACGTTCATAAAAAAGTTCAGATTACATAGAAGAATGAAATCTACCAGACGACCACTCAAATCAATACATTTTTCCATGGGAAGAACCATCTCCCCACTTTCTCCTTGTCGCGCTTACAAGAAGAAATCCTGCCTCAGCTGAAAAACTTTCTGTTTCTATCTCCAAAAGATTAACGCTCAGCACGAGAATAAGAAACATTATTTCAGGTGATCTACATTCTCGTCGTTGTTGGCTGCGTCTTCTTCTCAGATTCGTGGCCTTCTACTAAGCAAAAGACGAATAGAAAAAGACATCGTTCTGCACACGGAAAAGAGGAACTCAAATCTGTCGTACGGGACAGGCGCACACACACAGAGTAAAAAAAATGACAATGAATAATAGAGCAGTGATACTACAAGTCCTAGTCCCCCCACATCCAAGAAAAGGAAAGGAAAAAATCACCCGAGTAGACGTGATTAGACTCAGAGATTCCAAGGCTTTGAATCACTACAAGCCTGTGCGTTTCGCATGGATGTGGTAGGAGGTCGAGACGAAAGTTCTTATCTTTTGGTCTCTTCAAAGACCGCGAAAGTAGACTTTGCAGCTGAGAAAGACTAGTTCAATGAATTGCGAATAGCAAAAATAGTAAAATATTAATCGTTCATTCACACTAAGAATGGAATCATTAACAAGAGACTCTTCATCATCAGTCATGCTACTAATTATCAATAGCGAATCATACTCCGACATCTCTATGCTGTCTAACCGGGCTCAATTTATCTCAGGATGAGTACAACTTATTCGCTGAGAGAGTATTCAAGCTGGATGATAAGGAGCAGATTGATGATACTTGGGAAGTCTTCTTTTTATGGACCCTAACCCTATGGTTGGTTGATGATGATGATGATGATATATGCAGAATTTTAGAGCGTAACGCGATAGGAATAAACATCCGTCACCGTTTTAGTTGTGTTTATTCCTATCCTGACACCGAGCGACCCCGACGATAGAGAGAAACGCGACGGGAGGAATCAACGACGCCCCGAATTGTGAAAATCGTGCGCAGTTTTGCCTGTTCTGTGTGTTTATTCCTATCCCGAGAAAAGTTTCCTAGATCGTGTTTTCGTCTATCGTTCTGCAGTCGGTTTAGAGCGAAACTTGTGAAATGGTTCGAAATCGCAAAAGATGCGAAGGTCGTTGGCACAATTTACGTCGTAGACGGTCGGTTGAGGGTGTTCTGTCGTGCGAGTTGCGCCCATGGCGTAGTCTGTGTGTTGAGGGTATTTGTGGCCTTTTAGTCTGCTGAGAGGATAACTTTTTGAGAGAGTTAAGAGGATAGCCCGCTGAGGGTATTGCCGTAGTGTTTCAGCAGTGTTCGGAGGTCGTTGGCACAATTTGCGTCATAGGTACTCTGCTCGAAATGAAATCTGTCGAGAGTATTGGGCGGTGAGTCTGTTGAGGGTATTGCGCTGACTCTGCTCGGAATGAAATCCGTCGAGAGTATTGGGCGGCGACTCTGTTGAGGGTATTGCGCAGCATGTGAAAGAAGTGCACACGACGCCGATGGGAGAGAAGTCCACACGACCCAGCGCCAATCTGTTGGGGCTGTTTTATTGCGATCTGTTAGAGGTTCGCCGCGCTTGTCAAAGAGAAGAGACCGGGAGCTGTCTAGTCGAGTGCGGAGCCATGCTGCAGCTGCTGCATTGAGGGACGAACCTGCGCGGCTCTATTCTGTTTGAGATTTTTGCTGGTTATCGGTTGAGGCTTTAAGCCAGCCTCGCAAATTTTGAGAGTTTCGAATTAGGTAGGCGCCCAGAGGGGTCCACCGTGCGCCCATCTGTTTGAGCTACTTAGTGGACATCTGTGGGGGGTTGAGCTGAGCAAAAGTCTGGGCTTTAAAGTTGTTTGCGTTTCGTTAAGTAATTGAGCGACTAAGACGCGCCGAACGTGACTCGCAGCGCACTGACGTGGCGACATACTTAGTCCATCGCTTCTCTTGCGTTTCGTTAAGTAATTGAGCGACTAAGACGCGCCGGACGTGACTCGCAGCGCACTGACGTGGCGACGTACTTAGTCCATCGCTTCTCTTTCAAATCCATCCATGGCGTTGCTGCCCCCCTCCCTCCCCCCCTGTTGCGCAAGCGCGTCGAAGCATATGAGTGTATGACTCGCCCGCGAGTACTAACAATGCTCATGAGGTACGCGCCGCAGTCAAATAAAAGCACACACTTTCGCAGCTGTGAAAATCTGCAACATGCAACGCATTGCCATCTTGTTCGCCGCCACTGCTCCGCACCGCGTTCGATAGTTCTGTCGTTTCTCATTGATTTGGAGCGCAGTTTGTCGCGTGAATCTGTCGCCGTTCCCTTGATTGTTCGCTTAATTATCCTCAAATGATGCCCGTTCGGCCTTATTTGATTGTGTTAGAATTGTATGATTGCGACGCATATATTTGCGTCCTTCGCTACTGGTTAACGCTCCGATTTATGTATGGTTCACCTGTTCACTCCTATCGTTCCGTTTCCACCTAAAGTTCTGCATATACCCAGTCCTGAGACGGGTATGCATTTTACTACTAATTATATGTGTCCTTTTTTGCACTTCTCTTCATGGTTCAACATCATACGTAAAGAAGATGCAATATCACCAAAAAAGCTTTCACGGAATTCATTGATATGCACATCGGAAAAAATTTGCAAACATCTTGCATCCTCCAGTTATACAGAGTTCTTCGCCGTTGAGGGCCAAAATGGAGACTGCAGAAAACGAGAACGGCTTGTCTCTGTCACAGGGCTTCAAATCACGTGGAGCAAGAAGGTTTCAAATCACTTGGTATGCTGAGTAGATCGCTTCAGTTCTCTTGATGGACAACCTGCACACCGAGCGACGCAGTGCGACCAGTTAGAAACAGATTTTTCAAGAATGCTATATACAAGACAGTAGGTGCCGCGAAAAAACGTTGATGTTGTACCCAGCACCAACTTGAACAGTGATCAGATGTTTCGAAGGACATGCTGAGCTGTTCTTTCTTTCAATCAATAATGGATCAAGGTATTGGTAGTGAAACATCAGGCACGATTCCATTGGCATGAACTTGACAATTGGTTCCAATGCGTATCAGCACCAGCAGGAAAGGATCATGCTCATCATGTTCATGACAACAATTCTTAAAAGTCAAAGAACACACCTTTTCCTACCAGGTTGAATAAATCAACCGTAATCAGTTCGGTTTTAGTTTTACCCGGCGTCGTGTGCCCCAAATTCGCTAGCAGGCTTTGCGAGATAAATTCCCTATGTGTTTCTACATTGAAGCGGGGCTGCTCATCTTTTGTAATTCATTCGGGTGAAGAACGATTTCTCACTTCTGGTGATGCGGGGTCCGCTATTGCGAAATAAAAAAGCGTTTAGAGTGTTCGATGCACTAGACAGTAGCCCATGGACAAGATGTAGTAGAGCAACCGCACGGGCGGGCCACAAGACGTAGCTAAGTCAATATATATAATCTCATCCTCTGCCAAAGGTATTTCGCGTCGTAACTACGCTGTGATTGAGTCCTGTGATTGCGCCGCTGACCCTAAAACATCAACTCCAGATTACTCCTTCGGCATCAAGTAAAGGCCGCCCGTGATTATTCTGCGTTTTGACTTGACACAGGCGATTCGCCTGTAGAAGAGGAACCACCGCCGGCAGGAATATTTGGCGGAAGTTGCATTCTATCCTCGATAAAGCCGCATAGTGACGTCGATCGTCCTTTGAAGAGAATGAAGTCGTGTCTTGTGTGCAGTGTGTCCCAGCTTGGCTTCGGCGCGTCTGGCACTCGAATGGGCTCGAATCTCCCTATGCTTCCAAAGAGACTTATCAACGCACCAATAATTATCTCAGCAACGACCTGGATTACATGAACATGCGTAAAGCGAAATAAGTAGGTTAGATAAAGGGTGCTTTATTGTGTTTGTTCGAGTATTGAGATTGACATTTAGCCTGGCTCTTGAAAAATAGTAAGAACATCAACTACTACGCTCTGATTTTTCAAGTGATTGTGGAAGGGCAAGGGCAACCGCATTGTGAAAGTAAATGAAGATGTAACTACATCGAGCAGTATGTGATATTTTACATTTATCATTTTGAAGGGACAGGGAGGTACGTATATTGGTATGCTTTCCACCGCATGCGTCGCATTTTGCCGCATCTGTGACACTACAAAACCGCCATGAACAAGAATCGCAACACCGAAGGCCATTACAGGGAGGCTTCGCCCCGGCAAAGGTTTCACTTTTGGTGCCATTTTATCTTTATTGCTAGTTCGACTTTCTTGCGAGTGCTCCTTGTGGATGCTTCAAAGATTAGTTGCTTGTGTAAACAAGAATACAGGACAAGACAATTATGCTCCGGCTTGCAACAGCAACATCAAGGTCGCACCACAAGAAGACCAGTTATATATGGGGATCGCTTATGTCAAAAACAAACACTCCATAGAACAGTACATAATCAGAATCACCTCCTGACGCTGGAGAATCAAAATCGGATAGCAGTCAGTGTAAAATAACTAAACCGTATACTATCTGTTGATACGGTATCAGTAAAAATGTCTACCAAGCAAGAAGGCTTTGATCTGCGGATGGGAGCTGCAAAAACGCTGAAAAGCAAGCAGTGCTCGAGACAAGATCGTCGAAGAAAGTTTGCATTCCTCCGTCATGTTTCCATTCCAAGAGTATGAAGATCCTGATTGATTTGTACACGTCCTGTTAAGGCGTCGCGTTCGCGTAGAGATGACGCGAATGACGCAAAACTTCGATAAGCAATACTAACACAACCAACTTGAACGACAGAGACATCCTCGATTGATCATTGGAGCGTGCTTGAAGATCAATACACACGGAGTCCAGCATGGCAGGAAGCCCTCGTCGGAGGACAAATTTCGAGTTATTTCTTCGTTCATGGAAAAGAAGTCTGAGGCTCTCGTTACAGTAATAAGGTAATTGGCAATTTTGGTTCGATCGGTTGGCGCAGCGGCCATTTTATTACTGAAGGAAAAGGGAAGATGCTCAGGAAAGAGCAGATGAGGGCTCATTATGTGAGAATTGAGAAACAACTTGTGCCTCTAGGTTTCGAGGGAAACAAATAAAAACGGAGTGGCTAGTTTTGTAGACCACGACGCCACCTACACGCAGATAATTTGAGATTGATTGACACATTGTTCGATATAACTTGTAAGAAAATGATCTCTCATAATTATGATGTGACAGACAGTGCCGTGTGTCATTCGATTTTTTGCAGAATTTTTTGTGTTTAAGGAATCATGTTGAATGGAGAAAGAGAGCACTCAGACTCAAAATGCAGAAAACATAAGAAAAGCTGGATAACGGTCCAGACAGCCGTCATCATGTTTTCTCAGTCACAAGATTTGTCACAACTAGAATGTTTTCAACACTTGACTTGTAGTCTCTGATTTTTAGATGTGAACTCCTTACTAATTTGCTTGTACAAGCTCATACATTTAATAAAAATATTGTCCGTTTTTGTCTCAAAGAAAGGGTAGGTACCTGCTTGTCGTTCTGCCCACCACATATATCTGTTCTCAAAACTGTTGTAGAAAATAGACGAAGCTGCATCTTCGCATGCTGCACGGCACAAAGTCGCTTGAACGATCATGATTTTTTTACTAGAAATTAGGTAATGATTCCCCTCAAAGATCGTGTAGTTTCCGTCGTATTTGAATTTGCTTTATGTCATATTCATGCAATACGATGCAGCGTTATGGCCCACCACATCGTAAGCCATTCTTCCAAATTGCCATGTCCAATGACATTATGATTCTGCACTATCTGGTTTTATCCACCATAAGTATACTTATCAGATCAATATTCTACTTATCCATGTCAGACAACTTTTTTTCTTATCATTTTTTCAACAGTATCAGAGGGCCTCAGTGATGATCATAAGCATCATTATGGCCGAGCAGAAGACGGCTTTTTCTCCACGCGATACACCGCTTTGACGTGGACGGTCCCGTACGGCATGCTGTTGAAGTTGCCAGTCACCATGAAACTCGTGACGCGGCGATGATTCAAAAGCTCTTGAATCCGCGAGGTCAATTGTGCAACCTGCCTCTCCGAATTCACTGGGAACTCATCGGGGTCGTTCTGAATTATTTGTTGTAGTTTTGCATGCACGTAGGAATGGATGAATCAACATTCTGAGAATATGGTCGGATTTTTCGTCGAAGAATGCAGGCAGTCTCAGGCAGTCGCGCGCAAATTAGGATAGATCGTCAGATCTTCAAGAAAGCCAAAAAGGAACACACAGTAGAGTTTTACCGTAATGTCTATCTCCAATGGCAGGTCACGCTTGCGAACCGTCACTGTGCGATAGTTAACCAACACGTCGTGGACGATAGTATCCGCTTTAGGCTCGCGAATTCGATTCGTGGCTTTGCTCGTACCTCCGTAAGTCCATTGCGAGCCGGCCCAGCCATAGTCGTAAAAGTGAGCAGCGTAAGCATTACTATGCACGAGAAATCCCTTGTGCACCCACAAGATGAAGCGGTAACTCACGTCGTCGCTGCAGGGACTTTGATCGACGCCTCCGGAACTGCTGTTACCCTGGCCAGATGAGGTGTCCGATGATGCACTTGACGAAGCTGCACTCCTACTGTTGCAACCATTAGCGCTTTAGTGAAGACGACGAGACGGTCCTTTAATTCTACTATCTTCAGCTAGTGTAAAGGGAAACTGCACAAGGGACCATGTCATTTTTTCTCCTGCTCATCCGATAAGTCAGGATTAAGATCGAGAGGGCGAGCATACCTAGTAGATACGCGGACATTCATGTGAGCGCTATGCGTATAGAGACAATCACATAGACATACAAAAATTGAGCAGCATCATAATGCTCGACTGTGACGGTGCCTGTGCAATGATAGCTTGAAGCGAAAGTGCAGCCAGACCAGGAATGTGGTGCCACTGGCGAAGGCGCGGGGCGACTTCCTCTGCCGAAAACACTCGATGCTCGATCTGCATCAGCTCCTCACGAATGAAGTATGCTTTGTCTTAAGCGATTCCATCGTCGAGGAACAAATCTATCTTTCTTATTCTGTAGCAGTGAGTAAATCTAAATGTGACTCACTGCTGGTTACTACAAAACTCGTTGCACTTGCAGGTCTGCCAGGCATAAGTTTCTGGACACCATAACGCAAACGCTCGGCGATTCCTGGAGCTCCTTGGTTCGGAAAATCAGCGTAGAGATCACGTATCTGGCGATCAAAGAAGAGAAAAATCGACTTCTCGTCTTTAGATCGTGCGGCGTTCGAAGCTTGCCGCGTATCAAAATGAAGGAAGTACTAGATAGCGTACTTAATTGGTGCCGTGATCATCACTATCACATACTGATTCTTCTAACTATTATTCAAATCAGTAGAAAAAAAGAACTGTACTAGGTTTCGTTTACATGGGGGGCCAATCAGAAGTTATAGTAGAGTTCCAAGACGATCAGGTCGATGTCTAGAACGACAGTGTGTGGAATGTGCATATGCAGCTATGAAGAAGAGGATGAGGACGACCACGGATGAGGAACAAAACCAATGACACTATAGTTCTCGTAAGAGTCAGAATCGGACGGAGATTCACGCTCCCCAGGTTCAGATCCTGCTGTGCTCATTGCCGATTCGTGGCCGGCGCACTCAGTTTGGATGCACGTTTCTGTCACCTGTGCTTCCGATTCCACAAGCTCTGCTTTTTTCTCTTGACTAGCAGCCGTGGGAGTGACCAAGACAAATTCGTCATCTTCATCATCATTGTTTTGCGAAAGCGTCATCTCCACGCTGGGGTCCATGGTGGTGCAATCTCCTGGTGTGCCTGTGGCAGGATTGCTGTTATAATAAAAGCCATTACTAGTTGATGTGGTTGAGATCGCAGGTGGAGAGCAGGGAGCAGCCGTCGTTTTATTGTACCCCAGCAAGGTGGTCGCGTTGGTGGCCTTGTTGCCGGAAGTCGTCGTCGTAGTACCACCACCAAGAAAACGTCGCAAGAAACCAGTTGCACCCAAGCTCAAGAAAGTAGTTGGAGCACCAGACGACCCCTCATTGTCCTCATCCACTGCCATTGTTGCGTCTTCCTCTGCACCTTCACCTTGAGCACGCGAGTTCGTCACAGTGTCTTCAACCGTCGTGGCAGATTTCTTTTGCTCATCACTGTCCTCTGTCGCAGTACAATCTTTCAGCAGTAGCTTCTCAACTGCGGAAGTGGCGGCTGTGCTGGCCCGGTTGCGTACCGCAGCGCCCTTGCCGGTTCGTTGCGGCTTCACCAATTCTGAGGGATCGATCCAGAGTGAGAAGCGGTATGCTCCTGCACCAGCAGAACGCCGTGCCAGAGAAGAGACACCAGGTGGAGAGGAAGGAGTTGGTGATGTGAGTGCACCGGTGGTGTTCTCGCTGCCAGCAGTTCTTGTGTTGTTGGTTGCAGCTTCGTCGATCACACGACCCGGTGAGTATACGACAGAACAGCCTAGAAGGGCGACCGCGGCATGACGATTTTCAGGGCCAATAGCGGCCGTAAGGAAGCGATTCCACGTATCCACTAGCTGCTTCTTATCTTCTGATGAATCCAGAACGAGACAGTACCCTCATGAGCAACTCCTCTAATAGAACATTTTTGACTCCCCATATTAGTGAGCCCTTTTTCTTTGCTTCTTAGCGTCGAAATCAATGCGAACGAAGCAGTAATCACTTTTAGCCACGACGGGCGAATAGCTCACAAGGGGAGAATATCTATTGGATAGATGGAATCAGTTGCACTTCATTGTTACAGAGACATTGCTGCAGCTCTTCATAAACTCAGTGCGAGCGATTTCCCCCAGGTAGTGCGTTCTACAACCTCGAAGTCTAGCTGAATATAGTTCTGCTCCATGTGGCGCACCACATTATCCTGTGCTCCACCAAGTGAGCAGGTAGTCTCGCGTCCTTCCGTATCCGCGCTCGAACCGGTTGACGCAGACCTACCACGCAGAAATGTGCCGAATATAGATTTTGTAGCCGCAGCTGTCTGCTCTTCTGTTTCCCATCGTGCAGCAGTGCAAGCGCCTGCAAATGCAGAACCAGTACAGGGGCCGGCTGGTGATGGCAGCGTCGACGTCGTGGTGACGTTCGTTGCTGCTCGCCCTGGGCCAGTAGTTACAGCGGTCGAGCACGTTGTTCCACTACTCTTAGACGAGTCCATCAAAACTCGATTTCTGTCTAGCAAGAACACGCCACGATTCCCTTCGCCCCTGCCTATCAGATCAGTAAAAATTCGATTCGCATCCGGGAACTCATCTAAGCACCACAATTGCTGTGCTGGCTCAGAGGACCCGTCCTCAATGACGAAACCAGCATGCAAAGTGTAGAATCGCCAAGCCTGTAGTACGACAGAGTGAGATCAGGTGACCATTCTTTACATTGTTCGCTTTGACATACATCTATATTCTGCGAATACATAGGGTTACGAACGACCTCCGAACTATCGAGGGAAATTAGCCGGCTAATTTACTTTGTGCGCTTTGAGCGTCGCGGGACCCACACCCTCCCAAAAAGGCGATCTTTTTGGGAGGACGAGTCTAGATTTGCAGCACGCCTCTCGAAGGAAATTATACATCTATATTCCAGTTATAACCGACGCACCAGCAAACACGATTCAGCTGCCGCTCTGAATCTATGAAAATCCAAATAATAGATAGTACTACTTGTAAAAAAAATAACTTTAAAGCCAAAGAGTGTAAGGCATTGATTTAAAAAAAAATAAAGAGAAGAATACAAAAGGCGGGTCTAGTGTCATGGATTCGCTCGGATGCGCTCGCACGACTGGAAACGGAAGATGTTCATACTCTGCCTCAGGCGGATCGTTGGCCGCTAAGGCTGCAATTTTCTCAACTGCCATCCGGGCTGGTCATAATTCAACGAACAAGATTATAGCGGTGTCAAGGTGTCAAAAAAAAACTATATCTAAAAAAGTAGAGTTTCAAACACACGCTATGGCATCACTTCGCGGCTAACAATTTGATTTTTTGCATGGTCACCTCGCAAGGAGCATGTAACTTCTACCTCCATCGTCACCCGTCCCACTACGCCCCGTTCGAAGCAGCTCGAAGGCGACAGACCCCAGTCTGGAGGTACCGAGGAGCAATTCCAAGAAAAAACTACGAAGCAACACTTTCTTGGTCATGATGTGCATGTTGAGTGATAGAATGATATTGAATAGAAGTTCTGATGATAATGTGTAGTTGACGATACCGTAAGCATGAACAAGTCCTCGTCATCAGGGTTACATCAAGGTTTTGCACAATGAATATTAGAGAAGGTGCGCTCATTAAGCAATTGGACTCTCTCTCGCGTTCTCCCTCGTTGTCAATAGTGTCCTCTCACGAAGGTTCTTGCGTAGTATGTTCGAGTAGACCGATCACTGACACTGGCAGAGTTGCCATATAACTACGGAATCGCTCAAGATCCACATCATGAACATTAGTACAGATCCTAACATGGTGGCGGAGCATCATCGTACCCCGACTCGACGAAGGAACACACAATAAATGAAGAAGGACGGCGGAGGCGAAGAAAACTGACTTGCGGATAGAAGAGCACAGTGAATCCAAGGACTGCAGGTTCCCGAACTATCGAGGAAAGAACAAGAAAACATCTGAGGTCATCATGCTGAGAGGATATCTATTTGAATCAGAGTTGCTCAAAACTTCATGGAGGGTTCTTCAAGTTCAATTTTTTCCATTCAACATACTTGTTTTACTTTCCTATGATGATCTGAGTAATAGGTGCGCGCACAACGGTGCCGCGGATGATTCAGGGTTCATCAGCAGATCGATACGAGAAAAACCCATGAGCATGGAGCAAAGCAGCTCGTCAACCTGCAAGATCAAGATTCTTGTAAACTAATTATAAGATACGTACTACAGAATGATGAAGAATGACAGCACAACTCTGCTCAAAATCCTTTGCGGTTTGCGGCCTGTCAGAAAGTTGAAGAAGGCCGATGCTGATCCACTCTTCTTTACCATCACCAAAATGTTGCGAGATCGAACATCACTGAAAACCAAAATCTCAAACTGGAAGACCTCCTGAGTCTGAGCTTACTGTTAGACTTGTCTTGGAAGTACTAGTCATACATAGTAATAGTGGGCTATTAGAAGTAGTCATGTACGGAGGTGAAAAAGCCTTAACGATCTGCTTCCTGTTTCTAGTACCGCCTAGTGTTTATAATGTAAACGACGAAAGGGCGAGGGAGCGAATGAGTAGCTGTACGTCTGCAAAGAAAAACCTTTTTAAAGCAATACTTCTCGTTATCCTTATGCATGTTCTGGAACAAGGAGTCCTGCCTTTGCATATTACCTCGTCTTCTTTAGATCTTATGCTCGTTGACTTTACACCAGACATTGTTGTTGCGCAACATTAACTCTTTTAGGCATTGGCCTGTTCACTTATCATTGATCTGTAAGTGACCGTGTCTCCTTCTTCGTCTTCCTCTGCTGCTGGCTGTACCATTATACGTATATATTTATAATTAGGGAATCATCGAACCGTGTAATTAGTGTCGCTGCTACTCGACGCCTGGCCCTCAGTTGGAAGTGAACGATCACCTCCCGTTGTCGATACACCTGAAGCCGACATCAGCATCACATCATGAGCACGGGTACTAGAACCGTTGTGCGGCAAAGCCGCTGAAACACAGGTAAGAGTATTGGGATGCCCGTTGACATCCTCAGCGCCATCGTTCGGATGTTCGAAGGTACACCAAGACGAGGAAGATAGTGACGCACTAGGTCCACCAAGATCTACTACTTCTAGCGCAGCGGTGTTACTACTTGTACTTTGTTGCGAGTTGTAACCACAAATTGATAGTGGCGTGAAAAACGTCTGTTGATCGGTCGAATTCACTGGAAAATCTATTGTTGAACTATCAGAAGGTGTAGCACGGAAGCTATTTGTAGCGCTGTTGCTGCTGCTGCTGCTGCTCATAGATATTGAGCATGTTGCTGGTGTATAAGAAGACGAGCTAGCTATAATGGTTAAGGCTGTACGAGGATTTATCATTGATGTTGGCGGAGTAACAGGAGATACAGAAAGTGCCGCTGCTGGACTACGAGCGACATGATTGGTGTTGTTGTTGTTGAAAAGAGAATGGTTAACATGATGACCTCCAGCAGGTGGACTTATACCAGACGAATGCTCATCCGCTGCTCCAACTCCGAAGAAGATTTCCGAAGAGCTGCTTGCTGATCCGCCTCCCCCACACTGTAGTAAAGTATTGTCAACAAGTTGTGAAGCTGAAGGGGGTAGGGAGGGACATTCCATTACAAGGATCGGGTCCGGATCCTCCTCAAGGCAATCTTCAGGTTCAGGGACTGGCGAGGGCAGCCGCGTGCTGCCGTCGAGCGACGCTGCCGTTGAGTCATCGCTGAGGTCGTCACTAAAACCCTGCTCGCTGCCTACTCCATGCGAACTTGACATTACACTTGTGCGCGCGGGTGGCGCGACCACAACTGTAGGAGGCGGTGGAGGTCCAAGACTAGGTGGTCCAGCTCCAGCAAGAAATATTGTAGGAAATGAAGAAGAGCCAGATACCGATGACGTTCTGCCAGAAAAAGATGCTGCTATTTGGTTTGCCCTGCTGCGCGAGGATGGTCCCGGCGTCGATATTTGTGACGCCAGTAGGTGACGAACATCTTCTACGTCAACCTCAGCGCTCTCTTCCACATCGTCCATCTCACCAAACGTCAGAAGTAAATGCTTTCCTTCCTCTGCTTCACCCTCATTTTGTCCCATGGGACCATCGGAGGAAGTTGTATTTGTTTTTGCGTCTCGTTTTCCAGATGAAATAGCGTGCGAAGAATAATTTCTAATGTCGGCTGCATGGGGGATAGTGGAACAGCTCGTATTATAGTCCGTGGAATCTTTCTTCTGGTGTCGTTGATGAAAACCTCCTTCATCCTGCAGAGATGTCGCACTACTTGTTTTCATCCACTGCGGCGCAGTCGAGGAAGACACGAGAAGGGACTTCTCCAAAGGTCCCGTACAAGACGACATCGCTCTTTCGGTCATGGAAGAAAAAGCCCCTCGCGGTGGAGACACAGCTTTGGCGTCGCGTCCTCGAGATCCTTTGTGATCTGTACCAGTCCCTCGAAGTCCTTCGTCACTAGGTAAGAGTCGCCCATTCTGTCGCCCGTCTTCACTATCGTCATCATCCTCGAGGAGGGTGGTCTTTGCTTTGTTCATTTTTCCGACAGGGTTATCGTGTGCTCCAATTTGTCGTCTGGCGTTGCTTTCCTCACGATTGCCGTCAACCCCGCTGGTGCTACTGCAACTACTGGAGCTGCTGCTCGCGGGCGTAAGCGGTTTCGACAGGAAAAGCTCTGGAGAGCACCCTCGTCTCAGTTGTTTCGTTACAATAACACAAGAGGACGAAGCCCCACGGATTGGCGCAGAAGGGAAAAAATTCGTCTTTTTCCCACGTCCACCACCACCTGCAACGCCCGCTTCCCTAGCACGACAAGTCCCTGATTCGGCCAGATCGAATGAGCAAGACCTGTAACGACAGTCGGAAATTCTTGTCTAACGTTTTTGAAGATGAGTGAATAGCTAGGAATGACCGCAGGACGAAGATTCGTAGTAAGGATATTTGACTTCGTCTTAGTGCCTAGTACCGTCATCTCCGATGAACACATTTGGTAAAGTATCTTTGGTGTATCTTTAAAACCTGAAGTTACAGTACCTTTTATCCCTAAGAGTTTTTGATCTGGTCTTTCCAGACCAGTTTTCAAAAAAGTCTCGCGTTAGCGGCGATGCTACGCGGCGATTGGGCCATCGTCGGGAAGTAGGCGGCGGCGTCTGCCATGCTTTACATTGCAGATTCCCACACCTGCTCGGCGGCAGCCAAAATATGGACGTCGTCAATGTACGCTTATCCTCCTGGTCCTTCATTTTTGTAGTCTTGTCTGGTGAAGATGCTTGGCTGATCCTCTTTCTTGGGTCTTCATAATATTCGTCATCTTCTTGTCTGAGCGCGTCTGTATTTTCGTGGTCATAAACAGCATCGACCTTTTGTCGCTGGTTGAGGTCCTGTCGCTGGTTGAGGTCCTCTTTTGCTCTATGGTGGTCGGCATTGGCCTGGAAAAATGATGTTGAAAAAGGTTCTTGCGCGACGCCTCCCACGACACTATCTTCAACAAACACTTCGGGTTTCCGCAGTCCTGGACTATCCCGCAAGCAAGTCGTCATGGTTTTCCCTTGATTCCCGTGTTGAATCGATTCAACAAGTCGGCCTCTCCCTGGTTCTTCTAGCTTCTCCTCCTGGTATTTTACCAGTGGTGCTGTCTCGTGGTCAGTACCACGACCATCCACGCGACAAGCGACTCCTGGCTGAAAGATTTCCATTGGGTCCAAGGCCTGATGGCTCTGGGTACTTCTACAACTAAGCGATCGATTCAACAATAAAGTAGGCATCACAACATTCATCTTTATGATACTTCTCCACCAAGTCGAATATCGCGGATGTTGAGCATGTGAAAACACGCATGTGGTAGAACATGTTAAGTCGATATTGAGTCAAAAGAGATATATATTGAGGCATTCTGTATCTGATTCTGAGCAAAAAAAGGTCAAAAATATAACTTTCGATTCGTATATGACTCGTAATCAAGCCGCGCTGAGGTTAAGAGGACGGACACGCATTAAAGAACACACAGCAACAAGGGAGACGATGATTCATTATAATGAACCGGTACGACTTCATCTTCTAAGAAAATTCTCTATCATACATCTATCCAAGTCAAAAATCGTTCAAAACTGTAGCATCCCAATCAAACTAGCAGGTGGGAGAAAAAAGGAAGAATGAAAGTGACCTCACTTCTTTCCTCATCAAGTGTCTGACTGCTTATCTCCAGCAAAAAAGGGTCGTATCAACTGTACCTGATGTCACACGAGAGTGAAAGTAGAACAGTCAATGATTGGAAATGAAATGGATCATTACATTCCGGAGGCCCAAAATTCGCAACGCATTCCTTTTACCTGCAATTACGATTACAATTGCAAGTTTTTCGATGAAAGATCGACGCACCAGCAGCGGTGGGCGCAGAGAAAGCAAACATTTCACGACAGACGCACGGAAAAAACTAAACTGAATGATAAAGGAGCAAGAGACTCCAGTTAACTACTACTAAAGGCTAAGTAGAGCACCTAACAACAGAATGCGCGTCACTAGGCACATCCTCGCGTCGTAGTTGTAATATGATCTGATTTAATTCCTCTCTTTTATCTGGTCCCGTCTTCATATTCATTTGTGGTGGTAACTAGTATTAGTTTCCTCAAACTACAAACATCAATCCACACTTTCGCTGCAAACGGCATCATCGTCAGCTCCAAGAAGAATAAACAACATCCGAACAAAAACATCAACCATGTGTAATGCAGTGCAAGCCGCAACGCATGGTACGCGCACGTGAGCCAGCACGTTACCAATTTGCTCCTTCTTTGGAGTAACACATCAAATAATCTGGTGCTAGAAATTACCACCAAAAAAATCTATGCACATATCGGTCATACGTCAAGATCATCACGCGATGGGGCCAGTGTTGGTTCTATTTTTTGCCAATGCACACCCACACAATGAGAGATTTTCTAGATCTATGAGTGAATCACTGAGGATATTTGATAGATAGGCTGGGATTGGATTTTCTTATGCCACTGTACAGAAGAGTTGAATGGGTATCGAGTGTTGGTTTCTTTACACAGCACGGCGACAGAGAAAAAAATGTGAGTTTGGTAGATAGAACTGGAAAACTGGTCCGTTTTCGGAGCTCCCACCTCTGGGTCTGGCTCCAGCTGCAACGGACGAACTAACAGCATGAAAATTCTTATTCATCTTCGCGCATGTGGAAACTCTTGTCTCAATTCTCGTTCTTTAACAGCTTAATCATTATGTCGTCCCATCAACATCAAGATATACTATGCTATAATCAGTACTAATCGTAGTTCATTAAATGCGAAACATGTTTTCGTTCCTCTTATCAACACATTATGTCGAATAGTCATCTACTATGCACATATCCCGGAACAAGGTGCTAAGAGACGCAATGCACGCGCGTCGTGTTCTAACGAGCGGAAGAAATGGGAATCGATCGCAACTAGTCGGGACCTTCAACACGACAGATACATTTCATCCCGTTCAACATATAAGCGACGACGCGGGAGCGACATTTTATATTTCATCGAACTCTGCTAAAATCATCTTACTTAATCTTTGAAGTCATTTCATTTGCGTGATAAGAGTACTATCAAAATTTTGTTTGTAACATCAATAGTCATTTCTCTATTCTCATTAGCGATAATACCAAACAAGTATCAGCATCACTGAAATACCAAACAAAACATGGTAAGCCATGGCTGTAAATTAGAATACATAGGTTACTAGATCGCGGGAAAGAAGAAGAGTCTACCGGAAAAGTGCGCTTACTGCCTCACCTCTGCCCTTCTTCCCGGCACCAAGCTGTCACAACAACGCACTGCATTCTGCTGCATCTGTCTGGGAGACGAAAAGTTGAGGCCAGAGAGCCAGGAGGAGTAGCCTATTTCAGTGCTGTGGCCGGATTGCCGTCTTCTCCGAATTCTTCTTTGGATCAGTTTAAGAACAGCCTCCTCATGCCAGTCGCAGATGCTCCTGCGATTGATACGGTTCTTACTCAGACCGCGAAATGCGAAAAGTCGGCTCCTTTTCCTTCATACTCGCCTCAAACAGAACCGTATTGAATCGCGTCTCACGCGCACTTTCAGGCGCCTCGAATCGAAAACTGTACTGCGAGAAATACTCCACCTCAACCTGTAGGAGGACGCGGGAGCACAACATCAATTTGTTTGACTTGAAAACGTAATTTACTAAATATCAAAACAAACTCGATGAAAAAAATCGATCATACAGGAGAAGATCAGCAACAGTTTAACTTCATCATACCTCTTCGTGCACGACCGCAAATAACTACATCTTTCTTCACATCGGTCCCATACTACTACTAGAGGGATAAGCAGTATTGCAGTGCTACCAAAGGAGTGTCTCCAAGAAGTGCTAGTACTACCGCAAGAGTCTATGTGAGTACCAGAAGCTTTCCCTCCTCGTCGTTGTATATAACTTCGTTGAGATATGGCGTTACTTCGGTGAATTTTAACTCATAGCTGTCGCCGTGGTCTCGGCGATCCTGCTCCAAAGTGCTACCTGAAAATGAGATGTAATTTTTTTCCTTACCATTGAGTTTGAGGAAAAGATGATACTAAGTACTTCTTCTAGCTGCACGTTACGACGTCGTCGAGTGGCAGTGGAACAAGTACAACTATAATTACTACATGTTGGATATGATAGAGCGACTTTGAGACAAATCAAATTTAGATATGTAATCTATGAGACGATGAAAATCGGGACATGATCGAAGAAGATACCAACTTCTTTAATTTGCTCCCAGAATGCTGGTGTGAAGCACGGCTTTAGCATGACTGGGTCCTGTTCTCGGACTAACGTCGTATTCACATGAATGAACGCCTGTCTTGCCCCTCTGAGAAATTCGTGTAGTTTCGGAACCGCCTTGTGCTCTTTACTGAACGCCGCATAGATCGGCGCCATCATCACACGGTGTTTCGCTTGCGCACGCACCTCCAGTGCAGCGATGTAGAAGGGCTGCCACACCATCTCGAATCGTCTCAGAAGTCGTTCTCGTCGTAGAAGTAGAAACGTGGCCGCGGCTATAAATTGGCAAGTAGTTCGTCCACAGGACCACGGACGTGATCTTACATCAATCTTCCAACCGGAACCGGTGTCCCTCTCACATATCAATCTTCACCAGATCCAACCCTGGCTACAAACAACTGAAATTTCATGTGTGTCCATGATTATGCTTATGGTGACATTCATAATATCTAATTTCGAAAAGACAACATCATGACGACCTCATCATATGCGTGTAGCGGATAAAACGTCAACATGCTTACACCAATAAAAATCTAAACTCCCCTACTTCCTAAGCGAAACATCGGAGATTCCAAATTTGCAGTTATGCAAATGGATAGTGGTCGGAAGGCCTGCAGAAGTTCCTCTTACTCTCACTCGGTACCAACTCAGTTAGAAAAGGTCTCTCTCGTCTCAGAGAACCTCCGCGGCGTTCAAAATGCTCAATCTGCTCGTCCTTCCGCTCGGAGGACGACCTAACACTTACACGATGAAAAATAGATGCAGCAAGAAGATTTTCTTTCAGCAGTAAAACTAAAAGGTAGAGCTATGAATGTGTTTGAATTTTTTGCAGTTCCTTGTGCTGCCATGCAGTTTTTGTTTGAGCTCTTTATTCCAATAGACGATTTGTACAAATGATTCTGTTTTTCTAGACTCTTCAGCTATATGATCTTCTACACAACATGGTATCATACATCACCCTCCCCCTAGATATGCTGTAGCACCACGACTACATAAGATATTTATTAGTAGATAAAAATCTGTGCAATCACAGTGGTTGTATCAGCATATTTCGATGCAACAAGGTGTTGTGAATGCAGGAAGGTGTTGGAATATGTACGTACATTTCTGAATGTTTAACGTGCAAGTGCAACTCATTATCTTTATAATCCGACGGATTACTTTTACCAAATGAAATCACATAAGGCCCGTCCAAAAAAGGGTATGGTACATTGTTTGAAGGTCTCTTTCGTTTGAGCCAATAGGAGAATGAGCAGGTATCTACCACTTCAGAATCTCTTCAATCTATGCATAGGCATTCATGATAGATCCTGGCTTCAAAGGTGTTGACTGCTTAACGAAGCCACCTTATACGGAGCAGCCTGAACTTTTGCGGCCTCGTCCAGGCTTTGCGACAAGAACGCGACGTCGCGCTACAAAAGTCCATGGGGTTAGTTGCTTGCGTCACCCATTGGCGCAGCAGGAGAAGCCGCGGCAGCCAGGTTGGACAACATTGGACCGCCCATCATTGACATCACGTTGGCACTATTCGCAGCCCTTCGAAGCTTGTCAATCGCTGTGACGTAGTCGTCTACCCCACCTAGGTCCGGAATGTTATCTCTCAGCGTCTCAAACTCAAACACGGGTTTAGGTAGCTCGTACATGTGGTCATCTTCTGGAGGGTTAACGGCGTCGAGCTTTTCAGGGACCGCGCGCAGATCCGCGCAAGTCTGGTCAAGCTCTCGCAACTCACCAAAGACACTCCACATGCGCTCCTCCTCAGCAGGAGCCTCCTCCAGCAAGGTCGGTGCCACAGCTTCAGGCTGAAAATGAGACAGTGACAGTTTGGAAGTAGAAGCATGAAAGAATTGGTCTCTTCACAACACTTCTTTCATGTGGTGCGAAAGTAGATGCTAGCCGACGAAGGTCGTGTGGTCTAGGTGTCCCAGATATTCAGTGCATCATGATACTGCAGACAAGAGAGTCATTTCTGCTTGTCTTCTGTCTAATTTGTACCTTCATCCTTTTTTCATGATGCATGAGTCTCGCAATTCTGTGTGTTTCGTTTTCTAGTGTCTTGAGTTTCAGCGTCGCTTCGGCCCGCGCACGCAATGACTTGATATCCGTCAGCTGCTCCAACGGTCCTAGAGATTCCTCCTTTGCTAATTTCGATATCCTTGTAACTCGCTGTAAGGCGTGCACGCGGTTCTGCTTGTCGTCTTGCGCCAATCGTACGTGCTCGCGCTCGATCGCGCGAAAGTGCCGCACAACTGCCTCCAGGTCCCGCATCTTATCATGTGCCTCGGAGAGCCGCGTTTGCCGGGTGGCCTGCTGCGTGGCGTGTAGCAGCGCCTTCTGCTCATACATCATGCGCAACTCAGCACGCTCGGTCTCCCAACGCTTGCGTTCTTCATTAAATCGCCCTTCGCATGCATCGATCGTTGCGCAGATATCCTCCTCTGTCAATCTAGGGGCTAGAATCGCCTCTGGGTCTAGAGCTCCAAGCATGTCTTGCGGTGACGCACGCTGTTGTTGCGGACTGCCAGCGCTAGTACCTAAACATGCACTTTTACGGAAGAAGATTTAGATAAGTCAATTGCATGACAGCTACAACACCTCCTACTTTTTATCTTCCGAGTTCGATGTAATGGTTATCAATTGAAAAGTATCTGAATCTGAGTCACTTTGGAATGGAATTTCGCCCTGACCAGTGTTCCGAAACTGTGAGTCAAGATGGAATTCCATTAACAATTAACATTGATTTCCAAAAAGAAATATCATGAACAGAACAAGAACATCCTCGATTTAAGATTTCATTGAATGATATGTGCACGACACGGCACCGAAGTAAATAGTACGTGTCGGAGTAGCATCATCCTGCTTATCATCCGCGTTATCGTTTTTGTTCGCTCCCCCCTGCTTCTTCTTTTTCTTAGCTCCGGGACTACTGTCTTTATCCTCTACTTTCTTGCCTTTCCCAGACGAGCTCGCGTCTTTGTCCTTTTTCCCAGTACCGTCTTTGCTCCCTCCTCCATCTTTATTGCCTCCTTTCGCGCCGCCACCCGCTTTGCCGGCTGCCGCACCTGCCACTCCAGGCGTGATGGTAGACATACCTGCAGTGTGATGCGCATTCGAACCTGGTATGTACGCGACTCGCTGCATTCGCTCCCTTGCTTTCTCACGGCGCTCACCCAGAACGTTATTCGCAAATTTTAGCTGTTCTTCGTGCGACCGGAGTCTCGCCTGCTCCTCCAGAGCCTGGCAGCGGTCTCTAAAATGCTGAAGCTCCTTCTCCAGCACAGCAATCTGCTGTGAGAGTTGCTCTGCCTGCAACCTTGCTTTCCGTCGCAACTCCGTCGTGGCCCCTTCCTTTGCATCCATGATGACGTGCTCTTGCTGCGAGCGGATAATACTCAGTTCATTCTCACGAGCAGTCTTCGCGTCCGTCACAGCCTGAGGAAAAGGTGGTCAAGAAGAGAGAAAAGTCACGGGATCGAAGATGTTCATCCATGCTACAAAATTTTATCAAATAATCTGGCTTTATTGTTCCACTACGCAGGTCCTCGTCCTCTTCAAAAAAACATTTTTCGACCATAGCACGAATCCATATTCAACATTTGTGGTTGCAGCTGCAGCTGCTCTATTTTATTGCATCAGGTCATCAGATAAACAAGAAAGAGGTAGTCATCTCAGAAGTGTACCTGCAGTATTTCTTCCAAATGCTTTATGCGCTCGTTGAGCTTGGCAATTTCTCTATCAAGTTTGCGTTCCTGTTCACGGCACTTATCCATGACCCTCTGAGCCTCCTCTGCTTTGCGCTCAGCAGCAAACTCCTTCGCAGCGACAGCTTCGCGGACTCGAACCATCTCTGCCGCCTGATCTTCCAATTGTTTCTCCAAACGCGCTAGCTTCTGGTCGCTTTTGAGGTTGCGGTAAGCGAGCAGAAAGCATCGCTGCCGTAGCAAGTTCTTCAGGTTCGCTAATTTCTTCGTGGTAGGGCCAGCAAAACGGAATGCCTCATCGACGTAAAGCTCTAGCGCGATCTCCTTAGGCGGCGTCGTGCTTCTCCCATTTTCCACACCGACGTTGGTACAATGGCCGAAAGGAGCACCGCGCCCGGGCGACGCGTCGATCGGCGGCAAACTTGTACTCGCCGAAGGAATGGCTACCGTCATCTTGTGATTGAGATGGGAACTTCTAAACGCGACTACGTTCTTTGCAATTACGTCTGCTACTTATTTTGAGGCAAAAATAGATAGAAGAAAGGAGAATATCAATGCGTCACTACAAAGGTAAAGATAAAGAAGTCTGCAGATCATATTAGTGGGCTGAATCCCAAAATCATACATATTAGGCTTCAGGCCGACGAGGAGAAAGCATTCATACACGCTAGAATTTTTACACAATAGTCAGAATGTACGCAACAAAAATGTGAGTAGGTGCAGAATTAAGAAACTACGAGAAGTAGATGGACCACTTGGACGAAATCGTCATCAACATCAACATCAAGTAGTACTATTATATACAATATACAAACGATGTACTCGAGCGAGGATAGTCGTGAGGAATATAACATGGAGTCTGAGGGGACGAGCGTCAAAGAGGAACCATCGTATGTACTACTTGTGCAATTGATCGCAAACTGCATGCTCATGCTAGGCGTAGGCCTCGAATACCTCATCTCATTCTGTGAACGACCTTCAGACTCAACACGTCCCCGACTCGACCTTCATCGCATGAGGTTGGTAGACATTGATTTTGAATAAGGCTTCTTAAACTCTCAACAGACTCAAATTGGTAACGACGACGTGACAGATTTTCTCTCTTAAATAGATCGAAGAGTCCAGCTGTGCTAACAGAACCAGAACTAAAGAAAGCCAAAGGCTTATCTCCGTTCATCCGACAACGACCTGGCAGCTGAAGATTAAAAGGGCTCTCTCACAGAATTCAAAATTCTCTTGACTCCTCTTCACCAAACCAAACCCTCTACCAGATGGCCCATCATGCACAGATGTAGTCCGATCAATACTGAGTTCGTTTATTCTTGTATGCCCGGCAATGGTTCACCTCTATGGGCACAGTACTTACAATCAGTTTCAACTGAAAGATCTGCCAGAAGCCGTGTAGCACCTCGACTCGGCTCGGTGCGTGCAGCACATGCAAAATCGTTTGCAAACATTTTTTCATGCAGCTGGCTGCAACAAACATGACAGTTGTTTCAAGAAATCTAGCCTTCATAAAGGTTCTCTTCTGATTCTAATATGCTGAAAATGCAAATGGAGAAATGAAAAGCGCTTGGGTTCATTTTGTTCGATTGCTACTAGTTCAACACCTCCTTCACGGCTAGTTGATTTTTGCATAAGTACTCATTTACTCACGACGAGAAATTATGGGCATGAGTTAGCGGTACTACCACTAGAAAAGAGAAAGACGTTGCTCGTCACTGTATAAGTATACGCATAGTTTCAGTCCGGAATCTCATTCTCATTTTCCGGTGATACATTACTGAGTCCCTTGACTGACAACCTTTGATGTGTAAAAAAAAATCCAGGACATACAAATTAGTAATTACTGCGCGCCAGCAAGTTCAAGCTGTGCATTGCGATATAATCGAATAAATGAGTGATAGTCTGCCTCTGCGGTAAAGGAACCTTGTACAATCATCAATATTTATTCTGCAGCGTCTCTGTGCAATTTGCTATTACTGCGCAATTTCTATTCCTAAATTTGAAAATTCATGACACTCGACCGCGGAATGCTGCAGCGATCGATTTTAGAGATTCTGCAGCCCCTGCTCCGTCACTCTGCTGAATCTTTCTAAGAAACTGCTCCCTCACGGTCTTTACATTCAGACTGAATCGTAATGATGTAGTAATGTTATCCGTCCTCTTGCTCGTAGTGGTGGTACTACTTGTAGTTGAGGTACTTTCTTTCTCATCATGCGCTTTCTTGTCGTGTAGATTGTGCATTTTGGAAAACGTCTCACAATCATGCTGTGCGTGTTGAGCACAACTAGCACTAGCAGTAGTTGTTTGTCTCCAAGTCGAGGCAGTCTGGTCGGCCTCCATAGATTGTTGTTCGTCTTCATCAATCGAGCTACTACCGAAAGCCGCCTCTTTCGCACTAGCTGCACTGGTACTTGCTACATCATCAACAATGCCGTCATCTGGAATCACATTTCCATTTTTCAATGATGCCATCCTCTGTTCCGCTGCGGCATTGAGGTTGCTAAGTTTTCTATTATTCATGCGAATACTGCGTAGCACATCGTCAGAGGCGGCGCAGGTAGTCGAGCTTGTCGTATTAGAGTCGTCGAGAGGTGTTGTCGGGATGGTGCGGAAACGACTAGACGGAGCCACCCTATCTTTAGACCCATCATTTGCTCTCCTTGGTGATGGCGGTCTGACTGAGAAAGCGGACTGCTGCTCCTCTGCTGGGGCGACTCGAGGCGAGGTATCAGGTTTGATACTAAATGACTTATTGCAAGCACCGCCAAAGCTCGGGCTTCGTGATCTTCTAGCGGTAACTCCACCGCCGGAGGTATTACCGTCGAGAGCACCACGACCATTTGTTCTTCTATCATCTCGATGAAGAAAAAACTCATGACGCTTGTTTGTCTGAAGATCGTCGACTCGTATTTCTTCAGTTCCTCTGATGAAGTTACCACCAGGCTGTGACCATGCGGAATGTGGTCGGGGAGAGCGACTGCTTGTTGACAGAAGGATAGGCGACGCGACCTGATGCATTCTGGCATATCGTACTTGTCGGCGCTGCAGAAATCGGGCCACTCGCGAGCAAGCAGCCTGCTCGGCAGCTTTGTGCTCCTCAGTAGGACGAGCACTGTAATAAGGCGATCGGCTCCTTCTCCTCCGAACAAGAGCAGGAGGTGTTCTGGATCGAGATCCTGCACGACCATGACCAGCAACATCATCAACATATTGACTACTACCAACGTAAGAACCTCGGAATCCTATTATATCGAATCGCCTTGAAAAAGTGGACATAGCAGGTGGCACTGAAGGACGTTCGGGGCGTCGAGAAGATGCCGACCGCAGTGAATTTCGCCAATAACCGAAGCCAACTCCTGAGCCTGACAGGCCACCCGTAGTTGCGTATCTAGTTCCTGAAGCCATATCGCTGAACGAAGAGGAAGACGAGCTGCTCTCCTTGGAACTGCAGCGGGTAGACGCCGACGCACTTTGGTTGTCACCTTTTGCAGTCCAAATCACCGGGCCCTGAAGCAACAACTTCTCTTCAGGATCCGCCAAATCGTCGGGCTCTCTTAAATGACGCCCTACCGCGAGGAGACCACGTGTACTCCACAGACTGTCGTCGACGCCGGCAGGCATTGGAAAATGATCGTAAAAGTGCTGCATCTTCCGAGGTTGTTCAACGTGCTGTTGACCCAAAGCATTGCCCCGATAGAACTGCTCTTGATCCGGCCGCTTCATCAAAACCGACGTGAAATTTGGTGTCCCAAAAACATTACGAGCAGAGCTCGGAAAATGTTGCTCCGCTTCTGGTACTGACGGCATCTTCATCAAGCCATTTCCTCCCGAATGCCTCACACGTCCCCACGCTTGACCATAAGGGGCCAATCGTGAATCGCCATTCTCATCGCCGCTGGGCACGCTGCTTGTTGTGTTTCTTACCTTCATGATGGGTTGACCAAAGCGCACTGCAGACCCCTCATCGTTTCTGTCGCCCTGATCACTATCTCGTCCGGTAGAAGCACGCAGACGCACTACGGGAGGACTACCAAAGTTGTATGGGCTCGTTCCTGGTCTTGTCGAAACGAAGGAGCCGGCTGATGCGCTCTCCTCATCAGCATTGTCGCGGTCTACTCTCGAAACGAGACGGTCTGGAGTTGTCCCCGGACGAAGCCGCAGCTCTTCGCCGCTCCACGAAAAAGAACGATCCGAAGATCCATGTCGGCGATCACGAGGAATGACCTTCCCTCGTGCTAGTCCATTTCCATATCGGGGTTCTTCTATCCCGGGGAATTGTTGCTCCTGAATGCGTATGCATCGAGTAGATCATGAGTCTCCCTTCAAAGTCAGTAACATTATGGTCAATGGGATTACTTGCATTCAAAAAATAATATCAATATTTTGCATGAAGGGATAGAGTTATATATAGTGGAGAGGTGAAAACTAACCGGTTGCTTTGCTTAGTGCTTTAAGCGTCGGTGGACCTAAGCCCCAAGCCCAACCTTATAAAAAAGGAAGGAGCCAATCAAGATTTGCAGCACACCTCTAAGCCAAGGAGGAAAAAGTCAACAATTTCCTTGAGCCAAAATGGCTGCGGCGATATAACATTAATACTATGAGAGACGTCCACACTACGCCAATCTGTTGGAGCTGTTTGCCGTTTATTTGTTGAGAGTTGGGACACATAAATGCCAAAACCTTGGAGCGATTTAGTTGAGTAATTAAGTGAGTAAGAAAGACGAGCTTGGCTTTGAATAAACACAACTCAACCTAACGAAGCAGTTGGCACTTAGCGCGTTCATTCATCGGAGGAGGAAGAGCCCAATAATACAGACTCTGTCATACTACGTCTTTTGATGCTTCACGTTCGCAAGTCAACATAAATGTAGTACGTACTTGAGCAGTGAGCCTTTCCCGCAGTCGCGTATTTGTTTCTTTCAGGGAATGGAGCTCGCGCGCATGATCGGCAACTCGCTGTCTTAAAAACCGAAGTTCTATCTCTGTTTTCTCCTCTCCTTCAGAATTTTTCGGTTTCTCGACATCCTCGTCGTGCGTAGTCGAGATATTTTGAGCATTGGATGATCTTTCACACGCGAGGACTTTGTTTGGAGTGCTTGCTCTATCCTCCACACTGCAAGAACCAGCATACTCTGTGGAATGGAGACCCGCCTCTTGGTCTCCGTCTCTAGGATCTTCTCTATTAGAAAGCATGCGCCTTGACGGTGGAGCAACCGGTGACAGATCGCCAAAGCCCGTAGTACTTCCGGTCCCGGGTCGCTCAGTAGCACTACTAGCGGGTCGTTGGCGACGTGTGCTTCTCTGGCGCAAACGAAAAGCTGGCACATCTCGACACGCATCAGCAAAGCGTAGACTTTGAATGTTCAAGGATCGCCACGCTTCCCCAGGAGATAGCGTTACAATAAGCGTAAAGAGCGGGTCCACTCCGTCCGGCGGCCGCAGCAACTCTGTCAACCGGGAATCGCGCCAAGGAATCTGCGTGGGTGTCGAACAGCGGAAGGACGTCGGTCGTAGCATTAGGAAGAAAAACAAAAATAAGAATCCCTCATGAAGAACAATAGAAAAAACCGAAGTTTGCAATGCGGTAGGAAGTAGTTTCTTGGTTTCAACTACGTTATTCTGCAAAATGAAAAAAAACACCCTTGCTTAGCAGAAAAAGAATACAAGAACAGTTCAAAAAAGCAGCCATCGAATACATGACGAGTAGGCGTCGTCGGCCGTCTGCCCAGGCTTTGCTCACTCACAGTCGGGCCTGCTAGAGCTGCAACCACTCGGCCAAGGGACTGCAGACTGCGATTAATCGACTGAGTTTCCGAGAGATGCGCTTTTGATGGGGGTTCGGAGCCAAGATGCTTCACAATGCGTTCCGATCCCGCAAGGTCGACAAAGGTGTACGACGGGAAACCAGACCCAGTCTTTGAGTATGCAGGTCCTAAAAAAAGCAAGGCATGCGAACGACTGGAGCATTCGTTGTAGAGCGTCTGTCGTTGAGACCGCCGCATGCATCCACTATAAACCAAAGTGCGGAGCTGCAGGAGGTGTAGTAGCATTGTGTTCATATTGATTACCAAATATATAATACAGGGACGCACGGAGCCCCCCCCCCTGTCGATGGCCCTGCAGTGGCGCTCGCGCGCTCTTTTCCGCGTTGCTTTTCGCGGATTCTCAGGGTGGAAGGCGTCAAAACTGGGCGCGGGCGTCCCCTTGCGCCTCTCAGCATGGTCCTAATGGCCCCCCTGGCCTCTGTTGACCCTCGCAGCCTGGAGGCCTCAGGGGTAGAAGGCCGCCGGAGGCGGCCTCGGTCTCGAGAGCAAGCAAACAGATGACCAAGGGCCCGGAGGGTGGGCAGAGGCCACACGGCTCAGGGGGTCCAGCCTCACGCCTTTTGCCGCCTTCCACAGCCAGGCAGCGCACTGCTGCGGCGGCGAAGCACATAGGAGGTCTGTTGGGTAAATGCAGGTAGCTGGAAGGGAGCGGAGGCGGTCCCTTAGCCCCCTTTTGAAGCCTTCCACCCCCGGCAGACGCCTTCAAAAGGGGTCCGGGGATCCACGGCCCCAAACTACGCTAGTAGGGCGGGGCGCTCCCCTGATTCCTAAACCCTGGAATATATATGCTCCAAGGCGCGGGGCGAAGCCCCGCCCTGGCCTCCTTTGTGAGGCGTCTGCCGGGGGTGGAAGGCCTCCAAAGGGGGCCCAGTGACCTCCCCCCTCCGCTCCCTTCCAGCTGTCTGGGTGTTCCCTAGGGGCCTCCGATGGTGGTGGGAGGCTTCAAAAGGGGCCCAAGGGACCGCCTGCGCCCCCGTCTAGGTGCCTGCCTGTGCCCCAAGCGCATCCGCTAGGCTTCGCCCCCGCAGCAGTGCGCCGGCAGCGGAAGGCCTCCGAAGGCGGCAAAAGGCAAGGGGCTGGACCCCCTGAGCCGTGCCGCCTGTACCCTCCGGGCCCTTGGTCATCAGATTGCTTGCTCTTGCGACCGTGGCCGCCTTCGGCGGCCTTTTACCCCGGAGACCTCCCGCCTGCGAGGGTCAGCAGGGGCCAGGCGGTCCCTTAGGAACACGCTGAGAGGCCCAAGGGGAGGCCCGCGCCAAGTTTTGACGGCTTCCACCAGTAGAATGCGCGGAAAACCCGCGCGGAAAAGCGCGCGCGCGCGCCACCACCGACCAGACCACAGGGGGGGAGGGGGGGGCCGTCCGGCCCTGAATCATATAAATATATACAAACTGGAGACTTAACCCCCGGGGATCCTAAATCTACTGGTGAGTTATACTTTTTAGTGCTGTGGCAGCACGGTAGGCTGGCTCGGCAGACCCAGGTCTTTGCCGGCGCCGGTCGTTGCACCTACGGCCCATAAATTTGCCACGGAGCGTGGCGGGAGGCCTTTACCTCCCCAGAGAGAGTTGCACACCAACGTCCGGGTGTCGTAACCCCTCTCGCGGCTCGGCCGGTGTTCGTGCACCGTCGCCCTACGAGTCAATCAACCGGCACCCGCGAGGTTTCGGGTGCTCGCTCTTCGCGTCGGACGCTTTGGTCCGGGGCGCTTTGGCCCGGGTGCGCGGCTAATCCCTCGGCAGTAGCAGGCGTTGTCCCCCCGCTGGGGGACAAGGTCACTTTGAACCTCCAGCCCTTTGGGCCATCCTTTCTCGACGCCTCCTTGGTGCGCCTTCCATCCTTTTCCCGACGACTGGAGGTTCAGAACCGCCAGGTGCGTACGTTTTTTGTACCCGGTACTGCTTTGAGTGCCCCTGAGCCGCTGCTACTGGCGCTCTTTGGCGCTAGGGCCGTCACCTTTTTGGTAACGGTATTCTGTTGAATCCGCCCTTTCTTCTGTAGCTTCTGCTTGGGGGTGATCTTGATCGTCCGCTTGACCAAGGTGTCCTCTTGGACCGCCTTGGGCTGCACGAAGACGCGCGGGGGTGGACCCCCCCCCGAGGGCCACCGCCTGCGCAATCCGTGCAGCGGGATGAATTCCGAAGCCTCCCACGTTTTGTGGTCGGCTGTGTACTCGTCCCACATTTTGCTGGACTGTTCCCAGCCCATGTGGGTGAGGAATTCATCCTCCTTCACGGAGATTTTCCCTTGCTCCCACTCGCGTCGCGTTGCCAATGCGAGTCCTCTCCTGCAGCTGTGCAGCGTGCCGCTAATTCCCTTCGCCAAGCTACTTATCCTGGCCTTGCCTAATGGGAAATCAGATCTCATAACAGCGCCTTCGCCGTGCATCGGGCAAAAGCGACTTCGTGCACCAGCTGTTTTTGCGTTGGTGTCGCAATTGCAGTGGATTTCTATTATCCTACCGCGTTGTTTGCGGATTTTGTCTTCGGATATGTGGATGCGCCACACGTCTCCTTTTTTGGAGATGTCCGTGTCGTCCACCGCCGCGATGCTGTCGCCCCGCAATCCCGATAGCGCCCAAAGGAGGACCATTTTTTGGTCTTTTGCCTTTAGCGCCTCGAGCTTCGTACCCGGTAGGAAAGGCTTTGCTTTCCTCGGGTTGTGGTCTTGGATTGTTCGTTCAATTGCCTTTTCCACGTCCCCGATGTTTCGGAGAATGGCGGGGCTTTCGACTAGCCGCTGCGGGCCATCCGCGGGTGGCGGTTCTACCAGCCACATGATGATGCTGGATGTGTACTGCGCGACTGAGGTGTATTCATTGAACACTAGGAAGGCGGCGAATCTTTGCACCGCCTCCGGCCTCACGGGTAGCTTTTCACCCTTGGCCGCTAGCCAGTCGAGGAAGAAGGCGACTCGCGACTTTTTGTTTCTAGTCGTGGAGTCGGCTTCTCCCATGGCGCGCAGCTCGTCGTCGTTTAGATCGACAGCTTTGCGCAGTGCGTCCGCCCGCTTCGACATTTATTTAATGTTACTTTTTTATTTATCTCTCGCTGTTGTTCCCTCTAACGTTCTTTTTAGTTTTTATTTAGTTAGTTTGTTCTCTCGTCCTTACTTACTTTTTTGTCTAGGCTGGTTCGTGCGGCTGCTTAGGCGAACCTCCACCATGGATCTTGGCCTCCTGCCGTATCTCATGAAGTGGTCTCCCCAGCCTAGCTTCTTTACTTACTCGTAACTCCTTCCCACTCTGTTTTCCCTCTTTTTAGCTTGACGAGATGTAACACGTCACTCCCTCGAACACTGCGCCGCCGCCGCCGCGTTTTCCCTTTCGGCCACCAGTCGTCACTGGTGGTTTGATTTGTTTCCTCCCTCTCAACTAGAGTGTTTTTTACTCTGTCAAAAAGGACGAATTTATTGTTCCGCCACTAACTTAATAATGGTCCGGTGCCCCTGGTAATTTGACCAGAGGGCTTATGGCGAATGCTTTTGCATTCTGTTTTTCGAGGATTTGTTGTCCTCGAGGCCGGTAGCCTTTTTCTTCCAGCTAGTCGCGTTCTAGCTTGTGCGTGGCTCCTTCCACCACACCGCGAGGGAGCGTTTGCTCCCAACGTGCTCCTTCACGTCTCTCCCCAGGAGGATTTTTCCCTCCATCACTCTCGATTTATCGGCGTCGATCGCGTGAGCGGCTGTTTTTGCGCTCGTTCGATCGCTTCGATTTGTTGCGGCCACGATTGTCTTTTTCGCGACTGTCGTTGCGATGCCGTTGTCCCAGCGGAACCGCGTTTGCGTCGCTTCGCTGGGGTCCTTTCGGTTGGCGGCGTGTTCGGCCGTTTTTGGCCTTCATCGCCTTCATCGGCTGGACTTTCGGTTTTACGAAGTCTTTCGGGTGGCGGATTGCTTCCTTGTCCTTCGCTGCCGCTCGTTTTGCCGCTGTGCCGGTTGGCTGCTGGTTGATGTTTCGCCCTGCCAACCGGGCCGAGAAGAGGACTTCGGCCAGCTCTTTTTGCGAGCGGATCACTTCTGCCCACGTTCTCTTGGCGATAGTGATGTCTGGGGGAGGACGGTTGCGGTCGATGAGGTGGTGGTGTGTGCATTCCAGGTGTTGAGCGTCGTTGCGACAGCCTGACTGCACCGCATGCGCTTTGTGCGCGTGGAACCAGTGGCATACCGCCGGCGGAAGCATGAGTCCCATATTTTTCAGGGACTTCAATGCGGACGGCTCCACTAAGCCGGTTTGAGGGAAGTACACGTAGTATGTGGTGCGTGTTCCTCCCTTCGCGTTTCGGCGCTCGGCTAGCACCACGTCGACACGTTTGTCGAGGCGGCGGTTGTGGACTGGGTCCATGGCCGGGTTGAAATCTGTTTTTTCCAGATCCAAACTCTCCAACCAAGTGTCGCTCGGCATGGTTGTGCCCGTGTCGTCGTCCCCGCCGCTGTCGGCGTCGCTGCCGAACGGGTTTTGCGGGCCTTCGCTCGCCGATCGCTCTCGCGATTCGCTGCGGCGGCGGCTGTGGCTACGAGAGCGCAGTGTGACTGTCACACGTTCGCTTCTCGGCTTGCCTAAGCTCGCCTCGGCGTCTCGCATGGAGAACATTTCATTTTTGATTTCCTCCATGTTCTCCTTGAAGAACGCTTTTTGGACGGGCGGTTTGATTTTTCCCCCGTCTTCCTCGTCCGTGTAGCGCGCCTCGTCGATGAGGTGGAGACCGAAGTGGTTGTACCAGGCCAGCAGGTTGAACATGTATCTGTTCACCAGCCCGGTCTCCCAGCGCTTCATCTTCTGCTGGAGCGCGTCGAGGCTGCGGGAGCCTTCCTTCATGAATCCCAAGAACACCATCATTTTTTTGATGGCGATTTCTGGGAAGTTCTCGTTGAACTCGGTCATGAAGTCGAAGGGCTGCAGGTCGGTGGCGCCGTTGATGGCGCTTTCCACGCGGCGCAGCGTCTCCCAGCACTGGTCCAGGTTGCATCTGTCCCAGTAGTCAGCCGGGACGCTGGCGACGACCTGTTTCCGGACCAGGTTCTGGAACGCGCTGTTTGTGCGCTGCAGGTTGTCTCCGTTAAAGCCTGCGATGGCGCAGTTTGAGACCTTGGGTTGGTTTTTTCCCACCTGGGCTTCGCCCCAGATGCCTGCGGCCGCGTATGCTCCGAAGAGCAGCGCCAGCGCCTTTTGGTTGAGGCGTTGGCCTGCCGTCGTGTTCAGGACGCTGTTTTCGTCCACGTCGAAAACGGAGCGGAGGCCGTGCTTTTCCACGTGTTTTAATAACGCGGTGAGCACGTGGTTCGCCTGCTTAGAGGCTTTTTCTCCGTTCGTGAAGAAGCAGTTTTTATACTGCTCCTGTGCGTCTGCGACTTCCTCGCCCGGAGTTAAGACGGAAGGCCAGACGACTTTCACCTCTGTTTTCTTCTCGACGCCGTTTACGCGTCGGTAGACGAAGAATTTTTCTCCTTCGCTAGCCGGGCGCGTGTCGTCATAGGAGAGGATTTTGTCCTCTCCGCTGCTGTTCAAAGCCGTTGCGATGGCCTTTGCGGTCTTCTTCGCGAACGTTTTGAACAGAGCTGCCGTCTCCGGCGGCTCCTCGGAGGACTCTTCGCTTTTGTCGGCGAAGTCCACGGAGTCCTCCTCCTCTTTCTTTTTGGCTTCGAGCTCCGCCTTGCGCTGCTTCTCCTCTTCTTCGAGGAGCTTTCGGTCCTCCTCCTCGTGCGCCTTGCGGACCGACGTCCACGGCGTCTTGGCCGGCTTCGCGTCCCAGTCGTTGAGCACCTCTTTGTTGGTGCGCTCGATCAGGTAGCGGACTATCACCTCCTTTTTGGCGGTCTGCGCCGGGACTTCCGCCAGGTTCAGCTGCGGGTTTTCCTCCCGAAACTTTCGTTTTTCGGCGAGCTTCGCGCCGGCTTCAAAAGTCTCTTTTTTAATCAGAGACTTCGAGGCCCAGGGTTCGGCCGTTAGTTCCTCGTGGTATGCGCCCAACCACAAGTGGAACCACATCAAGGTGGTGCCCTGTTCGGTTAGGGTTCCACCTTCCCCCACGAAGCGCGGGTCCTCCAGGTCTTTTTTGACCGTGTCGATGAATTCCGTTTCCGGAAGTTCACCGACCATCTGTCGGAGTGCTGCAATCCAGTCCTGGATGTTTGCGCAGAAGATGAGTTTATCCTCATACTGCGTCTTCTCCTCCAGCTGCTTTTGCAGCGCCTCCATGGCCTCCGCCATGGAGGGGTGAAACAGTGATCCGTCGATCAGTTTCAGAAGGGCTTTGCCCTTCTCGTCGACGTCCTCGCTCCCCACAGGATTTTTGCCTGTGTGGATGACGAGGTCTCCGACGCTTTTCAGGGAGGTCATTTTGTTTTTTGTTTTGCTGAAAACCAGAGTGCGGGGGCACTACTAGTCACTAGTTTCTAGATTGCGATTATACGCGCACAGAAAGTCCCTGGATTTTTGGGAAAAAGAAAAGTTTTTTGACCTGCCCAAGCTAGCTTTCAGCTTGAGGTTACGAAAATGTGCTGCCACAAGCGCCAAACCCTCGCGGCGATTTTTGCCCCGCGAGGGGATGGCGCGCCGCGCGCGCGGCGGAACTCGATTTTTACGAGCTCCCCAGCACCCCCCACTGGGCGCCACGCGCCTGCCCACCGCACCGCCGGAGGGCGCGTTGGCCCTCCCGCGGCCTACGCACGAGCGCTTTGGCCCGTGCGCCGGCAGCCCGCTCCGCTCCGCTCCGCTCTGCTCCGCTCTGCATGTGAACTCCGCCCCGTGGGTGTAGCATTAACGCTCTCACCCGACCGCACCCGAGCCTCCGCGGAGGCGCGAACCGTGGTTCGCCTTCGCCGAGATGCGCCATTGCATCGACCGGCGGCGTCGCGCGTGAGTGCATTTTTTGCACCGCACACGACGGGGTTCGCGGGGCCCGTTGCCCCCAACCCTCTCCCTAGTTGGTCCCTCAGCCGACATTTTTTGTCGACTGTCGTCCAGGAACCTTCCAGAGAGCGTATCTTTTCTCTCACCTAAGTTAACTCACCAGTTAGTATAATCACTTCCCCCGCAAGCTCCTCCAGTGCATAAATATTCGCAAAAACTGTACATAATCTAACCAAAAAGCAAGAGGTAGGCTACATCATGATTGATACCGCCGCTAAGCTGCGCACGTCGCGCCGAGGAACAAGGACCGAAATGCTATCTCGATAGAGTTGTATGAACTCGAATCGCAAAGCCGCATAGTCCTCTAACAAGGCAGCTGCAGCCTCAAAAACCACTCCTGGTTCCGTCTCATATGCAAAATAGGGAAGTGAATTGCTATCACTTGTTCCTGTTCGCGATGTTGATGCACGGATCATCTCCTGCCCAAGCAACGTATGGCTCTTGCCCGACCCCGTGGGGCCGTAGGCCAAAACGATATGGTTCCCCACCGAACAGCCACGCGAGCCATTGAGGATGCGGCTTCGAATCGTCCTACATGAGTCTCTCTCACAATGAAGTAGAGTAGAATCTTGAGTACGGGTTATCTCTCCTTCTTCTAAGTGCTCGTCGTTGCGTTCACGATCATGCGTTCGTAGCCTTCCTCTGCAACTCTCCGAACCTGAAATCCACACGCCATCGAAAGTTGCAGGACCATAAACAGAGGATCCATCAGCACCAAAAATTTCGACCGTGTTCTCCGTCGTCTCCAAACATACATTGAGATCATGCTCGTCCGGCAGCAATGGGCGAACCTTCACAAATACACCAACGGGTGAAGGTTTCGGAGTAGCAGATGTCATGTTCTTTTTCTTGGTCGTTTTTAACTTCTTGTAACTGATACACGACCGAGGCAAACACAATTGCTTCAAAAAACCTCGGCTCGTTGACGTTGCTACTTGGGCTTTTTCGGGTTCTATAATTATTTTTTTATTTTTACCCTTCTCACATTTCCATTTACCTCTATCCTTCTCTGCCTCTGTTATTCTTGGCATTGTTTGCTAAAACTACGACCACTCTGCCTCAACTCCTTAAAAGATTGGTTTTGATGACAGATGACATGACTCCTCGCCTCTCAGTAGTGATTTTCTCGTCCCTCGGAAGAACGGACAAAGACAGGGCTCGAAATTCTGCATCGACGTTGTCCTTAAAGGACGCACACACTCTCTGCTTTCCTACAAGGGAGCGAGCAGCTTTTGATCAGAGACGTAAACGGAGGGGCAAGAAAGAAACCGCAGTTGTATGTTAGAGAGAATGAGCCTGGTCGTGGTAGCACATTTTTTGGTGGACGATGGCGCGAGGACCAAGCCAAAGAAAATCTTCAACTTCATATCGCTGATTGCGAAATATGGTGTACAGCACCACATCACTATAGTCGTGGTTGCGATCATGATGAAAGCGCTGCTCCCGCAGAATCTTCGCCCTCTAGAATTTCCCCACAATCCACAATCATTACTTCTGCTTTTGGTTCCCCGCCCTTGGAGCCAGCGCCCTCCAGTTTTCTCATCACCTTCGCGCGTGTTCCCAGTCGATCCCTTACTTCCCCGAAAACGCAATGCTTACCATCGAGATGCGGTAACGCTTTCCCCAAAGTGATGAAGAACTGCGCTGAATTCGTATTGCGATCCCCATTGTTGGCGCAGCTGAGCAAGTATTTTCCGCCTGAGTGTTTGCAAATGAAATTTTCGTCCTTGTAGAACTCCGTCCGCCCCTTTGGCAGCCCACCGGTGCCGTCGCGATTCGAGATATCGCCGCCTTGCGCCATGAAGCCAGGGATAATTCGATGAAACGGCACGTCCTCGTAGTCACCGCGTCGGCAAAACCCCTGAAAACGATCCGCTGTTTCAGGCACAATGTCTTCGTAAAGTTCAATCTCCAGCCGATAGCGTTTCGCTGACGAGCCAGCGTAACCCCCGCGGAGAGGACGGAACTCAAGATCCAGAAAGACCAGCGGGTTTGTTGGCAATTTGGGTTTCCTACTATTCATCGCGCTTGAGGAGCTTGTATGGTTTTTGGAGGATCTAGAAGTAGTGCCTTGATCACGCCCACCACCATGACTGAAGTCATCACGAGGCCGACGCTTGCTATCATGTCGTCGACCTCCTCCATCGCGATCTCGTCTGGGGCTCCGTCTTCTAGAGTCTTTCCTTTTCGGGCTTCGCCTCCCACCGGGCGAATCCTCCCGTCTGCGTGGAAAATCGCGCGCCCGTCGCCGACTCTCAGACCTCCGACGCTCTGGCGATCGACGGCCACGCTTACGCGAGTCTCGTCCCATGATGATCTTACGAATACGAATTACTACAAGTGGATTTATTCTAAATTGAATGACTTAGAAACCTAGTATGCATTAAACCTTTTAGCTCGCGATCAGGAAAAAATTTCCACGATACTTATCAAGTACAACCAAGAACTCTAAGCAGACGGTGATGTCTCGCTCACGTTTCTATGGTATTATTCATGCTTCTGTCATCCACAGTTTTTCGTTGTAGTTGTGCCTGTTTTCTATCTCGTAAACATGGGATCGATATGGGACTACTAGAAGACCATTATACACACTTCCAATGTCGAGAAACATTATAGATCGTTGGTTGATCGCTTCAGCACCAGTCCTGATTGTTTGGTGCCACACGACAGAATTAAAGATAGATGAAGAAACACATTGATTTCAGCTAGAACACGAGGACGCTGAACAAAAACCTGGTATGCAGGAGCTCTGTTCGTAAAAATCGGAAGGATGTTTCAAACGTTCCTGAATGGGATTCATTGGAGACAGTGTGGTCAATGTAAACAGACACGGACCAGTGAAAATGTACATGTCATGTGTGTCCTCCTGATTTGATAGGGTTACTAAAAGTATGCAGATGTGAAGGGAAACCAAAAGTTTATCGTTCACATTTTCATGGAGTACCATTATGATAGAACAGTTGATAGGGGTGGCGGATTCAGGACGGGACGGATCGGATGGATCGGATGAACTTCCCACGTTCGGCAATCATTTTAAGTAGGACTCGAAGACTTAGGTGGGTCCATCCGATCCATCCAAGTCCATCCTACATCCGCTTCATAAATTATTCTATGGATAAGTAAACACATTTATTGGCATTTCTAAGTCAACAAGCCAGAGCGTCTACAGCATGCGCGGAAATCCACTCGTACGTTCTTTCTACGAGCTTTTTCGCTGTTTCCTCTGGAAGGTGGTTCAAATTGAACAGGCGATGCGGTTTTCGACGGCCGTCACCGTGTAGCCATGACCCCAGATCCGCGATGTTGTACCAGTCTCGAAGATTAGAGATCCTCTGCACCAGTCCTCCATACATTCCAGCAACTCCACCACTGTCATCTGATGGCGCAAGACGGTCCTGTTCTGCTGGTCCCTGCTTGTTCTCATTGGTGGAGGTTGAAGTAGTCGATGCAGTAAGCGCATCCGAAGAAGACTTGTCCTTATTCTCTTGTCTAGCAATTGGCGCTGGAGGAGTTGGCGCACGGCACATGGCATTCTTCATTTCATTAGTGAAGAGCGTTTCTCCAGATGAAGATGCGCTGCTCTGCAGTGTCTCTAGTTTAGCTATAACGGAGCCTACGAAGCAGAACCCTGGAGTTCCGTAGACATCTTGAATCTTTATCTTGTCTTTCGAGAATATCTTGCCTTGCTGATCATCATCATTGTCTTTTGATGATGCCTCCACGACTGCGTTCTGCTGTTTTGTGTAGTTGAATGCGCCAGCGCTGCAATGAATGAACAATACGTTGCTCTTGTTTTGTCCCGTCCACGGTAATTTCGAAATTGAGGCATCCGCAAAATGCAAAGCATAAGCGCTGTCAGCTGTGTTCCAAGAAATTTCGGTAACTCTGTGACCACGATACACTTGCCGCACGCGTCGCAGAATCTCTAGCTCTCGTCGGCACAGAGTGGCATCCTTAAATTTTGTCGGTATTGCTATTCTTGCGCTGTCTGCTGTATCCATCTCCATGCCCTTGTTGGAAAACATTCGGTATACTTTTTCTTGTTTTTCGAATTCCAGAAAACCGTTCTGGATAAACTCCAGGTAATTCAAACTCTTTTTGTTAGTATCTTTTTCCGGAAGATAATCTGAGGAGCGATCCGTTGCATCTTCTTTCGCAGCGTCTACGCAGGTTGCCAGTAACTCCATGCAGCTGCCGATGTTCTCTCTTGCTGTGATCCACATATCACTCGGCATTACCCACGCGATGTCTTCAGGGCGCACCTGCAACGTCTCTTGTAGGTACACCACGGAGTCCATGCCCGTTTTTCCTGCACCAATAATCACAAATTTTGTCGCCCTAGGAGTAGTCCCAGTGGTAGAATTGAGATTACCTGCTGCAACAACATCATCCCAAGTGGAGTCACCCTCATTCTCTGCCGTGTGAAATCCCGCAGAAGATGTCGGTGTCGCCAGGTCGTTGGGTGTAATAAGCTTGACGTGCTCCCGAGCAAATTTGAACTTGGGCGCGACGAAAATTGGCAAATCCGGTTCCAGGTAGCGTGCGTCAACCACTTTCCTAAGTACACGCACGCTCTGCGCGTGCCCCTCGGGAGATGCGCAAGACGGATCGGCTGATGCTGGCTCAACGTGACCACGTCGCACTAAAGTGTGAAGGCATGTTCCTCCTTGCATATCAACGTCGTCCACTTGCCGCGCAGATGATGAAGTAGGAAAGATGTACTCGTATCCGCCAAGAAATTGTAAGCTAAACTTGTCACTCAGCTTGTCTACTACGCGCTTGTAATAGCGCAGAATCTCCTCACGCGTGGCGCGATGTTTAGTTGGACTTGTTTTCAAACTAGTAGTAGACGCTTTAGTGTCGTCTACTTCGTCTTTCCCCGCATCTCCACCAGCTGTACTTGAAGGCTCAAGAGGCTCGCTCTCCACACCATACATGGCTGAAGGCTGGTGCAACCGGACGAAGGAATAGCTATCATTCCACTGTCCTCCTGGAGCAGCATGTTTATCCACGAGCAAGACGCGAGGAGCAGGACCTTCGCGCCACTCATGCAACAACGTATCGGCAAATGCCAGTCCAGTTGCGCCCGCCCCCACCACAAGGTAGTCACACTCTAAAGTGTTGCTCGTCGTCATGACTGTCATTTCCGAAATGAATAACAACCAAGTCCAACCTTACAACATCAGAACTCCCATAGGTAGACACTAACTCTAAGTGCTGGTGGAATCGCAAATGGAAACGACTACTTGGTGCATGCTATAGGTAATGAAGAAATCCCTACTCCTATTCCTCTTTGGGTTTGAGACTAGCTAGTAGCTACTGTTTTCCACAATAGAAATCTTCCTGCTCCACAAATAAAGAATTGGCATTTTCCACTAACGCCATCGTTTATGATCATGCTACGCTCGCCGAGCCAGCTCTAACAAGAAAATGCAAAAGTGAAAACAAGGAGTAGAGGGATAGAATATTCACGGAATGAAGGATCATTTTCTTATTCTTCGTCCTTGGTCGAGATCCCCACTAGGTAGGAACTCAGGATCTCGCATTGCATTTTTGCTGAAGAACGGTAAGAATGGATCATATTCTTATGATACGGATCACACATACTGTGCACTAGCATGGTATTCGTATTTTCCTGTTGTAGCATATACAAGGCAAGAAACAAGCAGTCGCTTGCGCATTTTTATCGATCCGAAGTTGGCGTCTATCGATGCCGATGGAGCTGCGAGAGAATCACTCTTCCTCATTCCTTGGATTGAACATCACGCCAGAAGGACATTAGGCACTTACAAGAGACGGCGTGGCAATTCCTAGGCCTTTTGGGAACGTGTCAAGGCATCGAACCAGTGACATCCGTACTCTACCACTTCAAGTACCCCTGCAAAAAATCCTCTTACTCTTTTTCTTGATATGATCATATAAATATGCATCCATATCAAATAAAATGCGAAGTAGTCTACTTGTACTGTCTTCTACAGATCTTCTTCATCTTCATGTTCTACGTCTATCGGGGGGTAGGTAATTTGCGAGAGATCGTAGCCACGGATAGTCGCCTCGTCGACGTACACGACTTGCTCCTCCGGTGATGGACGCCGTTTTACGTCTTCCAGTGTCGCCGTTTTCTTTTGGTATTCGGACAAAGCCATGTGAACTGCAACCTTAGCCAAACGAACCACCGAAAGTCCCGGACCCTGAGTCGCATTTCGCGCTACTTCCCATTCCTTAGAACTACCGCCTCTGCATTCCTCTCTTCTTATCTATTTGTCAGAGTAAGTCTGCTCCTACGTCTAGCTTCCATTTTTACAAACATAAGTAGCCAATAACATCTTCAAGGAAATTAGAGTTAGGGATGCATTTGCGGTAGTTGTCTTACATTCCCTTTTCGCACGAAACTCGTCTCCCCGATCTAGGGCACCGGGTCGTAGGATGTGTCCGATCATCTTCCCGCCAGAGAGAGCCCGCGCTACGGCTTCGTCCGCTAATCCTTGGTAGCGGGAATAGTAGGAAAAGGTCTTCTCCGCAACCACATCGGCAGTCGCATTTGCATTCGCTGCGGAAATGCGGCTGAAGATTGTAGGACCAAAGCGTGGGGCCTTCGCAGGAGGCACGTTGGCTGCGCGCGCTAGAAGGTAATTACGACGGTAATCGACTTCACTTAGCCACCTTTCGAACCCGGGACCAATCATTAGATCATGTCAAAACAACTCAAAGGGACGAATGCACTCACATATACAGACGTAGGATAGAGGCCTCACCATTTGTGACAAAGAACGACACCTTCTCCTATCATATACTCCCTCGCCGTCTTACTAGATTCATATTTATAGTTGTGCACATTGTCAGAAGATGACACATTTTACAGGAACGTTCAAATGTCCAAAAATAGAAATCATCTTTTAGTACTTCGACTCCCCTACTTCTACAACATTTTACTTCATGCATAATTGGTGACCAGTTTCGGCTGCCGCCGCAGCCATATCTGCTTTCACTTCAGAATTCGCGCGGCTTGTGCCCAACGCGGTAAAAACGATATTGACGCCGTCACCTGTCATCGTGCTGCGAAGAGCTGCCACCGTGTCCTCATCATCTGGCTCTAGTGGGGTAGATGCTGCTGAACCGGCCTTGCCGTGAAGGAAAGGAACAACACTGGGAGACCTTGCGAGGGAGCTTCGCCATTGGGTTAGCGGGCGCCTACTTTAACTCAATCACAAAAATCTATCTACTTCATGTCGTCCTTGGACATAGGCACACACTGTTCATTTCTCCAGATAAAAATCCAAATGGCATATCCCCTCAAAAGTCTTCTCCTGATGAAAACCAGCAGTACTGCATGATCATCATGCTGATGATTGTACATTTGTACTAGAGGTGGTGTTTGTTCTAAGGAGTCTATCCGTATCCGTTAGTAAGTACTACACCAGGTCAGTATAAGCGGAGCGAATTATCGAAAACGCCATAACTGGGCGTCGTTCCACAAATCCCACTCGTCCCAAATCAGTTTTTCGTCTACTTTACCCGTGCTTTTCCACAGCTCCGCTGTGCTCTTCTCTAACTCTCGCCATGGCCGCCGATTCAGGAGCAGGATCTTCTCGACCGCAGGCATTCGCAGCAACTCAGCGACAATATGCACACCCGTGGCACCGGTAGCACCGGCAACAAGACAGACCACCATCCTGATTTCTATTTCAGTCGTGGTCCTTCCTACTTTCTGATCACGCGCAGCACTAACCACGATAACAAGAGACACTCAGGCTCGCTCTTGTATTCGTAGATGGCAATTGATTGACAAAAACCTTAAAACCGAAACTACGTCTACGGGTTGGCGAACACCAAATTCATCATTTGCGCAAACCGCGCTGCATTGCAGCATACACCTGCCTACATGAAAAAATACTAGGTCCCACCCCTGCATACAACAGCTATCTCTTGCGGATCTTCTCAACGATCACCTCAGACATTCATCTCAATCTGTGGTCTATAGCTATACTCGATGAGACCACAAAACAATATAGTATATATAACAATTTTTGTCTTATGCGACTTCTACTAGCAGTATAATATTACATGCAAAAACAGTATGAAATATGTAGTTTTAGTTGTTGATGTTGTGTACTAGATATCAAGCAAGCATCATCCTGATCGTCTATTTCTCGTCGTTCCCCCACCCCGTGATGTTCTCGCGGGGATCGAAGAACCCGATTCATCCTTTTCTCCAGTCGGTCTTGGAGGTGTTCGCTGCCCAAAAATTTCCCGGAAGACGGGAACTTTTGATAAACTCAGCTTCCACGCGACATACCAAACAAAGGCTAGGAAGGCAAAGAAAATGCCAACCGCAAGCAACAAATTCGATATCGACATCTTCTTGATTATGTTCTTCGACGTAGTTGTCGCATGATGATGATTCGTCCTCGTTGTGGTCGTCCTTCTTATTTTTCAGCAAATATTAAGATGAATTAATGTACAGTAAGAATAATAAAGCGATGAAGTTTGCCGATTCCAAGTACCCAAAGGGTTTTCACATCAGAAATCGTGACGGCACAATTTTCTTTTTACAGTACGTTGTCGTGGTCAATACCTTCACCACGAATCAACCTGCACCCTCTGTCTTCAACCACTTGTAGTTGTTGTACTTTATTCTAACAAAAGCTAATCCTAATCAATGTGTACCTATAGCCATGCGCCTATATTATCATGTGAGTGCGCATCCGAGTTGTAGTGCTTCTAACAAGCTAGCTACTAATTGTCAGGCACCGCGCATTGATCCTGGTAAGACATTTCGTAATGTCTGTGTCCTTCCGACTCCGATGCTGACATGATCAACATCAAAGTTATATTGAATAAAATGGACCAACTACAAAGCACGCTCACGGCGCGTTGTGAATATAATAAATTCTCTCATCCACGTGGTCTGCACTCATTCCCCTCCCACTCATAGGCATCTTCTTAAAAGTTGAAAATCCTTTTGCTATTCCTTCCTTCCACTTTCAACAACATCAAAGCGAGAGTACCGCTGCAAAAATCATGCTACCAGCATGCACATGCACTCTGGTCCGGGTATCCGACTAAAACTATGTTGCTGCTCGCCATCAGTATTAGCGTTCGAACACGACAAACTATTCCTTTATACAAAGTATGCCAAGAGCCTGAGACTGACGCAAAGAAAAGAAAGGAGTTTCGGTAAAAAATGCGCAGACAAAACATCCTACAAAGTGTTTCATCAGAAGTTTCTCTACTTGTTAATTTTTTGCAACAATGAATGGGCGATTGAATGAGAGCATCAGCATGTGATGCTACAACGGTAACAGGAGCGGGCGATACAGCTCATTTATGTATTGTATGGCCATTCGCGACAATGTCAAAAAAACGGCTCATCCGATTCAGTCTGAGGTCCCTCATGCAACAAAAATAAAGATTCAGTTCCTTTCGTTTGTGGACATTTCGACCCAAGCCACGCTGATGCCTTCTTAGCTACCCAATCTGCGACAACGAGAGATACTGCGCCCACCTCACCGACGCCTTCTATCGTAGGACTTTCGTTTGGCGTAACCTGAAGATAATTGTTTTCTCGAATGCTGCATACTTGTTGCACTTTTGTCTTGTAGCACTTTTGTCTTGAACATAGTCAGGTGAAGTGGAGTTCTTTATCAAAGCCCTTCACTTTCACACGCGTCGTCTCAGCTTGAAAGGTATAGAACAAGTACAAACTTACCTCTTGCATATTGTTTCCGCCCCACATGTCTGAGCCCTCGCCGATGGCATTCATCGCCGGTGCAGGTTGTCCATCATCCATCGCCTCGTCTTCGGGGTTTGGTGACTCGTCGTCGTCATCAGGATCATCCTCATCTGCAAATATTGTCTTTATTCTTGATGTACGTGTACGATGAAGACCTGGCGAAAATGATTCCGAATTTTGAGAACCTGTTTGATATTCCGCCGAAGGACGTGCTGGTCCTCTCCTGTTGACAAAATGTCTTGATACATGCTTCAATGTACTGCTCGTTGTTGAGATCGCGTCGTCCATACTTGCTCCAGGAATTGTTGTCGTTGAAGAGAAACATGTCGCTCCGCAACATGTTGAATCCGATATTGGTTTTCGGCCCACAGTCCGCGAGAGACACCAAGACCAGAATGACGTTGCCCTCGTTAGAGGTCCCTGGCGTTGCAGGAAAGAATTCATTGATAACTCGTGCCGATCGGTCGACATTCGTCGACCGAGCAGCTGCTCGTGCTGCAGCTCTGCTGAAAGAAAAATAGAAGTATTCATATACATATTCGATTATGTTGATATCTCGCGTTGATGTTCTTGGAAAGGCCTCGCACTGCAGGTCCGAGTATTTTTTTAGCCTTAGTGTTTCGGAGAAAACACAAGTAAGAATTCGAAACTCAAAACTACCATATCAAAGGCTGTCGATAGTAAATGTTGCTCTGGTCCTTGAAATCCTCGATCAGGCGGACAAGACGATGGAATTTAATAATACGTTGATTATTTACAGCAGAGGAGTAGTGCAGCTGATGGGTCTAAGATGAACCGAGTGGAAGGACTGGGCATCTGTGGGGATGGGGCAACATGGCTAGGGTCGAAAAGTTTCATCTCATGTTCCACTTCAAGAGCGGTGAATGGATACTTACGAAGATGCTTCCGCCGACCTCGACATCCGATGCTCGACCTCGGATTGTCTTTTCACTCATCCATGACCGAGAGATCCTTTTTGCGCTAAAGACGAGCATCCAGCGTAACCGAAGCCGATCGGTCCGATCCAAATAAGCATACGAAAGGGCGCTCACCATCCTTTAGTTAACGGTGTTCCCCAAACGGATGACCACGCACCCCAACCTTGACCAGGACCGATAGGAAATGGACGTTGGTCAGGCAATAAGCTCTTTTAAGACTGGCTTCAACCCATAGACTATGCATGGCACATTTATCACGCATACGCAATTATTGAATCTAAGTACTTAAGTAAGCTCCTATCGAACAATATCAGACTCTGACATGTTTTTGCGTGAGAAAAAGAAGATCAAGATTTTTCATCAGGCACAAGCACTTCGAGGCTAAGTGGCCTAAGTCTAAGATAGAAGATGTTATGTATCATGAAGAAGAAGATAGACTGTAATGTGTGTTCAGCTGGGTTTGATGGTGTGTTGATTTCATCTTGGATAGGATTAGAAGGTCGTGACGCTGGAAAATTAGTATCATTGATTATGTATTCGAAAACGAATCGCCCGTTCTAAATACCTGTACACGTTTCTGTGCAAGTTAGTACTTACTTCTTTTTCCGCAAACGTATACATAGTTCTCCAGCTATCTAAATGGGATGTGTTCAATTTTAAGTGCTTACATACAGGGTATGGGATGTGTAAGGATTATGATCTTCAGAAAAAGAAATCTCGTTGTGATTATGATTCTTTTTTCAGCGTTGGACTTATATGGACAACGCTGCTCCGCCTTCGACTTGATTCCCTAGTACCTGGTTTCCTGCAGAACTAAGATCACCTTGTTGTATTTGATTTGTGGCTTCAGCTTCAGCGTCCGCGACCATCTTCATTCTGTTTAACAGCTCGTCTGCGTAACTGTACACTGGGTTCTCGATTTCGCTTGCGGAGTCCAACACTCCCGAAGTCTGATCCACGAGGCTCTGTAGGACAGCCGTAAACTCCAGCTGGGCCTCACTGCGCTGCCGTAGCGCTGTCTCCTGAGAACGCGCCAACTGGACTCGAAGCTCGTCACGCTCGTTTTCCATCAAAGCCACTTTTTCGGAGAGAGACTCAACCCTGACAGGTGGAAGCAAAACAAAATTCAAATTAAAAAAATGTTCAAAGAGTCCCCCATAGAGCCACTGCATGTGCATAGCTGCGCAAGTCATTCCGGACGCATACGAAAACCAGCCCCTTTCTCGATCTCTAAAGCAAAATCGCTGTCTACTTACTTCAGCATCGAATGAGCCAATTCCAATGTCGAATGAAATTGCAAAACAACAATTAACATCCAAAGCAATACCCTTCTGCAGATCCCCCTCCTGGCATTTTGAGTTTGAGTACGCGGTCTCGTTGGCTTGTCGTCGCATCCAAGCGGCCTCGCAAAAGTTCGTTCTCCTGCAGAAGCCTCCGAGAATAGGTGAGCAGTCTTTCCATGCGGAATTCCATGGACTGTGACCTGGGATACGCTGGATCTGCATTTGCTGAGCTAGATGCTTCCACAGCTGCATAGGCAGAACGAAATGCGCCTTCGACGGACCGTGGCTGCGCAAAAGCGATAGACGATGCATTCTTCTGAAATACGGAGCCCGTGGAAGCGGCACTAGGGGTTGCCCGACCTGGAGAAGCTCCTGCGGAAGAAGCGGCCGCGGACTGTTGAGACAAAAAAAAGCGTCTAATCTATTTACTTATAAAGTTTTGCCTTTGTTTTCTTTTCTTATTTTTGATTTTGATTTTTCTTTTTTGATTTTGATTTTTCTTTTTTGATTTTGATTTTTCTTTTTTGATTTTTCTTTTTTGATTTTGAATTCTCTTTTTGAATTTTGAATTTACATTTTGAATTTTGATTTTTCTTTTTATATTTTGAACTTACATTTTGAATTTTGAATTTACATTTTGAATTTACGTTCTGAGTTCGGTGCTTACGTTTTGGGCTCTAACCTTCGAAGTCAAGACATGAATTTGGAAAGTTAGGACATGAATTTTGAAAGTTAGGCCATGAATTTTGAAAGTTAGGCCATGAATTTTGAAAGTTAGGGCATGAATTTTGAAAGTTAGGACATGAATTTTGAAAGTTAGGACATGAATTTTGAAAGTTAGGACATGAATTTTGAAAGTTAGGACATGAATTTTGAAAGTTAGGACATGAATTTTGAAAGTTAGGACATGAATTTTGAAAGTTAGGACATGAATTTTGAAAGTTAGGACATGAATTTTGAAAGTTAGGACATGAATTTTGAAAGTTAGGACATGAATTTTGAAAGTTAGGACATGAATTTTGAAAGTTAGGACATGAATTTTGAAAGTTAGGACATGAATTTTGAAAGTTAGGACATGAATTTTGAAAGTTAGGACATGAATTTTGAAAGTTAGGACATGAATTTTGAAAGTTAGGACATGAATTTTGAAAGTTAGGACATGAATTTTGAAAGTTAGGACATGAATTTTGAAAGTTAGGACATGAATTTTGAAAGTTAGGACATGAATTTTGAAAGTTAGGACATGAATTTTGAAAGTTAGGACATGAATTTTGAAAGTTAGGACATGAATTTTGAAAGTTAGGACATGAATTTTGAAAGTTAGGACATGAATTTTGAAAGTTAGGACATGAATTTTGAAAGTTAGGACATGAATTTTGAAAGTTAGGACATGAATTTTGAAAGTTAGGACATGAATTTTGAAAGTTAGGACATGAATTTTGAAAGTTAGGACATGAATTTTGAAAGTTAGGACATGAATTTTGAAAGTTAGGACATGAATTTTGAAAGTTAGGACATGAATTTTGAAAGTTAGGACATGAATTTTGAAAGTTAGGACATGAATTTTGAAAGTTAGGACATGAATTTTGAAAGTTAGGGCATTCACTTTGAAAGTTAGGGGATGAATTTTGAAAGTATTTCGAAAGTTAGCGCACTTCTTTGCATGCCCTCTACGTTCACCCTCTAGCGGGTGTCTCGTCTTCCCTTCGACTCCTCTCCCTGGGGAACCTCTCCAGGGGGCTAGTGTATCTAGAACTAGTGTTTCAATTGTTTGCTTATCGACATATATCATGAAAACAAAGTAGTACTCGCCAATTATATCATCATCGTGTAAAGCATCAACAATCGTTCCTTTCTCCTCGCATAAAATCCTCTTTGATGATGTTAATGTATTTCTTTCACTGGTCAAATACGTAGTCATCTAATCATCGATCTGGATAAAAAGAAAGGAATTACCTCTTGTTGCGCTTTGAAAGCTGTCTTTAGAGTTTCCATTTGCTGTCGGTAGGTATTGAGCGTCTTGAGAAGTATCGTCTCATGCTGTCTCTGCATTTCTTGCATGTCTTCACATGCCATTTCTGTGTTGTAGTAATTATTTTCGTAGTAACCGCGTGGCAGTATGTTTGAAATGCTGTCGACCGCGTCAGCTGCTGCTCTCGACTTCGCAGAAGAGGCACGTCCTAGAATGCTACTAGCACCAGGAGGTTTTGGAAGAATATTTGCTCCAACCAGGTCGCCTCCAGGTGATGCTCCGTGTCCAATCTTCTTAGAACCAACTATCCAAACATAAATCGCAAGAAATTCTGATTCCCCCCACCTTCTACTTCGCTTATTTCGATACTGCCGCCTAGTCCTTTTCTTCAGGGATAATTATATATCATAATGCTGATCACAACTAATTACTCAATACAAGAAACACATTGAGAAGTTCTCAGTGCTTACGGGGGCAGTCTTAACATCATCACCCCCGCCAAGAAGCGGACTACGTGTCTTGGAGGCGGCGTCAAGAATCGCACGTTTTCTTGACGCAAGGTGGCCCCATGTTCGAATGATCAGCTGCTGGACGAAAGGCAGCCACATCTGTCTACCATTCCTCGCGATCATGCGATGCATCAAAATTGCAGCTCTTCTTCCCTGCTTTAGAAGAGCGACTACACGGAGTCAAATTACGTACTTCTGAACTGCTTGGTGTCAGGTTGAGCTTGCTCATATTTTCTCGCAAAAAAATCTAGTTTTATGCCTCTTCTAATTTTCTGAAGAATAAATATGAAAAGAGAAAAAACAACTCCATTTATTGTGGAGAAAACAAATCTTAGCATTACCAGAACTCATAACTGTGCAGCCACGTCTTTGCGCACGGCGAGCACGACGGCCTGTGTTTTGAAATGCATGGAAACAGAATCAAAGTCGAAAGTCAATTGGATGCATGTGATTCCGCCAACTGGTCAGAAGGGTTACGAGTCGTTGAGTCAAAGCACAGCTAGTTCTCTTGAGTCATTATTATCCTCTTGTAACTAAAGCTAAATCTGAGGACATCATTTGCATCGTCAATTGTGAGTATTACGATTACCCATCCCCTATAACACACACGCATCAAAGTTTTTTGGGAAAGTCGATTCTTGATAGCGCATTTGAGAACCCGCTGAGACTGTTGCATTTTGAGGGACACGTTCTCTACGAGCTGTTCTATTTCCGCGCGCATTCCCCCTACGCTAGCCTCGACCCGGGTCCGCACTTGCTGCGTTACCGTTGTTCATGAAGAAAGAATTTGTCTCCTTCACCCTGTAGTTCTTTTTTCTCATTCCTGTACGACCTCCAGTACTCCTGCGTAAAGAGAAATCTGAATTTTGTTATTCTTATAACTCTAGTTCTAATAGTTTTAGTTTATCACTAAAAATATAATAGAGCTTGCGAAGTGCGTTGAGTTCGCAGTTACTTCGTATCGCTCAAAAAGCGCGAACCTGGTTCATCGACAGTAGAATCGCAATCGGCCATATCTGATATAAATCCTGCATTTCTTCCACGTTTGGTTTCGTCTGATCGTTCGCCATTCGCCATGCAAGAAACGCCCTCATGGTGATCATCTTTCGACCCCTAATCAGATGCGGCACGTACATCTCTGCCAACTCACCTTCACTCATTCCGCTGTGCGCTGCAACCGGCGATGCTCTGAAATGGATAAAAACACGTTGAAAAAAATGAAAAGATGAGCTACAAATTAAGTAATCTTTCAACGAGAGTAATAGCAAAAACAAACAGAGGGTGAGGGCTAGACTCAATCTAGAAAGCTGTTATCCGTTATCTTCCTCCAAGAGATAGTCAGCAAGAGAAACGGGTCTAGGTGCAAGAGGAATGTACTCAAGAGACTTGACAAAGCTGTCTAGCTTGTCAATCATGTCTCCCCGCCGGAGCCGGTCGATCGCGTTTTCTTCTTCGGTCGCCATTTTGTATCTCTTCCGCGTTCGAAATTTTCGACAAAGTAGCAGGAGTAGATGTAGCCCTACGTCCTTTTTTAGTGCAGTCGAATCAGGAGCGAAATCCAGAAGTGTACCAACTACTGCAAGACGTTAAGCATGTCTCGATGTGCTTGCATGGTGACGGGCGGGAGCGCGTATCCAGCTACAACCAAATGGAAACGCAGGACTCAGTCGGCCTGTGCAGCAATCCGCTCGTCGTATAATCGATGTGAAGCCAACACAAGATAGATCAGTCTAGCGTTTCGAACAGCTAGGAGCAGCAGTGCTATGTGATACACAACTAGCTTTACTTACTTCTAAGCTTCCCAACGAAGTATAAAATCGAAATTCAGTCCGCGTCTACAACTACAACTTAAACAACTTTTATTTTGACTACTTTCGACCAGGCTATCACTTTAAAAAAATGTTATCTTTCATCCGCATTCTCAATTTTTAGTTTTACCAGTTTTGAAATGCTAGTAATGGGAGCGTTGTAGCAAGTGAAAGGCAACGCCAATCCAGAGATAACTATAATTACGTCTACTGCGGCGGGAGATGCTAGTCCTGATCGATGTTGCTGCTCTGGTAGAGAAGAAAGTAAAGAATATGCTCGTATGTAGAGGAGTAAAAAAATGTTGTGAGTAGTTCGATTTAGAGTTCTTGGGAGACCACCAGGACACTTTACTGGAAACACGATGGGTAGCGCAGAATCCACATTTTAGTTGGTGATGTTTTGTTCTTAAGCTCTCTTCTTACGGTAATGTACAAGGACCGAGAGATTCAGACCGAGGCAGTTTGCAAAGGAATATCTTGTTAGACCACTGTTGAATCGTCCGCGTTTCAAATGATCGATCATAGTAATATTTCACCGACGTCGGCGTCGCTTCTTTTGCTCATATTAATTTGACCGACATCGCATCCTACTTGATGATTCACATCTGTATGTTTCGCTTCATTACTTTACACGCCTGAGACGCCGACTCTACAGATTCTAGTGAAGGAAAGGAACTACTAGCGACTCGAATGTCTTGATTTTGAACAGGCGGTTTGAAGCCGCTCGCAGTCCTAGTAACAGCATGCAAATACTTTCAGCAGAAGCATCTATATATTTTTGTCTCGGTAGCCAGAGCTGGACGTTAGAATTAGAATTAGAAGTTATCTGGCTTGCGATCTTCCTGGAGCCATGGCTCCAGGAAAGCTGAGCTTGGAAACATTGCATTTCACGACAGACGACAAAAAAAAAACGCGGGATAGCACAGAAAGACAGCGAAGGATAAATACAGATGAGGTACCGGAGGAAACTGATACAACTTGATGTGATTTAACTGATGATGAGTGAAGGAAACTAATAAAGGAGACAGCGGACACTTTGCCGGTGATACTTGTGGTGATTTCATTTTGGGGCTTTTTGTCTCCGTCTATTCAGACACTTCAAAGTGTGTCAGAGTTCGGGAAACTTCTCACTCTACTTTGTACCGAAAGTCCAACGATCACATCATGATACCAGGACGCGAAAACACTGCGGCAAGCTTACTTGATAAGAGAAGAACGCTACACTGACTTCTATGCATATGTTTTTTGGGTAGTAATTCAGCTCCAACGTTAGAAGCTCAAGTAAACGTTAGAAGCTCAAGTTCAAGCCGGGAAAGTTGCCGGCTCTTCCACAAGAAATACCATGCATGCTTGCGTTCCTGGCGTCAGTGTTGTCAAGAAAGAAAACCGACATACATCATACATGAAACATATAATTTATACCACATCGCTGATTGATTGATTGATTGATTGATTGATTGATTGATTGATGTGCCTGGCATGAGGTCGATGTTGAAGAGTTTATTGTTTATTGAGTTTGAGGGTTGATGTACCTATAGTAGAGGTGGTAGCGTAACAAAGATAAACACTTTAAACAACAACGAATATCCAGTACTGAAGGTGAAAATGCCGCCAGGTGACGAATGCAAAACACTCCATTTTAGCGACCGCAAGGTGAGCGGCATTATTAAATATCTGATAACCACAAACCACCAGGCCACAATCAACGACATGATGATGACCAAATCAAAACGCTGGACTAGTGCTAGCACTAGGAGTAGTAGTTGCAGCCGTTCTCCTTGTAGTCAACATATTCGAGAGGTACTTTTCCTATTCCTGCTCTTCTCATCGATAATTATTATCATTGATTCTCATTCATAAGCTTTGAAGCAGAGAACTGTGCTTGAATCTGACTGTAATCGTAATGCACACCTATCAAGGAGCTTACCTCCACTTGATTCGCATTAATCATAATTATCATTAATTTTAATACTCATTATGATTATTCGTATTTCAATTACGCGGAATATATAATTGCACGAAGGGATAAACCTAGGTTAGAATAAGAGGAAAAGCAAGCCCCCGGGTTGTTTTATGTAGTGCTTTGGGCGTCGCTGGACCTAAGCCTTCGCCTTTTTACAGGCAAAAGCCAGTCAAGATTTGCAGCACACCCCTTAACTGTTATGGGAGGAGGTTACTTAATTATTTTTTCGGATGCATGCTTTTGCTTCACAAAAGCGTCTATAAAGAATAGTCACTTTTTTACTCACATCTTCATCATGCTTTGCTCTACTCAAGTTTTCCCTTACACTCCCAGACCTGGCACTACAGAAAATGTTTCTTTTTATCCACTCAGATCAGTGCACAAGCCTCAACAAAAGAACGCGCAAGGAAAAAGGGCAACAGCGCAATATATTCACATTATAAGACGAAGAAGATTGGCCGCACAAAATTGTCCTTAGTGCTTTCAGCGTCGTTGGGCCTAAACCTAACTACCCTTTCAACTATCATGCACGGTTTTCAACTACTTCTACTCTGAGATATTACTACTCCGAGTTATCAGTCAAATACTACCACTGCCGTTATTCTTTTCTTGGCTGTCAAGATCCACCTTGGCCTATCTCTTATTTCTTTGTTTAGATGTACTACTAGACCTAGTAGACCTTACCACTACACGACCTCAAATTATAAAGGAAATATCACCTCCTCTCGTGCAACTTTATCTGTTCCTGTTGAATCTACGAGGATTTTAATAATGGAGTGGATCTCTGGTGAAGTGCATCCCAGTCCTACGCCGTCTCCGATGTCGTCGGCTAGCACTACAGAGTGCCACACACAGGCTCTCCCAGTATACTGCCCCCATCACCACCAGAATGGCGCCACGCATCATTCCCAGACGTTTTTTCATCCCACCAAGTACGGTCCAAACAACGACAATGCCACGCGGCATCGGGTAACCCTTTGTAGCACGGTGCACAACAACGGGAACGACAACAGCATTGGCACCGGCAGAGTAGGCAATGCACCCAAACGGAATCGCCGCATGAATAACCACACGCTATCGACGCGAGGTCCATGCTGAATAAGACGACCACCAGAAAAGCGGCAGCTAGCATGAATAGGTTAAGCGACAATTTCGTAGGTCCCATACGATATTCCAGAGAGTAATTGCGGCCCGCAATCGAACTCGCGGGGTAGAACGCGTCGGCCGCGTTGTTCCAAGCCGTCAACGAGAAAAGCCGATCACTCAAATCATCCCTAGGGGATGAAAGCGTCCATCCGCATTGTGCTGCGAGCTTCTCCAAATCCCCGCGGTCGCCTTTCGTACGTTTCACTGCGTCTTTTCCGGGCGCCCGTTTGTCTTTGCGTTTCTTATTACTTGCCCTTGCTAGCCCTTGTTGGCCCAGACTCTCCTGGTCCGCCTGCTGTTTCGCCAGCAGGGCACTCTTCAGTTGCTCACAAGGGTGGTTTTGCTCCGCATTGATAAGCGCCCAATCTCGAATCCACTCCCCATAACCGTCGAGCCGCGTCATCGTCCCGCATATCCGGGGATTCAGTTCCAGGGTCACCGGCTGGTCCAAGTTGCCGCTGCGATACTTAAGTTCGAAGCAACCGAGGCCGCGGTAGTCCAGTTTTACCAGGATTTTCTGCAGTTTGCGGGCCAACGCGGGGTCTGTATCAATCCGCGAAGACGACGCGTAGCCTCCGTGATGCGCGATCACATCATTTTGAGCCTCGGAATCTGCCACCTCCCGGACCTGCCGCATTTTCAAATACGGCGCGGCTTCGTCGCCTGCGTCGAACACGAAATGGAAGGAGTCCTCGCCAGGCGATGAGATGAACTCCATGGCCAAAAACTTGACCTCCGGATGTGCTTCAAGGTGCTGGATCGCCTCTGCCAGTGAATTGACTTTTCTATACAAGGCAGACACCAGTGGCCCACCCTGGCCGACCGCCGGCTTCAGCATCCAGGGGGCCTCAGGAGAGGGCGGCCGTAGTGCCCTCTGGGCGCTCCTGCGCAGCGCATCACCTTGCCTCGTTTCCGTTCTGTGTTCGTCTTCGTCCTCGGCCAGAGCACCACCGGGCAGGAATTTCGGGTCCTTGGAGTCACGAAATCTTAGCAACATTTGAACAGTGCACTTGCCCCCCACGAATGCTGGCCATATCCTGGATTTCGGGGTCCGCGGCAAAGTCCGCGAAAATGTTTTCCATCATTTCTTTTTTGTTCACGATTCCGCTCCAGCGCCTCGCGGTATTCGAATTTTCGCTCATGCGTGGCGCCAGGAGCTGGCTCTCTCCTAGTGAGGCCAGCCTCTCCCCGTGACTTTCGTATGCGCCCATGGTCACCTTGAAGATCCGAGGATCCGAACGAATTTGCGCATTCACGGCGTCCATATCCGCGTAGCCAGCACTTACAGGCTTCACCATGTGCACATTTGCGGCGCGCAGTTTCTCACACGCGCCAGCGATCCGCGCCTTCTCGAAAAACCATCCATCCGAGAGAATATATAAATTCACCCGCCCGTCGTCGTATCGCGTGTACACCGCTGCATGCATATAGATCCAAAACCACGCCAAAAATGCCATCAGAGTAACGACCACCAGGAGAGTGACACAGATCACTTCCTGCCTCCGAACTACCGTATCGCGAGACCATATGTGGCAAGAGTTAGAGTTGTGCTTTTTGTCGGTGTCCCTCCCACTTTCAGATTCACTCCTGCTGGTCGCGCTGCGCGTACCTTCTGCCTCACGCTTCTCTCTCAGTAGCGGTTCCCTGTCGGCAGGAGCGTGGCTCTATGTATTAGCAGTGCGCAGCTTTTCATCATTCAGACATGAGCAGGTAGATTCTCTCTCCCTCGGCGCAGGTTCCTCTTGAAGTCACGCTCAAGGGGCCTGCCAGCCAGAGAAGTCGACCCATCACGACACTGGATTGCGAGAGCCTTCTCCCGGTTCATGTGACTCGTCTTCCATTTGTGCCCTCATCTCTAGCGCGCTGTGTGCACGTGTTAGTTACGTCTTCTTTTACTTTGTGTCGCGAATGTTACCACGAAAATCAAGTGCCGTGTTCCCTCTTCGAATTCCGCTCTGCGTATTGTGAACGCACATACATACTTTAAATTAAGGCTGAAAAGAAACGACACTCTTTGCGAATTTGTTAAACCAAAATGTAACCCCTCCAGTTGCATGCGAAACAATCAAGACAATTTTCTACAGTAGCAGTAGATTCTTAACATAGGACTTATGACAGAGCAACTTATAAGGTCTCACAGCTCGCATGGCATGGAGTGCATGGATCACATGGAGCTAAAGGGGGAGCTTCTTGCGCCCCTTAAAGCTCTGTGCTCCATGCTCTGTTTTAAGCGTCGCTGGACCTAAGCCAGTCCCTCCAACATCAAGGGAAAAGCGATCCTAAATTTGCAGCACGCCTCGTACTTCCTAAGGTATCTATATGTTGTAACGTGCTCCTATGACATCTAAAAGTGCCTGATCTTTCTCCCTGTAGAGGAGGCTGAGGTCGAGGAGGGTAAGAACAACGGACATGTCACTCACACTCACTCTCGTTTGGGTACTAGTCTGGCAGCAAGCAAAAGACGAGGAAACAAACTAAGAAGAAAAACACATTGTCGAGCTAAATAAAGAATCAACAACGACCCCTCCAACCTCCGAACCAAACACACCCGAGCCAAACAAACTTGAACCAAAAACACCGGAACCGAAAACACTCACACAACAAAACCAGGAACCTCTGAACCTACGCCCTTTTTAAGAACCTCTGAACTTATGAGCTCGCAGGCGTGGCATGTCATTCACCAAAGAAATGTCGCCACTCCAGCCAATACGCCAGCCATGATGTGTAGCCAATCGCGACCGCAGACGATTCAACTCAAATTCTCCTTCGTTCTAGGCGATAAAAGTAAAAGCTTTGCGGTAGCTATTTTGCGCAAAAGCAGCAAAGTTTTTGACTTTATCAACGAAAATGAAAACTTAAACTTTTCAAATACAACAACTCAAATCCAAAAGCTCAGACCTGAGACCTCAGGCCCAAGACCTCAAGCCGAACACTTTGAATCCAAAACTTCGAGTCCAATCCTTCAAGTCTAAAACTTCAAAGCCAAGACTTCAAGGCCAAAGCTTGAAGTGCAACGCAAAAAATCTCAAGGCTCAAACCCACGACTTCAAGTCGGCCAAGACTTTAAGTCCAAGACTTCAAATCCAAGGCGTGGCATGTTATTCTTTCACCCAAGGCCGCCACTCCGGCCAACGCGCTGCCCGTGGTGTGCGGCCAATCGCGACCGCAAGCGATTCAATTTGAATTCTAGGCGATAAAGCCAAAGGCTTGGCGCAATAGCAAATTTCTTGACGTTATCCAACAGAATGACTTTTCAAACTTTTCAAATTCAAAAAGAAACCCAAATCCAAAAACTCAAACCTAACGCCACAGATCCAAGACCCGAAGCCAAAAACTTCAAGCCCAATACTTCAAGTCCAAAATTTCAAAGCCAAGCACCCAAGCCACAAGCTTGAAGTCCAACGCTTCAAATCCAAACCCAAAGTCTCAGATCCAAGGTTTCAAATCCAAGACTTGAAGCCCAAGACTTCAAATCCAAAATCTCAAGCCCAAGTCTTCAGACCTAACTTTTCAAGCCCAACATTTCCAGGCGAAAGCTTCAGCTTGCCAGCCCAAAGTTTCGAAATCAAAAAGCCAAGCCCGAAGCTTTACGCCTAGCGCTTCGCTGAAGCTCAAACCTTCACACTGAAAGCAGACACGGTCTTTAAGCTGCAAGCTAAAAGCTTCACACTCGCCCCAAGTCTCCACCTCAAGGACTTAAATGCAAGGCTTTGCAGTCAAGACATCCAACCCAAAAACCTGCACGACATTCAAAAGCAGGCAAGCGCCACTCTAAGTTTGAAATATCTCAGAAACCTCAGAGAGGCGGCCTCCTCTGTGAAATTCCGTGGCGCCTCTGTTGCGACTCCAACGACTCGAAAAAACGGGAGAGCAGGGCACGCCGGTAAATAGACTAGTAGGCGACATTAACTACCGATTGTATATATAAAGAACAGAGTCTGACAAGTTTGGATTTCAACGTCCGAAAAGCATGGCCATAGTCGAAAATCTCAAAGACCGCATCACACTCAGGACCGACGCATGGATTTAATCTAAATTTCACCTGTCGCAGGGTTGTTTCATTGACTAAGGAAGTTATCATCGGAGCAGGCTACCCTCCTGAACTGTTGGAAATAGCGAGGACTTCCTAAGGTGTAAAAAAAATACTCATTGCCTCTTGCCTGTAATGTTGCGAGCAGAAGGTTGACTAAATCATCTTAGCAAATGGATTTTACATTTTGCTTCACTCAACCACGATTGGACGAAATCACGGCCTTCGTCTGTATTACCTCCACAGACTACAGACACGTTGCGACTCGTCGGTGACATCAGACACTGCTTAGTTACTGCTCTCTTTGATGAATTCGATTTATTCAGGAGCTAACGTACGTTATTAAGATGCTTACAACTCTCTTCATCTGGACACGCTTCGCGCAAAGTTAAGCTACAGACCTGAAGTTGCAAACTCTCCCGACGAGAACAAAAGCCAGACTCTCTGTTATACGAACAGATTCGCGAGCGCTCTGCTCTGCTTGAGTGCTTAATGCAATCGTTGACCGAGAGCCCTGACGAATGGAACAGATCCAGATGGGCGAAGCACGTTTTGCCTGCAGGCCAGCACTTCAGACTAGCCCACAGGACCCCAGTGCGAAATATGGAATAACAATGGAAACTTGAAGCACGAGAAAGCTCGCCCTTCGCACAAGGGTCCGGGGGAGCAGTTGTAGTGTGAAGTGAGGACAAGTGAGGGAACAATTGCGGTGACGGAAATGGTTCGCGATCGCGCCTGGTCTGAAAGCGACCGCTAGGGCGGTGTAAGAGCAAAGGCTCTTGCATAAAAGGCGAGGACACCGACAGAAGGATGCCTGCGACCGAGAAAGGCGCCCACGCTTAGGGAGAGAAGGGAGGGTGAAAAGAAGAGAAGAGAGAATGGCGAAGTGATAGTGAATGGTGAGATGTGAGACTAAGTCACTGTGTGAAGGGAAGGGAAGAGAAGAGAAGTGAACTGCCACGACTGACCGATGGCGCCGCGTGTAGGATGCGCGGCCCCCAAGAGAAGTGAATACCGAAAGACCGACTCCTGTCCCCTCAAACGCAAGTGTCTCGCTCAAACCAGCATAATCGTACGGCTGCGCCGTTCTTGCAAGTCTGGACTTTTCAGAAATACTCTAGCTTTTACGCACGGGTACGGGAGTCGAAGTTCACCTTACTTTGAGACAGTACGCAGGCAGTTGCTGTTACAACTTTTGGAAACAGGTAACAAGTAGTGCCGAGGTGCAGCAGCTGCAGCTGCGTGCGAAGTTTATAATAGGATAGGAGCAGCACCATGATCAGTATAATCATCATTTTTTTGATAAATAAAGCAAACAATTTAGATAGCTGCACATACAACACGCTGCCCCGAACGCCGCGCACACTGTTAGGATCCTAAGTGCTTTCATCCTGTGACTTCATTGAGCGAACGAGCTCTTGAGTCGTCAGCGCAACGAACTACTACAACGAAAAAGTAGTACAAATACATCCGATTCCCCTTCTCGGGCTCACCAGGAAGCCGAACAATAACATGTACGCAAAAAGTGACGCCCACAGGAACAGAATTTGCTTTCATCCCGATCGTTTGATACTTCTAGTTTATATTCTCAGACGCCTCAGGAAGAACAGCACCATGGACTCGATTGTGAAATATGATCGCACAGCTTCAAGAAGGCATATTCTAGATGCTCGATTCCAAAAGATACTGCATTGTCCTACATCTTCTAATATGCTGGAGCACCTGATGAATGTGAATACCTAACTACGACGACTTTGTTGTACTGCAACGGACAACTGGTCCCATTAGTACACAATCATGGTGTTCGTTGTACCATCAAGACACACACAACAAAACGTGGTCGCGTCTATCTTTAATAGGGTCGGCTTATTAGCAGGGTTTGCAGTACTACTTCTAGGACTGCTAGGTAGCCGCATTCGGTTGCTCTCTGAGGGAACAATTGGCGCCCGGATCTCGTAATGAGTTGCAAGAACTCGAAAGTTGCGGATCAGCATCCGCCTCCACAGCAAGGGACTCGGCACTCCACGAGCCCCCACCGCCAGAATTTTCCCGCAATGTCCTGTTTCTTTCAAGCTTTTGCCGCAGCGAATCTCCGGGATAAAACTTAGATTGATGGAGCAACCGCTTCGCAAGAATCTGTGAACGAAACAGCAAAAACTATTACGGACCGGTCTTCGCCTTCTAGCGCTCGGCCAACATCGCCATGGCCATCATTGTAGTCAAATTAAATACTCTAAAACTAGTAGTAGAACTTAGACTCACAGCACTAGTAGAATCTTCACGTACTACGACTGATTCTTAGCCTGCTTACTAGAAGCCACTAGTCAAATGATCATAAAGAGTTCAACGGCTGCACTCCCCGACGTTGAGTGCGGTTCTTGACTTTCGCAGCCATCTGAGCCGAATAGATTCGTTTGAGGTCCCGGTGGGTCAGGTAAATCTCCGAAGAGCAACTCCCTATGATCCTGCGCTACTCGCACAAAGTCCTCGTACTCTAGAGAAGCCAGCAGATAATCGGCGCACATCAGGGGATTGCTATCTGCGTTAATGTATATTGATACTCATCGAGTGGTATTTCAGAAATTCCTTCACATAACAAATTTTTGCTACTCCCCCATACACATAGACTCTATCAATTTAGATTTCGATCGTCCCACCAGTCTATTGCGGGCCCCTGTCGCGGGATCACCAGGGATCGCGACTAAAAATGTTGAACTTCGTCCTAGGCGGTCAGTAACAAATAACTAGTATCGCTCTCCCTTATGACTCGAGGCACAAGATAGACTTGCTTCCTAAGTATCACCAGTACCACTAGAGGACGAAGTTCCGATAAATATAAGTAGCATTATCATGACCTTCAATTTGGCGGAGAAAAGTATCGCCGAGAAAATGCAAGTCTTCCGAAGTGCAAGAGTCGAATGACGAAAGAAGGCCTTCGAGAAGCAGACCATATCGTCTGTAGCTCAGATACCATTCATGCGGAAAGTCGTCAACCCGACTGTCAAATTTCTGAGAGGGGTCAACAAAGAAATGGAAACTTAATATTTGACAGAGACAGTAGTCGCTCTTAAGGAACCTTCCGAATAGCGGCAATAGGGAGCAGACGTAGCGAGGGGAACATATAATTATCGCGTTGTAACTATGGGTGTTAAGCTTTGAAGCGGAGAGAACAGGGCTAGAAACACGAGCCGAAAAAAGGCCCACTTCGCCAGACATCAATAAAACGCAAACACTATTACGACCAACACCAATTCAGTAATTGTCATTGTGCTCGTTCGGGATCTGAGTACCAACCAGGATGAAGATCAGCAGTAAGGCCAGCACTAAGATCATGACGCCAAGGCCCAACACGATCAATATCAGGACGGGTACCCAAATGATCAAGCTCAAGCCATAGAGATCCAGCAAAAAGATCCCCAGGGCTCTGATGGCTGAAAGGACCAACCGATTACGAGAAAGAAGCGACCGCCATCGCCTACGCTTCCGCCTGTGCCTTCAGGTTTGTCATCGTCGCCGGCGACTAGGCTCATCAATCACGCCGCTGAGGCTATCACGTACTTGGACGGCTTTCATAGTCTAGTGCACTTACATTCGATAAAAGGCCCCTCGCTTCTTAGCTTTCCAAAAGTTTTAGCTTGCCGCTACCCTTCTCACCCCCGTCGTCCATATCTTCGCCCCCTTTTCTGTTTGGTATATCGTAGACCATGCCATAGGCTTAGGACAAAAGTGGCATCCAGAAAGACCGCAGAAGCCCACAAGGAGGCTGCAGACGGCAACATTCATGCGGGACTTTGTTCGTTGCCGCAATGAGGCGGAGCTCGGAGCAAACCAGGCAGAGCCTGCCCGAGATGCAGGAGGCCGCCGCTATCATGCAGAGCCCGCAAGCCTTGGCTGAAACGCAGAGCAAGAACGTGACCGAGCTCATGAAGCAACAAACCGAGCAGCAGAACGAGGCCCAGACATTCGCAGCGAAGGCGCCGAAGCTTGCGAGTGACGAGGGTACCGCCTGGCGGTAGCAAATCGATGGCGAGCTTGATCGTCTTCGCATTCGTGGGCGAAAGGGCTAACAAGATGCCTAAGGGCGGGCCGCATACTGATACTTGGAGCGAACAAGAGCAGCGCAAAGCAACGGCACTTGAGGCGGAAATCGAGCGTCAAGGTCGACTAAAATAAGAGAAGAGCGAAGCGCTTACCCTGGTAAGCAACCGCGAGGCGGGGCCCTTGGTGGAGATGCTCAAGGCGTTACGAATATAAGCGCACGAGACTACGAACGCCGCCGACTACGAACACCGCCCAAGTACGTGATAGCCTCAGCGGCGTGATTGATGGGCCTAGTCGTCAGCGACGACGACAAACCTGAAGGCACAAACGTGGGCGATGGTTGTCGTTTCCTCCTCGTAGTCAGTTCCTTCAGCCATCAGAATCCTGGCGGTCTTGCTTCCTGGTGAATCTCTATGGCTTGAGCCTGATAAGCTGGATCCTCGTCCTGATCTTGATCTTGAGCCTTCGCGCCATGATCTTCGTGCTCACCTTCCTGTTGATCTTTATCCTGATACTCAGATCCCTAACAGTTCTAATTATTTCCATTGCTTAAATAGTTGTTTGTTTCTTTCTCCAAGTTGTACCTCCGATTCGTTCTTGAAAAAGTCGTTAATCGCTGAAGTGAAACTCGGGTCTGCACAAAAGTCCTCCAACTTCGCCAGAACCTCAATAGCGTGGTCTCGCAGTTCCTCTGACCCGCTGCCGTCGAAAGCAGTGGATGATGACGCTCCACCTGCCTTCTCTGGCATGTTTTTCGCCGACTCCACCTTATACTTCAAGTACTGCACTTTGTCCTACTCGTGGTGCGCGACCAGCACCAGGGCGGATACAACTTCTCCAACTAGTACAGTTACTATTTGTTCCAGCAACCACGGCAGAAGTTGACGGTATAACGGTGGAAGGCGAAAATTTAGACGGCACAGACGTAATTCTGAACCACTGGTACTCCTGAGAAACCAAAATCAAAATCTTACTTGGTGAGCGAGAAGAAAGTGCGTGGACCCGCGGCCCGAAGAAGGTGACTTTCCTAACTGCATTTACCGCCACTGAAAGCCGAGAGCTGCCGGACCATCCCGACTAATCGCATTCTCTATCATGTAATTATGTGCTGAACCTAGTACTAGCAATATCGAACATCCTCGCCATATTTACAATGCATCGTCCGCCTGCTCGCCTCCAATCCTTGCTCACGAAACTTGCAACCGTTTACTTGTTGTCATTCAAATGGATTGAAGAGAATAAACCTTAAGTAAGTTCATTAACAGTTTCTGAATAAAGTGAAAAGCATCATCATTGGCAACTTCCGTCTACTTGTGCCGCTGGATCGTGCCATGTCACGATCTTTACAGCGAGCCCAGAACTACGTTAGATTTACTTTTGCCAGCCTTCCAACTGCTTTATTTTTGCTTTGTTGTGAGTACTTCGTTTTCGCTATACTATTCTCCGTTCTGTTTCTCTCGTTCCTCGCGGTGACACAAATCCTGCGAAGCTCAAGCCCCCCAGAGAGTACCACAATCCATGTGGACTCCCCAAAGAAAGCTGCTAGGAGGTGCTGCAGAACCAACTTGAAGAATATTCACTACCAGTGTGTCTGCCCGTCTACTTGAAAAAAAATACGATGAAAAGATCAACATTTTTCAGCAAAATCGTTGAAATGACAACGAACATCCATGCAAAGTTTTTTTGAAGAAGTAATTTGCTTTTTTTCCTCTTCGTTGTCGTATCCGGATAGACCCATTCTTCGCCGTATATTAGAGCTGAGGGTACCTTCAGCGTCACAAGAGCTAGAACGAGGAGTTGTTGGCTGGAAAGATAACATTCAAGATTTCTTCTCAACCACTTCTATTTCAACTCATGGTCAAATCCAAACGCGCGATAATGGTGTGTAGCCCCGCCGCGAATCGTAGAGGCTTTGCCTGGAGAACATGCGTGGCAAGAAGGGTTCTACCGTGCCGCTCGAACCCTCTAGCACGTCCAAGCACTCCTCCACGCCCTTCATCGCAGAACGAAGCGTCGACACGGGGAAGATGACACAACTGTAACCCATATTTTCAAAAAGCTGCCTGCGATATGTAGAGCGTCTGCCCGAGCTCAGTCATGTTTGCTAAGAGGTGTGGCGGCTTCGGAAGCGCATGCATGGCCTTTGCAAAAGGCTCGAATTCCTCACGCGCTTCCAGCCCCTCTGGAAAAATCATTTCCGCGCCAGCGTTAACATACCTATAAGAATTGCACGTCAATAGACGAATAATATTCCGACATTAGGAGAGTTTAGTCCCTCTCCAGGATTGGATCGGTGGGCACGCTTGGCACGCTGGGCCGCTGGGCGGCCCAAAAGTGGGTCTTCTGCGAAAGATGTCGCCCACCGTGAGACTTGGGGTCAAAAGTCGGGGCGTCCTTCGGGCGTCTATTTCTGAAGCTCCCCGGCAGAGTAAGCGCGTGCGCCCTGGATCCGCAGCAAGCTGCACACGAATCGGGGCGCCCACCTACTGGCCCGCCTGGAAATATCCCTCAGCAGCACTGGCCGCATATTGCAGCAGAGCACTGAGGCACACTGCAGCGCCGCGCCACACTCTACACACCCAGGCGGCACTGCATACAGCAGCGAAGCACTGCAAGCAGCGAGAGCGTGGCCACTCCGCAAAGGAGCACAGCGCCGCGCCGCCCTCGACTGCGGCCCTGTACATTGGCGGAAGCAGCGGCGCAACGCTATACGCGCCCAGCGTGCGCCCACCGTGCCCCCCATGTGTGCCAAGGGTCCGCCCACCGTGCCAAGCGTGGCCGCCCAGCGGCCCAGCGTCGCCCACCCCACCTACCTTCCCACCGTCTATAAACTACTCTACGATATTCATGACGCATGTTTTTTGGCACAAGACAGTGCCTCGAGCAGTCTAGTAGTACAGATGTCGACTTTGTAACTGAATATTTGTCCACATTTTATGAGATGAAAATTGAGCAATATCCGAAAAAACGCAGTAGCTCGTGTGACTGCTTCGTCGAAAGATATGACGCCCCTACCATCCGCCCTCGGACATATCACAAATTCGCCACCTGGGTGCTTCTTCGACGCATTTATCGCGCGGTCCAGCTGATCGACCATTTCCGCCTGCGAGATGAGACTCTTCCCCTGTAGGTGCTCACACCGTTTCGGAAAAACCTGGTCTTCCAGGTGCAAGCAAGCAGCACCGGCGAGTATTTACTCGACCGTTGTCCGTGTTACCACCTCGGATTCCCTAAATCCCGTGTCCGCATCGCATATGCAGTTAAAAGAAAAGAGCGAACCCATCTTGATGCGCGTGTCTACGCCTGCATGACGTTGTCGTTCATGGTAAAATGAGTACTAATCAAGCGAGACCTATACACCAGCAGACCCTTGGGTAAGCACATAATCAACGGCAAGCCACTAGCCAACACGATCTCCTTGGTGAAGTGGTCCAACGTCAGCATTCCTATATCGGGCACGCCGGCCGAAGCTGTCAGGGCCGCGCCACTGACGTAGGCCGCTGAAAAACCTTTCTCCACCGCAATCCTACCTGCCAAACCGCAGAAAGCCCCTGGCACAGCGATGCACTTCTGAGTGTCCACCGCATGCCGCAAAAGCCACCCATATTTCGATGACATTTCCTGACAGTTTTGAGGTCTCTTTAAATGTGGAAAGGGGTTCCAGGCGCAAGGTCGACAAAGGCCTACTTGCTCAAGTGCAACGAATACCTCCTACCAGAAGATTCTAGTTATAATCGGGATCGGGAACTCAGTTAGTGTTACAAATCAATAGGTCCTGGGCATGGTCGTTGAAATTGGGATCGCGGCCACACGGCATGTCCATCGCGGTAGAACAGACGGAAAGAACGGACCGATCTGACGCTCCGCGCTTCTCTAGTCTACTGCGACATCGCGAGTCCATGCTTTAGGCTACTTCACCTTCGCTCCATCTCACCTTTACCTAGCATTCAAAGGAACGAGCGGATATGACCAGCCAGCGAAAAGCAGGAGGAGGGTCGAGCCGAAGCTCTTGCTACTGCGACTCATGCTCAAGTGACTTTATTGGGCTTCTGTATTTTGGATTTAAAGGCAAGCTAACCTGCTCATACATCAATCATGCTCTCAATCAAGAAATGTAACAACTCAGTCACCATACGAAAAAAAGATCTCTTTCTTGTAGTTCACGGTTGACTGCCATAACCTACACCGAAGCACTGCGGCTCGGCGTCAATTTCTCTAGTAGTAGTAGACTCTTAACGAAAATCATCTTCGAGACTTACCTGGAAATCATATTTATTTTGTTGATGTAGCAATGAGTGAGAAAAATGTTGACCCTGGTCACCGTGTAGTTCTACTATCATCTCCTTCTTGTGCTTGTATCCTAAGCACAATATTGGTATCGAAAGCAGTTGCAGTCCCCTAGGAAAGCCAAAGTCACTAATTTCTGTCATTAGATTATAATTTGTTCAGTACGGTTCTTCAATACGCAATAATGACCTCTACTTTTTGAGTGGACAGTTCAGTTCGCTATATTTGATCAAATGCGGATGCGGAATCAAAAAACTGAGTGGTACTACGATGTCAATTATGAAACAACTACGATACGAGGAAATTACAACGAAAAAAAGATCAGACTGACACAAATATGTGTAAGGAAGCAAATGACTCAGAAAGACTCAAAAGTAGGACGAGGAACTTGTTCCAAAGTCAATAGTTATAGTAGTAGTCGGAGTAGTAGCAGTAGTAGTAGTAGTAGAACGTGGAAACTGCATATTTTGAATTTCTGCCAACACTCTTAGCAGAAAGCAAATGGAAAATCCGCCTAGCGTGCTTCCATCTGCTGCTTGTGCGTAGACGGTACAGCGCCAAATGGGGTCTTTTCCCAGCCAGGTGAGTGCGCGGCTACCGGCAAAAAATCCGGATAGGGGCCGCCATAGTTCTTAGCATCCCTGAATTCGTGATCGGTCACTAGTGGTCCAGGGGTTTTATTCACAAAGTTGCCAATGACGGTGCCTATTCCTTTTACCGCGTGCGCCCTTCCAACTATCGGGTTAAAGCCGGGTCGCGGGTAAGAGGGCCGCGGAATGCCCGTAGGTCTCTTCCCGTTCGGAGCCGTCATTGGCTGTGGAAAGGGAGTGATCATGAAGTATTTGGACACGATCAAGCAACATCGATCAGAAAGAGATACGAGCCACGGTTTGAGTTATGACCTCGCAAACAAGCGTAAGTAGACGGCCATGATAATGATTGAGATATTCCTTCTTTATTAATAATCGACAAAAAACGGGGTGGGTTGTCACTCAGGGTTTTAACTTTAAGGCGCTACAAGGTGAATCGCGAGGGGGCGAAAACAAAAACCACGAGTCCCAGAGCTTCACTAAGGCGCAAAGCCTAAAGTAAGGTCAAGGCTTGCCTCCTCAACTCTCAACGCCAGGGCTTGCCGCCTCAGAGTGCTGAAAGCCAGAGTTTTCAAAGTCAGAGAGTAACGCGAATACTCAGCAGGCGCTTGGAGTGGTTAACTCTCAACGTCAGGGCTTGCCGCCTCAGAGTGCTGAGAGTCTGAGTTTTCAAAGTCAGGGCAGGGCTTAAAGCGAACACTCAGCAGGCGCTTGAAATGGTTGCTGGGTGCACTGAGATTGTGAGCAATGCTGAGGCTGTGAGCTACACTGAATAAGGTAAATCGACGCCGGCTGTTTCCCGGGCAGACCCTCCGGCGACAGAGTGGCATGGGATGCGGGCGGGGGCCGCTTAATTGAATAACGGAAGACAGTACATTGGAGCCACATCTTCGCCGCACTACATCCAAGAACACGGCGCGCAGATACCGAGACAACGCCACCGGGAGCGGGACACGACTGGACTGCCGCGTTTGGCACGGCGGATGGAGGCAGCCAGGGGGCCCGAACGGTCCAGAACTGCAGGGCCTGGGTGCGTGGTGGCTTCACCGCGCCGAGGGGGACAGCGCTGACAAGAACGACGACCGCCAGCCGCGGAGCCGTTAACGGCTTCCACCGTGTCAGCCGTGCGCGTTTGCTCCGTGTATGTGTACCCTCTCCGACGAACGCGGCGAACGTCCGGGAGCGCACAGCATCAAGAGGCTGCAGGGCCGCGCCGCTGCAAGCAACTACGCCACAGCTGCGGCTGGGTTGGGCACCATGTCCGGCGATGCGCTGATACCGTGCGGGCCCGCCGCCTTTCGCTGGCAACGGCAATCGGTGACCGGCGCGACGGCGGCAGGCCCCTCTGTGGCCTCTTTCGCACGATTTCGAGGCGGTTGCTCGTCTTTGACGGGTAAAGCAGTGGACGCGCGGAGGCAAGCACCGGCCGAAAGGCTGCAAGCGTTGGCGGGTGTTGGTGGAAGCGCTTCGGGGCTATGACGTTTTGGATTCAGGGCATTGCGGAAGCAACGCGCCACACTTCAGCGAGATGCGATCGACGCCCCGCTTGCCTCGGCTGGAGCTCCCCTTCCATCTTCAAGTCACAGACGTGTCGATCCTCGCGCGCGGACTTCTCTCCTCGTCTTTGCCGCCACTAGCAGCCTTCACTCCTCTCTCACTGGCCTTCTCCTCTGTCAAACTCCGCTGAACACACGGGATACGACTAGTACTTCATATATATTTCATGCATGGCACACGAAAAAAACTAGGTTCTATGGAAATACCTTATCCGGCATTCGCTCTACCACAGTAGCGTCCAACTTCAGGAAGGGGTCAGCGCTCTCCCCGGGCGGCCGGCGGTACTGAGACAGCTCTGGTACTGTTATCGGCCTCATATTCGCCGTGCCGAACATGATATTACTCTCTCGATTCGATGACCGTGATTGAATACTCCGTGATGCTGGTCTACTCGCTGCTTGTTCAAACCTTGTTAATGTATTCAAGAATCTCCGACGTAGTTAAACAATTTGAATTTTCCATGTTCTAGTAAATGCTCTTTTTGAAACAACGAGGTCGGCGGTATCGTAGTTCCTGCTCCACTATAGATGATACTAGCTAAAATATGAAAGTGCTCCCGTACATAATGAAAATTTGCTTTCGAAATTACACTAGAATCAATATTGTAAATGACCATAGAAATCACCTACCGCTACCTCACGAAATCTTATTCTTGGAACCTAATAGTTGCCGTACCTTTCCAGTTGTTCGTAGTATTTCCATCTGGTAAACGGTTTTGCTCCTCTTGAAACTTGCCGGACCACTTTTGGCGGTACGTAGGGTGTGATTTTGTCTACGTTGGCTTCCGGATGCAGCATCTTTCTGATCTCTACGCGAGTAAACGTTCGCGTGTGGTCCAGGAGATTGATTTCTGTTGTTTCTAGAGCTTTCCGTATGGTTGCCTCAAACGCGGTGTCGTTTTCTTTGTCCAGGTCTAACTCTCCAGCACGCCGACCACTTGTCCGAGATCCCGTTCTGCGTGGCTGCAGTCCCCTGCTGCCTCGACTAGGTGCACTCTTCAGTCCGCGACTAACAGCGCCTCCCGATCCGCCGGAACTACCACCTGCCTTGCCCGCGCCGGCATCCACGGGCCAACCGCTACTTGCAAAAAGTGACGCGAACTCGTCAGAGTAGTTCTTCGGCTGGGTATTTTCTTTGTCTGAGCCGCTATGGGGCGGCTTGGGCAACTCGTCTCTACCAGCGGTCAGAGCCCGCACAGGAAACCCGCCGATAGAACCTGTATGCAATATTATGAAAATCATCAAAAGTGTAGAAAGAGGGAAGCCAATGTACTTAAGTAGTCGATGACGCCCTAAAGTTGATCAACTACTTCCTATGGAACGGAGAGGGGAGCATCGCATAACTTCAATCACCAAAAATCTCCCTATTTTTACCTATGTTCTCGTCGATATCCGCTTCCCGTAGTATCTTCGTTTGCTGTGCCTTCCTTCTCTTTAACTCTCCTTCAAGTTTTTCCTCCCACATGTCTGCGACGCTTGATTCCGCAATATCGTTAGTTAGAATCTGGTCGCGATTTGTTAATGATGATGATTCGAATGCGAATCCATTCGGCAGGGGCAGACTGCCTAAGCCTTCCCTGGCGACTTCTTCCCGCTAGTCTAGCTCTAGCCCGTTGTTGGGTTGTCGCAGTGGTAGGTCTTTCGGCTGTTCCGCCTGTTCGTTGTAGTTGTTCCTGATATGGAGAGACCAGCGGGCTTTTTACTACTTGCGCCCCCCGAGGGTTCTCCTAGTCAAATCTCTAACGAGTTGTGCTTGTGCCCCTCCTGCGCCTGCTCTGAAGCCAGCAGCCCGGTGCCTTCTAAAGGTAGCGCGCGGCGCTCCTCTTCTTCTGTTGTGTTCTTGCTGCGGTTTCCTTCTGCTGCTAGCTAGGGCTATCCTCGCCCACCTGCCCCGGGGGCACCGCACTAGATGTAGATGCCCCGGCGCCTTTTCTCTATCATGTCGCTGGGCGGTTCTCTTCTTGTTTTGCTTTGGTCTTCTCCCGCAGCTCCCCCGCCTTGGTGTCGTCTGCTTTTGTGGCTCCGGCGCAGAGTCTTAGCGCCTTAGCTACGCCACCACATGCCGGGCGCGGCTCTGGTCCTTACCTTACGGTGAGCGCCCAAGCCTCCGACCCCTATAGCGCTACAACTGGCAGAACAAACCACCGCAGTACTCGCGTCCTATTAGAAAGACCAAACACCTACGCAAGCGCTTAACTTTATTGCCTCTACTATGCGGAAGCTGTGACGAGTTGCGTCCGAGTTGTGGGAGTTGTGGCAGCTACTGCGACTAACCTCAGCCTCACACTTACTATGACTAGACTCAAGCTACTGCGGCTAGCTTCAGACCTGCGACTCCGACTAGTCTCAAGACTGCTGTGACTAGTCTACGAATTGCTGTGGCTACGACTAGTCTCAAAAGTGCTGCACCTAGTCTCAAACCTGCTGCGACTAGTCTCGCGCACACTGTGACTAGTCTCAGACTTACGCTACTGCGACTAGTCAAGCCGGAGGCCCATCGTGACTAGTCGCAGACTTACTGTGACTAGCCTCACGCCCCCTGTGACTAGTCTCAATTTTTCTGCGCCTAGTCTGTGGCTGAGCCTGAGTTTGTCGGGCTCTTCGAATCTTAGCACGGCCACCAAGATACGCAGGCGCCTGCTTCTGATGGTGTTAAGAATAAGACTCGAAAAGCCTGGCGAGCTACTCAGTCAGAGACTAGCCACAGCAAGCCCGAGGCCAGTCACAGTGAGCGCGAGACCAGTCGCAGCAAGTCTGAGACTAGTCCGCCGCAGTTAGGTCGAGACCAGTCGCAGCGAGTTTGGGGCCAGTTGCAGTAAGCTTGAGACCAGTCGTAGTAGGTCTCAAGTCTGAAGTTCGTCGCCGCAAGTTTGAAGCTGGTCGCAGTAAGACTGAGACAAGCCACGCCAACTCTGCGACTAGTCGCGGTAAGTTTGCGGCTAGTCACAGTGAGGCCGAGACTAGTCGCAGTAGGTTTGAAGCTCGTCACAATAAGCGCCACAACTTCCACAGCTTTCCAACCTAGGGGGCAACCGCGTGACAAAGCCCGCGGCAATTTCATAGGCGAACGGCCCCCATCGTCTTCAGATCTTTACAGGCTTTCTTCCTGTGTCCTCGCAAATTCTTGCGAGCATCTTTCTGCGCATTGCTCGGTTTACTGTCAACCTAACCTATGCCCCGGCGCTGTGTCTACTACTACTAGCCTCTTTGTTGCTCCTCTTAAGGGTTCTGCGTCTTCTGCTGGACCTGGAAGGGCTACGCCGTCCGCGTATAGTACATGGCCTCAGCCGGCCTCCCCGCCCTCGGTGACTTTGTCCCAATCTACTAGCCTCGCCCCATGTAGGGTAGCTCGGCACCCTCCCCGAAGTCCGTGGCCGTGCGGTCTGGTGCGTAGCTTATCAAGCGAGCGGCGACAATGGGCGCCCCTGCTTCGTCCCTGTTGTTGTTTCTTTTGACTCGCTGGCGGCTGCCCCCCTCCGTAATACTGCGAAACGATGACCATTGTACAAAGCCCAGGAGCTTCCCCATAGCTTCTGCGGTGTCCCATATGCCTCGAAGCCCCGCCTAAGAAGCAACTACCTGGGTAGCGTGTCGAGGACCTGCGCCAAGTCACTACAAAGCAGACCGACACCGATGCCGCACTGCCCGCGGCTGCACGTGCCTGGCGCATTAGCTTGAGGGCCGGCGTGTTGTCTCCTGCCCTCCTGCGCGGTCTATAAACTGCCTGCGCCTTTGAGAGGATTGCGCCGGCCGGGCCTGCGCGTCTTTGGTATAACACTGACGCGAAAACCTTGGCGAAGAAATTCAGCAAGGCGATTGGCCTCCACCCAGCCGCACTACCGCGGCCCCCCCCCTGGTTTTGGCCGTACTTCCATGAGTCAGCCCGCTTCTCCTTCCTCCAGTGCTCCCCCCTGCCAATGTTTCTGGGTCTTGTTCCTGGCGCGGCACTTCTTCTGCTCGCTCAGCAGCTCATAGCGCTCTTGCTTTAACTGGTCTCTTCCTGCTGCCTTGCCTAGCTTGAGCCCCTTTCTGGCGTCTCCGCTTTCCTTATCGCTTACGTCCTTCTCTTCCTTCTGCCCGATGGCGTCCGCCCCTCGAGGCTCTCGGCTGTACCCCTTGGGCAGCGCGCGCGCGTCCTGCTCTGGTAGTTCTGGAGGCTCCTCCCCTGCGGATACTGCCTCGAAGAAAGCTCGGAGCTTTGTTAATCATATCACGATGTAAGAGGAAGTACACGTACCACGTGAATCTCGATTGATAGTAGAAAGTATGATACTAGAGCAAGACTTTTGTTTTGTTCGCGATGGAGACACCTATCTCAAGAGCTATCATATAAGTATAATTGGTGGAACGCACCAATTCTTTCTCTTGATCATGTCAGCAGCAGGGAAACGACAGGGAAGAAATTCGCTTATAGATGATTTACGTCTGTTCCAACTGCTCCCACTTTTTTCCCCGGATTATGGAGCATCTCTTCGCAATAATGCGTAGTCCAGTTCAGCAGTACTTGCATTGTTTCCGGATACTTTCGTGCTGGCGAAATTCATATTTAATAGAAAGATTGATGGCAAACTTCTACTTTTTCTTTCTAATCAGATTGACTCTCGTAGGAGACTATCATGATGAATTTTGAGACAGTATGTTCTATCTGGGTTGAGGGTTCTTGCAAAACTTGTACGTAAATGTGACAAAAAATTGAGAGTAACGTCGATTATAGCGAAACAACATTCCTAATTTAGTAGTACATATCCCGAACTGGCATCCGAAGATAGTGTTGTCGAGCCCGATGAGCTGTGGTAATGAGTTTGGTCTGGACACGAGAAAGGTCTGCACTCGTTGTGTAATCTGCTCATGCATACTCCACAGAGCACTAGTGCTACACACGAATCGCTTTGGAAGTCCGTTCAACACCCAATGATTCGCGAACCTATGATGTAGTGGAGCAAGCAAATTACTGTAGCAGAAAACTAATGTTGTACTTACTGAAGATTATCAAATGCCGTTCTGATCGAGAAGATGAAATATTCATTTTCATTACTTGCTGACGTTACAACAACGAGGCTCTGCGAGCAATGACGACACTATGAGTTGAAAAAGTGAGTACCTTGCTGAACTTAGTTCTACGATCATCTCGTCTTTTCGGGCTGCGTATGGGTCCTCTCCTGGCACCGTCGACGGCCGCTGTTTTTGAAGTGGAGTAGGGAAGGCGGCACAATCGGCATCTTCAGTGATGTTGAACAATCATCTGGCACACAAATCTTCAACTTCATCCTTCTCAAATCAAAAGCCAATAACCAGTCAAAGCTGTACCGTCCGATAAACATCCCGGCCTTGCTTCTTCTTCGGATTATAGATTCCAACATTCCCTACACGTTTGAAATCGCAATACTCTCGCCTCTGGTAGATATCCCCTCTTTGCGCGTCCAAAAATGTATCCGGTGGCAATGAGCACTTCCTAATCAATGTGAAGAATCATTTTCATTCCAGAATGATCCTTCTGCTACTTCATTCATCAAATAAACCAGTAGTTGCTACTACCCCAAGGCCAAGATCCTTACTGGTATAAGTAAGTAAGTACACGAACTAATGATGAAGTCTACAAGAAGCGCGAATACTTGATTTTTGAAGGCAGACTTCTCATCTCGTCTACACTTCCACCGTAACCGCACCCATTCAGCACTCTTATGTGTTCACCCCGTAGTTGCACAAGATAGGGAATCAGGTGTGCTGCGAAGCCCGTCGCCTGGGTTAAAAAGCGAGAGAAGAGAATAGTCTAGACATAGACGTTCATCTTGAGTCGACAAGTCATGTGGTGTACATCTTGATCTTTGTTTATCACGAGCACCAGGGAACAAAAAACTAGGCATGCAAGGAACGAAAAGAAAAACAGAAACAATGTAAGAAATACGAAAGTTGGTGTCCCGTATTGTATGCATTGCTTGAAGAGCAGCCGGAGCTGCTTCACCGCGCCGCCCCATGGTAGAAGCGTTGGCTCGTCTCCCCCGACAAATACTAAGTCTAGCGCTTGGAAAGCGCGAAGACAGGCAGCGTCCCCGTTCAAGGGCTCGAAGAGGAACTCATGGATCTGTTTGAAATTGCGAACAGCCAGTTGCACCGTTGTCAGATACTTGTAGTACGGACCTTCTAGTGCTTTTGAGACGGTGTATTTGAAGTCGCCAAACGCCTCGCGGCCGCGCTTGCTCTGCGAGAAGCCGTCGACGATCAAAACACGCATCTTCGTTCGAAAACTTAAAGAAAAGTCTGAAGTTGAGGTGGTCCAGGCAGCTATTTCTGCAAACGCATCCGTGGAGTATTACTGATGTTGTCCCACAACCCCGGGGAAAAAGAGGCTGGTATTGGTTGACGGGCCGTGGCGGTTCTGCAACGAACAGATGACAATGAATGAAACCTGACAACCGACAACAATAAAGCTCAGTATCACGGCACCACCCCTACAACAGGTGTATTGATAAAGCGGTGCGCGCTGTGATGTTGAACTGTCCTTGCCCTCGCCGACGATAGACGACAGCTCGTCTTCTAGAACTATTGCGGCATATCCCAGTAAAAGAAGATCAACCAAACGTCTTTGTTCTGAGATGACCGGATTGCTCGCAAGCCACCAGATATTACTGATGTCACCCCTTCGATGATGGTACGCTGGACAAGCGCAACACAGTGGTCCTCAGCCAAAAAAGTTCTTGACGCTCTAGTCCTTGCGACAGCAATAGCAAAGCGGAAAGGCAAACGCAGTAGCTGTAGAACGAAACCTGTTGCAGAAACAACCTAAGTATTTCGAGTTTAGCTTTAGAGGAAGGATCCTCCAGCCGCGCATGCTAGCCGGTCGATCCTACTTCACAGCTTTGCATGAACAGAAAGCATTGCAGGTAGTTTCCAACTCCCTTGTGTCCGAAACTTTGCTGTCCAGCAGGTAGTCGCCCACGATGCAGGAAACTGTGGAACTATGTAACGCGAATCGTTTAGGGAAGAAAACCAAAGCGAACGCTTAGCCACAGTGAGAGCTTTGCCAGAGACTGGTGTTGCGTCCGATTCTTGATGCCAAAACTGCCGCCGACTCACAATGGCCGCGCGATACAACTAGGCAAGTACTTGACGCTGAGCTCGCTGCCAGCCAACGTCTGCGAATATCACTGTAGTTTCCACAACGTCACGAACACGCTTCCAGTAAGTGCTGTTCCCCGCTGGGGCATCGATCATACTGCGGCATCAACAATTCACCGCTTGTAGTGAAACGGAAGGTGTTGTAAAGATCACAAAAAAACTTCTCCTTCTGATATACACGACCGATAACCTCACTCTAATGGAAGATATATCGAAAAATAAACTGCTCTTCCAAAGGAAATTTGTGATCGAGAAAATGGTTCCTATTTTTCTGTGAATATGATCATAGTAGAATCGGATTAATGAACCAACATAAGACATCATTCAAAAATGAAGCACAACAATGTCGAGGGGAATGAAAGCGATCGGCATACAGAAAACGAGATTGATGCCAGGATATGGGACAAGTGGCACACGCGTATGGGGAAACGACGTGGACTTTCAAACGGGTCTCACGGCAACTCCCTCAATGATAATTCATTGAATTAAAGGTATGAAGTTACTCAAGTGCCTGTCCTGCCAACGTCGATAGACACTCATCCGACACCGAGAGACGGAGAAACATGGTCTCTAAGCTGACATACAAATTTCTATCGGATTTGATATTTATATTCTAGCTTCGATTTTGTATTTCTCTGGAGGCTCTATTGACCGACACGACAGCGACAGTGACAACGATACAACCGAATGATAAAAAACCGAGTTAAAACCACACGCTCTACAATCCTCCACGGCACCGTTTATTTCTAAGTTTCCGAAGTTGATATCAACATACCCGATTCGAGCGACCACTTTTTCGCCATTCTTCTATTTGATTGCAACAAGGAATGAAAATCGAAGAAGCAAATGCAAATAGTTACCTACTGATGGTTCCTTCAAGACAAAAATGAAGTTAACAAAAGTTTATGTTTTACGGAAAACGAGTGCAAGTCCCACAATAATGTCAATTTTCCTCGCAGGCTACTAGCCCACAGGCCAATCAACATTGAGCTGCTGAGAGGTTCTGATATGCAAAAACGACTACTTACACTCGTCCTGTTTGTTACAACAAAGGATGACATTCAGAAGAATCAGGAAAAGGGATCTACGGACATGATATACTCGATACTGATACTTCTACACGTCGATCATACTTACTTTATTTCACTTTTCACGGTACTACCGGAGATTTTCTCGTTACTTAATATCGACACCTAATCACGTGGAGACCTGAGAAGGTCGGCGAGAAGCCTACTGGACCTGGATGCACATATCCAATAAGTTCCGCTGTTCTTGTATCAATTTCATTTAGTACTGCGTCCGATATTCTGCGCACCACGATAAAAGATAAAGTCCCACGCCCGTACGCCGCTTCTTCATCTTCTTCGAAGTACTAGTAGTACTAGGAACTTGTGATTCCGAGACACAGATCGTAAATGTGATCCCATGAAAGGTCCTCCTGCCCTGTGTCGCTGCGCAATGTCCCGAGATCATAGGCTCTCCAGCGTGTCGTGTAGAGCAGACAGCAGTAGTAGAGCGCTTGACCCAGCAGCGCCATCTGCAAAATGTACGCCGTTGGGTCGTCCGGCCGAAAGAGCTTTAGGACAGTCGGCACGAGGTGCCGCACCCCATCGTCGTCGTAGATGCTAAACCGAAAAGTGATCAAGTACCACTCTATGAGGTCCTCCAGCCAAAAAATGATGGGCACCACAAGCGAAGCTGCGAGTTCGCCTCGCGGATAGCCCGAGAAGTAGTACAAGTTCGTGTTCCTTGCAAGCAGCGGCGTGAGGATCATCACCAAGGACACTAGAAACCGCTGCTGCGCTCGTACCTGGTAGCGGAGGAAGATCTGTCTCCGGTAAAACAAGACAAAGCCACGAAATAACGCTAGTTCTGCATTGGATACCAGACGAGAGGTGCTCACCCAACCCGACCTTCTACTCTTCGATCTCGGCTTGATGATCGCAGCAGAGTCTGGAGTCGATTCTGCTTCATCTGATGTAGGGGCTGCAGTACCGTGCTCACCTTCGTTCATTCTCGCATCTTCCTTTTGAACATGATCACCGCCACCTTGATGTCCTTCTAGATCTCTCGACAAGTCCTCAAAAATTCCAGCATTTGCGACTCTCATTGCGGGCAATTCTTGAGATTCAGAATATCCCTCAACTTCGATGCTATCGCGCGAAAAATGCACGGAATAAGAGGCGCCGTAGATCTCGTGGGACGCCCTCCAATACAATCTGCGTATTGCAAAAACTGAATCCAACATCCTGTGTAGGTTCCTCCTCCCCATCCTCCTTGATTATATTATCGGCATCACTAGCTTGCTGCTTCTCAGACGGAGTGTTCTTCGTCTTCGAGTCGCTTTTCTTCATCTGAATAACCCGCTCGAAGTTCAGTTGCAGCCAGCGCGGCACCGATTGCAGCTTCGCCAAAAATTCATGAGAGAGCTCAGTTCGAGCCGAATCATGATCCACGAAGGAGAATTACATCGGCAAATAGAAATACATTCATAAAAATGATAAACAATCGCATGCCTTACCAAGAACAGCAGAGAAACTCATAGTCGTGGTCAGATCATCATGGCCATACTAGTAACAAGCGGTGCACGCCCAGTACCACGCGCGAGGCACATCGCGAATTCCATCAGAGTGAAACATTTTCGTCGTGAACAAAATGAGGCTTTCATGCTGCCGAAGAGCGAAATGTCACAGATGATACAAGAAATTCTTGACCATCATCGCTGCAATCGCAAGTGCCGAGAATTGCAGAAGGACTTCGCGCCCATAGACATAGCGAAACAAATCGATCCACGCATTAGAGATGAACACCCAACTAGCACGATGCTGTTCGATGATATGCTCCACTTCCAAATCGCTAACCTCCACTTCTTGTGGCTCCTGTTCTTCAACCAGCATATTTTTTCGTTCGCTAGATTCTCCAGCTTGTCAGCTTTATCGCTTGTACTACTACTAGCGCCGTCCACGACCGCAGTATCTCTTGCTTCCCCCGCTTGTTGATGTGTTCCGACGGTGACGTCGGGAACCACACCTGAGGAAGAAACGGCGGACTCGACGCTCGTCCGGCTTTTCGCACCCCTCGTTTCCCCTGCGACCTTGTTGTCTCCACAAGCTGCTGTCCCTTCGTTCGCTGCATCGTGTGATAATTCTTGTTGTTTGCCGCCGGCGGTTGCAGTAGAATCATTCTTCAAGCTAGAGGATTTCAGGGACGCAGGAGATTGAGCAGCCGAATCATGCCTTTGCCTGCGCGCATCGTCCATTTGTCCCACACGGTCAAGTACATCTGCACGCGTGGGCAAGCAATATGGAGTCACAACCCGGGACCACATCTTGCCCCACAAGGGCTGCCACAGATTGAAAAAGAGCGCCCGAAACGACAATCTCTCATATGAAAAGTGCAAAGGAGGCAGCGATCGGATCGAGTCGCTTTGCAGCACCATCCATCGGAATTATACTGTCGACGACAAAAATGGTCCCACCGATCGCTTCCAGACAGCACAACACCATGTAAAGCGCTTTTTTCCCGCCTCGTCGCGTCGCCGTCCAGTTGCTTCCGTGCAGCCGGTGAATAAACCACAACACAAAGAAGTAACACGCCAGAACACAGAGTACAACTCAGAGACTGAGACGACCCGAACCCGCCAAACTCGGTTTCTGCCACTCGCGAAGCGGAAAATACAGAGCGCCGAAAGGAAATAGTGACAAAGGTAGCGAGAACACAGCGACGAACTATAGTTGAAATCTCGTGTCCGATGTCGCCTGGACAACGCGCAGGTTTTGTTTCGCAACTCTCTGCAGAACTTGCGACTCCGTGGAGTCCATCGGTGACGAAGAAAAGGAATACGACGGTCGCCCGGCTACACCAGGTCCTGTTGTCGACTTTGACATGAATGAAGCAGGGCAGGTCATTCCCATTACTGGCGTGTTCCAAAAAATCGGATAGAGTGTGAGCGTGAAAACGAAAACACGATCCAGTAGACTAATGAGCATAACACTCGTCGGAACTCCGACAAGCTGGCTCTTCTCCACGGACCCCGACGCGACGCATCGACCACTCAAAAACTCTTTCGCCTGTGCCGAGAATTTGTCTGAAGCTGTCGTCGTAACCGAAGCACCCGCAAAGCTCTTCTGGTCGCGGAAAAAAAGACGCCCCCATCATAGCGTGAAGCTCGCCCGCGCTGAAGAGGCACATCGATGCGGTTCCCCTTATAGCGACTAAGATCAAGGTGATCACAAGACTCGACGCGATGAAGCGGAATATCACATGCTTCAGTAGCCTGTTAAGCAGTTTCTTCGGATTTACTGGTCGCAACGAACGCGCGTTAAAACACGCTCATAGATCTCTCCGGAACTACAGTGTCATCCGGCTTCCCAACAAGTGCGGCAGCGCTTCCGTTTTTCGCACCCGCAGACAGCAATGTGTGATTTTCCACAGTGGCTTCGGTAGGATATTCGCGGGCGTCGCCAGCACCCGATGCCTGCGTTTGAGGCTGACCCGGAATCGCGTCCGCCGACTCGCATGACAGGTGCACAAGATCGGCGCCTCCGGGTCCGCCGTCCATCTCTGTACCACACATCTTTTTTGCCCACGCACCTGTGTACAACATCACCTAAGTAATTACAACATAGGAAAATTATATAATCGTTGTTCTAATACTCTGACCGTGTCAACTCACGCTTAATCGACTATTCGTGCCATTGTCTTCGACGCTCGCATTTTTTAGAAAAAAATTTTGATTTTCAACGTGCACCCGCTGTCTGTCGGGAGCCTTCTAGCCGTCACTGGAGCTTCTCTCGCGCTAAGCAAAACTCTTACTCCGCCCGAAAAAACACGCTGCGAAAAATTGCTTTACCTAATAAATCTGCGTCTTCCTCAACACCCGCCGAGGACCACCCTGCAGACACCAGCAAGCAAGCATATTTCCCTGATACCTATGCGATGTTGGTCATCGTCATGCGAATTTGTATCATGAATTTTTAGTATGTCGCGGGTGGTAATTTCCTTTTGATTCAGGAAAAAGGTTCGTGAATTTGGCACCCGTCTTTTCGTTCGAGACTGGTGCAGATTGTTCACAGGGGGGCTCTTGGAGGTCAAATCTGCAAGGAAACCAAATGATGTCCCGCGTACATACAGAAAGCATTCTTTCATTTCATATGACAATGTCCCTAGTATAAAGTACTCGGGGAACAAGCATAGATCGTAAGCAGAGGGAAAGTTCATCTTGTTCCGCTATTTTCACAAGAGGAGCTTCTAGTCAGTAGTTTGTAAGGCGGTGTATTTGACAAGTTGTAGTAGGCTCATAAAATTCCTATCTACAGCTCGTCCCCATCTCCTTGCGCGATGACGAACTGAGGATGTCTTCATCTCTTCTTCTCATGCTTCGGCAGTACAGATGTCATACATTGGAGAGATTCCGCCACTATGCTTCGAGTTAGGGATACAAACAAATAAGTAATCCTAATCAGATTGTATAATGCTTGATAAATTGAGTATAATTTGCGTGAGTAGTTTTAGAAAATCGATTACAGAAGAATGATAAAAATAGATGACATGAAAATCTGGTAAGTGTAGTTTAGGTTGATACATACAACAAAAAAAAGTTCAATAGTGTAGTCACGTAGGAGACCTTTTATGATCGTATTCTTGAGAACTGCGATTTACAACAAGTTGCGATTTCATTATCATGCGAATTACATCAAACAACATCAGACAACTAGAAGTAAGATAGCGAGATGCACCCCAAAGGAGAAACGAGACACTAGAAAATCTGCATGCTTCACCACCATCATTGCACGACCTGCAACTCTAGACTTCCCTGCAACGTCGCCCACGAAAGATGCATCCCGAAGAAGATGTAGATTCTACGGACATCCCCCACAAGATTACATCGAAGCTAGTTCCCCTCGCGCACCTCCAAGTGCTGTAGGGCATATCCTACTCTTTCGCCAAAACCAAAGTGCCATTTTTGTATTTAGTAGGGCCCCGGACGCTGTTGGAATTGCTGCTGCTGCGCCGGCTGTTGATAGGCCTGCTGGGCGTACGGATCTGCTGCAGCGGGTTGCTGGTATGCGGCCTGCGGCTGCGCGTATTCTGTTGTATTTGCAGGGTAAATGTTTGGCATGAGGTAATACATCAGCCAAATTGTGAACTTCTGATACTATAAAAATTAATTAATTTTTCCTATGACTATTGGAAAATCAGAATCTCGTGCCTTACCACCTAATATCATTCGACCTACAACGAACCCTGTGAGCAAAACAATCATCGGTCATGGAAACATTCTCTCCGTCAAATAACCACTGGGTCATCATACTGAAAACCATCGTCTTCATCATTCTACTAATGATCATGGAATATAGTATATATAAATTAGAAGTAGTATCACCTAAGAGGTGGTAACGAAGGCATCAAATAAATCATTACGTTGCTGCGGCGCGGCCTGGTATGTTTGCTGCGGAGCTGCCTGCTGGTACTGTGCTGGCTGCTGATAACCCTGCTGTGGTGCGGGCTGCTGGTACTGGCCCTGCTGCTGATATTGCTGCGGCATTGGCTGCTGGTACTGTCCCTGCGGCTGTTGGTATCCCGGCTGCGGCTGCTGGTAACCTGGTTGCGGCTGCTGGTATGCCGGAGCGGGCTGCTGGTAAGCCGGTTGCTGATAGCCTTGCATTGGCTGCTGGTAAGCCGGTTGGTAGCCCTGCTGGAATCCACCTTGAAAACCGCCCTTCTGCTGGAAGCCTGAGATGTTGGTTGATGAACTATGTTATCGGCTTCATGCTAAAACAGGTTGTTGAATGTTACACCTAGTCATATTTACTACTGAGGAATATTGATCTACTTCTAAGAAAGAGAATGTATGACTCTGTGTCTGTTCCAGGATAAATCTCACTGGATAAAATATTTTTTCATCAACAAGCTTCTTCTCCCCAGCGACGCAAGATTAAGACGAACATTTCTACTGTAGCTTGGGTTTCGCCATTTCTACTGTAGGTGGGTCTAAAACAGATGAATCTGCTGCAGTCAATATAAAACCATTTTCGATAGTGCATACAAATTAATAATATCAACAGCATGCTTCGGAGAACAACTAAAAATTTTATTGCAACGACGAAATAGCAACCAATATGTAAATGTCGTCCTTACCGCCCATTTTTCCGCCTTTCGGGCCGCCCATCTTGCCTCCTTTGCCGCCCATCTTGCCGAAGCCGCCTTTGCCCATTTGCATACCCCCCTTTCCGCCTTTAGTCTGGCATTCTTTCACGTCGATCCACTTTTCGTTGATGTAATGCTCTGCCTTTTTCGACAAAACCAGTGCCACACACGACTTGTCGGAAAACGTGACGTAACCGAAGCATCGGCTTTTTCCCGTTGTGGGATCTGTCATCACACGTGCCTCCTGCACAGAAGCGTCAAACTGCGCGAAGTAATCTGGAAATGGTTCATCGGGATCGGGTTCGGGTGAAAGATAGAAATTTTGGGCATACATGATCATGCATACAATGGTAAAAACTTTCGAACGAAAACAACAGCGACTTCTACCTTACCTTACCTTTACTTACAGGGTGAAATCGTGCATCATGCGACTATTTTTCAATTACCAAAGTACCTAACTTTTCCTGAAGATGAAGTAACACTATGGGGACTAGAGCTAGACAATGACCACAAATCAAAATCAGATTGAGTAATAAAAAGTACTTCGCAGCGTTGGGCCATCACAGGTGTCCGGCAGACCACCGACGAAAACCTTGCGCTCTTCAACTTCGTTCTTGCCAGCATCGTTTCCTCGCTGTTCGTCTATGCGCTTGATGTCACAGTCCTTACCGTCGACGTTCAGTCGCACTTGAAACACACCCGGGCCGACAAGCTGGAAAAATACGATATGCAAAGGATAATTACAATCGCAAGTTTATTTTCAAGTTGTTCGACGCACCGGATTGGGTGGGCGCAGAAACACTTCACAGACGCAAAGAAAAAGACAACACAGTAATAAGAGAGGAGAAAGCTCTAGTTACCTACAGAGCACTAAGAACTGATACCAAGAGAGATCAACTCAAGACAAAGAAAGATCGCAGACAGAGGAAAAAAGACAAACAAAGCGTGAAGGCCGTGCTGAGAAAGACACTAGACAGTTGCGAAAACAAGATGTGAAATCAGTTAGAGAGAACTGCTAGGTAGTTGCGAAAACAAGTGGAAGAAGGCTGCTCCTACTGTTTCAAACAGCTTGAGGCGAAGAAACTCACTTTGACGAAAGACGCAAGAGCAAAAGTGTCCTTATCAACATTGATGTGAAAACTTAATACGCTTTGAAGCGGAAGTCACAAGAATCCTTACATAAGCACAGTGCGTAATGAAAAATCATCATCAAAATCAAGTACGTTGTCAACGCTGCCAACGTTGTCGAATGTGACGAAACCAAAACCACGAGAACGCGGCTGCCCAGTGTATTGATCTGGACTTCGCATAACATTGGTCTCCACCACAGTGCCGTACGCCTGTTTTGTGAAAAAATATTTGATGTTATTTGAGATATTTTCTCAAATCCATGCGATAAAGGAGTAGTTAGATAACAATACATGCAATAGCGTTAGCGCCTAGGAATAGGATATGGAAGTGCCTATCACTATTTCTATTCTTACTTTTCTATGCTGCTACTGCTAGTGGCATAGTGAAAATACCATATTGAAAACATAGTTGTATGATCGATAGAATAACCTACTATACTATCAATAGTACTACTAGTTCAAGGAGATCTTCCATAGTAGCGACAACTTCGATTGGTAGCTAGTTCTAGTTTGATATTCAAAAAATAGAAGCTAGCATCAAAGCACTAGTTCCTATTTTTTGTCTAGCTAAGTGTAAGAAGCTGCCCATATACCGAAAAGAATTGCTGTAGGGAAGCCTCGCTTGTATGGGGCGCAAGGCCACCAACAAAAACCTTCTGCGCGTTATTGTTGTGAGAAGCTGCCATTGTGTCGGTGTAGACTATTCTTGGTAAGCAGTAAAATGATACTAATAGATGAGAGGATGGCTACAAGGATATGGATACGCTACAATATTACGAGCTACTATGTATATAATTTCGAGTCTCGGGTAAAACTGCCATGGAATGTCCTATCTTTTTGGGTATATGTTGGCGTGAGTGTAGCGGTAGGTCATCCGGACTAACAATTACAATATGCGGAAAAATAGTTCCCCAGGTATAAGAGTAAGCCTCGCTTATCAGATGAAAAACCTACTATCTCCTACTTAGATGACTATAATGGAGCCTACAGGTTCTCACCCTATTTTCCTGTCGATTGTTCGTCGGTCTCTTTAGAATCCTGAAGTATGGGATTTGGCGTGAGATCAAAAAATTGTACTATGTATTTCCCTACGAGACTTAATTATGTATGACAGATCCACAAGTAGTTGTCAAAGGCGAACATGAGGGAGGAGGAGTAGAAGAACGAGAGGTAGTTGGGTAGAACGTGTTGATTGTAGACGAGAAGACGACCAACTATGATTTTAAAATTTTATATGTTCGAGAACCGTCGTACTGTCGTACTGTGTGATAGTGTCTTTAACAAAGTCGAAGGTAGTCCTTTCCGTGTAGATCTACGATTTTCTACCTGTATTTCATATTTTTTTTGACACATTTCGAATACGAACATAGAACTCTTTCGCATAGACTTCGTTTGAACGCACGGATATCTGCCGTAGTGAAGATTTTAAGGTTTTGCAGCATTCGGTAGGTGTAGATATACATAGACTGCGAACACGATAAATTTGTACGAACAGAGACCACATCACATTGAGATCTTATTTTCGTTTACTAGTATTGATAGGTCGTCGTTTTAGCCTTTACATTTACATTGTCGTCGAAGTAAAAAATGAGGCGACATGCAAATAGCTTTTATTGAGCCTCCTTAGACGAGTACAGTATTTGCTTACACCGACACAGAGCTTTCTTCTTTGACTTTGACATCATACCCTCGTTCACATCTTGACTACTACCAGTTAGATCTATGGAAGACTTAGCGTCTAGTACTAGCGACGTAGACACATAGCACCACGGGATATAATTCCCGTCATTCAAAAAGGCTGGAACACTGACCCGAGCTCCACTATAAGATTTTCGGTCAATTTTGATTCAAGTCTTTCAAGAACAACAAGAGAATACATTAATCTGCATAAGTAAACATAGTCTGCGCGGCTGTAAACTCACAAAACATTGTGCTCGTGATGCTGGTACTATATTGGTAAAAACCTGGAAGCACGACTTCGAAAACCCTTTCTACTATCAGGGGACTACAGATCAAGTACATAGATAGCTTGTTCGAGGTAGTGTTGAATCAAATTATCGTCTTTATTCGTCTCGTGCTTTCTTCAACGTCCTCAAAAAGTCAGCGGTGCTACAACTACGAGGAAAAGAATTCGACCTTTCTGTGCGCTAACTACATCACTACAACTGGCACGAAAAAGAAAGCAGTTGAAAGGCAAAGATACGAACCATGACGTCGCTCCATGGAGTACTCCTTCGATCATTTGCGGTGGCGCGGACCGAGTCTGCTGCGGTGAGAATAAAAAGTTCATGAAAATGCTGCATGTAGGGACTCGATGATTCGGAAAAAATGACCACCGCAGCTAGTCGCGCTGCAGCATTGCACGCGAACTACTTGTGAGGCATTGAAACAGAGAGAGGAAGCGACCGCACCCGATTGTCGTGTTCGTCTACACGATCATCACCTTCGTGTTTGTCTACCTATTCGTCGCTTTCTTCTTCCTCTTCCTCCGGATCGCTCTCTTCAGAAAGCTCGTGCTCGTCTACCTCCGCGCAGGCCTTCCAACTTCGGAAGAAACGACCGAGCAGCGAGCGCTCCAAACTCGCTTGTATGTAGTAATCTGGAACGCGGTTGGCTATGACGTCGCTCGCCCATGCGTCGAAAACCTTCGGAAGCAGTTGGTAACGCATCTTCAAGAACTTGCGTCTTTGGATTTCCGCTGCTAAGTGCCTCTGTTCTGGGTTGTCTATGCCTCCTACGAGCATTGAACCTGGACGTGCTACTGGAAGACGCTGCTGAGATCTTTCACCCTCGTCTTCCCCATCTGATGAAGTAGCTGTCAAAAATTCTTCAGCCCGCCAATTGTAGGCTCGGTGCCATTGTCTGCAATGGTGCTGTGTATCGGTCAATCGCTGATGCCGAGGATCACTGCCTTGAACTTGGAAGTCGCCACGCCGCGTCGCAGCCGATAATCGAAGATAGTCGGAGCGCGTGTGATCCTCGAAATCCTTGTTAAATTGGTAGGCGGCAAGATAATGCCCGTACAGGTCCTCTGGTTGACGTTGCTTTAGTCCAAAGGCGCGTGCGAAACCGTCATCTCCTCCAGTGCTGAAGAAATTTAGACTCCTACCTACTATGCTGCGCGTGGAAACTTGGGACGACTCCGCTTTTTGATTTTGAGAGGTCGTGGAAAGGAAAAAACCATCTCCAGGAGCTCGCGAGGTTCCCTTCATTGAATGATTCCGCAGTGCCTCTGCAGTGAAGAGATTTTCGACATACCCCGCATCCCCTCCAGCTATTCTGGTGCCTGCGCGCCGCTGCGAACGCGATGGTTTGCCACGCGGAGGCCCATGACGCCGGGAATACGCTGCTACTGGATCGGGACGCAGCACATCAACCTCTGCTGCCACATCATTTTGCGCTGTGGCTGTCGTCCCATGCACAGGCGTCGCGTATAGCTTCCCGCAACTCGTTCGCATCCGTTGCTGTGCGTGAAATTTGTCCTCTATTCTATCCTCTTCCTCTTCTAATATCCATCCCCTCGCGTCTCCCTCGAAACCTCCTGTGCGAGCGGCGTCTCGATCTCTTCTTCCACCTGTATCTGTCGTCCCCACATGTATTAATTGATCGCGACGAGCTCGTCTACGCCGTTGACCCTCGGCCGCGAAGCGTGGACCGTGGTCCATGAGACCTTGGAGATCTACTTCAGATTGCTCCACCGGACTCAAACTGAGCATTTCCTCAGCATCCCGCTTCTGATTTGGCGCGGCAAAAGCCCAATGCTGATCCTGAGAGAAACGAGACATTTTGGTCGTGCAGCAAAAAGAAGAAGAAGATATGCAAATGCAAAGAAGAAGAACGTGAACGAACCTAAGTCTTGCGCACTATTCCTCGGATTCTGGTGAGCCGCTGATGTAGTTCTAGCGAAAAAGAAAGGCTACATGATTTTACAAGTAGGAGTTACTGCAACTGCAAAAGTTAACTTGCAAAAGACCTCTTCTAGATCAATGAAGGGATGTGCTTGAAATAATCAATTACAATTTTTACGCATCAAAATATCAAATAATCAGTGAATAAGAATATGTAAGGGTACAAACAATTCATGTGGTTCAGAACTACAATTTACACCAACAAAAAATTTTCCTGAAAAGAGAAAGAGCAAAAGGAATGACCACTCGCGGAAATCAAATTACCTTAACTTTACCTAGAAGTCAAACGCGCTCTCTGCGACGGCCAACGCAACGCGGAGCACGTCGATATCACTCGCAGCGTCGTCTCAAGGATGGTGGTAAAAACAGATGTTGACGATTCTCGTATGTACAGATGGTGTTTGGTGATGTGATGCTGGTATTCTTGTTAAATGTTTTCTCTTCACAACAGCAGCAGAAAACGACTCTCCTATCGGTGTTGAAAATGTCGTAGAGCTGATGTTGGCAGAAGATTCTAACTTCGCACAAGGCCACAGATGTTGATTTTGCTGTACGCGCTCGAAAGGTTGTCGAATGGTTGTCTTCGCCGCAGCAGAAAGGGTAAAAATTTTTTGTGTCGTTTGTTTTATGATCTTTAGTTTTGACAGCTCACTTTCAGGCAGTGCGTGCCGCTAACGAAAATGAGAATCTGTAGTCTAAGAACAGGTTGGCATTATATTGTGCTCTAGTATGTTCAAGTTGTCCAACTACTATTGGATGAGGAAGAGGTTACAACTGGCCATGATGCTCGTGCGGAATGTACTCCGGAAAGTAAGGTGGGATGCGACTTCCGTAACGATTTTTGCGGATCATGGTTCGTATTTCCGCTTCGTCTGCAGGTAAAGTCACGCAACTCTTCATCTCCTCCGGTAGTCTATGCAAGCGCTTGGAATTTAAGAATTCTCCTATTTTCTCTTCCTCTTTGTCGATGAAGAACAGCTGAAAGTCAGCATCCACGACGACCGGGGGCTTTGCTGATGATGTTGTCCAATCAGCAACACTAGAACTAGAGGCGGTCGTCGAGTCTTCTGGTCGTTCCGACGTTGTAGTAGAGACAGATGTGGACGACCCTGCAGAAACGCCGACTCCTTGTAGCCTGTGCCTTTTGCCTTCGTCATTGAGGCCGAAGGTCTTCTTGGTAGCCTCGTCCAACCAACCAGCCTTTTCAAAATGGAACGCATAGAGAGTCGGAGACGCTGTCACAGATGAAGGGCCGTCAGCAGTTGTAGTGTCATCTTCATCATTCCGCGTTGTCGACGTCACTGAAGTATCGTCCGAACCGAGTGCAGTCAAGCTGGAATCGAACCAGAAGGAATGTCCCCAGTACCGATAGGGATCAAGCGGCGCCCAACGAATGAGATCCATGCGACCACGAAAAAGTGCCGGATTCTCTGAAAATGCGAATCCTACTTCCTCTGGCACTCTTTCGAAGGCGCGATTGGGGCCTAAAAAGGCCGAAAAGCACTTTTGGTCCACGAGATAGGGACGGTCATACAGATACTTGAACAAACGGGCAAGCCATTCACGTGTCCTCACGTTACTCTTGATGAAATAGAAACCGTTGTTTATGCAGTCGTCAAAGACAGAACCCCCAACGAGAATGTCGAGATCTTCGTCCCGTCTCTTTCGCGTGGTCGGGAGGAATTGTCCGTACCCTTGCGCAGAGGTCGCCCAATGGAGAAGATTCGTCGGGTTCTTCAGCAAATACGTATCGAAATCGACATAAGCGACGTGGTATCCCAACTGCAGCAGCACCAGCGTGAGAGAAAACTTACCCAACGCTTGGGAGTACCCGCGTATACATCTGCGCGATACTATTGATGGACTGCCTGGAAGATTTGCTTTTGATTCACCCTCGTTTCCTACGCCTGGCTCAGTAGTATCCAAGGGCCGATTGCATTTCTCGCAATCTACACACGCTTGGTGAGACGCCTCGTCATGCGCGAACATGAGGAACTCTGTTGTTCCACCAGCTCGATTTTTTTTTTTGCTATCGCTCAACGATTGCCCTGAATCACTCCGTGACAAGATGTCAAGCGTGTGGTCACAGAAATTTGGCAGAACCACGCTGTACTTTTCACCCCAAACCATTGTCACGTAGATGGTATCAACATCATCACGTAGCACTGGCACTCCTTGAGAAGCAAAGAACTTTCGACGCAACTGCTGCTGCTCACTCTCTTGCTCATGCACGGTAGCGGCTGCGGTCTCTCCGTCCTGATCTGCTTCTAAACCCAAAGACAAGATTTCGTCGTAGTCTCCCGCTTCTTCGCCTGTTAGCAGCACAAGTTTCACGGCTCGACCGAAAAGCCACTCCTCGCCAAAGTCCAACCCAAAACCGTGCTTCCGAGTCATAGAACTCGTGAGCCACAAGAAACTTCCTACTGGCCACATCGACGCGAAAAGGCACTCCCATGTGCACAAGAACTGCCTGTTCGTGTTTGCTGCCGCCGGCGTCAGCGGAAAGCCTTCCGTGTTCAACGCGCGCTTCAAATTCACCGCGTCGTGCAATGTGCCTTGCAAGGACGTCTCGACGACGGGAAAGAACATCTCGCTGCACTTCGTCTCCGTCTGCAGGCACAAGGAAAAATGAAGAAAACGGAAGCGGGCATACTTTCCTGTGCTCCATATCTATGTATGAACACGCAGCTACCTCCCCCCCCGAAGCACTTCAAAGGGACGTGTTTGCAGATGCAATCACTACTAGGTCTCGCTTACATTGGATTTACCCTCCTTAAAAGTTCTTGAACAGGTTCGCGACAACGTATCCCCAGAGGCACTCCTGTCCAACGCGCTCATATCGCTCCTTCTTAGACAAGATGTGAGTTGCAAAAAGAAGTTCTTCTAATTGTTACTTTGTGTTCTCGTCAGCTGCGTCGACGTCTCTTTTCCTTGAAGTAAAGGTAATGAAAAACAGCAAGTTTGTAGTTGTACTTATCCATATCCTCCTCGTCATAACTTTTGACTGCATCCACTTGCCGAAGACGAAACGCATAGAAGATGCATCCCATTGATCTTGCCAACTGAAATGCATGGAACTACGTAATTCGTAGTTGTTGAATCCTCTACGGAAGTGGTCGTAGCGTGTCATCGGCTCAGGCGCGTAACGGACCATCTGTAAGTTTTCAATGAGATTCGCATCTCGTGACAGCGCGCGCATATCTAGTTCACCTTTCAAAATGTCAAGAAAAGCGTCGATTTGAGCCTCCTTGAGGTCCTCAGAGCTCATGTCTGCGGAAGCTGGGTCTTCAGCAACACGCTCCATTGCGTCGGCGACAGCTTGCCGTCTCAGCAGTCCCGAATGTGGGTCCTCACGTGGATGAAAGGAAATCAGACGCGCAGTCTGTACTAAAGGCTCGCCCGTTGTGGGGCTATGAGTCGTAGGATGTATTTCGGCAGCAGTTGCTTCATCCTCCTCAAGGGGCTCGAACACAATTGGTCGCAACTGATCGTGGTCTTTTGATTCTGCATCATCAGCTACGGAGGATGATCTAGTACTATGATTTCTCTTGTCGTAAAGTGGAGGATTGATGCAGTTGATATCCCTATCAAAATAAATGTCCGCAAAGTATGGCTGTGACCAAATGCCAGATTGCAGTAAGAGATGTAGCACTGGCCAGCGCGTGTACATCAATGGTTGGACCGTAATTTCGTTTTTCTCAACAGGAAAAAGCTCAGTCCGTGATAACAACTTGTCTCGCCTTGACTCTTGAAAAAGATTCTGGTACAACATTCGTGTAGATCGTTTCGAAGTTCCGTCATCTAACTCCAGAGATGCCATCTCCTTCTCGTCTTCGGCAATTACTATGCATGTCGCCGCTCCGAAGCCCATCGTAGTCCTAGTACACCCGACGTGGGCTTCTTCATCATCATGCTTTCCTTCTTCCTCGTTAAGCGAATCTTCATGCGCCTCACGCATGGGCATTGATTTACCACTTTTTATTGACGCCTCTGTCGCGCGCTCAGCAGCGAGGCGCTGATTCTCTAAGCCAATGCCTTCATAGCCGAACTTGAGCCGCATGTCTGAGTCCAGCAAAGCCTGCTCCAGCACTTCCTCCATGGTTTCACGCTGTGCCCTACAGTCATCCATGATCGTGCGTGAGTGCATGAAATGGCAAGCCACATACTCCAAGGCTGCCCAGAATAGTACAGCAAGTGGGCAACGTTGCAGCGCCAAGGCAGTAAAATTGTGATGCTTCACATTATGTGCGCGGCGCAGAGCGATGGCTTCATCGGAATCCAGCAAGATCTGGATTGCGGTTGCAAACGTCTCTCGCGTCGATGCTAGAGCCTCCTTCTGCGACAACAGAAGGCGTAACTCGGGCGAAGCTTCAGCCGCGCGCCGAAACCAAGCATCGAAATCGACGATCTCGATATTGTCGAAGTCTGATGTTGTTTCATTCGCACGTAACGGAAGGTCCTGCGGAAGTGCTGGTTGTTCTTGTTCGCGACGTGGTCGTTCTGGTTCATCTTCATCTTCATGATGATAAGCCTCCACCACGTGATCGGTATTCACATAGCGAAATTCGATGGGCGGAACTCGCTCACAGTCGTAGTCTGGCAGCACATCCGGAAGGTCTGTGCCATCGGCTTGGCCATACACCGTCAAATCCTGAGACACATGCCAGAAGATTCTACGAAAACGAGGCTCATTTCCAGCTTGTTCTTGCAGCGAAAAAGCAAATGCCAAAGTAGTGGTACTAGGCTGCTCCTTTTCCGACCAGAGAAAGCAGCTCGTCACTAACAACCCGACTCGGCAGCAACCTATAAAGCGACGAAGGAAGAGCATTGTCATCATGTCAGTGGTCCCTCATCTACTTTTGTAAGGAGAAGTGCCAGGATCATCATGATCATGTTGATGAGGAGTACTGTTAGATTCTTAACTTTTCAGCTAGTTGGTACCACACCACAAGAACATGGATCATCATGTCTCGCTGAAGATGTCTCTCATTTCGCGTCCGTCTCCAGCCTCATGCCTCTATGCGGTAACTCGTCGTGCAACTGCACACTCATATTTTAATTAGTCACGTCACAATGCTTGTGGCCCTGTGATTATTTTTCAAGTGCTTCTAGTGTACTATCATATTTATAAATATATAGATCCTCTACTTCTTCGCTGTGGTCTCGCCATTCTCTCTTGAAGTTTCGCTGTCCTTCATCGGCATTCTTACAGTAGCCACAGAAACGCGCGATTAGTCGCGGATCAATGCACGATCCTTGAACACCCGGTCGAGCACTGCACTAGGTTGATACAACAACGCTGTGGTCGTAAATACGGGATATTTACCTTTTTGGGGTTCAATTTTTGTCGTGACTGTTGTTTTGGGAATTACAAGGGAGATGTGATTAGATTTAGAATGTCGCCAGTTTCCGGGTCTGTATCTAAAGAAGCGTCCTCAAAGCCGTGAGTGCGTTTCTGTCACTGTCATACCCTATCTTGCGTGCGGGAGGTGGTGCGTTTTCCAACAAAATCTTCATCAAATCATGAAATTGCTTCCCTCAAAAGGCGGGAGCGAAATGCCACAGCTGCGTGGTACTAATTCGGGTTATCAACGAATCTATCAGATAAGCTCGTGTAGAACGCTATGGCCTAGTAGTTGCTCTACTGCCGTGTAGAGCTAGAGCATGGATCTTTTTTAGTGTCGTCATATCTGAGAGCACAAACGCTTCTTGTGCCAAATCACAAGCTTGAAGTAGGGCCATCAACAAGACCTCATCTTTTGGACGAGTCATTTTCGCCACTACAATATCAACAACATCTTGTTTTATGGGCGAACATCATCTTCGAATTACAAAATCGAACTATCCAATCGTGATTGACTGCTTACTCTCTCATTGATATAGTAAGCTAGTATGATTAAAATCGAACTGCGCCTGCGGTGGTGGAACTCAATATGGTCAATTTTCATATGTGTGATGAAGACGGGTTGGGGAAGAAAGGGCAAATTATTCCTATAATTTGGGGTACGAGAGCAACAGATCTGCGAAAGATGATTATGATTTTTCGGCCGCGTCTGCAGTTTTCGCTTTTGAACTTTCATCGACGGCAACGGGCTTTTCTTCTTCCTTTTTCTCAGACTTTGCAGCTTCTGGTGTCTCCCCTGCGGCTGCGCTACCCTTTGTCGTCTCCGAGGCCGCTGATGCGCCGGCAGCAGACTTTTGATCGCCAGCACTCTCATTCTTTGAAACGCCTCCATCCTTACTCTCAGCGGCTTTCGCCTTTGCGGCCTGTGCTGCCGCGAGAGCAGCGGCGGATCCCAGCGCCGGCGCAAACTCCGCTTCGACCTCGGCCGGAAGCTCCTCATGGAATCCACAGTTTCGTCTTTGGACTTGCACCTCTCGTCCATTGTCGAGCAGCACGCGGAGCTTGTTTCCTACCTTTTCGAGGACAACTCCCTCTACCTGTTGGAGTGCAAAATAGGAAGGATCAACATAAAGCAAGTATGTAAAAATGATCGAGGGAAAGATGATCTATCAGGAAAGTGAGGCAAACTTGACGAATCATTCCGACATGTCGAATATTCCTGCAACGGGAGATGATGGACGAAACCGACGGAAAAAAAGATACAACAACTTCACTCCGAATAACAAGTATTAATTCGCATTTAGCAAGAAAGTACCCCATTGAGGCTGCCATGCGACGTGAGGTTTATCAGCGACATCCTCATCTTGACGCAGTAGTGTTTCTTACCCGGTCTCTCGTGGTCAGATGATGACGAAGAGGCACTTCGCGAGCGCGAAGACGAGCGGCTTGAGCTAGACGAGTGAGACCGCTTGCTGGGTGACTGCGAGTTTCTGCTTCTACTACAACTACGTCCCCTCCCCTCTGCTGCTCTCTTGTCGTTTGTGTCGTGCTTTGTATCCCCTTCTGTGTGCGCTGTTCGAGGTTGTTCGCCTGGTCGTGATCGTGAGCGTCGCGCCTGTGAGCGGTCTTGAGACCGCTTGCTCTTCGAGTTGTTCCGCGCTTGGGAGCCGCGGCGGTCGCGACTTCCCTCTCGTTTCTCCCGAGGCCCGCTTGTCGGAGGCTTAGTCGCGTTGCGTTCACGGCTACCGCGCGGTCGTCCGCGGTTTCTGCTACCACTCTTGCTTCGACGGTCGCGGCTACGTCGACGGCTGTCGCCGCGATTTCCACCGCGAGGGAGATTGTTGTTGTACTGATTTCTGTTGTCCATGTTGTTGCGACCGCCGTTTCCATACTTATTGCGATTGTTGTTATGGTGGTTGTTGAAATTCCGAGGTCCAGCTGGATGCTGATGGCTGGTGTTGTGGCCGCGGCCGTGTGCTGGAGACCTGCTTCGACCTCCTCCTCTATTATTTCTGTTGTTATTGTGTCCATGTCCGCCGCGCCGGCTGTCTCCTCGGCGATGATCGTGGTCTCGCATGAGTTGATACTTGTTATTGTTGTTATTCTGCCGGATATTATTGTAACCAGGACGTCCCCCTGGTCCGCGATGGTTATTGTATCTGTTGTTATCATAGCCCCCATCCTTCCTACTATTCTTCATCATATTCCTGTTCCTATGACGATCGCGCCGTCCGCGTGATCCTGAATGAGAACGACTACGAGATACTCGATCGCGACGCGCAGCAGCAGCCGCTGTCGCAACATCTTTTGACGAGCCTCGAATAAACTCGCCTTCTTCAGAGGATGATCGCTTCGTCTGTTGGACTCCCCTGTCTCTGTCATCATCCTTCTTGTCGTCCTCGCGGTACCCGGCGTCGCTACGTTTTCTGTCTTTGCTCTCGTCTCGGTCTCGGTCGCGTTGGTCCGAGCCCTCGTCGTCGCGGGCTCGGTCAGGTGAAGCCTGCTCTTTCCGCCGGTCTCGACCGCGATCCTCACGTGACGAGTCCCGTTTCGTCTCCTTCCGGGCCTCGTTGCTTGGCTCTCGTCGCGATGGCTGCTTCTGTTTCTCATCCCTGAGTTCTCGGCTACCCCGCCTGTCACTGCGTTTGGCGTCGCCACGAGCGTCGTCACGGTTGACGTCTTTCTGCCCGCGGCCTCGATGAGACGTGCTGTCCTCTTGCTCTACAACTATTTTCTTTCCGCGCTTAGTCGGGCTGCGTCTCGCTGCTGCGTCCTCCTCCGCTCGACCACGGCCGCGAACGTCGCTGCGGGAGGCACTTCGTTCGAGACTGCCATCCCGGGTCGCCCTTTCGTTCCTCTTCTTCTCTTTTTTCAAATCCGTTGCGTCTGCCATTTCGTGATGCCTATTCATGTTAGCCCTCGTCCTCCGTTCATCTCTAACGCGATCATTGTTCCTGGCGCTTTGATGTCGTCCATTGCCGCGCTTTGGACTTCGTTCTCTGGAGTTTTTGCCACCGCGCGGGCCCCGATGGTCGTGCTCGTCGCGTAGACTTCCGCTTCGATAGTTGTTTTTCTCTCGGCTGCTTGATGTCTGCTCCACCGCGTTTTTCAGATCGTTGTTCTTACCCAGATGGCCGGGCGCGGCCGCGGGGTTTGCGTAATACCTCTTCTTTTTCGCCTGGATGTTCTGAATGCGATCTCGCTCATGCCTGTCCTCGCTCGCTTCGCGCTCCTCCGAGCGAGCATGATAGCGACGCTCGGCTCGGCGATGTCGTGGTGCTGGCTTGAGTATAACAGGAACTCGCTCACCTCCCGTGCGGTCACCCGAACTTCCACCCTCCATTCCGGCATCTTCCTCTGCTCGGCCATCTGCTGGGTTTATCTGCTCTTCGTCTTCGCCTGCAGCTTGGTCATTCGAGGAACCAGCTTCGTCAAGCGCGGCGGTCTTCTTTTTCTTGAGATTGGTTTTCTTCGAAGTTGTCGTGTTGGTGTCGTCACCGTGCGTTCGGTTGTCTTCGCTGTCGTCTGCTTGTCCAGAGGAGTCTCGTGCGCGCTTCTGCTTCTTGGAGCAAACCTTTGATGTCTTGATTCCCGCAAAAGAAGCATTCTTAGAGCTCATCCTTATCTGCTCATCAGCGTGTGCACAAGCGGCCTGCACCTGATCTGGACGTGGAGGATCGTTCGTCTGCACCCACATCGTCTTACCATCATCGAGACGAATCTGATTTTTACGAATTGGATTGTAGTATGACAAGCAAAGCTTCTAACTCTCAGAGGACGTAAAGGTTCACGTGTAAATCTAATTCTATGGAAAAAATCAGGGCAGCAATTTTTAGTACTAAGAAAAAAATTAATACCTCCAAAATGCTCCCGGGGGTGATCGGATGGGCTTGATCCAGCACAAAGCTTGGCTGTTGTTGACCACTAGCTATCACCTGTGGCGCCGCGCCGACATAAGTTGGAGAAGGAGCCATTACCGGAGATGGTAGGCTCTCCACCACGCGAGTCTGGTATCCGCCTGATCCACCTGCCGAGAACAAATACAAAGAGTATGTATGATCATGATGAAATGCGGATGCGCTAGATTGAAGTTGCAAACATCTACAAGTAACAGGAACTCAAAATTGAAAATCTGAAAGACTTCTGCAAAAGTATCTTCATCATATACACCAGTTGTTACTGTAACACGCTGCATAAGTGATTCGTACCTGGAATAAATATGTCGCCACGCTCGTTCTCCACCTGCTCTCTTGTTTTGAGGACCAAGCCGCTAGAAGCAATAACCTGTTTGTCGCAGGGAGAATATGGCTATGGATCAAAAAGGACAAAGAAAGGCTCTTAAGAAGAATGCAAACGCATCATGACAACAGCAAATTTATTTCATTAGCTTGATAGAACAAGATCATACATAGCTTTTAAATGCCTTCAAGGAGCACGAAAAATGTGGTACCGGTTTGCGGCGTTGGGACTTGACGACTTTCGGCCTGCTTTCAGCCTCGCTCTCCTCCTCATCGGTAACATCTGCCGTTTGCTCTGTGATTTTTTACGGTTCCAAAAGGCTTACAAAGAAATTCTATCTTTACTAATGATCGGCAAAAGTCGAGGTCTGACGTCAGGGTTTTAAGGGCGAGCAAGGAGAACCACAAGGGGCACAAATCAACGGACCAGGACTCTCAGAGTTTTAAGGGGAAAGCCAGGGAATCCCAGGGTTCCCAGGAAGGGCTAAATCGCGGTCGGGTCAGGGTTTGGCATCTCAGGGTTTGCAAAAAGGGGCACAAAAGTCAGGATCCAGTTCTCAGGGTTTTGCAGGCACAAACGGCGTCAGGGTTCGGCATCTCAGGGTTTGGCATCTCAGGGTTTGGCGTCTCAGGGTTTGGCATCTCAGGGTTTGGCATCTCAGGGTTTGGCATCTCAGGGTTTGGCATCTCCCGGCTTGGCATCTCCCGGCTTGGCATCTCCCGGTTTGGCATCTCAGGGCTTGGCATCTCAGGGCTTGGCATCTCAGGGCTTGGCATCTCAGGGCTTGGCATCTCAGGGCTTGGCATCTCAGGGTTTGGCATCTCAGGGTTTGGCATCTCAGGGTTTGGCACCTCAAGGTTTGCTTCCCGCCTCAGAGTGGCGCAGTGTCTGTCAGGGTTTAGCGCCTCAGAGTTTCGGCATGTCAGGGCTTCCCGCCTCAGAGTTGCGCCAGGTCAGGGTTTCGCGCCTCAGAGTTTCGCGCGTCGGAGTTTCGGCAGGTCAGGGTTTTCCGCCTCAAAGTTGCGCCACGTCAGGGTTTAGCGCCTCAGAGTTTCGCACCTCAGAGTTCCGGCAGGTCAGGATTTAGCGCCTCAGAGTTCCGCGGGTCAGCATTTTGCCGCCTCAGGGTTTCCCGCCTCAGAGTTGCGGAATGTCAGGGTTTAGCGCCTCAGAGTTTCACCCCTCAGAGTTTCCGGAGGTCAGGGTTTCCCGCCTCAGAGTTGCGCAATGTCAGGGTTTAGCGCCTCAGAGTTTCACCCCTCAGAGTTTCCGGAGGTCAAGGCTTCCCGCCTCAGAGTTGCGCAATGTCAGGGTTTAGCGCCTCAGAGTTTCACGCCTCAGAGTTTCGGCATGTCAGGGCTCCCCGCCTCAGAGTTGCGCCAGGTCAGGGCTTCCCGCCTCAGAGTTTCCAAGGTCAGAGTTTCAGCGGGTCAGGGTTTCCCGCCTCAGAGTTGCGCAGTTTCAGGGTTTAGCGCCTCAGAGTTTCGCGCCTGAGAGTTTCGGCATGTCAGGGCTTCCCGGCCTCAGAGTTGCGCAGTGTCAGGGCTTCGCGCCTCAGAGTTGCGCGCCTCGGAGTTTCGGCATGTCAGGGCTTTGCGCCTCAGAGTTCCCCGCCTCAGAGTTGCGCCAGGTCAGGGTTATTAGCGCCTCAGAGTTTTGCGCCTCAGAGTTTTGCCGTCTCTGGGTTTCCCGCCTCAGAGTTGCGTAGTGTCAGGGTTTAGCGCCTCAGAGTTTCGCGCCTCAGAGTTTCGGGATGTCAGGGCTTCCCGCCTCAGGGTTGCGCAATGTCAGGGCTTCGCGCCTCAGAGTTTCGCGCCTCGGAGTTTCGGCATGTCAGGGTTTTGCGCCTCAGAGTTCCCCGCCTCAGAGTTGCGCCAGGTCAGGGCTTAGCGCCTCAGAGTTTTGCGCCTCAGAGTTTTGCCGTCTCTGGGTTTCCCGCCTCAGAGTTGCGTAATGTCAGGGTTTAGCGCCTCAGAGTTTCGCGCCTCAGAGTTTCGGGATGTCAGGGCTTCCCGCCTCAGGGTTGCGCAATGTCAGGGCTTCGCGCCTCAGAGTTTCGCGCCTCGGAGTTTCGGCATGTCAGGGTTTTGCGCCTCAGAGTTCCCCGCCTCAGAGTTGCGCCAGGTCAGGGCTTAGCGCCTCAGAGTTTTGCGCCTCAGAGTTTTGCCGTCTCAGGGTTTCCCGCCTCAGAGTTGCGCAATGTCAGGGTTTAGCGCCTCAGAGTTTCGCGCCTCAGAGTTTCGGGATGTCAGGGCTTCCCCCCTCAGAGTTGCGCAATGTCAGGGCTTCGCGCCTCAGAGTTTCGCGCCTCCGAGTTTCGGCATGTCTGGGTTTCCCGCCTCAGAGTTTCGGCGGGTCACAGTTTCGGCGTGTGACACTGTTTCACCGAGTCGCGAAGACGTTAGCGGGCTCTAACGCGGCCGCCAGCCGCGTTTGGGCCGTCTAACGTCGGGCCCGCAAAGGGGCCCGACTCAGCTCGCGTATCGGGGGGAGATCGCCCGCGGTACGGTGAGCCCGGAGGCTGGAGCCCACCCAAGAGCTCCGTGGGGTTGTTTTCTCCGAGAATCTGCGGGGAAACCTGCACGCGCCGGGGGGCATTGCCCTGAAGCTCACGGTCTCTTTATCTCCTGCTCCTAGCAGCTCCTTCTCCCTCGTTCACCTTTCCCTCCTCTCGGACCGCTAAACACACGGGAAACGACTAGTGCAAGTTAAACAAAGTTGTACGATAGAAATGCCAAAATAACATAAAAAACGCATTCAATTGCAGAAGCTAGTACTTTTTGACCCCTTGAAAAAGGCAGAGACACACATAAAAAATCTTAAACAAATACCATTCGTGGTCTCCGCTTTCGCCGGAGCTGCAGTTGTTGGCTTTTTCTTTGTCGCAAGTTTTGCACGCGCCAGCTTCAATTTTTCCTTCAGCGCAGACTGCGATATCGACAAACTCTCGAAACCACCCTTCTTTTTCGAACTTTCGTCATTTTCGTCCGCTTCTTGAGGTTCCCCTTCATCGGGTTTCGCTTCAGTGCCGGTTTCATCTTCCTTGGTTGCTGCGTCCGCTTCCTCGCTCGTGGCTGCTGCAACAACCACTGTGCCTCCAGGTTTGATACCCCCGTCATCGCTCTCTGCAGCGACCACCAAAGGCTCCTCCTCGAAAATAGGCTCTCCCTCGTCGTCGCTCATTATGAAAGATCGATAAGACAAATAATGAGAAGTAGATTCCTACTCCTACACAAGGCTGAAAATCGGATGTAGAAAAAGTCTGAAAGTATACATAGAATCTAGTTTGAGTTAGAGATATTCATAATCATATATATCTGGAAATATAAAGGTTGCGTCGATTTCCAGTGCGTATACACGATCTCGTTCAATACATAGTCCGTTATTTGCCACCAAGTCTGACAAAGAGGCAACACCGTACAGAATTATCTAGACGACTCTCTTAGCTACCCGTGGTTTATTTCATCATAGCTTACGGGAAGTAGAAGATTTTCGCATCCACGCCACGACCTGAAAAACCATCATTGGAGAGAAATGTTAGATGAGTCAGAATCTTTAAATGTACATATAGTTAATCAAACTGAAACTTCATGTTCTTGACGAACCAATGTCTTCAAATGTTGCCTCGCAACTCTCAAAAATCGTTATGAGGACCAGATTGACCGTTAGACATGGTTATGGATCTGCAATCGGAATTCTTGGATCTGCTTCCGACTACAAGGCTAAATTGGGATCTTCAGAAAAAATCTCGTCTGACGAGGAAGAGCTTGAAGATTGAAGGTAAGCTTGCATTTTTGGGATTGTAGACCTTGAAGCTGATCAGATAAAATTTGTATTCGAATTAACATTCTAGATGAAGGAATCAATTTCAAGTTTCATCTGACAGCACGCAAAAATTCAACATCAGGCGGAAAATTCTATTCGCAGGAGAACAGGAAGAGGGTGCTATGAACACTGGAATTTTTTGTTGTTTTGATCTTGAAGGTCTTTAATTTTATCGATTTCAGATGGGCCGAATGCTTCTTTTCCGCTTGCTCGGTTCGTGATTGTAGTAGACTCAACATCGAAAAGACCTGCGAAGTGACGAGATTCCTTCTACGTAGTCTTTGTTGCATCCCAAACAAAAGGTTCAAGAAAGGCATTGGTGGCCGCGTCGTCTCTACAAACATTAATGGGCAACAAGATTCACATTGGAGGTGTGCTGCCCTCGTCCCCTTTCACGTAGACATGAGGACTGTGGACAACTACAAGGTTCAGCAGATAGGTCTGTCCCAGTCCTTTTTCACTCCGCGAGGACTTCATCACGTCGGTCCTATTTACAAGATGTGGATGATACGAAAGCTACGCCATGGAAATAAGAATTGTAGAAAATAGTTTTTGTGGTACAACAGGAAGGTTTTTGAAAACTGATTAAGATCGTAGCAACGACTTAGCTTGAGATTTCTTAACGCAGGTGCAGTGCACTTGCAAGGGTAGAAAACTGCTAAATCACAATGTAAAACAAGATAAGACTGATTGAAAGATTGAAAGCTGAGAGCGAGGAGAAGTGCTAGAATATTTCTCATACAAGGCGATTTCCTGATTTATATGGACGAAACCATACTAGTGGGAACAAGCCGACGCGTCAGAATAAGACTAAGTAGCTATGTTTCTGAAGTCACCAGGAATAACTATCTCCGACAGGCTCGTCCTCAACCTTATAATATAACCAAAGTCTACTGGCGCTAGCGCTACAACCACCATCCAACAAGATCGAAACGACGATAAGAATCTGCATGGAAGTAGTAAAATTTTAAAAACCTCCACCGGAGCGCAACAAAATTTGTTCGCAAATAGAGGTTGGAGTCGGATCTGCTGATCCCGAGAGATACCGAATATCTACTATTCAGGAATAAGAGGACCCTTAAATAGCTGGTCTTTCCGCATTGGTCCTGCCATGAGACGGAGCTTTCGCACAGAACAGCGCTAGAGCTCGTCGTCGTAAGTAACAGGCGCGCCGCGTGTTTCGGGCGCAACCGGCGCTGCAGGCCCTGCAGTGGCTTCCGGTGCTGGGGCATCACCGGCGTTGCTGCTGCTGCGTTGTCTCGAAGGACTGCGGCTCCGAGAACGCGAAGACCTCGACCGCGACGACGAGCGGGAGGACGACCGTGAACGCGACGAACTACGGCTGCTCCGTGATCTCGAAGACCTTTGAAAAGAAGATAAATGGAAGATTGAAAGATAATTCACGCGGCCACGTTTCTCATGAAGATCATGCTGAAGTTCGTAAAAAGTTTTAAAAAAACCAGTGGATAAGTTGCTGCTCCAACTACTACTCAATTTAATACCTAGAGCGAGATCGGGAGCTCGACCTCGAACGCGCCCGACGACGCGAACTGTGGGACCGTGATGACGACCGCGAGCGTGATGATGAACGCGAGCTCGAACGGCTAGAATCGCTGTCGCCGTCAGGGTTACCTGATGAATAGCAAGGATGGATTATGAAGTTTTTACCAGAGTCGCCCTGTATTATTACCAACCGTGCGAAACAAAAGATAGAAGAACTAACAAAGACTATCTCTATTTTCGATGCCTCCTTGAACAAAAGTTGTATGAGCAGTAAAGCTAATAGATTCAGAAGATGAAAAGAGCTTCTTGACATGTAGAGTAGGAGTACTACCTGCTGGTCTAATAATTTCCTTCCCGTGGAACCATCGACTCCTCAAATTCTCTAGGTTCAGTGGCGGCCCTTCATACACGTTAAGCTCAAAATCCGCATTCAGGTGATCCGTCTGCGTGCATCCATGACGCAAAGATACCTATGATGTATGTTCACGATATTTATTTATAATATAATGATTCCATTATAACCGATCACAAAATCATCAGGATTGAAATGCAAAGGGCGACCTCCACACATTTTTAGTGGAGGGCTCTACAAGATTCCTCACTGTTGTAAACCTAGTTGTATACAAGCCTTACGTCTAAAAGAAACAACCAGATGAGTACCGGTCCAGTCTTCTTGAGTCCCGTAGATCTGTCACCATCATTTTCTATGGTCGTCCACTGGACTCCGCTGGTCGCAGGTGCGGGTCTACGGGGTTTGCGCTGTTCTTCCGGTGCGACGGGTGGCGGCGTCCGTAAACCACCTGGCCCAACCCCGCGCTGCGGAGTTAGGATACCTCCTGGACCAAGGGTCGACCTAATGCCTGTACTGCCCGCTTCGACCGAGGCCACACCGTCTGCACGGAGCGAAGACTTGACACCAGCGCCTGCTGACTTGATGCCATCAGGCGCTGCCGAAGTCCCAGTTGCAGGTCCCACTTGCTTGATGGTAGCTGAGGCTGCTGCAGCAGAAGCGTCGGGTTTCTGGTCTGCTTCTGCTGTTGCATCTGTCTTCGCACGCTTGCTCGCCCGCCGGCTCGGACTTCCTTCGCCAGAAGATTCCTCCTCCATAGCGTAGGTTCGCTCTTTTTTAGGACCACCCTTGCCAGCAGCAGAAGCCTCCTTATTGGTCGATACAGCCAAGGCTGTAGCGCCTTCTGCAGCGGTAGCAGATCCATCTTTACCGTCTTTATGGATCAGGTCCTTCGCCGCACCAGCCCCACTGGCTGTTGTAGTCGTTGCTGGCGTCGTGTCTTTCTCGTTCTCGCTCTGGTCAAAGCTACTCTGCGCGCCCAGGTTCGCCTTCGCGTTCTGCTTCTTCAGATACGCTGAACCGCTGTTCAACTGCGCCAAAATGTCAGCACTAATGCCAGTAGCGCCTTTAGCCTTCCCCTTCTTACCCTTTCCTTTCTTCCCCTTGCCTTTTACAGGAGCAGCCTTCGGAACTGCAGCAACAGAGCCACCTTTACCCGTTGTCACGGCTGGCTGTGTTGCTGCGGCTCCTTTACCTTCGGCTCTCGCCGCGGCTTTTTCTGTTTTCGCGTCGGCGGTGGGCTTGTTCTCTGTCTTAGCATCACCTGTTGATGACGCAGGTCCTGCGGGCTTGGCATCGAACGGTCCGGCAGTGCCTGCTTTGCCTCCTGCAGCAGTTGCAGGTGGTGGGGCCGCTGCGCTGAATGGTGGCGCTCCTCCGGTCGGCACCACTCCAGTGGCTTTTGGCGAAGCGACGATCGCTGTATTCACGGTTTCGCAGGGATCCTTGCGAAAGAACTTCCCCCGACCGACTCGAGGAACCGAATCCCGATTCGCCTTGTCACGTCGCACCATCTGAAATCGGTCAATAATATTCACTGGTGGTGGCATCAACGACGGACCAGTGTACTGCTCCCGTTTGCGGTTATTTGCTCGAGCAATCTGCGCGGAGTAGTCCTCAGCGCTCAACAGCTTGGGATGGCGCGACAAAAACTTCTCGTCATTCTCTAGCGGATTCGTCAACGCATCCACAAAATTGAAGTAATTCTCCAACATTTGCCTGTAGAAGGATTGTAACTAATTAGAAAAGCCTACTAAATGATACAACTGTCATTCCCAACTCATCTGAACTCAAGTATCTAAAGGCGGCAGACGAGCCTGCTGAAAGCGGGGAACAAGAACCATATTTAGAAATGAAATTGAATAGATAATGAAAATCCAAAGTCAACGCAGTACGGAAGACTCTCAGGTCCGGCTGGTCCGAGGGTGCCCAGACTGGTGAGTCCCATGCCACTGGAGGTCTCCGAGCGTTTGGTGAGATTCCTGCTGTGAGGACTGCTGTGTTTCTTCTCGCCGTCGCGCGTGCGCCTCCGGCCTTGGTCACCACCACGATTTTCTCGGGACCGACCACCACCAGTAGCACGTCGTGGGGAGCGGTCTTTGCTTGTGCGCGCCCGCCGACGCTCTTCGTTGGACCCTTTACTCCGGTTCCGACTGCGACGTCGGCGGTTTTCTCTGCGACCGCGCCCACGGGAGTGAGATTTGCTATTTCCACCGTCCTTGGTACGCGTTCTGTGCCGATCGTGGCTGCTACCTCGGCCACGGCCCCGTTCCCTGTGCTGTGGTGCCGGGACAAGGTGGGTGATGCCACCACTTGATGTTGGGACCGAGACAGCCCCTGGGCCTGGCAACAATTGCACTCCTCCACTGGAAGATGAGGTGGCGCCTTGCTGGTCAGATGGTTGGGGTGGTCCAATAGCTGTTGACCCGGCTTGCTGGACATAGGGGTTGTGGATTTGCGGGGACGAAGATAGTGCGCTAGATGAAGCTTGTTGTGTCCCTGTAGCAGTTCGGCCGTTTTCAGAGGTACCTGTAGTTTGGTGCCTTCTTGCCGAAAAGGGGCCTGACAGACCACTCGCAAGCGCCTCTGGGTTCACGTAGCGCGTCACGTTCCTCTGTCCGGAGGATCCGCTTGCAGATGAGCCGCCGAGAGCTAGTGAGGGTAGTCCTGGTCCGTTGCGGTCTTGATGCCTTCTCGTCTGTGCGCTACGACTTCGATCTGTCTCGCGCCCATAGTCCCCGATCCTCGCTTGCGACGCATCCCCCGTAGACGCGGAGGAACGACCCTGCAGATCTACTCCATCGTCAGCAGCTCCTTGCTTCGGCGTGGGTCTGTCTGATATCGACGCTTCCTGATCGGCAACAGCGCTCTCGCCATTTGCACGCGGTCCTTCTATTCCGCGTGACCTGTTATGATCGGTGGGAGCCGGCTCTTCGTCACCCGTTGCCGAAGACGACGATCCGTGCCGTGGAGCTTTGCTATCGCCGTCTGCGCCGCTAGTAGCGCTGCTAGTCGCATAGGGATGTCGCGCTGGATGGAGCTGTGGCAGCGACGACCCTGGTTGCGTTCGCTGCGGCATTGATGCGTGTTGGCGGTCGCGGCGACGTTCTCTATCGCGACTGCGTGGTCGATCGCGGCCTCTTCCAGTGCGATCTTGCTGTTGACCGCGGTCTCGGCTGCGCTCGCGCTGATCTCGACGTCGGTCGCCTCGCGAGTTTCCGCGACGTCTGCCGCTCTGATTGTACTTAGAGGAACTGCTTATCCGACGTCCGCGGTCTCTCTGCAAATGCTCCTCGCCGGAAGGTATTCCGTGTTGGTCGCGATGATGATATTGGTTGTTGGAAGATGCATGCAAGCTACTACTGCTAGCGTTGCGCGCGTCACTGTAGTTACGGGGGTGCTTGTTGGTGTGATATTGCTGGGAGTTGCTTGAGGATGCTGGGTTATTGAAGTTCGCAGATTGTTGTTGGGAATCCGCGCTGGACCTTCCTGGGTGAGGAGGTATGAAGGGGAGGTTGTCGCTGGAATACTGCTCTCGGTGAGGTCCTCCTGATGTTGATGACGCGTTGAAGGCGTTGGCATCTGAGTTACCGCTTCGAGATGCCTTATAGTCGCTTCGACCACGACGTTGATTGTCTTGTCCACGAGAGCCAGCTTCGTGATTGTAGGAGTCGCCATCATGCCGTGCTCTTTTTTTCGCCCTCTTTGCGTCCCGACCTTCAGTGTTCTTGGAAGATAATCTTGACTCACCCAAGTCAACTAGCTCGGCGTCATCACTAATCGCGCTATGAGCGTCCTGTGGAAGGGGCACTGCAAGAGGTGGCTCGTCGAATCGCGACCGTCCCCGCGTCATAGTACTAGTTGATCCCACCGCGCTACTCGTTGCAGAGGATGCGCTAGCGGCACCCGCAGGTTCCGCTACTTTCGTCACTGTCGCACCAGCCTTGTCTACGGAAGGGCTCTCTAAAAGCTGGCTAGTGTCGTTCTTTGTCTTTTGCACAACATGCGTCTCGAATGCAGCCGCGGCTGCGCGACCTCGCTGGGTACTTCTATCGATAGGGGGTGGACTCGGAGATGATCCGGCAACAGCCCTGGATCGAGCACCCGACTCTCCTGTTCTAGTCGGGCGGCCTTGGCTCGCATCCTCATCCAAAGCACTCTGCTTCTGCCGGGCGCCGGACGGGGCATCACGATCGCCGCGATTTGACAGTCTTCCGGCGCTCCCCTCCTCACTAGACTCAGGGATGCGGATGTTTGACGATGGCTTTTCGCCCCGCCACTCTCCTCTACTTCGCACAGCGTTGCTTCGATCGCGGAGGGGCGCAGCGCCGTCTGCAGATCGATCTTTGTTTCGCTCGGTTGGACCTTCAGAACGAGCGCTGGTCTTGCCAAGATTCCGCCCACTAGTATCTCGATCGCGACTTTCTTCTCGCTTCGCCGGTTCCTTTTCGCGTGCTTCCGAGGATGAGGAGGACGGAATCGCAGGTCTAGTTATCGTCCGACTTCTCGTACCGGCTGGTCTGCTACCACTTCGAGCTCCTCCTCGTTCGTCTTTTCCATTTGCGTGAGGCATATTTGACACGATCTTGGCTGCTGAAGGCGCAGCTCCTGAGGGTTCCGCCACGTTGCTGGTTGTGCCAGCACTAGCATTGTTCTTCTCTTCCGGCACAGATGATAGAGCGGCATTTTTCGAGCTTTCTTTCGGATCGCCCTCGCCCGCACGCTCTTTCCGTGACCGGTCTTCTTTGCTCGTGTCCCGATTCGACGTCGCGCCGCGATCCTTCCGCTTATCGCGTTTCGAGCCTCGGGCTCGCGTAGCCCGAGGTGGTGAGTCCTCTTCACGCTCGCTGTCGTCACTACTCGAGTCTTTACGATCCCGCTTTTTACTGCCCGCTGCAGACTTATTTGAACGGGACTGACTTGCTGGTGGCGCCGTGGCTCCTTTAGTAGAGACTGCTGCTGCTCCAACGGTATTGGTTGATGACGCAGGTGCCTTTCGTTTCGATGCCGTGGAGGTGCTGCGGTCCAACGCCTGCTTCGCCGTCGAAGCGCATTCTTTGCCAGATTTTGTCTCCTTTTTCTTCTTCTTTTTGTCCGTCTTTTCGGCGGCAGCCTCCTTCTTATCCTTCTTTTTCTTGTCCTCCTTTTTGTCCTTCTTCGAGCTGGTTTTGCTGCTGTTCAAGATTTCCAACTCCTTGTCTTCACTCTTGTCGCGACCTGCAGCCTTATTCTTCTTCTCGCGCCCGCTTTCCTTGCTGCCCTCCGTCTTATCAGCCACGCGACTCTCTTTGCTGCTTTCCTTCTTTTCTTTGCTTTTACTGCTGCCGCCCTTGTTCTTTGACTTAGTTGACCGTCCTGCAGCAGAATCACCTCCAGTCTTTTTAGTGGTTGAAGAAGAGGCTGCCTTTTGATCTTTCTGCGAGGTCTGCTGCCGACTGCTCGTCTGCGCAGCATCCTGCTTGACATCCTTCTGCGGGCGTTCATCGGATTTGTTGCTACTGGAGGAGTCCTTCGAAGATAATGGAACAAATACGGTCACCTTCGCCGCCTTCGGCGAATCCTTGCCGCTTCCCGCATCATCCCTATCGCTATCCGAGGGAGGGCGGCCACCTATTAGTTCAAGTTGTTTTTCACATGATCAAAGAGTGGTTCATGATGTAGTTATAAACAAAGGAACATCTGCTCTACTTTTTTCCGATGATTACTTCACATAATGATGGATTGAAAGCCAGTGGCATACAATCAAACCATCAACACTCTAGAGAGTGATAAAAAATCACATTCGTGAGACGTGCATGTTCTGTTTGAAGTGACAAACGCAAAAGTACGGTATCGCATAGTATGAAAAACAAGGGCACCTCCTGCTTTATTTGAGATCGAGGGGGCAGCGCGTTCTCTACCGCGTCGTTGGCCATCACGTGTACGTTCTCTTGTGTCGGGTGACCTTCGATCTCGCTCGCGGTCTTCTTTTCGGCTCTCTTTCTGTCGCCTATTACGAGTGCCGTCAGTGCCTCGTTCATTTTTGGGAATTCCATGAGAATGTACGTACGAAAACAAAGATGCATCTTACGCTTAGTATAAATCAACATCAACAATAGTTTTAGTTTGACATCTCATCCGCGGTCAGATGGATAGAAGAAGGTGAAAAGAAGTCGTTCTTGATGTTGTATCGCCAAGATGTTGTTCTGTTAATGCTACTGCGATGTTCTTGATACTACTTTCTCCACGCAAAAAACCTTGGTCTACGTGGACATGACATGTGCTTCTTCGTCTGGTTGAAGGGCAGCAGGACACTTTTCGAGGCACGGCGCAATGAAAATGGAAATGGTCAAATGTTGTGCATGTTGAAGAAGCTGTAGTTGAGGTCCTCAATACTGGTGGGGCCACTGAAGACTGCAACCTTGATGCTCCCGCCAACATTGACAAGAAACTACTACATCAAGTCGTAGTTTGTGTCCTCTTGGTGGTTCTTTAGAAGTCGCTACTCTGTGCTGCATGGCCCATCTTCATTCTTCGCCCACCGTCAGACTACTTGTGACACGCTGGTATGGCACCACCCGCAAGTATTTCAACCACGCACGAGCTGGCTGCTCCACGAAATGCCTTTCTTGCCAACCTCATGATAAGCGCAACAGGCGTATGGCAGACATCAACAACGCTTTTCTTTCTCATCCCATGCAGAACCATGATAAAGGAAAATTACTCACACTTTTTACTTACGGCGTGATATCTTTACCAAGCATTTTGATCCTGCCCTGACCATCTTTGAATAAGCACACTCATGCGCTCGAAGAGCCTGATCCATCTGAAAGTCAAATATGGAATGCAATCAATCTGAAACTAGGAAACAAGAACTAATAGAACTGATATAGCAAAATGGACGAATAAAAGAAAAGAAAGCACTGCAGCTGCTGAAATCAGTAGGCTTAAATGGAGTCATAATTTTCATGATGTACTTATAGAGTAGATACAATGGTAGTGAGCAGAAAATTTGGATATACATATTTGAACTCTTTTTCGTTCTGTTTCTGCTGCTCAACGGTATTTATCTGGTGTTCTAATAATCGTGTATTGCTTTTTCTTCACATTCATCTTGCTGAAAAAAAACAAGGTGCGACCAACAACTCCTCGTTTTATGTGAGTATGCGACGATGATGATGAAACGTGCAACTTTCGTCCTCTTCAAATAGGTGGAACGCACTGACGAAATGTTGACTCTGTTTTGTGGTAGAGTGGTGCTGGTTTCTTCCGATTTCCCATACGGCGTGACAATCGGATATGCACCCGCACTCCAGTCCGGGTAAGAGTTACATTTGTATTAGAACAAGTAGAACGCAGCCGAGTCAGGAGGCACCACTACATTGGCGCATCCACCCCGCATCCTGAAAAAATACGATTCTTAGCCGCTGAAAATCGACGACAGGACCCATCGATCGGACTCCTTCTCTGCCACCTCCGACCTCGGTTGAGGCAACACGAGCACACTCGCTCATGACTTCTGAGGCTATGGGTGCCTTACTTTGATGCTCCCGGGGACACCCTTCAATAGTAAGAGCGAAGGCCTCTTTCTCCGCTTTAGAAGGGAGATAACTCATAAGGACGCTTAACACACATAAGGCACAGTGAGACCTTCTCCTTTCTAAACAACAACTCTGCCTAGACTATCACGGTCCTGTAAATAAACTGCCTGGACTACGAATATAAACTGGAATACGAGGATGTTGAGCGACTAGGGAGATATGAAACTACGGCTCAAGGATGAGAAAGACAAACGAAACAGAATAATATTGAGGATTCCTTCACTCCGAAAATTCCAGATCCCGAAGTTTATTGATAATCACATCTGTTGACGATCTGTTGGGCAATTATAGAAAATGGGGAGCTTTCACGTTGCTATACACAATCGATGTAAACATCTTGTTAGTGGTCACTATTTCTCTCTTGCCGTTCGACAGAAAGGCTCTCCTTCTAAAAAAGCTACATATGAACGAGTGTATGGTCTGTCTGGGATATGATCACGATCACAAAAACGCCGCAAGTATCTCTTATTCTTCATTTGCTAGTACATATTCCAACTCTAGTCACTGATGGCCGAGATGGTCATGGTTTCCTACATTTCGTGAGTGAAAAAAAATCAGACAAAATCATAAAACTGCCTGTGTCGCAACGTGTCGCTGATACAGAAACTGGCGCTCGTGAGCAACGCGAGGCACCGAGAAGCGAGCGTCGCCGTAAAGTGCAAATATTACTCAGACCCCTTGCGTTGTTGCAACGCGACAAAATCAAAACAATTTGCGACGAAGTCGAAGATGACAGTAGAAGAAGTTTTGTGCACGTGCAGTTCCTTTGTCCCCTGCTACTGAAGTAATTGTACTATGCGCCACGGTGGAGTAGTCGTGGTCAAAAGCAAGTAGTTTTCTGTCATCGCCTTGAAGATCTGACGCAGCTCCATCTTGCTTCACAAGCAGTAAGCACAGAAACTCGACACCTCGACTATGGAAGCACTTGTGTCCTTGTTGTAGTCATGACTGAAACTTCTACTACTATCCATGCTTGCAGACAGCCTCTCTACTCTTTTATCAACTATTCTGGAATATCTATACCTACAAAAACGACCCTAGAGTTGTTCGGAAGATATCAATTCATTGTGGATTGTGGTGCATCTGTAGGTGTAGACAGAGGTTGAATATCTAAGTACCCGCAAGAGTCATCTGGCGATCGCGATCTCCTTCCTCCACAAGGCAATTGTAGACTCGCTTTTTTTGACCACTAACCTGCAATTAATTTGATGGAAAGAAACAGAATCGCTTTCTCAGAATCGATTTTGCGTTTTGTGATCTTTGTAGAGGAGGCTATCCGAAAAAAAACTTCATTTTTTCATCCTAGTACTATTGTTTTGTCTAGTACAACTACGAAATCTACTGCAGCTCATTTAGTACCTCTTATTTGCTCTGTACTTCTGCAAGAACAACTTGTACACTAGAAAAAGGCTAATCAAAATATGTGACTCTGCTCTGAATTTCTGAAATTGATACTCCTGATTTGCCTGACGGCTGCGCCAAGTGCACACTGCGCCGGCGCTCGTCCTCATCGCTCCACTTGGAATACATTGTCTCTGTCGCCACTTCTACTAATTTGTACGGACCTGCTGGTGATTACTGACTACGACTAGATCTGGATCTACAATTTCTTGTAGCACGAGGGCTCCGAAGGAGGGGCCGCACGAGACGAGCCGTCTCGCTGGCTGTCCGCTTTCGTCTCAGCACGACATTAGGAGGGGATACTTCGCTGCGTATGCAATCCCAAGGCGAAACTCGCCTGAACGAAGGTCAGGAGGTGCCTGAGGCAGCTGAAGGCGACCAGTGTGTCAGACAGGTGGGTCTAAGAACTCGACCACGCACTGACTAAATCTGCTTCAGCATCACTTCTGATCCGGTCCTCGGAAAAACGCGACGAAAACACGTCGGGATCAAGCAAGATGTCTACTACTTTCGCACACTGACAAGGCGAGAAAAAGAAGTTGTCGACTTCAGCTTTCAGGTCTTAGAGGTGCAATTCAATCACCTTCTCTGACCGCAGAAGAAATCTCGTTGCTTGTTTCGCGCTTTCTTTCGTTTACTGGTACAGACTACTGAGTTGGCAGTTCGAAGAACAATGGCACCATGGAGCGCGCCCGTGCACTCTCATGCACTCGTCCGCGAAGAAGAAGTAGCCTGTATCTTTTACATTTAACCTAACATAGAATTATATCGCTGCTTGAATTATGCACGATCTGCGAACCTACGACTTCGAATAACCAGTACGAACAAACAGAAAACGCTTAGTACTTTTTACCACAAGTTCTTAGTATTTAGGTTCAGCCTGATGACCTGTGATCATTATACAGATATGTTCACTCTCTCCCTAACCTAAAAAAATTTTGGGATTTAGTCAACTGAAAACAAAATAATGCTGTGAATATCAAGACACGGAAGACACAAAACAAAACACCACGCACCTGGATAAAAGTTTGAGACACAAGAAGCAAAACAAGTGTAATTATCGTACAGCAGCACACAAGAGGGAGTCGCATGATGAACCATGCATGGCGTTTTTGGCATAAAGAATAAGCCCAGCCGTTTGATTCACTTGCAAGCAAACTCAACAATCGCAGCGAAAAGATTTTAAAGCATACTTGTGGTCGTACTCCCATTCAAGAATCTGCAGTGAGACGTGAATAAAGAAAAATGTGAAAATGCAAAAATCGCCACAATTCCATTTCATTCAGGTACTTTGTTGAGTGCTATTTCTTTGCACGGTGACCAGATGAGACACATCTGTAGTTGCATTTGGATTCATGTCAAAAATTTCATTGCGGATTTAGCATCGGCTCATTTGGATTTTGCTCTCACGACCTGGCAGAAGTTCTAGTAAATACGGTTATCTTTTTACTGGTTAGATTCAACGCACGTGCGTTACATTCTTGTATATCTCATGTCTGTAATTCTTTGAAGAAAGTATTTCTATTCGCTGCACCTTCCACAATTCCAGCATCATAAGCATCTGTCATTGATTTGAATTCGTTTGTCAGCTGCCTGTGTCCTTGGTCTGCCTAAATTTTGCCATCGCATCAGCATTGCTACCTAGTTCATTTTTTCACCACTTTGTTCGTAAAACGCACACCAACATTCATATGTCCGACGACCGAGTGTGTCATCCGTACAACTACAACAGGCTCAGTTATATATGATCCAGGGCGCGAGGCTGCCTGGTGCCCCCCCCCTACGCTAGGGGATGGAAGGCCTCAAAAGGGGGCCCAGTGACCTCCCTCCTCCGCTCCCTTCCAGCTGCCTGGCTGTTGCCTACAGGCCTCCGATGTAGGTGGGAGGCTTCAAAAAGGGCCCAAGGGGCCGCCTGCGGTCCCGTCCAGGTGCCTGCCTGTGCCCTAAGTGCCTCCGATATGCTCCGCCCCCGCAGCAGTGCGCCGGTCGTGGAAGGCCTCCGAGGGCCGCAAAAGGCGAGGGGCTGGACCCCCTGAGCCGCGCAGCCTGTGCCCTCCGGGCCCTTGGTCATCGGCTTGCTTGCTCTTGCGACCGTGGCCGCCCTCGGCGGCCTTTTACCCCGGAGACCTCCCGCCTGCGAGGGTCAGCAGAGGCCAGGAGGCCCCTGAGGAACCCACGGAGAGGCGCAAGGGGAGGCCCGCGCCAAGTTTTGACGCCTTCCACCACTCGAATCCGCGAAAATCAGCGCGGAAAAGCGCGCGCGCGCGCGCGCCACCACAGACCAGACCACAGGGGGGGGCACCGTGCCAGCCCTAAAGCATATATACTTGTGGGCATGAACCCGACAGCAAGATTTTCTTTGTCAATCTTTTGCTGCACACTTTCTTGGAAACCTCCTCTTGCTGCCAATCCGAACACAAGCAAGATACTTCATTGGTACCCATCTTAGAATAATCTTTCATCTGTATCTGGTAACAAAGCCGTCCAGGGGTTTTGTTCCTCGTCGTACCTAGGTCGTTGTCGCTGAGTCATTAGGGCTACATGAAGTGTGGGATAATCTGGATAGCGATAGGAAAAACGAGACAATAATTGGTGTGAGGGGGTATTCGCTGGGTCGCTGTCGTGCGTGTCGCCAATTTTAGTACTTACTCAACAGTTCTACCTTGATATAACGAAGTCAGTGTAGTGTATTACATGTCCATGTCGTGCCACTTGTCTAAAGTCTAACGAATACGAGTCGGAGCCAAGCACCGGTTTTTCCTATTTGTGTTGTTCAACTTGCAAAACATGTACAAGCACGACTCGTTATGTTCGGATCTGATTCTGTATCTTCGATCTCTAGCTCAAGAAATGGAATTGATGACACGACTCTCAAATAACCAGAAAGTAATAAAACACGCAAATGTCGTCGAGAGATTATATGCGAAAGAGACGCTAAAGGATCCTGCTACTTAGGAAGATCATACACGGACGACTCATAGCTGCAAACTATAACTAACACGAACTCAGCAATTAATTAAAGATGTCACGGAAGACAAAAAATGCTGCACACGGAATAAGCTATGGCGGGGTCAGGCTTGGGCGTCAATTCATTCAGAGGGCTATAGTTTGAGGCATAGGGATATGTGCGTTGGAGAATTGTCGCTGGGAAAGAGAGGTCTCGCAGGTTCTTTTGCGATTGGAGGAGAGCAATTCCGGTCACCCAGTAGGATAGCGTGCAAAGGCATCACCGTGTACTAACATGCCTGCAGTTTTGCATCCACTTCTGTGAGTGTTTTCTCGGTGATGAATGACACTGTCACAGCAATACATAGTACTACAACAATAACCATTGAGATTGAACATCACGTTCGTGTCCCTTAAATATGATTCATACTATTGAATACCCCTATTATCCCTATAGTATATTTTTGCTCTTGGAGAGTAAATAAGTAGCGTGAGCGTAGACTCTTCGAGTGTAGGGTAACATCATGAGCAGTCTTAGCCTTTTTCATTTCGGTGCGAAGTGTGCCTCCATTTCGCAGTTATGCTGGTCATTAAGTTTTCGCACTCAAAGGACATCAGAAACTTCGTTCAAACATTCTTCTGAGCGCACTTTTCACCATTTATCGCGGTCGTCCTTAGTGTAAGGTAAGAAACGAAAAAAGTGAGCAGATGCATCGAAGGCATCGATGGATTATGCGAATGGTATACATAGAACCTGGTGCTGTATTCTCGAGTAGACGATCATACAGGTAAGTACAACTACAAGTTTTACTAGAGTCTTTATGTTTACAACGCGGCCTGTTATGAACTAATTTGCTCTTGCCAATCAAAACCATTAGTGTTTACGCGTTGGCTGCTGTTCTTCTTCGCTAGTCGAGAGGAGTAGGTGAGTAACGCGTGCACGTTGCTCCCCTGCGTGGTAGGCCTCCGATCCGTCAAGAATCTGCCTCGCATGTTCGCGCGCTTCCAGTTCTCGCGCATGATACTCTTCCTTCAGCATGCTCCATTTCACATGTCGTCGGTACTCCACAAACTGCGACAGCCCCTCCCCGAGCCCGTCGTAGATGGCACCCGTGGCAATACCGAACATGCCCACACCAGCCACACAATAGAAGATGCAGAGGATCTTTCCCGCTACCTGAAAGTCGCATACAAACCACTCGGACAACAGGAAAATTGAACCGCCGTAAATGGCACTCCACAGACTGTCAAACTCGTTCTGGTAGTGCCGTTCGCAGAGCCACCACATCGTGCCCCCAATCAAGAAAATGAACAACGCAAGAATGCCGGCATTCGCCATCAGCTGTTGCGTCGCAAGATATCCGGACACATGTAGGGACCAGTCTGCAAAGAACATGCCATGCAGAACACGCCAAACATGAAGCACAAGCACGAAGTTGCCAGTTCGTTCCTGTTGGACGGGGGAGAAACATTATAACTCAGTCAAGAAGAAGATGAAAGTTTTGAAAATGAAATTATTGGTTGCTTAAAAATCAGATTCACGTCGGTTAGAATATTTGTTTCCTGTCATGAAGAAAATCAGCAGAAAATGATTACCCAAATAACAGCTTCCATCCAGTTCGAAATCGGGACTTCGGGTTTTCCTCTGTCGCTACCAGCTTCGTTTATTGTTGGCTTCAGCAGCGGCTGACGCCCACCCTGTTCAAAGGCGTCTGGGTCGTTCGTGTAATCTTTGACATCGAGGTAAATCACCACGTTGGCGACTATGTAAACGCAAAAGAGCGTGAGGTCTAATAAGCTGGCACTCTTGGTGAACATGCGCCACATGCTGAAGTTCATTTGCGGCATGGCCCGCGCCGCTACTAGCCGCAGCAAGTATTCTACGAAGAAGAGTATCTGCGCCCCGAGAATAACATACCACAGCGCGACGGCGGTCCTCGTAAATGACGTATCAGAAATACGCGCAGCGTCCTCATCAGGTACGGTGACCCACTGCAGAGGCCTTGTGCTCAGTACAATCCCAAGAATCGAGGCAAACAGATGAAGCCCAATCATAATCCACTGATAGTAGTAGCCGCATCGAGTCACTTGCCACGGCCGTGGCGAGACGAGGGAAAGACACCACTCGGCAAACCTGATGAAGTTTGATTGTCTTCAAACTCAGAGGAAGTGGTGATATAATTATCATAAGGTGCTCAAACATTGCAAAAAGCTTATTATTGCTCTATGTTATTAATCTAGATTAATCACCCCACTGATCACCGCCACAAAACTCCCCGGCGGCCTACCCCGCCGGAGATTCGTCAGCCTCTTCCGCGAGGCTATCGCCCATAGCCCCCGGCCCCTTCCCCTCGGTCTCAAGTCCCGATAGTCTCCGACGGTTTTCATGTTGGAAATTACGGCGCGGCCCCGTGGCAGACTACCAGAAAAGAAGCCAGAAAAATGCCCGACAGGGGGGCCAGTGCGTGCGCGTGGCGCAATCTGGGGAGAGAAGTCGGAAGAGAATCACCTGACGAATGACCTCTGGCAAAAGACCCTTGGCGAGAGGCCTTTGACTGAAGACCTTTGACAAAAGACCTCGCGCAAAAGACTTCAGACGAGAGACCTCTGAGGAAAAACCTCTGACAAAAGACCTTTGACTGAGAGAGCGAGGACACCTGACGCGCAGACCTTTGATAGACAAGACCGCTGACAAGACACCCGCGACGACAGACCTCTGACGAACGACCTGCGACTGTCAGAAAAACTGACGAAAGACCTGCGGCCGAAGGCCCTTCACGATCGAGAAGACCTGTGGCGAAAGACGTCAGTCCGACGAAAGAGGTCAGCCTGGCGAAAGACGTCAGTCCGACGAAAGGCTTCGCTCAGGTTCAATCTGACGAAGGACATCCGTAGCCCGAAGAGAGGCCCCACCGGCTCAGGCTGTTCCGACGCAAAGCAGACGCCTGGCGAAGTAGTGCGCCAGTCTGGCGAGAGGCGTCACCTGGTCGGTGCATCAGCCAGACGAAAAGCACCAAGCTGAAGAAAGCCATCCACGAAGGAACCTGACCAAAGGCAGCAGCCTTGGTCCGGCGGAGGATGTCGGCCAGGCGAAGCGCTTCTGAAAGGATGACCTAAGGCTTCAGTCTGACCTAAGGCGTCAGCCTGGCGAGAGACGTCGCCCCAACGAAAAGCCTCAGCCTGACCCAAGGCGCCTGCTGAAGGGCGCCGGCCTGCCCGGCGAAGGCCGTCGGTCCGACGCAGCGCGCTGGTCCGACGAAGTGCATCAGTCTGACGATGGAAAATCATGAATCTCCATCCTGGCGAAAGCCGTCAGCCCGACGACACGAAAGGCGTCAGCCTGACGAGCGCCGTCGCCCTTCAGCGACGCCTCACGCTCCCGCGAAGTGCGCCCTTCTGTTTCTGACGAGACAGAGACGCCAGACGAAGCAAGGAAGAAGCCCCGCCAGCTGTAGGCGCGTAGAGAGACCCAAGCAGCGCGGCCATGTGTTGCTTTTTCTTGTTTGGCCCGTCAAGGTCGCCCCTCGTTCTTGCCTGGCGCCACCACGCGGCGTCTGCGCGTGTTGGGGCCTGCGGATTCTTGTGCGTGTCTGGAGGCTCTCTTCTGGTTTTTTTGTTGGACTGCCGTGGGGTCATGCAAATTCTTCAGAATTTGCAAGACCCCCCCCGGCAATCCCATGAAAAAACCGAAGGCAACGCCTTCCGCTGTCCATGAGTCGACGCATCCGAGTCGGTCAGCGCCGGCACTCGGCTCGTGTCGTAGTCAGTTCGTAGAGTGCAACAGCCCACCGGCGGGCTGTCTCTACTCTGGCGGCTGTAGCCCGTGGGAAGCAGAAAAGTGCTAAACTTGAAGCCGGGCGAAGCTTGTGGAGGCTAGCAACTCAATACTCAAGGCGTAAGAAGAATTGTTAGAATCCATTCAATTAGCCGGCAAGCTTCATCAAGTACAACTACAAGCTTGGAGAAAAATAATCATAATAAAAATAAGGTGAAATTCATCGAAAAATACTTTTCGAAGCAGCTAGGTCGCACTTCCATGACGATGTCACGATTGCGCCGCGCCGTTTGAATAAGCCTTCTGAATTTCCGACGCGCTAGCACACCACGCCACTGCCGCTGCAATCTTACAGCTGCAAACCGTCGAGCAAGATGCATCGTTGCTGCCCTCGTCAACTTCAACTGTTGCGCGTAAACAGCAACAAAAAGACCTGGCAGCATAAAGAATGTCCGAATCAGGGCTAGAGAAAGTTTCTACTCAACACGTCATTGGAAGATCTCCAGATATCGCACTTCATATCGTATTAGCGAAACTGAAGCATTTTTTGGTGCAGCAAGGAGATTTTACTTTGTCTGTGTGTCAAGTACTGACTTTTACCTGTTGGCACCGCTAAAAAGCCTGCTGCCGCCGCCATTAGCAAGACATGGCAAACGCGTCCAACATTTGTGTATTCTGTAATCGGATAGTCCCCCGTCAAGTGGATCATCACGAGCTGGAACGTGTTTAGCAATGTATAGTATCGAGAGTAATTGACCGGCTTCAAATTTCTGCGGAGCTCATTGTCCTCACCCTGGTCGTCGATGCTTCTCCACGTCGAGGTCTTGCCAGAGTCTTTTTGTGTCCCGAAATTCTCCTTTTCCGTCAAATGGAACGTGGCGGAAGCAAACAACCAGACTACAATCACGATGTAAACTGACTGGATCATCTCCCGTTTATACCTGGTAGTTCAGTTATGAAGATGGGGATTTTTTACAAAAAGAAAAAGCCCTAGCATGAATAGATACTTCTTCATAAGGCACAATTATGCATTATCGTGGGTGCGTTAGTTTGTAAAGGGAAACTAGTTAGCATCAAACACCAGAGTAAGGTAGAATTGAGATGTGTAAGTCGATCAGCGTTCTACGGTGTATAAATTGTACCTCCAGACACAATCAGCAACCATGCGTATGCTCGGGTAAAGATTGTCTAGGTAGCCCACCATGAACATTCTGCAGCTAAGCGATGCTAGCATGAAGTAGCTGGCGAAGCCTCCTCGCGTTTTGTAGACTAGATCTGCGTACACATTGAAGAAAGCTGCCGGAGCCGCAGCGCGCACTATAAGCGTGCCCAGAAGACCCACTAGACCGAGCAGATGACAAACGCCGGCAACGCTTGTCAGGTACCACATACGCTTGCTAGTGGAAAGCAAGATCAAAATGTAGTCTATCAGAAAAACCACGAAAGTGAAAACATCGATCGCGACCAAGTAGGTTGGAAACCACTGCATGTTTCGGCCAAAGAGGGTCTGACGGACCCAGTCGTACCAGCTTTGAGTCCGCACGCGTTCGCCAATACCGCCAAAGCTTTCATAGCCTGCGAGATACTCGTCGTACTCGGCCAATGCCTGCCACCTGGACACCAGCCGACCGCCAAGATATTGCTGCCTCTCAGACCACGGCACGCCCCGATCATTGTCTGCCCAGCCCGGCTTCCGCTCTATTATCAAATAGCGCGCCTGTAATTCCGTAATGGCTCGCGACTCAACGTCGTTGGGCTTGTACTCTGCACCAATATCCTTACAGAGTTTTTGTGCCCGTGTCTCCACCGCGTCTAAGTAGTCTAAGTACTTGCCTTTTTCCAATAGTGTTCTGTCGATCTCGGGATCACTGCCTAGGTACAGCGGCAAAAAAGTGGGTATGGTGAGTCTGGCGTGGTCGAGGTCGATCTCGCCACTAGGGAACTCCGTGTCATCCAGCTCAACGTCACCATCGTCTTTTCCCTCGCAATGAATAAGAGCGTCGTCGCTTCCTACATAGTTCTGCACCAAAAACCGCTGGAAAAAGAGCATGTCCGGCGGCTTCACGTTCGTCTCTAACGCGGCAGGGTACGACCGAAAAAGCCGTGGGGCCTGCGGCTGCGGCCCGCTAGCACCTGTTGACCCCCCGCTTGCCGAGGAAAAGGATAGCTGCGACAGCAAACTTGGGCTTGCGCCCGAGGGCGACGGAGCAGGGGCTTGGTCATGATCCGATTCGTAGACATTTGCATTACTATTCGAAGCAGCAGCACGAACGCTAGCTAGCTGGATTTCAGCGCGTTGCTGCATTTGCCACTTTGCACCTCCCGCGGTGTCCGGAGATAGTCTTCGAACCGAGATTAACTCTATCACGTGCCGTAAGTGATTGTGGTACGACAGCATCTCGATCCGAGTACGCTCATTCAATCTGAAAGTGCTCACGTACTCTGACCAATTCTCTAACCTTCCATAGTGCCACACCGCGCAGCAGTGGTGCATGCTATAGTAGATGGAGTTGAAAAAAAGGAACGGCAACGCAAGCAGCGTGAAAAAACGGCGTAGCGTTGCCCAGCAATGTTCTGACTTCCGCGTCAGAAGCACGTGGTCCGGGCACCAGATAATGCGATGAAGCCTCCGAAAAGTCTTGCTTGCAGGCGGATAAATTTTGGCGCGCCGCTGCTCCTCTTCCTCCATGCGGCGCTTCAGACCCGTTATCAAGTTCGATTTCTTCGACATGGCCACTTCTGCGGTAGTCGTTCCCGTATCTGGCAAGTTATAGCTGTACGCGGTTTCTCGCGGAGTGGGGGTGCTATTCCTACGTTTGGCTTCCCCTGGGAAGATACCCTCCCAGTCGCCCGCTAACTCTTCTGCTGTCACGTCTACGGAGGACCGCCTAGAGGATAGCTTCAAGCCCCCACTTGTTGCCGCGGCGATCACGTCTTCACCGGGTTCGAACGTCCCCGCAGTAAGTCGATTGGGTACAAACTCCGGAGACTCAGTCACTCCAGAGTCTATGCCCGATTTTTCGTATGTGGTTATCGTGGCTGATTCCGCAATGCGAACCCCTCTCGAAGCCGCAATAGATTTACGTCGCGCACGAGCAGCTAAGTCGTCTTCATCAATGCCAAATACTTCATCGAAAGTCCGCGGCCCAGCTGCTGTGGACTCGCCTCTTGCGCCGAGAAGCGGTGCTAGTGTGTCGTCCTTTGCCTCCTGATCACCGGACGGATCAAATACCTTAGATTTGCTATGTCCTGCGCTTGCGGGTGCACTCTCCGCGTGCAAGAACTGAGGCACTAATGCTGCGTCGTCATCGTCGTTGTTTCGAGGGTTTCGACTTACTTGCATGGACGAGAACGCTGCAGGCTTTGATCGCGATCGTGAGCCGCCAGGCACCGGCGCGTCGGGATTCCAATTGGAAGTGCCACTTTGACGTACCACGCGTGATCGCGATCCGAACCTATTGAATGCTCGCTGCAACGACTTTAGTCCGTCAGCTGGTGCTTTGCTGAGCTGTCTATTCGCCTTCTTTGTTTCGTCTCCGAGGTACTCTTCGTAGTCGAGCGGCTCGTCTAGATCGCGCGTCTTGCGTTCTTTGCCAGGTCCCACCCCGAGGTTGGTGGCGCTCTGGCCTATCATTGCACTTGTGGCATTGCTGTGCTGCCGCATCGACCGCATTTGGGCTCTGCTGCGAGTGGCTTCTGCAGCGCGGAAAGCAACACTCTTGTTGTTATATCCACTCCTCTCATCTAGGTTTGCTGCGCCGCTATCTTGTGCGCCATCCCTATCGTCGGAAGCACCGTTGCGCAAATCCTTTTCGACACCGGCAACCTCGTCGAGATTCTTGAAACTGCCACTCGAGGACTCAAACGCTGATGGGTATCCGTCATCCTCGTCAGGTGTGTCCTCCACCTGGCCTAAGTATCGGTGGAATGCGTTTGCGAACAGACCACAAGGAACTGCAAAGATAGGAACAGCTAGAAGCATCATCAACACATGCAATACACGACCCATGTAGGTGTAGTCCGCCCACGGTGACTCGCCGTTAAGTGTCAGCACAACCATCCACAGTGCCCGCGGATACGACATAACTTGGAATCGCTGGTCAGCGTCGGGGTTGTTTGCTTCTGTCACATGAATGATGACGGAAAACATTGCCATCAAACTAAAGCTCAACACCAAGAAGTACTCGTAGAGAAGAAGGTAATCGTTGAGAATCTTGCGAATGGAGGCAAAGGCGTAGATCACACGCTCCCACTTCAGAGCACGCACGCAGCATAGCCCATAAAAATACCAAATCCTGAGAAGTAGGACGAGATCAGTCTCAATGATGTGGTCATTTATGTTCTAAATCAAGTTTTCATATCCTACATCTTCGCGACAGGATGAAAGGCTCAAAAACGAATGTCTCATTCTGTGCACCTATACATAATCTCAAGATTCTGTAGCTAATTTCAACAAAGGTCTTGATTCACGGATACGCAACTATAACATTATGGTCTTGAGAAAACTTACAAAATTTGTACCAATCTTTTGTGAGATCTACGCAACCGGTTCTTTCGCCCGCAGCACCCCCGCAGGTATGTCCCTGCGCAGATTCCACTAGAAAGAGCGAGAGCATGACAGTCGATGGAAGCCAGCTGAGCAGGTCTATAAGCCCCCAACTGGTGAAAAGGTAGTGACACTGGGTTTCCACCTCGTAGCGTGGCGTCGGCAGCTCTAACCGCCTGGCAACGCGGCAAGCCAGCAGGCGATCGTGCCAGTTGTTGTCTATTATACGCAGGATGTATTCGCACAGAAAAAACAGCGTGCACGCACCTTCTATTGCAAGCAGCGTGTTAAAGAGGGCGAGGTGATCACCGTGTAAAGCACTGACCTGCTCCCCGCGCGACCACCGCGAATACCGGTGACTACGTTCCACCTTGCCACAAAGCCAATTCCAATTCCAGAACTTACACTTGCGCTGCGCACGAGCCGCGTCCTCGGCGTACACGTACAAGGCTTCGCCTTGGAAGTGGTCAAAGATGATGTAATTCACGATCGACGCAACGCCAAGCAGCGCAGCAACGTGAATGAACCATTTGCGCACAACAACCGAACCCACTCGTTGACAACAGCCGAACCGGAAAGGCCTCAGCGTGGCCATTTCTGGAAACTCCCCTTGTTCTTCAAAACTCTCCATCAAATTCAAGTCGTTGTTGCTGTAATCCTGCTGCAATAGGATGCGCTCCTCCTCCATAGCGCACAGCCGTTCTGTTTGCTCCAGTACGGTCTCCATTTTCTCACCTACTATCGTGGGCTGTTCTCCTGTGTGCTCAGGAACATTCCGATCGTCTCGAAACATTCGACGCCCCTCCACTATACGTGGGAGTAGTCGAAGCGCCGTTTCGTCTTGCAGATCCCCTTCTCGAGGTGACACGCGTTCCTCCTCTTCTGTGATGAGTAGGTCCTCGTAGAGTGCTGTCACTGCCCGCGCGCCCTCCGGCATATCTGTACTAGCTGTCTGCGCCATCGAAGAATTCACCAAACCTCCTGGCGCAACAGCCACGCTGATATTTGTGTCGCCCACTGTAGAAGGCAGTGTTCCTGCAGAGAGCGGCGAGCCTGCGACATCAGGGTGCAGACCTCCTGCTTGTCCAGATAATACTGAAGCAGAGACACCGTTCACGGAAAGAGAAGCATCCGGGCTCTGCGTCGGCGCAAGTGAAGGGCCACTCGCTTCCTGGGAGGGGGCGCCAGGCTCTCGAGGTGGTGGACCGCCGGGAACGATTGTACTGGCATCTGAGAATGCTTGAGGCCTACGAAACCGCATACAAGTGTTGAAGTCATCGTTGTCCCCATCTCCTTCTCCTCGACCACGACGCTGTTCATCAATCATTCTGCCATTTTCGTCAATTACTCTGCCACCTGCAGCACCATTTGGCAGTACACCAGGATCTTCTTGATCATCGAGACTGGACGCCCCTGCCTGCTCCTTTTGGCCTTCTTCGATCACTTTCTGTAACGCCTTACTGAAAATGCCAACCGGGATCGTCAATAGCAACACGCCTACGAAGACAGATGTCAAGGCCCAGAAGCGGCTCCAGAACGTGAGATGGTCCGCCCCGAGGGGGTATTCACCGTTAAAATTGACGAAAACGTGGTACATTGCATCCGCCATAGACTGAAACTTAGTCTGATGGAAGTTGGCCGCATCTTTATCTGGTTGAAGGTTGCTGTCGGAGTACTTAGAACCGATCGATGGGGCCATCTCCTGACCGATCGCGGTGATCCAGTACCCGCCTGCAACCGTGACCCACGCGCCAACAAGTAAAAGAAGGGCGTAGCCGTACGGCCTTGAGATGGTCAAGTACACCTGCAGCAGCAGCTTCGGACTGTTTCCGCGCAGGATCAAGTAGCAATCCGCCAGATCGACGAAGAACAGAAGAAAATAACCAGGTATCACTTCCTTGGTGCCGTGAATAAGATGCCTCGCTTCTAGGTCCCGCCGGGTGTGTTGGGACTGCAAGAAAGAAAAGAAGATGCCTGGCAAGATTACGAGCATCTCAAGCCACGCAGACCAGTGGCAAGCGAGGTAGGAAAATGCTCCCTTTGGATACATCTGTGGATCGACATGGCGCGCCGTTAGCAGGCGCATCACAAATCGCAAACCAAAAACCACAAAAGTTGCCAGATTCAACCACGCCCAGATGATGCGCAAATTGTAGATGCTAAACAAGGTCGGCTCCTGCACTTTATCTCTGAGATTTTAAAGCGGTCAAAGTTAGCTTCGAATTTATTGCTTGAATTATTGTCTCATGCTCTTTTGTCGGTCGTTGGGGACCACGCGACAATGTACAACATCACAACAGCATTCATTAACTTCTATTTGTATTTTCATATCATAATTACAATTTTCAAACCAGAAAGCACTGTAAGGTTTCAAGCTAAAGTGCATTTCCGTCGACAGGGATAGCGATAGCAAAGGAGTAGATAAAAGTTAGTACCCTTCTCCCAGGAAGAATCTGCGGTAATCTTGTCGCATGAGATAGAGATGCAGTTCCCACTTCGTAACCCTCACCGTATGAGACTTAGGTATGACCCTGTCTTTGCCTTCTTGTTCGGGCTCGCACAGCCTCGAGGATTGCGCCACAGCGAAGGCTGCAGCCGGTGGCTCTACGTCGAGATCCCACCGCGTACAGCCAGATGGTGGTTCGTCAGAGGCTATATCGTCTTCATCCTCCGGGCTCCAAGCACCGCCAACGGTCTCAATTTGAATGCTAAGAAGAGACGACGAACCTCCTGCGCTCGCTGCCAAAGCAGAGGTTTTATCACCGCAATCCGCGGTGTCCTGCCTCGCTGATGTCGTTGGTGCTGGTGGCACTAGTCTACTTCTCGCAGAGGCAGAACCAGATGATGAAACACCTAACAACGCTGTCCGGCTCTGATTGACAGGCAGAACGGTGACCTCACCGAGAGGAGAAACGATTACTTCCTGGTCACCTTCCGGTTCAGCCGCATCTAAAAATTCACCATCCCCTCTACTGCTACCACCAGCACTTCGATAGTCCTCTCCCGCGGCCTGCCGCTGCTGCAGAAACGACCCAGCCTCGAAGGCGCTTTCCTGTGTAAAGCAGGTATCCGCTGGCGCAGCACTGCTGTCACGCGGTGAAGATGCCGCACCGCGCACCGGGTTACTGACCCGCTGTGACGCAGTTGTCGCTTCGCCTCCTGTAGACCCACTACCACTTTGCCGAGTGTTAGAAAGCGGCGACAAGAACGGCGGAGGCAGTGGCGGCGGGCTGCCGTCACTTTTTCCACGTGGGGTACGCGGCCTATGCGGCGAAGGGGGCAAGCTTGCGGGATCAACTGCTGGCAAGTCGGGGACTACATGCGGCTCGTCGTTGTCTGCCGTTGTCTCACAGCGAATGTACTCGCGCCGCTCTGGCAGGTAAACGAAGGTCCAGGCCCTTTTTGACCAGACTCTCTCCGCCAGCTCCAGAGCACTGAGAGTCCAGCTATCACTACCAGGCAAAGCTTCTATACTCTGCAACGCCGCCTGTATTTAATATTAATTTGTTACGAAGTGAAAGTGCAGGCACTTATTCAAAGTCAGATCTGCGTAGTAGAGTTTCTCTTCTATCTTCAAGTTCGACATTTTCATTTTTTCGCTTCAACATCAAATAAACGACGAGGAAAAAGAGAGTTCAGCACCAACAAAGCCAAACTGTACTAGTAGTTGTAGTTGTACCCTCAATGCATCTTCGAATGCGTCAAGGCAGCGTTCGTAGAGATTCTCCTTGCTCATTCCCTCATAGCCAATGAGGTCCACTCGTATGAGTTTCTTTGCTTCATCCTCTAGAGGATCGTCGACCATAAAATTTTCGTCTTGCGACGCATAGAAGTATCCCAGCCAATTCTCGCGCAGCGCTGGCCTGTTCTTGTCCTCCAGCCATGCAGACTCTGCTTCCCACTGGTTTACCGCACCACTGACTGGTCTCTTGTTTGTCTCGTGAAAGTGGAGACCCCTGCCTCGCTCATCCGGATGTTCCACACTGACGACGGAAAGGTGCTGCCTTTTCATCTCTTCGACTGTTGCGGGAACCCGGATATTTTGCAAAACCGCTTGACTGCTACTGCGACGCGGGCTAGTATCACCTCCTCGTAGCTGGCACGGACCCACCCGACGCGGCTCCCATCTACTGTCGCACCATGGCGACGCAAGATACATCTCCAGCACACGTGCGCTGATATTTCGATGTACATTGATTATAGGACTTTTACGACTTTTTAATTCGAGAATATTTCCATGCTATTGTACAAGTGCCTGGCGTTTCTGTTAGGTGTAAACAACGACACGCTCACGACTAAATGTAAGGACAGACTATATTTCTCGTAGCGCTCCTGCAGATTACGAACTAGGACAATAATGTCATCGATGCGATTCCGTATATTCAAGTTCTTTATCTGCACGAACTATGAATTGCAACTTCATCATGTCTCTCTAGTATTTCTATTTTTTGGTACCCATCCATTTTTCTGCTTGCCCACTCGGAGAGCATCTGCTGAATCAGGGAGCTTTGCGTTATTATCGCGTTATTGGTCCGCGTCCGCATGAGCACGCCTTGCACAGTTTGTCGCGAAACAAACGCAAAAACACGAGCTACGTCTTCTCGCCGTTCCCCTGTCTGCAAGGCAATACGGATTTTAGGCGCTTGTTCCAGTTTTTCCTGCACCGCCTTGTCGGCACGATTCAAGCGTGCAGCGTCGTCCTCGCTCATTTCAGCGGTCCAGTGCGTTTGCGTAGGTGGCATCGCCTCATCTCGTTCTGCTGCTGATTGCGCACCTATTGCGGGCCCCGCAGCCGGAGCTAAACTACGAGCTGTTGTCTGCGACGCTATTGCAGGAGCGGACGGCGGCACTTCAGTAGAAGCGCCCGCGGCAGTAGTCGCGGCGGCCGCAGCGGAGGGTGCACTTTCGTCCTCATTCTCCCCGTCTAGCCATGCACGCATCTTTGTGTAAGTCGAGATCAGATTGCCAGTGCGCTTGTCTTCGCGAGGCCACTGTTGTCGCTGAAGGTCCTCAAACATGTGCAGCATCTCTAGGAAGCGTTCCCGCGACACCGCTTCGTTTTCCGAGTACGTTACGAAACAAAGAAAACTGAGCATGGTGGTCACGAAAACACAGGCGAGGACCAGGTAGCTTCCACAGTTCCGTTCCTGCTTACTTTCTCGAAGAAACACAGTGCGACCGAGCGCCCGGCATATCCATGGTGAACTATTGGCTATAGGATCGTGTCTTTCCGCTTCTTGGTCATTGTCACTCTGGTGATTCCTGTTACCAAGTTCCTTGATGTGCCGATCGCCGTTGTATTCAGCTGTCTTCCTACCGTCTACAGTATCTCGGCGCTGTCTGCTGTAGCTTTCGGTGTCCCGCCGAGACGTCCTACTGCCAGGTGACGACGCTAGCCCCGCCATAAAGTCGTCTCCACCTCCGTACTCCGAACCGCTGTGACTGCCGCGATGGGCTCCTCCATCCTCGTCCACATCCTCTAGGACGGGATGGCGGACTCCGTGGCCCACTAATGCCCACTTGCAGACGAGACAAACCACTCCAAGCGACACTACCAAAGCAAGAAGCCACCACAGCTGAAACCAGAGCACCGACCCAAGGTCCAATTGTGTTGCCGGCCACGGGTCCTGCCCAATGCACCACTGCAAAGCAACTGTCCACGGGTTTCGACGCCACCAGGGTGCGCCAACTAGACTAAAACCGGAGGACCCCATCTCTTATCTTGCAGATGGAAAGAGACCACGAAACTGTACCTCCACCCGGCACGACGTCCTAGAAGACGCAGCTCGGTACCACCACCCGTATGATAAAGAAATTCAGTCCTCACAACTCAAATACTATTCTTACGGATCAATGCCGAGCACACAGCAAGGATCAATACCCATTTCTATTTGGGGCGCCAGATGAGGCGTCTCTGCGGTCGAAGAGCGTCGTGTTCTCACGTGATAAGCAGCACGGAAGCTAGGCATGATGATCGCGTAGTGAGCTGTTCGTTGACCCAGAAGTAGCGACAGAGGTTTGCAAAGCGAGTTGCCTCGACGAAATATAACGGCGCAGAAGATAAGTCACCAAGCAGCAGACCCAATGGTGCAAGAGAAGCGAAACGCGGTCATTTTGGACGACCAGACCATACAGATATTTTTAGCGAGCATCTATTTATATTCAACCAAAAAAAAACTGATACTGATGCCTATGCGATTAGACGTTAATCATAAATGTTATCATCAAACACGGTCTAGATCAATATTCTCGTTATTGAAGAAATATTCATTCTCATGAGGATCCTTCTTTCTCACGTGCGCGTGCCGACCGATGCGGCATTAGAAAGTATAATCCCCTCATCTCTTCTACTTACTTACTCCATGACGAGAGACCTATGTAAATCAGAAAAGCCAAAACACAAAACGCTGCTAGGAAAAACGACGATCATTGCCATCTCTGTAACCACTCTCAATTATCTTGTCAAAGAAAACCTAAAAACGAAGACAAAGACTTCCACGGAACTACAAAGAGGCCAAGGTACAAAAGTTTTGCCTCGCATTCGCAGTGTTCAAAAAATACTATGTAATCTTAATCCTCCTCCCTCCGCGCTGTCCTCCCCGACCTGTGGGTAGATGACAAGGAAATAAAAACAACGACGATACTCTTCGTAATCGTATTCGTTCAACATCAACATACGAAAATTAAAATTTAAAAATCACGTTGACATTAGTAAGTACACGACAAGCAACACATTGATTAATATTCAACATATTGGCCACACGTGAGACACAGGACCATCACCAAGATAAACTATTTGATTCTCCACATACTGACAGAGGACAGACTAAATGTTTTCACCTCAAAGGCGACAGACCTTTGCCATTCGTCGGCTCTCAATGTCCATGATCGCAATACTGTAATTCTGATTCAGCGAGGACGCTGTCACTGCAAGAACTCTCATATCATTTTTCGCCAAGAAACTATCATCATGATAATGAGTTTTACATGAACTCGACGCCAGACTCCTTTCGATTGACAGATTCTATTCAAGTCCCACCAGATCGACTGTGTGTCCACGACTGTAAAAATATTTCGTTCATTAGAGATTGATATTTATAGGTATTTTTCATTCACATCAGAACGAAGTACCGTGTAGAAGTCTCTCTAACTTCACTACAAAACACACATTGGAAGCCGTTTTATGCATTGCTGCTACGCCAGTCATAAGCATGCAGTCTTTGGCAGAGAGAAAATTCCATTTTTCTGATGTGTCTGTGTTGACACAGGACGAAGATCGCTCTGTCAGTGATTTGTATGCCATGGCGGTGGGACTGATACGTGAAACCACGATATTGGAGCTGATTGCGAGGGGGCCGGCAGAAGGGGAGAGGTAGACGCAGACGTTTTCGAGGTGTGATATAAGCTCACTTCAACGAAAGCCAAGATATGAGAGCATGATTTCCATGTATGAATATCAGTGTATGATCGCACGAGTCATTGAGTAAAAGATAACAAGGCTCATGGTGGCGGGGTTGCTGATATTGTAGCTAGAGCAAACCGTCCAGATTGCCAGCTGCGCGTACCAGGTGGTGCGCCGGTCGCTTCTACCTGATTATTGCTTCAAACTCAACGCTTTGCTTCAAGGAGTGCTCAGTCTAGCAACTCCCGCAGTTTGTCTGCCTTTGCAGCGAGCCGATGCTGGACCTGTCGTGCTTCTATGTAGGCGCGTTTGTCGTAGTTTCGATCTGATTTCTGGTCTTCCGCGATCTTTTCTGCCGCAGATTGGGCCTCATGATGCTTCTGGAGCATCTGTCTGTGCAGCTCTTTTACCTCGAGACTCTTCGCAACCTCACCCCGCCGCATTACGAGGAAGTTCACACTATCACGCGCCTCCGTGATCGCTTGGAAGCTGTGTTTGGTTTTTGTGAAATTGACACGAAGGTTAACACGCGATTTTGTTTATATCTAAATCTATGTATGAGCGATCATTATCTGATTCCAAATACAAAATCTAATTTACCGTAATTGCAACATATTCATCTGCAAGAAAGACCACTAGGTACTTTTTTTCCAGCCTGAGGGCCATCTCCTTCGTCCTCGGCTCTATCTGCAGGTTTGTTTTTGAGGCTATGGCGTTTGACTCCATAAGCTCTACAAGCACACTTTTCTTCGCCTGGACGACTTCAAAGTCGTGGAGGATCTCGAGAAAGCTCTCGCGATCTGCGCCGCTCAGGTACTCTAGATGTTCTGCGCTAAGTGCTTCGATCTCTGGGAAAGAGTCGGGTACCAGCGCTGCCACTGGGTCACGTGGCGGGGCTGGTGGCTGCTGCTGCTGCTGTTGTTGTTGTTGTGGTGGGGGCTGGTGCAGAAACTGCTGTCCTGGCTGCACTTGCTGCTGCATCTGCTGAGGGTGCATCTGCTGCGGCTTGCCCATTTGCTGCATTTGTTGGGGCATTTGCTGCATCTGTTGTGGTCCGCCCATTTGCTGCATCTGTTGGGGCATCGGCTGCATCTGCTGCGGCCCACCCATTTGCTGCATCTGTTGGGACATTGGCTGACCCATCTGTTGCGGCCCAGGTTGCATCTGCTGAGGCTGCATTTGCTGCGGGCCACCCATTTGTTGCTGCATGAAGCGCTGGGGCGGCCGCATGGTAAATTCTTGGAGAATCTCCGAAACTATGCGTCCCAAATCTAAGCTTGGATGCCACTTTCGCCCAAGGTGAGGATGGCCCATGATGGCACCTTCTCGATCTATCCAAGGGTGACCAACCAAAGGCGTGACCTGACAACGGTTTGTAGACACAAATTGAAGATAAGAAATCTACTTTCGAGAAGCCGAGCCGATTGGTGCAAGAAAGCTGCTCTTAGAAAAACTTCGGTTGGTATGTAATTTAATTGCTGCTTGCGAAAGTGTTGTTGAGAACAATAACAGGTTATAGATGCTTTCCATTTTGATTTTCAGCGAATCAGTCACTAGCAGATCATGTGTGATTAATGAAAGTACCCTAATATCTGGTGGTGCGCTAGGAAACTGGAGTGAAAGCGATATCATCAACTGCGTTATCAGCTGTCCTCTTGGATCTGTCAGATTCACAGACCACTGATTGCCGTTAGGTGACATTTGCATTATACGTGGCACTCGCTGTCGCAGCGACGCCACTTGCTGATCTCTCAGTTGCTGCTGCATCTTTTCTGTGTTGGTGTCTCCTCTTCCAGCTCCAGATAAGTTTTTAGTACATAAGAATTCGGGTGTCCTTTTGTTTCTGCCAGGTAGGTAAACCCTTTGTCGGATGGTTATGTTGAACAAAGAGTAGTCCAAGTCGCTTATTCCCGTTTTGTTGCTGCTCAATGGTAGTCCAAGTAGTCGCGTGCTTGCTTATATTTCTTGCCGTCTAGCCGCTCTGCCGCCCTCTGGGATTGGAAATGCGCTCCTCTATACTGAGATCCCCGCCGCGAAGTCCCCTGCTGTGGGAGGCAATGTGCGAGTCTTGACGCTAGTGCAAGAAGGTCTTGGCGCTCTGACCCCAAGCTTGCGTCTCCACAATCCTTGCGAAAACAGCGTGCACGTCACCAGGTAAGCGGACATGGTCTCAGACTCAGTTGACGCTTCATTTTTCGATCCAATGAATATTCTCAAAATACATGAGAAAAGTGTCCAAAGCTTCCTTGAAAATAATGAAATTCGTGTTTATCAAAGACCTAAATATGTTCTCCTACAGATCATCAGGTTCATCTACGTACTATTCAACAAAGCATGGGTCAAAAGTAAAGCTACACCACAATGAAAAATATGCCTCTACTAATGACGTTGCCTCCAAAACCAGGTTTGTAATTCATTATAAGTGGAAAAAGTCAAAAATCAGATTACTCGCACTCTCCGTCACCCCGACTGGTCTGACAAGTTGCTCAAGTTGATCTTTACTAAAAATGTCAGGCAAGAAGTGCTTGCTAAGGTGCAACTCATATTCGATGCGGCTGCGCTGCTTTTGCAGCAATTTCAAGTCATTCCAAATATTCAACACTACCGACTCAAAATCGCGCAGTTTTTCAGACTGTAAAATCGATCTCTTCTGTGGAGCTTGTGTCACGACGTTGGCGCTATCGTTCAATCATTAGATCTTGTGCCGGTGGTTAACGGTGCTAAATTTGAGGATCCTTGGACAGGAGAAACTGAGTCTGACCAACAGAAAAGACCATCTCTTCCTAGTTACTTTCTGATCACATCACGAAAACGAGGACCTTGCTCCCCTCATCCGTTTGTCTTGTGAGCTAGTTGGCTTAAGCCCAGCGTCATTGAATTCGTCTGGAACGGATCATTAGACAACGCGCGTCATCATTGGTTATAGTACGAGTACATGATGAAGTAACTACAAGATCGTGTGCTTGTTCTCTTAGCTTGACTTCGCAATCATGGAGGATGCCCCGGCTGATCCACTCATGTTTCTACGGTCATGCTCCGAGTTCTTCCTGTCGTGCTCAGACAAGGCCAAACCGCCACGGGAGTCGAAGTGTCGCCAACGAAGCGCTGTCGCTAGAAGTGGCACAGTGGGATCCTCCAGGACAACCGCGAAGTATCCAGCGTGCGGTGTATGGAGTAAATTTTTGACATGGTCCATCGTGACGGCGATCGCCATTGGGGCAGCCGAGTCATCCTCGTCTCCGTACACAAACTGCGCCGCTTGACTGCCCGTCGTCAGACTGCTGATCTTGCCCGCCGCAAATGTCGTGGATGTCGTAGTAGAACTTCCTGGCTTGGTTCCACCAAGCGAAATATCAGAAGAGCTCGAAGAAAGCTGCCCTGCTGTGCTATCGAACATTGAGAAAAGGCTTGATGAGGATCCACCGAAAAGCGGCGACGTAGCCGAGTGCAGACCGCTACTGGGCGTAGCACCGCCCCCGCGATTCGACTTTGCAGGTTGTAGTGCGTTAAACAGCTCACAAAGACGACCCGCATTTGCAGGATAGACATGAATCACAGAAAAACTAGGTTGGACTTCTGGGTCCGGCAATGAGTGAAACAATTGCCGTTGACGCTCTTCCTCCGTGAGCAATTTCTGCGCATTGGTGGCTGAGTCTATCACGTGAAACAGCTGTTTCTGAGGGTGCAGGAGCATACTCGCACTGAACGCTGCATTTGCCAAAGTACTGCTACTGGTTGCCGCAGAGGAACTGAAAGCTGTTGTTGTAATCGAGGCACTAGAAACTGTGGCACCTCCGAACATCGACGAAGAATGCGACTCTCCGCTTTTGCTGTCCGAGAACAAGAAAACCTTCGATGTTGAACTGGTGGAACCTCCCCCTCCGGCTTGATCTTCAGCTCGTCGATCGCGAAGTCTCTTTGAGCCCACAATTATGCAGTGAGCTCGAGAAATGGTGCGTAGCTTATACCTGTTGTGCACTACAACTTGTGGAGGCAGTGCGCCATATGTTGTATCCTTAAAATTGTTTGCACCACCACCCTTAGAAAACGTGTTACAGTTTGCGCTTGCAGTGGCGCGGTTACGATCCTGAGAGGAGCGACGTCCCCGGTCCTGCGAAGCTGGTCTGCCACGTTCTTGGGAAGCTGGTCGTTTTTGTCCTGAAGTGCGAGGCTCTAAGTTTCTCACAATTGACGTTTTACAGAAGTCTGAAGACCCACCTGCTGCCTTACTAGTACATGATCTGCCCCCTATCAAGCTGGAAGTTGCCTTTGTTCCCCCCAGTAGCTTGCTTCCGAGCGATGTCGCGCCTGATGCAGATGCACACTTGCCGCGGCCCATAGAAGCCGCAGGCATTGGGACCTCCTCGCCACTGTTCGCACCATCCTGCGTAACCGCCTGTAGTTGCTGCTGCAACATGCTGTAGGAAGTTTCGTTGAAAGCAGTTTCGACTTTCGAAGCCACCATTTGAAAAAGCTCTGGGCTCTCGCCTACGAAAACAAGACATCCTGATTGGTGCTGCTTCTCTAATTTCTCCCTGACGTAGGGAACTTCCCGGACAAACTTTTCTGCGATTTTCTCATGTGCTTGTCTACGATTTTCTTCTGTCAATCGCGTTAATGTTGACGTCGTGCTGCCCGTACTAGAAGCTTCATTTATACTAACTCCTTTAGTCGGAGTATTCTTCTTGTTCATCTTCGTCCCAAAGCCTCCAGAAGCCGGTACCTTGGAAATCGAATTCGGAATACTGCGACGACCAGAATTATTTCTCCTCGTATCACTGCTCGCTGAGTCACTCTTCTTTTCTTGTTGTCCTGGATCTGTTGAATGAGATTTCTTCATATCATTCTGGTCGTGCCCCTCGTTTTCCCAGGGTGGCGTGTCGACGACTTCAGAAGGCATGCACTGATCGCGAAACACCTCGTCGCGGTATATCACTTCATCAACGCGCACATTTGCACCGGAAACAGGCGTTTGGGTTTGCGCAACATATTTGGACAAATGCTGCAAGGCGTCTTGCCCTTTCGCGTCAGCGGACAAGGAGCTAGACGTTGAGGCCTCTTCTTTCGCAACACCAAAAAAACGCGGCGTGGAATCCGCACCAGTCGAAAAGAACGGAAAAGTCGATCCACTGCTTTTGCCCGCCCCATCGTGGGTGGACGAAGGTCGCGCGTAGGAACCTGGAAATGGGTTGGACGGCAACGGCATCAAACTAGAGTGCAAATAATCAGGTAAAACTATATTCCACGAGGATTACTAGCACATTCTTTTTACAACGGTCTGCTTACCAATTAGCGACGTCCTCACTCGTCTCAGACACAGTTCATGATCACGCGTTCATCATCTTCTTCATCATAGGAGTACCGCTCTCTGCCACGTAGAAGACTTGGACGTGGTTCTTGATCGCATGCGTCTTCTGCCGCAAATCCTCTAGATACTGTTTGTCCCATTGGAGACTACGCAAAGCGTCCAAGGCGCGCTGTCGCTCCTGTGCTAAGAGATCCTTTGTGCGCTGGAGGTCACCGTCAGAGTTCGTCATTTGCTCCATCGCAGACTGCGTCTTCGCGACTGCTGCGGTTGCTGCTTCGCGCACCACTTCGAGCTTTTCGGAGTGCGTCTCTATCTCCTGCGTCAGGGCGAAGCTGTCTGCATTGCGCCGCTTCCTCTGGGACAAGAAAAAAAAAAGTTCATCTACATCTTGTTACGACTTGTTGTACACTGATTGTGAACATTATAATCACCATCATTACCATTTCTTATTTCATGCACAAAACCATATGATCTAGGTAAAATACATCTTTGTTTCTTGTTTACAGTTACACACAGTTACAGTTCAGCACAACCTATCTTTAAATTTTCAACTCGTCTAAATCGCTATCCATGAACGCCAACTCTAATATGAGCAAATAAAACGCATGGATACTTTTTTGGGACATGCATCTTACAAAAAAATCGGAAGTTTTACGTGAGGCTCAGCTTCTTTGATTTCTTGTTGCATGTCTGAGATGTCGCCACATAGAGCATTGTACTCTGACGCACTGACACCTGTCAGGTGCACATGTTCGCTCTCTTTTTCTTCCAGCCGCTTCTCAGCATCGGTCGCTCGCTCCAACTTCTCCGAAAAATCCGCGTCAAGTCGCTCAACCTCCGCTTCGGCTTTTCGCGTGCCCGGCAAAACTTTTTCGCGTTTAGCCGCTAGCTGGTCAGATTCTTCGCGCAGCCGCTCGAGAAGCGGTAACCGCCGATGAGGGTGATTCATCGTTCTGTACACTTTGATTTCCAGATCTCAAACTCAACCCGGGAAGTAACAAGAAGACAACGATAAAAAAAAAGGAATGTCGACAATTCAAATCGAAGTAAATAAATATAGCAGAAAAGGTTCCCACTGCATATATATATGTACCAGGGAGGGAGACCCCCCCTCCCCCTGTGGATGGAGCGGCGGGGGCGTCGGCGCGCCCTTTTTTCCGCGGTTGTGACGTGTAAGGACTCCCGGGGGTGAAGGCCTCAAAAGGCGGGCCAGAGTCCCCTGGCGGCTCTCCGCGTGTACCCCACACGCGTCCCGCGGCTTGGACCCTATTAGGGGGACAGCCTCCGGGGGCAGAAGGCCGCCGAAGGCGACCACGGTCGCGAGGCCTGGCCCCTTTGGCCCTCATCCCCCCAATTGGTCGCAGCGTCAGCCGCCACCAAACGCCCGGGGGGTTGCGAACCAAAGGTGAGGAGGAGCGGGGGCAAGGCGTGCCCGCCTGGGTTCTGTCGGATACATGCAGCACGGCGAAAGGGGTCAAGCCTTGCCACCTGCTTCCCCCCGAGGCCTTCCACCCCCCAAGAAACTCCCCCAGTGAGGAGCCCGCACGCGAGAGGTCTGTAGGGTACACTCAACACGGCAAGGGGGTCAAGCCTGGCCACCTTTGCCGCCTTCGGAAGCCTTCCACCCCCGGCCGTCGGTTCTTGAACGGCCTCAGGGGCTTGGGTTCTGTAGGGTACACGCAAGAAGCCGCGAGGGCGCGAAGGCGGGCGCTTGGAGGCCTTCCCGCCTGGCAGTCCCTCGAGAAAAAGCGGCCGGGGCTGGAGGCCCCCCCTCTAAAATTTAGACCGGGGGGGCCTTCAGCCCTGAGCCGTGGAACACATGTACTATTCAATGGTCTGAAGAGCTCCAAGTCCAATTGTGCATCGATAACACTCAACTACAACGAGCTTTTTTCCATTTAATATAAAAATTTTCGGTATTTTCGCATTGCTTCATTTTCTTCCAAAATGCTCTCAAGAAACCACAATGAATACAAGTTACATGAAGTGTAAACCGAGTTGTGAATGACCACAATGCAGTTAGTTTCTTTTGGTGTACACTTCGTTGTTGTGTGACAGTGTCACTCATTTTCAGAAAATCAGCTTCATCCAGTGAGATCTCGGCAGTGGTCTTCGTCTACGTTTACATTTTAGTTTTTCGCTAATATCTCTGGTAACAACCCAGGGTTCCGCATTACTTAGAAGGTTTCTGGCTCGCGAACCCAGCAGACGGTACACGTGCAATTCTCTTCAACAATGGTGGAACTTTCGCTAAAAGAAGCCTTTCTCGCAGCATTTTCTTCTTGGTATTCATTGTTCAAGAGCCTTCTCTTTTTCATACACTTGCAAGCAAGCGCGAACGTCTTCACGCTACTCAATCGACACCGCCGCGTATGCAAATAATATGTGTACATGTTATCGTGGTGCGCTGTAATCCACGAGTTGTCCCACAACTACGGGAGTTTGCACTATGCCAGTACTGCCATCCCATTTACCACTATACAGGTAGGTACGCACAACGCGCAGAGCAAGAACCTCTCAACAGATCTGTGCACAGAAGAAAAGGGCTCGTTGAAGATGATACTTGAAGCAAGTTAGTTGCGAAACGTTTAACAATTACTTATACCAACCATCGTGGTGGTAGTAGTTTTTCAAAGCAAGATAAAGGTCTACTAAGTACAAAAGCGAGAACAACGTCGAACCAAGGTTGAAGTTGATGTTAATGGTTGTATTACCTAGTAGCTAGCACCACAAGATCTAAGAAAGAAAGCACCACAAGATCTAAGAAAAAAAGTTTAAGTTAACGTTGCTCAAGAATAGAGCTCCTGGAGGTAAGAGTACATTGTGAGCTTGATGCTGATTCACTTTCACGAACATGCGAATGCTATTCATTCTGTTTCTCATTTTGCTTGTCTGAGCTGCCCTCCAGGATTAAAAAGTTTTTCAAAAAGTTGTTGTTGATTCATTTATATGAAACTGATAACAAAAAAAAAACATCTTACCGACACTGACAGCGAGCGCTGATAGGGTACAACCTTTATACACTTTGCGTCTAGGAGAGCCTTTGCCATGCACGAATTTGTGTCTCTGTTATGGACACCAGACTAATTTTTTGTATTTGTTTCTTCTATAAATATAATCCAAACAATATAGCCTATGCATAAAACCCGATCGACATTAGCTCCTTGCGCTTACATAAGATTAATCTCTTTCGTGGAATGTGTCCAAGTCAATCCAATGCGGCGAAAAGTATATACATAACACTCGTTCGGAGTCGGCTTCTCGTTCTCGCGCTTCCACAAGATAATTTTCTTTCGTCTGTCTAAGTCAATGCAATGCAATTTGAGTTCTGGTGGATGAATACACCTGAAATAACACTGCCCACAAAAACCGAGAATATGAAACGCGGCGACATGATCGATGCATGCATTCTTGGGCTGGCCTTGGGTTGGCATCGAAAGCACACACGACACGCAATAGCGTTCACCTTACTATCTCAACAGGTTTCGAGGGGCAGCCTTAGGGTTCCGGTGGCGATACTATCTGAGCTCGAGTATGTTCTGCCCGCATGCCAGTTGTGAGTGTTCCAACAACAACAAAAATGCTTCTAGATCATATAAATACAAAAAAACTAAAATGGATAGATTGATAGATACAAAGTTAAACTATTTCGTTCGTTTGTTTTGATGCGCTCCGGGCGACGCGCACGATCCCGCCGGATTTCTTTGTGCTCTGTGTGTGTAGTGCTATGGTCGTCATTGCGATCGACTATGGTATGTCCGATCGCCACAGTCCCCGCCAGCTGCGGCTTTTGTGGCATGCCGGGCGCGGCGTGCTGCAGGCGGCGGCGACTGCGCGTAGGTACCGCCTGGCGGTGAGGCGCGGCCGGGTTTGGTTGACGTTTTTGCGGCCAGCGTGCTCTGTTCTTCGCGTTCTCGTTTTGTCTTCGTTCTTTTTGTCTTCGCGTGCTTCCTTTCTTGTCTCCTCCTTGCTCGTTCTTTGTTCGCCACCACCTATCTCGGCTTTTCTCGCGGATACATTTCGATTTGTGAGTTTCAAAGCATAAGAGATCGATATCGCGTCCCACGCTATTTTCCTCAGCCTTGATACTTTTCATGCGCTTCATCAGCTCTGCGGAGGGCATGTAAGTCTCTTCCTCTTCCGTGACACTCTTATCCACGGCTTCCTCCAGTGTCTGCGATGGGCGAGCCTGCCCAGTCATTGGAGTGCTCTTGCGGGATGTGGTGGCGGCCGATTCTCCGTGGAGATTCACTGCCCTTGTTCCAGCAGCTGCAGTCGGCGACTCCACGACGTCTCCCTGATAGTAGCACTGCGTTTCCCTCGTCAGTAGAAGTGTTTGTTCGACATGGCTCACGTACTCGACTATTTGGAAACTCCCGTCAGGAGCCACAATGTGATATGCAAGGGTCTTCACTTCTTCTGCGATGATAACAGCTCCCGGTCCGCCCTGGACGAGCGTCTGCCGAAAAAAGTCGTTCTCAAGCTCAATTTCTTCATCTGCGGGGGGCAGAAGCGGCTCGAAACGGCGTCTCCATCTCCACAGTACGGGTACGCGTGTTTTATCTTTCAGGTGGGGCACCTTGAATGCACTGCAATTGTCCATGCCACAGAGAAATATCGATGACGCAGCCAGCAAGAAGGCTTCTAGACGGTGCAACCCTGCACCAGCAGCAGCAACGGATATTGATGCCATTCTAGTTCCACCAAATCCAAAGCGGAACCACCTTCTCATTGAGAACAAGGAAGAACAACAGTTACAAGAATGAGTGAGTGAGTCTGAGCGTGCCAAAGTCGCAAATGTAGAGGTTTTGCAGAAAAATGATCTATGTTGTATTCCATTTTAGTACCTAGCTGCAGCTGCATTCAAAAACGCCTTTTCCTTTTGTAAGTGCCTGTAATTATAGGAGGGAAATTACAACGGGAAAATGAAAAAGAAAAGGAGATCGTACTCCAACGATTGAGTTGAATTTTCAAACAAGGCTGTGTGTGTGTGGAGCGACCTGTCATCGGATAATGTTAGAAGGAGTTTGCGGCAGCCAGTGAAGACGCACTAAATCAAGATAGTAGAGGATACCAGTTGGGACTCGACCAATGGATATACCTCCACTACACGGTGAGACGTTCATTCACTGATAGACAGATATCAAAAGACATATACTTTTGGACTCGGAGCACAACCACGTTGTTTTACCAAGCAGATAACTGCTCTCAGACAGGACTATAAAGGAGCACAACAAATGAAGGGCAGAACCTTTATCTCAATCCACCTCCCGTGACAACAGAGTAATTAAATAGGCATTTCACCTTCTCACAAACGAAACTGATTTTTCAAGACAGAATGAAGATAAGCGGATGTTTTGAAATCTTTCGTTACCCCAACATGTCTCTCGATCCACAAGTCTTCTACTCCCTTCTTCAGCAGCTCCTAATCCCGCCTCATGAGTGTATCAAAATCAATGTTCATGTGCTTCTTCAGAATCGCTTTCTTTGAAACATCTCACACTATCAAAGGCTACCCTCCGGCAACATCTCTTTTTAGGTCTAAATCAGTGTTCAGCTTCGTGAATCAACTCGAATTCGAAACGCCACACCGCGTGGAGTAGCAAGATTGTTCATGCTCCAAATTATCAGTGTTTGAGTAACTGACTATCAAAGGAAAATCTATACTCCTTCTCCAAAACCTTAATTTTTGGTTTCCCAAAACACCAGGTGCCGAGTTTAAGTAGCTAATTTAAAGGTTAAATAGCTAGTTTATCTAGTTGGTTGGATCGAAGCCGTTTCCGCCGGGTCGAGTCCGGCGGCTGCCTGGATGGGAGTTTCTTGATCTTGTTGTCTGACAATCCAGGTGGATCCACAGACGTGGAAAGACAAGAAGTTCTTTATTTCCAGAAGGTCTCCTCGATCCGGTGCCCAGAGCTTCGATCCAACCAACTATTTTAACTAGCTACTTAAATATCTAGTTTAAACCATAACTTGTGCGGCAGAGGTTCGGCGCAGCCAAAAATTAAGGCTGTGGAGAAGGAGTATAGATTTTCTATGACTATTTTAGTTTTTCTTTTTGGCTAACTACCTGAGTAGACTTAATAAGAATCACACATCATGTGCTTCTCCTGAGAAAATGCTTGGTGAGAAAGAGGAACCTAAAAAAGAGCCATAATAAATAGAAGCTCTGATGCACCAGCCCCGGAGCCGTGCAGCAAGTATAATTTATAATCGGTAATGCATGCCATAAATCATGCAATTGACTATTCCGATAGATACAATTTTTCACTATTCTCTTTAGCTTTTGTTTTCGGACCCTAGTTTGAATTTCCGTAGAAGAAGTCACCGTGCGCAAGAACCCGAGCTGTTCGCAGGAAACCGGTGGATCGTGCAGTCCAAGACTGTGCTTGGTCATTAGCCGCGTCACTTTGTGCCGAGGGTGCTAGTGGTTCGACGTGCGCATGAACCTCCATATCTCCAGCCGGATGCCGAAAATGCAAAGAGCTTAGCGGCCTTGTCAACGCGGTAGCCACGACAGTCCCAGGAATCGCGGCAGCGACAGCGAGATTTGCTGCGCCAGTCCCGGTAAAGGCGTGATGTCGCGGCCGACCAGGAGCCGAAACACAGGCGTGCAGGAGCGGCTCTCCCTCTTGCGGACCCTCTACTTCCTGAAAAGGGCGCCGCTTTACCCAAATAACGCGCGCACTACTTGCAGACCAGGGCTCATATAGCCCACAAGCGGTGGCGTCGGCAGCGCGGATGCTAGCGCAAATCCTCTCCGCGTCAGCAGCACTTTCATCGACAGATATACCCGCCTCGTCTGCGTGGACGAAAATTGAGACCGAGGCTGCGTCTACCATCGTAACGTCAATCTCTATCATTCTGCTCTTTCTGTCGTTGGAACGCCAGTCGCTTCCACCATGCTACTTGAAAAACCTTCCTCTCTTTTGGAAGCCGATGTTGCCATCTCAACGCTTATAACCTTTGTCGCATTCCTAGGGGCAAGAGGTTTTTCTTGTGTCCAAGTAAGAACGTTATGCTTACAGCCTTTCGCGACCCTGGGACTCCCGATATCGCAACTTGCTCGTTGCCAGGCAATTCGCATAACTCCAATGAGTAGCCTTTATTCACTTGCCAAACTCGAAGGACTTGGTCTTCTCCAAGAACAGGAGAGTCTTTTAGAAGCAGTCCCATTTCGCGTGCAACGCATGGAATTGCACTAGCTAGATTGCCACATGCAGTGCGCCAGTCAATTTTTGGCGTCTTCGTATCTACTTGGCCAAAAATGTAATCGATCTCAGCAGAAGATTCACAAGAAGATGCAACTGCAGATGAAGCCCCCACCGATTCTGTAGCTCCTGTCTCCACCTCCTTATCCTGTTTAGATTGAGCCGACCTGTCCTTCAGCCCTTCACCCATCCGCGGTTCCAGAAGCACGACTTTGCTTGTGGACGAAGTCGCACCTCCAATGCCATCTAACTGGGTTCCGTGTGAATCTTCCTCAGCAGCGTCATTCGACACTATACGAAGCAGCACATCGCGTATGTCTTGGCGCAGCGAGGCGAACTCTGGCGAGGAGCCGCCCCCAACGGCAAAGACATCCCTCAAAGAACTACAAAATGAGGGCGAAACTCCAAGGTGCTCTCGCAGCACGCGTGCGTCTACGATAAGGCCCTTCGAGGTTCCTCCACGAGCGTATACTGCACGCAAAGTGTTCACCTTCTTCATTTTCTTCCATGTCGATGATCTCTTCGAATGAAATAGCGGATGTCGCGGTACCAGTGACTTGTTTATGAGAGTGACGCAACAAGAATAGACCAGTAGCGCAAGCCAAACTACCGTGCAAGATCTCACCAAATACTTTATGCATCGATAAGGCCTTTCTCGATCATGATGCATTCATGTCCGTGTTTCCGTGTTTCTGCTTTGTATTTGTTCAGCCGTGTAACATGAATTGCTAATCTCTCTCATCGTATTCCTTGTCAGGAACACCATCATGGATCTCTGTCCCAGAGAGCTTTGTTAGAAATTGATATCGTGGTACAATCGATTAAGCCATACTGTACAGAAAAGAGAAGCGAAAAAGCTCAGTCTGATCAAATGTCGATAATTTCATCGCACTTTTTAGCGGAATCCGTGTAGCGATCAGACCCCGAGCGTGTTGCTCAGCGTCGAATTGCATGAAATTTGCGAATGGAGTCTCAGACAATTCATGGAGAATCGGTAAACGAAGAAAGAAAAAGGGTTCGTGAGAAGATAGAAAACTTGTAAAAAAGAGAAGGGACTGGTTCTACTAGATCATCAGGTGAGTTCAAGAACTGAAATACGGTGACACAGCAGCTGCTCAAAAGGGAATGATTTGACAGCTCTTCGATTTTTCTGGAGGAGTCGGGGGGGAATGAAATCGCCGAAGCTCATCCTTCCGGTGCGCCTGCGTTCGGCGAGTACACCAGATTTAGCTGATTCAGGAAGTGGCGCTGAATGTAGTCATTCGACCACTTTTGAATGTCTCGCGTCATGCCTTCAGCTTCCCAGAAGTCGGCGAATTCACGCAGCAGCCAGCAATAAACTCGTGCTGTACGGAGGAAGAGTGCGTCACGCGAAGAGACCGAAGAGGCAGCTGCCAAGCCCGTGCTTTTCTTCGGTGAAACAACGGATCCACCTTGCTCGGTGCCTACTATCTCTGACGATCCGGTCTCCGGCATTGTGTCTCTGCCTGAGGAAGCAACTGAAATAGGTGCTGCCACCGAGGAGGTGGGTGGCATGGCCTCTGATGCACGAGTAGCTGCAGGTGCAGCACGTAGCAACTTCAACGCCTTTCGCTTGCGTTGACGATGCCTTTTTCTTGCGTCGCGATCTCCTGCAGTAAGCATCATAAAACGGTTTTGTGCGAGTCGACTCGCGGCAATCTGCTTGCCGTCAGCCTCGCAACGCGTCTCGAACGTTGTCACCAAGTCGCTGTATCTCACGTTTTCTGCTGCCTCCTGCTTGCCCGCCGTAGTGGCTGTATTTTTCCTAGTGCCAGAACCTACTCGATGAGTACCGCCGGTGGTAGACGCATCTCCGACCACTGTACTGCCGGATTGCTGCTGCGTCTGTTGTTCTTCTCCACCAGCTGCAGTTCCACTCATCTTTTTAATCTGAAGATCCTCTTCACCTCTGATATGATCATGATCTGCTGCAGCAGTTCCTTCCTCAGAGGCCGACGAGGAATCAAAGAAGGCACTTTCCTGACTCTGCAACCGTCCGAGAAGGGCGCATGGAGGCGTGTAACTCACAGTCCTTCCGAAACCAAGACGACCTGAACGTCTTCGCACACCACTCCACACGTTTCGGAACATGCCGCGAGGCATACACCCGTCCCGTTCGCTGCCGAACCGCCACGATTCTAGACTTCGCCGCAGAAGATCTGCCGCCCACGCAACTGCATTCACAGCAAACAAGCCAAACAACGATGGAAGATCCAAGCGGCCCCTTGAGCACGAGGAGGAGGCTTTTTGCAGCCGCACCAGATTCGATGACGTAGCTTTGTCGCCATCACCAATACCAGGCTTTTCTACACCAGGCATTCCTGTCGTCTTACTGCCCGTTCCAGTACCTCCACCGTCATCTACAGTTTCACTACTGTTCTTTTTGCCGCCCGAAGTCAGTATCCCCACTTTACTAAAAGCAGCTTCTTTCTGTAATTCTGCGTACTGCGCCCCGAATCCGTGCTGTGCTGCTGCTTCGCCGTCGACCGTTTGGTTCTGGGATGGCTGACTCTGCGCCGTTTTGATCTCGCTCGATGCTAGAGGAACTGCGAAGGACGACGAGCGTGACGGTACAGAGGGTGGGTTACTACTACCCTCGCGCTTCGGGACGTCAGGACCTCGAAGTTGGGTGAAACAGCGCACCGCCACCGAAGGATCCTCTGTGATCAGGTAGGCTAGCAGAAGCACTCCTAATGGCCCACACCCTTCTCGGTTCACGTCTCTAGCGATGCTGCCGTTGTACGAAAATCCGAGCACCTGCCAGTCGGGACGCGCAACGACTGGCAAATTCCGTCGCTCCGCCTCTGAAAGGTGGGAAGCGGAACTGGAAGATTTTGACTTCGAATTCGAACCTTCCCCTTCGACGAGATGACTTTCTAGCTTGATGGCGTAGATTTTCCACAGTGTTTTCTCTAGTGCTGCATCGCTGGCGTCTGAGTCGGGTGCGTGTTCCCAGCTTGTGTCCGGATGCGTAAGAACCCGTAACATTTCTAGCCACTTCTGCCTCTCCTTCCGCGCACGGCGAACCCAGGAAGCATCGCTGCCGCTCTGCCCTCTCGCGAGATCCACTATCGCGAGGGGGACTTTGTGAACGAGGAGAGTGCTACTAGCCTGCTCCTGCCCACTTTTACTGGAGCTCCCAGAAGCCTGGAGACTGCGGCCCGCATCCTGTGACGTGCGTGCCACAGCGCTCAGGGTCGAGGCTGCGGTAGCCAGAACGCCCGAAATAGCCCCTGGCGAGGAGCGCGCTGCACTCACTTGCGCCTTCGCCTGATCACTAGCACCTGGTACGCTATGTGTCACTTCTCCATCAAGCGTCGGGTCCTCCGCCCTCGAAAGAGGATCCGCCAATGATGATGGTTGTAGGAAAGTAGCGCCACCAGCCTCTACTGCTGAAGACGACTTCTCTTCTACTATTTTCCTCTCATCTGATAAAGTAGCAGTGGCACGTTGATTTGTTGCATTCCTACTGCTTAAGTGCATGTCCATCACTCTCATTTCCTCAGAGCGGTCACGATCGTTGCAGTTTTTTTCGCTCGCTGACGCGGCGTGAGTATTTGTAGCCAAAGACGTAACGGCCTCTCGTCTTGGTTCCGCTGCGCCGGCTTCCGTGACGGCGCCCGCGTCCAGGCGCTGAAGGATGTAGTCTTCGACATTGATGTTATTCCTCCGAAAAAAGGAACCCTCCTCCTCTGTCGCGGCGTCATCACGCAAGGACACTGCCACCTGGTCAAGGGCCCTTGCCTCAGCGTTGTCAGGCGAAGATTCTTCCATGGTCTTCTCAACATCTGCCATGTCAGGAATACGAAACTCGCATGTCATCAAAATAACTCATAAATGTTTTTGTTCCCAATTTTACCAATCGTTATAAATAGGTCATTCAGTACTGTCAATTATCTCTCAAGGCTGTCACAAGGAGAACCACCAAGCAAATGCAATCCCTCGGCAAAAAGCTGACAACTCCTTGTGCGTCAGCGAAGACTAAATTCATTTGGAAGGATTTAGAAGCCACCACTATGCGTTTCCAACGTCGAACTTTTATCGCTACAAGAGAATGACAGTTTTATTTTGATCAGATCTCTCACCGGTGCTGGAAAATTATCGATGGTGAAAGTTATAACCGATCTTCACACAAAAACCCAATCGAAAAATTGTGAATCCTAAGACAAACGATCCTGTTGAAAATTAGCCTCGTATTGATCGGATGCTCCTGTTGATATCAAAAACTAACGGGGCATATGCAGTCAGCTACAGCTTGCACGTTCGTGGAGGTTCTCCCTGGTGCTTGTTCTTGTTTACTAACTATGACTACTAACCACAACTAGTACGGTCCATCAGCTACCAATATGGTATAGGGACCCCATACACAACATACAATGTTCTCCCGCTAACGACGAGATCAAGTTGAAATGAATCAAAACTAACGCAATCCCATGGACGATGGGTCTTTGTCATCCCCGACTTTGTTTTCAAGGACCGAAATAATGACGCCGATGCTAATGATCACCCCCTATCTTCCAGATAGTCCACCACCTCTCAAAAAATAATTGTAGTTGCCGAGAAGTTGTGTTGAGGAGGACAGAAATTGAAAAGCCACACGCGTACGACCAGATGAATGGACAGAGCAAACGACAAACGAAAGATCCCCGCGAACTGGTCACAACGCAACGACACCTTCAAACCATATAAATAAATCATTCAATTGTCCTGACCTACTAGAAAACACGCGTATGAGACAGCGTCAGAGACGGAGACAAATCTTTACTACTTTCGAACAGATTTTTGTATACCAGACCCTCTCAAACAGAAACTGAGTGTGTTAAACGACGTCGCCTCGGATGAATAGCGCTGTTTCCTCACCGATCAAGTAAATGCGACCGCAAGAAACTCATTCTTTTTATCAAACTGCGGTTTGCGCATCTCTTAATTCTTAGTCTCCCAGTTCTGCGGGCTGCAATGAGCTCTCTTTTTTTTTCCTGCAGGTTCCTTTACCGCAAATATTGTTATAGTATGCTCTGTGCGGCTTTTCCTCGGTCGTCCACGACAACATGTTCTCATTGCCTGAGTGACTGTCTTTGAATCGATCTCTAGGAAAGTTGTCAGATGTCCCTTCTTATAGACCACATCGGACTGAGTGTGTATTCGATAGATTTTGAGACTATGAATTACCTTATTGTGGTCGATCATTTTTAAAAAAGACTCAGTCCTGCTTCGTTTTTCACGAAGGAGCATTCTTAATATCCCGATTCTTTTTAGTAGATTTTTCTTGGAAATTAAGAACCGACCTGGTCTTGGCATATTTATCTTCTCATGCGCCATCTCCAGGTAAGCGAGAGTTTGCTGCATCGATCTTTATTCGTTGCTAGATGTAGAAGATGTACTAGAAGCTACAACGTATTTATATTTAAATATAAGGAGTCATCATTTCAGAAGTTAGTATCCCAAGAGAATAGATTACAGATAAGTGCTTACGCTATACCACACTGAAGCATGCCAATTAAACTAGAAAAAACAACGAACTGCGTACGAACAAGATCATGACAGACAGAACTACCCCCAGGAACTTTAAGAACTCGTAACTGACAGACGACTGTAAAACAAGAACATGCAAGAACTTCCAATAGATATAATAACGCGAGTGAGTCAAGAACAAGAATGATAGAACAACAAGAACTTTGAAATTGAAAACATCAACACGTATCGGTGTAAGAGTAAGTCATCAGCAAGAAGACAACTAAGTTTATGCATTAGAGTAATTTTCGATGACTGCTCAGGTCCGAGGCGATCTGGAAGAGCAGATCATCGAAATCCAAACGGCGCTCGCTCAGTTTCGCTGCAGATAGGAAGTATAGTCGCTGGGTCACGCTCTGCTCGCGATAGTACTTGCGCAAGTCCTCCAACACGGCGGCTTCGGCCCGGCCATACTCTTGGTACTCCATCTCCACAGCCTGGTCTACTTTATTCCCAAACTTAGAACTGCTAGAATGAAGAAGAAGCTTTTGTCATTCTCGTAGTAAGTAAATGAGTGAATGATGAAAGAATCACGGAGCTATCCAAGTCCATCACCTTGCTCCACAAAGACAGAAGGATGCCTATTTATCTTTTGCTTTTTAATGTTTGAAGTTTATCATCGCCTCGTCTACGATGATCAATCTCTAGCTCTACGTCTCTTCCAAAATCGTAAGGATCATGTAAAATGGGACGTCGAATTCGGCTAGCGCATTCATCAGCATGATGTCATTTTGCGTAAAGCGCTCTGCAGTTACAATAAGTACTCCGTCGAAATACCGAAGACCCATCGCCTTCACGTAGTGTTCTGCGGGGAAGGCTTCGGTACCTACACCGGGAAGATCCCAAAGGGAAACTTTGTCTAAATTCGTCAAACTCGAAAACGGTTTCTGCTGTGACGGGAAGCGGTAATCCCTGCAGAAGACGATGAATGATAAGTGGTATCATACTAGAGCACAAGAGGAAGAGTTCGTAGAAGTTCCGTCGAATATGTGTATTTCAGATGCGTAATAACCAAATTAATAGGAGTTCTTATTCTTTTTTCTTGAATACAAACCGTCCTCAAATGAGAAAAGTAGGCGTTCTCGTCAGCACTGAGCATGAGAGTTATATATTTATATATATGGATATGAGCTTGCTAACCAAGCACAAAGGCGTACATTGGCTCCATGGTGGTCTCCTTCGCGCCAACTTGAGCCGCGAGTGGATCTTTTGCCTTCAACCCGCGGAGCGTGTTGATTAGCGTGGATTTACCAACCCCACCTGCTCCGGCGACAGCAAAGTTTATCCTATGGGTCGAGAGCCACTCAGGACACCGGTACTCCGCTGCCTCGTGTCCTGAAGGAGCGTGCTTGGCTGGTCCATGCGAAAAATCTACACAAATTAGAGCTAGTAGTACTAGGGGTACCATCCAACAAAAGCAAGTATGTATTTCCTCGGTAAAAAAATCCTGATGGTGCTATTACTTTCTTCATTTCGTTAAACTTGAAAGTTACTGGAAACAGACAATGACCAACCATAGATAGGTACAATGCAAGGTGTTCCTTGAAAAAACTTCATGCTTCTTTCCATAATCTGCTGATGAGATAAAAGAAGAGAAAGGCCGAACCAAAACCGGCAGCAAATTTTCCAATGGCAACAAAGAAAAACCAACCCAGCAGTGGGAAGCCAAAACGCAGTGTCCATAAGCCAACCGACATCATAAACGTCGGGTCCCCAAAGTAAGATACTGGCCCAGCGCACGCACCTGGAAATACTCACGATGATGTGATTCTGTCGTCACGGTAAAAAAACCTGCCCAGTACGTAGTAAACTCAATCATAAACTACATCACTTCTTTTACCACTGGATAATTCTTTTGCTTTTTGATATTCGTTCAAGCTACTACGCTGATTTCCATTGCTATTCTTATTCTTGATTGCTATTGATAGATACGTTTGCAGCAACTTCTATCCCTGCCGTAGCAACTCCAGTCTTCTGCCTTCGTGCCTGGTGGCCTTGACGGAAAGCTTCCAGTATCCGCCATGTCTTTCGAAGGCCGACCACCGTAGAGCGGTGATCCCGCAGGAATTGATGAGCCTCCGTCGGCACAAACTTAGACGCTGTGCTTCATCGTAATGGCTTGGGTAATTCCGTAACTAGTATCTTCGTTGGTTTCCTCTATAGTGGTGGCGGACATTGATTCCCAGCTCACATTTAAATTTAACTATCCTTAAATAAGTACGCTAGTACCCATCACGCCGAGGCACAGGCAGAATAATAAGAGTGAAAAACCAGCCATAATACACCTCTCGATCACGCTCATTGTTCCCGTTAAACGCTTGATCCACTTGAGCGTAAAACGGTAGCTGACTCATAAACTTCTCGCTTACCTGCTCTGCCACGTAGGACTTCGCATATTTGTTGAGGTCATTTCCCATCGCTACTCGCCGGTCGTGTTCCACAGCGATTTGCGCGTCAACGTACCGGTAATGAATATAAATATAAGTGCAAACAAAAGGCCTTCTCGGAGTCGTTTAACAAGCAACTCTCCAGTTATATTTCCTGCGGCAAGTACTTGTACTTTTGGAATTCTCGTTCTATTTTGAGAAGTAGATGTAAGTTCTCGTTCCTCCTGAAAGATCGCGTCTGTTCGGTCCCGACCAGGTCGTTGTCGCAAGAAAAACCTTTTATTTAAATTGTACCAAGCAGCTTGTTTTCTCGTATATGTACCAGCATTCGCGTCCCCGCTTCCCGAAAAAATGCTCCTTGGCGTCAGGGATCACGATTTAAGACCGGGCCCGTCCTGGCCATATCATGACCATTGCTGATACTGTCTGGAGGCACAAAAGGACATACTGCAGGAAACCATCTGTCATCTCCGCTCCTAATGGTCCGTTTGATGACTGAACCGTTCTTCAAAATTTCTAGGTAGCTTGCACAAGAACTAGATGATTAGTAGCATCTTGCCGGAGCACCCGCACCATCGCGACATCTATCCTTTTTTGTTGCATCTACTCCAATATATTTCTTTCCCTGGGTGCTAGCCACAAAAGGAAACGCCTGCTTTTGCTTCTTCTTCACCTCATTGTCATCATGCATCTCTATGCTTATCGATGTTCTCCATCCCCAGCCAATACTGACATAAAACAAATTGTAACCCCAAGCTCAATCACGAGTGCGTGGTTTGGCCCTACCGCTACTACTCCTCGGCAGAGAACACATCTACTTCGCGAACTCGAAAACTGCAACTTTGTGCCTTCTGTCAGAAAGGAGAGAAAGTAATTTCTCCTCTCCATGAACAACACGGAAAATGTGAAAAAATTCATTGGGATTTATAATTACACGAATAAAGGCTTTATTCCGTTTTACCCACAGAGCGAAAGAAGACAGAGGTTAAATTGTTACTTGTTACTTTGTCTCTTCCCACTTAGCAAGATTCTTTCTTTCAAAGTGGTGATAAAAGCGAACCAAAACATTCATTGCTAATTTTGTTTTCTTTCCTTCGGGTTTCCTGGCCTGGACAACGTACATCGGCGTGAAAATTCCCTCACGAGCACCCGCGACAAGGTTATCTGCGCCGTCGCAGAGCATGATCCGCGTCTGCAACGACCCTTTCGGTGCCAACCCCACCGCGAACATTAGAATTCGTTGTACGAGTGGCGGTAGCTCGTGACACTTAAGGTCGATTCATAGAAGCCTTCCTTTTCATGATCATGCTCTACCTCTGGAGAGACAAATTATCATTTACATTTAAGAATGTTTACCGCAAGATCTTGCTAGATGCGGGAGCCTACAACAAAGCATAAAAAAATGTCCATAACTCCAACAGGGTGAGTAGGTAGTACGTCATTGCGCGCCCAGCGGGTGATCCCGGGAAATTGGCAATATACAATGCCACTGCGTCTAGGACGTCTTGCAGGGAATCAATACTGGCAGCAGGAGCACCCGCAAATTCACCTCCTACGAGCGGAGCGACCCACGACAAGTCGTTTCGCGGCCCATGCGTCTCTCGTGAACGGGTCACCAAATCAAAGCACTCCCCGACCTCGAAACCGACGTCCTTCACGCTCTGGACTAGTTCGGTGTCGCTGATGAGATCCGGCAGGCCATCACCATGTTCGATCCCACATATGTTAGAACAAGACTTGCATCTGCTAGTCTCTTGCAAGTACCCTGACCTGAAAGAAACAATCACTCAGAATCCCCTCGCACGACTTGTTGTCAGGGGATTCCACGCATACACCATACATTAGATCACACTCGAGAATCGACAGCTGCCCTTCTTAAGTTTGATTCGTAGGTGCGTCTCATTCCGCTTCTCAAAAAGCGAGGTGAGACCCCAGTCGTACGTGATAAAGTTAGAGGCAGGAGAACCAAAAAAGTTTGGAAACCAACGAAGATCGTGATGATCCATACTCAGTAGAAGTACCATCGTAAAGACTGCTTGTCACAAAATTGCAAATCGTCTTCTGCATCTCTCTTGAGTGAACCTTTTTCAGACACGACGAGGTTCTAGTAGATGCGTCTGAAGTAACAAGCTATTCACACATGCAGCATGCGATGCGTAGTGGGTCCTTCCTGCTTGATCATAATTGGCTCTTCTTCAAGACAATTGAACCTTCTACCTACTACAGTTACACTAACTCGCCAGCACAACATAAGAAGAGTCCACCACGTTCCCGTACACGAAACGCTTCAGCCAGAACCGGATGTCGCGGCGTCTGATGACACAATGATTCGATGGCATAAGCCGCGTCCATCGATCCGGATATTTTAGAGCCAGGACCTAGAAGAGGCTTCGTTTCTCAGAATAACGTAGTCTCCTCCTTGCTTATTTGTATCTAAATACCTCATGTCTACCGCTCATCAAACCAAGTCTATGGCAAGGCTTACGCAGATGCAGAAGCAGAAGAGGTAAACTCGATGATTTTCAACCACAATTCCCGCATCATCAAGTTACTGTCCTCGGACGGAGTATCAAGCTGTCCTCGGACGGATTCGCTACTTGTAAAGTGATGATCTTCGATCATGGTCGCTAAAAGATCTTCAAGTGTCTGGCATAATGCCGACGAGCTCGGTGAGATTTGTGTAGTCGCCTTGTTCGCATCTGCACAGATGATTCAAGCCTGCTTTTTCCGTGAGTTTTTTGCAACGCCCTACTTGGTACGCGTTCAGCGACGCAGCCGTGATCGAAGCTACCGAAAACCGAGCTATGCTCCGCATCGGACCGCCAACGCCACTTCCCATATCCCGATCGCCTGGCCGCAGTCCCAACTGTCTGGCAAGGTTGTACTCATGTCACAAAATCGATTCTCGGAACGTCTCGCCCCGAAAGCGCGGCGCAAAGTGAAACGATGCATGCGTATGTCCCTGTTGCCAAATTTCCTGATGACCGTAGAGACGTTATCTGAAAGTGCTTCTAGGCGAACGACTCGCCCAAGCCGTATTCGTAAACCTCGTAGATGAAGAGCTTTCAGTGAGTCCTTCGTTCACATGATTAAGTACTTAGATTCATTGTAAGTATTGCTGTCCCCTCTAAAAAACAACGTTCGTCCATATTTGAGGAAACAAATCAAGTCAATCGAAGAAAAGCCTTAAAAGTCCATCGCGATCGAGTAGTACTGATCCGTAATTTCCTGAGGACGGTGCGCGAGCCCTTCCGCGACGTCGGTGCCTGCATAGTCTGCATCGTAAAGGCCGGTAATGCTCTGATAACGGTCATTTCCGAGTATGCGTAACGCAGAATCGAATAGACGCGGCGCGAAAACGCGGAGGCTAAGCAGGCTACCGCCAGCAAGTGCCGTACCGGTAACGAAGGGCTTGACCATGTACATGTTGCTGACTTGCTCTTTCCAGTCGCAGCCTACTTTCCTGAGTAATTACAAGCTCCAAAACAACAACAATCGACTTTACGACCTGTCTTTGAGTCAAACCTGCAAGAAAACTCACAGTCGTAGCACATTTTTGATGTGAGGGAGCAGAGCCCTGGCATCATATATTCTGCCATCTCTTCACCCCCACTTGACGTCTCTCTAGAGAAAATTCAGTGTTACACGCACCCCTCCTGTCCTCTCGCACTGCCTCAGACACACACAAGTTCCCAGGTTGTGGTTGTGGAGGGCAACGACAACGAGTAAGTTACTAACCCCCGCTATTAAACAGAAGAGTTGTTCATGTTTTCTTAAGAGCTTCTTGACACCCATTCTTTCACACTTCTGCTGATATCAAATCAATAAAGCCTTTGTAATCGACAAGGTTTTTTGAAGGAGGTTGATCCAGTTTCTCAGTGGTATTTCTATATTTCGTGACATCTTTCCCCAGTGAGTCCGCCGGTACGACATTTAGTGTCTGCCTCAGCTCTTCGAGGATCTCATCGATTTCCTCCGCAGGGAAAGCGTCGCCCACGTGCTGCATCAGGTTACGAAAAACGGACTCCGGAACCATTCCGGTATTATCCGGATCATAGGGCAGAAAAAAAGCATAGAGTTCTTGGCGCCGAGGTTCTGGGCGCGCAGCGATCGCACACGCCAGGCCCAGCACATCTGGCAATCTATAGTACACGGACGAACTCCCACCATTGCCGTTCTTGCTCTCCTCGTTGTTTCCTCCAAAAGGCTGCTCAGCCTGCTCTGCGTCCTCCTGTTTTTGTCGTGCGAATTTGCCATGAAGAATGTCCGTTTCGGTTGGGCAAAAGCCTTGACTTCGCAGAATGTAGCCCACCTCTTCAGGTGCAAGGATTCCACCACGAAGGCGATCCCGTTCTCGAAAGGCCAGTTTCAGTCGCTCCACCTTGTCTACTCCCAACGCAGCAATCGCGGCAATGGAATCACGCCCATCAGCTAGGGTGTTAGAAGTCGGCGCAATGACACTGGCCGGCATGATTGAATAAGTGTTTCCTTGACTACTTACTTGAAAGTGCTGGTCACAAAATAAGCATCAGTCACTACACTGTGGACGCTGCCTAGAAGTGGTAATAGTCGGCTAGGGCATAAGCTTAGTGTACGGATCTTAAGTCTACCACCGGGGTTTTAAGAATAATCATGGCACGATGGATGGAAAGTGCGCACAGCGAGCCGTCATATCAGCAAACCCGACTGATTCATATACTCATCAACATCAAGCGGATCATACAGCGACGGATGAGTCGGCGACTCAGGATCTACCTTTCTCTGCTTCGCAAACTGATCAATCCATCGTAACTTCCCCATGCAGCGTCTTCATCAATCAAGAAAAGAACACGCGAACCTGAAGTGTTCCTCAAGTTGCGAAATACTGGCAAAAATTTCTAGAATCATAAATCTTCACCCCCAGGAGTTTTACCATTCCGTCCTCAGCTAGAATGCTGAATGAAAACAAGATCAGTATGGATGATTAAGTATATTGGAAAACCATCACAAAAAACGATAAAATGAAGGTCATCAAGTGTAACAGCAGTGGCCCGAACTCGTTCTAATTTGTGAATTTAGAAAAAAAGGAAAATTTCAGCAAGGCGTCAGGAGTCTCTGGTCTAAATATTTTCAGAACCAAGTAGTTAGGTGTGCACTCATGGTACAACGAACTAAGTCTCTATTATTCGTCCCCAAGCGCAGCTGATTTATCCCTCGTTTCTTCATCCAAAACAACAGTTGATGCTTCGTCCAGATGATGAAGTGCATGATCAAATATTGATTCCCCCCTCGAGAAGATTGTCGAGTCGTTGCAGTATGCTCCGCGAAAATTCCAAGGATGCTGAGGGATTTCGTGGTTTGCTCATGCGTGCCTGTTGCAACGTCGTCCAGCTTTCTTGGATTGAGCTCACGCTAGCCCACTCTCCTTGAGCAACACACAGACCTGCATCTCCGTATTCCTCTTCCTCGTCAGCGTCTTCCTTCATATCGTAATAACGTCCAGCCAATGCCGCCGGCATGTAGTCGTCCTCTTCTGTCGTAGTCCTGAAAATCATGCGAGAAAGAAACTGTCGAACTACACTATGTACAAGAAGTTGCAATTTTAAAGTCCCCCTAAGTTACTATGGCTCACCTACCTCGGTCCCATCCTCACTCAAAACTTTTTTAGGCACTTTTGCGTTTGCTGGAGCAGTTTGCGTGTGAATTCAAAAGTTCTACCCGATCTCGGCCTCAACGCTTCGGTACATATCGGACGCCTCCACGCCGATCCCGTCAGAGTCAGGGCACGACTCGGGATAGCTCTGATCCGCGTAGGATGCCACAGCCATTGCGTCCTCCAATGTCTTCTTCGCATGACCGGAAGAGAATCGCGCGCAATCACGTGCGTGAGTCGAGTCATCCTCGTCACGGCAGCATTCGTCTTCTTTTGGACAGTTGTTAGCTTCCGCACGACGACGATGATGAGGCTCATCGTCTACTCTTCTTGTACATCTCCTATATTCTGCTTCTTCTATCTCTAGTGGGTATACCGAAGATTCGCGACACTGAAGAGTCGACGTGGGTAACACTCTGACTGGTGCGTGATCCTCGTTTTTGTTTCTGGGATTCGTCGGCGAGTCTACTCCTGTGCCAAACATTTCGGGAGACGGCACCTCTGTGGAGACTGCAGCACGGCTCGACGCGGTGCTCGCCGCTATAAGGGTCGAAGTACCGCTCAAATCCCGATCTTGCAGTTGCGTGGAGGCTAACAATATTTCGGAGAGGGGTACCTCGACTAGAGAGTCACGATGTAACCACGCCATTTTCTGGTGGCGCGCGGCACCTCTGTTCTTGTTCGCAGGACTTCGCTCGCTGGCACTTATTGGCAGGGGGGCTTCGCCTACTGTAGGAGGAGTGTGGCTAGCCTCACCATGATCTGTTACTGCAACCATGCGGTCCTCCACCCCCGCTTTTTGCGGCCTGCAAGCGTCCAAACTAACAGGCAACGTGTTTGTCCGCTCCGTCCCCGAGTCTATTACTCCATGTGCTGATGCAGAAGCGGCGCCTGCTGACGTTCGTGACGAATATCTTTCCAAAGTACTATGGCTATCAGCATCTGAGGCATGCTTTTTCGAAGTACTGGCAGCCCCATGACAGTCAATTTCATTTTCTTCAGGTCCTACTTTCTCGACCGCTAAGTCAGCTGGTGAAGGGCCCAGGAGACTCTCCTGTAGTCGTGTGAAAGACGATCGCAGCGAATCGGCCTTCGCAGCTGACCTATCACCCGACCGCAGCACATCTACACCACTTTCCTCTTCGCAAAGCAGCGACATCGTTGCAAGCTTATTATCCGGAGAAAGTTTTAGGCGATTTTGCTCTCGTCTTACAATGAAAGGATCATGATGATGGCCTTGCCCTTTAGGATTCTTTTTCCATTTGCGGTCCTCCTCCTCTATTCCTTGTTGTAGTAGCCCGTCTTCATCGACATCATTCTCGACTTTAACGTTGTCCCGCTCCTTACTCCGAGACGTTGGCCCCGCGTTCCTCTGTCTCCAAACCGGTGTCAACACGGTTTTTGCTACTCCACGATCTGCAGGGCGTGACGACGAGGCTGTCGCCGCTACTCGACCGAAGGGCGCGAAAGCGTAGCGCATCTGTAATCCAGACTCATCGGCACTCGACATCGGCGCAAGGACGAGGTCGTTCGTGCACAGCAAATTTTCGCAGCTGCCAGATGCGTCGACGGAGTCGCCACCGAGCGTTTGAATGTACTCTCTTTTCTTGTTGCCTCCACCTTTCAACGGCGTGTCCGCAGAAAAGCCTCGTCCGTCTTCACGAGTTTGACTACACGCACTTGTAATGGCATGCTCTCCAAAAGGAGCAGCTACCTTGCCGTGGTCATGCTCCCAAACATTCATGTCTTCCTCGACCTCTCGCATCTCGACGTCCCCAGTGTCTTCAATAAAATCGTTTCCATCGTCTGCTTCCCTCGCAGTGTTGTAACGACCACTGCTCGTCGTTGTCCCCTCTTGTTCGCTCACGATAATATTGTCTTCTTCTGGGAGGTTGTGTTGATGTTCGCCAGCGTCGATGCTTTCCTGGATGCTTTCGTGTTTCTCAAGCCTGCTCAATTCCTCGCCGTCGCGATCATGTTCTTCACAACGACCAAGCCGCATTTCCGACCATTTTTCAGCATCGCGCAGCATGGAGTTATTATGCGAAACATTGCTCTGCATAAGCGAACTATCGGAAACCGTCTGTTCCTGCATGGTGTAATAGATTCATTTCAAACAATGTAAAGACGGTTTGTGTAGGTTAGCTTTAGGCTTTGTTAGTTGAGCGCCGGCGCCTGCTAGCTTAGGCTTTGTCAGCATGACGGCTCTACAACACGCCGACGGTAGTGAACGAAAGAATAAGAAATTAGCAAGCCATCAATTCATTATTTCCAATTCATTATTTCGATTTCCGCTAGCTACTTGCAGCAACCAAAAGACCAACACAAAGAAACAAAAAAATCGTGGAACCTTTGACGTAGTTTCATTCCGGCTCATTTGTCGCAGCATGTCCTCTACTGATACAAGGATACTCCTCTTCGGTTCGCGATGTAAAAACTTCGTCGAAGTGTAACTTAACACTCGGGCGGTCGTGGATTGTTCTGCTGATTCGCTCTCCGCGAAAGAACTCTTGGACCTATCTTCCTCTTCGCGGCATCTTTCCTGTGGATGCTTCTGTTGCTGCAGGTTTTCCTCATCGATGACCTGATTACGCAGCACGGCAGAGTCGTCCTTTTCCGACGGGTCTCCTGTTCCTAGATTTCCTGCAAGTTGTGACTCTTCCGCGAGTTCAGCCTCTTCGAGGCTCAGTCCGGCTCGATCTTCTTCTGTTAACTCCTTCAAAAATTGCATCAAATCTTCCTTCAAACTGTTGTCGAGCCCTGATGCTGCGGACAGCGCATGCCGCATATCCTGTGCGGTTCTTTCCTTGCCAGACATCAGAGTAGAAGCCTTGCCGGACATCAGAGTAGATGTTTTCGATTTGTCTGTCGTTTGCGATGCGCCATTCGTAGTAGAGTGGACCCTCTGCGCCCCGTTCGAATCTCTTGTCGCGGACGACATTTTTTGCTTCTCAGCACCTGAGGTCATGAAGTCGATATCTCCAGCACGCCCGATATCTGTGGGTGAACTATTTCCATGCAGCACGTCGCACTTATGAGAAGTGCCGAGAGAATGCCCATCCTCTTTTATTTAGAGCCTCTAAGTCCATATTTCATTTCCCGCAACCATCGATCTGTTCAGAACTCCCATATGGATTTAGGGTTCTCTTCTGAATAAGTAATTCCTTGTGGGAAGGCAAATGAGTCAGTTGTACAGAAGAAGTCACGGAGTCGAGCCTTAAACATCTTCGTTGTAGCTTGGGTCCTCGCGTCCCTCGTCTCGCTCCTCCTCCCGGCCTACAGCCACTGCATCACTCCATTCCTCCTCTTCACGCGATGAGGAGCTCCACGCATCCGAGCATACCACCGGATGAAGACTTTCCCCTAGGCTAGAAATCGCTTCGCTTTTGTTTGTCTGCATTTCCGGGAGTGCCTGAGGAGGCGAATTCGATGACGCAGCAATCAATCTCCTGTCATGATCATTAGCATCCGCTTGTGTCCCGTCATCTGCACAAGCTTCCTTTCTCGGCGCTGCTGTGTGTTCCGCCCGCTTTATTTGTTCACTCGTGTCATTCTCGGGCTCTAGTGCTCGGCTCGATGACGTTTCAGCACCACCGCTCTCTGCTACCACTCGGCCGTCTTTGAGGAGAAATCCGCCACTGTAGCTCATGAGATCAACGTCGTGAAATCTGACCACAGAAGATTGCGCGGAGTAGGGTGTTTCAGGTAATACGCTTTCCTCCTCCGGAAGCGCAAGAGGCATGCCGGAAGTCGCTGCATTCTCCTCTTCGAAGATTGCGTCAGGCTCGAAAGGAATCACATCGCAGACCTTCGACGGCGTCTCTAGCGCGCCTAGAACGGGAGACGTACCAAAAAGCATCGGAGGCGGAACCGGAAAGTTCGAACTATTGTCATGATCCTGATGGCCAGCGGGCAGACGAGGAAAGCATGCGTCGAGGCTGCCAAGGTCGACAGAATTACTGGCGGCGAGCTGTTGCAACGAAGCGAGTCGCTTCCCACTATCCGCCGTTCCCCAACGCCCTGCACATGCCGCCAGCAATGACGCGTCCATGGACTTTGCTATAACGTTGTAGCGATGCGCTGGCGGAGGACGATTTCTTTCTTGCAACAGGCCTCGAGAACGAGAAGGCGCAAGTCTCCTGGTGCTCATTTCGCTGAACCCCTCATGACTGTGAGGTGATGGAAGTTCCTCATCTACTACTGAGAGCACCGAAGCGTTCGCGGATGACGGCAGGTTGGCTAAAACACTGCGCTCGCTGTCGACGTAAGACGCGCGCACGGATTCTTCAGTTCGTAGTAGCGAGGCATTGAAGGAATTACGTGCGCGCATGAATTTTTGCGGGGAACGACCAAGTTTCGAGAAGAAGAGAGGCGACATCGCACCATTTTTTCTAGATCCCGGAATCGCGGACAGTCGCGTACTAGAGCTGCTCCTGAGTCCTCCAGTTATAGGAGAAATAAGCGGCGCATCTTCGGCGGCCCCACTCCGGGGCAGGAGAAGGTCACCGGACTTTGCACCTTGTTTGGTCTCGCCCTCTTTTTTCAGACCAGTATTTTCACCGATCCCGTGAGCCGTTTCCACATCCGTCCCCCCAAATGCGTCCCCGTAGTGTTGATCATCGTTTTTCCGCTCCTGTATTATATCATTTTTAACATTTTCTTCCTTCGTGTCAGCAAGATGAGGCGGAAAATCATCCACGATAAATTCGACATGCGCCGACACGCCGGTAACACTCAGCTCGCCCAGCACGTCGTAATCGACGCTTTCTGGTGGATCTATGTTGCGAGCCGCGGACGGTTCTCGAGGAAGGAGAAGATTCGGATCGAAACGAAAGGAGCCCTCGACGTCAGTCCCTCCTGGTGACGTCAGCCCCGCCACTTCATTGAGAACAGCTGCCTCCTCCTCCTCCTCTGGCACAGCATTTAGTGGAAGTCCGGCTTGCCGTCTCTCAGGAAAATATTCTTCGTTTGTTTCTATCGTTGCACAGTCACCCTGAGGAGGTTGCTGCGGCGCTCGATCTGTGTCCGCATTATCTTTGTATTTGTTAAGAGAGTTCTCCGCTTCATTAGCATCAAAACAAGTTGCGACTACAGCGTCAGCAGCAACACCAACTCCAGCAGATAGCCCGAAGGCAGACGATTTCGAAGAAGCAACAACTTCAGTCGCGAAGGCGTTCGCTTTCGCGGGGAAACACTTCTCAACGTCCTCTACATGGTCGAATGCGAAAACGGCTTCCTCGATACTGCTCGCAAGGTGTGGCTCGTCGCAGTCCTCACATAGACTCGCTGGTGAAACAACACTATGATCAAGCAGAGACATCTCACCATCGCCGTCCTCGCCTTCGTCTTCTATGCGGTCGTTGCTACGCCTAACCTGCTGTCTGCTTTCGAGCAGCTCCAGCGAGGCAGAACTTAGAAAAGGGAGGATCAGGACGACCCATATACATTTACATATATAATATAAAGACATTTCAGGATCGAGTTTTGATAGCAGGTCGTTGTGGTGGTGTTACAATGATCGCGATGCGTTTGTCACTGGCTAAGCAAACGAAAATTAGCTATGTATGTTGTGACAAGAATACTTAGGCCGTAATATCAACTGTCGATGACAAACGGTACTCGTTCCGTCGTTATCCTCGTCCAGATCTACCTCTTCGTCTTCTTCCTCGGCTTCCGGAGGTATTTCCAGTAACGGTGAAGTTGTTACGGCTAGTTGTATCCGACTTCGCTCCTCTTCTTCTTGTTGCGGTTGCCAATGCCACTTCTGCGTAAGGCTCTGATGAGGCCTCCAAGTTTCAAGGTTCTCAGCATCCGGCTTACTTCGCGTTTCAGCGATGTTCGGTGAAAGCGGAGGTGGCTGCATCTCAGCCCGCGCGAGCTCCGCGCGACTATTTGCTGCCACTTTTTCCTGAACGTCGTCGAGTAAACGGTGATTTGCGACCTTGCTCCGGGGCGAGTTCTCACTTTCGTCTCGAACCGCGGCTGTACTGGTGCCATCGTCTTTGAGATAGCGACCTCTACTCTGCTGGAGAAGGCGCGCCGATGTTCCTGATAAGCTTTTCGCTCGAAAATCACGGGCAAGCCCGAGTGATCGAGCCGAGCTGCTGCGTGAGACCTCTCCCGGACAAGCACTATGATTCGATTGCATCCGTATGCTCGAAGCGTCAGTAAAGTGTCCGCTCAACTGTGATGACGCACGACCCCGCATAGGCCCGTAATCTTCTTCTAGTTGCTCGTAGTGTAACTCCTTAAGACCGTCGCCGGGGTGACCTCGTACGTCTCCAATTTGATTCTCGTTTTCCTCCCCGCCACCTAGGCTGCTAGAAGAAGCACAGAGGGGCACAAGTGTAGAAACAGCCGCATGGAGACTGGTTTCCACGTGCACGAATCGTTGATCCGCCTCTGGCAGTAAATCTCCATGCTCGTCAAGGTCGCAGCTTTGCCCTACAGAAAGTCTTTCACTCTGTGTACGGCCTTTTACGTAATCGCGCGCAGCCTGCATGTCTTCAGCACTGCCCGTTTCTAACGCCAGTTTGACAAAATAGTCCCGCGAGTGACTCGCACTGAGAGCCTGCGGTGGTGTGAGGAACGGAAACCGATCGTGCTGTCCCCTGCTACAACTTGGCATCGCGCCGCGAGTGGTGTCATAGGTCGACATCGATACTCCGCTGCTCTCCTCCGGTGAACCTTCTCCGCATGTGTGGCCACCGACTCCTGCACGTGATGTTACTCGAAGATTGCTGTCCATCTGGTGAGGATGCACAGCACCGCCTGTGTCTCCACCATGCTCGTCCGAAGTAATAAGCGCAGCTCCACGATCCCCATGACCACTAAGGCAACTCGACTCGGGACCCGAAGTCCAGTGTGGCCGGCTCCGATTCTTCGGCAAATCAGGTGATCCACGCAGCAGAGTCGGCGACGGTACCACGCCATTGCAAGAACTGTTCCCCGTTCGGTACAATGAGAGAGACTGGAGCACGACTCACAGAAACCACGACTACTCCCAGGCACGGAACAAAACTTGGCTGTTCTTCTTTTCATCAAAATCCCTTCGCTACCCAATTGTACATTCACGACCGCAATCACGAAGCCATTCAGATTTCATTAATCTTCATCCTTACTATGACATTCGACGAGTCTGCGGCAAAGACACAAGTCTAAGGAAATCACTCCAATTCTTGAAACTCTACATGAACATCGCCATCCTCAACTACGGCAGTCTAATTCTACTACTAATACAAAAACTATTTTTTCTACTTGCCTGAGCTATCAGGAATCTGTTCCAAGAAAGAAGAGTTATATGCGTGTAATTTCGATTTCCATAACGTCAAGAGATCTATTTCCAGCAAAATTCGCTGTTCTTTTTCTTCGATATACCTCTGGTACAACATGTCGTTTTGCTGGCTCAGGCGCTCCAGTTCGGTTTGCTGCGTCACAACTGCAGCACTCTGCTTAGAGAGTTCTGTCAGCTGCTTAAGCATCACCCCCGTCCTCGACGACATTGCATCGAAGGACCTGGTTCCATCTGGCGTCATTCTCGTTACTTACGCTAGATCTAGTTACTTACACAACGAAGAACCACAGCGTTAGCGAGGCACAAGAGCCACTTCTACAGTCATCGGGTCAGCAGCTGGTCAGTCTCCTCGCGTGCGCACCGCATCAAGCAAATGACCAGGTTCGCGTCATCTAGCGGCCGGCTGCACTGCTATAGCATAGCTAATGTGCTGGTTACAGCTCTTGGGGTTCTTCATCCTGTGAGCTTCATCCTGATGACGAGGGATATTAACTAAACAAGCGCTCAAACGATCGAAATCACGAAGCAGCGAGAAAAAATAAACAACTAAATTTAACAAGCTTAGTGTTGATGGAGAAAACCATCGAAATGTGTTGATAAGTACAAAAAAAAGGTAAGAACTAGGCGACAACCCACCGCTTGCAATTGTATTTGTTGTGAGAGGATCTTGCTCGTCTTCTATCTACTTCATCTATTCATGCTTTCGTTGCCAACTCTTCGTGTCTTCTTTTTTTGTTCCTTTTTAGCTTGTTCGCTGTGGCTCGACCTCGTCTACTTTTTCCAATATCGGTGGCTCTTTTCAATATAATGAACTAGCTTGTGAAAAACTTGACACGCACGACAAGCTCAAGCTACCTCAACATTATCTATATACAAAGTGCCGGTCCGAACAATGACGATGAAGCGTGGCTCCTCGGCCACAGAATGGGACACGACGGTTTTTGACAGTTGCTTTACCAAGCAACAACGAAAGCCAGCATCTGCAGTAAAGGGTAAACATTTTGTGCATAACAAAGCGGGCTAGCATAGTCACACGGGACCTTTCGAGGCAAGCAGTTTCCTATAGTAGTTCCTGGTGGCAGTATTTTCATGTTCATCATCAATATGGAGGCATGGATCTTTTTCTAGTACAATTCCTGATTCATTTTCAATGTTGATGTACAACTGAATTTGAATATAGAATGAATCAGACAATAGATTGATAGATAAGTGTTAGTGTTACAGAAAATATGTGCTTGAAGATTTATGTTATGATGACGTTGACCAAATGGAGGGATAACTCAATCAGAATCATCAGTCTTATGTCGTAGTCGTGTGTGCTTTTGCGTGATAGCAACACCTTTCCCTCTTTCCGTGCGAGCAATATGTCTCCCGTCCTTGCGGACACAAAAGTGGCAACGTCATTCAAGTGTCGGCGGTCATTTAATCTTGGCTATAAAAGCGATTGATTTGCTCCCTCTCCTTCCGACGGGAACAGGAGGTATAGATTTAGCATTACGAACGCCAAAAAACAAGTAACTTATGAATCATATGACGCTATCTCTCTTATCAAATTTCACTATTTTTGTTTTGTCGAATGAAAGTTTAACTTTGACTTTGTCTCTGGCCGTGGTCACAGCGTAAACTGAAAAAAGGAATCCCCTAGCGTAGCTGAGCTGTATCAGTGTCGTGGGACGTAAACGACGCGATACTTCTCGATTATATTGTTTTTATGCTATCTGAATCGTTTTACTCGTTCATCTCATCTCTAATGTAGGTTCTGGTTCTTTGAGTTTCACACTCACTATATTTCTCTTGAGTTTCATATTCGTAAAAGCAAAGCTGGACTGTGATTAGCTGTAGCATGTATTGTAGAAAAGTGACCAAATATTTCTTCGTAAAAGACGACAGGGAAGATGACAGAACCTGCTGAGAGTGGCCACGTCAGTCAAGCCGTAAGTGCTGCAGTAGCTCGTGCCTGTCATAATTTAAGAGTTCGAGTTGGTTGTATAGCTAGAAGTGGATCAGGAAAAACGCAACGTGCTCTTTGCAGTTTTTATACTAACAACAAGAACCTCTGAATAGCATGATGTTGATTGCGGTTAGTCCTCATAGCATGATGTTGATGACCAGGAATTAATAAGAACAAATAGTTGTACTGCAAAAATCATGATCTTTCTCCCTGTGTCAGAGTTATTAGTTCTTACCTCTTCTTCCACGAGCAACGCAACAATCTTCGCAAATGCTTCTAGACTCCACTCCTGCAAGCCCAAAGAAATTGCCTCTCCCTTTACCTCTCCCGATACTGCCGGGTTGATTGAGCCGAAATATTTGTACAGGAAGAACTCCTCCACTAGATCATCAACGCGAGCTCCCGTCACTTTTGTCAACTGCATATGCGCTACTGCACTTGCAAGACACTCGTGCACTGCTGAGATGTTAGAAGAAATTCAAACTTTTTGTTCATTCATTGACTTCTAAATTTCTGAACATACCCGCACGCACATACCTTCTACCTCTTTCACTAGCTACCAACCAAGAAACGCAATGACACGTTGGTGGTGGAAGACAAGTACTAGACTCCTAAGCGCACGGCACTGAAGATGTTGAATGTTAGAGAAGGTAGTAAACTACTTGTACTCGTCGAGGTTACAACTGAAGTCTGAAGTTTCATTCTCAAATACAACCATCTCCGCGATTCTGACCATAAACATTGACTTTTTTGATATGTGTTCCGTCTGTGCGTAGAGGTCGCGAAGCTTTGCTATCTCCACTTCTGAATACAGCTTCGATAAAGGTGTATGCACTGCGCGATATATCAACCGACTGTGCCGTACCTAGTAGAATCGATTTGATGACTGAGAAAAATGAAGGCTTACTAATGCGTGTAAGGTAGTAGAAGGAACGAAAGAGTAATAATCAAGGATCAAGTGAAGTAATTCTTCAAGGACGAGAATGTAGTGATGGACGGAAGACGAGAGTTATGTAGTAATGCAGAAATAAGGGGAGAGGGAGGGCAATGGTCGGCCAACCCAAGCCAAAGACCTGCCAAAAAGCCACCAACCCACAAAACAAATCTAGACGATGAACCTCATACAAGCCGGGAGAGGAGCCACCCACCTCCCCCAGCAGGGCCTTAAGCGTCGCTGGACCTAAACCAACTTTATATATAGTACATAGAGGTAGTCAATCTTGATTTGCGGCCGGGCTGTGCGGGCTTACATGAGGAGCTTGTGTCTAAAGCTAGGAGAAACTTACTTAAAGGCACCGGATGAAGGAAAGTACTTAACTGATAATTGAGAAGCTAGAAACGCAATAGTCGACAAGTTCTTCATCTCGTCCCCATCCAAGTCTCCTGTCTCTGTCTCCACTCCCTAGGATATAAAATAAATCAAATTGAATCTTCGGCATGAGTCTGCTATAATAATTCCAACAGCAGCTGTACTGTGCTAAGCGCTGCTTCTAAAACTCCGCTTGGATTTTCGAGCGTTATCTCTGGTAACACGGTCGTTATTGGCAGTTGACCTGATGTGAATGGAGAAGGTTGAGGTATTGAACACGACGTAGTTCTTATCATTGTCATGATGTCATTATGATAGGGACCTCGCGTTATTTATGGTCCTAGAAGTCGACAAGTTCTTCATCTCGTCCCCATCCAAGCCTCCACTTTCTAGGTTAGAACTCTATAATTTCATGCATACCTGGTTCCGCTGGATTTTTTATTGCTTGCTGGAATATTCCTGCTATTGGCTGATCCTTAGCCCACTCTCCAACGAATACTTTTCCCGTTGATTTGTAGAAGAAGCTCCCTGCTCCTTCTCTCGAATCTTTCACCCAGTATCCTTCAAAAACATCACCGTTAGCTTTCGTGAGGACACCTGACGATGCTTCCTCACCATCGTATTCGAAGCGCCATTATTTGAAGATGGTAAAGAAAAGGGATCAACACGATTCTAAAAGCAGCATTTTATACTAACCAGATGTACTTTCATTCAATCTAGTACTGCTAGTTCGGATATTCTTCTACAGCATCCAGTGCTGCTATCACTTTCATGCCAATTATCTTTACAAAACTGAATACCGTATCCAGTCCTGACGTCTTCATGCCAATCGCCGATATAAATTGCACCATCCCGAAAACTCATCTGCCCTTGCCCATGCCTCATGTCAAGACACCACTGCCCTGTATAGTGCTCTTTGTGCGCGTAATACGCGGTACCTAACCACGAGGTAACGGTGGAAGAGTCATCGATCTCTTGTACTTGATATACTTCCGGACGCAGAGTTTCAATTTAATGATGTAGCAAAAATACTGGAAAGATCCTACCTAGAAAGTACGAACCACGCACTGAGTGAAAGATGAAGATGAAAAATGATTATCGCGTCAACACGCCGTACCCAAAAAGACGACAAATCTGAGTCGTGTCCCAATATTACCTGTCCCATGCCGTTTGTCTCCTTTCCATACTCCAATGTACTCTTTCCTCATCTTGTTTGGCCTTGAGGCGTCCGCAACCCAATATACACCCTCGCCTTCTCGCTTGTTGTTGTAAAACTGTCCCTCATACTTTGACAAACCTCAGAAAAGAGACTGTTATTCTCATGTTTGCAAAAGAGCTCGACAGAAAACAAAGTAATGCTGGTACTAGTAGTGAAAATCACATTGATTAATTATGGACCAACATAATCACAAGAAAAAAAGAACTCCATCAGTACTAGCATTAATAGCCATACACTTTTAGAGCACCAGCTTTCAAAGAGTAAAAAGCACAACTAGTTACCTGCAACTCCGACACTCAAGGGGTAAAAAATACCATCTTTAAATGTCTGCACTCCATAGCCGTGCTTTCTATTGTCGAGCCATTCGCCTTTATAGCTCTCTTTTGTTCCAGCCGCAAATACAGTGGAGTGATCTCCCTGCTTGAGACTCAGGTCATAGGCTATTTGCGTCCTTTTCTTTCCGGGACTGCCTGACGAAGGCGATCCACCTCCGCTCTGAAGATGCCCTGAAGGCAAAAGCTGGGTGGTTCTTAGAAAGGGTAGAAGAATGAGGCTATAATTATAGAAGTGGGGAAGTAAGGGCCTAAAAGCAAAAGCAGAGTCGTCCTCAGAGACAGGTATAGGAGTGAGCGCGGGGTGCCGTCCGGTGGCATTGTAGGTAGAGGTGTTAAGCTAGTAGCCACTACACATTCTCCAGCCTCATGATGGGGAACAAAAGGCCACTACATACACATACGTATCTCGAAATCCCAGCCTTAACGTCCCTGCGTTTCTGCTGGAAGAGGACCCATGCTTGGGCGAACCTCCGCCGCCGGTCATGGCGATGTTGGCTCGTTGTGATGAAGATAAAACTTAGAAAAAACGTTTTAGTTGAAACTTGAGTATCTGTGCCGCTATCAATACTCTGCCTTATTTATTGCTTCCGCTCGACTACAAGAAGTTTTTTACAACGTTTTCTCTTCTCGTACAGTTCGTTTTGTTTTTCTGTCTGATTATTTTTGACTTTTTTTCGTAGACCTTTTTTGCATGTACTTCAGCTATTTTGAATCCCTCTGTACGTACACGTACAATAATGAGGTAAGCCTCTTCAAACAAAATCATTATTAATTTGAAGTATTCATAGTTTCGACATTCACATGGCGGAGTTTGTACTGCATATAATTCACTTTGTGTGTGGAATATTTCGTTGCTCTTTCCTCTTCACTGTCTTTGCTCTGTACAGAATTCCTCATCAATAATCATGTTTGTCACAACTTCTACTACATTCGTAAAGTGGAAAAACCTAATTGGAAAACCGCCATCATGGATTCTGTCCTTCCGGTGCCCCAGCGCCTGCCCGCATTGATAAGTAAAGATAGAGGTATCTCAAAGAGCATATGAGGCTGGACGACCACTGTTTGCTATCCCAGGGCCTGTCTGACATCCATGGGCTTCGTCAAATCGCCTATGAGCGCCTCTTCCAAAGTCTTCCTGCGATACTGGTAATTTGTCGTGTATTCTATGCCGTACGCCGACTTTCGACCGCGGTGTACGTCGGCGAAGGAGAGAGCAAACGATTCGCGGTCGATTACCTCTATCGGAGCACTCCCTCCCCATGCCGCCGCAGATTCTTGGGCTAGTTGGGCTTCGAGCGCTTGCGCATGACTCCCAGCGTTTTGAGCATCGGAGACATTCAAGACCTGCAGGTCCAATGCTTCTGACCATCTTTTAACTGAAAAAGGATTATTAAGTCTTCTGTATGTTACAGCAAGATATCTATGGCCTAAAAGGAACGGTGTGGAACGTTAATTCCTCAACTAAAGGCTCTCATCTCATTCAAGTGGCCAGTGTTTCTTGCTAATCCTCTTGTTGCAACCAGTTCTCATTGTGGTACCCTAGGATCCACTTCTGCGTTTGCTCGCACCTGGTGATACTGCGTAAGCTCCTTTGCGAGAATCTGGCTCCGGATGTGCTTCTGCTGGATGGCGTCCGAGACAGAATTCATCTTTTCTAACTTTAACAAATCTGCCCTGCTACCATTCACACATATACCATCTAGGAGAATTTTCTCTCCGTCTCATGTTCAAGTTCAAGTATATCGAAGAAAAGCAGGACTTCCATCGCTATGCACACTCATTTCATCTTCAAGTATGGTAGATATCTCTCATCTGCGGACCAGAGCAGTCGCATCGCGTTTTCGCGTGAATTCTTATTATCCCGATCTTTCGGCTAAACAGATCCTGATGGTCCGTCCTGACTGAATGATGGTACACAAAATAGGTGTCCTCTTTTTGCGTAAAACTGTCTTTCGTATGAAGCCCTTTTGCAGAGGTACTACTTAACACGTATTCTTCAACGAAACGGGTGTCTCGGAAACCCGTTTCGTTTTCCGGTCTACAGAAAGAACACTTCTCTGCCGCAATGGCAATAGTAGAGGCTCCGTAGTCCGAGCAAAGCCGCTAGCTGTAGCTCAAAACCCGGGGCCTTTCAAGAGTATCATCATAATATGTATGTGATGGATTTGGACTTCAGTGCCGCATCAGTTTTTGGTGCATTTCATCAATTTACGATGGATCGCCATGTCCCCTGAAGAGACAGACGAGTTGTGTATCTGTGGTGCGAACAGTGATGAAAAATTAGTCCTTCGGCCAAAGCGCCATGTTCCATCATGATAGGCTCCTCATGCCCCTCCACGCACCCAATGGATAAAATTGAGATTCCTCTTCATCCTACAGCTCTAGAGACGGACCTCCTGCTGCTTTTTCCCAGAGAGATCGCACGTCCGACATCAAATGCACTGCGACGTGCTAAAACTCGAACTCCTTCCGTGGGTCATAGTCGAGAAGGCAGCGCAACATAGGCGGTACGGGAACAAGCACTTGTCGCTTACTTCTAGATGTCTTTGATGATATTTCGAAATTTTCTCATGAAGTCGTTGTATCGCTTCCTCCAACCTCCTACAATTTGAAGCTTTTGGTTCATCGCTCTTACAACTTCGCTACTTCGGTATTGCCGCCTCAGCAAGCTCGTGAGTTAGTGTAACGGAGCCGACATTTAGTGGTGGCATCTGGTCCTGGTGGTACAGTGGTTCTTCAGCTCTTTATATCATGAGATTGTTCTTCCTAGTTCACATTCACTTTTCTTGTTCTTTTGTTGTACTAGTAATGGTCGTTGTGGTCATGAATTATTTGTTGTTGAAAAGTTAAGATCTCAGGCTGCATTTTGCAGCAGTTCAAGTTCACCTCGCTTTGTTGTTGTAAGAGTAACCAGTACGATTATTTCACATGTTGTAGTTCTACCCCCGCTTGACTTGATTCTACTGTTGTAGAACAAGTGTTTGATCAATTTTCTCAGAAGAAGGAGGTGGCTAGTCCTTTACTTGGCCATCATCATCTTCACGAACTCCTCGTAGTTGATCTGACCGTCACCATCGACATCGGCCTCACGGATCATCTCATCGACCTCCTCGTCAGTCAGCTTCTCACCCAAATTGGTCATAACGTGACGCAATTCCGCAGCGGAGATGAAACCGTTTCCATCACGATCGAAGACCTAGATAATGATGCAGAACAAAATCGCTTCATCGGAAAGAGAAATGAAAGACAATATTTTTTGCTTTCTTGTAGTCAGCATGCAACGAAATTTATTAAATCAGAGCAACAAAAAACAATCGAAATCCATCACATCTCTACCTTGAATGCTTCGATGAGCTCCTCCTCAGTGTCGGTATCTTTCATCTTACGAGCCATCAGGGACAGGAACTCTGGGAAGTCGATAGTTCCGTTACCATCAGCATCGACCTCGTTAATCATATCCTGCAACTCTGCCTCAGTCGGGTTTTGACCCAGGGACCGCATAACGGTTCCCAGCTCCTTGGTGGTGATGGTTCCATCACCATCCTTATCGAACAGGGAGAAGGCTGTTGTTGTGGAGAAAATAAATTATGGAAATGACGTGGTAAGTTGTTAGTAGCTACGATTATTACAAAATTTCATCATGCGGAAGATATTTTCGTGTTGATAGTCGACCTTCCTATCAGGAAATCACTGAAATGAAAGAAAGCGTAAAATAAATACCCTCCTTGAATTCGGCGATCTGCTCTTCGGTCAGTTGGTCGGCCATCTTGTGATAAGGTGTTCTTACTCAACGCAAGAAAAGTTAAACAGTGTTCTTGGGGCTAACCAAGTCTCTACTTCTGATTGATCTCTAAACAAGCGCTGACAATTGGTTGGATTTCAAAAGTGGGTATAATGTGTTGTCTATCTTATGAGCGGTATTCTAGTTGCCGTGTAACCAAGCCACCTCCTCGTAATCTCTTCTATTTTGTCTACAACGCCACACTGTCAAAATACTTCAGCAATGCCGGGTGAAATGACACTAAAAACATACTTCGATGTCCGCATTTGCGAAAAATTCTTTGTTGTTCTTTCAACAACAGAAAAACGATTGCAAAAGTGTTCATCGTCAGCACAGTACGATCATTGAATGTCATCCTTCGAGCGAGGTCGTACGATGCATTCACGACAAGAGGATGTCAGTGATAATTTTGGCGGTGCAAGGACATGTACGACAATTTGAGCGATGCAAGGAATCTAAACATGCAAAGAAAGGACACCGATTTTTGCATTCAAATTCAATTTCCAAACCGCACCAACTTCGAAATTTTGAACACACAAGCGACAATTTTCTTGACATCCGTGATGACCTCTCGTCAATGACTCTGGTACTGCGTACTTGTCCTTAGCTGTAAGTACGTCACTTTGTATTATTGTCTCACTTTCACTGGCGTACTAAGCATCGCGTACACAACTCATAAGTGCTTGCTTCATGGCTCTGAAACCTCCATGATTCAGAGCAGCTACGATGCTTGCACGGTCTTTTTGCGAAGAGTAAGACTGACTTGACATTGCAGAGAAAAGATCGTGTGAAGATACGACACGACATTTCCCGAAATAGAAGAAAGAAGAACCGGATGAAATATTGAAGCAAGGGCAGATGTCACGTTTATTTTGCACGACGAACATCATCGTCGCGTCTCTAGTAGTTGTAGTACTACTAGCCTACCAGCGATACAACGTGGAAACAGAACTTTTCATATGCCACGCATGCACGACAAAAACCTACTCACGGTTGCCTATTCTGATACACGAATATCGCGACTATGGACAAATCTGCTGAGAAGACACAACCACTTCTACGAGACTGGTACCATTGTTGAAAAATCCACATAAGACGAGCGCGCGAGCGCATCCGCATGACAACATCGCGGATACTCACAAATCCATACTGTTCAAAAGAAATCAAAGAAATCATCAAGAAAAGAAATCCAAAAAAACGTTTTCCCATCCAAAAAAATGGCATCGCAAAAAAAGAGATATTACTAGCCTACGAAACCAGGAGTAGGAGGCACTGACTCCATGGTCAGCACTCTACTTACTTTAGTACTCACAAAAAATAATTCACTCTAGTATGTCCACAAGGGTTCAAGAACTTCAACGATTCCTGGAAAGACGAGGCAAAGGCACACACTCTCTTCACTTGAAGATCCTCGTGAGGAAACTGCGTTTTTTCTTGAGCGCTTTCGCCTGTTGCTTGCTGACGATTCCTTCGTCCGCCAACCAAGAGCTCGCCATGACAAATCCGTTGTGCGTCTTATCCGCTGCGAAGCAGAGCGAAACTTAGATCTTCCATCAGATACATCTACTTGACATAAAGGCAGGAGAGACTACACCAGCGTCCTCATTTCATGTCATGGTGTTGTATGTTGGTAATGTGGTTCTTCCTCTCAGTTGTATCTATCATGAAGGCAGCAATTCATCGCTGGTACGCCATAATGTCTTCCATAGTCTGGTCCCAACGGTGCTAGAAGACTACAGAACTGCTCTTCAGGTACTGGTTCGTTCAGCGAGCCTGCTAAAAACTCACCAACTTTCGGGTCTACACTTAGCGTGACGCCACACCCAGTTTGCTGCACTGCAGCCGCCCACTCATCCACTGTCTGCTGCCCCTCTAGCAGCCGCAATACGAGCCCATTTGCTTCTGCCTCCGACAAATATAGTGGCAGCAGCGACCAATGAAAAAAAGCAGAAATGGAAGATCACGAGAATTCATAGGAGCATAGACATATTTATGTGTATGTCATCGGCTAAAGATTTTTACCCATCCGACATGACCGTTTCGACGCAGACCAGAAAAGAGATTTTATTAAGTCTAAGAATCTCATTGAATGTTGTATTTCATTTTCAGGCATAAATTGAAAGGCAATTTGACCACTCTGGAACGCTCCAGAAGTTGGCTAGGATCTTGGTCAATCTCGGTACGTCGAGTCCGGCGCAGGCCCGCAACTTCACTGTCAGTCGCCTACACACTAATTCGTAGTGCCCTGCTGCTAGGTCTACTGGCGCAACTGGTCGAGGCGCGTGTCGATGCAGAAGCAAGTCACCCTCACTCGTTTTATCCACTGTTGAGATAAGATAGTCTAGCTGATGGGACGTCAACCCGTTGTCCATTTCTGACAACTTCGACCGGAACTCCGCTTCAGGAACTATGCCCTTATTTCCCCACAAATTCCCCTGCACAAGATCCTGCATTACCTGATTGTAAAGGTGCAAGTCAAGTACTCCAGGAAAGTTGTTAGAATGCAAGAAAGTAAGGGCTTCGTACAACGACGTGCATGTGTTGCCCACATGAGCTTGTAACGTCAAAACCCTCGCGTCGTAGTGGATAAGCATCTAGCTCTAGCATAAGTGAGGAGATGTCTTTGTTCTTCTCAATCACAGCGCCGTACCTTGCCCCAGCTCGGCATCGTCAAGAAGTTCTCGTCGGACATGAGGAGTTGATCCTCTATTGCGTCGATCCCCACTTGCCCGTCTGCTGATATTGCGGCGCAGCATTGATGCAACTCCGCTCTTGACACTCCGAAGGGTATGTCACTACAAAGATCAATGAACGACCACGCATTCACCTGTGGTGCGTCCTGGAAATACAGCTGCCACACGTCTGTCAACGTACACGTTGTGAATTTCTTCTTTAGCCGCGCCCATATTATTTTTTGACCTTCCGCGCTCATCGCTCGAAACGGTGTTGGCGGCACGGACGACCGGCTATGGCCCATTGGCACCTGCACGCTGCTCGGTGCAAGCGGCACTCGACATGTAAAAAACTGGGTGCTGTCTTGCGGTGACCCGTGCGGCGGTGAGGCAGCTACTCCTGACGGCGGTGCCACTGATTTGTATGGGAAAGGAACTACTTTCTACCACGTTTTTCCTCGATGGTACAATTACGAGTCAGTGTGATGGAACTTTGTTGATATAAACTCAAAGAATAACCATCATGAGCATCCATCCACCTGATAGCTTTAATAACATCAAGAGTCATAGCAGATTATGAAGAATGTGGAGGCGTGTACCCGGTGGTGGTTTCGCCGGGGTCGCTGTAAATGGAAAGACTTCGCAAATCGCTCCAAAAACGTGTACAAACTCCCTGTAGTCTACCTCTCCGGCAAGGTTCTTCTCCGAGGACATCAGAGCGAGCATCACGTTCCGCTGTTGTGTTGTTCGTGGCACAATTCTGTCAATCTCGCACTCCCCTTGATCAAAGAATAAGCGAGACTCGATATTCAAAACCGAAAAAGGAAAAGGTGGAATTAGCAACATTAAGTTCTAAGTCACCCCGCTAGAACCCACAGTTCTTTTATTATAAAGCAGTCAACAATAGATACCTCTGAATTCAACGTGTCTAGGCATTGCGCTATCGCAATTTTGAAATTATCGGCAGAAACGACACCCCTATTCTCTGGATCCGTCTGCACGCATTTTTGGAAGAGTATCTGCAATTTCGCACCGTCGAACAGCTCTCGCACTGCGGTGTCGACTCTCTTCGCGCAAACGCCAGGTGCGCAGTTTAAATGCTCTGCGAAATGGAAGAGCGGAATCCTGGTTGTATGTTGGTTCTTTGTGTTTGTCAAAGGTTCATCTGTGCTTATCGAATAAGCCCAAGCCAAGATGGAAACGCAGACAATATCAAATCGCACCAATCATGCAACCCGCATTTGTTAGTCGTAATTAATTGAAACCTTTCTATATAGAACTATGTTGAGAAGGGCAAGGCACCTTCATGATAATACTTACTGTAGTACCCACTACCCCCTGTGTTATCTGCTGGCGCCGCCGCACTAGAGAAGCAGGCCACGAGAAAATTTATTTCCGGGTTACTAAGTCCGCAATTTAGCGCTCGCAGTGCCTCAACAAATAGCGCTGGTGGAAAAAGACCATCGCCTTTTTTGTCGAAGCCTGCAAAGACTGATATCCAATTGCTTTTGCGAGTTACTAGTACGGCTCGGATCCTCGCCATAAGCACCTCGAAGAGCTCTTGGTTTTCTGCGGGTACTTGCATTAGAACCGAAATAAAATCTGAGAGGTCGTTTTTCTGGCGCAACAACTTCGAACAGCACTTATTGGAAAGCGAAAATATACCGAATCTCATCCTAGCAAGCTGACATTCATTTCCTAAACAAGTTTCTCAACATCCGCGAAGGGTATTGTACGCAGTCGACCCTGACAAACTTTTTGAAAACGAATGACGTAGGTCTGATACAAGTACTTCGTTGAGAACAATCATAACTGCAGACTCGGCTTGCTTGGCGTAGCGGCTACACCATTCCCATTTGCTGCACCAGGTGGCGCTGGACTGCCTGGCAATGGCGGCGCTGATGGCGGCTTCTTGATACCTGCCGGCGGCGGCCCGGGTGGTGGTCGCGCCACCCCCGACGCTAATGGCGGCGGACCCGGTGGTGGTGGCGCCGTGGCACGATCCTTTTTCCCCGGTGACAGTGAGATCATACTGTCGTTATCTGGTAACTGCAACGCGTCTGCCGTTTCCCGTACGTAGCCGTCAAGGAGCATCTCCGTTGTTTCGGGTCGCGCTTCCGCGGATTTCGTCAGCAGTCTCTTGATGATCTCCATCAGTCTCGCGGAATACATGCTCGGGATCGGATCGTAGTTCTCCGAGACAATCTTGTAGACTAGACCCAAGAGTGAGGAGCTTTCGAAAGCGTGCTTCAGCATGCACAACTCGTACAACACGCAGCCGAGCGCCCACACGTCGCTCTTCCAGTTGTATGGCTCGGATCGACACACCTCTGGCGACATGTAGTACGGCGTGCCGACAACAGTTACCTGCAATTCCAAAATTGTGAACTTGAGCAATCGCGACAGGAAATCCGTTTCAGTTGCTTACGATGCCTAGGCAATAGCAATCTCAAACAGGCATGTGACTGTGATTCAAAGGGATTGACATGATTACAATTTATGAACACTGTCGAAGTCACATCCTAGTACGGCAGCTTCCCTTGTTCCGTCAAGCACGCGTGAAATTCCGAAGTCGCCTAGTTTGACGCTGTACTCTTCGATCCGTGACGCGTCGGTTTCCCCACTAAGAAAGATGTTACTTGTCTTCAGATCGCGATGTAAAATCTTTTGCTTGTGTATGTAATTCAGCGCATGCAGCAGCTGGGTGAACCATCTCATAATGACGTCTTCTGGCATGTGCTCCCTCTTCTTTGCAGCTCCTTTTATGAGCTTCCGCAGATCCCCGTGTGGCGCGTACTCCATAACGATGATCAAAATGTTCGACGGTGCCAGCGAAAAACTCTCAATGTAACCAACAATGTGAGGATGCCGCATCTGCTGCAGCAGCTGAACCTTCAATCAATAGATTGGGCACAACATTTTATTGTCTCACTGCTGATGTGCACTCTCAATTTTGACTATTTGTCAGCCGAAGAAACCAATGAAAAATAGAGTTTTCTTCTGTTTGTACAATTTTTTCAGGTTACAAACTAACCTCTTGATGCGCCAGCTTTTGATCGTGCTCGTTGAGCGAGTCCACTTGAACTGACTTCGCGACGAGGCAGTCGTTCGTCTCGCCCGGTCGGCAGACGAGCTGCGCGATGCCGTATTGGCCCCGACCGATGACTGCGACATGTTGGTAGCCATACTCGATCAAGTCTGGTCCAGCATCCTTCGTTTTTGCGCTCTTCGCGCCACCAGCATCGGCCAACTTCAGGATCTCCTCGGTCATCCTTCCTCGTTCACAGGTACGAGGAACACACACCCATCAGAATATGTTTGAAGAGGGACAACTGAGTGAACGGCCACTAAGTCTCCAACGACAAGTACCATTCAAGAAGTCAATACTTATCCACGTGGACCCATGATCAGTCATATAAAAAAGACTACCAAATGATAATAACCATTTTTTACATCCTACTTAATTTCACGGATCATACTATGCTTGCAACAATGACTACGCAGTGTTTTTCGTGGGCCTCGTCGCCCGATCGAGCAAGATGAAGATCACCGCTACCAGCATTAGAAATAAAAGATGTAGTTAGAAAGTTGATGCCACTATAAAGGGACAGAAGTGGGTAACCTAAAGCTCTCGTGTTCGCGCTCGGCCCTGATTTCGCGACTCATTGCTACAGTCCGCACTACAACAGACAGAAGAAACCGAGTCTCCACGAGCACCATCCTCTCACACTTGTTCAACTCTCTGATGACCACAGAAAATCATGACCGCGTTCCATCATAAAGGATCCGTTACACGCCAAGACTTCCAGCTGCTCTCATTCTCTCATTTGGAGTAATAAATAAGTAATAATGTTCCGCGTGTGAATCGCACGCACTCTTGATGCGCTAGTCTGTGCACGACAGAGTCAACCGAGTTTCTACGCCAAGCGGCAAACACTGGCATTTTTACAGTCACTCATTGCAGTAGTCCGAGAACGCTCTCGAACAGTTGCAAATATGAACATCCAAATTCAACTAAGCGATTTCGGAAGCCAAGGGTGCTTTAGCTAAGTACTAAATTCTGTGGATTTATTGCGCTAAACTGCTATGCTAGAAAAACAAGTTGGAAAATAATGTTGGGGAGATTAGAATAGTCAGTCAATTGAAACAGGCTGCGCAGGCAAAACAATGTAGCGATGCGTGCTAGGACTGTTTCTTGGAACGTGCTTTTTCAGCCTCTTTCAGTTTTTCTGAAAGAGCGTTATGAGCGCGACGATGCTGCGCGTCGTTCAGCTTCGCGCCAAAACCTGTGGTATCACCCGCCACGAGCTCTTTTCGCTTCGCTTTGTCCCCGCGCTCTTTCTTACGTGCCGCGTCGCCACAACCGTGGCACTCCGCTTGCAGATGCTGAAAACAGTAGGTTCGGCGACAGTATTCGCAGGTCGTGAATTCCTCGCTTAGGTGTTTCACACTGACGCGACATGTCGTACACTTTCCTCGCGGAAATTTCTCTACAAATTCATTCAGAACTGTGTCGAAATCGTTCTCCTCGTCCTCCGTTTTGCCCGTGGTTGCTTTCTTTTGATCTTGTTTTCGAGCTTTCTTTGCCTCTAACTTCTTGTGTCGCTCTAGCAGCCGCGCGGCTTCTGCCTCCTCCTTTCGCCCTTTTTCACGCGCCTCTCGCTCCATCGCCAGCTTTTTCAGCATGTCGTTGTTCGCGCTATCAGCTACACCAGTTATTTGTCCTTGAGAGGATTCAGAATGTATGCTCGAACTACTGGAGCTAGAAGAAGAACTCTTCGTAGGTCCGGCATTGCTTTGACTGGCCGTGGATGGTAATGCCCCTTGTTGACCATCAACACCAGCTTGAGAATTATCATTGGAGCTTGCAGATACCCCAGATTGCTCAACTTCCTTGACTTCCGTAGCTTTTGAGCTTGACGCTGCCTCGAACTCGCGGATGAGGTCTTCAGGCGCAGAGACTCGAACAAACCGTTTTTTCCCATCTCCCTGACTCTCTGACTTCAGACCCTGCTTTTCGCAGATCTCGTGCACAATAAGACGCTCACGCGCATTAAACCCTTTGGGGAAGTCGTGGTGCTTTTGGCCCGTTTTCGGCACTGTACTCGTAAGAAAATTGTTCAGAACACCTTGATATTTGACGCGGCGTTTTTCAATCTCCGCGTCTGACATGTGCATAGGCTGCTGAGCTCCGGAGACGCCTCCCTTCATCGATGCTCCATCTTTTTCCTTGGCAGTCGTCGACCTTGTGCTTGGGTGAAACCTACTAGCTTTGTCATCCACGCCTTTATTCAAGTCTCCCGTTGATGCTTGGTTCCCGCTTTGCTTGTTCCGGATCATTTGCTGTTTGCTGGGCCCTACTGCTGAATCACTTTTTTCAAGCTCAAAAATGCCTAAGCCTGGGTTCGCGACCGCGTCACGGATCAGTGCTGAGGATTTGCTAGATGCGAAATCGCTTCCAGCACCAGCAGAGCACGAGTCTGCGTCGATGCGGTCCACAAGTTCCTCGTTCGCAAACACCACCTTTCCGCGTTCCAGAGCGTACTGATACAAACTCGCGAGTACTTCGTCGGAGCATATCGTAAGCGAGTCCCCGAAGATGCACACATGTTTTCGCGCCCTTGTCACCGCGACGTTGAGTCGTCGAAAATCTGAAAGAAACCCTACTTCCGCTTCCACGTTGCTGCGGACCAAGGAGAGCAAAACGACGTCTGCTTCGCGACCCTGATACGAGTCGACTGTATTCACGGGCACCGCGTCCTTATCCGAGAAGCCTGCCGTTGCGAAGGCGAGCCGTAGGTGATCCACTTGTTGGTTGTAGGGAGTGATCACACAAATAGATGGTTTAATACGCTCTGGGGATGCAGCAAATAGAGCCCGCAACCATCTCACATAGGTGATAAGTAGCTTGCCTTCGCCAGGATTGCAACGTGGCCCATGCTGTTCCAGTCGCGGATTCCGCGTGCGCCGCTTTCCGCCTGATGACGAGCTTGATGCTTGTGCACTACCCTGGTTCTTGCCGCCATCCCCGGCGAGATCTGGCTCCTGTTCTCGACAACGCTCATTTCCAGCCGTGTCCACAAAGAGCAACGGCTGATTCCCTAAGTGTTCCGGTGGATCTCTCTCTGATCCGTTCACACGAGTCCCCTCAACATCCTTTAGTTGTAGAGGGAACAGCACCTGCGCCCGCACGTCGTCTGCCGCTGTGAGGCGGCCTTCGTAGAATTCCTGACTGCTCCAACCCATGATGGTCTCGTTCATCCGATACTGGATCGACAAGAGTGAGCTCACGCGGTCCCCAAAAGCCTCTTTCATGCGGCCAAAAAGCGTGCGATCGAGTCCCCGACGCGTGGCCTCATGGCTCTTCACCGTTGCAGCAAGCTGGTTGTGATCGCCAGCTAAAACGCCCCGCTTACCACACAACAACGGGATCCAACACGCAACCTCGAGTGTCTGAGCCGCCTCGTCTACCAGGGCAACGTCAAAAAGTGGTGCGCCAAAAGGCGACTCCCCACCACCCCGAGCCGACGCTGCACCTGAGGAGGCTTCCTTGCCGTCTACCGCATCGGGACTGGCAGATGATCCGCTAAAGCGTTTGCGCACTTCGCTGGCCCCCGCACAGGTACAGAAAACGACCTGGGCGCTCCGCAAAACCGACTTGACAGCATCGGCGCCACGTTTCTTGAGCTCCTTTCGAAGCTTCGACACTTCCTCCCGTCGCTTGTACCGTTCGTTTCGTGCACCAGCTGCGTTGCCCGCAGCACTCCTTACCTTTCCCGCCTTGGACCCGGCAGTCTTTCCGCCGCTGCGCATTGCCGTCAGGTGCTCCCGAATTTCGCGCTCAATGTCACGGCAAAGTGCTGCCTGTTCAGTCCCTGCAACACGCCCATCTAGCGTAAACTTGTGCAAATCGATGTCCACGCGTACCGGGTGCCCGATGCGCACAAGCTGATTGGCAGGTAGATGCTGCGCAACGCGTTGTAACAAGTTGTCCACCGCCACATTGCTTGGTGCGCTCACAAGCAGCCGTTGCCCGCGAAACACGCACTCCAGGATGAACGCAACGCAAGTCGTGGTCTTGCCTGTACCTGGTGGTCCGTGAATGATGTGCAAGTCCTGTGACCGTAGAGCGTTGCGCACAGCCTCCTGCTGCGGCTCGTTCAGCTTCTCTGTCACCGGCGACCGAAAATGGATTCCGACTTGCCGCTCTTCCAACACTGCACCAGAGAGGTCGAAAGCTGCGTCCTTTATCGTTGCAGAGCTGACCGCGCCCGCCGCGCTAACGTCAAAGTCCACATATTTCGGTTCCAGGTCAAACTCTCTTCTGGTCGCGGCATCCCGATGAACGATTCCAGGCTGAAAGCAGAGATCCACGATCTTGTGGCGGCCGACCGCCGCAAAATTGCGCTCCAAGTCTTGCAGGGTGTACTTGTAACGGCTCATGGTTATGTCAGAGGCAATACCGGCAATTTGGTACGGACCCTGATGTTCTGGAAACGTGCCATCCTCTGTTATCTTCGAGAATATCACCTCCACCTCTTTGGGGCGCACCTTGTGCACAATGCCTTCAGCCACAGGCTTCAGCTCATGCATCGGATTACCATCTGAAGACACGTAGGGTACAATTTTGAATATTAAACATGTTTGATAAAATCACCGCTTTCTTCAATCTAGCCACGAATGGCAGAACGCTTAATCAAGTATCGTGTGATAACCGTGATTAAACACCTGTACTGTCTTGTTCTTTGGGCACAGGTAGGTATATTTTTACAACAGACTAGAAAAAGCTTAATATTGATGTGATGGCAGTAAAGAGGGGAATTAGTCATCACGACGGTTACGCATTACTAATGATTCCTGAATTACTGTCAAAAATTCCGACGATGTCTCCTGAACTGAGTCGATGAGCCGGGAGCGCATCTTCAGAGTTGTAGCGGGTGAAGGCTGCGGTCTGCTTTCCATAGAGTCCAGTCCCCAGTTGATTTCCTGACCCCAAGTAAAGCTTCAAAAGTGCAACGCCTGCACTAGCTAGTTCCAGTGGCCTCGCAGATTTGAGCAGTTCTGAAGTCTCCGCTTTCTCCTCATCCTGTTCCAATTGAAGCAGCTCGCGCTGCTCCTTCAACCATGCAGTCTTTTCCTCCATTTTGTTTGCTCAAGAATGAGAATCTGAAGTAGATCGAAGATATCGTATGTTCATGATCTTGTGGAAAAGAACGAGCAGTGCACAGACTAGTTGCCAACGCACACTGATAGATAATGATTCAACTTACCAGGCGACAAGGATCTTCATAACCACATAAGTAACTTCGCCTTCACAAACCAGAATTTACGAAAAAAGAATGTGGGACACGACCACACAACAAGAACTCCGTAATCGTAAAAATTACAATGAACTGATGACCCTAATCGTACACGTGGTCATGGTGAGTTGCCCAGATCAGTGCGTACACCACTCGACTAATATGATAGAACAACAACATCAAAAGAGAGTATAAAACCAATTAACTAGTGCGCATTCTTTACGCGAGTAAAGGTGAGCGAGGGGCAAAGGGCAAGGCATTATCATTTCTCACGCCTGGGTCTGTTTCGCTGGTTTTCGTTTAATCACATCATGTTGGTTTATATCCTGAGTACAATCTCGGGTGTCATATGTACAAAACTCGGATGATCCAGGAAAGGCAATCGCTCAAGAATTGAGTGGCCAATTCATCTCCATTGGTATTTCCTTTGCCTGATGCGCTATGGGTGTAGCTTCTTCATCTGATAAAACATGCATGCTTGCACCAAAACCGAACGCAACTCGATTCAGATGATCCGTTTCAATTTCATTAGCCTCGTTTTGATCAGGGTCAACGCGGAACACACATATTTCGAATCAAAGTCGATGCGTACGTGGACCTGGACAGTACAGAAGCTGTCTACTTATTTCTGGAGCGGGTGCATCCGCTATCGTATCATGGACACAGTCGCAGATAATACCAATGAAGGAAGTCCATCATCCTAAGGCTCGACTCTACTCAGCTATCTCTGTTGAAAGAAAAAGCTTCGTTGAGTGGATTCTTTTAGACAAAGGGCTGGCGGGTGCTCAGTTCTCTGGTTGCGTGCGCAGGTTTCTTCGCTATGGGGAGCCGGTTCATCAAATAAACCCACAACCAGAGAAAAAAGGACGCTAGCTACTTTATACTGTTAACCTTAGCCTTGCCCATATAATTATAAATATATATTCGATAGAAATGTATGCGGAACAAGACATAAACAATTATGACGTTCCAAACATCGCTGCCACGTGGGAATATACTCCACGTGGGAAGGCTTTATCACCTGTTCATCGTGGGGAAATTAATTACTCATTGCCATTTCTTCGGATTGCAGCTACATTTCAAGTAGTGCATTTCAAGAAGTAGCTGAATCATTCAGCTGTATTCTAGTGGTTCAGAATCAATTGTAGTGTTCGCCACTGGACATACAAACGGAAGCATTTTCGCTTGGATTTCCACAAGAACCAACGAGCCACACCCAGGCTACATGTAAACTCGCACGAAAATGCTGCAGACAATCCGGCCTCACCAGGGCCTTGAATCTATCTACTCATCTTCTCTTCTCATGGTTTGACATCAATTGCAGGAGGGGACAGAAATCCCGCTGAGGATGCTTGTGGCGTACTCTCAAGGAACTCGCGACCAATTTTGATCTCCTCCAGAGGGGTGATCGTGATTCTTTTTTTGTTTCCGTGCCCAGCATTATAGAGCACGTACTGTCCGCCAAGAAGAGCTACACCAGCATCCTGATCCACATCCATACCGCCGTCCGCAGGCACAGGCAGCTGTACGGCCTTTCCGTCTTCACCACGAAGCACTAGGTAATTTTTATTGCCCTTGGTGGCGACAAGAGATGCTTGAATCTTTAGATCCTCCACAACCGCGTTCCAGCGCTTTTCATCTTTAAAGCTCTCGCTGAACTCGGTGGCGGTGCCCACAAACCAGGCAGCCGTCTTTACTGAGCGGCTTTCGTGCAGCTTCAGTTCCGGTTCAAACTCGCTGCCGTCTTCTTTTAGCGTGAAATTTCGTTTGATCGCTTTTTTCATGATTTGTACCTGCTTAGTGTCGCATCCCGCTTTCCGAGCATTCTCCATACTCAGTTGTTCCCCAAACGCCTCCCAAGCAGATGAACGCTGCGCCCAGTCGTACACGGTGAGCATGTCTTCCTCGTCACTGGGGTGTTCTTTCACTCTGAGGTTCTTCAGTCCTTTCGCCCACCAGTGCATGACGTTGAATTCATCTCCGATTTGCACAGTGAGTGTACCGCAACACAGACATTTGTTCCATCTCCAGTTGCGCGGGTAATTTGCTTTTCTTGACACAATTTCCATCGATAAAGCTTACACACTTTCCGAGGCAGCTTTTCAAGCGCCCGAAGTGGTTGTCTGCAACTTTACGCATCAGATTTTTAGTGTCTGCAAAAAACGGCTCCGGAGTGACGTATGCGTACAACAATTATTACCATCGATCCTCTTTTCGGTGGCTTCTTCGAACTGGCCACTTTTATATATTCGTATACACAGGCAGGTCAAACATGTTCCTCCCGACGCCTCCCGACGTCGCCCGAAAAACCGTCCTTCACCTGGTGTTTATCAGGTTCCGGAGCCCATTGCAGACGGAGGGTTTTTTCCCACACCTGGTTGTACTCCTTCACCTGCTTCTTGTACGTCTCCACTGCAGCTCCATCAACACAGGATGCAACGGCCAAGCCGAAGAGGAAGACGCGAGTCTGTTGCACAAACCCCACCATTTTGTTTCCTGAGAGGGTCAATGTTGAATATCCTGAGTGGTGTCTGCAAGATAGTACGAGTTGTATGTTGTTACAAATTTGCTCGAGCGCGAAAGTTCTCTTCGTTGTAAAAAATGAATCATGGCACTTGCTTTCCACTGATTCAAAAGAAAGTCATGTGTTCTTTTTTACTTGGAAAAAAGCGATCATGCGAAGGGCAATCACAAGGGTTTTACTACTAAGTGATCATCGTGTCGCCTTTCTGAGAGCTAATAATCAGTCGCGAAGATATTCACAAGATTTCTCATTGTTCTCTGGACTGCTTGCAGAAGTGGAAGAACTTGGCCCTTGCAGTATCCTATGGACTGAGTGGCAAACCGAAGCCAAGAACTCTAGCATGATCGTGAGACTGTAACGTAAGTGCTAGAGAGTTTGCCAAGAAACTCGGAGTCTGAAAGCGAGAGTTTGCCAAGAAACTCGGAGTCTGAAAGCATCTTCGGGATCGGAAGTGTGGCCACTAGAATTACTGAACATGTCGCAGTGCCTCCGGGTCTGAGAAAAAAGTTCTAAGGACATCCTATTGTAGCGAATCCATGACATTTTCAATTCAGGATTAGTATTTGCTTCAATAATCCATGCGCAAATGTACCAGCCAGCAAATCTCTTCCGGGGACAAACATCATGCTATTCTTAAACCATGAATATGAATGCTTCAAACTAGATGGCTGCTTTTACCATCCTAGCCGTTGAGAGGGGTATCTGTAGCAATCTCCTGAATGCATAGGCACGATACAGCAAAACAACGCGTTTTCCTGAAGAGGAGCATGCGATTGTTGACACCTCCTCTGAGAGAGCTCGTGTGGTCCTCCGTTATAGCCAGGGACGACGCGCGCTTTCAAGCACAACATTAGTGAAAAATGGATGATCATCTTCGTCTTCCAACTACCTGATCTTCTCTATGCGGCTTCCAGTGTGAGATTCTGTGACAGTAGTTGTCCTCGCAGCTGGCAGATACTGCTCTAGCATGTTGATACTGTGCGACAAGCGCATTAGCGCTGGATCGTTCGTCAACATATCTTCCAAAGACGCGGACAGACCGTAATCTTCCTCCGACTGCTCGACGCCGCCCGGTCCGAAGAGTCGCTCCTCGTCCATGTGTCTGCCCAACGACGACACCGGTGACACAGGCGACGCCAATGCTAGCGTGCCCGTGTCCGGCGGGCTCCGGCTCTCAGCCCCCGTGAGGGGTGCTCCGCATTTTGCCCCCAAGACGAACTCGTGCTCTATTCCACCTTCAACGTTCCATGCCCCGGAACAGCCAGGGCTTACGCTTGAAACTTCTTGTTGAAGGTGCTCTTTACTGGCCTGTGGACCATCTTGTTCCTTTCCTTGCTTTGTCATCTCTGCGTGTCGTGACTGCTTATCGTCAACTACTCGACCTTCCTCCTCATCATCTGTTTGGAGGGGATTCGCTAGGCGGTCTGATTTATCTGCAGCAACGTTCGGACTGGGCCGAGGCTGCACATTCCTAGGCGCCTCACGAGGCGAGGACAGACTTCTCGGGCGAACTGCCACTCTATTGGAATCCTCACGAACAGAGGCGCTTCGAGTTTCCTTACAGACACTGGCGATTCCACGGTCATCGCCATCGAGCCCCTCCGAGAGCAAAATGTCGTTGTTAGTGCCGGTTTGCGTTCTAGAAGCAGCACTTTCGCCTACTGTTGTCAATTTCACGCGGCGTGCCGGATCAGAGAGTGAGGGTCTAGTGCCATTCTCGACATCGCAAAGATCAGGTACGTCAACGAAAATCCCCTCGTCCTCAGCATTTTTCGTCGACTCAAATTTCATGCTGTGGCGCTGCTGCTGTTCTGTAGCAGCGGTCGCCGAAGACGCGATGCTGCTGCCGTCGCCTTCAAACAAATTGAACACCTGTGGCGGGTTCTTGTATATTTGACTGACTCTACTCCCCGACTCTGCTGTCAGACCCGTCCGCAGGTGCTTCCGCCTCGCCTCAGCTCCATCTCGACCAAAGTCGCTCTCATGGTGCTGCACAGTTGCGCTTGACGCGCCGCGACCGAAGTTTGCGCGAACCGCGCGTTCCGCCTCCAATTGCTCAATGCGCTTCTTCATTTCCACGCTTTGATCACGCAAGTTGCGATTCGTCCGAACCACCTCTGCAGCCTTCAATTTCCACTTGCTGCTATGCTCAGCATGTTCTGCACTCTTCGCGTCGGCAGTCCGCAACGCTTCTCCAAGCTGCTCCACGCGTTTGCTCAGACCGGCAACCTCACGCTCCCGGCGCTGTGCGATTCGCTCTGCGTCAGATACCTGAGGTAAACACGACTTTGTTTTTGAAAACGCATCACTGTATGATGGAGAAAATGACTAGTACTCAAACGATTTGTAGTGCATGGTATCTTGATGTTCTCAGTCTCAGAAATAGTTTTTAGTAACTGTAATACCTTGTTTTGCAGACCCCAGTTTGCCATCTCAGCGTCTCCGAGCGCGACGCGAGCCTCATTCAATTCCTCCTGCAGATGCGTTTTCTCAGAACTTGCATTAGCTATTGCGTCCGCAGCATTACTTGAAGATGTCACTGTTTTCATCTCTCCTGCGTCTTGACACCGCGCATTCTGTCTTCGACCATCAAACTCGTTATCCTGTCCTGACTCCATGTCAACATCCTCTGCTTGCATTTGCATACCCTGGACACCATAATCCACACTTCTCTTTCCTTTTCCTTGATGCTTCATCGCTTTCTCGAGTCTGCTGAGTTTCACCGCAATGCGTTCTCGATCCGCCATTGCCGAATCGCGTGCGACCTCTGCGTCGCTGAGAGCCTCGCGGAGGTCGCGAAGCTGCAGATCCCACTTGGAAGTCTCGATCTGCAGCAAAGTTCGCAGTTCCGCGCCCTCCTGGATTGCCTGGATTTTGCGGTTCTGTTCCTCAGCCAGCTGCTCCACGAGACTCGCGTACTCCTCACGTAGTACATCGGCGTCGCCCTGCTGATACTGCCGCTGCTTGGCGAGCGCTTCGACCTTTTGTGTGATTGCGAAACTATTTTCTAGTAGTTCTACATCTGATCATTCCTCAAAATCATTATGACAAAGAATCTCCTGCGGAAGAAGACGAAAAGAAAGATGATGCTCGCCAACAAATTCAAGAGAATCTCAGGTTCTCGATCTACATCAGTTCAGAGCTACGTGATGCTCAGTCACAGAAACAACAGTACCGAGAATCCTCAATAATGTCCAAAAAAAGGTAGTACACCATTCCCTCCGAGCTTTTTTTCGCCTGACGAATGTGCTGTAGCCGTTCTTTCAGCGACGCAAACTGTTTCTCCGTCTGTGCGCGTGCTGTCCTCTCACCCTGGAGTACGCCGCGAAGCTCGGCATTAGTCTTCAGCTGGGCGCGCAGCTCCAATTTAAGCCTGCCCTTCTCCGTCTTCTCACGTTCTATAAGGTCCTTTTCCTGCTGCACCGACTCTTGCAAAGCGAGAATCCGCTTTTTGTGCTGCCGCAACTCCTCGCGCGCAAAACCCAACTCATGTTGCAGCCGCGCACTCAGCTGTCGGGTCTCTCGAATCTCTCGGGAACATGCGGTGTTGAACGTTAAGAGTCGGGCATTCTCGCTCTCTAACTGACGCAGAGACCCATCTTGCGAAGTCACAGGCGAGGGCGAACCGGCGAAGGTGGTACCTACTGTGTCTCCTTTAGACGCTGAAGTAAGAACCACAGCACTGCTAGCGCAGCTCGTTGATCCGTTTTCCTTCTCGAGCATCTTCGTGGCTGGTCTGTTTAAAATCACTTGCTGCTTCTTGACACTTGGCGTCTCCATCGCGCCAGGCCGCGTTACGGTGCTCGCAGAAGTAGGTGTTCCAGCTCCTCCTGAGGAAACGACTGCAGAAGATTTTTTCGACCGCTGCCCGAGTTCGCAGTTCGTGATTCGTTCTTCAGACTGTCGGGCCCTGCGATCTTCTTGATGTTCGACATTCTTCTGCTCAGCAGCAGATGTCGTCATAGGATCCTCGTCATTGGAGCCAATCATAGAAAGATCGTTTTCTGCCACCTCGTTTTCCGAATCGACCACACCATGTTGAGCGTAACTACAGCTTGCACGCGACGACGCCGCCTTGGTCCTCGTCATCAAAGATGATTGTCGCGGAACGCGCGAACTAGATGCGCACGACGACGAAGAGGACGCCGGCACCGAGGTGGAGGTTTTGTCGATGCAATAATTATCTGCGCGCGCTCTGCTTTGCGCCACAGCCTCGTTCTGTACTACAGATTTCGCGGGTGATCGTCTTTGGTCCACGTCATGTACCATTGGTTTAGCAGTCTTTAGAGTACCAGAGCACGATCGTAAGAGAGTTTGCAACTCCGCGATCCGACTGGCAGAGCACTCCTCTACATCACGACATCGCGCACGCCATTGCTGCTCCCGGTTCCGTGTGCGCTGGAGTTCCGACATAAGCGATTCAAATTTGCCTGCCAGCACATCTACACCACGCTCCGCAGCTTCCATACTCCAATTTCTCTATCACCTCTTACTTGCACTTGTTACGTATTTATTTTTATCGTGCTGATTATATGCAACTCAAGATCTTCGTACTACGAGTTAGTCTTCGATTCACTCCAGTGACCACATATTCAGTGACGATCTGCAGCTTCAACTCCATATTTTCGCTCGAACAAAACCATTCCAAACTTTCATCAATATCCAACAAGGAAACTCATAGTGCCGAAACTTTGTGGCTCAAGAGTGTACTCAAGAGCAATGTTGACAAAGCAAACTTATCCTCGATCGCATGAGTCCGCATTTCTCACTGACTCGAAGCCTTTGGTAACCCATTTGGCACCAGCAAGAGCGTGAACACAGCTGTCTATGGGACTTCTATTGCTCACGTATTTCGCATTTCTTGAAGGACGATTCCTGACAGATGGATCCTGAGAAAAACTTGCTGAGTTCGCATCTCGTACGAAGTAAACGCCGTACAAATTTTCAGTGCGCTCGTGTATTCGAATTGAATCGCTCAACCTTCCGCTGACATTGGTTCCATTCCATGAAGTCTAACACTGGCTGGCATGCCAGCCCCCAGACTATGCGATGCCCTGCACCCTCAAAAGAAGACACAAGGGACAATCCAGCTTACAAAGATCCAAAGAACCGATGGGCTTATAATCGGTGCAGGTCTAGCCTGAGGCAAAGACACTCCAAAGAATTCAAGTCGGACTTCAAATCGGCACTTCAACCTAGATCATCGCATCACGCGGCAGCACTAGATCAAAGGATAGTGCGAATCGCACATGTGCAAGAAATGGGAAGAACGGACCTTGGGAATCATCACCATCGTCATTCGATAATTATTTTTCAATCATTGCCCATTGGATTTTTAGTGTCGTGTCTTGACCTATCCGAGCCTTCCGACAACTTCGCTTGATGGCTAGGCTTCTTCGCATCGATCGGAGACTGCTTCGTCAGTATCGACCTATCAGGATCGTGCTAAAATTCAGATTTTCGGATGATCGTTTTTCTGCCTTGTCATGAATGGAGAGGGCTTTCAATTGTGATCGATCCACTTCTTGCACTGGCTATATTCAGAACTACCTCCATGCGAAACTACTTTTTGAACTTCAGATCTTTCAGTTTCTCTACCTAATGACCAAAAGAACAGAGAAGATTGAACCATTGTCAGAATAATTCAGACTTTCTGTCTTTCCGCTTTTTCTGCATCTTTTTTCTTCCACCTTTCGCTGTCAACTTTTGTCGAGACTTCTTTTTGTGCCAACCAAAAAGTAGAGACACACATACACATGAAGTGCCAACATATTACTTCATTTGACTATGAGTTCTTTTTCCCCCCACTCATTGTGGTCCCTTTGTCCCGAGTATGACTGTGTCCCTCCCCATTTCGCCGACCCTCCAACAGACGCATAATTGTTAACACCAAAAAACAACGTCTGCGATCAAAACTATTGGTGCCTTGGTGTATCCTATTCGCTGTAGAAAACGCAATAGCTATGTCAGAAGTGTGAGTGTAGTTGGACTATCTGGCTTTATTCAGGCGGACGAACAAAAACAACTCATTGTTTCCAAATCTGGAGCTTTTCACTCTTGAGCTGAAACCTGCGTTCGTCGTTGTGGCGCAAGCTTCCAGATGGTGCGGCAGATGAAAGCAACCCGGCGGACGAGCACGAACCATGCAATAGGCGCGCAAATCCACAATACCAAGAGAAAAGCCCGAAGAAACACGAAGTGGTGGCCGCCAAGCAGCATATTTGACGGTGCGTTCTCCATGCCCAGGAAGTAGAGGCTGTTCTCCATCACCTCTTCGTTCTGAGGCCGCATTACACGATACATATCGTAGTAGCCCTTGCGCCCAGCGTTGAAGTGCAGCACGAGCGGCTGTGTGCCCGTGTCTGTACGGACGACAGTACCGTTGTGCGCGAAATACAACAAGTCGTACCCGTCAGTCTTTCCAGCAAAACCTTTGGGAAACCGAGCTTCCAGAGGTTGCACTGCGCTACCCGCAACGGTGACGATCGGGTACGATCTTTGCGCAAAGGTCCCATTCATCGTTACGCGAGTAGAAAAACCTATATCCTGGCCATATGAAGAAGATCCCGGTACTGCTGAACTCGCGGACGGGGAAAGACCCACCACCACCTGCTCAGCCACACCTCCATCCAAGGGTTTGTTGAGCTGTCGGAGCCCCGATCCCGTTGGTTTGTCAAGACCTCGCGGACTAGACGTCGTTTTCGCAAACGCTGCTCCTCTCGCAGAGTCATCGGTCGTCGAGCTGCTGATAGATTTCACCTTGCTGGTATCCGAATTCCACAACAGCGTGCCAGGAGGCGATACATAGTACAATTCCTCTGACGGAACAGGCCTCTTCGCTTTTCCAGAAACGTAGCTGTCTGCAGCAGGAGTACTGGAAGGAACCGCATTCGGTGACGAAGGTACACCCGTAGCACTTCCTGTAGGAGTACTTTGCCACTCCAGTACCGAATCTACTTTGCCGACCACGGCGCAGGAAGTCGTCTGCAACAACTCCCCGTAACTATCAAGACACAACCTATTCGTGCCTCGCATCCGTTCACGGATCCACACCTTAGACCACCACCACTGGTCATCGCTCTGATTCTCTACCATCAGGCGCTTGTACTCTGGGTCCTCCAAGACACTGCGAATAGTATCAGCGTACCTGGCAATGAGGGGAAGGAACACGAGCCGGCTGATGAAGATGTGGATGATGCTGTAAATCAAGAGGTAATCTAAGTTTGTAGTACACGATTGAAATCAAGCCACTTTCTCTGCTACAACTATGCGCGTGAGAAATTCACGAGTTATAGATGTGTACCCTATGAAAACGCCACTGTTTAGAAAAGCGTAGCGATCGAAGATATGTTCCTTGCCTGGTCCCGCCTTCGCCGCTTCGTAAATTGAAACAGCGTACCCATGGCTGTTGGTTGCCGCGCCACCAGTACCAGCGCAATTCAATGGACACCAGAACTCAGGATTGAAGAAGATTTCGCACTGTGGAAAGCGTCCTCGCAGGCTGTCAAACCTTTCGACTATACCCTGCTCAACCGACCGGTCCGTTATAATGACGTCGTAGGCGTCAAGGAAAAGCAGCACCTTCTTCTGTACAACACTCAAACTCAGATATCTCTTCTCCTCGTGTGCTACTGTTGTAGAATCCACCAACTGTGGCAGAGACTGAGACTGTCCATAATTCTGCAGCGGGTTGTGACCGTTCGCGTTCCCATTCGCCAGTGTGGTCAGCACTTCTGTCATTATCTCCGAAGAAGGTGCTAAATTTCTGGCAACGTCGAGGCTCCTGTCAGTCGCGCGGCTCGTGGAATTTCTGAAAGCACGTGGCGAAGAAGTACTTGGTCGAGAACTGCTGCCACCACTTCCAGTACTCGTCTCTTCTTGTCTTTCCGTCGGTGCTCCTACTGGTGTGGAATAGCGCACACTCATTTCATACTGGTAATTGAGCTTTTGGGTCAGCGCTCGTCCCCATCCACCAGCATTTAGCAGCTCGTCGCCGACACCGAGCACCCGGATGCCATTGTGCCACCCACATGTCTCGTCGATCAGAAGGCCCACCTCGCGCCGCACCCGGCTACCGATGGAAAAAGCAATTAGATCTTCGACAGACGTTTTCCCCATCATCAATAGTACAACGAAATAGCGGTCGTGGTACGAAAAATTCACTATCTAACAGGAAGCATGAGCATATTAGTACAGATTCAGAGCTCGTGAACTATCTACGCTCGAAGCCGTTTTATTTGTGTAGGTACGTAAACAATGAGCAGAACCGATGCAGACACAGCAGGTCACTTCTCTCCGCGTACTCCGCTCTGTCGCGGCATCCTTTTCTCCCAATATCCGACTTCCCACATACCGCCCTACTTTGAAGTGAGTAAAGGTGTCTCTATCCTCGAATCCTAGTACGTCTATCGCTCTTATAATCCGTGTGGATTCTATCGTGATTCCTATGCACAAAACCGACGTTGAAAAACCGACAAAACGAACACTCTCACTTTGCGGTTATGGTAGACCAGTCCGCTATACTTGTTGACCACAATGCGTACAGAAACTAAAGTAGAGAAGAACCAATGACTCAAAGAAAAAGCGCAGGTCAAGAAGAACGATATTCGGAAGATTGAGGCACTTACCATCATGGCTAGAGATGCGCCATAGCCCAACTACCGGTGATGGTACTAGAGATACGCTAGTTGATGCACAACGCCGAAGAACCAAACCAGCATTTTTCATCCCACGTGTCAGTATGATCTGCACATGGGAGGTACACAGAAAAACGAGGTACTGCAATCCACGTATTGTCATGGAAGGTCTCAACCATTACCGAATGCCTCTCTTCCATAGGGCGATACCTACACGCGCCTCCAATTCGGCATCCGGAGGCTCTCCAAGGTGCGGGCTTCCCACATTCGATACTAGAGACACGTTTTGCAATGACTCTTCTAGCATTGCTTGGAGTGCATCGTGACCTGATAGAAGTAGACTCTGTGTAGTGCGTAGCACTAATTCCCACTAACAAATTTTAGTACAAGAGGACGGGGCGTCTTAATGCCAAGTACACTTCATCATGCTTAACTGCTAAGCGCACCCTATGGAATGGGGATCAGAGGGAGAGGATTGTGATCAGTTTCTTCTACCCACTTCTTCAGATGAACGAACTGCAAATTTCAAAATCTTCATCTGTAGATCTCTATCAAAAGCGTGCTTACCACCCATCCCCTCCTTCTCGCGTAGTTCCACGAGTCTCTGTCGAAACGCCTCGTCATATTCTTCTCGTACTCGGTAGCGGCCAGAGCGTTCTCTCAATGGTAACTCTGTGCGCAAAGCACCACTCAGACGCTGGCGCGCCCTAGGCGACTGTGAAGCTTTCGGTGACAACAGGCGTTGCGGTGGTATGCCTGTCATCACACCCCGCGCCGTGGTTGTCGGATCCCAGACCACCTTATTCGATAATCTCTTCTCCGGACTATTCGTGGGAGAGAGAGGCTCCGCCATGAAGTTATTCACTTTATGCGCTCCGAAAGACGAGCGAAAAGCGGGCAAGGCTGGCGGGTCGCGCGAAACTGGACTCTTGGGTGAGCGACCCCCATTACTGCTACCCTGCGAAACGTTTCCGGCACGAGGATGCAGCGGCGGCCCTGGCGAAGCTCGTGAGGAGGCGCTGCCTTGAGGAAGTTGTAACTCAGAATGATCGCCTGGCTGTGGTGAACTGCGTCCATTACCCATATCGCCACCCGATTGGCCTTCTAAGCCACTCGCAGGGACTCGACCGCCCGTGACCTGCTCTGTAACTTCGCGGTTTACATAGGCCGCCCCCGCCGCAAGACCCGGTCTGATATTGTATGATGGTCCGTTCCTCTCTTCGTTGGGACCTAAGAATTCACGGCTATCCTGCGCTGCCAGTGAACCACTCACCAGGTTGTTGCCGTTTCTCTCTTTGCCCTCCTCGCCTCGCAAAGACCCAAACTCGCGCATGGAAGGCGAGCCTGGACTAGCAGGATCCGAAACAGCGTCGGGCAAAACGCTTGCATCTAAAGGTTGTTTTTCATTTTCACAACTCCAGGTTGCATGCATATCCTGGATAACATTCTCAAACATCAGGCTCATCTTGATTCAATGCATAACGACAACATCTCAGCATCAAACACAGACATTGTATGACGCTGTTCTTCTCTACCGAGAATGCCCAGTAACTAATTTCACAAAGAAGTTCGAATACTGCAATATTCCTCTTGCAAAAAGGCAACATTTGCGAGCAGATCGTTTGCTGTAGGTCTTTTTGCGGCTTCGCGATCCAAACATCGCGAAATCATCTCATGCCACGCAGTATGAATCGGAGCTGTCCGCACCGAATCGCCCTGGGCCAGACCTGAGGTGCGTCCAGCCGGAGGCAAACGCAAAGGTGCATTTGCGATTTGATACACAAGCCCCAACAACGAATCCGCGATGAATTAGAACTAGAATAACACATAAACATGCTCAGCAAAAGGTATCAATTAATCTGGTCAACCTTAGAGAGTCAAAAGGCTTATCTTACAAGAGATGAAAAAGATCCTTATTACAGGACAGAGAGACGGTCTGCAGCAGGATGACATTTTGTGTTTTGTTGGTGTGTTAAAGTCCCTAAGAGTTTGGAGAAAGTTGGTTATTCTGCAGTCAATGACGTGATTTAAAATTGGAAAGATCAATAATTATTTCCTTGTACTAAAAGCTCAGCCAATCTACGACCATGCTCTGCTTCTCCTTTGACCTGAAGCTTAATCAGACTGCAAGCTAGAATTTGCAGCCGCAAGTGCTAGTGCTCGAAAGAAAATGTTAGAGTTCGACATTGTTGCTACATTCCATCTCCTAGACTATCATAAACACAGTGCATAATTGAATGGAAGCTCCAGGAGCAGGAGCTCGTAGGCAATGACACCGAAGGACCATAGGTCGACTGCTGCTGTGTATTTTTCGTTGCGAATCACTTCAGGCGCCATATATGCCGGCGTGCCGACACACGTGGTTGCAAAAAGCGTGGTTTCGAGTACTTTCGAGATCCCGAAGTCTCCGACCAAGATCTTGTTGCGGCTGATGAAGATATTCGCACTCTTGAGATCGCGATGCACCATTTTGCATCCATGTATGTACTGCAGAGCCAGCAGCGTCTGTCGGAACCACGTGGCCAGAACAGCCGAGGAAATGCGACGTTCTGAGAAAAATTTGGACAACAAGGATACAACTGATCACTTCAAGAATATCATGAGAAGAGGTACACACCTAAGCACGTCCACAGAATTTGGTGATCACGAACTATTGCTTCCTTACTTTTTATAGCTGGAAACTGTCGAATGAAAAGGTTGTGAGAATCACATTCGGAGTGAAGCATGAGTATCCGAATGACAATTAAGTACTAATGAAGCTTAACTTTTACACCCTCCTGCTTCGCCGCTTAGCGCTTTTCTCTTAGGTCGCCGTCGGTTGCATATTCCATGATAATGACAAGCTGTGCACCCATCATGGACGATGTTTCGCTCTCCTCTACCACAAAGGAGTTGCGGTATCCTATGACATTCGGGTGACGCAGTGCCTTCAGAATGGCGACCTCTTGCTGAGCCGCTAACTTCGCTTTGACCGTCTGCAGATTCTGGAGACTGATGCTTTTACACACAAACATGTTTCCGGATGCGACCTCGCGTACTTTGGTGATGACATTGCTCGTTGAGGAGGAGACTCGGGCTACGACGCTGTAACCGCGGGAACTCAACGGCAACGGTGTCGGTAAATACTGGCCATCGTTGGTGCTCCCGCCTTCCACTGCATCGGCAAGGGTAGACCGCTTACGCTGCATTTTTTACTGTTTCTTGTTTTCCCTGCCGCTGGTAATCATGTAGATAGTCTTCCGGTTGTCCAAAGTCGAAACTTGAACTTTCCATTTCTACCCTCTCTTTCAAATGCAGACATCTACTGGCCTTTCGAAGAAGATATTTTCTAACACCACTTACCACAAATGGAATCTGCGTGTCCAGTTCTACTAATCTCCACTCTTCCCTTGACATCGTGATGTTTTTTACCCAAGCCACCGCTATTTCAATATGCTATCGTATCGTCACTCGCAGTCAACTGAAACACACTCCAAGCATCAACGACCGACGTTGCCCGTTTCTTTTTCGACATGTCAGCTCCTGTGGACTCAGGCTACATATCAAATTAACAAATAATTGCTTTGTCAAGGACGCGGGCGAGCTTTCTCGCGAGGATAAACACACCAGCACGCAGCGCCATGCAGACGCTGATGAATCATATCAAAGGATGCTGCCAGGAAGTCAATCTCAAGCCCACGAGTCATATTGAATCAGTTCTGGAAGGATTTTGTGCTTGTTGTTTATGGTGGAATTATTCGACGGTCCGACTTATCTTCCATTTGAGAACTTGAAATGAGAATGAGTTTCACCATTGTCGAATCATGTCGGATCAACTGAGAAAATTCCCGACAAAAATAATCAAACAATAATAAAAAACAAAACAAGAAAAGCGTCAAGATATGGATATCTATCAAAGTGTATACTTAACTTCGAGAGATTTCGGAAGAAAATCGGGTCGAGTAGTAACCCTTCAAATATTACGATAAACCGTTATTAAACGCTAGTATCTGCGGTTTGGTCCGTACAGCTGTCCTACGGGCAACCCCACTTCAGCCGGATTTCCCTATGAAGCCTTCTCTTGTTCTCCTCATCCGCCGGACCTGCCGGTTGGTCTTTTTCCGCTTGTTCGGAATAACGTCCACGGTAAAGCCAGCCGATAAGATAGCCGGTCGGAGAGTCGGGGGAAAAGAAAAAAGCCACAGCCAATAATTATGATCGTCTGGCTTGTCTTCAACCGGGGTTCTGAGATTCGTGTTTTTGGCCGCTTCCTGATATTTTACGTATATACGAGGTATGAAATTGGCATGTGGTGGGGGCGCTTCGAAGATCCACAAACATCTACCTACGGGAAAAAAGCTGCTTTTTTTGCTAACATCTTACCGGAACATAAGGAAGATTGCATAAGACAGAGACACGGGGTGGAAAATCAGCACTAGTAAAACATAGAGCAAGAGGCCACTAAATGCGTGCTACAAAATTGCGCTACGCCTCCGGTATATACGGCCACCTGATGCACTTCATTTTTGCTCGCTGCATCATATCATAAATTGTATTTCACAAATAATCTTAATCGCACGATTAGATATTGCAAAATTGATCATCAACCTTTTGGCTCTAAGCCGGTTTTTGTGAATATCAAAGCCATAAACGGATTAGCACAGTCGTCGACCGCCGCATCGCAGAGGACAATAATATTGTCGATGATTTGTTTCACTCAAGACTGCTTCTTCGTGAAAAGACGACTCCGCAGGCGTTTGGCATTGAACCGCGAATCTAGCACTACGCCCAAGTCTGGCGCTTCGTCGCCAACATACTCAAGAATCGTTCGCTTTAGCTCATCGGCGAGCCAGTGCGGGGCATTCACGTTCGGCCTCGTAGTCGTCTTAGAGACGCACAGATCCCACACCTGATTTGCTAGTATTCCTCATTAATCATTACACCAACACAGCAAAGGGATGCGCATTCTAGTGCATCAGAATGTAACCATGACCGGAAAGATCATGGATGTAATGAAGAGAAAGCAGCTGACAACTACACAGATACCTTCACCTGCCAACAAACACAGTCTACGGCGGACACCCGCACATCGAGTGGCTTCATGTCATCACATAAAGGACCTAGAGAATCACATTCACATGCAGTATCATTTTACGTTTAAGACGACGTTGGTCCTTTTCCGCCGAATAATCTTTGCCACACGCTTATATTCAGCCTCCCCTATGGCAGTCTCCAGTTCGAACAAATTTCGACCCTCCGTGAATAGGGGAAAAGCGGGCTTTGGAACGGAAGGCGCTGGTGCTGCGCCCAGGGCTCCAGGCGCTGCTCCTGGAGCGGGTGGCGCTCCGGCAGCTGCTCCAAGTATTCCAGGACCTGCTCCTGGAGCTCCCAGTGCTCGTGCTCCAGCTCCGCGGCTGTTACGATTATTTCGACGAGGTGGCGTCTTATAATGTGAAAAATCCACCTCCCACACCCTCCACAGCGTTGCGCTTCAGTAACCTCCGCAAGCCGGGCGCTCTTCGGGCGCCTTGCATTTGCTCCGCCCTCCTTTGCCGCCCGCGGTTCACAGCCACACATCCGGCCCGCCATCTAATATAAGCCACGGCTTGCCTGCGTCCCCGCCCTCACGCATCGGCTGCGCGGTGGATCGGCTGGGCACTTTGAGGCTGGGGCCGCATGCTGGCCCGCCACTTATCTAAGGAAGACCAGGGGCGCCAACCGGCGAAGCCCTGTCATCCTGTGCCAGCCGTGCCATTCGTGGCACCTTTTGGCTTCGTTGGGTTGTCCCAACCGTGCCATTCGTGCCAACCGTCATTCGTGTTATAAATTGTTCTGTTATATCTTCTCCTTCTACTTTCGTTTCTCTCAAACATAGCCGACACTTTCTGGATGTTGATTTCTGTTGCCTAAGTAATCATTTATTAAACCCATGACTCAAATTAGGTTCGTCAAAAACAAGATAAATTTGCATTGTTGGGTTCTGAATTTTCAACGAAAAGAATTCTACGTGTGACTATTTCTTTGTCTTTGTTTTTGAGAAACAGTCGCTAACCAGAAAATTGGGTGATACTCGATTTCTTGGATACGCCCAAACGACGCCTTAGTGCGAGTTGAGTGAGCACCTGCACCACACTTACGCAAACTTTACCTCATTTCCATTTTCGCCTCATGAGCGGTCTACCGATTGTTGCTTGGATCATTTTTGCGTAGTTTCAATATTTCATAACGGCGTAAATGTATCCGTTCCAATCAACTTCGCTTACAACGTGATTGCTTGGTCCCTTATGATTCAGAAAGATGCCACAACAGCTAGTACGGGTGGATACACAGAGTACACATCCAAAACATTCCCTACATTATGATTCATCAAGTGAAAAACGTTTCAATGTAATACTTGTCCTTGCTTAGACAACATTGGGGTCTGTTCTTCAACCTGCCTTGCAATTGCGTCACGCAGATGGGATCTCAGCGCCGCCCGCCGGTCAGCCAAGGGTGCGAGGTCTCTAACGCGCAAGTGCACACACCGCCAACCTAATCCTTGAACCAACCAGCGCTTAAGCCGCGTTCTGCCGTCGCAGAGCCGCGGTTCACTCGAAGGACCTTCTGCTGCGAGTGTCGCGCTAGCTTCTCCGTCTATTACATATACGTAATGTGTCTCGTCGCCGTCGATTTCAATAGCAATTTTCTCATCTGGCAGTATAACATCAGCCAATAGTCCTGAACCGGATACTTCGCCCTCTGCGACAAGTGAGCTCCGAGATGTTGAGTCGACCGATCTTGGTACTGTCGTCTGAGCCTTGGCGGACTGCGTGCTATTGGTCAAAGCCGCGGCACATTTGCGCGCAATTTCGCTGCTCGCAACGGTGCGTGCCTGCGTGACATAGGCTGCGCGCAGCTCCCGCCAATGTGGAGATAAAGCCGCTCCTACCCAAGACGTCGTCGCACTTGTTGTTGTCCCTACAGCAGTACTCCTTGTAGCTCGACCACGGAGCTTATCCCGGAGCCAAACCACGTATAATTGCGCTTTCCACCAAGGCTCAAAACTAGACTGAAATATCTGCGAGGGCAACACGCCGGGCTGCAATGAGGGAGGATCCACATCTAGACACGCAAGAGCCCACAACGCATTGCATTGTTGTCGAGGCCCGAATTTAATCCAATTCGTGCAGACGAGTTCTGCCAACCGCAAAATCATACGACTCGTGTGGGATGACTCTGACATCTTTCGGGTTGACTGGCAGTGTTCCATCGTCGGTGTTGACGATGATCTCGTAATTTCATCCGTCGAATATTCTTGGTTCTCCTCCTTATTCAGATCAACAGCAATAGCGCGATCGCAGCCGAGCTGCGCGCAGCTCCACAAAATCGACACGATCACATCGTGCTTCCAGTATCCTAAATTCGCACCGAGAACGCGCTCACTCAGCTGCTCCAGAACAGGCTCCACTCGTAGTCGCAGCACTGCCTTGCTATGGAACACATTCGAAATGTGAACGGGGTCCCGCAGTCTCTGCACCGGAAAAAGCGTTCCCTGTTCGCAACATGTTAGATGGAAGACATTTGTTGCCGTCTATCATCACTACACGCAATCTAGTCCTCTGGTGAATGTAGGATCCAAACTAACACATCCAAGTCAAAGATCCCTCCGACGATCTTGAACTAGACCTCAAATGTCACAGAAACTTCTCTAGGCATAGGCGGACGAAAGTCAGATCGTAATCGTACCAAAACTAATAATACTTTGCAAGTCATACAAGCAAAGCCCGGCCGGCCCGTCTGCAATTCCCGCCAGCGAAGCTCCAAAGTGCAAGCGAAAGGCCACGTGAATCACCCTCTGCATGAATCCAGCGCACCCAACCCTCGTTGAGCAGCATGTCTTCGTAACGCGCGAGAAAGCCAGCCTTTGCAAGAGTGTAGACCAAAGACGTCACGTCCTGCATCGAAAACACCCTTGACAACGTGCTGCGGGCTTTATCATTCCCTAACTGGCCACCTAGTGTCACAAAGCGGTGCATGATCCGAGGCAGAACGGATGCTGCAACATCCGGCGGATGCGCGAAGACAGTTGCCAGCTGCGCTAGCTCATTCGGTGTTGTACGCTCAACTCTCAAGTCTCGTGCAAAGCGTCGAAAAACGCGATTATAAATGCACTCAACGCCGGTGGAAGCGAATGAAGAGTCAACGAAAGGGGTGTCGATTGGAACTGCCGCTTGATAAGAAGCACAACAGTGATCTTCTTTTGCAGGTTCCCCGGACAGCAAGCTGCCTTCCACTCCTGTCGTATGACGTCTCGCTGTCGCCCCGTCACCTTCCTGACGACGCGAGAGACATGCTAATGTCGAAGTCACTCCAATCAGAGAGCTCAGACCAGAGCGCGCTGCATCAAGGCTGTGACCGAACTTGGGGGCAGTTGGAGAGCCGGATATTGCGCAGACCTCGGGTGACGCGTGCATGCTCATATTGCCCACAACGCTTTTCACACCTATCGCTGCGAGAAACTCAGAATAGGCCTTCAAAAGCATGACGACCTCGCACACTGTGAAGTCTTGAACGCTCAAAGCATCTAGCAGTCGTAGACCATGGTGTGTCCACACCTCTCGCTGTGCAGGTTGGAAAGCCCAAACACCTACTTCCGGTGACTTAGTAGAGGAGGAGCCATCTTCTCCATGCGCGCCATACTTTACGGCATTTTCGTCTCTAACATCTTCGAACGACGTGGAGGAGGTCGTCACACCCTTATACTCAGCCTTTTTCTCGATACTGCGGGCCAATGCTGCCGCAGCCTCGTCTTGTGGGCCACTTGCCTGCAGCTTGCTCAGGCTCCAAAAGACATTACTAAGATCAATGGCCTTCACTTCCGGCAAATCAAGAAAAAACTATTAGAATCGGAGCCGAGACCAGTCATATTAGAGGTCATAAGTATGCAGTTGTAGAAGCAACACTTACAAGTCAAGACTATGGAGTCAGACTGGAGGTCAGACTCAATTCTACGAAATTCCATGAAAACAAGACATTTTTTTACGCTAAAATTTACATCTCATAACAGCCTGCGAATGAGCGTAAATCTGCTGCAGAAAGCCGAAAGTCCGTCTTAGCAAAACCCCACATGGTGTTTGCCAAGTCCTTAGGGCTGAAACCACTGCGCGCGAACGTGCTCCCAAGCCGCGGCGCCAACTCCTTGTGAACAGTCTGCAGGGCAAGAACTATCTCGCCATCGGCAGGTGACACGCTGCCAGACACTCCGCTGCTGTGATGGGCCCCGCCCCCGTTCTTGCTCACACTCGACGGCTTCGACGATGGCATGCCACCTGTTTTTGACGCTACTTTTTGTTGTTTCTGCGCACATCGCGCTAACGTCATCACTGCCCGCGCAAGCAGTCGTGTTGGAACGTCCCCAGCAAGACGTCGTCGCAGTAGCCCAGCACCCGCGGCCACTGCATTGACGTTCAATATTCCACGTACTGACAGCAGCTCCAAAACATCGAGAAACGAAAGCTCCACTTGTACAGAAGGATCTCCATCTGCATTCTGCGATCTTTCTCGAGTCCTGCTCAGGAGCGCTCCTGCTCCGTGTCCATCTCTACCAGCAAGATTATTGCACACTTGCGTAGAAGCAAACACTTTCTCCGGTAAAGGGCCGCTTGTTGCGCAAGACGAGGACGAAGTTCTCATCGGCGACCCGTCATATCCACGTTCCTCGGATACGCTGCGGCGGTCTCCAGCCTTGTCGACCGCGCTCTCCGCTGACGCGGTGGAGATCAGCAGCTGCTCTACGCGACTAAGACCTGCTCCCCGGTCTGCACTGGAACGGCATCTTTGTTCCGCTATCTCTGCGACCAGCCGGATCACAGTCGGGCACCTCTCTACAGCACGCGAAGCCCCTTGATGTTGTAGCGGTCGTCGGCTCTGTACTAGAGTCTCAGCGTCATGTTTGCGCGCAGATATATCTGCTGCAGCACCTACGCCGGATGAGAAGCTTCTTCGCTTGAGCAACCGCGATGCTGGCGCAAACCGCCGGCGCAATGACGTGCGATAAGCTTTCACGCCTCCTCTTAAGTCGAACATGATCTATGGGCAGTAAGCATTGAAAAAGTCGTGTAATAGGAGAACATTTCTTGACAGCCAGTGAATGCCTCTGTTATCACATCATTATCCACGAAAAACTTAACAACAGCTTCTGATCGAAGCGACTTCATCAATCGTACCTTCTCGAAAAACAATATTAGAACTCTTCCAAATATATTCAAATTAGACTCTGCGTAACTGCTTACGGAGCAAAAGTGTCTGGTTTTTTACTACTGAAATATATTGATCAACAGACCGACTTCTACCCACCTCCACTATAGTCAATCTAATCTTAACCAGAAAAATTAAGCATGTACCACACCATCGTCCGCCACACCTAGAACGTGGATCTGCTTTTGGAGAGCACTCACTGAACGCGAGAATCTCACCTTGTCCCTCGAAGACCGAAGCACGAGCACATGGATGTTACAGATGAGCAATAAATCTGAAAGATGTTAAGGATCTTTCCTTGATCTTCGTCTCGATCCCATTGCATGCCTTCTGATTAGTGCCTCTTACTTCTTGAGTTGAGTACATGAGTTGGACTCACCAAATTTGATCAAGCGTAGACACACGCCAGTTTCGCGAAAACAGACGACTTTCGTCGACGGGCACGCTCACGAATGCCATCGTCTTTCCCGTAATGACTCCTTAAAGTGAAACCGTGCATTGTCTTATTTTGAAGCCACACATGCGCGTCAGCCAAGGTCTTTAAATATGAAGTCCTGCAATCAAAGAGCCGAATTCAAAATGCGTGCGGAATCATACGGATGCTAGCTTTGATTGTAACGGCCCGACACCGATTTCCTTGACGCTTCACGAAAGACATCTAACGAAAGACGTCAGAAAACAGACGCCCGTCGACAGATCGACTGCTGGCGACAGACATCCGACGAAAGACGTCCGACGGACAAAGGACACCGGCCAGACGAAAAACGTCAGATGACACACATGACGTCATCAGACGACAGGCCGGCGCCAGACGCAAGACGTCTGACGGCGTGCGTCGGTCTGTCGAAAGGCGTCGGCCTCAGACGAGGCCGAAAGACGTTAATAAATCCGACGAAAGACGTGCGCCCAGCGAAAGGCTTCAGCCTGGCTGACGACAGATATCGATCTGACAGACAACGCAAAGACATCGGTCTGACGAAAAGCCTCAGACGGTGGGGCGGGAGACGTTTGGCGAAAGGCGCCAGCCCCTCTGACAAAAGCCGCCGGTCTGACGAAAGGAAGCGCAGCGCTTTTGGTCGGACGATAGGCATCAGTCTGAGGAAGCAAAGCCGTCAGTCTGACGAAAAACATCAGCTCGACGAAAGAGGTCAGCCCGGCCAGCGAATAGCGTCGGCGTGACGAAAGACCTCGGCCCGACGAAAGACAAGGCGCCCCCCAGGCAGAATATCACGACCCGACGAAGGAAGAAGCCCCACCGGCTGCACATAGAGATACGAGACGCAGCCAGCGCGGCCATCCGTGCGCTGCTGTTTCTTGGCCCGCCAAGGTCGCCTGGTAAGCGGTTGGGCCTGCGGGCAATTATGCGCGCCTGGTGATTCTCTTGCGGCGTTTTTTGTTGGGCTGCCGTGGGGGTCTTGCAAATTCTTAAGAATTCCCGTTTCCCCCCGGCAGTTCAATAAAAAACCGAAAGCGGCCGACTCATCAGCCTGCCCTTAGGTCGGCGCATCTAGCTAAGCGTCCTCGGCAGTCTCGTCGTAGTCCACTTATCGAAGTGCACTAATTAGCCCGCGGGCTGTCTCTAGCTGTAGCCCGTGGGCGGAGAAGTGCTAAACTTGAAGCCGGGCGAAGCTTGTGGGGGCTAGTGTTACTCAGTAGCAGAGCAAAGTTTTAGAGTTTTAATACAACTTACTACAGCTTTTGTGTTTGTAACTCACATCGCTTGTTGCTTTAATTTGAGTAAAACCGTAAACCGTTCCCGATCCTTTTAACGTCAGTCAGAAAGAAGACAAATCGAAGCCTGGCTGCAACAGTCACACGCATAGTCGCGCGCACCAATTTTCGAGTGTCCACCACCACCGCTCGATTCGACTGTCAGGCGAAAAGGAACAACCAACTATCGTAATAAGAAAAAAATTGTTAAACTAAAGCAAGAGACTTGATATAGGGAAACTGACGAGGAAATAACTCATCATTCGAGGAAAAGAGCGTAAAATTCTCTGGAAGACCATGCTGGGATATTGATATATGTCGAAGCGCTTCTTGATTCATACGTCTCATTACAACTACGCCGATAGCACAGGATCAGAAGTGCGAATATGACATATAAAATAACCAACAAATCCGACGCGTCTCAAATGGGCATAAATCGTAGAAGCACAATCTACACCTAGCTCGATTTTCAGAAATCAGAAATAATAGAATCATGCTCAACAATCTAAAACAAAATCTAAAAGCATGTAACATACATAAAAGTTGCTCAACCTGCTGGATTTGGATACTTATATCAGATGACTCAAATACACAAAAACTGCATTCCCGGTCCAAATTTAAGCCAGTCAGTTACCGGCAGTCTGGACGTCGAAATGCGGGAGACCAAAATCATTGGCATCAGCAGAGGATTTGTGGCATCGATTTGTGTGAATGATAGAAGAAAGACTAGGTGCTTGCTGAATAAGGTCCTAAAAACAGCCAAGGACAGATCTATGCGGCAGGAACTTTTGCACGCTTTGTTGCAGCCAGGAAACATGCGAAAATGCCACCGAATCATGAGCAGATTCAGAGGAGCATACCGAAATCTGACTCTGGTAAATTAGTTTTTCGCTGATTACACCGATAGCTGCGAGACCGACATTCACACTGATCTGTACAGAGACTGACTGATCGTAGTAATGCAAGAGCTTTTAGATGCTTCGCCAACACTGGTGAACAAAACACTCAAATTATTGCTGCCAATTGTGAGGAATTTCCCCTACAGCTGATATCAGTTTTTCTTGAATTTTTGGTCATAATATAACAAGAAGCCCGTTCTGTCATCTTAATTAAAAATTGATTTTCGTCTGCAAGGTGGGCGGCAGGGCGTGTGATGAGGAGCATGGGAAGAGGTAAGCAAGGTCACGCACGAAGAGCTAATCGGGTAGTCTGGATTCTTTCAAGTTCTGGGGACTATGTGACGTAAGATTGTGCTATGGGCGAGGTTTGAGACTGCCACTTTCATGCACGCTGCAAGATCTACTTGTACACCACTCAAACACAAACACATGGATCAGATAAGCTACTTAAGCACTATGGACAGGATGCGATGTTGGTGCGTTACTACTTCTTTCCTGACTTCCAACGAATTACATATAGTGCGTCTTAGTGATTATGACTATGTGCCTAACGTTGTGTATTTTTAGATTCACACTATGATTTGGTGACGACAGTCAGTAACTATGTTCTACGCTGACGCTGATTCGAGCTTCCACGATCTTTTACCCGCATCGATAGAACTGTAGCCCATGCGTGTGCGTCGCCATTTGATACCTGTACTTCTGTAATTCTGACAGGTATTGCTGTCGAAGGCGCTCCCTCTGCTCCTGCTCCACAGGTCTAGAAGGTGTAGCCATTCGCGCGCCCGCTGGATACGATTGATCGACTAGCATCATGTCGGACTCCTGGCTGCTCGGTGGCTCGTAACCCAAATGTGTCGGTGGTGGTGGCGGAACGAGGCTTCTCGCCGGCTGATAGCCTGTGAGCATCCGTGGTCGGCCGTAGGACGCGTCGGCTGCTGAGTTCGTCACCTCCATGTCGGGCGGTGATGCCGGAAGTGCCGCCAGATTCTGCGATGCTTCTGCGGGACTATTGCTCGGAAATAGAGCGTTTCCTCCTGCGCCGCCAGACGCGCTCTTACTGTCCTGCAATCCCGTTTGTGCTAGTCGCTTCGGGGTCAGGAAACTGCTACCAGCTGAAGATCCCGATGCACCGTTGCCCACATGGTCGTGCCGCATCGCATTTGTTGCACCTTGTCTAAAAATGCTGCTCGAAGTCGAGAAACCGTGTACGTTATTAGAACCCGGTGGGGAGGCTCCGTTTATTTCCCGCTGCACACTTCCGCTCTCATCCGCACTGTCAAAAGAAGACGTCGTGCTCCCCGGAAAGTTGTCTTTGGACGGTCCCTTGCTTGCGGAATATCCGTATCGAGGGTAGTTGTACTGGTCCAGAGGTGTCGAGACTTTCAGCTTCTTAAACGCGGGCGACGGCGGCTGTTCCACGACCTGGTGTGGTGCTGGTAAGAAGTCCATCTCCCACACATCCCGCTTCCTTGGCGCAGGCGCAAATGGCACCATCGTGCGACCAGGTGTCGTCACCACGCCGCCTGTCGGAACTGGAAATGCCATGTTTCGACTCTGTGGCATGATCTAGACAACTACATCAAGGCTACACAACAACGGCACTGTGACACATCGGAAAACGATTTAAGCAGCGATGTTTGAGGCCGATGTTCACGATAAAGCAGAGGAGATCCAAGGGAGGTCAACTTCACACTATTTTTCTAAATTCACAGATACGTTTTTCAAATCTAATATCTCTATTCTTTTTCGTGTCATGATCCATGATATCGTAATGTGTCGGGACTAAATTGACATCGGAGTTATCATATTGCCTTCTTTATAATGGCATCCTGAGTGGTAACTCCATCTCTACTTAACTATTCACTCATTCACGCTGCCACCAGCATCACTAGAAGCAACAGTCTTTCCTACGAAGGGATACGTGTGTCCGCCGACTTTGCCTACAAAGGGCCCTAACAGGGAATAGAACGTACCCCGGCGACGGTCGGGGCTCGACGACATGCGACACTCAACTACTTACTTAAACTGAAACCCCTGTGTCTCTCTTGGAAAAGAGGGAGATACCTACGCTCTGCGTCGACTTACTACCACGAACGAGCCATGATTGATCTACGCTATCACCGCCTGCAGAACAAAATCAAGGTAAAAAATGTATGGAATCCCTATACGACGAATAATGTATTATACATAACTAAAAAGCTGCAAAAGCACAGACGTCCGAGGCTTTCATTCAACATGATCGATCGACGAACAGTGAGTCAATAAGAGATATCAATCCTTACCTGGATCCACGAAACCAAGCGATTATTGGGCGTTCCGATGCGAATTTCATTCACCAGTATTTCAATTTTGATTCTTGTATATTGCGCCACCAGAGGATCGTTGGGGTATATGTTGAAAGGTACTTCTTGGAAAATATTGAGGATCACGTGACTACAGGAACGAACGGAATTTGTTCGGTCAAAAAAAACCAGATGGAACTGCAGCCAGAGACAGAGTGAGGAGAAAAAACGTGACTCTGTAATTGTCAAGGAGGTTGTCTAGCAGTCACTCGAAATAACTGTCCGCCCATGTTGAGCAAAAACAAGAAATGAACAAGTGAACACGATCAAGCTCTAAGCCGCACTCAATTTTTCGAGGAAATTCAGGGCATGGATCAAGATTCGTTTCTTTTCTCAAACTCCTGACTTGAACACAATTCAGATCGAGATTCATCCAACGGGTTGTTGCTGAATAGGACAAAATTGGGGCTTTTCATTTCGTCTTCGTTCATTTTCATCATGTGAAAAGACCTGTAGTAATTCCATCTATTTGGTGATGAACCAGACGCGGTAGAACTCCCTGCCCGGCTTTCGATTTACAAGACAAGAGTCGCTACCGCATGTTAGTACGACAAAAAAACCTACCTTCCTTAACATGGACTGCTGACGAAGCATTCATTCTAATTCTTGCATCATGCATAAATATTACTCACCTAGATGCATCTTGTTCCCATTGACAGTCTGCCTTTCGGGATTCTATCCTTCGAAATCTATCTTCTAACAATAAACCAGTTATTTGTATTGAGAAATTGCTTTTGAGTTCTTTGCCGTAGCAAAATATAGATGTACCTGAATAAAAATAGCAATGGAGTTTCGTCGTTGTCTTTTGTTGCAATTCGTCGTTATATATCCCTTCCTTTTGATTGTTCAACTGATGCTTTAGACCGAGTTATATATCACCAGAAAATACCATATGCGTCTCCTTGGCTAATGCAGCCTTCTCCGTCCGGTCAGAGGTTGAGACTTACGTGATGATCGAACGGTTTGTCTCTATTTATCCAGCGTTAGGTACAGAAACTAGCATAGTGCGTGCATTTTTCACAAAATCTTCGGCGCGTATTCTCTAGTTTAGTTATCAAGAAGAGTTGTCGTCGGAGCGGCCATATCCACTTAATAGTAGTTAGCATGATAGCGGTCCTCGATCACTTCTATTCTGAAGACAAGAGTTGTTCTTCGCCACGTTCTCTGTTCATCCATGTTTGTTTTTTTGGTTTTTATCTATTCATCACGTTATCCTCTGTTGTCGTGTCGAACTTCTCATTTGTGTCAGTTACATCTACTCCATAAACTTGTAACTGCATCATTCACATATCATCGGTCATAATCAAGTGTACATTACATGATTAGGTATCACTATATTTTCGCGAGGTAAAACCATCCGCACTGGCACACTGTCTGCTGTCCCTTTTCTTGTTCCTTGGCATTACATGCGAAAGGAGAAGCTTTCTATTCGACTGCATAGCACTACTTGGTCGGAAATCTACTATCCAAAGCGACCATCCCCTCCTCGTCTCACACTGTGTCACGGCCGCTAACTATGTATTGTCTTCTCATTCCAAAGGTGATGTTGATGTAAAGTCTTTCCGTTTTATTACTGACCAACCACATAGGAACAACCTAAATCAAACCATACTCGATGTAGGCAAATCTCATTCATCGCGCTTTCTCTTAGCACACGAGAGAAAGGAGAAAATCGAAAAAGTCTGCCCCGTCTTCTTTGGCGGCTGGTTCGGAGAGAGTGTCGGCTGGTCCTCTTGCGATGCTTCTCCGCCAGCTCCTTCAGTATCTGCATCACTCAACGGCCGCGCTGGTTTCTCCGGGGATGAGTCGCGCAGAACAGCTTCCCGCAGCTCCCGTCGATCAGCTGTTCCGGATTTTTTAGAGTTGTCAAAAGTAAAAATGTACTATATTGCAGTGCAGGAAGAAGAGCAAGTACTTCTTGTGACACTTTTTGTAATAACATGGAATCTAAAAACTCTGGTCTTACATTGGTTCCGCAAACCTGCATTGAGATTCAAGGCGCGATCCGCCTTCTCGACAGCCGCCTCAAGAATTTCGCGCATACCTTCGCCTTCAGTCTCACCATCAACGATCTCACTCGTTATCGCGTCCACCTGCTTCTGGTCATCATCCCCGAAAACCTCTACCAAAACCGCATCGCGCTTTTTACCCACTGAAGAAGTCGAAGAGATGGTATTCAGGGACAATGTGAATGCATGAGATCATATTGATATAGCTAGAGGAAAATATAGAATCCCCATCTTGAAAGGGATTTTGGTGCATAACACAAGAAACATCTAAAGGGCATCGCGAGTAGAAACTACAAATAACTCAAATCCAGTGTCATGAAAACTTCTATTGTACCTGTTGAGTCCACCCACAGTGGCGCTCCCCAAAGACTTCCTTTAGAGCGCGCCCCGCCGATGTGGCCAGCCAAAAGCTGAGCGCCGCACAATCGCACCACAAGCGAGTAAAAGCTAGGTTCTTTGCAGGCAGCTTTGTCCGTTTTCAAGAAACGCATTTTCCTTTCGTGGGACGTGTGCGTTGTCCGGTCCGGCGTCTTCCAGTGCTCGGAGACTTCAACCTCCGCAATAAAGCCGTGATGTTTTGCCAGTTGATAACATAGAGCTCGCGTGTACTTGGAGTGCGTCCCTGGAACTAACACGCCGGTCATCGCTGCTACCTAGTTTGGCAGGAGAGGAAGATGACAATGACAATAGACTTAATGGGAGAATTTTAACCAGAAAAGCAAGGAAAAAACTTTTCAAGGAAACAGCACCCAGCAATTCTAATTCGATATTGAAACTACCTAGTACTAGATCAAGGGAATAATAGAAGTCGTACCTGTTGAAATGTATATTCTACGCAAGTAAAGGACAAGCACCTTGCTGCAAATGACGATGTCACGCTCAATTGCCAGTAGAAAGGAGCGGTCACGCGCTTTCCTCCAACTGTAGATAGAATCGTTAATAAGCCGTGACATTTCGTTTTCGAATGCTCCCTGAAAATGGTATAGAAGTTCAGCAACATTTTCAAGTCTAGGCATCACGGAGAGTCAAAGTAGAAGTGTATGCCAGAGTACCAGAAGTTTAGTTAGGAATACAAACACCATTTCAAACAAATTCAGACCACAATCTCGGAAAATTCACAACTACTGGCTACTTATCTTACTGTACTTTTTTTTCTCCACGCTTCTTGCGTTCCTCAGTTTCTTCCTCGGCCACGCCAGCCGAGTTCATTCTCACCCAGCGTCCGCCGGTCGTCACAGTCTCCTCCTCGTCGTCATCATGGGCATCAAAGTCTTAGAGCTATCGCTTTAGAAGACAGTTCGTCTTTTTTAGAATGAACATCAAAGTATATTGGAGAGTTATAGCTGCACTGCGCTTAGTTTTAGGGAAATTCTAGATCTAAACAGGCATAACTTTCTTTTTCGCCTTTTTGACGCTCTCCGTATTCCGATGTTGCCCCTCGAGATTCAGATTTGCTGTAACTCGACATGCCCTTCGCCCTGTCACCCCCGTCGCAAGTTTTAGAACAAACTAGGATGATTTCATGTTGTTCAAGAACTACCCAAGTAGGCGAGACCACGACGTTCTCGTGGTTTCATGTCCTTTTGTGAATAAAGCATACGAAAGAAGAACTGATGTAAGAATATTACGTGAGTGATCATAACGTAGCCTTTTGACTTCGAGCTGGAATATTTCCAACCACTGCCTTTTCCGCCTGCCGCTTTGGCTGATCCCTGGTAGCCTTTTGACGGTTTCCACGATGAATAGTACTCCTCGCCGTACTTCCCACCTGTCCATTTTCCGCCTTTGCCGCTCTTCCCCTTGCCATATGAGCCCGGGTAGTTGTAGACTGAGCTGTAGAGCGAAGCTGTTGTGTAGTCGATCTTACCTTTGCCACCGCCTCTTTCACGATCGCGACCTTTTTCTCCACCTCCTCCTTGCTCCCCGACAACTTTAGAATCAATTAAGTGACAACACGCGTCGTGTCCATCAATGACATGTAGAGGTCGATCATCCAGGTCATCTCATGTGTTCGTTCCGTGTTATAGTTCTAGCTGAACTATTCATATAAAACACAAATTTATACAAGAACTACTCGAGGTGATGTTCGCGCTGAAAACAAGATGTATATGAGTGGCCTTAATACCCGCTATGTCGGCAGGAGGATCCACACTACCAACCGTAGAATTGGAATCCTGCTTCTGGTACTGCCAGTAGTCTTTCGCGGCGATTGCAGGATAGCTCCATCCTGCCTGCGCATAGAGTAAAGCGGTCTGGTCGAAAGACGGAACTTCTAACACCGGATCTATCCTCAGATACGAAGGCAGCCACGACACGGCGTCGTCCTGTCGGCCCCCCTCGTGCGCAACTAGGATAGGATGGCTCATACTGCTGGCTGCGAGTAGGAATAGGTTTCACGCTTTACTCGTCCTCGTTTCTGTTTTGCAGAGCTTGGTCGATCTCCAGGAGCCGAGCGTGAAGACTCTCGCTTGATGGTTGTTCGAACTCACAAGGGTCTGTGACGCGTGTGGGAGTAGGAGGATCGAAAGTGGTGAAACAAATATTATCATCGAAAACAAATATTCATAGAATCATTAGAATGGTCACACAACAGGTCTGATAGGAACAACAAGGAAACAAACCAGAATCTTTTTCAGATAGAAAGTAAATATAGGAACTCTGAAAATGCACAGAATAAATCACGAGGCTGGCTTTTCGAAGCACTCGCCCCAGAAAACAACTATCATTTGATGGGACGGTGAATGGAAATGAGAGTTTTTTGAGCTCTTTGATATGTTTACACGCTTGTTTCAATTTAATGATTTCACTTCCATCAAACCTTTCTTTGTTGACATCTAAAACTTTTCCTTCCTTGTTGTCTATACGATTTTGCAATTGCTCTGGGTGGTAACCTCTATTTTCAAGGATGAGCCTTGTATCCACACCAGTTTTCCGTGCTTCCCCATCACGCCGAGGAAATGAGAAATCGTTCTCGCTCTTTCTCTCGGTGTCGCTCCAACAAGCTTTCTTTTTTTGACTGCCAAGACGAGAGTTTACGCACTGCATCACGGCCCTCCTCCTTCGCGTTTGCGGACAGACGAAGTCGTCACTTGCAAAAATTCAGCTTGGAACACGAAATTGCTCATGATTTGAAAAGCTGCTGTGTGTCACGAACTAGTCGTGAGCTCAGAAAGATTTTTTTTCAGGAGGCGTGAAGATAAAAGGCATTACAATATTTGAGTCGACGAATCCCCGTCGTGAGTTGCATACATCCAAATCTTGATTTTTCTACCACCCCAAAATCCTAGTTAGTTGCACTTGCTCATTCATAATGTCATTCTTTTCGACCCAATGCAATGATAATCATGCGCCCCTCGATGTTATTCAGCGACACCCGATCGAGGATTTTTATACACCTACAAGGCAATTCCTATTCTTACGTGCGATGGATTTGCTTGCAACCCAATGTTAAACAATTTCAGGCGCGTAGTAGCGAATATGTCTTTTGTACCTTCCCGTACAAGTAGAAGAGGATAGAAAATAAATAGATACCATTCTCATACTAGAAAAAGTAGATGGTGTTATAAAGGTGAGGATGTTTTCCGTCTCTTACTCGATTGTGGAAAGAGATTACGCTGGTTTTGCTTCATCATCGCAGTTGTATAGATAAATCCAGGAGTGTTAATCATCAATCCTAAGGTAAATTATTTGAAAAATTCATTATAAAGTTATCTCCATGAATCTAGGGCGTCAATTTCCTTCTCTGATTTTCTGCCCGCTGGCTTTCCGGTACTCTTCGTTGCCTTGCCGGTTTTGCCTTTCTTGGAGCCCTTGCTGCGTCCCTTCCCGGACGTTGAATCGACCTTCTTGTCGCTCTCCGTGCTGCTGCTATCGGCTTTCTGCGGGCCGTTTTCGGCTTCGGTCGCTGAGCACTCCGCACTTGTCGCGTTTTGTGCGGTCGTCGCAGTTTCACTGGAACTATTCGCTGCGTCGTCGCCCTTGACGTCCTTCTTATCTGCCGCTGGTGCGCTTGTCGTGGTGCTGTCGCCCTTTCTTGCGTTCTTGCCTTTCTCGGCGCCTTTCGTGCCCTTAGTCGTCGTTACAGCGGCGCCTGCTTTTCCGTTATAGGCTGCTGCACCCTTGGTGGCTGCAGCAGCGTGATAGAAAGCTCCGGCTGGCGTCCCCTTGTACAAGAGCGCTGCGACGCGGTCTTTCCCCACCGGTTTGCCTCCTGCAGGGCCTCCCCAACCGCCATGATAACCACTCCAACCGCCTTTTGCGCTTGGCCAGCCTCCGTTTGCACGGATGGTTTCCTCCTCGTCGAGGCGACGGCGCTCTGCGATAGAGAAGTTCGGGACTTCTTTGCACTTTACGAAAGCTCCAAAGAGCTGACGCTTCACGACGGCCTCCTTAACGGCTTCCAGGTGATGCTTTTCGCGCAGAGCCACATACACGGTCGCACCGGTCCCGACGCTGTGAGGGCGACAGTGGACCCACTCGACGGCGGAGACATGCGCGATCTTCTTACGGATCAGATCTGGATAGGCCTCCGAAGCCGGCACTGGGGCGAGCTCCAAAGTGCACAACTCCTGCTTCGTGCGCGTGACGCGACCCTGAGCCATCACTCGTCGCAGCTTGTCCACCGTGGACAACAACTCGTGAATCTCGGTGATCTTCTGACACACCTCGCGTCTGATGGGATCTTCCACTGGTGTTGAAGCGCTCTTGACCTGCTTTCCCGGTGCATCTTTTGCGGCATCAACATCTTCTTTCTTGGCGTTCGTCGACTCATCTTTCACAGTCGTGCTAGTCGGCTCGACAGCTTCTGTCGTGGCTGCTCCTTCTCTTTTGCCATCTTTTTCAGCAGCGACCTCTGCAACATCTTTCTTGGCGTCATCCGTCCTTGCCGCAGCTTCTTTGCTGTCCTGGTCTTCTTTCGGATCCTCAGCCTTCGCAGCCTTTTTCGGTTCAACTGCGTCCTTTTTCTCAGTCGGGGACTTCGAGGCAACAGGAGTGGCCGGCTTCGTTTTCATCTCGGCTACGTGCTCGCGAATCAGATTCTTTCCATGTGAGTTCAGTGCGCTCAGATCTTCGGCATCTACGAGCGTGTCGCTCAACAGAGTGAGCAGTTCCTCTTCTGCCGATAAGTCATGGCGAATGATCTCCGCTAGTCGCAACAAGATATCATAGTAGTTGACTGCAGTCCACTCCGTCATTTCCTTCGACTCCAGCTTTCCCGTGGTGGCGGTAGTAGCGGTGGTGATCTCTGCCATTGATTTAGAGCTACTGTTGTCGTCGCAGGCTGTGCTCTCATCCTTCGACGCCGAATCAATCTTCGGTTCAGGGGACACGAATTCCTGCTCGGTCGTAACATCAGCATGTTTATTCGCAGATAACGGCGTGGTCTCCGTTTCCGCAGGACGTGCAGGAGACGATTCGATTGACTGTTCGCTGGATGCGCAGATAGTTTCGGCCATGGCGACCTGCGTGCTCTGCTCGACATCTTCTTCAGTGGGGGTACCGGACATGTTCTTCACCGGCACCGGGGCATCCGAACTGTCGCCAGCATCCGCGCTGTCTTTACTCGCAGAGGCGGCGGAAGAACCGCGCTCGCCATCTTGACGCTTTTTCTCTTTCTTTGCTTCCACCACAGAGGTAGCTATCCACTTCTTTCCGGACTCCTCCTCCTTCTTCTTCTTCGCCAGTTGATTAAACTCGGCCACTCGCTGCGCCTTGCTGATTTCTTCCTTGTGCAAGCGGTAGGCTCTGCTGTTGTAGCCGTGCACGTAGGCGACCTCGTTACGCACGTACGGAACCACTTTTTTGTTCAAGTCCGAGCTGAGGAACTTGCTGCGGTCAAATCCCATGCAGACGGCGTAGAACGTGGTATCAGCGTTATTCTCATACTCGCTCTTGTATGGCTTCACTTGCTCGAACAAGTTCCGCAAGAAGAGAAAGAGCACCATGCTGCACTCCTGATACCAGGTCTGTTCCTCCACGTACCCACGCCAGCCAAAACGGAAGATCAGAGAACCACCTTGCTCCAGTGCACCCAGTCCGAGAGCAAACTGTTTGATCGTGAGAGCCCAGATAGGAAGCGTTTGAACGGCCCGTCCTGTTACGCGCACCTTCCCGCGCGCCACGGCCTGCTTTTGATCTCGCTGCATCCTCAAGTCCTGCATATCGCAGTTGATCAGATTTACCAGTCGTGAGGGAAGAGTCCCTTCTTCCTCCTCTGCCTTTTCCTCCACCGGAATTGAATCCCCCTGTTTTTCGGATTCTTCCGACTTCTTCTTAGCTTCTTTCTCCGTGCTGTCAACCGGCTTCGCAGCAGGTGAAGTCTTCGGTGCCTTCTTGTCGCCCTTCTTCGCCTTGACAGCAACAACGTCTTTCTCTTCCACCTTGAGATTATTAAGGCCTGCACTATTCACCACGTTGAAGATGTCTTGAAGGTAGATGTGAAGGCGGGTCTCGTGCGAGATGCACATGTGATAACCACCAAGCCCAGCTGGGAGCGAAATGCCGTAGCCGTGGCTGAACTCTTTCTGTTCCAGAAGGTGGCAACAGAAACCGCCTGGCGCGGCGCCGAAATCGTAAAAGCGCAGCTTGACTTCTTTCTTGTCGCTGCCGCTCTCTTTGTTCTTCGTCTTCTTGTCCGCCTCGCTGCTCTCAACATTGTTTTTGCTCGTTCCGGCCGCAGCGCCTGAGATGGCCTTCTGCACGATGACGTTGCCGAAGCGGCGCCACACGTCTGTCATCACGTTCCACGTCTTGTGGAAATGGATCATGTGAGTATCGCGCTCCTCCTGCGTGACGCCGTGCACCGGTGGGCAGATACGAGCGCCACTGATTTCGCTTCGGTAGTCCGTGGTCGACTGCTGTTGGTAGTTCGCAGTGTGGTGCTTGCCTTGTCCTTTGGCGACGGCTCCCTTTCCGGATGCGAAGCCACCTGCTGCGTGGTAATACGAGTTGTTCCACGATCCAGTGAAGAATGCCGTCTGGTTGTATCCGTTATTCCACGATCCAGCCTGCTGCCACTGTTGATGCTGCTCCGCGACTCCAGGATGAGCATTGTAGTTTTTTCCCACCTTGCCCTTCGACAACACAGTAGTAGAGGTAGCGTTGTTGCTGTGGTGACCTTTGCCGCCGTGCTGAGTCGCCTGTTGATCTCCTTTGCTGAGTTTCGCTCCGGTGGAGGAAACCATGTTTGTAGTTCCCTGCGGCACTGCATAAAGAGCTCCTCCTGGTCCCACTTGCAAAGTAGAGGTACCCAGCTGCGGTTGGTCCAACACTAGTTGCTGCAAGTTGCCAGCCTCGTCAACGAACACGTAGGTCGGATTCGCCGGTGCGGGCGCAGCCGTGACCAACTGTCCATTGTTAAGGAAAAAAGCGCTCTGCTGAGCCGCCAGTGGTTGCGCTGCCAGTAGCTGTTCCGCTGTGAAGAGGTTTGGCGACGCGGCTGCGGCTGCGGCTTGCTGCTGCAGTGCAAAGTGCTGCGCAGGCAGGAAGAGTCCACCTGCAGCTGCGGCTTGGGCGGCCTGCGCCTGTTGTTGCTGGTGCTGCTGTTGTTGTTGAAGGCCGGCAAGCTCACCACCGAGCGCCGAAACAAGACTGCCACCGAGACTATTCATCACGGCGGAACCGTCCAACACTACGGCATTTCCACTTTGTTGTAAAGCAGCTGAGTCTGGTCTCACCAAATCGAGGACTTGCGCTCCGGTGACTGGGTCTGTGACCAACACGTATTGAGGCTGTCCTGAGACTAGTTGTGCAGGAGCTGCAGCGGCACCGGCAGCAGAATTAGCCTGGGTACTAGACTTGCTCGGCGGATGCCATTCTTTCGCAGCAGCCGACAATTTTGATGCCGTCTTCACTTCCGGCACGCTCTGTCCTTGTTCAACGGTTTTGGCCGGGGCCGTTTCGCTCCCTTTGGAGCCACTGATAGCGGCCGCACCGTTTTTCAACATCTTTAAGATCTCTTAATTCTATAGAATGCTCAGCTAAAAACTATCTAGACGTAAAAGACGATATTACAGTAATGCAATATGTTGCGTCTGTTGCGTGGTGGGTACTTTAACAAATCCGATTACCTTCTTTGACAATCAAGCTAGGGGCGTAGCTAATTGATTAATGATATAATAAATTGAACAACAATGCTTATGCTGATGACCTCTGATATAAGTCAATACACAAGTAATGCTAAGTTCTTTTCCAACTTCTACTCTGCCTCTTGTGTGAGCAGTTGTACAACACCACCTGAAGACCTTCCAACTTATGATACACCAACGAAATACGATTTTCCTGCTACAAAGTCAAATCTTCATTTATCCAAGACCGAGACACAATTGCATGCAACGTGGTAGAAAAAAGCTCCTCGTAACGCTAATAATATCACCGTCTTGCAGTAGATCTCGTGCGCGAGAACGGCGACTCTTGCAAACGCCTCTACTGTACGATTTTCGAGAAGGATGAGGGTGAATTCTCGGGTGGCTCCAAATTAACTACAGACGGACATGAAAGCTAGAAACTATCTGCTTATCCACCTCGACATAACACAGAAAAGCTTCTAGCTAGAACTACGCAATCTTCAATGCTCGAATTAGAAAAAAGTAAATTCTATAATGTTCTCAGTCATGAACTTCTGTATGGCTTTGACATTTTCGACTACAACTACGGGACAAATTCAACATTTCCGGGATCGTGATCAGATAAAGTAAGTACGCAGATTGAAATTGATAGAACATGGACAATGTACGGGGTTTTCAGTAGATTCGACGATAGGGATGGGAGAAAGTCAACAGAAAAAAAGTTCATGCAGATTACTGTAAGTTGTGGGAGATTTTCATTTGCATTTGATTTGATTATATTTTCGTATCCATGTTGAACAGTCCCTGTATCAAGAATCCATCGTCAATACACATTTGAGATCTTTATATACGATTCTTGCAGTTTTTCACAATGCATACAATCACCACACGGTCATATTCTTCTCTTGAAGACATAAACATTTCTTGATCTGCAGTGGATTCAAGCGCTCACCAGAAAGGTTGTTTTCGGACAGAAAATGAATTCTTGAGGATCTTTGGAAATTGGAACTCACTCAGGAGCATTCTAAAGGATCTTGTGCATGATTTTCAGAGGATCTTATAAATTGATCTCAACATCAAAGACGCCTCCTCTGTGAGGAGGTATACTCAGTGGCACAGAAAATTTTCTCTCACCATCTTCAAACAGAATCTTTCATCTCACATTCATTTCCACTCTTGTTAAAACTTTACGAGAATTGTGGAGTTTTCAACGAGTTAGAACAACGACAGCAGACTTCCTACTGCGCTTTTTCATGGTAGCTACAATTTCGAAGATTGGTTTGATCGCTCCATTTTTCGAAAGTCGAACATGGGTTGGTACTCCTCCGCAAGCTCCTCGCGCGCAGTCTAAAGCGCCGAAAATATTTTCATAAAAAAGGAGTTGCAAATGAGAAAGAATGATCATTAGATAGTACGGTTTGTGTGACCAGCTCATGGCCCTTTTTGCCAACCTGGCCTAGTGCTTCGGCCATGCTCGCTTCCCACGCAACGCCAGGTGAGGAGAAGGCAGGAAAGAGCGAGGCGGAAGATTACTTAGCTCACGAGCTCATTTTTCCAAGACCTGGATTACGTCACGTCGTGAATGATCGCTAATTCTAGTACGATGTTGTTGTAAATCGTAGTACCACTTGTAAATAATCATCCATCAGGTAGTACTGCGTCAGACAAGTTCTAGATTAAAACACAACACAGCAATGAAAAGATAGAAAAATCTCTTACTTCTAGGGGTAGTGTTCATTTCTTAACCAAAAGGTTTAGTAGACAGGGTTACGTCATGATGATATCAATCATCTGCATATCCTTCGTTTTCAATTCTCTAATCCGGGTCCAAAAAATGCTTTTAAATTTCCTTCGAATGGCCTCTACGCCCTCCTCTTTATTCTTATATACGAGGAGCTCCTTTCTATTATATCCTTCTTATAACGTCTGTCTCCTCCACTTTGCTGACGGAGAAATTACTCACCATCATCAAAGCACGTATATTCTAATCTTTGCATAGATACGTTTGCATATCCTCCATCTAATGCACGTCTTAAGTTGAATAACTAATGCACATGAATACGTAAAAAGATCATTTCCTTAAACTCCAATACAAGAATTTCTTCTAGAGGCACTTTCAAGATAAGATCATTTCTAGAATGAATCACTTGTTCATTATATTAGTAAAAGTAGTTCTATACAGCCTCACTCCTCTACTTCATTTCATCTTCTAGTACATCTTCAATTTTATAACCGTGTGTGTGTGTCTGTTCCAAAAATTCTGCACGGAAATGGCTTTATTTTCTACTCTACTGTTCTGGTTCTACTGCATTGTTGTTCTACTTAATCTTTCGGTGGAAAGCATGCGTGGTTTCTAATCCGGCCAGAGAGCGACGAGGGGATCATGAGCACCCCACAGTCCACGAGCTCGAGGCGCTGCGAACTAGGGTGGTGCTCCCGATCAAGGACATCCATGGGCCGAGCAAACTACTAAAAAAGGAAGTTCTCCGGACTGCTAGTACTAGTATCAGCATTAGTTTTTTGTTGGCTGATCATAGATAATTCTGATAAGACATTATAGTTACATAGTGAAAGCAAAAAATTAATAGTTCTCAACATAATCCTGTCGAAAATGTTTGACAAACTTTTACGATATCTTTCGATAATAATCACTAAATATCTAATAACCACAGAGTTGCCAGAAGCGAGACAAAGCGAGCTCCTCCGCCTCGGTTATCATATTACGTTTACGCTACTGGTGCCGGCGAGGCCGTGTCAAGCTTTTGCCGCTTTGCGCTGTTTTCACTGCCCTCGCTGTTTTCTTGTTCCCTGCTCGATTTCACGTGCTCGATTTCCTCAGTGATAGATACCCACTCTTGGTCGGCACCACGGGGAGAGTGTGCAAGCTGCGCCCCCATATGGCATCCAAGCATATTCAAGACCGGGAACTTGGCAGCGTTCTCGGACACCTGCATTTGACGAGAAAAACATCATGATCATAGGATTGGAAGCATATTCTTTGGAGATGAAAAATAAGTGTAGAAGCGAGTCGACAACCATTCATCTTGTGAGTAGAAATGTATTTCGTACAACTAATCAAAAAGATTATTCAAAATCATTTACCTGCTCTCCATCCGGGAAGAAGCGTGGCGTGGAAATTGGCGTTCCTCCTGCGGTCGGTGTCTCATCCTCACCAAACCACCATGGTCGGTCTGCTTCGACACCTGATAAGAATCGAAATTAAGATTTTCGAGGTTGAAACCACATCTACCAATAATCACACTTACTGCGTCTTCACGTATGAGAGCGTGCAAGTGGAAGAGCTGCAAGAAGAATACAGAAATATGAAAAATTTCAAGGGGGAAGTAAAAAACAGAAGTGTTTACAGAAATCTTTTGTGCTAAAAGAACGACATAAAAACAAATTATGTTTGTACCCACAGCTGCGGCATCATTAGATGACTCTGCAAGCATGCTGTAAAGCATTTTCATGTCTTTATGGGCGAGGCCCAAGGACGATCCCTTTTCCGACAAAGCGAAGTCACGCTTCACCTGTACAAAAATTGTGAGTGTGTCAATTAAGGAATACGATACTTTTCTTTGTATATAACAAGAGGAAGCAAACACATCATTTATGTGGTTCAACTACAACAACTTCACCAAATCGATTACTCAACTACCGCTACGCAGTGAGTTCCTTCAATATATTTATATAAACGCTTACCATTCTTTCTGCGTATTTATCAACGGCTGTGTTCGGGAAGAGGGATTTGGCGAACGAGGCCACGAAGTCGCGGTTCAATCCTGCCGCATCGACCATGTTCATGGTTTCGCCTAGCACTTCTGCCATGCCGTAGATGAGAAAGTTGCTCGCGAGTTTGAGTCTTGCGGAAGCGGTCACATCCGTGTGCGAGACAATCTGAATTTGCCTGCGGTCCTTGCACCAACATGGCGCAACCTTCTCGGCAACGTGCTTAGCCAGAAATTCGTCGTTGCCAATCGGGCTACCACCAGTGGAAATGAAACACCGCAATTCACCTTGTTGGACGCTATCCGGACGGCCAGTTACCTATTTTGATGTGTTGTGAGAGCAACGATCGAGTTGTTGAGGAAAATCTACTTCACGACGGGGTTATTATAATGCGGAGGTGTTCTTGGAATGATCTTCTGTGAATCTGTATTGATCAAAATCAATACTTGTAAAAATAGCAAAATTGATTGTCACAAAGGCTAAGGTGGTCTTACCGCGCAATTGACAAAGCCGAGGATCTTGTTGGACGAGATGCAGCAAGCGTCAGAGATCTTCTTTTGCAAGCGGGCAATGCACTCTGGGCTGAGTGTGGCACAGTTGACGAAGGTGCCTTCGAATCCCTGCGCCAAAAGCTCATCAACAGTCGTTTCGGTCGCCTCATCATCGCGGAGCATCATCACCAGCGTGTCCTTCTTGCACGCAAGCGCAAGTTGCTGCAAAGTTCCCATCGGGGCAATCTCGGTAGAAACGTGCGCAGCACTCGAAGCAAGGGAGCGCAATCGCTGCTTTCCACAGTGCTTGCCCCATCCTTTGCCTGTTATGATAACTTGCACATTTAATGATTTTGGAAACGATATTTGAAAATTACATGATCTTTTATCGTCTACATTTTTCGGAAATCCTAATTCCATGAACTTTATCGCATCACCTACAACAAAACAGGAAAAGGACATCTTCCATTGAAATCATATTACTAGCATGATTTCTATCTCTAGTTTAAGTAGGTACCTCCAAGTGCGACTTCCATCTGACCGCAGTCCTCAGCGGACGCGAAGATTTTTTGAACGACTTGCGTGGTGCGAGAGAAGGTACGATTGTGGACGTACACGTTCTTCCACTTTCCGGCGTAGTAGATGCGACGCAGCATCTGGCTTCCCATCTGGCCGAGGCCACAGAAGCCGATGTTTCCTTCTGGAGCGACCATTTCGACGTCTGTGTCTTCTTCCGGATCAAGAGGACAGGTTGAAGTGCCAACGCCTACGGAACTGGTTTCGCGTTGAGGACTGGGAGTAGAATTGCTCGCAGCGCTGGTCGTTGACGTTCCTTTCTTATCGAAGGAAGACGGCGACGATTCGTCCGTGCTCGGCGCTGCAGTGGAAACGACCGTGCTCGAAGATGCGGCACGAGTTTTCTTGTCCTCCTCAATGAGGGTGGCCAAATCAATTCTTGGCTTACTCAAAGTCTTCGTGAGCGTAACCCCTGCAGCTCCTGCAGTAGTTGTAGTGTCCTTAACGACGACAGTGCCAGGCACCTGAGTCTTCGCCGGTGGCTTTGCGGAGATGTAGCGAACGTCACCTGTAGCTCTAGTGTTCGGGATGGTCTCGTAGATAATACGATGTCCCTTGCCGCCTTTGTAGCTTCCCTTTTCACCTCCTTTGTAGCCTCCTTTGCTCTGCTTTCCACCGTAAGGTGCAGCACTGTGAGACCCACTCTTGTACGAAGATGGGCCGTAAGAGCTTCCTTTCTGAAAGTCCTTGCTTCCTCCACCTTTTCCTCCGTAGAAGCTGCCACCGCTGTTGTTCAGAGGATGTTGTTGTTGACCTCCAGTTAGCGCCGACAATAACGACGCAGTAGAGTTTGGGTTGTTAAAACCGTGGTTATTCAGCTGCTGCTGAAAGAAGGTCGAACTTCCCGAAGTAGAGTTGTTGTTGCCGAAGGACTTCGATTGCTCTTGCTCCCCACCAAAAACGTCAGTGAGCCAAGAGTCGATGTTTCCGGCAGAGCCGGAGGGTTTCGAATCGATACCAAGCAGGGTACCCTGAGGGACGAAAACGCAACGGTAACGATATCTTCAAAGTATAAGAAAATTAGTGGTGCTTCTTGTTCTTCCAATTTATGAAGTATATTATAAAACAATCCTGCCACCGCAGATTTAGTGTTACGAAAATTGTGTCCTAGAAAATGTAGTGATTGCGAGGATGGAGAGGTACTACAATAAGGACACACTCGTACACGATAGAAAACCTGTTGGGGCTGGGAGACTAGTAGTACAAAAGTATTCAAATGACGAAGATGTACGTAGTATTTACTTTTTATATTTTTCAATGTTTTTTATTTTTTATCATTTCCTATGGTGTTCAACAATAGAAATTATGTTGAGGTGAAATGACTCCTAAAACACAGAATGCTCTAAGAGTGTCCAAGTATGTCGTAGTGTGTGAAACGCGTGAGGTGAAGAACCTCTTAGTATGTGGTTTTCTAAGATAGCTTACTGATTTGCATTCCGACTTGCGTGGAGCCACTTGCTATCTCCAAGTCTAGTTCTAGATCTAAGAGTGGAAATCTAAATTTGATTCATCAAAGATGACGCGTGAGATTAGTTTTGAAATCTGAGTTATTCATTCATTCATCATCTTAGAAGTCTAACCTGAACTTCACAAGAACAAATTATATAACAAAGATAACAAGTTGTAGAACCAGCTCAGTGCTGCCAGAGTTCCAGAAGCCTGTAGATGCCATTTTGTTCGATGAAATTGAGGAGGTCGAGGATGTTGTGGCTCGATTTATCGGCAGATCTGCAACTTGGACTTGATCGGAAGAAGGATCGCTTTTCTTGGTAGGCGGGATCTTGTTGTCGCGATATGAGGGATCGGTGAAAAACAGGATCTTGCCTTTCAAGACTGATTTACAGGATCTCGAAGTCGATTTTTCGTTTGATTTTTTGATCTAGCGAAATTCTTTGATAATGTCGTAGAGGATGAAGGTGATCGTCGTTTTTCGATTTTTCGGAATGAATTAAAGGATCTTTGATTTTCTTGCTGGAAAGGGTCGTGCGAATTTAGAAATACTGACGTCGCTGAATGGTTTCAATACTCACAAGCATTTGGCAAAAAAGTCTGATATGAGGTCTAGGAACTACTGAGTGCTACTTTTCGTTACCTTTCTTTCAAACCAGTTAAAATAAAAATATGATGATTTCTGCAATGGATGAATGCAGTTTAATGTCGCTTTAGTTGGAATAACTGTGTCGACTGGGTTTGCTCTAGTGAGGAATCGATAACGTTGATTCGACTTTATGCTGAAAAATCATGCACTGGCAATGAATTCGGCCACTGTGAAGGAGATGGAGAAAGGAAGAATCAAGATCATGCACAATAAGTTCCAAGGAAGTAGAGTCACGCATATGCTGGGATAGTGACTAAGGCTAAGACACTCTCGTCAGTTGAAAACGACGCCAACAGATAAAACAGACTGCGTAAGACTCGTCTTCGCTCCACAGACGGAGCTCAAAATCAAATTTTCTGCGAACAACGTGACTCAACAATCGCAAGCTGCTTGATCAGAGTGTCACTCATAATTCTTCTACAGAATGTGAATCATTCATAGCACTGCTCACTCAACGCTCGACCTAACAGAAACACAAGATTCAGATTTCGCGATCTCAGTAATATTTCTCTTTTTTTTGTAGGCCAAGATCGCCGGAAGGGAGATCCCAGTGGCCGCCTGGCCGCATACGAACACATAAAGAAGGACGTGATCATTCGGCCACAAATTCCCTAAACTAGAAATTTTTCCATCTGCAATTCTAGGAGGTGAGCAATGAGCAACGTCTTTTATTCGGTTCTTCAAGGTTGTGATCAAGGTGTAATCAAGTGATCATGATCATCTTTTTAGTCGTTGGAAGTAATGATGAGCAAATTCAAACCCAATAGCATGGTGGACAGCAATGTGGTACAACAGCACCCATTTTCCCATTTTGATAGCTCGGACCCAAAGTAATAATTACGCCGCCTTCTTCTTCGGAAGAGCACAACCATTCCTACTTCGGATGAGTAGGAGAGAACTACGTTATGCACAGAAGAAGGAGAAGCGACAACAATTCCCCAAAGCAAGCGTATATTTGTGTGTCATAAGTTACTCGCGAAAGCGTATAAATTTCAATCGACTTGGCAATTAATATAGTTATGAGTCTTCATGACGAGGGTATCAACCTGTACATTGCCCTAACGAGGTAACCATTTTTTTCTGACAAACGCGCGTACATCACGACCTGCTACCCGACATTCGATGCTGCTGGACCTTCATAGGCGTCCGTTGTCGGCAACAAAACATGCTGGCAGTAATGGTCCTGGCTGTCGGAGCTGGAGGCTAAGCCCAACTGGCGGCTTGCCAAACGCGAACAAGATGAAACTCCTGCGCCTCAATAGCCGCAAAATAGCCGAAGCCGCTACATCACAGAAAACGGGTCCAAATCTGCCAGACTACCCGCGCCTCCTCCCGTCGGCGACTTGCTAGCCTTATCTGCAATGGAAATGTTGGAAGCAAGTTCTAGCTCATCTAAGCGCTTTTTTACTCTTACTAACTACGAATCTCTAAGTCTGATTACTCCAACTTCAGGAAACAATGAGACGTCGAAATCACAGCAAAACATGATTAAATCCAGAGGGAACACGTGAAGTACTCTTTGGTGTCCCCGGAAACTGGTTCATATATTGCGATGTCACCGTGCCCGAAATCAGATCTGGGAAATTCAAAAGATTTTTGATCTTCTTCAATTTCATTTCGAGATCATGGCATCAGGTCTCAATTCCTTTAGAACCAATGACATCGACCGATGAGATTCATTAACACTGATGGAACAGAGCCTTTGTCACGCTGCTAAAAGTCTTCAGAATGTGATGGAAGTCAATCTACAGAATAGACAATACCATCAAGACCGCCTCCTGCCTTCGCCGGCTTGGCTCCGAACCCATTCGCCTGTTGTGGGCCAGCCATGAACCCGCCCATTCCGCCCTGCTGCATCGCTGGTTGTTGGCCAAACATGTTGTTTCCAGTGCCATTGCCCACCATGCCATTTCCCATTTGACCACCGCCGTTGCCGAGGCCGTTGCCTCCACCCATCATATTGCCGTTGTTGAAGCCGCCAGGGAATCCGACTTGCTGGGGCGCCTGCCCAAATGGATTTCCCATCGGAGCGTTGTTCCCCATTCCCATCATGTTGCCACCTGCGCCGCCCATGGAGCCCATGCCATTGTTGCCCATCATGGCACCTCCCATGCCGTTCATCGTTCCGCCACCAAAACCGTTCTGCTGCATCTGCTGTCCACCAGCTATCATTCCTGGAGGAGGACTTGCAAAGGGGTTGCCTCCAGAACTACCACTTGTTGCTACTCCTCCCATGATTATGCTTTGAGCGCTATTGCCTTGCATCATCAGATTCTGGCCGCCTCCCATCATCGGCTGACTCCCCATTGGCTGGCTGCCCCCCATAGGGCCACCCATCATGCCGCTTGCGCCCATGCTGCCAGGAAAGCCGTTACCAGCCATCATGTTGCCCATGCCTCCAGGAGCACCTCCCATATTCATGTTCATGCCTCCCATTGAAGCTAACGCGTCGACGTTACCTCGATTCGAGTTCGCAGTGCCACTTTGGTACAAATTCGCGAGGCTGTCGTTAAATGAGGAAAATTTGTCAACTGCTTTTGCCGCAGGCTGTGATGATGAAGACGTTGCTGCGCCGCTCGCAAAGTCGCCGAAACCACCATTAGCGGATGAAGATGTCGCTGCGCCGCCTCCCATAGGTACTTGCGGCATAATTGAAGATGTTGCTGGAAAAGGGTTACCATTTGAAGCTGTTCCCGCGCCGGTCGCTGGGGCAGACGAGCCGGAGAAGGAGGCAAACGCGGTAAAATCGTTGCCGCCGCCAACTGAGGTACTAAACATGTCCTCTAAACTTGTATTGCCGCTTCCAGACGCAAAGGGCGCGAAATCTGCGTCGAAAGATGAAGCTGCGGGAGTAGCACTATTGCTGTTACTGGTGCTCGTGAAACCAAAGTCGTCGTCGAGGAGGTTCATGGGAGGTGTCGCATTATTACTAGAAGACGCCGTGCTCGCCGTTCCGCTGCCCGCGTTCTTCGCTACTGAGAGAGAGGTTTGAATCTTTCCCCCTGCGGTGGTGCCAGCTAGCTGCACGGTATTGCCAGAGGAGCCACTAAAACCCCCTCCGTTCGTTGCACCGCCGCCACCAGCGGAGCTGCCGCTTAAGTACGCGTCAGGTGACCTTCCCTGCGCAAGCAACTCACTCGGTGATGGCTCATTCCCTCTTGGAATGAACTCTTTCCTCTCGTACTTTGCGATGATAAACGACCGCTTTTGTTCCATCGAGCTTTGGCCGGTTGGCTTCTTTCCATTTTGTAGCCGAAACCTGGAGATACGAAAGTTAATAAAGACGTCAAAATTTCTTTTGCTGGAATAAAACTGGAAATCTGATTTTGGGGAAGCATACCCACATGATACGTACTAGAGGGTCTGATTAAGTCCCCACGTATATTCAAAACAATTATCAAATAGTACTCAAAATAGCTGTTCGATCGTCGATTGCCTATCTGGCCCACTGTCTCAAGCCACTTCGCCTGCCACTTGTCGAGTGTCACGCTTTTCATTACCTGTGTGGCGGATTTCGAGGAAGTCAGGAGATCAACATTTTTAGGAGATGTTGTTGAAGGCCGTCTGGTGACGGAACTGCCTTTATTCAACTAATGTATCTTACTTCCGATTATGGCTGTCGATGACCTACTTAATAGAAATCTACTTCCTGCAGAACTTGGTCAAAAACTTTTAACAAACACGAAGATCGTGAGTACTGAAATGTGGACGCCCAAGTGTCGATGAATGCCGGCGCAGTCGATGCATACCAGACAACCAAGATTCACTGACGCCCATCGGGGGGCCCGGGCATCGCAATCGGCGCACTCTTGATTGTCAGGATTGCTGACAATGGCCTCCAGCTCCGGAGACGCAAGCTTCAACTTTGGTGGCATCTTTCTTTTATGATCTGCAATATCACTCAAATATTGAGAGAGAAGGAGATCTAAGTCTAGGTAAGCTGTAATCAATGTGAATAGTTACAGCCGACACCGCGTGTTTCACAAAGAAGTTGTTCAGAAACAAAACTTATCATATACGGTCGCTTCCTGAACTAAGAAAACAATGCTTTCAGCCGCAAGTCGACAAAGGGAAATATTCACAGAGAAATAGAGTTGCGTTTCTCGTTTGTCGTTTCTTAGAATTTATTGCGTCCGGCAAAGAGACACAAGAAAAAAGAAAAAACAACAGGTGGAAATAAACGTTAGTTGGTACTCGGGAGCAAAAGAAAACTTTTAAAACGAATGCCTTGTGAAAATCGCACAAACGGGAAACTTCCACCAATAAAAAGATAACAAAAATACAAATCTTAGACCTGCAAAGTTCTACATAAAAAAAAAAACAAACTTTAACTTACATGGGTGGAAAAGCGCTCAGATTCGCTTCGTACGGGGGGCCTGCCGTTTAGTTTGATTGAGGGGAGCAAGAACATCAATAGTTGCCTTCTACGAATTCTCCTTACTCTCTTCTAGATTGGACTTCCTACTCTTGCCCACTGCGTATCTTTTAATAAAGGAACTTGCCACAGAGTCAGTTAATCCTGTAGAAAAGTAGAACACAATTTTTCAATTGCTGATCTCCGCGCACTCGTCTCTTAAGAAGATGAGATGATTGGATCTTTGCGCGCTCATCACTCTCTTTCGTGATCCATTTTACTTCTTTTACAAGACAAAAATGGTCTAGAGTAGCGCCAATTTGACCCGAACGGATCTTCATCTTGCTCTTGATCATCATATTCAAATCTAATACTATCCTTGACCACATCTTCTACGTGCGCCTGCAATCTGCTCTTACTCTTTAAGGTAGTTGGGATGGGTACTGATGCTCTGGGGCTTATTGCGCTGTTGCAGCTCGTTCTTGTTGTAGCGGCCATAGTACAGCTCATGACCTTGATCTCGTTTGTTCTTCCTATAGGAGAAATGAAGGTCGCGGTGGGGGAATTCGGTTTTTTTACAGGTGAACCTGTACAATAATCGTCAACTTCGTCATTCATATCAACGTTTTGCTCGTCTAGACTACTTCTCGAATCCTCGCTATCACCGTGGTCCTTCACGTTGTTGCTGTTGTCGACATGATCCTCGCGATGTTCACTACCGGTACTGCGGAAGGCGAAAATTTTGTTCCAATCCTCTTCTTGGAAGCTGTCGTCGTCCGCCTCTGCTCTACTTATCATTTCACTACCACCCGTGTCAGCATTCAAACTATAATACCCTTTTTCATTTGCAGCACCTGATGAACTCATCATGTTGATTTTCCCGGATGTTTCCACCTCATCATCCGGTACATGAAAGTAGGGGCTGTGATACCCGCCACCGGTACCGAAGGGTGCTCCGTTGTCACCAGAAACAGGAAAGAAGTCACCAGAGAGGCGTTGCTTAGCGGAAAGCTCGTCGACACTGGCTGGATGGATGTAAATGCCGTGCGAGTGAAATTTTCGCAACATTTCGACCAAAACTGGCGCGTCTAGCTCCGCAACACACCTGCGAGCCAAACGCTCGCCCATCAAATCCACGCAAACATCGCGCACATTCAGGCCAAAGAGAGGATTAGAAGTACAACAAAAGGATGGAAATCACAAAAGATCGCCGTAACAATTGACCAAGGACGAGCTCTAATCTGCCGTAAACCAGCGTTTCTATCGTGGTAACTCCATGAATATCTTTTTTATCTCTCCCAACAAGATTGAGTAAGCTAGCATAGGGCCTCGTCATCTGCGCGCCGGCAAATGCCTACAAAACAATGCCACGCATACCTCTTGGAACCGTTCTAGTGACGGAACAGAATTTCCGGTAGTTGCTCTCCAGCATGCTCTGTACTTTTCGAAGTCGAAACGTGGCGATTAGCGTTCGTTTGCGTCTTTGAAACAGAAGCTTCATCAATGTGTTCCACTCCAAAAAAGTGACCTCGGCAGCGGCAAGCGGAGAAATCAAAGATGATGATCCTTGTTGTGGTCTCCAAGTCTCTGCTTTCGAGATGGACTTCATACTGGAGGAAAGGCTTTTCTGACAGACGTCGGTTCTTGGCGTTAGTCGGACGATGGTGGACCGGACTTGGGGTTGCGGGATAAAACTCCCGCCTTTCACATCCATAATCTTTTCTGCCTTGCAGAATAGACGCGCGTTCATACTCAGGCGATTAAACTTGTGCTCTCCTGGGTCTGCTACAAGCCGTTCTGCAAATTCTGCCTGAAACATCAGCACTGCTCGCTTCCATCTCGTGTGCTCATGGCAGAGGGCAGTTGTTAGAAACACACGAAAACTTATAGCTTTTGAGGTAAGAAATACCAATTACTTACCACAAGTGAGATCTCCTCTCTATGACGATGCGGAAGTACGTGTCCAAAGTATATCTGCCTCGTGCGCCTTTAGGTCCATTTCGCATAAATTCAGTAGGAAGAACAGAAAGGCGCTGCTGATGCGGTACGGGAGATTAGCAACGCAGACGTCGAAACGGGGAAGCGTCAGCTGCGCGCGAGAGCCGAGAAAAACTTGCTGATCGAGCACATCACCATGATACAGCCTCAAGTTGCAGTTATCTCCTAACTCCTCTCGAAAAACCTCTACCGCGGGTTTCGCATTGCGCGCACGCCGACCCCCAGGATTCACCTCAGGCGCCGAACTAGAGAATTGCTGTACATTTTGCTGTACGTCTTCCAGACGACTTTCCTCAGCTGAACCAACCTCTTCTAGGCGTTGCCCAGAGCCAAGGCCTTCTGCACCTTGCCGTTGCTGCGATGGTGGTGCGTGGTCAACGAAAAATTTTTCGACGAGGTCTTCGTCTGACTTTCGTTCCTCTGTGGTGAAGGCAAGGTCCTTGCGATGGCGCACTAGGCCAAGCGCTTCTGCACGGCACTTCACTTCGTGCAGCATGGATTCCTCGATGTCGATGGCAATCACCCGACGCGCGTGTGCCAGCAGTTTCATGGTGAGAACACCAGTTCCCGGACCGATTTCCAAAACCGTGTCTGCGAAGCGACGCAAGCCTGACGCTTCCACGATGACATCCAGGACGCCCTCGTTATGTAAGATGTGCTGTCCTTTGCTCTTTTTCAGCACCATACCCGTGGACGGGTGCACTTTGGGCAAACCGCGACGAGCAGAAACAAGCAGGCGCCTACTTGAGCGAAGAAGCTTCATTTTCAATTTTTAGTTGCTAATTCGCAAATCAGTTAGTCTTTTAAGAAGATTATGCGTCACACTTTCTACATCTGATCAACTAGGATGAAGACGGCCTCATCCGGGGGCGACGGACCTAGTAAAAGACGATTATGAACAAGAGAGAAATCGTTCCGTCATCATCAATCATAATTTTGTAATCGTCGACGACGTATAAACTTCGCTCAATGACCATGAGACAGCAACCAAGGTCGAGGTAGCGGTCGCGAAGCACCCTTCTACACACGAAGCGACGTGAAGATAATTCAATTTAAGTACTGCCAGACTGCCAGAGCGCAAGATTCGAACGGGCGATGGACGCAAACGTGCTGCTACCAGACCCAGCGACCATCCGATCCGCCCATGAGCAACAAGAGCAAACCTCGAGGCAGACACGTCCACACGTCCGCCCCGCAATGCCCTGAATGCAAAAGATATGCTCAGCAGCTCATCAAGGCATATGCTACCTATGCTAGCTCATTATCAGTTTCGATAATCAAGAATTATCAAACTCTACGATCCACTGGGCCTAGCCATGTCATGTGAAAACCACCGGTTGTCGTGTCAGCACTATCGTTGTGTCACAGCTATTATGCCACAAGCTCCTGTTGTGTCTTCACACATGTCACATCACAACTTACTACTTACTTTTATGTCGTAGTCTTCACCAGTATCATGTCTCCTCGCAAAAGAATAGGTAGATGGAAAAAGCGCTCCATCGGGAACATGCGTACCTCTATCCATTTCTGACACCGTGCCCTCGAGATGCAAGATGCACCCTAAAAAACAAATAGCATTTAATACAACAATCGCAAAATGTGTCCCAAAAAATATCTATCTTGTACTAGTACTAGATGAAATAAAAAAATAAAAAAATGTGTATCCATTAATATCAATAATCATTTGTTTTCCACGTACACCTCCGAGTCCGACAGATTGTTGATAATAATCATGATTATTGGGTCCATAATTTTAGTGATTACAATCGGCACTATTTTCTTCGACCCACCCTCCACTTCGTCAACTGAGATCTCATTCAATACCTCAACAAAAGGCACGAGATTACTAGGATGTGTAGTATAAGATATTGAGTTCATGATGAGTCAAGTGCAATTTAGTCAGCAAGTGCGAGAAATTGAAGGACGAGCAAAGAGATGCGCAGAGAAGTATACGAAGAGGCTCGTCAGAATTATGCTAGAAAGGAGGAGGAAAAAGGAGAGAAAAGAAGGCTAGCCCAAGCAAGTGAGAGACCTGCAAAGAAGCCACCCAAACCCCAAAGAATCTAAAACAAACAATGAATCTAACCCGAGCCACCACCCCCAGTGATAATGGTGACGATGATGATGATGATGATGATGATGATGATGAAGTAGATGCAGAATGATAGGCGAGATGATGATGAAGTAGATGCAGAACGATAGGCGAGAACGCTACGATAGGAATATACCGGCGAAGGAAGCCAACCCTCTCCAGGTCGTTCAATAGGAGGAGCTGAAGGTAGTCCGAATATAATTAAAGAGCACAAGAAAAGCACACGCCCGCGGAGTGTTGATACCTAAACCGAGGGAGGACGACCGATAAACGAGACAGAGCCGCCGACCACGTGGCCTTTCTCCTCAGTGGATGTGGAAACACCGAGAGACACGCGAGAAACAAACAGAGCGGGCAGCGAAATCACAGAAGGGGACCAAGCAAGAGAGACACCCGAGAGAAGCCGGGCGGAGCCTGCAAAAAACATAACGCGAGGGCGCCGGGGCTTCTGCAGTTCACGGCACGCCGATGGATTCGCGTTTATGTTTGACTGGCGGGCCTCTGAAGAGTGAAGGCATCGCCGGGGCCACTCGGTGCCGGTTTAGGAATATATAAACACGACCAAAAAAAAAAGGCGCAAGATGTGTATTCCTAAGCCGTTACGCTCTAAAATTCTGCACGTCGCTAGAATTATAGACAGCAACGCAGCACCACTGCCGACTACGCTACCCATGATGAGACAGGCTGACCATGACGGCGCCACACCTGGGCGACCAAGTTCCGAGATCAGCAGAAAAATGGAAAGACAGACGACGCCGATGAGAGAGATGCTAAGAAACTCGATCCGTGTCGTCGTTCTTGCTGCGTCTCTTACAGCTCCTCCTACGCTGCCTACACGGCGAAACAGAATACGCACCCCAAGCCAAGCCTTCACGCCTGTCCCCTATCTTCTCAATGTATGTCGCAAAAATGCGACAGCAGTGACCAGCATGGTCGCCATAATCTCTAGACACTCGAAGAAAACACCAAAACGACCAGGGCCATTTCCATGGGCAACCCAGTTCACTCAGTGGCAGCAAGAGAATAAACACCGCACGCAAATCTTCACCCCACCGGTTGCGGCTTATTGCTCACGAGCGTTATTACCTCTCGCCGCTGCGTCTCCTGTGGGCCTCCTCTACTACTTACGAGGCAGAACGTATTACTATTTAGTAGTACGCGCCTGGCCTTGGGGCGGGGCCAGTAAAAAGAAATCCGCCAAGCAAAGAGAAGAAGGAAAGCCACTCACAGCCCCGATAGCACTCCTGCCGTGACACGCCCGCGCTTGCTAACGACTGAAAGCAAAGAACCAACACAAAGAAGCTGAAGCCCAGAGAGATAGCACACAGAAGCACCAAACGCGCGCCGCCTGCCGTCTGACTGTCATACCAACGACGCGGCGCCCTCGCTCTCACTCTGCCCACGCCGACACGCAGCGCCCCCCCAGCCCCGCGCACTTCAGACCAGACACGCCCGCCCGACTGGGCTGACCAGGCGCCTGAGAGTCCCGAGCCCCCGGCCAGTGTCTGAAAAGCCGCCTCGCCCTGTCCCCTACAGCTACACACAAACCACCAAGAAACAAAAGAGCGCCGCGTTCTGCAGCCTACACGCAAACGGCCAAAGAGACCCAGCGACAACCAACCAACGAACACCAGAGGCGAAAAGCCGAAGAACTTCCGCCAGATCCTCAGGCGCAGGAGCCACATTTCCTACGACACCTCCACAGACCTGGCAAGCGCCATGCCGTCGCGATTCATGAGAAGAAGACACACAAACAGAAAAAACAAGCAGCCAGACCCTCAGGCGCCGCAGCCAAAACGCCGACGACACTCCCACAGACCTGACCAGCGCCATGCCGTCGCGATTCATGAGAAGAAGACCCACAAACAGAAAAAACAAGCAGCCAGAGCCCCAAGCACCGAGGCCAAACCCTCGGCGACACTTCCACGGACCTGGCCAGCGCCATGCCGTCACGATAGACCCACGAGAAGAAGACACCAAAACAGAAAAAACAGACAGCCAACGCCAGAGCCTCCGCGACGCCCCCACAGACCTGGCCAGCGCCATGCCTGCCGTCGCGATTCATGAGGAGAAGACACACAAACAGAAAAAACAAGCAGCCAAACCCCCAGGCGCCAGGAGCAAGCAGACAAGCACAAGCCACGCAAGCGAACTACCCGAGTGCCGCCGGAGAAGAGAGACACGACAAGCACACACAAACTAAGTCCGTAAGCGGTGAATACACAAAACACCACAAAAACCCAACCGAGACACCCCGACACGGCTGCGGCCTCCTTGCTGTTTTTGGCAACATTCGGGCGGCGCCGTCTTTTGCACGTCTTTGGACTTCTTGCACCCCAAACAATGCGGTGGAGCCTCAGACCCTTCCCAGCGCTGCGGCGTCAATCAATGCAATAAACCAGAAGACCCCCCCCCACCTAACAGACACCCCGGCAAACATCACAGACCAAAACCCCCGGCATATTCGCTAGCCTTGGAGACACAGCAGAGGGGCGCCCCAATATAAACACACACGCGCGCCGCACTTATTTCGTGCTTCCAACAACTGAGCAGGCCCTTCAGGTCCTCTAGAACAATCCGAAAAACGGCGAAAAGACTGGAATTGGAGCCGAAAGCCCTCAGCTTGCGATCAAAGAAAAAAAGAAGAAAGCTGGGCCGAAGGCGCGTCGCACTTCAAAGACAAACAAAGAAAAGACAAAAGAGCCAGCCTGCACGCAGGGAACCGCTGGAGCGCCCTAGTGTGCCCGCCGTCAAGCTTTTGCATCGCACTACTGATCCCCCTAGGGCCCCTCTCCTTCCTAGACCCCCCCCCAAGTTCTGCCTTTTCTGTCCTTTTTGTGGATGGCAAGCCCCAACCCTGTCCCCACATGCTTGCACGCAGCTCCCAAGCGTCGTGGTCAATTACGCAGCAGAGAAGGCGGGCAGCCATTGCCGTAAGGCTGACCTCCAAACTTTCCCACCAAGATCACACCGGCCAACAATCAAAAGGCCCCACCCAAGTCCCGAGCCGCTGCCTCACTCTTTGCGTGCCCTTTTAGCCGTATCATGTGGGCAACACATGACGCAGACGCCCACCAATAAAGCCTGGAAACCCGTTCCGCGTCGTCCAATTCTATGCCGCGCGCTCGTCTTACAGCCCAGGCCGTGGCGCTCACTGATGGCGACGGCGTGCCCCGATCTGGGAAGCCGCGCACACTGGCGAGTGTGAAAGAAGTACTTCGCGGGCCCCTTGGGAGGGAACTACTGGCGTCAACAATGCGCCCACCTAAAGGGCTAACGCTTTTCCTGTATTCATGGCAAAAGCCTGCGCAGCTTCAGCCAGATCGGCGCCAGCGCCGTCTTGTTTTATTGCAAAAAGGCCACAACTTACCGCAAATCCCTGACGGCCCGACCCCACGCAGACTACACACCAAGCCGAAACTGAGACAGTCTAGCCACTAACAAAAGCGCAAAAGCAACGGACCAGCGCCGCAGCCTGGCTGACAAGACAAAGGCGGGCACCGACTAGGTAGCTCGGCTAAGTTGAGCCGGAAGCCCTTCACACTGAGCCCCCCGGCCTCCTAGTTCCTGAGTAAAAAGGCTTGCGGAGTCCTCTGTCTCAAGAACGGCCCCCGAGAAACTAAAAGGCCAAAATATAGGACGCCAATCCCTTTAACCGCGGGCGCGTAGGTATAGGTAGCACCTTGCCCAACTAAGGAAGACCCAGAAAGGCCCAAAGCATTGAGCCACCAAAATGACCAAGATCACCAGGCGAAAAAGGTAACCCATCAGCACCCTTCCCAACGCGTCGCCCATAGTTGGCGCGGGTGTCCGTGGTTCTTCTCGTCTCTCTCGTTCGTTGTTTCCATCTCTCAGCGAGCTTGGTAACCACGACCACCACAGAAAGACCCCAGGGGAACCTATGGGCCTGAAACTGGATGCATACGGCTCCACCGTCAACGATAGACAAGCAAAGGCACCCAATCGCCCCAGATAGAAGAAGCCACGCACGCTCATAGCTGTCGCCATGCCCATTCCGTCTTGTCCGTTCTGACCAGTTCAAAGCGCACGAGGCTGAAGACCGTCGAAGCGTATCCCTATCCACATAACAGGTCCCCAGATGGTCCGACGTGTATCCACCCACCAAGTGCATTGAGCTCCAGCCAGGTACCGGCGTAGATTATCACACGACCCCGATGCCGATGGCATGAAGATACACATAAGGCCACGCGAAAAGCCCCCCAAAAAGGTGACGGCACTCAATGGAAGACGCAGCAGAGACCCCCCCGCGGCCCCAATGACTACCCACAAAGACCAAACCAACCAGAGCGAGGCCACCTGTCTCAGGCTGTGAGTCCAATTGCATCAAGCAAGATCTTTGCCTGACGTTTCTCCAAGAGAAGCCTGACAAGATTCACAAGTCTACAGCAGCCCAATTTCTGGAGACATTCAAAACGCCCCGCGCTGCGCAAGAAATTCCGAAGAAACTCAGACAGAACTCCCGCCGCAAGTCAAGAGGCTAGCCCCCTCCCTTGGTCTGCTTCAGATCTACGACGCGAATACAGTCGGCGCGCCAGCAGATCCTCATGAAATTCCCAACAAGGTCACCACCCGAGAGGACGCGGCGAACCCGTCAAAAGAAAGCAGCACAAGCACAACCCGAAAGGCACGGCCGCGCAGAGTCTGAGAGGTGCCCCTGCGTCCTTCGTTAACAGCCAGAGCGATTCGATAGCGCCCAGGCCGGCGGGTGCGATAGACGGCGGGGGCGAGGTTGTTGCGCTCCTGCGTCATGCATGCGACCAAAACAACCACCAAGAACAACGCACGAAGGCCAAGCCACACACCCGCAGAAGGCTCACCCAAGTCCCACAACCCCAACCAGCCTGCAGGCGTCAGGGGATTCCCGTCGAAAGTCCGCGACATCATGAACCAGCCACCCACCACGCACCCGTCGGCGGCAAGAGTGCCAGAGACAGAAAGTGGCCAAGAGCAAAGTCATACACTGCTGCAGAAGCTGCCCGGGGGGCTGTTCTGCAAGAAATTAAGACAACAGCCGAACACACGCAAGAAGAAGACAGCCAGACCTATGACCAGATCGGTGACCGCCTTGAGGGGCGCCCTGCGTGCGGCGTTGATCGAGGCGGGAGCCTACAAGGCTGCGAGCGATTCCCCCAAGAAGGCGCCCACCCCCGGTCAATGACAAACCTCGAACAAACGGCCTCACGAAAGAAGAAGAGGACGAAGAAGGCCAAGCCAATGAAAGCAGTAAGGCCCCTCGCCCTCTGTCTAAAAGTTCCCCCAAGCACTTCAGGGCAAACATACTCAAAGAAGAAGATCGCCGCCGAGGTCTACCTCTACGCCTCTAAGCCATGGCAGTGGTGGCAGAAAGAACGGCAAAGGGAAGCCGCAGACAAAAGGCGGCAAGGGTTCTGGCAAACAAGACACCCGCCCAGTCTGTTGGATCTGCAACAAGCCAGGCCACAAGCCCGCGACCTGGCCTGCTGGAAGAGCCCACAGAAATGGAACTGGGGCACCTACATGCACCAAATCACGAAGAAAAAACAACCGAAGGCCCCCACAGTGCTCTCGCGTCTTTGGCAGTTTCGCGGGGTCTCTTTGCCACTTAATTGCAAAACTCGCGCACCAACTTAGTGGCCCAAGTTTTGGGCCTTAGTCTCCTGGGCTTGTCACTTTAGTCGAGGCAGACACCGCGACCAAATGGCCAAGCGCGACCCCCTAAGTAATCGCCGCTATTCATCACTAATCCCCCGCCATAATTACGCCACTAAACTACAAAACTAACTCAGCAAACTACGCGCGGCCCCGCGTTTAGTGTGCCGGGCTTTGCAGTTCCCTGGCGATCAATGTATGGCAAATAATCTGCCGGGCTTCGCGGTTTCATCGCTTGACTAAACCGCGAAGGAAGCTCAGCCAAATAAAGCAGCGCAGTGAGCTTGTCCATTTAGTCGAGCAACTAAATGGCCAAACTCAGAAAACAAACAAAGTAGCAAAGCCCGCAACACACCAGGCCCCCGCAATCAAGTGGCCAAAGAACGAAACCAAGAGCACCACGAAACCGCCAGCGCACCCCGCCTACCAAGAAATGACGAAACAAGCGCCGGCCGGTCTTAGGTTTTCAGGCTTTCTTCCTAGTAGTTTGGTACATGTAAGGACACGGATGCCCAGTCTAGGTAGTGGCGTCAAGGGTAAAAGTAGAAAAGCTAACGACATGGCGCACATGTCTCAAATTCATTGCCGAGCTGTCTCAAGCCTTCAACGCCGGCGAGTAGGAGTGAGACGCGGAGCCAGAAGGCGGCGGGCGTTGCTCGCTGAATTTCGACGATGATCGACGGGGGCGGAGGTCAAGCAAATAACAGCGGGAAGGCAGATCTGGCAAGGCGTAGCCTTTCAACTCGTTCCATTAGACTATAAAAGACGAGGCGAGCCCGGTTGACAGTTATGCGGGCAGATATCTGCAAGACACGGCGGCGACTTTATTGAAATAGCCACAAGAATGAATGCGCGCGGTTGCTGTTGCTGGAGGCAAAGATAGAAGAGGCGGAAAATTGAAAACAAACGAACACCCTCAGCCTTTACTTAGTAAAATGGTGCCTATCGTACTTACATGATCCACCGCCAAAAGGCCTACAGCGTGCAAGGCCTTGGCCAGGTGAGGGGAGCTGCTCGCAATGAATTAGGACAAGGCCCAACTTTAAAGGCGCCGGCGGTTGTCTCATGCACACGGACAACAGGCAAGCCATACGCACCCACGCGAAGCCACCCACGCCGGCAGCCTCCCGCCCCCACACTTGCGCGCAACTTATTCAAGGAGGAAAATGATAGCGGTCAACGGTAACGGGGGCTCTCAGTACTAGATGCCATCGCACAAGCGTCGAACCCCGCAGAAGGCGCGGGCCTTTCATATGGATGACCTCCAGGCAAATAGTCCTGCGCGAGATCTACATAAAGGCCAACGCGCGCCCCATGCAAAGTCTCGAGGTGCTTCGAGTTGTTCAAGCTACAAACCTGAGCCGCCCACGCAACTAGCTGCCGACATTGCTGCTGGAATACAACCCACACCAGTCAGGTCGGTGCGGTTTCTATAGGTTGCTACCTGTGACGCCAGTGAGCCAGGTCAGTGAGATGCGTGCAGCTTGTTATCTGTGACACAATCAAAGAGGCGCGCTGCCAACCGCTTAAGCTGATAAGCGACTGCGTGGAAGAAACAGAAGAACCGAAAAAGACACTCGCCCGGACTACTCCCCAGCCCTTGGCGATAAGGTCGAGCGGCTCATCCGGAGGAATGCGGAGCCTGCCCCGGGCTGTGGCGACATGGCCAAGCTTATGCAATCGCCGCGAGCCTCAGAGCGTCCGGCCGTTCCTTACAATCCGCAACAGAATGGGGCCCGCGGGCGTTTTCTGCGGGCTTTGTTTGGCCGTGTTCAAACAATCCCAAAGAAAGCCGGGAGACGTCTCTAGCGTTACTGCGTTGCCTACGCTGGTGACTGTTGGGACCGTCTGCCGCATACTTACGCAGGAAATGCCTCACCGCGATGAGGAGAGGTCTATTGAAATCTCGGCCACAAGACTGGTAGAAACTCGCCGAGGACCGAACCCCTCCGGCAAGCTCCGCCGGTTTGGTTGTGTGGATTACTTTGGTGAACCAGTTCAGGCAAGCACTCTCGTCCGAACCCAAGCCCTCGGCCAACTATCGCCGTGGCGTCTTCCTTGGACCTCTGTCCGCAGTCGTCTGGCTGGTTGGTTGGAGCTTTCACCAATGGCGATCGTTTCAAGCTTGGACACCGATGGGGGGAATACTCTACCCGAGGGGTAAACCCCAAGGAGGACCATCCCATAAAGGGCATAGTCTGGCTTTTGCCAGAAAGGCGGGGCATTTGCGTAGAGTTTGACCAACTGGAAAACCTACAGGGCGGGGCGTCGTCGCTGGGCCCCCCCTTGCTTGGGCAGTCAGTGCAAAGGCTGGGCCATCGGTCGGGGTTCTCTGGCACGGAGCGCGCCCCAGGTGGCCCGGCCGGTATTTCCGCTGAGTTGTCTAATAAAACAATAGCCAAAATATAAGACGCCAATCTTTTCAACCACGGGCGCGTATAGTGCCTAACTCAACTAGGGCCGGCAGATATATCTTTAACTACTTCATCGACACGGCCGTGCTCTGGAACCTCCTCCCCGAGTAGCACGATCAGTATTTCTAATACTACAAAGAACTTTAAGACTCGCGCTTAACTAATACTTTTTTGTTCTCGTATTCTCCTGACCTTGCGTGAAGCGGTCGTAGTCTGATCTGGGCTTTAGAAAACACCCCCGGGAAAAGAATTGTGCTTATTCGTATAACTTCTCGTAGAACTGATGGTTGGCACAATTACAGAGCCAGCCGTTAATCCAGGATTTCTGTGGAAACCAGCCCAGCGGCTGACAGTCCCTGCTTGTTCTCGCCGAGACAGTGCATGCAGTTGTGAGCCACTATGGGCCCAGCTGTCACCCGATTCACGTCCCCGCTTCCCCGATGTCGGTTCGCTCGTGTTCTCGCCTTGCTTAAAGGCAGCCATTCCTTATCCGTGGCTGAATAATCCCCTGACTGCGCTTCATTGTTTCTTCTTTTAACAAATGTGAACTCAGCCAGGAAAGTCCGCGCCGGATCCTGATTGACTACCCTTAAATTGTGCGAAGTCCAACCATGGCGGGGCCGCACCCGGGATGAAGCCATGGTGCGACGCCAGCAAGGGCTGGTGCGTTTCCGCACGGTTCGCTGACGACAACGAGCCTCCTCTCTTCCCTTCACGTTCACCAGTAGTAAATCGATGTCCTTTGTCGCCATCAAAACGTGGTTCTAAAGACCGGTAACGCCTTCTAGAACTAGGCCTCGGCGAAGCAGTGGCACTTTCGCTGCTAATCACCTCACGCTGCGGTGAAATGAGCGCGGAGGACCCACCAGACGAACGCCATGCATTCCCTTCAGATTGCTGCCTATGTGAATCAGCAACACAGAAACTAGCCACGCTGCCTCCGCTTGACGCTGGTTTCTCCTGTGGGATCACCAATATGGCGCCACCGCCTGCAGAGTCGGCGTCCTCCTGTCCAACGAATTCAAATTCAGCTTCTTTCGTGTTGTTGTTGAACAAAAAAGCCGCCGCGTCGCTTTGAAGTTCAGCGATTGTGATGGCATCCACAACAAAAGGCGTAGTCGACGAATATGACGATGCAGCCGATTTTTGTGAGGATGATGCTGCTAAGCCTGCGGCTGAGGTAATTACCGGCAGGGGGCGCAGAAATCGAGCACCAACAATGTTGCCCTTGTTTCCGTCCTGGGTCCTAGGCATCATGATGACATTCCGTGATCTCTTTATTGTTCTCGACCGCGCCGTCGTCATCTTCATCTTCTTGTGCTTGAGTGGAATTGCCGCACGGCGATGTCTAAATATGGCTCCTGCTTCCATCCGGCGAGGATTCAGCGCCGCCTTCACCTTCTTCGCTCAGACTGCTTACATCGTCGTGAGAGAGATCTGCAGTCGCATCTGTAGGCATCGCTGTAGCATCAGAATCACTGTTGGCCACTTCAGCAGCATTGTTCCAACGACTTTGCTCCACGTTCATACCATTGTTCGCATTGCCAGTATCCGCAGCGAGCAACGTGTTGGAACCTCCAGCTGAACCTTCACCTCCAGGATGAGGCTGAGGACCAGCTCGGAACGAGTCGGCCAGAGAGAAGTTCTAGTTCGCAAATAGAACGAACACAGTCATCCACAACATGACCGGCAGCACCATCATACTTGAAACCAAACCCTCCACCAATTGAATCTATATATTTATAAGAATAAAACCGATTTTGTTGTCAAAAAATGATTGGAAAAAACGTCGATGAAGATGATGATATGCCCGTATAGACTTTTAGATCACTTAGCACCTTCGTTTACGTTTTTTGCACTCCCCTGTATCACGCAAAATGGATTTTGATTGTGTCAAGATATAAGGATGAGTGAGTCAGGACGAGAGAACCACACTGAAGTGTCAACGAAAAGTTCAGAGAATGAGCTTAGTGCGTCATGAAACGATTCGTCTGCTTCGGAGTTACATCAGGTTTTTGAGTTTCTGCTTCCACCACCTGATTATCCACATGGATGCTTTTGACTAGAGGAGTCAACACACCGGCAACGGTGAGCACGGAGAAGCCTTGACGCTTGAGATCGCCATCGCAGAACTTGTTTCCTTGACAGGATCATCAGTAGAAGCCAACAAGCCTAGTAGAAGTCGGAACACTTTTACATGTCAGTGCGTATCATAGCTTTACAAGCTGGTGGTCCAGCTGGGACACAGTATTGATTTTTTGTGCAACGATACCGCTGCAAGAACTAGGGGGGAAATATACAAAGGGTAGGGTGTCTAACTATGGGTAAGGTTCGAATAACAACTTGACGGGGAAGGTTGTTGGGGACAACAAAATGAAACTATTGAATTGAAGATTTTGATATTCTTGTCGTGTATATGCTCGACGCACATAACCTAAATATGACAATCTGCGTTGGTCGGCGCAGCTAGAAGCCGCATCAGATGACCGCCCGGACACTAGTTGCGAGTACTCAAGCTTATTGTTGCGATTAAAAAGCGCCACAAGTCAATTGGACCCAATGCGGAGAGCACTCGTAGATAAGCTCGGGGGTGGGCGATCCCTTGCTTCACTAGGGCAAGGATGTGAGACCTGTAGAACTCAAAAAAGTATCTGGTCATTCTCACAAAACACACGATCCATCTATCACACCCACGACCGGCTTCATCATCATCGCGTCTTCTCACACGATGAGCAGATGATGAAGCAACACTCATATAATATTCGATGGTGGAAGCCATTCACAACTACCTACGGCTGTAATACAAATAGATATCAGGTGAATTATGGTGCGTAGACCTCCTCCAGCGGCTACATCTATTTTGTAGTGTAAGTAACAGTTGAAGACGTCCACAATTTCGTACATAATATTGATAACAAATTTATGCTGCATTCCCCCGTGGTCGCTTTTTTTTCCGCGGAAGGCGGCAAGAACGTAAATCAGCTCCCGAATTTTTCCTTTCTCAACAAGGAACTTATTTTTACATCATGAGTGAAAGACGCACTTTTGCTATGCTAGATAGAATGCGACCACTATAGCCGAGCAAAAGGTGTTGATACGAATGCCCTCCGCATATCGTATGATATACCCAGTCAGACAACGGGTGTAAATAAGATGTAATATTGTAAGGGGCCGCCATGTCCTCGTTCATACGAGAATCAGATTAGTATATGTAGGCAAGTTGTATAGGGAGCAGAGAATGTGTCAAAGACAGACATCACTTCAAGGGAGGACCAGCGACTCAAGCCTTTCTCTGCATCTCTTTTAGGAACAAAACCTTTCCAATCGGAACATTCTTCAAGAACCTGTTCTGCGACTGAAAAAGATCCTCTCCTTCTATCTCTTCTATCGTCGTCGATCTTCAATATTACAACTGATGAGTATGCCCAAGCTCCCCCTTCCAAAATATCTGTAAACAATCTACCATCGTCTACTAGCTTTTTTCTAAATTTTTACGTTGTTGTTTTCGTACTGGACGTGGACCGACCTATACCTATTTGAATGCTAGTATAAGGTAGCTGAAAGTTTTTACTTACCAATTTACATTCGACCCGCCGTCGAGTGACACCATGAAATTTGACTTCATTTGTAAATACTCCCCAATGACACACGATAACTAAAAAACATCCGCAAAAGAAAGTTGCAGCAAATCTACCTTAGTCGAAAGAAAGTTGTGCCTCTCCCTACGACAGCAGAAGCATAGTGGTTTTCGAATAAGATCAGATGGAAGGGTTTGGCATAAATAGAAGAAATTCCGTAATGCAGAAAATGGTAAGACAAAGATAGAAACATGACAGAAAAAGACGAACGCAAATGAGGATCACTTAGATTGAAGAATCCGATCTGAATCAGCATCTTCCCCAGAACTATACTAGGTACAACTACATACTTGTAAATGTCTAATGTAAAATAAAATGAAGCTTGCTTGTCGACGACTGCTGCTGCTTATCCGCCCATCCCGATTCGAGTAATCATTTTTTCCAACAAGAATGCACACACACACACACACGAATGGCCATGAATTCATAATGACATGCTACTTTTCGCACAGACGAATGACTATGAATTCATAATGACATGCTACTTTTCGAAAAGCAACTCCTCAGTCATGCCGTTAACTCCTCTCTGCATATATGCCAACTCCCCCCCTCCTACTATTCTACTCCTTGTCCTCTTTCTTCGAAGCGGCATCTTTTTCTTCCCTGCCCTGGGTTCCAAGCTGCTCCCAGGCATGCCGAAATCTTCGCGGACTAGCGACATGATCAACATGCTTCGTTGGAGTGATAGCTCGATATGTTCCCAGACCAAGAAAGCAGAGTCCCATCGCGCCAAAGAATATCCGATTTCCTAAATACTTCATGAAGTGGGGAGGGTAGCTCGTGAAGCCATTGCTTCTTATGCTTCAAGCAAGGAGAACGTTTAGCTTCTTACGACATCTACAAGAAAACTCTAGAAGGGAACTCACCGACGCCGATTAAAAATGGCAGCACAGAAGTTACATTCTCTTTTCATCACAGTTAGTTGTTTGTCATAACATTCCTTCTTGTGGTAAAAAAACACCGCCAGCTAAGAGCACTCGTCGTGTAAAGAGCAACAGTTCCGACAATGCGGCAGTCCCAACACTGCTCCTCTTCTTGACTACGTGGGATCTGGATCCACCCGCGACTATTCCGCTCCACAAAATCGTTGAAACGATCCATCATTTGCGATCTGGTGGAAGGGGAAAAATCATGCTCATACTACTATGCAAATATATGACACTTATTTTGTTTTTGGCGTACTTGAAATCACAAATTGTAGACAACCATCTCGGCAGAGTGAGCTAGCGTACCAAGACAGGCCGAGGTCAGTCTTGCATCAAAAAATGAATTGTCTTCAACTAGGACTAAGCAGACGAAGTCAGGAAAACCCTACTTGCAGATCACAGGCATGCGACAAGAAGTTCGATGTAACGTTTCCTGTTAGAGAACATTGAATTTCATTCTAGTCAGAGAAAAAGAACAAACGTCGTATATGCATGATTATTGTATCAATAAATAAAGTGCCTTCAGAGCGACATTGACTGCCGGACTGCATTCTGAATTCTTGTGTTCTTTTCAAAGGCGTCAAAAGGCGACCAGGACCAGATACGCTTCGATATAAAGAGGACCCCGCCATGCGCATGATAACGTCAACGCTTACGAAGTGTTGTAGAAGATTGGACGAACGGCTTTGAATTTTTCTGTGTCATTTTTTCATCATGTAGAGGCTGCTCCTAATTCTTTCGGATTCGGTCAATCGAACAGCATTCTTTTCTTCTACTTCTTCACCTGCGGTGCGGAAGATCTTATCGCCCAAGAAGCCGACGACGGCATAGGGTTGGCAATTGAATTGTTTCGACTTCCTCCTCGCATGTCTCAAGTTGTGAGTGGATCACCACTGAGTCATGTGCGATGCACAACTCCACTACAGAAAGTTGTTGAATATTTCTATTTGGCGCATTTTTTACGACCTCAGCTGCTGTGTTCGAAGAAAGTAGTTCCCCCTGCTCTTGTTCGCGAGTAAGGTGCTAACGGTTTGCACTAGTGCTGATCTTCTGATAAAGCAGATACACAAGTAAGTATGTTGGAAGATGATTTCTGTAGATGGAAGTTGTTGTTCTGTTTCATGCGCGGACCCCCATAGCTGTAGCACGTCCGCCTCGCTGTAGCACGTCACGCCTACTTACCTCTGTGAAGTCGAAGACTAGTATTTAATGAAGACGACTAACAGTGAGATGACAGCAGTCTGGTACGAAGGGCGCGGATAAAGGCGTACAGTGCTCATCCAACACGTAGAGAACAAAGAAGATCCAAAGCTGGCAGCAGTCCGGAGTTTGATCATACAGTCGATCTTCATATTTTCTAAGACAACCACTTGCGGTAAATCCTCCTTCGGTGCTTCATCTTCCCGCGCTGTGAAATACTTCTGAGAAGGTAAGACCTGTTACAGCGAGAAACTTCTTGTTAATTTCATATTCAGGTTTCTGCGGATGATGCTAAGGCTTTGGACTACTAACGCAAGTTCTCCCTTCGCCTGTACGTGCTCCGGTTAAAACTTGATGCTTGCTTCTTCTACCACCAGAAACCATTTCTAATTAAAAATTCGTTTACATCACATGTACTGTGTTCTTGATACTAGTAGCCCCAATGACAAAATGTCGTACTTCTGGTGCAGCAGAAAAGATTACTTTGTGCCTGGTGGTCGTTCTGCCAAACAGGATGAAGTGTTGTGTGATAGTTCTTTTCTTGTTGCAGTCGTAGATTTGCCTTACCTTCAGGAAAGCGACTTCTATCTTGACTTGTTCTGCTCCTTCGCTGCAGCCGAAGATACCTCACACCCCCTGTTATAACTCATTTTCAGGCGGTCGTTTCGTCGGACGCCTCGCCCGAGAGCCCAAATGCGTATGACCGCGATTGAACGATGGCGCTCTGAAGCGCCCTAAAATTCGTCTCTTGCGAGTTGGCCACACAGTAACTTTTTTTTTGAAAATGTGTTTTCTTTGAAATACTTCCTCTCCCCATTCCACACGCAGCACCTGTCGATGCCTCTGCTGGATGCGGCATGGTTGTACAACTACTAGCGGATTTCATCTTCATATGATGTAGTGTTTCGTCGGGTTTATATGTGATACTTCCCAGTGTCGTGCTGCCGCAACTACTTCGTGCTCCCGGAAGCTTCCGTGTACTTCGAACATCAGGGTGAAAAGGTCTCGCTGCAGCTCCCTCGTCAACAGCAGCGGACTTAATATCAGCAAGCCCCGTCTTATTCCAAGAGCCCCGTAGTGAGTTTCTTGCCGCACTGCTTTCGATGTGATGACTGGAACTAAATGCTCCACCGGTATCTGTGTGTATCTGCTTCGATTTGTCCTCGTTCTCTTCCGCATTTTGTTGTGCCGCGCCCTTGCTAGTACAAATTCGCAAGGGGCCGTCTCCCTGCGGCACCTGTAGCGTCTCTCCACCAACATCCTGCACCGACCCGACCAGCTCGTCCTTACAGAACGACGCCAGAGACGCAAGCACCGCTGGTGAAGCAAGTTTAGAGCACTTCTATATTAGTCTCTCTCTTTCTGTATACCTACATGAAAATTCTAACCTACAATTCCACAGGACACAAATTCAACTTTTTTGAGCCCTCATAAAGTCCAGCTGTGGGTGATCCTCGAGAGCAGCATCGTCTTCGGAGGAGGCAACGCTGCTAGTTGAGTAACTCAGGGTCGGGTCGTTGGCAGTTGTGTGGCCACAGGCGAGAGACGAGGACAGCCCTGGTGACTCTTGCTGCGTCGAAAAAGGGCTGCCTGTCGAAGGACAGCTAACTGTACTTGGACTTTTTGTCGTGGACCCTCGTCCTTTGGCAAACTCTCCGTCCCCCTTTGCTCCTCTATGTTTGTTGCGGCCAATTTGAGGCAACACGTTGATCATTGTGCTGCTGGTGGTAGTCGACGTTACAGCACTGTAGAAGTTGTTATTCGTGTTGGCTCGACCACATCTATTTGTAGTAGACGAAGGTCCTTCAGCATCCATATTAAGGGAGCCCCGCGCGCCACCAATTGATCCTAGTCGATGTGTATGCGCTGTGCTGCCAATACGATAGGGCAATCGCAGACGATCAGCCCGCACACTCTGCTTCGTGGCCGCTGAGACCCTCTGTGGGCTCTCACCTAGTGAAGAGTTTAACACAGCAGAACTCAAAGATTGTGTTTGCTCGCCTGCTGCCTTCTTGGACTGGGAGCCACCCGCAATATAATCAAGCACCTGACCCTCCTCGTCTTGAGAAGCCACGGCCTCGCACGCCTCACGTGTTTTTGCTTGCACGAGCCGACCTCGCTCGTCACGCCACAACTCAATGCGGCTCCCGAGATTCTCTACCCCCGACACGCTCTGAAACGCTCTGCTACTCGTCAGTTGACCTCTCTGGGCTCCTTCTCGATCCTTCGTCAGGCCGATATCCAAACCAGCGAGTACGTCGACCAAACGAGTTCCATCCCCATGCTTCTCGGCCACCACTTCATCTTGTCGCGGTCGACGCTGACGCACAAGTTGGGGACTCGCGCTAAAATTCGCCGAGACCGCGAGTCCACCGCAGCGACCATCGGACACGACAGTAGGAGTTGGAGAGTTCGATATTGCGGATTTCAAAGTGGCGGGAGCCGCAGCCAAAACGAGTGGCTGACTACTAATTGCACGCGACGTTCGTGTTGCCTTTGGTGTGCGCGTGACAGCCGGACGAGCGCTGCGCGTGGTGCACGGCGACGTCACCTCGCGTGCGTCAACTGTTCCCACGAGCTTGTGCTGAGGTGTCGAGCAGATGCGAATTTCGGCCACAGGACCTTCGCAAGTACCCTCTCCGTATGAAGAAGAATCCTCGTCGTCATGTTGCGCGATCTGAGTACGATTTGTGGCCAAAATCTCGTCTAAGCTGCCATTTAGCTTTTGGAGGTCGCGAACGCGCGCTGTGTTCACCTTGGCTATGGTTTTGACCCGAGCACGCCACCCTGCAGGGTCCCGAGCCTTTGTCAGGTCAAGTAGCGGCACAAGCGGACTCAGAGTCCGTCGAGTGCTATGAAACCTCCCGATGTTGCTGCGCACTCCTCCTCCAATCGACGTCTCCTCACTGCGCTGAGCAGGGTGGAACCATAATTTTTTGCTGGTACGGCTAGGACGCTTCCGGGAAGAGCACGCTGCAAAAAAACCTGGTGGGAAGCAGTCTGCACGGCGGATCAGCGGCGCCGGGCCGCTGGATGCTGCGCGCGCGTTCTTATTGCATCGATCTGGCGAGGCGTCCGGCGTCAGTACAAAAACACTACTTGAACTGCTTTCTCGCCCTCGCATCAAATCAACTGCCAGCATCGAGCTTTCAGTTGTTTGCTCCTCTGAGACGTCGACTCCAAATGCTGTTGCGTAGTCAACTTGATTTCTTGACATTTTATTCGCACAATGTTGAGCCTGCAATGTACAACCATCCGCCTCGCTTCTCCCCAATGTGGAGTTTCTATTCCGAGCTTCTTTCTCGTGGGCCGATAGGGCTATTTCGCTCAGCGTCTCTTCTTCTCTTTCAGCAGCCTTCAGCGCCTCCTCCAAGGTAGCCAATGAAGCCGTTTGCTGCCCTTTGCTGCCTCCAGCATACGGCAGGCTCGGCAATAGAGGTGAGCCTTTTCCCCTGGCGTTATCTTTTCGCGAAATAGAGATGCTGGAAGTCAGCCTGCTACCCCCGACGGACAGCTCGGCTAGACTCGACACACGTGACACCGTTTCCCTTTTCCCCACTTGCAGGTTAGTGTCCGGTGTCGCAGACGAGGATGGTAGCAGAGCTTCGACCATTGGTGGCTCCGCGCTAGTACACGGCTGTGCTATATCCAGGACCGACTCCGCGGCGGGCGAAAAATCGCTGTGATTCCGCCCACGAGTGGAGTGTGCTTCCGCTGAGCTAGCTACGTTCTGACGATGCCCGGCGGCAATCGAATTCTGAGGTGATTCCTGTCGCGCTGCTCGCCTCAGCGTTTTGTTCGTTCTCGCACCACCCATGGAAACTGACGATCGTACCAGCTTCTGACTGCGCAATAGCATGTGTTCGCCTCTTAAGTCGTCTGTCCGACGCACGCAACGGCGCACCGCCGGCCCGGAAGGTAGCAACTCTTGCTCGCTATGCATTTGTGCTGAAGCAGATGCCTCTCTAGATGCCATTTTCTCTCGGTTTCCTGCAGGCTTTTGCCTCGAACTGCTACAAATCGCGGTGCCGACAAACTCTTTGGCCGGATCTGCGATAGTTTTCGAGTTTGTTCGGCTACGACTGTCCTCCAGCTGCACCGCAGATGACCGACCGGCGCTGGACGCCATAGAAGGACGCCGCGTACTCCCTCGGGACGGGTGTATATCGAGCATGCTGTTCATCGCTACCTGGAATTGTCGCCGTGCTGGCAAAGGCGGCGTACTTGTGCGCGAGTGCGCTTTCTCGCTGTCTGCCACGACAGACCTGCAAGGAGCCGCCTCTTCAACAGGCTGGTGCGTAGAGGTTAACCTCAATTCAGCTTCATCGCTGGCTCCAACATCACGGGCACAGTGATCGTTCGTTATGTTCGCCCTCTTCACGAAAACGCCTGTAGCAGAGGATTCCGCGCGCTGCATAGAACGAGGTTGCCGTGGAGGCAGCATAGACTCTACTTTGTCTTTCAGAAGACGCTGCATGCGCCGCTCGGACGCCGCGAACTTCTCAGTGGTCTCGTAGAACGCACGGCTTCCAGCTTCCAGATCAGATGCGAGAGAGCGAATACGGGAGTCTTTTGCGCTGATCTGATCATCTTTGTCCTCGATGGCTCGTTGCTGGGCAGTCACAACCTCTTCGCGCTGGCTCAATTCGCGCCGCCGGGCGCTCAACTGCCGCGAGAGCCCACGCGACTCGGCGCGTAACCGCTTACAGTCGTGCTGCAAACGCCTCCCTTCGCGTCGTGCTTGGCTGCGTGTCCTTCGGAGCTCCTCCTCACACAAAGCATGCTCTCCGTCTTGCAACCGAGACAGAAACAACGCCCGCTGAAGAAGCACCGCCGCAGAAGAGCCCTAAAATTTGAAAAACGGAATAGACAAATTCACTTCTTCGCAATTACTAAGTAATCTTTTTGTTTAAATGGTGATTCTTCACTCCCCACCAATCACAGTTTTGTGATTGACTGTCACTACCTAAGTATTATTTTCAGCAGGTATTACCTCTCGATGCCGAGCGGACTTTTCCTCTCGTGGTGCCAGTTGCGAGGAGTCGTTGGTGGATGAGGTGGCGCAACTTTCCTCGAGTGGCACTGTCGTGGACAAGTTTTTCTCTGATAAGAAGCTGGAAAGCACTTCCCAGGCCCGCACGCTGGATACCGATCCAACAGTCGCTTCAGTGGTGCCTGCTTCCCCATGCGGCGGAGATTCCGCAGCATTCGGAGATGTGGTAGTTGTGGTTGTTGCATTGCGCTTACTCGAATTCTCACCGCAATTACGGGTGCGTGATTCTTCTCTTCGCGGTTCTTTCTCAGCTGGTACAGTCGAACACCCACTTCGGGTACCCTGCTGGTCACATGGTGGATGCCCCTCGAATTCCACAATGACACCCGCCCTGCTCGAGTTCGCTGTAGTACCCGTATAACCTTGTTCACGCTGCTTGTTTGTCTCAAGCACTTGTTTTTGAACAGAAATGGCTTCGTCGCATCTACTCCTATTTGTATTTTTTCCCCTACACAACGTCGATGAAATAGCAGTCCTACTAGTTGTATTTGATGTCGGAGGAGATTCACTGCGTCTCATTCTCGAGGCCCTCGAACTCAGCCCATAATTTCGACGCGAAGTACTCGATGAGGAGGTCCCTGCCTCTTCTTGGATTGACGTTGACGAGTTTCCTCCTGCAGCTCTTGGAATGGCTCCGAGTCGCGCCGTTTCTTTCTTGTGCTCTTCAGAAGAGAAGGAGCCGCCACGGGCACGTACGAACATCTGAGGGGACCAGTCCGCGGGATCCATCTCCACCTCCGATCCCGATATCGCTGATATCTCCAACTCTCCATCTTGCATTTTTCAGTGTCTATCCGATCGTTCATCCGTAGGATCACGACGTCGACAATTACAAGATGGGACAAGTTATTGCAGTACATGCACTTCTGCAAATAAAACCGCAGCAGAAGTTTCTCGGACTCGGCGGGAGATTATCATACATACGCACCTCCACTGGCTCCGACAAACTCATGAGTTGTTTATATCCGCGTGAAGAAGATGTAAACATGTTCATAGGAAATTCTGGCTCGCACCGTAATCTTTCCGATTAAGCAGCAGATGAAAAAATTCGGCTGCGGAAGCAGTTTTGTTCAGACAGCTTCTTCATGGTAGAATTCGCATTACCCTGAAAATCGACAACACACCACTATGACGTCAGATTTTGAGTATTGGACAACAATGATTTCGTTTCCGCGGGTCGGCCAGTAGTATAATATCAGCAACCTTAGCGAATGAGAGCGCGAGTTGTGTAGATTGTCGAATACGCTTCTGCATGGCGTTTACACCTGCATAACTCGGGTGGGTCCTGCTATGTAATCAAAAACGTCCACTTCTCCTGCAAAACCGGCCACCTTTTCCTCATCGTCGTCAATCAATCACTATCCAACAAGGTTAGTTGGTTTTTAACTAAATATCATTATATCAAAACATCCACGAGAAATGATACCAAAGTTAGTACAAGTGAAACATGAAAATATATATTTTCAGGAACGCATATTCACAATCTTAGGATGACGCGAGCTACATAGGAATGTCCCTTATTAATATTAATCACACAAATCCATAAAGCGACAGATCGTCTGACGAGGTCAAGTCAAGTCGAGAAATTCCCTTTCACATCAACCTCAACAGTGTGTCTAATGTAACAAACAATAAAATTCACTTTTCTAGGACTTCAACACACTTGCTAAACCCTTGTTCTTGTCAATCAAGGGACGCAAGCGAAGAAGCATGTATTTCTTGTTCTTATCGACGATAACGACCTTATCTTATGTGTTTGCCTATGTAACAGAGTACGTTTTGTAAGATGAAAACTTCAACTAAGTATATAGAAGAACCGACACAAGAACCAGACAGCTACATGCCAAAACCTATGAATTGGGTTGTGGAAAAAGATGAGGACAATTTTTTATGCTTGACAACTCGGTAACTGAGACTCAGTCATTAATTCGAAGCCATTTCGTGTACGTATGCTGTCTTCTTGTCCAACATTCTCAGTCAGTGTTGCTTGCGAGATAATGAGGACACCGTTTTTTCTATCACACCAAAGAGGCTTGCTCCTGTCCCAAGGTCTTCTCTTTCTCTGACGGTCTTTGTCTTCTTCATCACGTCTTAATCGGAAACACCAACAGAAGCTCGCTGCCCGTTCTTCCGAGCAAAGCGGGCCGGCGCATGGCTCTACTTATATTACTCTACCATTATCGTTCGAAACCTTCCGTCTTTGTTCTTCCAACTCTAGTGATGACAAACACATTTCCGGACCTGCTCTCATGACAGTTTACAACTATCACATCACTTCTCAAAACGGTACTACGATGGTAGTCGAAATAGGATGCGTGGTTCGAGAGGTTCTGTTTTCAGGGTGCTATGAAGCCATGCAGTGAATCAGTTTCTGCTCTTCTCGTATCGGAAAATAAAAGATCGAAAATGATTACAGCTTGTTCCTGAAGCAGGTGCAAATCCTTGTTTCCACCTAACAAGGTGACAACAAGAATAGGAAGCACATCGTGCGGTTGAATTAGGAATACGTTTTCTCCAAAAATGACGTCTTTTACATCATGCTGGTGAGTATCATCAGTCAACGTCAGATACGATCAAGCTTCGTCCAGCCCTTCTAGCACAGCTTTGTCAACTGAGCTGCTTCGGGTGTCATTTGAGGGAGAGGGCGTCGTGCTCTGGCTGCTGAGGCGAGTCGCCTGGGTGGTGCTCGACAGTGTTTCGAGTGCTGCTGCCGACAGCCTCGCGACATTGACGCCACCTCGGCCGCCAGATCGCCGCGCACGTGGAGAGCGCGTTGTTGTCTCGTCTTGCTTCGGCCGACCGCTGCTTATCACTCGGGAAGCCTCCTCGAATATCACCGCAAAGCCCTGAGAGTGTCGTGGTGTTGGACTTTAGTTATACCACGACCAGACGGATCAGGTCCACAGAGTTCAAAGTCAGAACGAAAATGAACTACTTAATAGAAGACTAAATCTAAATCAATACAGCAAAGAACCAAAACATCAAAAGATGAAAGCCAAAGCAGTACTTCTTCGATTAGTATGTTTTGCGGCTCGTACTCCATGGCAGTCATAATCGCCTCTAAAGCACGTTCCGGTCGCCCCATAATCTTCAACGCCATGCCTTGCCTATAGTAAAGCATTCCGTCCGTGTTGTCCATGCCCAACAGCTTCTGAAAAAACGGAATGATATCAGTAAGGAAAAAGGATTGGATCACGAAGGGTTGATGGTACTAAAACTGAATAGATGACTGCACTTCGTTCCTTTGCAACCTTTTTGTTTTTTCACCCAAATACTACAAAAAAGAAAGTATGTAGTAACTTTAGTAAGAGTGATCTTTCTAGTCAAAAAATACCTCTACGTCACTGAGGCACATCTGATATTTTTCCGCGTGGAAGAAGGCCTCGCAGCGCAATCGGAGTAGTTTGCGATAGATCTGGGGATTTGTACTCTTCAAGGTCCGCTCAGCCCGCAACGCCTCTGAGCACACGTCTACCGCTTTCTGAAAGTCTTCCCGATTATAAGCTCGATCTGCTTCTTCATATGCCTGGTTGGCTGCTTGATGTCCGAAACAACCATTAAGTCCAAAAGCTCCCGGTGTTTTCTTATTCTTCGGGTATGAAAGGAGACGCGGGAAGTGTTAGTACGACTGATTGGTACAACTCAAATCACAGTGCGACCCGCGAATATACGCAGACGCATCTTATTGGCCGAGGGCGCATTGCCGGGTGTCAAGAAGTGTGCAGCATTAGCACAGGATCTTCGCAGCTATCAAAATGTATCCAAGAATAACTAGAAATCCATTTCAGCATAAGGTGGATTGCGTGCTGCTGCTTCGGACCAAGTCCTCCTTAAGGTACTTTTTCCAGACCAAATAGCCATGCTCGAGCAACGCCGATAGGCTTTGGCACGAACCGCTCTGACCGAAAGTGTTCACTTGTTCAGCCCACAGTTGCAACGCTTGCTGGGTTGACCGCTTAGCGCCGCGTTTGGACGGTGAACTTTTCGGACTGGAGGCCCGCGACTCGCCATCCGAGACCGCTTGTGGCGCTGAACTCGAGGAGGACCTGGCGAAGGTAGATGGAAAATATATCCTACTTTGATACGAGAGATTTTCATTCTGGTTTTGTATCTGTACTATTTCGTCATCTACTTCACAGGAAGACACAACCATGAAACTAGGGACGCAGAGGACTGCACTACAAACTGGACTTCAACCTGCCGTAGGAATAACGACTATCATTACAGACTTAGAGGATCCAAAACTCTATCAGGTCTCTTACGCTGCCATTGGCTTCGGATCGGAAATTTTACTGCTCATCTGTAGCAATTCCTCATCGACGGACGCTTTCCGAGACAAATTCACATCGAGTGATAGCGTCCTGCTCGCGCCGCCTCCTCGCCGAGGGCTGCTATTATCTGAAAGCAACTTCGAACCCTCCACTTGTTCGCCTGTTACGCGTGTGATTGGTGACTTTGCAGCTCCTGTATGTTCAGTGTACATATCTCGATGGAGGAGGAGTGTCAGCGGAGACACTAGTACTGTAGTATATATACCATGTAAGAAGCATCCTAGACGACAGAAGAACAAACCTCCGCATTACATTAAAATCTGTTTCTGCTCGCTGTTTTTTATAGTATACCAGCTGCGCGTCTTTTCGAACTCGAGGGCTCCTGGATGTCCAGGTACAGCGATTCTCCTGGATCAATTTCCTCTTTTAAATTCAGCTCTAAGGCGCAACGCATTCCCTCCTCTTCCTGAAGCGTGCGGGGAGACTTCACAGCTGACGAACTAGCACTGCTACTAGCCATCGCAGGGGACTGCGCGTTGGAGTCTAGACCCGAGGCGCCTGGTGGTCGGCGTGGCGGCTCTACTACTAGACTCCCCGGTGGCGGACTGTACGTTCCGCCGTGCGAAGAGGTGCTACTCACCATGGGAGGCACACCAGGGTCGGCGAAATGACACAGATTAGAGGACAAAATTTCTTCTCGTGAGAGTGACTTGTACACGGAAAATGCCGTCGTGTCTCACCGTTACACACCAACCAGCAGAAAACATCGATCTAGTTCTCATCCCCTACGACACCCCAACACTTTTGACAACCTATCATCAGCATTCAACCAATAGCATGTGGCAACAGATCAAAGCTTTTTTTCCCTAACAGTCGCGTGGCTGATCAACGCTCCGCCTATTGCACCGGTGGCTGCTGGCGCGACTGGGAGGTGTGGCAAAAGCTTTCCATTTGGTATGTGCCGTAAAATTAGAAATAGTTTTTCGTTTTCATACTGATTTATTTAAGCCAGGTGATTTTCGTGGAGTGCGAGGACAATTCTGCGCGTGACCTTTGTGCCAGTTGTGCAAGGGATTTTTCAAACAACAACAACAACAAGATCCATGGACATAGTGTTGATACGCTAAAATCTTAACAGCGGCACCGGCTCCTGCAATCGGGTAGGGACGTCGTCAAATTCTGAATTGCCGGGTTGCCGAGTAGACACGAAAACTGTGCTAGGCGCGTTATTGTTTACGTAGACCAAAAACCTGCTCTCCTTCTGCACAGCTATGGAGATGCCACTTTTCGACGGGTTAGCAGTAAGCAAGCGACAGTCCAGGTACCGGAGCGTCCCCTCCCGCTCATTCTGCACTGTGTCCACGATTTCGATGTAGTCTTCGAAACGACGCGACACCATTGTCTGCAGCTTGATCTTCAAGTGCAGTTCCATCTCGGCCCGCGGCTCGGCCCCGTGCGGGTACAGTTCCATGTTCATGTTGTACATTGACGAGGTCCCGAGAGAACTTTCCGAGAGACGTGGACTGTGTAGATTGCTGCCATGATAGTATCCGCTTCCTACACTTGTTGTCGGCCCCATATGGTTGTTGCCGACAGGACCAGAGGAACTCGCGGCTCCCGCATTGAACGCAGCGAGAAAGCCATCACCGAAGTTGCCTGCAGCGTTGGATGAAGAACACGTTGCCGGAGCATTGAAGTCGATAACACCTTCGTGGGGGTCTACTCTCCCATCTCTCGTAGCAGTTGTACCAACAGGTGGCGCCACACCATTCAGTGGTGCGCATCCAGGAGGCAGCAGATATTCCGGCTCCGCAGTAGGAGGCGCTGCGGTGGAAGAAGACGACCCACCAAACTGTTGCTGCACAAGCAGCGGGTCCACAGGCACCGGTACCGAGACATTCACTGAAGCGGCACAGCAGGAGACATCCGCAACGGATGCAGGAGCTGCAGCGGCGCAATTGCTTGCGCCGCTACTTGTTGCACCCAGCTCTCCCTCAATCGTCTCAGTGGGTGTGGGCTTCTCGCTATCCGACCGAGCAGACATCATCGTGGCAACCTCGTCTTTACGCTGCGCAGTATCCATCGAGCCATCAAGCAAAGACACTTCGTGTGCTGCATGATGAAGGCCTGCTCCCGCGTCCTCATCCCGCATTGCCGCTTTCATTTCAAGAAGAGTGCAAAGTATGCGGGGACACCGCGATAACCAAGACCGTGGCAGCGTCAGTTCCGGTCACGCGAAAACTGCTCTATCGAACCAGCTTGGATGGAGAAAAGCTTTAGTCTACAATGGACGGACAGACATCGTGTACTACGACAAAGTCATTACTTATCTCAGGGCATCTTTTGTCCAGTCGAAATACGTGTCCAACGTCCGCGGACGAAACGTTTGATTCAATCGATCTCAATCACGAATGTAATAAAAACCACTAGTTTATGTTCTTCAAGGACCTCTCCTTTATCTACTTCTACCTCGACATCAGCACCTCACAACAAATAGAAAGAAAGAAAATGGGTAGATTCAACGTGCTTGCGAAGTACGATCTACCATTCGGCTAACAAAAGGAAATTTTATGTCTATAAAAGTCTCCGCGAAAACAATGGACGAAGAAAGCGTCTCTAAAAACTAGTACAGACGCCAAATAGCTTCTGAGGTCTTGACCTTCGGTTACTCCTGTCTACGTGAAAGAACAAAAGCATCGCATTTGCACGTGCATAAAGTCATAGTCTGCACGCAAGTCATAAACTGCAGTAGTAGCTCAGGACACGATCCCTCATGAGCACGTGTGAGAGAAGCACAGCCCGAAACATTGTTGACACACTGCACGCACTTGTAGTAAGAGTAAAATCAAGCACAGATGTTCATCAGGAAGATCCTGCTCCAGGTTTAGTGACCCAAGTATGGTTTTTACGCGTACTGCGGAACACTCCGCAGACGCTTGATCACTATTTGTTCAAAAAGTCAAGATGAATATTTGCATGGGAACTTTGATACAAGAAAGGGGAAGTACAAAAGAATACGAGTCGATAAAAAAGTATAGGTCTCCGCGAAAGGCTGAAAGAAAACGGCACCGCCAGGAGTGGAGCCTGCGGCTTAATTTGACTCAACACGGGAAAACTAGCTCCTGGCCTTATGCGGCAAAAATGTACTTAGACAGTGTCGCCAATAGACCATGCGCAGCGCTGACAACCCTCGGGCCGACGAACACGCGGGAGCGTCTCCACATGGACCACCGCAACGGCTAGGCGGGTTTCATCACGTCCTTATGCTTCCGGCCGACCGCATAAGATTGGACGGCACGCTTCCCGGTTTACACCTGGCGGCATACGGCGCGGCTGCGTGCCTTGCTCCCCTGCGCGACAAAGTGCCAGTGCTCTTCTCTCGGTTAGAGCAACCTCGTGCGGCGGTAATACTCGAGACGGCGGCTGAGTTCGTCGTGCGTGAGGTGTGCTTCCTCGTATTTACCGAACAGGCTATCCAACTCCAGGTTACGCGCCGAGCAAAGGAAAGCATCGATGGCCGCCTCATTCACCACGCGGCGGTCCTCCGCTTGGTTTTTCACGCGAAAGTGATCCGCATCGGCGATCAAGAAGGGATTCAATTCCCGCAACAGTGGACTCGCCTCGAATGTCCTCGGTGAACTGGGTCCCGGCGACGACACGAACGTCTTACTGCTAAGTTGCTTCACTAACGATGCATTTGTTGGCGTGACTATGCTTGTCGGTGCCGACTCTGAAGCGACAGAAACGGCGTCAAAAGGTGGAACGCCCGGCTTCATCGCAGTTGCAAGGCTATCGTCAGCAAACGCGTCTTGTTTTCTGTCCTGTGCTTGCTTGCCCTCCCCGAAGTTTATTAACTGTTCCGCGGAAGGCGCTCGAGATGAATGCGAAGCCTCTTGTGGTGCTTGGTTATCACCTCCTGTCGGCAAAGTGAGATCTACGTCAGACTCTTTTCGCGCTCGACTCGACTGCAAACTCGATTGCGACCTCGCGACTATTGGTTCTATATCCGTAGGTGCCAGTATCGACCCTTCATTCGATGCCGCATTGGAAGTCGACGCTTGATGAGGAAGCGTAGACTCCTTTGCCGGTTCGGGGGGAACGGATGAAGTTGTGGGTCGTATAGTATCTTCAGAAGGGGCTGGCACAGGAGACTTTTCCTCGAGAATCCTAAGCTCCATTTCTACAGCGTCATCGTCGGGACTCGCTGTTGCAACAGCCGTCGCTGGCATAGATACCAGCTCCGCTGACGCGATAGAAGACGAGGACTTGGTTGCCGCATTCTCCTCTACAGCGGGATCTATCTCAGCTGTCCTTGGGCAGGAACCTCTTTCTACATTGGCATCGCCCTCTGCTTCTTGTGTTTCTCCCTCTGCTTTCTGTCGAACATGATTCGTCCCGCCATCTCCTCTAATACTATCCTGTAACATGGAGGAGTGTGGAAAAGCTGCCTCGTCTTCAGTCATGGCTTGCTTCGCCTTGCGCTCGTTTTTTACGCCCTCTGCTATAGATGAGAAGGCAATGGTACCCCTCACTTGCTCTGCCGCAGGATTTCTACCACTAGAGGTGGAAACTCGAATTTCACTCGTTGGGGCACTGGGCTGTGTCTCTGCGCTGCAGCTCGAAGCCGCACTGATCAATTTCACACCGATGACTTCATCCGCGCGACTACTACCGGACCAGGAGGATCCATGTGGTGACGTGAAAGCAGGAGACGTAATCTGACCGAAATGCGGTGTCGGCTTCTTCTCCTTCAGTTTTCCTGTCGAAGAACTAGACGAAGTGTCGTCCAGCCCAAACATGCCAATTTCGTTACCTGGCCCGCCTGACTGACCGGACGACGCCGATGAAAGCGTCCGCGAGTTGTTGCTATCGCAAACGGACTCGGAAGGGGAAAAACCTATGTATGATTGTATAGAGATAATCATGAAGAAAACTCTCTATGTATATCGATGTGGCTGTGATCACGAATTTCAATTCTATTCAACTTCTACATAAACTACAGGAAGAACAGTTGTACACACGAAAATCATAATTGCACTTTCCTTTCGCGTCCTCTGCAGCGTTCCCCTAGCCTGCCGCCATTCCCGCCCTCATATATAACAATCGGCAAAAAACGGGGTCGCCGGTTAGGGTTTTAAGGGGCGCAAAGTAGAATCTCACGAGGGACAAAAACGCGAGCCACTGTCTGCAGAGTTTTCAGGGGAAAGGTTCCGAATCTGAGGGCTCACTCACGCCCGAAAGGAAATCCCAAGGCGTTGAGGCCGTGCCAGAGTTTTCGGCCACAGAGTAGACGAAAAAATGAAAAATCTCAAGGCTTTCATCTCAAGGCTGGCCAAAGGGTTTCCCGTCTCAGGGTTTTGCAACTCAGGGTTTTGGCTGCTTTTCGATTCAAGTCACTCAAAGCGCAGGGCTTGCCTCCTCGGGGTTGCAATTGTGTGCCAGGGCTTGCCCCTCTCAGAGTTGCGAAACCCGCTCACACGGCGGCGGGAACCAGCACAAACCACGAGCAGGCGATCGCCGAGAAGGGCAAACCCTGGCGCAAAGCATAGAGCTCAATAGCTAAAAAACTGCCCAAGCTGATAGGCTGGGCAAGCGAAAGGCTAACGCGTGGAGACTCTCCACGCCACGGCCAAACCCTCCCTGGCTTTCTCAGGGTCTTAAGGGGGGCCCTGGCTGTCTCAGGGTTTCCCCGGACTGGGGGCCCTGGCTTTCTCAGTGTTTTTCGGGGGGCCCTGGCTTTGTCAGGGTTTCGTCCGCGGGTTGGCTTGAGGAGGCCGGCGGGTCAGGAGGCCGGCGGGTCAGCGCGCTGACGAAGGGCTTCACTGCCACCCAGACGAACAGAAAGCGCCCCACGACCGGCGCCGGCCGTTAGCGCCTGGAATCGCGCACGCGGTGCCCGATTTCTGCCCCGAAAGGCCATTGAGCGTTGCCCGGCAGCTTTTTGGCGCTCTCGTAGGCGCCACGGTACTCCGGTGACAAGGCGGCAACCGCCGCCCTAGTGCGGCACGCCCAAAAGCTCCCACCTGGCCATTCGCGTTCAGCGTCCCACCTTGCGCCTTTTTGAGATAGCTAGCAGCTATCTCTTCGCCTCGCCCCCCGACTTCCCGTGCGCCTCTGAGCACTCGGGTCATGACTAGTCTTTACTACTATCGGAGCAAAGAAAATTACCACGTCCGCCAACCAGATCCGAGCCTGACCACTTAGCAACAGGCATGCCGCGTCCCGGAGGAAAAAATCCGTTCCTGCCCCATTTGTCTCCTTTGAACAGCTGTTATTTTCACTACAGATGTTGTTCTTATTATGTTCTACCCGTCCTCTTCGCATTGAAAATATTGTTCTCACAAGGGAAAAAACAGATGCAATGCGGACCGGGACGGACAGTTCCTATGCACTCAACCTAGCATTTGTCTCTTTGGGTGCATGAAAACGCATCACGAAGTATTGCATGCCTGACTCAAGAAAGCGAAACTGTTCTGTCACAAAAATACCGCTGTCCCGTTCGAGTTTGGTTTGTTGTCGCGTGATATTTGGTCCTGCATGTAATATTCCTCGACGGATATCTTTCCCTGCTCCTCGTAGAGGTGGGAGTTCCGTATCAACAGGGATCGCTCGCTCATGCCCTTGCTGGAGGCGGCAGACCGGTCGCCCGACGCCGCCTCTGCGTGGTCGTTTTCACCCACCAGTGTTGTCCCCTGGTACAGCGAACTCCCAGGCGCCCGCGATGAAGATGATGCGCGAATGCCAGCATTGACTGCGCTGGCACCCATTGAGTGGCTACCGCCTAAACTCCTTGTTGGATTCAGAATGCTGCCGGGTCCACTCGAGTTACGGGCGGGCGCACGCCCTCGGCCGAGTGACAGAGTCAGCGTCCCGATCGAACACGGAATGGCCAAGATTTCTTCGGGAACTGGACTCGAGAGCGCGACTTGTGCATCTTGGAAGTGCACGTGGAGAAATAGAGGCACCTTCTTTCGGAACAGATCGAAACCAGGCAGCGTCCGAGTGAGCACTAAGAGGGAACGGCAGGCCGTTGCGAGCTTACGCATCACGCGCTCGTCGAGGCGTCTGCTTGATATGCTGCTCGTCTGCGAAAACGCTATATTCATTTAAACATCAGAAAGTGTTTTGATTCACGATCAATTTCAAGCTCTGATCTTCCCTCACATTCTTCACATATTACAGCTAGAGTACAAGCGACTTCAATTCTAATTTGTAATCAGAAAACAAAAGCAGAAAACTGTCACGATCCAGAACATTAACAATGAAAATACAAAAATACATGCTGCTCCGTGGCCTGGTCCCCCATGCGGGGTTGCACTTTGCGAAGTTGCTACCTGTGCTTGTGCCGATTCTCGTTGGGTGAAGGCAATAATCCAGCGCTCGACGACGCGGCGCCGGGGGCGCTGTCTACGTGGCTCAGAACCTCGAGACGACGCAGTAGAAACGTATGAGCGGTTCATCTGCGAAACGCCGCCGAAACTGGCCCACGAGTCCCTCATGGGGTCACCCTTGTTAGTGCTGTTGTTGTTCGTAGAACTGCGCATGCTCCCTGGATCACGAACGCTGTTTTTTGGCGTCGATGCACCAGATTGTATCGCGGAGTTTCTGGACTTGTAGAAGGAACTGGACGACGACGCTCCGAACGCCTGCTGACTTGAACTCATGTACGGCTGAGGACCTCTGCCACCACTCGCTGAAGATCCCGACACTCTGCCGATTGAAGCGCCTGCGGAGTCGCGTGGCGTCGACATGTCCACGACGGCAATGCTGGGTGGGCCACCGCTGCTTAACCTAAGGGCAGCATGTCTTCCAATCCCTTCCGGAGAGGGCTGAGACAACGTTGCCTCCAACTGCGGCGTACCTCCCACACTTGTCGTTGTCCCTGTCTTATTGCTGCTGGTGGTTCCTACACTTTGCGTTCGTCCCGTCGATACGTCCGGATAACTCATATCGTCGGCTCCTCGATCGCTCTTCCACGAACTACTTGTTGCGGCGCCCGTCCCCGTCGCCAATGGTCCGCTCGAATCCACGCCCCCAATCGCCGTTGCTGATCCTGTTGTGCCAGTCGTCGTTGCTCCGGCGTCGCCGACTAGTGTCGCGGGCTCCATCCCTACTGCGCCACTAAGCATGGTGGTGCCGCTAGTGAGATCGCTAGTAATGTCGGTCGAGATGTCGAGAGTAGACGGGTCGCACATGGAGACGTCTTCTGCATCGTCCCACGTGGCAGTGAGCCGCCGCCCCGGGGTCCGCGAACTCACTTGCGAGGTCGCAGGCGACGCCGTGCGGGCTGGATCTGCCTGCAGAAATTGTTGAGGCGCACCCGCAGCAGGCAGCGTTAACCCCGGGCTTCGCGCCGGATCATCGAGAGGACTCCCCGTCGTACGTATCGTCTCGCAGTCGTCGTCCGGAGAGGGGAGCAAAGGGCCGCTGCCAGCCACGGAGGACGTTGGCTGCAGTCGCGGACCACGCGGAGGCATCCCATTGCTTCGCAACGAAGATGCAGCATTCGGTGGAGCTCCGTCTTCCTCCTCGCGCCATGATGCCGTACGGGGCAACATGACGGACACGCGCCGGGTGCGAGGATCGCCGCGTGCAGCGTCTTCCCCATAATCGCTTGTCTGTAGACCCCGACTCGCCGGCCCGAGGCTTGCTGACATGGGAACAGGTGGCGGGCGGCTATTGCTGGTCCGCCGCAGCGGTTCGGGCTCGAAGACATCAAACACCAAGACCTGTCGTTGCGGCAGCCCACTTTCGAAAAACTCCTTTACTCGCGACGCCAGTACCGATCGACAGGTGCTATCCTCATACGTGACTAGCTGAAAAGACACGCTGCGCTTTCCTCCTGAAGTGGGACAAATCTATGGTGGTAATCACAACTAAAACACCCCATACAAAACGGACCGGTGAAAATTCTGCTTCATCAACGAAGCTTTCATATCGCATGTGTTTTGCTTCTGAACGAAAAACTAGGTCCAGATAAAAACGTTTATATACTGAATCAGCATCGCATTCAAGGACAAGAATCATACTCATAAAAATCTTATACGTTTCCGGTCGGAACGTGGCGGCACCCGCGCAGCATGTATGATATCGGCTGCTTTGCAAACGAATTCAAATATTACTTTTCGGAGGTCGCTGGGCGCAATAATCGACATTTTGTCACAGCGTCGTCTTTTTCTTTGCCAAAACCGTCCTTGCGACGATCGTTCAGAGACGAGTCAGAGCTTCATGATCTTCGAGGGATTTCCTTCGCCCCGGTGTCGTACCGCAAAGACCGCTTTTCAAGTTGCGGAATCTACGCCACGCGCAAGCCAGCGACACGAACATGTATGCTTTGACTAGACCATCAATCTTCACTACAAATTCACCATCTACGTACTAGCTAACTCAGACAAGCAATACCCAAAGCCCACTCAAGAAGATATTGCGCAAACATTGACAACAGCCTTCGGCGTTAAATTCTGCTACAGTTTCTCAGTGTTCAGATGTATAGACTTTTTCGACTTTCCATTCAATAAAATGCCAGATAAATCACAATCCAGTTGATCAACATACTTTCCAATCTTGAGCTCCGCATACACAGAAAACTGCCGCTGCTCTGGTCTGTTTAAAGCGCTGCCTTTATCAAAGATCAACCGCTCTTTTCAGCTCATGTTTCCACTCATCATACTGCTTCTTGGGCAATCTACTTGATATGTGAAGAAGTAGTAATAAATTAGCTCGCTTCGTCGTGCACAGGGTCAGGAGCTGCGGTGCTCAGGCGAGACTAACAAACACACATCGCCCGCCGATGCATGTTCCAGCATCCTTTTTCTGCTGTGCGCCGTTCCACCCGCAGCATCGCTCTCAAGCGTAGCATTACATGGAGGGACCTCAGTCACAATTATCAGGGCTGTCACTCAACCGTCGGATGCCAAAATCCAAGCATGAGTGCCAGAACTGGCTGCGCTGTAGAAACCATAGTGTTATGCACGTGTATCTAAAACTAAAAACTTCATTGCGTGCGACGGTCGGTAGACCCATTCCAATTGAAGTAGGGCAACTTCTGCTAACTCACCGCAGGGCCGCTCCTTTCTTCCTTCCTCCTCTTACTGCGATGCTCAATGGTTTCCAGCTCTTGCATGTAGCCGCATAGTCTTGAGAGTAGCTCTCGCCGCTGCTCGTCCTGCAGAAAGACAATAGATAGAATGATCTTGTTTGCAGGAATGTCTCCTGATGCGTAAGCAATTTTCGAAGGAGCTATCTTTTGCCGGACACAGAGAGTATCTGATCTCCGAGCGATAATTAGTGACTCTCACATGCTATCTAAAGACTCTAAGTCACATACAACCACCTATCTACGTCACATGCACATACTATCCATGCTTAAGTACCGTCATGCTCTTGGCGTCGTCCAAAGGTGGCATCTGGAGTTCGCCGGGCTTTCGACCTGGAGGAAGCGACGCTTCGGGACCTGAGCAAGCGGTGAGAGCAAAGATATTGGATTCCTTAGTTTTTTTTCTTGAAATCGCTGAGTTTTGCACTCCTGTTCAACGTTGTGAAATACATGCGTTCCGATAATAACGATTCAGGTAGTCTTTTATTTCATGTACCACTCTTGCCGCCTGCCGCGCTGTTTTCCGCTCTCGTCTTGGCGTCCAGTGTACACCACACCTTTTTCACAGGCATCTCTCGCATATGCGGAGGAAATGCGGAGAGTATCTGGCAGCCGACTTGATTTATCCTCGAAGCCAGCATGGTAACCATATGCTTGCTGGTTTCCTGGTAGACAAATAAAAGGCCAAGCTTCATGTTTTCAATAATGAAACCTGTCCAGATGTCTAAACAAGAATAGGAGATGTTGTTCTATATTTGGTAAGGAAGTGGTTCTATTTAAACTTCAAGGTGCGGCAGAAGCTAAGTAATCAAGTACCTCGGTATCCTCGACCATGTGCTCCGTTATTTTTCGTCTCAAATTGTCTGTCAACAAGCCAACGCTTTTATCAGTTCGAGAATTGCTCTCCCCACTGATCACCCGAGGGTCCGTAGACGAAGACGAGCCGCCGGACTGCGGACCCTTGGCCGCTGCGCCACCGCTGGACATTGTAGAAAATACGGATTTCGAAAACGATACCCACTCTCTCTCACCAACAGTTCCGTCGCGAGGCCGTAATCCTCTTCGTGTGATAGAACCAGTCGAAGCGGAAGTAACGCTGTGCGCGCTGAAGATCCTGCGGCAAGCTTCTATTGGGATCGGAAATCGGGCGTCTCGCGATTCTTCAGGGTAAAAGCCATGTCATTCGGTGCGTCAAAAAAATGTGAGATATCGAGCTGTCGATGAAAACGTGTGATTCAACTCTTGGCCCACATGAACCCCAACAAGAAGTATCCTCCGGGGCTAATATTCGGTTTACCCTACTTTTCCCTTTTGCGCACACAATTTTGATCACCGAAAAACAAATCATTAACGCGGAACCCAGATGCGTTTCATATTTTTCATTCTTTGAAAATTATCACACAGTCTACCATGAACTGTCCGGTGACAGCAAGAGAAGCCGTTCGAAGTCGAAGAAAACAAAAACCTACAAGTCAATATTGACGTGCATATTTTTCTCGTCAGTCAAAACTACGATCCCAGCAATGATTTTCCACCACTGTCGTGCTCAGCGCAAAAAGGACTCAAGAAACTGCAACACCCATCTCGCCAGTATTAACAAGCATGAAGCGTCAGCGTAAGCACCAATCAAAAATAATGTAAACTTACATACCAACTTGGAAAAGAAATAGACTATAATCAAGAGCAGCATCAACATCTGATCATGTGTCATAGGCGTTAAAGAGATTTCACCTGCGCAACTGGTCATTGGCTAAATAATCACTACGGAATTCATTGGAGCCTTGCTATACTGTTAACAACTAGAATCAAAAGCTCCCAAAAATACAAAAAGCAAAAATGACTGTAAGAATCGAAGCATTCGTTACCCTACACATAGCAAAAGTTCACGACTCCAACACGAAAAGCTTTTACAGAAAGAAAATATCAAACGGAGGAAAAGTACTGCCCTCTATCTACCTAGGGAATATATTAATATAGTTAGGTCAAAAAAAAATAGAAAAACCATCGAACCCAGAGATAGCAATCACCTTTGGGAAGGAGCTCAGCCCGAAAAATACAACAAAGAATTGATTGACGAGAAGGCTCAATTAGTATTTTGTACAAGCAGCAGCTTTTGAAAAAGGGGTAGTGACACTACTTACATGGGTCCTCACGAAATCATATCGTACACGTCGAATCACTTTTGGGAAAACAATCTACCTCGTCATCATGATTAATCTAATACACTAGTGTGACGAGAAAAGGAGCACTCGACCTGCTCCAGATTCGTAGAAGATAATGATCAATAGAGGAGCTATCGGTTAGAGCCTCTTAGTGCCCGAGGGCGCTGCCTGCGACGCCCTCCATCATCAGCATCATCAGGAGGATGAGGGTCCCCCGTGTCTGTATGGTAGCTTGGACCACCAGGTGGTGAGGGGTGCAGCGGGTGGTTTGTTCCTAGTCGTTGCTCAGCCGGATTGTCTCGAATAGCAGAGGACGCAGATATGGCCTTGAGCAGGACGTTGTTCCGGCTACGTCCCTTCTGCTTTTTGCTCGCCTGCTTCTCGAGATAGGGCAAGTAATGCCGCTTCCGGTCGTTCGCCCCCAAGCGGCCAAGGCGGTCGAGCACTTTAGCTGTCTGTCCAGATGCACGCTCTTTCGGAGGCCCCAATGGATTGAGAGGGCCAACGCCACCGGCCGCGGCTTGAGGTTGCCCTGGTGCCGCAACATGGTGTGCGGCAGCACCTCCAAGATCTTGCGGCCGGGTCGCTCCTGCACCTCCCCCTGTTCCTCCATTCAATATGCTCTGTTCTTGCTCCAAAATGTGGTTCTCTGATTTCTGCTGTAAGCCGGAGGACTGAAGAGTGCTGAACGTTCCAACGTGCGTGCCACGCGGGCGTGGAGACGCACTCGTACTGCTACCTCCACGGCGACCGCCCGACGCCGAACGCGTGCTTCCCTTCGACGCCGACTTAGGCCCCCAGGAAGGATCCCTTGTGCTCTGATGTTCCTTGGACGCCGACCGTGGACCACCAATACCGAAGGAAGTTGTGGAGGAACGCCCTCGCACAGCACTGCCAACGTTGTTCAATCCCACAGCCGCAGGGGGAACAATCGTAGGATCGAGGCGGCGCGGAGTAAAGGAAAACTTACAGCCTCCCAGCTCCTCCATCTCCTGCCAACCGTCGGGTTTTTTCAGCTCCGGCGGAGGACTCCCGCGGCTCGAGCTGCTGCCGCCTCGCTGTTCATTCGGCCGGAGCCCTCCACTACCGATTACATTGGCAGTACATCCAACGGCATGTTGTCCTCCTTGATCAGGATCGGCCGCTAGCTTCGCCCGATCTTCAGGCTCGAAGGGTTGTTCCGCAGAGAAGCTCGGCTCTTCTGCCACTATCTTTACGTCGCCTTGTAAAAGCGCTTGCTGCCACGACGGGTCTGAAACTACGAAACTCTCACGCGCGTCTTCACCAAGAGCTGAAAGAGCGCTGCCCGCATCGTCACCCCAGCTGCTAGATGAAGGCAAGCTGGAACCCCTCACGGCAACGTCCTCCTCTGCACGCAATGCGCTTTCTTCCATTAGGGCAGAAGCTGTCGTGTCCGAAGATGCTGTAGCAGCTGCCTGACGTTGTGGTCGTCCTATACCATCTTGTTCGTCCTGCGGCTGTTGTTGCTCTGGTCTCGCAGCGTTACTCTTCGCTTTGTTCGTCCACTTAATCATTTCCGACTGCTCGTCAATCATTTGGTCTCGGATGGCGATTTGAAGGCGGAGTTTTTCCGCTTCGAGGTCTTTCTGCTGGATTACCAGGTCAGTCATGTTATTTACTTCCTCGACTTCCATATTCTCCACCTCCATCACCTGGATTTTGTACATAAGGCTGAAAAATTGCCGGAGTTCGGAGGATTCCACGGTTTCTGGTAACTTCTGTTCTAGCTCAAGTGTTTTTTGCTGGTTTTTCTCCAGCCTCTGCTCCAGGTCACTCCGGATCTCTGCGTGTCGCTGCATCTGCTTCATCAACTGCCGGAGCTGCTTTCGCCAGTCGCGAATCACTGATGGAAGCTCGTCCTGGTGTTATTTAACAAAAGCATGTGCACGATGATGCAAAAGCAACAAGCTATGACTGACATAAAGAAATCCCGAGAATGAATTTACTTAGAAATGCACTCCAACAAAAAAGGCAATAAACAACACTTGATGGGTTAGAAGAATAGAGCGCACAGTGACACGAAGCACAATCATAAAAACGATACGTTCTCCACAATTTTCAGGGGTCCCTCGCCACGCGCTGAAGTTGGCGGGCTCATATCATCGACGACTGGGCCTGTCTTCTGCCTTTTGAACTTTCCTTTATCATCGCCATCGACTGCACCCTGCGCATAGTGTGAAGATCGTTCCGAATCTACATTGTTTGAACATCCTAAAAGTAAATAATCATGATGCTTTGAGTCACACCATGTGGCAACACTTTCGTGCAACTTGTCATGTGCTCGCTCGGTATCATAGTTAAAGCTAAACTACCCAAATCACAACTCCGGGGAGTACTTTTATCACAATAAGTCAACTAGCACCATTGAAATGATGTTTATTCAATCATACCTTTTCTTCCGCGCCTTCCTCGGCTATGGGACACCCGAGAATTGTAGCGGATTGACTGTGCTGTTGCTCCCAGCTTGAAATTGCGACCTGGAGGCGGCTCTTAGCCATGAGACACTTCGCGTCTGTGTGTTTCAGATCAAGCAACGAACGCTTTATCTGCACACGCTCCTCAATGTTCTCGCAAACCTGGTACGTAATCTCGTCGTGATATTCAACATCAAAAATCATTCATGTTTCATTGAAATCTTACACATTCAATCTATCAAATTTCTACAAATGGATTGTAAATTATCGAGGAAGTAGCAATTCTTCTTTCATAGTTACTATTAGTACCTCTTGTTCCCAGCTCTGAACTTCTTCTGAGAAAACCGTGCTTGGATTGTGCGCGCCACATATTTGCGAATGGCTCAGACCATCTTCTAGGCAGATATTTGTTTTGAGAGAACTGATCTCCGTTCGCAGATCGTGAATAATGCTGGTGTACTGTGCAACATCATGCGAGTATCGTGTCACATTCTTGGTCACCTTGGTCTTGATACTCTTGGCGCGACTTGCATACTTTAGTGTATTATGCGTGTCCTCGTAGTTAAGATGACAAGGCGAAATGTTGGCGACCATTACGGTTCGACAATTCCCCCCAAGCGAATCTGAAGTATTTTACAGTGGAAAAAAGTACTTAAGTACCTTCATCATGCCAAGAGAACTCAGTGAAATACCTTCATTATGTCAGCATTGCTCTTACAACTGTCACGGTGCAACTATTCAGATAAACTCGATCATGTTCTTGGTTCATCAGCGTCATGCTGTCCCATATAGTTCTACTAGCCTAATTGCGGGACAAAACAGTTCTAAAAATCAAAACCTTTCAAGAGCCTGGTGAGTTTCGAGTCTCGGTAAGGGACGAAGCTGCTGTCCCGGTTTCCATCCGACAGTCGGCTCACGGATCGGTCGGCAAGCGCAGTGATGCAATTGCCCAACGCTAGCAGACTTCGATTGATATTCGCGCCTTCCAGCATACGCAATCCGCGGTTTGCGGTACTGGACGCACGCTCAGAACCTGCCAAGTCGATCACGGAAAACTTTCCGATCTCTAGCACTTTGCCAATACCGGCAGTCTTTTCCTGCTGCTCTACGGTTACGCACATCACAGCGTGACTCCGTGAGCTGGTCTCGTTTGCTGCAGTTGGTTCACTCGTCCGGTTGCGGTTCGCTTGCTTCAATAATGTCATGATCTCATGCGCAGAAGATAGATTGGAAACCTGGGACAATATGAGGTGTTGAAGTAGATCTTTTGATATCTGTTCTATACTCTGATAAGTTCGGCATAAAATTGCTGATTACGAGGACATCAAAACAGACAAGACGCTGTTCCAACATTATCGCTAACGGAACCACAATCCATCTATCACACGCATAACAACAGAAGAACAAATATGAAAATCATGCCCAGTACAAGACCTAGATGTACCTCCTCGATTCCTGCCACTGCCATCCCTTTAATCGGGTCTTCGCGGAGGTCGAGGTATTCGTCTTTTTTTGTTGACAGGAGATCGCGAATATTCTCGTTGTACACTTCTAGAAAGCTGCATTTGATATCGAAGACTTTATCTTCTTGCTGTCGCACTTGACAAAATAAATCTTGAAGAATCAGACCCATCATACCATGCGCTGGTCTACCGCTCGCGTCGTTGTGATATCTTCAAGGAAATTAAGAAATTGAAATTTCTAATTCTACTCATGTTCGTTCAGTACAATGAACTCTTTTCTTTAGCCACAACATGAAAAAAGCACCTGTCCTTGCTGCATCTACAGTCCTATTTATCTTCTCATTTAGTTATTGATTGTTTAAATACCCGATCATCGTGTGTGTTTTTCCCGCACCGGTTCCACCGTAAGCGAACACCGTGGCGTTGAAGCCCCTGAGCACTGATTCTACGAGTGGCCGCACCGTGGCATTATAGATACGCTCGGTGTCCTCTTTCTCCCCGAATGCGTGGTCGAACGTGTAACGCTTTTCTTTGCTTTTATTGATGCGCAGATAGTCATCTGCAGCTGTAATCTGCGGGTCTTCCAAAACAACGAGTTTGTTGTCGATCACTTCCACACACTGGCGTCCTCCGCAACGCGCCTCGCTCTCCAATAGTTTACGACAGCGCACTGCGACCAAGATATTGTTCCACGGACGCGTCTTCCGGCCACCGGGTGGGTCCACGCCAGAAGACGCGGACGCCATTTTCGATGACCAAAATACAAAATAGTTTCTATCTCTATGCCTATCTAACTAAGTATAGAGATGAAAGTAGGAAAACAGAATAGACAGTACTAAACGAGAAACACCAAGACAGATCATAATGTCTGCTTAGCCCCGTCAGCGGAAAATAGAACAATTTATGTTTCAAAAAATACATCTTCTGATACAAGAACTCGTAAACAGAAAACACAGTTAGCCTCAGATTGTCACCGAGGATATTGAACAAAAATGAAATTATCCTGAAAATGCAAGTGCTTGTGCGGTCTTGGGTTTACTATTCTCATCGCGCGTCTCTAGAGGTAGACTACATCGCGCGGCTATCGAAACCAGTGCTTGCCTCCATGCTATCGGCAACGTCGAAGAACGGTGCATAGGAACGCACCTCAACGAGTGTAGGCTTCAATCAAGCAAGCGTATCATGATTATCCCCATTACTTGACTACCACATGAGCTAGCGCTAGCCGCCTAGAAACTTTAATAGTGTGTCCTCTAAAGCGGAATCGATCTACAGAAAAATTACACTTGGGTGTGCTTGTCCAGCATTAGCAGTGGGTCTTCATCGATCTCATTTCTTCGATTCATCCGTCTCTCTTACAATCGCCAACTCGATTGTCCACAGGAACTTCGTTTAGCTCCGCCTTTATCAACATTTTTCTTAAGATATGGCTGCCGATAAAGCGAGTATAACTCCTCGTTGCAAACCTCTCTGTATCCTCAAACTCTTTGGTGCCCTTCCCTCTCTCCTATGACCACTCGCGACCGAGAGATATGTATAATCCGAAAACCGAGGCAGGGACTGACCGGAAACATCATCTTCACCGAACCAAGGGAATCAAAGACCCGAATCTCAACATTCGTATATCAGTATCCATTCGTATATCAGTATCTGGTCTAGATGTTGTAGTCTTGGCTCCCCCTCAGTGTTAAAGACCGACACTTGCAGATCCCGTCGAATCCTGATCTGAAACATCATCCATGCTAAGGAGCTCGTCGATGACGAACCGAAGAACCGAAGTTAGGCGATTGCTTTCTTGAAGATTCATCCGAGAAGCGTTCCGACGAAAAACACCTACAAGTGGGACCAGTAATTGACCGCTTGTCTACGGTTTTGCTCGCAGCGCACTGCTATTTCTCCGTATGACTATAAATACGATTGATGCGCCCAGAACCAAAACAAATTCTTGTATAGCTCGAAAAGGTAAATCTTTCTAACCCATATACTAATTCGTTTCATATCATAAAGATGAAGATCATATGTACAGCGAGATAGCCTCTCGGATCTTCTAGAAGACGTATCTACATGATATTAGAAATTCTAATATCACGAGATTTGTCCGAACAGGAACATTTTTATACAAGAATAGTGTAGATGAATCATGTACATGACAACAGTCCGTGAAATAAGTCCAATATGTATCATACAGTGGTGAATCTCCAAATCCATGTAAAAACATGCCCGTTGTGCTAGTAGCTGCTGCGTCTACATTATATTAAGCTCGTGCCCCCAGCAGCTGGTTACGAATTACTCGTCTATCAAACTCGAAGGTGTTTACTCCTTGACATTGCGTCATGAGATACCAAGTAATCAAGTCATTGAATTTTAGTAAATGGTAAATGCCATACGCAATGAGCAATAGGATCGTGGTGAATGTGAATGAATGTGTGAATCGATAATCTATTTGCGTTTTAGTGTCATTTTTCCAAGAGGCCAACCTTCTAAGAAAAATGTTCTCAGATGTTTGACGATTTATTCCTATCTTCTTCCGCCAGTGGACTCGAAGTCCCCGAATTTATATACCTCAATGGGCTCTTCGATTTTGAATTTATCCAAAGCCCCCGCTGCGATTTTCAACAGTCGCGTTTTCTCATCATCCTCCTGCCCTGCGTCCTGCAGTCGCTTAATATCGTGCTGCATATCTGCCCATATCGTGCTATCGTGGTTCACCACCGCGTTTGAATGGAACTTTTTGTGGAGCTCGTCCTCACGCATTAGAGCTGCTGAAACACAAAGAAGATAGAACAAACGGTAGAGGTAGGGGGAAAGCATGCCTCGTTGGAGCAAGAAGAAAAACTGTGTTCTAAAATATTAAGTAGAGGTAGACGAGGGTGACCGTGACAATGAAGAACTAATTATATCAATCAACATTTACTCGGCTATTCTCTTCCAAACAACAACATAAAGTCAAATGCCGCGACTTTCCTCCACCAGCCATGGGTCGGTCACAGAGCTGAAATGTGAGAGGCAATAAAATCTTCGAAAAATCTACGAAACGCAGATACTTCTTCCCCGTTTTCGCGTCTGATTCCGGTGCATGCTTCAAGAACATGTGCTTTATTAGAGGAAAGCCTCTTTGGCTTGTTTTTTGACTAATTAATTCTAGATGACATCATACTGAAATCCTCAATGACACGCGACAGGACAATGAAGAATATTAGAATGAGCAGTAGTAAACCCGTATCGTTATGACGATAAAAAAATACTCTAAAGAGAGGCCTTAATTTGAGGGACAGCTCGTCCAGGGAGCCCTCGAAATAATCCATCCACTCCTCTTCGTAGATACGCTTGCCGTCCTTTGAACACATGCTAAACAAATACTCGAATTCTAACCTGTGAAGTTGTAACAATTGGTTGATGGATAGATGTAGATCTCACTTTCAGCAGAACTATACTTATGGGTTGACGGGAGTAAGACGAGGAAAAAGGAACCGCATATTTTCTTTATGGCATTTATAGGGGCAAAAGTACCTCTTCTCCAGGGTGATGTCTTGCTTCACGATGCCTTCATCCTCCCTCGTGTACATGTTGTCGAGTTTCGACATGACTAGTGCCTTGTTTCGACCCGCTCCACGAAGCTTGCTCACTGTAGTTGATGCGAACTTTTCTGCTAGAAGAAATTCCTAGCTGTTCTTGTATGCGAATATATATGATATCTCACCCTCACGACCAATGAAAAATATAATTACAACGAACTACTACGTAAGAAAATGAAAAAAAAAAATCAACTCGTCATCTACCTAGTAAATGAAGTAGAAGTATAATACCCAACTGGTCTAGTAGAGGAAGAATACTCAAGGAAGCTTTTTTCTCGCTTTTCTCTTCTACGTCTGCCTGGCCTGCTTTTCTTCGTTTCTCCACGAAAAGCATGTTGTCAATCATCTGTGTGATCTCATCCGGCTCGCGCATAGGTAGCAAAAACCCGATTATTTCCGAGAAATTCTTCACAGAAGAGGCAAGATTGACGGAGAGCCGAGGAATGGTGGTCGTATACAGATCCCGCATAAATGCGTTAAGTGTTCCAGCCTTTTCTAGCACCATCATGAAACGACCCAGTTCCGCGGGGGTACCTGTGTTTCAATAAACCTGCCGGTGACAAGAACAAGATTACAATGTACACCGGAAATAAATGGAGATTCTATCTTCTGCGCAATAGAAGTGCCAGTACTTGAACGTAGTACTACTAGACGAGGATCGGAATTCAATAAATTGTAACGGACTACATTATTTTCGTCAAGAAGCACTGTGTTGTACCATTGTTTAATACCAAGTTGGTTAACGTCTTTGTTGCGCACGACTCGGTTGTAAACGTCCTTGAGTGTGAGCAAGTGGTCGACTGCAAAACGTGTGTATTGACCCGTTTTTTTGTCCTTGTATATCGCAGAGGCCATCTTGGCTGGCGAGGCCCCGCCTTGGGCGCCGCTCTTCTTTTCCACATACTGCCGTCTCAGATCCGCCAAGCTGCGGTGTTTGCCCTGGTAGAGCACGATGCTCTTATCTTTTAGTGCCTTCTTGAATTCCAGAAGGTAGGGGGGCCTCACCGGCTTCTTCTTCTTGCCCAAAAGGTCTTCCTCCTCGCCCATCTTGTTAGTTGCTGCTTGTTAATTCTTTGAGGAGTACCTAGAGATAAATAATGTACGTTGCTTGATTTTTACAATCAGTCGTTTTCTTGTCCTTGCAGCGAACTCGAGGCACTCAGTCACGAATTTGTGATTTCCTAATGTCACACTTACAAGACATCAAAAGTGAGACGAGAAAATAGGTTATCCATCCTAGTATTCTCACTACGTTTTTGCGATGCAAATGTGAAATTGAAAATTGGCGAATGACACTAGTGCTAGTGGGAGAGAAACAATAGGATTACATCACAACAAACGGTGATCTCAAGGGGATGCTTATCTGATGTTCCCCACCGTATCGACAGCGCTACGACGATAAACACATCTGAGAAGAGAATGACTGAACGAAAAATGACGTAGGGTTCCTGGGCATCGGGCACAGAGGTTGGTAGGTCGGACAAAAGTGGTCAGTAAGCCTGTCTCGTCAAAGCCGATTGTTTATTCTGAGATTGTGACAGAAATGATTTTCGCAGCGACTGAATAAATGGTGACAGATGCTGAAGACGCGCATATGAAGTTACACGTGTGTCTCACTCAAGTAGTGCCAAACGTCAAACTCTCGACTTTTTCTGACTTCCCTCATTTCTTATCAACTAGCATATTTAGATACAGAGTTGTTCTCTTTTTCATGGTCATACTCCTCCTCGTCTTCTGCCCCTCTTGAAGATCGATCAGAGCGCAGAACAAAAGCCATAAAGGCCTAGTGGTGCCAAACACTGAATTGTACCCGACAGCCGACTCGTTCTTATTTTAGCGTGGATTCACATGAATAGAGCATGGCGACGCAGACGCTCACTAATATACATCAATACCCCCATCGTCGTCATTTTTTCGCACGGTAAGGAACGCTCCGGTTATGGTGTCGCTATATTAAGAATACCACCTCAAACATACTAACTCTTCGTGTAAAAAGGGAATCCCTATTTCTGCACACAGGTTTCTAGAATTTCAAGAAGCATGAGAAGTTGTCTTCGCAGACTGCGCTCAGCATCGCCTAGGTCATCAAGAGAGTCGAGTTCCGTCGACAATTTTGTCAGTGACAGCATGTCCAGAATTGAAGAGGGATCCATGTCAGCCGTAAGCGGTGAATCTTTTTTTAGTCCTACTGCCTCCTCAGGGTTAGAAGATCCTGTAGCTGCTGAAGGCACCGCATCGCCAATATATCGGACTAAATCGGGCATGTTAGCAGGATCTGCTGACACTCCTGTTCTGCCAGTGCCTGCTCCTGTGCCGCCACTGCTTTGCTCGTAAGCCTCCCGCACGCGGATAGCCTGCGCAGCGACTGGCTCGACCTTGGACGGCGCCCCACTTGCCGCAAATCGCTCGGCAAAGCCTAGAACCGTTTTTGCGACTCGCTTCAACACTTGTCGGTTTCTACTCAGCAGAGTCGTCGTGTCAGCTTTCGCACTGGTGCCCATGGCTTGTATAAGAACATTTTTCCCAGGCCGCACCACACTATCTAACCTGCTGTCTGGCGGGAAGGCAACCCCCTGCAACTTCTTCCCCTTATACAGCAGGGTAAGCCTCTCCTCGTCAATGTCGCACTCTTTCGCACAGAACGCGCGAAGTTCACCCAAGGTTAGCGCGCCATTCCAAGCGAAATCGAAAATGATCTTCCCGCCATGCTTAATCTGCACTCGCGGTGCGTCTGCAGCTTCAGCGGAACTACCGCTACTTTGATCACCACTCATTATGTGTGCTTCTACTTCTACATGAGCAGAATTGATATAACGGCTAATCAATATATGATATATATGATTTTATGTCAACTTATCAATCACGTCCAAAAAGACTCTCCGCAAAGGAAACCCTGTGCCTAGTTTCTTATCACCAACGAAAAATTTGCAACCCAATCGTGGTTCGATGAGGCAGAACTTCGCGAGTTGATGAGCACCAAACGCAAATTACTGCTCCTCTATTAAACACGTGCCCCTGACAAATACGGGATTGCTTTTTCCCTGTAGCCATACGACGACAGCGCAGCCAGATCCGAAGAGTGGCAAGATAAAAATCCACGCAGGAGGACCGATTGATTTACATTGGCACGTTGATCGTAAAAACTTAATTGTAAGAACTATCCGAGGAACGTTAGGTTCACAGAACAAAGATCAGTGAGGGCCGAAGCTTCTCTTTTCCATGACAAGATTCTGAACTTGCGCGTCGACGAGCTTAAATTGTCCTCGAGACACCAGACTGATGGACTCCTGTCAAAGCCTTAGATTCGTTCCTCAAAATAGAGGCTTCCGGGATCATTAGGTAGAACTTGTGTTAGAATAACGGGTAATGCGCCGCTCGTCAGGGCAACGCCGCGAGCTCACTTATGTGAAGCGTCAATATTTCGTTATTTTCACGGCGCACCTGAACGCAGTCCGCGTCACGCCATGAGACGCGAACTCTGGAAAGAACTTCCGCAAATTCATCGGAAGTGTTCAGCGTACCCGGTGTGTAAGGCACGCCGATGACGCGAGACCGCGCGGCGGCGCGACCGCTGTCTTTGCGGAAGTAGTCGAGGAACCCGGCGGATTGCAGCGACCAAACTGTTACCGAGGCGTCGGTGGCATATGCGGCCAACTTGCTGCCATCGTCAGAGAAGTTGCACGCCAGAATACGGACCGGACCCGCGCCTCGTCCGGCGCCGGAAGGGCGGACTCCGTTTACAGCAGCGGGGATAAGGAATCCACCCGCTGTAGGTCCAGCCCCACTTGCTGCTCGCATACGCCTGCCGGGATCTTGCTCTGATGCCATCGAAGAAGTACCTGGCAGGTGATCGGCGGGCTCGTAGAGCGGGTTGTCACGCGCTTTGCCAGATTGATCATTCAAAGAGCCGCGACCGTTGACACCTACATTTGACGTGGCAAAGAAAAATTGTGATCCTCCACCCAGTGCATGCGTCGCGGAGTTCCCTGGCGCACGCTCGAGTACTTTGTAGCGCGTCGCCGTTCGTAGATCGTAGACGAAAACGTGGCCCTCGTCAAGGCCAACAGCGTAGCGCTGAGTGCCCTGATGGAAACAGCACATTGGAAGAAGCAAGACCATCTGGTGCAACGTCTGCGTCGCCGGAAGCAGCATGATGCGACGTAGTGCGGGCTCCGCCGGATCCAGACAGCGTAAGACCGATTCCACAAATCTCGGAAGAGCTCTGTAGGCCGCCCTCGTGTTGAAAGAAAGAAACTGGCACAGCACGAAAAGCGCATTGGACGCGTAGCTGCCCTGCTGCGGCCCCAGATCCACGCGGCGGGCGCACTTGGCCATAATCTGGAGCAAAAGAAGGGGCTCGCTGTTTCCGATCTCTAACAAGATGCGCAACATCATGGGCTGCAGCCGCGGCTGCTGATACGCGCCAAAGCAACGCACCAATAATTGAGCTAAATCGTTTGTGTTATCCTCCTTCCCATTGCTTGGGAAGACGCTCTTCACACTCTGAAAGCACTGCGAAAACAGCGACGCCGCCAAGAGGGCCCAATGTTGCGACGCGCGCGCCTGCGAGGTCCCGAACTGCGCAGTATTCGACAGCAATGAGGGGATTTGCGGTTGTACACTAGCAGACCCAGGCACACTACCAGAAGGGGGGGAGCCCGCGTTAGATGCCGTGTTTGACACAGCGGCCGACGGTGCCTCTCCTCCAACACTCGGTTGCTGAAAAATGAGGTGGCAGAGGGTGAAGCTTACGGTGCGAAACAGTAATAATAACCGAATCTCGGGAGCAAGACCTGCCCACGGAGTGCCAGCTGCTCCCCCACGGCTCATCGTCAACGCTTCGGCTGCTCTCGTGGGGACCGAGCTCGACCTCCGCAGCGATTCCCCTTTTTGAGGAGAAATAGCAGCTGATATCTGGGGGCGCGTCGATTGGCTCCTGTCCAGATTGTTGGCTCCCGCTTCTTGTTGGGCACTTACTGCCGCATTAACGAAAGGTGCGTCGTCGAGAAAATTGAAGGCCGCAGTGCGTAACTCGAGAGACCCTGCAGGCATGAGCCTGTGTCTCGAAAAGGCGGCAACTAGCGAGCGCGATAACTGGCACTCGCTGTGCAGCGCGCTGGCAAGTACAACGAGCGCGGGCAATTGCCCTATGGTCGCCGCACTCTTGGGTCCACCGATCGACGTGCCTCCTCCGAGTAACGCCACGTGAAAGGGGTGAAGCACGGCCAGAAAACCCTTTGTGTTGAGATCCGCTTCGTTCAGCGTGGCTCGCAGCAGATTGCGAGCCGTGAAACGTACGTCTTCTTCCGGAGAAAAAACGACCAGCATCCCGTAGACCAGGAGAAGCTTTCGTTTCCGGCCGAGCCATGACAAAGCCAGAGCAGTAGAGGAGGCAGCTCCGTTATCTTGATTGTATCCGAGGTTCTGCTTCTCTGCTCCGCTTTGACCTGAAGAAAAGCGGGAAAAATAGTTTGTTGCGACTACTGCTTCGAAGCGTTCGTGTGGCGTCATTCTTCGTTTTTCATTTTTTGAAGAATTCTCCGCTGTAGCAGCGACGTCTGTTGCTTTCGAAAGTGAAGAAGCTTGGTGTTCTTGTTTCCCCTGAATGTTCTTTCCGGGTCTGTCCGATCGCGTACTTTCGGCCGATGCAGAAGTCGAACCTTGTTCGTTTTTATCTTTGTTGACCTCTTCCGGGCGCTCTAGCAATGCCGATAGTTCCCGATTCTTTATCATCGAGATGGATGGCGGTTCTGTTAGTACATCACAAAAGGGAAGAGCAGTCGGCATCGAGGAGTTCGTTTTCTGCAGCACGCGCATCACCTGGTTCTGTCGCCACCGATTACCGCCAACGGCATGTGCGTTTCTTGCATCCAGCGTGTCTACTTCTTCCGCAGGCTCGCGCTTTACTGCGTCTTTAGCAACAGCATCTTCCTGCTTTGCTATCCCGACATCTTTTCTTGCTGCTTCGGCCTGCTTCTCCCTTTTTTGACGTTTCGCTGATGAAGCAGATGGCGCCGGCGTCACTGCGGCATTGTTGTGCAAGACCAGCTGCAGGCAAACTAGGCCATACGCGAAGGCGGAAAGTCGCGTCGCGTTGAACGAAACTCCGAGAGAACCGTCTGTTCCGTCGACGCCAAAAAGGGCTCCGGCATGATACGCTGATACGAGCGCAGTTGGGCCAGGAGGCCGCAAAACGCTCAACGACCACAGAGTTGAACGGGCACTCGCGCAGACGTTGTCATAGATGCTCGGCCCATGCTCACGGCTCCGAAACAGAAGATGAAAGAGCAGCGCCGAGTGTGCGTCATGGTCAGACAGTGAATGCCACCGCAACTCCTCGAAGGACACTGTTCCGACACGTGCAAGCGAAGCTGAGTCCCAAACGGAAATAGTCACCGAGTCGTCGCATGGCCTTTTCGACGGGTCTGTTTCCATCACATAGAGACACCCGATCCGAAAAGCGCATCGAACGTGCAACCCTGTGGCTGTCGAAGCGTCGAGCAAAAATGCAAACTTGCGAACAACACGAATCGGAAGTCGCGGAAAATCGAAAAAGCTGCAAAGGGATTCCTTCGTCGACGAGTCCCTGTCGTGCGCATAATTGATAAAACCAGCTCTCCGTGGTCTACCGCGTCGGGCGAACTTCCTCTTCGGGGGGTTTTCGTGGAAGTGCCGGCGTCGCACCTCGAACACCTGGCCAATTCCGGCCAGATCAACTGCGACTGCCCACTGGGGTTTGCCGGCTACAGGGACGATGTCAGTGATTTCAACGGAGTGATGCGTGTGCGCAACTTTGACAAGCGTGAGCACAATCCCGTTACTGCGAAGCAGGAATCGTTGATTCTGGAGTGTTTTTGAATATGTTCGACGTTGTTGTCCACGAAAGTATTTTCGTGCAGGGCTCATGACCGTACTTCTGCTTTCTATAACGTGCCCCGCGGCAACAGTGCAAAGCGCGGCGCGTTGAGAAGATTGTCGTCTTGCCTTATCCAGTGAGCTTCTGGTCGACTCTCCTAGGTCCGCTTTCACACCTCGCTGCTCGGTGAGAAAGAATACATCCCCCTCGGCAGTTCCCAGCAAAAGCGCTGCTCCGAACTTCCGAGAAATCGCGGTTACAGCACTTGGCATTTGTATTGTTGTTGCTATTGGCATACTCTCCAACTCCGACGTGTCGGGACTTTGACTGTGATGTACAATTTTGTGCAAAACTATGATGTCGCCGTGTACTCCTGAAGCAGAAGAGTCACTCGTCCCAGCACCGGTCGGCGGCCTCCGAACAGCAACGAAGTACCCATTCCAAACGCAAGAATGCACTAGGAGAGAAGGCCTGTTCGAGACCCGCCAGCCATTCTCGTGTGCAGCGAGGGCATCAGTAAGGCTAGGCGAGTCACCCAGTGTTGTTCCGTCTGCAGCAATAAGCTTCATTCGATCGTTGCCGGCTACGAGCGCACACAAGACTCGACCTTGGTTCAAAAACATCCATTCGACTTGCCGATGCTTACTAGTGGATCTTTCTCCGAACAACGACGGACCAGACAGATTTGAGTCTCCGCCAAGAGAAGATGTCTTGCCTCCTCCGGATGTACTGGTATCAGCTTTGCCGACGCGGTCTGACGGGAGAAATTTCGGAGCAGTCGATGCATGGACAGTTCCGGGAACGCTGGCACTAGAAGATATTGGCCCAGTTCCTGCTCTTGGTCCATCATTTACCCCAGCTCCGCTCCTTGTCGATGGGACATTTCTTCCCGACGACGGTAGTTCCATGGACATGATGTCATCGTCGTGCGAAACTTGGTCCCACTGGTACCTTGTCCATGGTGGCAGTGGTGGCAGTGAGCGCGAAACGACACGAAAGCTTGACATGTCAAGATAGTACATCAACGTTTCCGACTGCGTCCAGGCCATTACGTAAGGGTCGCGGAGCTCGCTCCCTCCGACGGGTCCGTCGTAGTTGTCGTAGCTACCATCTCTACTTTCACCGGGCCGACGCCGCGCTGTATCTCCTCCGCTTCGCGCAGAATGCTGCTGCCGCCACCGTGTCACCTCCGCACTGGACATCAACTCCTCATTGGGTGCAAATTGTTCGTCGTCGAAAAATTTAGTTGGTGACGCAGTGGTACTGTTTGAAGAAAGAGTTAGCATATCGTCCCTCCGCCGCAATGACGTTGCCGGGAACACGCGCCGTGTCCTTCGCGGAGCGCTCTGGCATCTACCTGGCCGCGCCCCCGAAGATGATGCAAACAAAACAGTAGAACTCTTTGCTCTACTGTTCCTGCTAAAGCACGACGACGAGGATGACGTGCCGGTCGCAAGATCAAAATCGAATCGCGGTGGTCCTTTGTTGAATGCGGAACGCTTACTGCCAGCTGCACTTGACATGGCCACTTCTTCCACAGCAGGACTAGACGCAAGGTCCTCCGCAGCCGCAGTATAGGTATGCGCGCCTGCACTGAGTGCCTCCATCGTTGGTGCCATGACAATTTGCGCACCGAGCCAGAGCTCTCCTTTGGGTGAAAAGAGATCCTTCCATGGCGAGAACGTAATATCCCAAATCACTAATCTTCGTCCTGCGACACAAAGATGATAGTCTCGCGTCTCGTGAAGCCGCGTCGCCCCATCGACTTTAGTCTGAAAGGTGACTCCGATTTTGTCGTGCGGCCCGATCAGTTGTGGGGGTCTGGTGATATCGGCAAAGAAAAACATGTTTTCTCATCACGCCAAACTCGATGCAAGAGCAACAGAAAGCGAAACAGATACGGCAATCTCAGGGTACACTTTTCAAAACCAAGTTCTGGCCAGTCTGCAGAAAGATCTACCAAAATGGAAACGCCTTTCTCAAGCTGTCAAAATAAAATCACAAGTAGTACGCCACGTCCGGTTGCAAGCTCGCGTGACCGTCCGTGATTGAGTTATCCCCGGGGCGGCTCCGAGTTGGTGACACCGAGCGCTCGCTCATCCCAAAATATAAGATGTATTCGCGATCGGTAACAATGCCGAACAGATCTTGGTCTTGACGAGCAACCATCGACTTCACTATTCCCACACTTTCCGTTGCGATCGACACCAAGTGCGTGAGCTCAACAAAGGCTTGGTCCGTCAGACCATTGGCCGTCGGCTGTTGCTGTCCTCCGTTTCCGGGAGAAGTGGTCGCAGTAGTGGTTGGTAGACCAGATGCGGGGGTTGTCGCACTCACGGTCGTTCCTACTGTTCGGTTGCCGACAAGGCCAGCTCCGGCACCTTTCCCGTTTCCTGGTGCAGGACCATTCGCGGGCGCCGCCAATACCTGACACAGCGCGAACTGACTGCCGCTCGAACTTGCGAGTGCCACCTGGCGCTGGTTGCGCAGTAGCACTGCGTGCGACACGCACGGGAAGTGGTCCGGAAAGCTGCTGCAAGAGAGTACGCGCCCATCTTCGGGATCCACGAGGCGGATGCGTAATCGGGTTACGAGCACGAACGTCTCATCGCCGGCGAAAACACCGGTCACGAAACTATCCAGGACGCCACCAAATGTCTCAGCATCAAACATCTCCAGTGACGCCGAACCTACGGATGTCGACGCGTGCGCCAGACCAATTGTCCTCTTCCTACGCCCGCTGGTCGTTGAGGTCGAGGAAACAGACGATAGTGAATCGCAGCGCCCGAAGAGCCTAGTTGGGAGCACAGCGGCGCTTTGAAGCGCCCAGTCAGTTGTCCCGAAAAAAAAGATTTTTCCGGATGCACAAACAGCGCTGGCCCATGACGTACACAGGACGACACGCTCGATACGCTCGCTTTCGGTGGCCGCCGAAGGAAAGACCAGAGGTAGCGATGAGGATGCCGCCGACGAGGAATCCCACTGGGGAAGCTCCTGCATCTTTCTATGTCTGAACGTTTTCCAGAAAATCAAAATTTACTAGTGCAGAAGCAGGTCTAACATTAGTTACACTTATCTGCGTGCGATTTCAACGAACAATACCAATAGCCTGAACTGCACGCAGAAAATTAAAAGTACCGGTACCAACACACAAGATCTCGTCTTGAGACCTAATTCATTATCAAGACATATCAAACCACCATCTCACTTCTAAAACTTCAAAAAATCAAAACCTTAACCTCTCTTGTAGACATTCTTGCTTTTGTATTCTTCAAACGCTTATGAGACTGGGCAGGCTAACAATGGGATTCGATCATCACCTGGTGACGGGCAGATCTTTTCGAAAAGGCACGACAACAAATTAATAATGAGCATCACTTAACCGACATCAGTCCGCCTGCAGCAAAACTCGGGACGCCGTCTTTAGTTCTGTTATATATGATATTTTCGCTGAGCTTCTCCGCCGTCTTCTCACGTTTGACCAAGTACCGATCAAGGCGGTTCGGCGCTTGTCGTGTCAACACACGCACACACACACACACACACACACACACACACGAGATGAAGCGCCTGCTTCGCTACTCCATCCTCCAGGCTTTCTGCAAATGTAGGTGCGCACAACAATGAACCGCACCTACGTGTTCATTTCAGATTGAATCGCCCGTATGAGCCAAAATCTGTGTGGTCACGCAAACTTTATTTTTCGATCTGATTTTATTTAGTCTTATCGTCAGCTGTAGTGTTTACTCCAGCTTTAAGGCTACGCCTAGTCCTGTTCCACCGTCGTGCTCGGATGTTGATTCGTCTGCGAATTTCCGGATGTCAATACGTACTACGCTGTACGAGCATGAACGCTCTCGTTGATCTCCAGAGTGCGAGTCTGCTGACATCGCGACGTCGTCACTCCTATGCTCAAATGTGCGCTCAAATCGCAGCACGCGATTGCGTCCCGCCGCACGCACAAAACATGGCCTCACGAATGGCACACACTTGGCGAATAACTTGGTTCCTACAACGCGACCAAGAGGCAGCGAAAACACTGGCAAGCTTCGGCAGCGGTCTAGGGACCCGTCATAGTACGTTGACGCCTTTCGCACAAGGCGGGAAACTGCCTCCCATGGGAGACCAGCACGCGTGGCCATCTCCGCCAACGACGTCACGTGAAACTGCGACCTCAAATTCAAATACTGCATGTCTGGTGTCAGCAGGTGAACTCCCTGCTTCGATATGAAGACGGGATGGGACAGAGCAAGGGTGTTGATCAACTAGATTCGAGTGAAACAGCGATCATAGGAACTTCACGACTACCAGGCGAAGTCGCTTCTACACCTACTTAGAATCTCTGTTACGTCTGTACGTTCTCTTTCCACCACTTTGAACTTCAGTGCTGATTGAATGCATATTCTAAGTTAACTGTAACCACCCAGTTGTAGTTTCTGTGCCATATGACATTCGACTGCGCGCGCGGTTGTTCCGGATGTTTCCGGATGCTGAAGCGCAGCACCCCCGTTAGACATGTTGTCGTCCGGAGTCTCGAAGCCAAGGCTCCGTCGATATCTGCGGCATTCTTCTCGCCCGGCCTCTAGACCACAATCAGCGAAAAGTCTTAAGATTGTCAAATCGCTTTCAGGACTGGCCCTTTCTAAAAATTGCAGCTCTTCAAAAAACCGTCGCTTTCTTTCGCGACGTTCGTCCTGTCGTGTGAAGCAGTTTCTTCATGAGATGACTGGACCACTTTGACCTGAAATAAGAATGAATGAAAATAATCCACCGAGTCTTCACACTTTCCTAATCGTCTACTTCGATCTGAAGGCAACAAGCACCGTGAGTCGAAGCCGGAGGACTAAGTTGTACATGATAGAAGTAATCCTAACCTCTGAGATGTAGTTCGCATCATCTTCGTTGCCGCTGTTGCCGTATCTGCGTTCGCGAGTGAAACAAATGAGGTACTGGGATATCATCTCTGCGAGACTGCTGTGGTTATTCTTGCGGATATAGGGCATGCCTGCACTCGCAAGATGCTGAAAAACGCCTCTAAGTGCCAAGCGCAGAGTCGAAACGATCGCCCCGCACCGCTCCGCATCGTCGAGTAAGTTCAAGCGGTGCCATGCCTTATTGTTTTTTTTTGCATATCAAATTATGTTCCACGCTGTCACTGTGCGAGAACTTTTGGTGCCAGCATTAGAAGCAAACGGTAGTCTTCATCCTGTTCTTGTCATGTGGTCGCTCCATGTTATAGTTGAAGCTGAACTATCTAAGGAGCCGCATCACATAGAAGTTCTAGGTAACTAGTCTTGGCGCAGATAATCTAAGAGACAAAACAGTGGTTGTGCTGAAGTTACATCCTCCTGCTCTTGTCTTTCCCGCGCCGGCGGTGAATCTTCCATCCTCCAGAAATTGGCTGCCCCAAAAAGCGGTGGCGACTCTGGCTCTGCCGGAAAAAGAAAGGAATCATTCGTCGAAGCAGGTGCTCCCGCGCCCAAAAGTGAGTCAGCTAGGCTTCCGGCGGTTCCACCAGGACCACCACGCGAAGGTGCCACGCCTGGCTCACCACCGGTACTGCTGCGCTTCTGCGCTAACTGACTGTTGCGGCGGGTGCGCTGCTGCACACGACTCATTGATGATTTCACCTCGTCCGCGCTCGTTGCAGTTGCGAAAATGAGCTTACTCGCTAGAAAGTCCCACAATAGGTCAACGAAGTCTTCTTCCTGATAGGGAGCAGCTGCCAAAAATGATTCCATTTCTAAGGGTAAAAGCGGCTCGCGAACTACGTAGTTCCCCATACATATTTTGCTGCTGTCTTGTGCCTGTGGGCCAGACCCTTCTTGCAGTTTACTACTCAAGGCAACACCAGCCTTGTTGGAGCATCTTCCACTTAGCGGTGGCCCACTCGACGCTGCGCTGCCAGAAGCAAACTTATACTTCTCGCGGTAGTGCTGGCGAAAACCGAAATCCTTGGACCCAATACGCAAGCGCTTAGATGGCGGTGGCGAGCCGCTCTCTACTTCTTCGTCGTATAAGTTTTGCCGAGAGAGCAAATACTTCAAGAGTCGAATCTGCGGCCAGCTTGTATCATCATCACAGTCCCCACGTAAGTACACCATCGCAGCCCACTCAGCTCCATTATAAAATGAAGGATCAAAAATCATCACGAAAATATACCTCCCTACCTTAAACTTCACCTCATTGAATCATTGAGAAAAGAAAGGGTTTTGAGCAGGTAGTGGCCCGAACAGAGATTCATAAATAAATGATCATCAACGTCAAGTTGATTTCATACACTGCTTTCTGCTGGAGGATACCGCAGTGGAAAGAGGGTATCTATAGCTTGCGGACGCGCGGTGTAGGTAACCTCCAGACTGCAAAACGGCCCGCGACACCACCTTGCCACGGGCGAAGGCCGCAGTGAGACCAGTTCGAATCGCACTCGAAGTTCCACTTCGTCTGTTTCCGCTGGACCCATAAGTGCCGGCAGGTTGCACTCATTGTCAACTGCGTTGAGAAAAATCGAAAAAAATTTAGGAAGCCAATTGTTACTACCTCAAAATACCATGAGTTGACTTTGAGGTCGACGACTTGGCGAAAGCAATAGGTATTTCACGGGACGAAGGTGGAGCAACATTGGTTCGTTCTTTTTCGTTTGCCACTCACAGAAAGCATTCAAAATACTGCAAGAATGACAAGTTGTTTTATCAAAACTACAGCGCAGAAAGGTGTAGTTTTACGTAGTTCCACAGGTGCAGAAACGTCGAAAGTTTCCAGAATGTGTAATCCCTGCTGGAAAACTTCGGTGCGCAAATTTTCTTCTCCAGGGAGCAGTGTGCGCATTCCTAAAAAGGCCAGGTTGCTTCCATTTGCTGTTGTCAGAGGACCGTGATGCGTCTTTTCCCCGCCTTCCATTTCCGTGCCAGTAGTGGCCCGATCCTGGCCCGGAATGGCAACAAAAACGGGATACTCAAGCCGTTGCCCCAGTTCGGTGATTGCTGACAAGAACTTCCGCGCAGCTAGAACATCATCAACCGGAACGAGGCTCGCGAGGTTTTGGTCCCACTGATGTGCTTCCGCCTCGCCTTGTTCCGAGCAGGACACCACCGTAGGCAGTTCTAAAGAGATAATCGAAAATAAAACTGATATAAGAGCCGCACCAATGGACGAAGATCTTGATATACTTCACTATTTTTGTACGACGAACTTGTAGTTGTAGCTGGGTCGATATCCTTGGTCTGGTGCATAAAGTTTGTATTTAACGTGAATGCGACTTGTGCAAAGTGAAAATAAATGATGGCGCGACTAGGTATAATCATATTGTAGGAGGTCACACCGGCATACGTAATTGCACTACTTAAAAAAATACTTTAAACGAACCCGTGCAAAGCGTTCGCGAAATATGCAATGAGCGACAGCACCCGTCGACGGAGAGACCCCCAGGGGGCACTTTCGAGAGCACGTAGAACCCCTCTTCCACTTCCTCCCACAACCAGTGATACAGCTTGCGCGGACCAACGAACCAGAGCACATATTCGCCGCTAGAGTAATTTTGTACGCAAAAGAACCGGTCACTCTGGTCCTCCAATCGGCGAAGCGCTTCCACAACATCCTTCATCTTTCTCTATTTTTCTTTGAAGTGTTGATGGGGCTAGGTAGTTGGTTAACACTTAAAATGCAATTTTGATTGAGTACTTACACTAGAAGAGTTCTCTCTTGAACGGGTTTCCGGTCGTGGGAGAGCTCTACTCTTGAAAATATGAGAACCGCCGCATTGCAAGAGATAATTAATACACTCTATGGAATCTTTACTCGGGAAATAGTAACAATAGATATCATGTCAACAGCACCAAAATTTTGTTTTTGGACTTGCCCAGTAAATGATCATCAGCTGAGGCCAAGGTGGTCGGGATCTTTTGCACGCGCCGGATCGCTCAACAACGAGCTACATGGCGCACTCTATTTCTAATGAAGAGGCAGTTTGAAATAAAAAAGTGCGAATTTCACTAAGGCAATCGACCAGCATCATCCCCATGAGCTCTTCATCATTGTCAAGAAAGAGAATGAACTCCACAAATATACTCACTGTAGGCACAGTATATCAATAGCTGCCTGTCTGAAAGAGGTGCAGAATAGCAGATGTTAAATCTTCCACTTGGAAGTCTTGAATTTTTGAGGATCGTCTATTGGGATGAAAAGCGTCGCTGAGTAGATCTTTGGGTGTCTAGTTCGCACGACTATCGCCTCCGAGCTGCATGGCGGGTGAGGGCACGTCCACAGCGTGTTCTAAAGATAAGACGAAGTGCTACAGTGAGTACGAAGTATCTTGCTCTACTAGCATTGGGGTAAACACTTAATGAATATTTAGCGAGATTAGGAACTGCATCAAAGTAAGCGAAAGTCCCATCATTGCGTCAAAAAATTCATCGATGCCCCGTTTAAACGCACGTTAAACACTCGTCTGCCCGGAAGCAGCACCCGCGACAAACGAGAAAGCGCCCTCTTTTAGCTCTACCCTTCACATTTTCAGCGCGTTCCAGTCGGCGGAGGCAATTGCCTCTTGCAAATTCTCTTGTCTTCTGAAATGCAGGGACTGTCAGGCAGAAGGGCAATCCAGCAGATCGACGGCCTGACCGATCGAGGGCCCGCCAGCTCGGCAGCCCGATCACCCAAAGCCCCGAAATTCCGGCCGTCCGACGGTTCGATCCACTCGGAGAGATGCGACACCGGTCAACCAAGATTCATGTGACTGTCGGTGTGGTTTCAGTGTTACTGCAATAGCCGTCCGCCCGAGATTCCGCACATGTGCAAAGCAACCAGTGATCCCCGTGAGATTATCCGGAAACGCGCATGGATAGGCGCTAAAATGCCCTCTATAGTGCCCTGCGAGGAAAAAAGGCCATCCGCTTCGGTCGCGTTTGGCATGTCACCACACGGCGTAACTAAAGCGGCGGCTTTTTGGCGACTTTGTCGGAAGAACTCCCAGAAAGCCGCGGCCCCTCTAGCCGTTGCAGCGCTGCCGCCACCCGCGTAGAGGGGAACGAAAGGCGGGCACCTGTGAGTATGGTGACCAGTGCCATTCTGGAACTATGCTGGGCCTGTTGTCTTCGTCTTGATTCACCGGCGACGCTTTACGGCGCCCCTTCTCCTTAGCTAGCATCCACAGACGTCGAGACCCTTTCTGAGGAATTGCTTCCGCTTCGGGTGTTGTGATCACTCGCTACAAGATCTCCATCCCTCAGCTGAGGGGCACCTCCTTGCTTGCCATCCACAGGCTTCAGAAACCTCTCTGGGGATCCGTTCAGGCTGAGGCTAATGCCTTGGCTTGCTGTTGCTTCCTAAAATTCTTCCACTGCTAAGAAGCTGGCACGGCGACGGGATACTTGTGCGATTCAGGTGTAGCCATTAGAGGCACGCCGTCAGTTTTCGCGAGTCGTCATATCTAAGCTGCGAGCTGCTCGCCTTCGATCTCAGTTGTTCACCTCACTGATGACGGAAAAAGCTAAAGCCATAACACTTGCGCTGGTGGAAACCCTTGCGAAGTCGGCCACTGGGGGCCTTTGCCTGGTGTGAGCGGATTCGTCATTTTCTCACAGACACGCGCTGACCCTATCCGCCATATTCTTACCAACAAAGAGCACCACCTGGCCCAAACTCAGAAACATCGCCCCAAGCTCGCAAGCTTTGCGCTTCCGGTTCAGCGAGGTGATCCGTAGCAGCATCCGCTCCCCCGTTCGATTGGTGAAGAGCTCGAAGGGAGTTTCTGCTCGTTTTGTTCTCTCATTGCGAGCGCTGCTATAATTCGCATCCTCGGCGCGCCTCTCAGTGCTACTACGTCAGGCCACTCCACGGCCAGGAGCTGCCTACCCAAGCTCTGGCACGAGCTGCTCAAGTTGCTCCAACCAACTTAGACACAAGGCGCGCACCACCTCAACCCCCGCCCAGACAAAACCCCCCGCGCCCGGCTCTGCGCCTCCAGCTCGACACTGACGCGCCCGCCCCCGTCCCCAAGACTCGAGTCCCACGCGCCCACCCCTGCTCCAAAAAACCGACTCCCACGCGGCGCCCCGCCCCCGCAGCTCCCGTCTCACGCGCCCGCCCCCGCGCCCCTAACTCCGTGATAGGTTGCTGTGTCTGCACGCGAACGATGAAAAGCAACATCAAGGCGTTGGGGGGGCGGGTGCGGAGGCGCGCAGCGCAGAGAGGCGGGCGCGGGGCCGGAGGCGCAGACGAGGTGGAGGCGATTGCGTGCGCGGGAGCGGGGAGCGCGGAGAGGCGGGTTAGTGAGGGGGCCCAGGTCGCGCGGAGAAGCGGGCGTCGCGGCAGAGGTGAGGGGCTTAGCTGCGAGGGGAAGCCCAGTGTGCGGGGAGCGCGGCTGATGTGAGGAGGCGGGCGAGGGGTGTGCAAGTTGCGGGAAGTGCCGCGAATCGCTTTGGCGTCCACTTATTCGCAAAAAGGTCTCAGGGGTGGGGTGTAGAAGTATCCCTTTGGCATGCGGATGATTATGGTCCTACCATTGCAATTCACTGCAAAGCAGGCCAGCACTGTTGTGGTAGTATTGCGCGCCATTTGTCTCGCCTTGTTTAAAGCAGTCAGGTGCAGCAGCCGACAATCATGCAACAGCCGTAAGCAAAGCCCTCGAGGTCTGCGAATTTTTCAAAATTGCGCCTCTATATCTCCTCGCTTTTTCTGTCTATGCCTTCCTCTTCCTCTCGGCGCACTGTGGTCGCGTGTGGTTCCCGATTCTCATTGAGAAGCCCGCATCAACGTCGCGCGAGATATACAACACAGCCAGAGGATGGGTCTAGTGATAGTGTGGAGCTTGCGGGGGGCCGTGTTGTTGGTGGTATTATGGGGAGCCCCACGCCGTCGAGAGTGGCGGCTGTATGTATGTGCTTCGCTTCGAGTTTCTTTGCTACATTTTGCAGCTTCGCACAACAGTGCGAGAGGGGTTCTAAGGTAGTACAACTCGCCACCCCATCCCTGGGCTGCTATTATTGAGAAGCGCGAGGGCCTGCGCTCGCTGTTAGCGTTCCTCTTTGTGGGCTCGTGTGTGATACTCATGCGAAGCGCACGGAGTTGGTCTGTCGCTAACGCGAGCGGCTTCGGCGGTGCGTGTTAGGGTCTGCCACGCGCTCGCTCTGTCTGTGTTCGTTGTTCCGCCTTGTCGTGTCATGACTCAGCAGAAAAACAGGCGACCGTAGACAAAAATAGACGGGCGACCCAGAAGCGGCGGCCATAAGAATAAGGCGAAAACAAAGCAGAGAAAGAACCACGCGGGGCGCTGTTTCTCTCTATATAATATAATGTAGCATAAGAGTACACGGCAAAACATAGCGCGGCGAGTATTCCTCGCGAAACTCTTCAGCGAAACCGTTAGGGGACAGCGGTACTTCTGGGCCGTTTTCGATATTTTGCCGCTTTTCTTCACAGTTTGGCACGCCAGTCCCCCTACTGCGAGGCCAGTTCGTCCCTCTCCTTTTCCCAGTTCCTTATCGGTTTCGCCTCCGTCTTTTCGGGCTCTTTTCAGATGCTTCCGCCATTCTCTTATCGGTTTCGCCGCTCGCTTGGCGTACCCGTCTCCTCTGCAATCCCTCCGGCTACCGATACAAACCGAATGAGACGACAGGCGACACCATCAGGCTAGTCCTTGAGTTACGCGACAGCCTGTCTGGCGCATCGTCCCACTGGCGGCCGAAGGCCGCCGGAGACGATGGGGCATCCCAGGCCTGTGCATTTTCGCGACACCCCGCGCCCTCCGCCCTTTCATTTGCGCGACACCCCGCGCCCCCCGCCCCCCTTGTACAAGGTTACATGGTTGGGCACAATTTCGGGGCGCACTCTTCGCGGGGCTTTCGTTATATGGGTTCACCGTCGCGCACGCCTTTAACCTTGTACAAGGGGGGGGCGGGGGCGTAGGAGGGGGGGGCGGGGGCAAAGTGGTCACGCTATGCCCCGTCGCCCCTGGCGGCCTACGGCCGCCAGAGGGACGAGACGCCGCGCCAGGTTCCCGACGCTGTCGGGCGCGCGGTATGGGCGAACACCCCAAAGAGGGAACCCCATGCCACGTCGTCCCTGGCTGCCTACGGCCCATGCGACACGTGCTAGAGAATAAGAAAAAAGGAAACGCCGCCGGATGCGCCAGCCTCTTGGGAGAATATGAGGGAGCGAAACCGATAAGGAGAGCCGGGAAACCCGCGCGGGGATTTTTTCCGGAGACGTTGCGGCGGTCTCTTTCTTTTCGTTCTTTGTCTTGTTAACATTCGAGGGCATTCGAATACTTTGCAAATATTTAAAAACATTCGGAGAATATTTACCCCTGTCGACCCAATAAGATCCCAGAAAAACTGAGCCAATTGGCTCTCATTTTTAGAGCCGGGGCGCGTCAACCTCAAGGACGAGCAAAGCCGACGAGTACCCTGCTTCGCTGCTTCTTCGGATCTCGAGCGACAAGCGCGCTCATGCATGACGATGCCGCTCCGGCCGAAAAAATTGCCACAGCTTTCGCATTCAATCATCACGCAAACGAGCTCCTTCGCCTTTTTCTTATTCTCTCCCGGCATCTTATACGAGTCTGCTTCTTATCAATATAGAAACTTCCTTACCTTGCTATAGACCTAAAGGCTAGCTATTACTTAAACACTAAAAAGCTAACGGGAAACTATGCGGTTGGTATACCTGTAGTAGTACGGACGGGATTTGTTTTGATCATCACTCCAGGAGCATGGTGACGAACAACGCGAGAATCCTGAGCCATCAACTTACGTTTTTCAGCAATTTTGCTCGCCATCAGGCGCGACTTCTTATCGAGATCAACAATATCCGCCTGATGCTTCACCTTCTCCTTGTGCTCCTTCAGCAGTTCTTCATCCTTGGTTTTTTCCCTCTTGGGCTTGGCAACTTTCCAGCATCCAGCCGCAATCAAGATCTTCAAGATTAGAAGAGTAACCCGAGTGGAAGCAGAGAAGAGCTCGCGGGAGCGCTCTATGATGAACACGCTGCCGCGAGATCTTATCTCCTTCCGTTTCAAGCCTTAACTTTGCTTCTTCCATAGCCAGAAGCTTCTCGCGTGCCTGCTCAGAATCTTCGTCCATCACACATTCGAAATAGATCTGCGAACTCGTTTTTTTCTTCTTCTTCGGTGTTTCTTCTTGTTCCCCTTCTGCCTCTCCCTCTCCAAGAAGTAGCTCCTCCAATTCGAGGTCCCTCCTAATTTCCTCCTCTACTTCCACGATGCTCCGCTTTCCATTTCCTCTCTCCATTTTGTATTTGTCTTGAATTTAAACACAAAAACCGTACTCTACTTCTTTATCCTCCTCGGTCCTAATATGTAGTCACTGCTTATCATTCATGAATTTTTCTAGTTCCGACTGCAAGGGTGCGAAGGCGTTCGACTGCAACACAAAGCCTAACGAATCGAAACGCATATCGTTCGAAAATAGTCTAAGCTTTGACATCAAATAGTCCCGAAAATCTGGATTCGTTAAAGAATAGTAGCTCTCTTGGAACTGACCCTGCGCGCGCTTGATCGACGAGATGATGCCCTGCGTGTCAAGCATTAGAGAAACAGCTTAAGGCGCTCGCCTGCGGTCGCAGTCCGAAGCGCGAGACTACTCAGCAACGAGCTGCGACGAGCTGCGCCTTAGTTCTCATTCATAAGAGCGGCTGCACCTTAGTCCCCACCTCTGCTTGTAGTATGAACATGAAAATCCTGTGTTTTTCTTCTAATGTCTCCTCTCGATAATCGTCCGGGAGTAAATGCGCCCCAAGGCAATCCATAATCCAAATCAGACACATCTCCCGTCCCATTTTCTTCTCCATTTCCTTTTTCTCCTTGATTACCTGCTCGACAATTTGATCCATCACACTCGCATCAACGACATGGTTCCCCTTTGCATTGCCATCCGTCACCACATGCCCATAGCCCTTCCAGTTGTTCGCGATCGCGTCCTTCATGGCTTGGGATGGCTTTTTCGCACCAAGGATAAGCGTCGGCATAAACGATATGGCGGGCGTGTCGGTTATTAATAGCACCCCAGAGGTGCCCTCCTTTGTCGTTTAATGTTAGCGCTGGAAGTGTGGCAAGCGTTTTTCCCTTGGGGAAATGTGCTAGATTTCTAATGTTTCAAATGGAGTAGGTGGAACAATATTCGCCATAATTTTTCGCTCCGTTCCAGCTTCTGTCTACTCTCCTCGCGCCGGTTATCGGTATCACTGCGGAGCGCGACTCTACATGCGAGGCAACTATTAGAGGTCCCAGATAGAAAAGCCCTAGACGATCCCCGAAGGCTTTCCCACAAAACCCGCTAGCCTTTTGGGAATCGCTAGCGCTAGCAAATGTATCACCTTAATAGAAATGTTTCGTCCATATTACACCTAACGACGAGCGGCAGTTCTCCCGTCTGTTGTTGCCTTTCTAGCATTTTGCTACGGACGTAGTCAACGAAATGGTGCCACCGACCCCACGTAATTCGTATCTCGTCAATTCTTAGTAGTTTCATGGGACTGGGCTCCTCTTCTAGTATGGCTCTTCGTCGACCACGACTAGAGCCAACAGTCCGAAGCAGGGAGCCCAATTCTTGGCGCATAATCTTACTTGTTCATCTGAGCGAACTGTTCCCGAATGGATATTCGTCACTTTCTTCAGGTCGTGCCTCGCGAAGAAGCAACGCATCCACTTGTCTGTGTCTTTGTGTCCTATCCCTTTGCGCGCTCCGTAGTAGTCTCCGCAATTCTTTTCCGCCATCCTCTGTATGAATTCGCCTTGTATCTTTCGCGGTCCCCAAGGCGCTCGCCCTTCCCGATTGATCTCCCGAATATCTTCAGCCAATCCTTCCTCCACTTCAATCCTTGCGGGGACCTGTTTCCCACCCTTCGAGCTCACCCGTTTCCGCATAGCATGGTAGTACTTCTGTGCAGATGACGCCTTGATTACCTGCAGCTGTTGCTTTCTGACCTTTTTTCTGCTCTGCTGTAGGCGTTCCTTGAGAGCACCTACATCAAGTTCACCCGGCTCCCCTAACTCACCCGTTCCTTCGGACCCACTACTGAGTTCTTCCTCCTCCTCGCCAACACTTTCCAAATCCGACTCGCTACCGCCTAAAGCTAAATAATCTTTATTTAACTTAATTAATCTCTTACGACAAAGCGATCGATGATCTCGGAGTAATTCTTTAGACCATGAGCATATATCATTTTTATCATACATAGGAAAACAATGCTCACGACCCAAATGTTTCTCAGATATATTAGGACCAGGATACATTTTGAGAACGGTTTTGGTTGCAAGGTCTCATATGATTCCCGGATAGTATTGAGATGCTCCACTATTCGACTAGAGCGCTCCGAAATCAAGCTGCAGGACCAAGGACGAACAGCTTTCCTGCTTCTTCAGCAGCCAATATGATCAAACTCGCCGAGCACAACAACAACAAAAGTATCGATGTTCTCAAATCTAACACTGAAAGAATGACTGCAGAGCGGATGATTAAAATTCGAAGTATCAACACGAGCAAGAATCAATCTCGTCAACAGCAAGTGCGTACACTAAAAAACCAGCTTAGTGAAGAATATTTCTTACTTCAAAAAATTATTAGGAAAAACGAGAAGGATAAAACAAGAGAACTCCTCTTCGCCTGCGAAAAAGGATAGCAATTCGAATACATACCAAAAATGATACTTTTCACCATCCATAATCAAATGATTCTTGATGAACCACGTTCCCACAATTCTCAGTCGTACAATCCAGATGACGTTTCTCATACAGAAATTTTGTTGCTATATCTGCTCAAACACTCATATCATGACCATTATATCTCGATGCATTTATTCAGAATCTCCACGACTCGAAAGAACCTACAACTTCCATCCTTACTTCCTCCTCACAATTATTCATCCTACAAGAATGGAGCAACTCAATGATTAAGCAGAGACATACTACAGAAGGTTATAAGTTTCCAATTCCTCATCATCACGCCTCTCCATCGTCATCAACCTACGATAACTAAATCATTACAGCAGGAATTACAAAGAACGTGTCAAAGGATCAACCTATAGAGTACAGCCTCCATCTATAGGAATTACGTCAGTGATATATACGAATGAACTCCTATTAATCTTTTTTTAAGAACAATTCCATAAAAGTAAAGTCTTGCAGTGGAAATACTCGTCAGAGCGCCTCTATTCCTCCCAAAGATCGTTTGTCATCTTTAATTCGTTCGAGCTCGACCCCTGAACATTGTTCAAGGATAAAATTAGTCTTGGCGCTTGGACTTGTTCAAGAATATCATCGAAGCAAAATACTCAAAGATTATTTTTTCAATCAAGAACCTAAATTACAAACACGAACGAAAAAAAACAAGAATTAATTTATTACCATGTAACCTCTCTGTAGGCAGAGAACACCAATTTCTGCTCCATTGTGCTGCAAATACGCATCACGAGATATGCTATGAAATTCCAGGACAACGGTTTGGATCCATCTCCCTTGAATTTAGTCCGTCGGAGCGCGTTCCCGCAGCGACTCCGATGCTCATCTCCAAAGCTCGGCTTTCCAGCTTCTCTTAGAGAACTAGTTTGATCGTAGAGAACTAGTTTGATCGTAGCGTAGAAATACATAAACCAGGAAGGACTTTCCATCATTCCTTACTAGTAGTCACTCCTCCCAAATGTGCTCCAGAGGAAACTACATTCGAACATCTTAAGAACAAAATCATGTAGACCGACGCGACAAAATGCTTCCTCGTTTGTGGATCCTCTCCCACATGTGCTAAAATATCCTCTTCGTGACGTCGCACAAAAATCGACAAAATCATCAGCTTAGTCAAATGCGCCCGCTGTAGAAGAAAATTTTAAAAAGAACTATAATCCATACTAAAAAAACTGAAGGGAAACGATTCAAACAAAGTTTGACTACAGCATACACTTTCAAACATCCCTGCAGTACCTCACTTGGCATGTAGTCACACCATTCCTTTTCCGTTCCTCCTTGAACCATCTTGCGCCAAATTTTCATGTCATATTCCGTGCAAATTTCGAGCTCGAGCAACTCACTGATGATAAATATTTTTGAAAGGAAGATCAATATTGTTGAGAGGAATGACCACACCAAGATCAATAATATAGAAATATTCTCGACTCCACTCACAATTGGAGACAAATAACAAAATGTTAAAAGAGCCTCTGAAGATAAATAAGAAAAATCTTAATCGAAAGAAAAACAACGAAAAATTAGAAATACTCCACTCGTCCATTTTCCAACTCCCCTCGCACATCATTACAAAAATCGTATTTATCGTGAACCGAATCCTGGAGATGAGGATATCCGAGCATTTTCTTTATACAATCCTGCGCTACTTCCATCTCATTCCACTGCCGCAAACCATTCGCCTGCCGGTCCGCTCTGCTCTGGTCCATCGTTTGAATCATAAACTGATAAAGAGAAAAATTAAGAGGTAAATAAAATCACTAAGGAGAATATTTCATTGAAGACGCAGGTGGCTTTTGAAAAAACAAAAAGAAAAATCATAGTCAGTCACCTCCTCGATATACACGTAAACTAATACCCGCATAACGTTGCACTCCATCGACACATCTGGAAAAACAGCCTTTGCCCTATTGCGATAGGCTTCTTCTGCTGCAGTCAACTGTGGAGTAACTGTTTCTACAGCTACAGCTTCATGCACCTCCTCAACGAGAGGCTCTCCTCCTCCTTCCCCACCTCCTAGAACCTCTTCCACGTCAACATCTGCTTGCGTAGACGACACCCCAACAGCTTGTGCTTGCGTAGACGACGCCCCAAAATCTACTTGCGTAGCAGAAATAGTTTGGTCTAATGGATTCTCCATAATAGTAGTACTACTAGTTGCACCAGGAGTATTCGTACTCATTACTCCTCCATCAGCGACAGAGGATGTTGCAAGCTCGATCAAACGCTTCTTCTGTTCGGGCGACAAACCAGCCAACAAGTCCTCCGCCTCACGCTTACTGGACATCTTATTGTACTTGGTGATGAGCTTGCTGTTGTTGATGTTGATCGAATGTCGAAACAGACTGCGGCACCACTGACGAAAACTGAGCCGCCAAGTCTATTTGTGCTGGAGGCTGTTCTGCTAGTATGTGAGAATAGAAGCTAACCAGAGGACCTCCAATTGATCTGTAATCTATCGTATACTTGTACAAGTTGACACCAGCACCCAGTCCACTTAGCAAAAGAGGAGCAAACACTAATGGCGAACCACTTCCAAATAAATTATTCGAGCTTGAGTCCACTCCTGACCCTGTGGACGCCTGAGCCGTTAAACCACCAGGAAAGATAGATGAACAGGATGCTTGAATGCCAGTGAACGTCGTGGAAGTCAAAAACTCCGAAGAAAGATTCGTAGATGATTTATTGATTTGCGGAAACGCACCGGACAAATACGAGTGCTCCTCAGTTGATGTTCGATTTTCTACACCACGTTTACTCGAGCACTCTCCCTCATGCACACGAAGTTCTTCAAAGGGTGCCGGACAGTAACAAATTGGACCCTCTAAATCTGGTGCTTGTGGGATTACGGGAGGTGGAGGAACAACTTCACTTCCTGCGCCGACGACTACTTGCTCATGATTTTCTTGATTCAATAATTTCGCTGCGTCACGCTGTCGCTTCTCCAATCTATTCTTGCCCATATTGTTCTCGAATACCTAGCTGGCATCTAAAATCATGATCAACCACAAACAAGAAGACTCTAATACCCACATACACGAGCACACCAACAAAAAACTCAGCTCTTACATCTACATGTATTCCTCCTGAGCACATCAACAAATATGAAAATGATTATCTCAATGCACTAAATCTTTACTCTTGCGGAGGATGTACACATCAAAGAATACGAGCACGAGAATCTGAATGCAGTAAGTCTATAGTCTCGAGGGTGACAAACAAACACCAAATCGACCTGCTACAAGTGAGAGACTAATTATAGTCCAGCATCAATCTATTTTTTTCTTCATCATACCAACGAACATCCAAGAGAATACAAATACTAGATCAGATTTTTCGTCCTCAACAGACAATTTCCGAACCACTACATTGATTGACTGTACACTGGAACCTCTCAGGATGAATTTGAAAACGAACATCTCAACAACTCCTCCAAATCATTCCAACATGAATTCCCAGCATGCATGCATGCTCCACATGTATCACATTTACATAATTCGACTCCTTCTAAACCTGCCGTGCCAAAAAAATGCCCCTCCAATGACACCACGCGCGAAGAGAATTTGCATACATGTACTTTTTTTTTCCGGTGTCATTGGAGGGGCATTTTTTTGGCACGGCAGGAGAACTATACACTCAGTGCGATGAGTTTAGAATTGATAAGTAAGATGTATGCTGTACATGATAGAAAAATATGCTCGATAAAAAATATGTTCGTGGCAATAATGGATGTACTTTGTGTATCTGTACAATGATGAAAGATTTTTACTCAAGGCAAATATTAGCCGGCCAACAAATGTTTTGATCTTTAAGAACCTTTGATATCATCTTGCTCAAGCAGTATCCGCATGCTGGAATAGCCGTGTCGGCGGACACGTGTAGCTCCTTGACACAGTGGAAGATTAGACTGATGTAAAGTTTGAAGCGGAGGTGTGCCTTGAAGTTTAAGTATATTCTTGAGTTTTGATCGATGAAAATCCATAAAATTCGTAGTTCTCGAGCATGTTGTTGTTTATTCTCCTTTTCGATCTCTGCATCGTCAACGAAACCATCATCGCCTTCTTTGAGGCGAATTGGTGAATATGAAAAAATATGTATAGAAATCTACATGCAATATTTTGAATATACGTTGATATTCAAATATGTACAGGTAGAATATTGAAAGTCCTTAAAGTGGTCGATGTGTAGAAGATTGGCGCAGGATCGCTGAGATGTAAAGGCGATAGAATGTTGAGGAGGTGTCAATTCCATGATTTATGTGTAAAGAATAGCGATAGATGTAGATTGATGGAGGAGTGTGGATACTAGCAGAAATTTAATTGTGAACTCTTGAATAGGGTGGAATATAAAAGTACGCAAAAACTTCACGATCGGGCGTAGAGTTCTTTGGGAATGCTGGCCTTAGCCTCTTCGCGGTTTGAATCTGCAGCCACCGTTTCAAAAATTAGAATAGGTAGAGGAGGAAAAGAAAGTGGGGCGAACCCTGCACGGATTTATTCTCTTCTCTCTCATAACAAAAACCTTGCTCCCCTAGTAATCCTCGCAAACCTCTGCGAGATAATTCGTCGAGCAAGAAGGCTCTTGTAGCTGGTAGCAAGAGCCCTAAGCGTTGAAGTGGCTGAGAAGTTTTTTTGTGATAAGAAATGATGGTTGGAGGTAAAGATGGTATTTAGGTATTGTGCCAATATGCGCGGTAGTATCATATGGAAATGTCCTGCTCCTAAAAAGAAGCACAATCATGATAGTCTCACACTTAGGATTTATTTTTCTGTTTTGTAGCTACAAAAATAAAAAGTACATATGTTCCTGATGGTTGTGGAGCTTCGAAATAGTCGTCCAAAAATTAGAGAGATGAAGGGATCAGGAGATGAGGAGATCAATATAAGGGAAGTGCACGAAAAATATTTTGAGAAGGACAAAGAATGTAAAGAGAGGTGCAAGAAGGACTACTCTAAGAAATAAATGATAGATAATCCATGTAAGTCAGGGCCTTAAAGAAGGATGTCCTTGATGGCTTCCATCAACCACGATTTTCCGGTTCCTTGATCGCAATAAATGTAGGCTGAGCGAATTAATTTACTAATCGAGTCTTTTCCACATTAAAAGATGGAAGGAAATTACTCGAATATAAATTAATTGAGAGGAGGCATACCAAAAAGCACCAAGGTATTGCCACGCTTCCGTCCTAGTGCTGCCCATATAATGAGCAAGATGATGAGGGTGATCTTCTTACCCTCGTACTTTTTGTATCGGTCGTGGTCGACTACGACTGTAGAGGAAAACGCCTCGAAAGCTTTCTCGAAACGCTTATCGCATTCGCATACCGCATCCTTCGAGAGGTGGTGCTCCTTCAACACGCTCAAGAGCGACTTCTTCTTGTAATTCCTCATAGCAACGCAGCGAGTGGCTAGTAGTTAGAGGGTGTATGGGAAGAAGATTCTAGGACCATAAAGAGTAGCTTTATCCCACAGATCCCGTAATTTCGTAGAAGCGCTGCAGGATCGTTATTTTTTGCATTGACAAAGGCGTCAAGCCTGGGATCCGATTTTGTCCTTGCTTGAAGTTCGAGCTGGCAATTGAGTTCTTCGACCTCTACATAGTCTCGAAACTCGAGAAAGTCCATTGCTGTTTTGGCAGCTGTTAGAGGATCACCTTAGCGTCAGTGGAAGCTGAAATAGAGTTGCTTGTAATACGTAAGATGATGGGGCGATCTATTTTGGAAGCCTTAAGAATGCGACACATGCTCCATCGGCTAATTCTTTTGCCGATTGTTCCGGGACTCCAGGGGCGAACCACAACAACAATTTCTCGAGAAATTGTATGTTGTGTTTACGAGAATTTGAGTAGTACAAATAATGTACTCCTGAAAGTAGAATTCAATTAAAAAAATCACTTGTGCATAATGAAAAAGATCGCAAACAACATTTTCATTTCATGGAGATAAGGAGTATTGAGTTATATAAAAACGTAAATTGAGTCTGTACCAGCGTTGAGGCCTATCGGAGAGAAGTGTTGAGTTTAGAGGAGATACTTTTTGATGAGTGCAGATTTATCATATTCTTAGTAAAATAATAATTCTGCACTCCGAGGGACTTGTAGGCCTTAAACAAAGATCCGCTTTTGTTCGATGAGCCAGTTCGCGACTTTTCTCCAGCTGTACCGCAGGCTTAGAGCCGTCAAAAGTCTATGCTTTGAATGAAATCAATATCAAGGTGGGAAAAGTTTTTTTTTTTTCTATTCATATTCCCTTAAATGTTTGGAGTTTCCTGCTGAAATTGCAGAGTGTAAATGCGTATGGTCAAGCTTCCCTCCTGCTTCCTTTCGACCCGTCACAATCTTGAGATGGATTCCCTGTAAAATTATGGTTAGGAATTAAAAGGAGATCATAGGCGATATATGTCGCGATAACATTAAAAAAAAAAGTAAGTTGAAATTTATGAATTGAATATGAAGTAGCATGTTGTCGGAGCAAGAAATAACTATGAGGCTGAGACTGAAGAAGCATAAAATAGTACGCAAGCTTTGTGAGCTTCGATCAGATAACTCATCCACACG